AAGGATCAATCACTATCGAATGGAGAATCACCAATATCAGATCAGATGGCTTTCACTACTGAATCAGATGAGGATAAAGGCCCTTGCGCTGCTGCCTGGTGAATGGCCTGTGCAACAGCCCGTGCAGCAGCTGCCTACCTTACTATATAAGGACCTTTTCCTCCTGCCCTAGATAGCTTAGTAGCTTATTGTCTTCAATTCAACTTCGGTAATCTGATTGCAACCACTTGATCCTTTGATCAATCCAGTTCCCTAGGATACTGATCCGTGACAGGTAGGATAGTAAAAATAAAATATTATAATATAAAATATACTTCTAAAAGGTAAGAAGGTATAATAATTAATAAGGGTTAGTGTTACGATACCAGAACCTATGAGGGCAGAGAAGGCATCAAGTACTTGGGACGGAAGTCGGAGATCGTGGCCAGAGGGCTCGATGACACCCAAGGACCAGTCACGTGATCCAGCACCACGTGAACAAAGTGATCAAGGTCTCGGCATGGGCCAAGAGGTTGAGCAGCTTGATCAAGGACTAGGAGGACGAATATATAAGATTGCCAGATTTCATATGTAGGAGTTCTTCGTAGTCAATAACAAATTGTATCTGATCTTTTGGAATTACCTTACCAGTACAATAGTAGCTTATCCCCCTGGATAAGTTAGAGTTATTATCCTGTCTTGATACTTCGCTTTATATCTACTGAACTCTACGATCACCGTCTTACCTTGTGTAGTAAGTCACCCATCGTTACACAGAGCTACCTCTCTGATAATTTAAGGAAGCACGTAATCCTCAGGTCACGTAAGTCCTAGAATCCTAGATATCCTACTAACACCAGGACTGCTAAGGCTAGTAGGACTAATAGGACTAATAGGATTCCTTAAGTATATAGAAAGCTTAAAGGACTCTTATAGACCTTTATATTTAACCTAAGTTAGTATCAAATAATATACTCTACTGTTCTACGATTATTATTATCCTGCCTTACCTGCTTCCTCACGCTACTCTTCAGACTATCCCCGAGAACCAACCAGTAGATCCTCGATCTCAACATATGTAAAACATAATCAATCCCTACAAGCTAAAGCACAGTGTCTAACTGTGTCGCTCTTGTCTAGTTGTCATCGTGCCATCATGTCAGAGGGGCGTTAAACATGGCGCCTATTTTGCCAAGGCCCAAGTTGTGCTCCAATTATAACGTACAAGTAAGTGGCATACTCGCCCCATCCTTCAGTAAGTCTGATTGAAACCCAAACATCACCAAAAGCCAACGTGGTCCTTCCGAGGAAGGTTGAAGAGGCTTCAATACCAACCCAGGCGCAAACTTGTCCTTAAGTGTTTGAACTGAAATGCGAACAACTACCAATGGGAAGAAGACTAATGTCATTAGAATCGCCAACTCCAGGAGGTGTCCAAGTCTAGTCTGAGAAGACCAACCAGATCGAACACTACTAATGTACAGTTGTCATATCGGCCTCGCTGCGGTATGATTTGTGCAAGAGTCAAACAGGACAGCTCATACGAAACTCAAGGAGCTCATGTAAGTTCCATTATAAATTAGTGCTAGGTCATTTCCACGATGCCAGAAAACTCCTACTCAGCATTACTCTCAAAACTACTAGATTATTTGTTATTTCCGAAGCCTGACTTTATATTCAGTGCTATTATCTCCTCTTCTGCCATATATACCACGCATACGGCTTCGTAACACCATTCAATCATGTATGCACACTTCAATTTCGTCCTTAGAGTACTGCTCTACACACTAGCCTTTGGTCAGCTCAGCCATTCTGGCCCAACCGCTCCTTTTACCTCTTCATACTCGCAACTCTCCGGCGATAATCATGGGCTGACAAAACGGGTTGATTTCACCATGGCTCTTTGGAAGGGTAGTACATACAAAGCCAAAATACGCGAGGAACCAGGCTGGACGAAGCAGACGATCAAAGATTTCGCCCAGGCCGGTTATAACAAGATCAAGGACAGATTCACGGGCGGAGCAGTCTTGGTAGCAGCGCTGTGGATTCACGGTGATGGTTGTTACATCGTTTCTAAGCCGCGAGGCGATGCCATGGTGGACTTCATGTTCGCCAACAGGCTGACTGCTCCGGCTTGGAACAGCTACAACGAGGAAAGAACAGACCCAGATTTAGAGGACCGCTTTCACGCCGAGGATGGTGCTTGTTTCTACGTAGAAAATAGATTGCCACTCAGTGGCAAAGTGCCTGCCGGGGGTAATTACGAGGAGATCAGCGGGGGTATTCGCCCCTTCATCGCTATATACGGAAAATACCGCAGTTCTGATAAGGAAGGGTTTAAACCACCTTGCGGTGGAGGTAACGCAGACCCACCTTGTACCTTGGAAATGAGTTGGCTTCATATTGACTACAACTGAGAGAATTGGATATAGAGAGACGTTTTAGAGGTTGAAAAGAGTATTAGAGTTTTCTTTTATGTTCGGAGTCTTTAGGAGGGTTTACTATTAGAGCTGTAGCAGGTCTCCAGCAACACTGTCTTTACCAAGTTAGTACTTATAAGAAAAAAAGGATGTTCTTCCTAAAGTCTGCTTCAGTAGGAAGATCGTTGAGATAATAACACAAGTAAGAAAGGCCGCAGTCATCATAAAGAAAAGGCGATGGGTAGGCAACTCTGTAAAGAGAATTGTGAATAAAGTAATGATAGCAAAGGCAAAGGCAAGGAAATACTTGGATAGTTTCTAAACTAGTTCGTGTTGTATACACGAACGGGTTGCATAGAGCATATGAATGATAGGTAAAACGACAAGCAGTAACTCGTAGCCAATAGTACTATTTCCCTTAGCTTTACTTTTTAGGAAAACTGCAGCATTTTTGTAAACTAGTAATTAACTATTGTAGTGTAGCAGGATAGATGAGGCTATTCGGGGATCACGTGTATGAGGAAGAGCACTAGGCAGGGCATAGATAGATCGATCAGGGCTGCCGAGAGAGTTCGAGGCATTATCCACCTACCTACGGAGGCCTATCAACAGAGTCAAATATCTACCTTTCCTACCTATTCACCGATTGCGGGTCGTGCCTGTGATGCTCCCTACTACAGAGGCGTCTATACGCGACACTATGCATTAAATTCCAACACTTTCGTATTGAAAAAATAGGGTAGGGTCGTGCTAGCCAACGTCCTAGTTGAAATATCCAAGAAAAGAATATGGGGAAGGATCTTCTGCTGCAAGTACAGCTGTTTGGACCCGTCTCTTCAGTGTAAATCGCACTTTGAGGATCGGTCCAAGTGGCGCATGACCAGGAGGAGGCGTCCAAAGCCGAGGCGTTTCTACCTCTCTAGTTTCCACAATTTCCCATCCCTGCTTTTGAATCAGGCTCCTCTTGTTGATAAACTCATGTCGAAGGGTTTCGCCCACCCACAGTACCTCTACATGACCACGATTTTCACTCTGGCTTGTATAAGCTACACGGAACTTTTCTATCAAATTTGGTAGGTCCATGGTGAAGAAAGAAGAGTACGCACTCTGGTCATCGTCCAGAAGCTCAACACCGGGAAGGCAATCAGGATCTAGCAGTAGTTGCAACTTGAGGGTTGACCAAGCATCCCGACCACCAAGGATAGCAAAAATCGTTTCGATTGCTGGGTTGATATTTTCAACCTCACCTTCTTCGGTTGATTGTGGTGAGCGATACAAGTGAGGGTTACGCTGATAAAGCTCCCCTCTGAGATTGGGGATTTTGACACGCGTTCCGTCACGCCGCTGCCATGCTTGGTCCGGCCGCCGCGCTGTTACGTTGAGTTTGGTAATATAACCTCGATTCCGAGCACCGATGGCCTCAAGCCAGGAGACAATAGGGTCCCAGTTGTGGTCCCCAAGAAAGGAAAACGTATTGTTGGTGTAGAAGGTCATGGCAGCTTCCCGTGCTACAATAGTGTTGTTACAGCAGAGGAGATTTAACGCTAGGTGTTGTATACTCGAGGCTGTAGCTTTGTTGTCCACAATGCGCCGATATTCTAATGCGGTCTTTCCATCAACATCAACGCCTTGGTCGTCGAACTTGTTGATGCACACCCATCTACCAGTCCATACTACGACGCATGTAGACGCAAGCAAAGCAAAGCTGTAAATGCAGTCGCGAATCTCTCGTGGGAGGCTGAGAAAGGTGGTTGGAGGATGCGATAATTGCTCCATCTTAGATTGTTGCATCTTGCCCGTTGAGTGATGAATTGTGTTGGGTAGTAAAGCTGACCTAGAAGATCGTTTCGTTAATACATTAATAGTAGGATTGAATTACGATTACTCACTTCTTTCAATCAGTGCGAATGAAATCAGAACAGTGAGCAGGTTGTAGAATAAATAGGTGAGAACAAGCAGTTTAAAGCCTGCTATAAGCCTCACAGACATATACCCATGCAACCCTCGCGTCTCGCGGCTCGCGGCCGCGCCAAGCCCCCGAGATCGCTCTGTAACGGCAGTTGTCTGTTACTCTGTAACATTTGCAAAGCAAGTTGTTACGCACAGCAAAGATATGCAAGCACCTCGGACCAAGCAATCAACAGCGCAAGGGAGGAAGGGGCTTGAAGAAGTGCAGCAAGGTGGGACGACGATGCGCGGGGTAGAATTAGGTCAGCCGGTCACGTGACGTGACAGCGGCCTTGGCAGGATGACAGACAGCTGTCAAAGGAAGCCAACGGCTGTTAGCAACGCTAGCCCTACCCACGTTCAATCTTTCCTATTCGATCAGATCCCCCTTCTAGACTTCTTCCTCCCCGGCCTCGCCCCTGCGACCTCCCCGACTTGGTCCCTTCTTACTGGTGGCACAAGCATCTATGGTCGGGTGCTCTGCACCTGTGGGTTGCTTCTGTTATTTGGGAAGTATGCTTCGGAATATTTGGAGAAATTGCTGGAAACCTACTATTGTCAGTATATCCGTCCTGAGCGACAATATTGACTCTTAACACACCTATAGCTTCAAAGATTGAGGTACCCTATACCGATGAAGCATATAATATGCTCATTTTCTGGGTCTGCGCTCAGCCGTTTGCACGATCAGCACGCACTTCCCTCGCGAAGGTAGATCTCATATCATCCACGGAACATGCCGAGAAGAAGTCACTGCACTATTCACCCTGCAATGGTCGCTCATACTTCTGGCACAAACGCCGTCTATTTGTATTCAATCGCCAAAGAACTCTAGGAGAGTTCGGTACTACCAGGGAGGAAGCCTGTGTTTCGTACTTTGGGCGCAATCCTGCATTTTATGAGAGCTTTTTCGAACCGTCGCCGAATACTTCAGCAGTCTCGTCCAACAGAATATTCACACCTACGTGAAGAAAGGAACTCCGTAGACGATTCCGATGACGCTCGCCGAAATACATCCTCCGCCAACGAGGAAATAGCCCTTGCACTATACTTCGTCTCTAAGAAATACGACTCTGGTTCTTTCAAACTAATCTGCGACGACTTCCTCCCGGGAAACATATTCATAAAGAAGGACACCCTAGAAACCGTTGTAGTTGTCGACCGGGGAATGAACTTATGCTGGCCCATATCGCTTTCTCTTTTCCCCTCCATGCTAATTATTTTTCGGAGACCCAACATCCTAGACTACTTCTAACCGAGGCCGGCACAGGAGTGCCACCGGAAGAGAAGATGTTTGTTCTGATGCGTCACTGTCGATAGACGGTATGGATAAAAATGGGTCGATTGTTAACGAATTGGTGGCCACCTCGATAGAAGCCCCAGTTCTCACAGCACTCACAACCCCCAAGTTTTCCATCGACATCCTCAGTTCCCCAGTCGATGTCTTCGGGGCGAACATCGACTTCATGTCCTGCGCCACTCAATGCTTCTGTCCACTTTTTGTAGGCATCTTCTCCGCAATTTCGTGCGACTTCACCTGGCGTTACACATCGGTCGCGGAGCGCGGGAGGAACGAATCGTGAAGTTGCTCTGCTGGCCGCTCGTTGGTCGACTCCTTGCTGCAATAGAAATAACGCAGCTTCGAAATTTCCTGCACCAGCTGCAATATGTAATAGATTCCACCCGCGAAGATCCTGTTGGTCTTTCAAGGTAGGATCATTATGTTGAGTCCAAAGTTCTTGCAAGGTATCCATGTTATAAAAGCAGACAGCGCAGAACAAGGGCGTCCACTTGAGACTATAGGTGCGGGAGTCGATCGACGCCTTCATTCTCAGCAATGTTTTTACATCAGCGGATGTGCCAAATGCAGCTGCACGATGCAGTGCAGTCCATCCCGTATGATCTTTTGCGTTGAAGTTTGAAAAGGAATTACATGCTAAGACTTCAAGATATTCTGTTTGTGGAACAGGATCTCGTGAAGGCCCATAAAGAAATGAGGCTGCAGTGAACCCATTCACACCGAGAACTTCCACATTTGCGCCAGTGTGGAGAAGAAGGCGTAAAATTTCAGGTTGTCGCCAGTAAGCCGTACTAAGAAAAGCGTTTCTGCTCTCAAGTTGTCAGGTAATATGTAGTGAACCGGCCAAAATGACCACTTACGGCCTCACCGGGGCTCCAGCGTGGACGAGAAAACGGACAAGCTCAACCGATCCACTTTGCGTGGCAAACTGACTGAGTCAGCTAGGCTCGAAAATACTAATTGAGGTTGTACAATACCCAAAGAAGACCCCTGTCGTCTTCTGATACATCGGTCGGGGCAGCCTTTTTTTGTCGAAATAGGTCGCGAACGGCAATCAGATCCCCCTTCTTACAAGCATTAACGATTTCGGATTGCACTGGAACTACATTCGCAAAATTCAAGTGACCAGCGAGTATCGAGAAGTTTGGCCAAAAGGTTCGTGTGCGTCTGAGAGAGAGCGATAGGATGAAAGACATACGTCCCGTGAAGGATACGAATGGCATTCTTGTGTAGAATTCGTAGCATTGTTGGAAGTCATTTTGGGATGTTATCAGTGTCATTTCACTTCCTAAAACCGACTTCCAAATTTTAGGGAGTTCGAAAGCATTTAGATACCGAAATGCAATAGTCGATTCAATGTCCGAGGATGCTGAGGGCGGACAAGTATCCCCGTTTATACAACTATATCCGGTTCGTACTTCTTCATGGTACGCCTTCAGCGCTTGGAGAATGTTTGCAGTACTAGTCTCGTTTTCGTCACGTGCTTTCATACTTGTTTTCCTGTTTCCATCAGCACATTGCCTAAGCCGGAATGACATTAGGTAATATACATGTTGAGAACTTGAAGAATGACGGTAATGCTGCTTTCAATTCTTTGCAAATGGGCCATATGAACGTCGACTGTTTTGCTGTCAAATATGGTCCATGCAAATCGCGATGATATTCGACATTTGCTCGCGGAGTATTTTTTACAGTCTTTATGAATACTGACGATGCTATTCTTGGCCACAGTAAGTGACTGCTGAAAGATCCAGGTCTCTTCATCAGTGAGCGAAGTACGAAAACCCCCCTCTTGTTGCATTCGGTTGACGCATTCGAGCTCCAGATACACGAGAGACGTCTGATTCGATATTCGGATAAGCTCTTTTGGTGCATTTTGGAAATTCCGCACAAGGTCACCCGCAATCGTCCATATTTCCTTCGCAAGAGCCACAAGAGTTGTGACCGATGCCACGGCGCTAACAACTTCCATTTCTTAAGAACACCACAGTGACCCTCTGGGTATTGGGAGAAGGCGGACAGCAATATATGCCATAACTTGGGGACTGAAGAATACCACGTACACCGGCGGAAGGCTTGGGTTCACCGGTGTATGCGTTGTCGAGCGACGTGGCGGCTGACTGCAGGGCAGACTCGACAAGGCAGCAATGATCATTGGTGGCGCCGGTAGTTCTATGTTGGCAAGCCTTGTGTTGCTTCAGACGGAGGTGAAGCGCAGACAAAGTTCAGCCTTAAAGCTTGAAATATATAAAGCAGACCCAAATTCAAGCGAAAAGAATAATTTTCCAACTCTTCATACAGGACATACACGAAGCTTGAAATTCCTTCGGGTTACTTTACCCAGTTGCTACCCCGAGAATCTTCATTCACGCCGAGGCATCCAACAACTACGATTCATGATGAACTTCTGGATCAAGGCATTCCCCATCATGTTGGTGCGTGAAGGGTGTGTTATGGGCGCCGACTGAACTGAATTTACTATTACAGGTTCTACGAGGAACTGATGACCCCCAGCCTCGGGACGGGGGTGACAGTGGCCGATAGGGTTTCGTATGCGTAGGAAGCCGCAAAGACAAGACGCAAATAACCAGTCGAGGACCTAGACGTAGTAGATAAGGATTTCAAGTGGGTGTTTGAGTATATAAGGCAATACGCGTACAATGAATTAATATACCAAGCAAAGCGTTTTGCACGTTAAGTCAGATGGATTGCATAATGAGGCTTGTTCTGAGGTGGTTGCGGGGTTCTGGTAGGCGCCTCTTTTCAGCCTTCTCACAAGGCTCGCGCTTCACCCCCCTCCCCCCCCATAATCATTGCCACTATTTCCATTTTCCGTGCTGGAATGTCATGATCATTTGAAAATTAATCTCAACTTGACAGCCGGCTAAACATAAAGCTGTCAAGCCTTGATATTTCAGCCTAGCATGGATACTTGGATCGGTGCTAAACCGAGGTTTCTGCATCGACAAATTAATCAGCGCAGAGCGTTCGGAACCGATCTACTCCATGCTCCAGTAGGACCATAGGGCAGGTAAATGCTATGTATATTTGTCCGATATTTCTATCGGTGGCTTCGTCAGAGGCAACATATCTTCTCAACCGTGATAGCATCGACAAGATACGCCAGATCTGCGCGGGGCCAGCGTCTCGCGGGGCGCTCGTAAGCCTAAGTAGTGCTGGGTGGGTGGTATATCCTCGCCAGGATAGAGCCGATGCTGATTGCCCCGCACAGGAAGTCTTAGATTGCTATCTGATGGATGGGTGGTTGGTGTTCACCCTATCGGGATCGGGTGTTTACGTATATATTCGGTAGCCCCTCAGCTCTCAGCTCCTTCACTAATACACACCTCTTTACTGTTTGGCGCATTGTATGAGAGCCCCTCAATATAGGCTAGGAGTTGTCATCTAGCTGTCAAGAGATAGGAAAGTGCAGATAGCTGCTTCTTGAATATGCCCTTCCTTCAGTGCCTTTACATAGCTCATTTGTAGGATTCAGAGAGACCTAGCAAGGAAAATTCAATTTATATCTTCAATCAACAAGTCAGGCAGGTACTGTCAGTTAGATATTTAGATCTTCTTATAGATAAAGTATCTTCTTAGCACCATTATATATCTTAGGCCTGTAATAGCTGTTGATATAGAGGATCTACTTGTTAGTTCTCGGGGAGTATCTGATAGAAGAGGCAGAGTAGTTGGCAGAGGCACAGAGGAAGATAGGTTAAATACAACTTAGATTAAATATGAGAGTCTATACAGGTTACTTACAGGTTCTATATACTTAGCTAAGTTGATATGTTGGTTTTTAACATATCAACGTTTAGGTTAAATCCCTAGGATTCGACTCCTTATGTCAACATGTCAATAATTACCTTGTTGACCCGAAGATTACACCCACATGACCTCCAGTCATGTGCTGTGTTACCCCTCACGTGTACCCCTCTTTCCGTCTCATCATTAACTATTGGTTCTGATTGCCTCGTCCTGTCCTTTGGATCGTAACACTAGTATAGCGGAGGATTCCCACTAAGCAGGTTTATCTGTAGGATTATGAAGGACGATATGCGGCTGGGTCCCCATTAGTGAAAGATATACCTTGGGCATGAAGGATTGATTTGTTGTTCGGGTTCTTTCATCATGCATTTGAGCGGCGCAGTAAATTAATACAGCACTTAATCGCGCACTCTACTAGACAAAGAAACTCTACGTTTTTACACCTGCCACACTCGAAAGCAGTATGCAATACTTCTGTAGGCAAAGTCGCAGGTCCAACGCTGAACCGAAGAGAATTGTCTATGATATCAATCCAAGAAGTAAACTAGAGCGATTTTGATCTATAGAACATCTATTTGATTCTATTGACCTATTGGACCAATACTGATTCACGATACCTATATCATATTGGAAGAAGCTTGAATATACTTTACGAGAGCCAATACGAGAATACCAAGGTTACCGGAAGACGGTAAGGCAGTACCACGGAGTATCAAAATGAAGAACTAAATTCGCTGCAGACGAAAGACACGTGCGGGTATTCCAATCCAAAAGACAAAAGCTTAGCTTTAAAGGGTTACTCATTCTTTGACCCTGGATCGCACTTAACCTATCATGACAAATCGGCTACGGAAGCTGACATCAAACAGGATTCGATTGTCCCAAATAACAAGGGTCTATGTATTGGGACGTCAGCATTTCTGATCTCTGTTAGATGTACCTGTACAAACAAATTGCCTAGATCCTGTTGCAGGTGTATGTGCTGCACCAGCTTGGAGCAGTAAAACCCGCTGCCGTGTAACTGCTACGTCCGCCCTTCCGTCCTCTCACGTCCTCTAATTCTGAATAAGTCTTGCTACTGAACTATAACTAGAAAAGCCGCATTATTCTCTCAGAATGTCTGAATATCAGGGCCTTTCAAATTATACATGCAGACGCTGCTTCTATTCAGTTCCCAATCTTTACTTTCTCATTGCAATCTTGCTGTTCATATAGTGCAACATGGCTGCAATCTTCCAAACCCTCCCAAATGCACTTTCAGAGGTCGACGTGATTCTTGCTGGAGGTTAGTATTACCTTATATCATTCCTGAAAATATGATCTGACATAACTATTTCGTGTAGGAGGGACGGCTGCTTGCGTCATTGCTGGACGACTAGCAGAGGCAGACCCTAATTTGTCCATTCTGATAATCGAACAAGGCCCAAACAACCTTCAGGTTCCCACAATTGTGCATCCGGCTTTGTTCATGAGCGGCCTGCTGCCTACGAGCAATGCAACTCTCTTTTACCAGAGTGCTCCAGAGCCGCAGCTCAACAATAGGGAGCTTGTTGTTCCGTCTGGAGGAACTCTTGGGGGCGGCTCCTCGATCAATTTGATGATGTACTCAAGGGGTCAGCGCTCCGATTTCGACTCCTGGAACATACCAGGATGGTCTGCTGATCATATGATTCCCTATCTGAAGAAGGTACGCTTCATTTAGATTGACATGGTGGCCATGGAGTACTCACTAATGCGTTTTAGCAAGAAACTTACCTTGGTCCGGGGCCGCAATCTGTTCATGGATATGATGGTCCCTTAACTGTCTCCGAAGGCACCTACCGTGCAAATCGATCAACACGAGACTTCATTCAGGCCGCAGAGCAAGTCGGTTATCCTGAGATAGAAGACCTGGCAGCCCTGGATTATAACAACGGCGTTCAGCCTGCATTGCACTACATTGGACAAGATGGGTTACGTCAAGATACAGCTTCTAGATATATCCACCCGAAGATCAAGAGTGGAAAGTATCCAGGACTTAAAGTACTCGTGGATACAGAAGTCAACCGTGTTATTTTCGAAGGAAAGAAAGCAATCGGTGTTGAGTTCAGACCCAACCCCAAGGTTCAATCAAACCATCACTACAGCTCTGTGACGGCCAGGAAATTGGTAATCATCGCTTCCGGTGCATTGGGAACGCCATTAGTACTGGAAAGGTCTGGTATCGGCAATCCCGACATACTGGAGAAAGCCGGCATCCCAGTAATCTCCGATCTTCCCCATGTTGGTGAGAATTATCAAGACCACCACCTCATCACATATCCGTACTACTCTAGCCTGGGCGAGAATGAGACATTAGATGCGCTAATATCTGGTCGTCTCGATGCTGGTGAGGCAATCCAAGAAAATGCCTCCATTCTTGGTTGGAACGCGCAGGATATTACTGGCAAGCTTCGACCCAGTAACGCTGAAGTCGAAGCGCTAGGTCCAGCATTTGAGGAGATGTGGAATGCAGAGTACAAGAACAACACCAACAGACCGCTTTTACTGACAGCGCTTGTAAATTTGTAAGAATTTTGCTGAGTCTTTAAAAGTTGAATTGCAATAACATTTGCTAGTTTCCCTGCCGACCCAAGTCTTGTTCCAGTTGGACAATATCTTACGGCGTCCGTTTTTACGGGATATCCCTTATCTCGTGGCTCAATACATATATCTGGACCAGGACTTGACGACAAGCCAGCATTCACAACTGGGTTCTTCTCCGATGCCAATGATGTCGACATTCTGAAGCACTTATGGGCGTACAAGAAGCAATGCGAGATCTTCCGTCGATTAAAAACGTACCGCGGTGAAGTAGAGATTCTTCATCCCAGATTTGCGCCGGGCTCCCGAGCTGCAGGGGGATATCTTGAACACGGTTTATCAGGGAATATAACCAATATCGACTATACTCCTGAAGATGACGAAATAATTAAGCAATGGATACGGGAGCAAGTAGGAACAACATGGCACTCTATGGGAACTTGCCGCTTAGGCTCTTGTAGAGGAGACGGTGTTGTAGATCAGAACTTGAGTGTGATTGGGGTTGAGGGACTCAAGGTTGCAGACCTCAGTATTCCCCCGCTGAATGTTGCTGCAAACACGATGAATACAGCAGTAGCAATAGGGGAAAAGGCAGCTGATATAATCGTCAAGGAATTGGGCCTATCTTAGAAAGAATGGCTATAATTATTGGGACTTAGATGCCGATGCTGAACATGGTGTGACTATTCACATGGCTACCTCATGACAGAGTCCTTTTAAAGATGACCCCTCTGACAATTCAAAAATTAATTTGATTGCTTCCTTGATTCGGGTTTCGATCGACTAAGAAGAGCGTTTGTTGTGAGATGCAAGATCCCAAAAAGACAGTACCAGCATTGTTATTATAATAAGTCCAATCACGGCCCGTGTTGCGGAGGAATTAATAGTTCCCGCATTTCGACCAAACCTTGCAGAGAATGACGAGGTCTTTCCATATGTCGACCAAGATTGACGACACCTATAGCCAATCATGAACATCTGAGTACGGTTCGCTAGATCAGATCGCACCTCCCATGAGTAGGCGCACGGATGATCATGCCGTTATTGCGCCCATCCCGTATTGAATACGGCGCAGAGAAGTGCACATGTGAGAGTTGCTTCACGAGGGAAACTTCATGAATCCTCTGAATATTGTCGTAACATGTGGCCAAGACCGAGGCTACAATGTCCTTCAGCTGGTATAGGCTCTTGAATTATTGTCATCAAATAGTTTCCAGTTCCATAGCGATTGTGCATCATCGTGGTCTTTTAAACAGACTAATAACCGGACAGGTAAGTAATATTATAATCTCGCTATTCTCAGTACATCAAGAAGTTTCGAGATGCATAGACTCCGTTTCATGGGCTGTAAGGTCTAAAGATATGCAAAACTTCATGTGTAATTTCAGGTAGTCAATGTCTCGTTGTTGAGATGCAATGACATAACATCTATTTCTTCACATTGCTGCAACTTGATCTGCAGACACTTCTGTTCGGGGACCAAGAATATTGATCAGTAATCATGTAAAGTAAGTCTGAAATGATTGTTTCCAGCACAGAGATCTCATGATGTATGCGTACGACTTTTCAGGATTGGCCAAAGAGTCGCAGGGTCCCTTTGGAATTGTATCCATGGAACGCTCAAGTCTTACATTTGTCTCGACATGGACATTGACATGGATTCAGACAGCACGACAAGTAAAATGATGATCTGCGAAAGCAGACTCCATGTATGTAAAGTCTTGATTCGAAATGCCTCGGCACACAAGGAAGTATGATCAGGGGTGTCAACCCTTGCAATTACACGTGGGCTATTGTCAAATAAAGATAAAATAGACACATGAGTAGCGCGAACCATTTCATTAACCAGAACGCACGGGAAGACAATCTCAAAATGCGACACGTCCTCCGATCGATCGTAGCATCATTGCTACTGCATGGAACATTTGCAATTGCTGCGCCAGACGAGTCTACCAAGCAAGCATGCAGGGATATTGCAACGGCCGTGCCAGGTCGCGTATCGTACCCCAATAGCATCGCATATCTCTCCGAGATCACCAAGTACTGGTCAACTGCGCTTCGGGACCTGAAGCCTGCGTGCGTTATACTTCCTAAATCAGTGGAGGAGGTCTCTGCCGCTATTAAAGTTCTCAGCAAGTATCCAGGAGTAAATTTTGCGGCCAAGAGCGGTGGTCACGATCCGAATCCTGGTCATGGAAGTGTTCAAGACGGCGTTTTGATTGCTCTAAGGGAGGTGAGCGGAACAACCTACGACAACGAGTCCAACTTGGCATACATCAAACCGGGAGGCGAGTGGAACGATGTCATTGGAGCACTGGACCCTCAAGGTGTTGCCGTCGTTGGAGGAAGATTAGGTATTTATGCGCACCATGTAGTTTGCTTTGTGAATGTTGTATTGTACTACCTTTACCATGTAGGCCTTGTTGGCGTTGGCGGATACCTACTTCAAGGTGGCATTTCATTCCTAAGTGCCCAGTACGGCCTTGCTGCTGATGTAGGTTTTGGACACTGTCATTTGCTAGATTCTCTCTAAGCTGAGCTACCAGAGCGTTGTTGGTTGGGAGACAGTATTGCCCAATGGCACGATTGCGAATATAGACGCAAGTCGACAAAAGGATTTAGCTGTTGCCATGAGAGGAAGCGGAAGCCAATTCGGTACGTTTCATTTAGAGAATCGTCCCGACCCTTAGGATTTTTCATGACCTCTCCATGCTGATAACATTAGGAATCGTTACGCGATTCACCATAGAAGCCCACCCTATAGGCAAAGTCTGGGGAGGGATGCGGATTTATGATGCTGCCAATGCAGACAAGATCTATGCAGCTCTTCACAACTTCATACCCAATGGTGCTGACGACCCTAAAGCTGCCATCATTCTTACCAATGTTGATGCTGTAGGTGGCATAAGAACAATACTCATCTTCTACTTCTACGACGGCACAACGCCACCTATCAACAGTCCTCTTGCGGAGCTTCTTGCAATTCCTTCGATATTGAGCACCACGAAGGCTCGCAGCTATGCCGATCTAGTAGGTATCTGTGAAAATCCAGCTTTTCAGAGGTACTGACGCAATGAAGCTTAAGACTAATGGTGAAGGGGCAGCACTGCTGAATTCAAGAATCTCCTTCCGAGTAAGTGTACATGACTTATTGTTTGTATGCGCGACACTGATAATTTGGGCATTTAAAAGACATCGACAATCCCGTACATCAAAAGTCGTCCCAGGATGTACACGGAGATTGCAAAGAAGTGGAAAGAAATTACAGCATCCTACCTCACCAACCCAATTCACCTGACATCCAAATGCTCTGTCGACTTTCAACCTTTCCCGGCAATCATTGGAAAAGAGAGTCAAAGGCGCGGCGGAAACGCCATGGGAATCTCTGAGGCTGACGGTGATCGTCTGCTTCTTGAATTCCAATGTTCGTGGGCGCTCGCAGCTGACGATCCGATCCTGTATGCAATGTCGAGGGATATCACAGCTTGGCTAGACGTAAAGGTTACAGAATGGCTCGCAGAAGACAACATGCAGAATCGGTATCTGCCTTTATTCATGAATGATGCAATGGGCGATCAAAATGTAACAGGGACATACAAGGAGTATGCAAAGTTCAAGAATTTGCAAGAAGATATAGATCCGCAAGGCCTCTTTCATGCGAGAGCGGGCGGTTACAAGTATTGAGCAGGCATTAATGAAATATCGTAGGCTAGACAGCACAATGACAAATGGCTGAAAGATCAAATTTCGACCGTAATCTAATTTCCTGATACCAAGCGCATAATCATCAGTTGCTAGCCTCGTCCCTAGTCTATTGATGGGCATACGCCGTGAAGTCGGAGCACACGTAAGAGACAACAGAGCCAACGCTGATATCTGCATGGTGCATCTCGTTGAAGATCTTGCAAAGGCGGCGCGTTCGAGATCATCGTTACTATCTTAACCGTGTCCCCTCTCAAGCTTGCTCAAATTCACTGTGTAATGATGCAAATGGTGCTGATTCCTACGAATAAACAGGTAATTGAAATTATACGAGACTTCGAAGAGAGCTTACAGGTTGACGAATCTACAACGAGCCCCAACCGCTTGCCCGAGCCCTCACAGTACCCATATCGTCCATATTCAGAATTCCAGTCTTCAATTTAATCAACACTCGCCAGGCAATTTCCCGTAGATTGGGAGGACCTTCAGGTGTATCCCAGAATCTGGAGATGAGGCCGCGAGCTTTTGCCTGCTCAATGTGCGGTAATGCCATATCTTTCATATAGGCATTGATTTTGGTGCCCTCTGGGTAAGTGTAGTTGAGCGGCGGGACGAACAATCGAGCGTTTGTCCATCGTGTTGATGCGAAATATGAATTGGATTGGTTAAATCCATAGATTGGTGGATCAACGTCGAGATCGTCGTTTAGCGTAAAGAGATTCTCGAGCTTCGCATCCCAGAAAATATCTCTGTGTGCCGAATCAAGGGCTAGAATTGACTCGAACGGTGCGTTCCCGGATGCGACAACAGTCAAAGGGCGTATTATCCGCTCTGTACCATTCCAGTAAGTTAGGAAATCGAGATCTCGCAAAGGCTGCAACTGTGCATGAAGCTCCGCAAAGGTTTCGGGTCCACTCGTTTTGACATCAACAAGTAACACAACCGTTTGATGCGGTGAACTTCTGAATATGCCTCTCCATTCCTCTTCATAAGTTCCTTTATTGCGCAATTGGATCATGCGTTGCAAGGGCGCGAGGTACATTGAACGTAGATTTGAATCACTTTTCAGGCCCTTTGAGGTGTGGCCAACCAGCAGATCTGAACCACGAAGGTGTATGTCGGCCTCAACAGAGATACAGCCAGAGCCCAGCGCTTCAAACAGAGGGATACCCCTCGAATAGTCGTTATGAGAGTGAACGGGTACTGGGATCGCGTCATGAATAAAGGCCTGTCGCTCATCGTCCCAGATCTCCGGGCTTTGGCGGTTGAGTTTCCAGAACACTACGTCAAATGGACCATTGGATACACGAGACAATCCATTGTTAATGTGCTGTATCCAGAAGTATTGGAAGATGCACCTGATTAGGGTCATTTTTAAAGTAACGAATATATTCTTGCGCGTCTCCTACTTACAGTACAATTGCAAGGAAAGCTATTGTTCGAAGCACCTGAGTTCCTACGCGTTCCCTGTGTAAAGGGACTGGAATTCTGCGAAAAACAGCGAGGTAGCTGTGCTTTGAGTTGTCTGCGAGCGTGTTGCGCTCAATATCGCCATTGTTGACCGTCTGATCATCCGAAGTGTCACTGCTGGATGAGGACTGCATTTCGAAATGGGCGACCCGAGAACTGGATATGTCATCGCGGAGCAGCAGGAAGAAGAGTAATGCTGCATAAATACTGAAATGCTGCAGCCTTCGGCTTCGGGTCAGCAGTAAGTACCTAGAGGTAGGGTAGATCGCCCGGTTGCCCTAGTGCCGGCTGTGCATGCCGATCAACGCATGAAAACTCCACTTCTGGGGTTTGTCGTACGAGATAAATCATCCATGTCTACCAAGTTCGGATCGGGGCCAACCATTTTCTCATTAGTAGCTGACAACAGGAACAAGATCAAACAAAACTACTTAAACAAAAGTCCTTTTTAACATCACATTGATAGATATTACCCTACTTCTAGGCTCCCTAGCAATTCTAAGCTCAACCTAAGTCCTAAAGCTAAACCTTTCCCTAAGTATTTTGTAAGAATCTTGGAGATGGTGCGCCGGGTCCAAAAACAGCTGTTGCAGTTTAGGGTGGAGTTGGCGTGCTAGAACCCTTCCGGCGGTTTGCAACCCTGACATTCATCATCGCAACCATCTTCGCCCTTGAACATAGTGATAAGTTCACAGTCATCGCTGCAATTTTGCTTCTGGCACTGGCACTGTTTATCGTCGCGGCCTCCAATACTTTAAAGGGTCAGTATTGAGAATCATCAAGAAAACTGTCATAGTTGGCATCGTAGATTTACTTACTATGGCTCACAGAGGAATGGCTCGGTTCCTGAGGTTGCGGATGGACTGGGCGGGCTAGTATTAGACGCAGAAGTCCCGATTGAGGATGAGATCGGAATGCTACTAGACATAGAAGTTTTGATGGAGGATGGGATCGGAGTGTTGGTGTTAGTAGTAGGAGTTTGGGATCCCGTGCTCGCTGATGAGCTTGATGCGCCAGTAGACGATGGATATTCCGACGTGGACGCGGACCACGAAGTGGGAGTAATACCCAAGCACTTTTCTATGTCTTCCATGGAAATGTCGGTTTTCTCCATGATTCCCTGGTAGCACTCTTGCTCCTCTTGGAATTCCTCAGAACCCTCAGGATGAACAAAGATCTCACCTGTAGCTGTTGGGCTAGCAGTAATCTGCGTAAGGGATGTTATAGCGCTGCCAGAGCAGGCAGTAATCGTAGTGCACTCAGTTGTAAAACTCTTTGTGACTGTGCCAGATATAAGTGCCGTTTCCTTGCAGCTTGGGATTGGTGTAGCGGAGCAGCTCTCTGACGACGTTGAGGAAGCCGACTCTTGGGCGGAAGAAGATGACTCATCAGGGTCTTCATTAGGGTCATCAGGGTCCTTAGTAGGCTCAGTATACCCTTTTAATCCAGGGAACTTGGTCAAGTCCATCCAGTCTGGCATGTTCCCCTTGATAACAGGAAACTCCATGTTGCAGGCAGCATCCATGACAGTATCGACAACCTTGTTTGCAACGTTTGCCACGATACCTAGTAGGCCGCCAGCTTTAGGCTTAGGAAGGGGATTGCACTTATCATCTGGAAGCTCGATCTTGACAAAAATGACTGCATTATTGTCATCATCATCGTCGTTCTTCTTCACCTTCTTAGTGGGAACGGCGCTCAAGTCGGTGACCTCGGGGATGAAAAGATCCGTTTCATAAACAATACCCTCCAGCCATGTTGGAGTTGGGCAGCTCTTCATATCAACGCAGAGTAGCAATCCAGCTTCTGGAGTGGTTGTGGGTGTTTGAGAAAAAAAGCCCGACGGCAGCGCAGTTGGAATATCGCTAGTAATAGGTCCGGTAGTAGGTCCGGTAGTGTAAGTTGTACTATCCGATGAAACTGCTGACGGGGCTTCCGACCAGGCTTTTGATGAGCTTCCTAGTGTAATTTCCGAGTAGTTGGTAGTAGCAGTCGGGCTTGACATTTCTGTGATGGCAGAAGAGCTCTCACTGGCAAACGGGCTTGAAGTGATTTTGGAAGCCTCTGAAGAGCTGTTACTGATAACCAGGGTCGAGGAAGTAACCAAAGTTGCCGAGGAGTCATCGTAGCTGGCTCGGGTTGAAGTAACATCCCACATGGTGGAAGAGCCATTGATAGCAGCCGTGCTTGCAGTGATATGCGAGACGCCGGAAGTACTGTTGCTAACAACCGAGCTGGGAGGGATATCTGAGATCGTGGGAATACTGTTGCTGGGAGTCGGAGTGCCCGTCCTGGTCTGCAAAGTCTCGTTGGCACGTGTTGTCTGTCCGACACTGCCGCTAGTGGTATGATTGGCATCGATTATCGTTGACACTCCTGCAGGCGGTACACCGAAGGGTCGTGTTTCAGAGAATGTATTTTCTGACGATAAAGTCTGGGTCGAGACATCGCTAGAATTTCTAATAGAACTCAAGCCAGAGGCCGAAGTTTGTTCAAACCCAGTGCCTGTCGACAAGAGTATAGATGATCTTCGGCTTGCTGTACCGGGACCTGTCGCGGTTCCATTACCACCGCTCCATGAGAACCCAGACGAAATCGGTACGCCCGGCGCAGCCAAAGAGGGAAAGCTGGAGCTCCTAAAACTTGTGACAAACTGGCGTACCTCAAGAACGTTGACAAATGGTCGCTTCATGTCCAGATCAACAAAAGGATCCATGTACCGCTTCGTCTTAGGCCTTTGCCACGCATTACCGACAGTAATTTGGCCAGATGCTCCCATCTCATAGTTGTCGAGCGGCTGCACACAACCTTCGTTATTGACCGTTGTCTGTCTTTCTTTCAATAACCAGGTACCCAAACCGAAAAATGCATAGGAGTCGGCATTCCTATAACCTCTCCGCTCTTTGCCTAACGGGTACACCCCTTCCCATTTGTAACCTTTGTCTTTGCCGACATCGTCAGTAGTCAATCGCCAGTATTTTTCACCTTTCTCGGGACCAGGGTCGGTTTCTGTTGCGCTGGGAATAACATGCGTCATCTAAATATTGATAGTCAGCAAAAGGCAAGCCTAGATATACGCATTGTAGGACTGAAGTACCTCGTGGAGAATGGTAGAATCCAACAAGTCATAGTAATCAATCTCCCACTTGCCCGTTTTTCCAAAAATTGTACAAACATCACTTAAAAGCTTTCGTTGGTCTAACCACTTCCGTTCCATTTCTCTGATCGTCTTACGGATTTTTTTCTTCTTCTAAGCAATGATTAGTCTTTAATCTGGGTAAAAAATCGGATTTGGACTCCTTACATCATTGAGATGGCAGAGGTAAAGAGTTTGATAGTTGTATGTTGTGTGTTTAGTAAAGCCCAAAAGGGTACCCTTAGCGCAGCCATCATAGGTCTTTTCGTCGACCCCGCCTTCGATCTCTCTTCCTTCCTTGTCATTTTTGTAACCTTGAACATAAGGATTAAGATGATCCAACGTGCAATAGACCAGCTGTCAAGAATCTTAGCTTCAGGACACTCCAAACGCAAATCGAGGTGAGAGGCTAAATTACGACTCACTATATCTGATGGAGTTAAGGAAGACACATCTTGCTGCAGCGGGATGTTGTCAGTCTTAAAGTTTTCCGCCATGTAATCATAGTTGTCTATGTTGTGTTAACACTTCCGCCTCGTTTTCGACTTCATAGACGTATACTTTTGATAATGTTCATCCTCCCGAATAATGTTGCGGGCAGTCCCTTAGATGTATCATCTTTCTGAAGGGGACCTCCATCACCAAATATCCTGGCAGCGAGGTTTGTAATCTCTTGGTCTGGGAAATCCCATTGCTCTGCATCTGAGTAGGGGCTGTGAGGACTCCCGATGGCGTCTCTAGCCCTATCAACCATCTCAAAGGCGGACTTGAACGCCTTGTCTACAAGCGTTTTGTGCGCTTAGTGCAATCTTAGTATTTGAACATTATAAAAATTGAAACAGTGTATATCACTTACGTGTGCATGTATCTGCATCATAGTAAACACGAGCCCGAACGTCCAGAATAAGGAAAAAGAGCGTAAGGACTGACAAATTCCACACAATCATCGTTAGGTATGTTAATGCTTGAATAGAGACACGTAGAGAAAAAGAGTACAGGTTAAGTACATCAAGGAAAGTACTGAAGGATGTAAAGTAGATTACATATAGAGCATAACGAATTATTTGTACCATTGCTAGTTGACCTTTAGCATATTCATGAGGCAAGTGATACTTGGAGGAAGAACTTCAGCATCAAGCCTTCGCCTCATTGGTACTATTCTTGAGTTCTTAGCCTACATCAGCAAGATAAGTCCGAAGGACGGTTTCCAAAATTTGCACATTATTCAGTGCCTCTGAGGCGAATAGTCCGAAATCATTGTCCTAGCCCCCACAAGAGGATGATACAGAATGACACTTGTGCTAGTCCTTCGGCAGCAAACTGGAGTGAGAAAAGGTGCAACCAAGTAGGATCTACGGGGGACTTCGACGTTTGAACTGGCTTATAGAACCGTAGAATATTATGTTAGGATGGAACGTTCAACTGAAATATATGGGATCGCTACTAAATACTGTTCATTCCTTCCTCTAAGCATTGCGTAGAGCGTTTAGCAGGATCATCTTTGACGCGGAGGTAGATCAAAATCCCACCCCAAACTACACGTAATAGCTTTAGCGCCAGGTAAAACAACATCAACATTGATATACTCAAATAGTATTGCTGGTCATCGCCATCAGCCCTGCTGTACTACAACCCTCGGCCAACGTAGGAAAAAGCCAGGTTTCTGAGCATACCATCAGACCAAATTTTCAACCATTTATGAAGATTATAGTACATTATACATATCTTATAGTGAGTAGATACATGTCAAGATTTTGAACATATGCGCTATTGTGGCATGAAAATCCGCTGTGAAGTGTGTGTAGAAGGCACCATTTTGGTGGTGCTATAATGGAGGGTTGGACCTCAGGTGTGCAGTTATTTCAACCGAGAGACGCCCGCGTCCCTCGTCCCTCGTCCCTCAACCCTATTGTTCCTCTTGTTCCTATTTGTTGCACGCTGCGCCCACGGAGATCTCTGCCTTCTCATTGCCTCGGTGGCGTGATCAGGACTTCAACGGCACAGTCGCTATATATTGCGGCGTAGATGCTACCCTTGGGATCTCTGCAGCCCCCAACTATTTTGCCGAACGATTGAACAGCCCCATTCCGCCTATCTCTCATGATTGGCAACTTCTGACGTATGGTAATCCGCCTTACGGGCGTATAAATACATTCATTTTCAAGATCCGAGCGTTGCTAACTTGATCAAAATTCGATCACAACTTTATCTGGCCACTACTATCTGGCAAGATCTTGCACATTTAACATAGACAGTCTACATCGATTCTTAAAGTCTTACAGAAGCCTATCCTTCCCTACCGCCAATTCAATACCTTGCGAAGCGTCCTGTTAAAGTTCGGAGCGTGGAACCTTCCGTAATAATCAGAGACCTTTAACTTACGTGAGTTTAAGACTACCTGAGCACTCGGATGTACGCGTGCCGCATCCATCGGGTCAACACCCCCTGCACTCAAACTTAGACTCGCCGACGTATTAATAGAGAGCCATTTACCTCGCCTTCTGCCTATCGTCGTATTTCCTGGCGATCTCGACTACCTCCCGTACAATTCTCACCAAAAGATACCTACATACTCGACGTCGACCTGACACTAGCGAAAGATTTCTTTTACATTAGTGGGGAAATGTTGTTATTGGCCATTGCCTGATTGATCGATAATTACTTCTGCTGTTTCGATGGGGAAAAGCTGTCAGCACTCACAATCAGCCTCACGCGCACACGAACCCCACCCTTGACACTAGTCCTTTGGCCCAAAAACACTCTTCCTAGGAAGAAAAGGCCTTGGTTGCACTTCGCGGAAGGCATACCATAGACGAAACTCAGTACGAACCAACAATCTGGCCGTAAACTTCGTACCCGGACTCCAAAATGGACAGTATATACTCTCTGTTCCGCCTCCCCCCACACGGAGAAGCCTTTCTATCGATATTGACCCCGAGAGGAAGATATAACCGAGACATCTATCGCCGCAAGAAAGCATATTACCATCACCAGCGACAACCTAAGTCTCTGCCAGAACAGCGACCCCGCGCGCTTAGTATAGATATTGAAGTGCAATCACAGCCGAACGCCAACTTAGTTTCCCATAGTAGACTCCTACGCTTGCCAACCGAGATTCGCCTTCTGATATGGGAATACGCAGTTGGTGGGGACATCATTGCGTTGTATATGGATGATGGCAAACTTAGTCATACTCTCGTGGACGCTTCGAATTCGGTACAGCCAGCAGACGTAGATAGAGGCATTACTGCAGAAACGATTCGAGATGCCGTAGCTTCCAAAAAATCTTCGCAGACCCCTACCTCAGATTTCACAGCATCTCCTCCCCAGAAGAAATCGAATGCGTTGGCCTTGTTACAATGTTGTCGATCGATGTAAGTCATCCTCCGCCATTGCACACAAAAACTAAATGATAAGAGAAGGGATATCAGCAGGTTCTTTTATATACTGACAAATGCTGCAAAGATACTCCGAGGCGATTGCTATGTTATACTCCCACAACACATTCCTCTTCATCCAAAATGCTACGTTTATTGCCTTACGAGATACTATCCTACCAGAACGCTTGAAAGCGCTTCGCTTCGTGCACCTCCATTGGCAGCGCCAGCTCTTCTGCAACAGCATAAGCTCAAGATCTTACCCCTCTGTATCCTGGAACTCGGATCCCTCCGACCTTCTATTTGAGAAGAGCATATGGGATATAGGTCAACTCCCGAATCTCGTCCATGTGTCCATCTTTGTGCAAGGGGGTTCAAGGTCGAATGATAAGGCATGGTGGCAGGTTGAGTTGAAAGATTCATGCAAATATATTATAAAGAACTGTTCGGAGTCGTTAAAGGGGCTTGTGTTGAGGCCTCCTTGGGCATTCGGCCGTATTGAGGAATACTTTGTTAGAGAGGTAAACGCCTCCCAATTTCATGTAGCCAGGCCAGTAGCAGACGGGGACCGGGGGAGGGAGGAGTTTCCAGATGCGGGTATAGACATCGATGTCGGGTGGCGACAGGGTGTGTTTTCCTACCTGCTATCTCGTAGTGAGAAGACAGACAGTAGCAATTCTACTGTAGATCTTGGAACAGTAGGATATACTGTATGGACCCCAATACCTTCAAGACTAAGGTAGTGTTATCGATCATCCCTATGGCAAGCAGATCTATGGAATCACAGCAAGCGCTTTATCACAAAGTGACCAACAGACTACGCACAATATTGGCTCCGGTCGAATGGCAATGGATTCCCAATTAACAAATCTTGGTATGGACTCGATGTTGGATGCTGAGGTATGCGCTGTGTTGATCAGAAATCTCAGGTAGAATGTTCCCCTGGCGGTGTTGCTACAAGAAAGCGTAATTGTGAAAACATTCGGCTTATTTATAGCTATTCAGATGATAGAACTTAGGAAATAGACTGTTACAGCCTGTGTTAGTTCAGGCAACGAAGCTCCCTATTGGTTCGCATTAAACAAGGTTTGATCATGAATTTGTCCTTGATCTACTATCGTCTGGATACAAGTGCCCGAACTCTATTTAGTATTGTCTAATACGGCCTGAAACGTAGATTTGATACTCTCTGTCCATGACTCCGGCCCATGTCTTGGAACCCAGCCAAGGCTACGACCCAGGTCAGCTGTTGATCTGCTCCAGCTTGCGAAACCCAATTGACCAGCTTGAACCTTTGCAGCGGTTGGAGTACTGCCTGGGCTAGAAACCCATGCGTCGGATGATAGCTCTTCTACCTCATTCGTCTCAAGCGCGCCCAATTCTTGTCCCGCTTGCGCCAACCCTTCTGACAGTTTCCTCCAATTGAAGTAGCCATTCTCGCTGAAGTAGATTCCTTTCTTACCAAAGGGAATATCCCCTTGACTCAAAACACGGCTTAATATGATTTCATACAGTTGTGTCAAGTCATCGATATGAACGTAATCCCAGTATCCACTTCCAGAGCCATGGACCGGAACTCGACCTCGACGCAGTCCTCTTTGCACGATTCCTGGGGGCTGAATCGTCAATCGATTGAACAACCCAGATCCTGTGCCATAAATAGTAGGTGACATTATGATGTAGGTCTTGACATTCACGGATTCTCCGGTATCGACGACGGTGACATCTGTAGTTCGTTGAGCGTAGGGTTCCTTGCCTTCCAATTGAACCAGATAGTCGTAAATACTCTCCGTATCATGCAAGACGACACGCTCTTCCGGAGTCTCTGGAACCGGATACAATCCAATTGAGGATGTGCCGGATGTCTGATTCGTCATATCAATATTCATATCAATGTAGGCACTACTGTAAACATACATGGAGGTATACAGTTTGAATTCCTGTTTGTTTTTGGCGATCGCTCAGTCCCTCAATAAGCGCCCGCGCAGCTTCTGCGTTGAAAGCGTTGGCAGAATTAAGGACGATATCATACTCGGAAGCCTGTTTGCGCAAGAAATCTGTGTCTTCCAGACCGGAAAATAGTACAGGTGTGACATTTTTTTCTTTAAGTCGTGCTGCTTGCTTCTCGTCTCGGATCAGTGCGGAGAAGGAGTACAACTTGATGTTGGCATCAGTAGATTGCAAGAAGCGAGTAAGGATTGATCCGCCGCTATGCGTTGAATTAGCATGTGTCACTATGGATGACTTTGTGCATACTGACATATATCCCGATGAACCAAGGACTAGAATACGACGAGTTGACATTGTTGATGAATTGAATTGCTCAAGAGATAGACGTACTGGAGGGTTGATGTATTCGAGGATTGCTGTAGTTCACGTCACTGGGGCATCTGTCATTTATACATAGGACCAGCTTCTTGTATTCAATTATTGATGCATCGAGCTAGCTGCAAGGCCGTTTCATGCGCTATGATGCCCGAAGTTGGCAAATCTGGTGTTGCTCTACTCGCACTAAAGAGCCCTGTATTGGTAAGCGACCGTCCATTTCCAGGCACTAAATTTCCAGGGCCACCAATGTTGGAACACCCAGCGTGCTAGCTAACAAGAAGAGAACAGAAATGTTGGGAATTACGAATGCTGGCTTGGTCTACCGGGTTTTATTTTATTTCCATATCGGATTTGTGATCATTGCGCGCACCGGCGTTCCCGAAGAATATTTTACGGCTTCAGAGTACTTGATTGACATAATGCAACCTCGTATTCTCACCATTCTAACCACTGTCGACCTGCCTGTAGCGAATTGTAAGCAAGTTACATCGCTCATGAACGTGATCTGCGATGTCTATCATAAAGAACGCACAAGTAAAGTTCCGGTCCGGTAACAATCGTCGCGAATCGTCGAAATGCCATTGGCAACAATTGAAACGCTGTGCAAGTTTCGTGAGGGCTGATTTATAATTACCATGAAGAATTCTAGCGACAGACTCCTGACGACCGCCGGTTCGGTTAAGCTTCCCAAGCAAGATTTTTGATTGTTTCGATATCTGAAGAGGCAATGAAAACGCGATAACAACCGGGTTTCTAGTTGAGATGGACTAGACTGTTCCTAGTTCACGAAGAACTTGAATTGGCTCATGTTGCTTACATTGTCCTGTCCATTGACAATTCGAAAGAAGATCAAACCAAAATGCTACAGCGCATAGTATGTTCTTGAACGTTCAAAATGAGTGATATCGGTTCCGATGCTTGTACAAGCTGAGGATAGCAGAATTGCTACAGTATATCTGCAACATATCATGAAGATCTAGCACCAATTGATCGGCAAAAGGGATATCAGTAGTTTCCATTGATATCTGCTCTCGTGTAGTACTAACGCTATGTCTCGATGGCAAGCACCTTTTGTCCGGAGATACCCAGCTACAAGCAAATTGTCAGCGTCCAGTCACTGAAACGCACTTTATCTGAGTCCGGCTTTGGAGTATTTCAACTACATAATAGGTCAGAGGAACGGCCGATTTACCCGCAATCCATTCCATAGAGAGCATTTAAAACGAAATCTTTTGATGATAAGCCCAGGTCTAACGCAAGTACGTCCATGGGTGCGAAAATCTACACGTGCGCGAAAATCAGCTCCGAGACACTTGGTTCAGACTGAGTGAAGTCCTTTTCATTATTAAGATACGCTATAACAACATTGGAATACAATCAATTGACCCAGAGTTGGTTCGAACTCACGCATATTACAAATCAACCATGCTTTTGGTGTTTCGACGCAGACTTTTCATATGGCCCGGGTTTCGTTTTAAAATGGCCCTGCACGAGTTTCCGTTTTCGCGCCCATGTGTCCAGACTATCCCAGTCGACACATTTTGTGGAGCCTTGTGCCATTAACTCGATGTTGGGAAATTCATGTGAGTCTGCTACCCATTCTCCAAGATAGAAAGAAGGATACGCATGACACATGATACTTTGTCGAAATACCTCCAGGCAGTGGTCTACATAGGTTAAACTCATTCTGGAATTTGGATATACAACACTTACCTGAATGGTGTTGTTTCCAAAGAAACGACTCTCGTTCCTCCTCAGACATTCGGGGACCATAATAGTCCCAATGAATCAGGCGCCTAATTATATTGAGACAATGCAATTGGTGATATGCTCCTATAACGCCGACGTAGTCACCATCATTGACACGAACTTTGTGAGTAAGGTTCGTATCAAGGCTGCGCACCTCCTCTGGAGATATACGTATATTCTTGGCTGGATAGGATTAGGATCGCAGAAGAATAATCGTGCTACGGTTTCCTACCTTCGAGTAGATCTTCCCATAGGTCATCAAGTTCATCGGAAGGAGGCGCGTTAAAACCCGAGCCATAATGGCCCATGCTCCACTCTGGGCGGTCTTTGAACTGAATCTTGTAATCAAGAAAATCTGCCATTTTCTGGGCTACGGGATTATAGTCAACAAATGCGTGGATGGAAATTGTATTTTGGGAAGGTCAAACGTACGCTCTTGATGATGGTTGCAAGTTTTACTCCGTTGAACTCGGGCTACTAAAGTAGCCGTAACGTCGATCGTCAATAAGATAGCAATGTCAACGAGAACAATAAACTGTGCAATCTTCAAGAAATTCCCTCGTAGCCAAGTCGATTTATTGCGATGCTGTGGTAGTGCTTCAAATTCAGAATGGCCATCTCCGCTGGCGTCTTCGCAATGTTGCCTGTCTGAGTGGTCAAGGGCGTGATAGCTCCCAGCCCCTTTGTCGTTGCCAAAATCCATTTCGCAAGTATATCAATGTCGATACTTTCGAAGAAGACTGAATAGAAAAATGTCTCAAGGTACTGGGACTGGTAATAATGCACTTTCTTGGGTTGGAACACAACCAAAGAAATTGAATGTTTGATCGTATTGCGACGACTATCCTGCTTGTGTTTCAAGAGGCAAGTGCAGTAACTGTCGTTGATATGTATTGCCCTTGTCATAGGAACCTGCCGCTAGTTGTTCACGCCCGCATAAAGAATGCGGAGAAATGTCGCGATGTATATTTCCCGCTGTCAATCGATAATGCAAGTTAGCGCACATGTCATTTTATCATCCCCCCGTTGGCGGATATTGGCGAATCACGGTTGCTGATCTTGTGTAGATATCGCCAAAACGGCCGGAAAGGAGCAAGACAGGCACCACAAGCTAGATTCTGCAATTGATAAAAGCGGCTACTGATAAGGTGCCTGTACATCTTTACGTAGAAGGCTTCTTGAGCGATGCACGTATTGGTCAATGAGCACCTTGCAAGCTTTTTCGGTGAACGACAACTTGTATGCTTGACATTCTATCGTAGGCAACTTCCAGATCCAGGATGATCTTCACGCGAGACCTGCCGATACGGCCTCGGCAGAGCTCGGCGCAATATTGCACACTGATCAACACATCGGTTTCTGTTTACAGCATAGTACATGAATTACACCACTCAAAGGTAAGTCCATATTACAGTAGATATCTTATACAAGGTATGTATATCAACTCGACATCCGGTTCTTCAAAGGCGGCATTCCACTTCAAACTCGTTACTACATATTTCTATAAGCGAAAACCATCAATATGCTGCCTTCTACCTTGATAATTGCGACCCTGGGCGCTTTAGTACTAGGAGCTCCCACTCCACAAGGTCAGTACTTGTTTTCACTCAACATCTACAACTGTATACTAAATTATACAGGAGCCAGTTCTTTTGACGTGATTCCGAGGTCTCCATCTTCCAATCAGGTTGACTTCGCTAAGCGAATGATCATTGTTGCTGCAGAGGTTGATCAGACCGAAGAGTTCGATGAGGACGAGGACAGTGAATAAAAGCACTTCCTGGGTTCTCTACCTCTAGTAACTATATTCGGTACCGCGATATTGACCTTCGGTCAAGACACATCGACATATATACGGCATGTGAAAGTAGAGGCCTCGGGAAGGTCACCGGTCGGTCCAAGGACGAAAACCATGGATTGCTTGAATGTTACAAATTCTATCATGTCCGATTCGATAGCCTCTTATCCCTTCATAAAAACAAGAAACGAGGACTTCTTTTGGGGCTATTTAATGTATGGGTTCCAATTCATCTTGGCGCGAATTACGGTGTTAGGCTCGCTACTTTCGTTTCTGTATAGCGAGCTGATGGCCGCTTAGCTTTTCAAACTTAATCAAATTGCAATTCTCGGTCCATCTCCCTATTTGAAGTCCAAGTAACCACTCTGAAATTATGCCTTTTGGCGAAATTGTGTCGTGAAAGCGTTGAGGGCGCTTGCTGCGTGGACGTAATTTCTTTCTTGAATCCTGAATCTAGAGACACGAGCACTACTGGCGTCTGACATTGTCTAACTTAACTATACAATTACGAATCTGCGCGCTTGTTGTATATTGATACCACCGATACAATAAGTACACTACTTTCTTGAGAAGCATCTAATGCAACTTTTATTTACGTTGCTTACTAGTATTCATAACATCTTCAGATAGGGTCTACCGCCGCTTTTGATCAGTGTGTCAGCATGTTCAAGCCAATATCTGTTGTTCTCGGGTACGTCGTAGTCAGAGCACAGTCTAGTAGCGATTGCCTCGTAGGCAGGACGCGAAATGGATGAGCGCATATACCGTTCCTCTGCTTCTCCTCATCTCCGAGTCATATTGAGAAGACTTGGAGGGCCGTCGTATAACAAGAACAGCCCCTGCATCAGCATATTCTCTCGCGCCGATCATTCTTCAATATTGCCCACCATTTGGAATACATATAGCGTCGATTAGATTAATACCTCAAGAATTGACCGAGTGCGACCAATCATTCCGAATTGCAATTCGCTGGAAACACGCTCTAAGAGTCCATCGTGATATATTACAGATAAGGAGTACGATTTCGATTGCATTTCGCTATTCTACAATGTTAGGCCATATTTTCTATCGCGCGCGATCGATGACTACATGATTCTACAACGTGAAGCTACTCTCTACCATTACTAGATCATGGCCAGTGGGGGCATAATGAACCCATGAACATCGATCCCGAGGAACTAAAACGTTCATGGATGAGCGGGCATTAAAGGCCCTGCATTCTGGGGCGCACATGCAATTCTCACGAATCGTAGAATTATTCGAAGACCTGTCCCCAACTACTGGGTCTCGGTACTCTTGCTCGTGCCTTTGAATCTGCTATATCCTCGAGTGCAATAACTGATGCTGGGTTCATGTCGTCCCTGGTCGGATCCATAAACATAAAGAAATCGAGAAGCAAATTGCCTATTGTCAAGGTTTGATTATCTTTCTCCGGTTAATAGATCCATCTCTTAGCCATAAAGAATCGTCAATGACCATCGCGATGACGAAAGAATGGAGTTACTACTAGGCCATCCTCTCCGCTAGTGGAGTCCAGAATTCAATCTTGTTAATCATTGAGATATCATCGTTTCGCATGATTCGTACCATAGACTTAAGGATCTTCCTTAATCCATGTTGTGCTGCTTGTGCTCAATACGAGATAATTCATTGAGGCCGCTCTGCCTTATCCCTGATTGGACAATCAAGACATCGCTCTAACCCCTTCCCGTGGAGCCAACGGGTTGATTGTCGATCGCAGCCAGTACTTGTTCCAAGTTTGTTTAGCAATCGCTTGGAAACGACCTTTCGGAAACCGAATGGCATGGCGTTATGCACACCTGCAGTCAGTCTGCCGTTCGCGATTGTAAAGTCCAACATGATGCATTCAGGAGACATTTGTGCAGCTGGTACTTAAAACAAGTTCGTCGCAGTATTGAGAGATTCGTAAACTTGCATTAGAGACAACCTAATTGGCGCCTAGAACCTATGTACCTCACATCTCAATATTGACAGCCTTAACCATGAAAATCATTCCAATCGAAGGCCTCAACGTAAGTGTTTATACTTGTTTGAAATATGGCAAGGTTGCTAACAGGATATAGGCCATTGCCTGGTGTATGACCTCGCTTGGCATGATTCTCACAATAGGACGATTTTGGATCCACTGGCGCAAGACCCGCCGCATTGGTTGGGACGACTATTTCAATGGAGTGGCCTTGATATTTCTACTCGCGTACATCACGACTTACCAAATCTACGTACCGATAGATTATCAGGCACAACTTTACGCACTCGGCCTGAGCAACGAACCGCCCGGACCTCGCGATGTTATGCTAACTATGAAATTGAACATGGCCAACATTGCGCTCTTCTTTTGTGTCATTTACTCCGTAAAGGCCAGTTTTCTTGCCATGTACTGGAGGATTTTCGAGATATCGAAAAGGTTCCGTGTTGCATGGTCATTATTGACTGCCTACACCGCCCTGTGCTTTCTTGTTTCTTTTACGTCGATATTCTGGAAGTGTGGTACGCCAACAAACTTCCTTGAGCCAGGCAAGCTGAATTCTCCACAACCACCGTACTATTTTACTAATCATTATCAGAGGCCTGTGCGGAAAGACCAAGGTCGATCATTGTGCATCTTCAGACGATGTGGTGCAGCCTGAATGTCGTTGGCGACATCATGCGTATGTGATAGTTATCCTACCTTGAACGGTGAAATTTGACCCCTCGCAGTTATGATAATACCGGTCGCAATGTTGAAGCCGATGCTTATGCCCCTATCACAAAAGATTGGTGTAGCATTCGTCTTTAGCCTCGTTTTCATTATCATCGCGTTCGATATACTGCGCACAGTCTACACTTTGCGCATGTCGCCTAAGTTTCAGGATGAGAATGCAGTTTGGGCTTTGATGGAACCTACGATAGCCGTCATAGTATGTGCATTACCATGCTTTGGCAGCAGCTTGGCCTGGATCACACCTGCAGTGTTCAATGCCTTGATTAGCTCAGTGTCGAATCGCTTCTCTAGTTCCTCGAAACGAAGTTCGAATTCTTCGGGCAGTGTTTACTCAAAGGACTCAGATGGGACTGGGAAAGATTCATGGCTTATAAATGAACGTACAGGGAGCGTTTAGACGGAGTGTATAATCAACATATTGTTCGTCATTATATATTTCTAAACTTGTTCAGCATCTTTCCGATACGGGTACGACTCTTAACAATATGATGTGCTGCCGTCAATTAGAGAGCTGATGCCTGAAAATATGATGTTGTTTTGAGTTAGTCTGTTGGAGGCCCTTTTATTCGTCTACTCGTGTTTGAATCTCAATAAATCTCTAGCTGGGAAGAATGATACGGATTTTCATCAACGTTCCCTTATTCTAAAGAGTGTGCTGCTGGGACTAGGAGGCTGAAGATAACTCGTAGTCGCCTTTCTGTGGGTTTGCGATTTCAAGATCTGTAGGAAATGGAGCAGCCTGCTCATTTGGATGTCCGCCCTCACCATCTCTCTGGATACTCGTTCAAGAATTTTATTATTCTGAGAGAAATTGGTTTATAACCCGAATTGTTTTCTATACCTAGCGTGTCTCGATCTTTTCGCCCTTTAATACTACACGAATACGATTTCTAACAGAATATATGGCTCCCTCATGGTGTGTTCTACTCAGTTATGAAAGGCGGAAGATAGCAGACGGCGGCAAGGCAATCGCAGTCGCGTAAGGAAAAATGAAGAGTAATGATGTGATCTTCTTGACAAGGCTAATCAAGGTGCAAAGAATTCATATTCAATCCAAGAATCGGGATCTAGATAAAAGTTTCCGTCGGATTGAGAATCGTTAGTGGCGTATCAGTGAAAGCCACTCCAGAACATGACAAGATATACAAAGGCTTTAAATACAAAGCCTTCCCTCAAGCTTGAATTGGCCGATCGAATCTGATAGTCGCCCTTTCTTAATGGTACTTATTTTTTGCAAAGGTCCTCACTTCGAAAAGCTTCCAGAATGCTTCTCTCGAGCGCGAGTAGACATGCAATGAGAGGTTCCAATTAGGGACTATGGCCAGCTCCATTTAACCAAGAGACCAGTCTAGACTATTAAACATTAGTTCTGAGACTTATATGGCCACCGGGTCGTTCGTAGACATGTTTTCTGTATTCATAATAAGAACCAACTTTCAATCTGTAGTATTCTCAGCAAAACGTACTTAGTTCCTTTGGAACTGGCCACGCCCGAATTTTCTCAAACTTTGTGATTATTGCTCGCAACGCTTGTAGCTCCCACTCATCCGTGAAGAAGTGGCCATAGTGAAGGATACCCATGGCGGCATTGACAAGGGCGGGAGGACACTGAGGTCGGGAACGGGCCATGCCACAAAGATCAAGAACCAGCTTTCGAACTTTTGACTCAACTTGACGATGCGCGCCCCGCGCTACCCCTTCCGATCTGGGCAAAAGAGGTCAGCGTACTCTCAACACCTACAATGTTGCTAGTGTCAAGCCTACTTTAGATTGGGGTCCTCGGCTGTCAGGACCATCTTTGAAATGATTACATGCTGAATCCCAGTGATTGCCAAATCGGAACCAAGCCAGACAATTGGAAAGACTTCACCTCTTGACTTGTTGGGTGGTTCCCAGAGGATTGGGAGAAATTGGGGCAGAGTTTGGATGATCGATTCGAGTAGCTGTTCCTGCTCTTTCAATCGGTCTAAAAGCTTCTATCAACAATTATTCACTTCCGAAATCTTGAAATACCAACTTACACCACTCGTTCTCCGATCCGTCATCGAATAACCATTTGGCTACCTGAGCTGCATGCATGATTGTCTTGTCTATAGCCTCGGCATCGTTCCAATGTTCTTGCGATAGAAGCATCTGCGGCGAGCGCCTGCCCATGAAGGCTGAGTAAACTTCCTGTCTGAGCGATATCCAATACACTACGTGAATTAATCCTTGGCCATTGGGGTTGTGTACAATGTGGGAGCTTCGTAAAACAGTGTTTATGATATCTAAAAAGTTTACTCCTCCGGTCGAAGAGCCTTCTGGCAATGCCTCGTCAATATTAATTGATTCAACATCCTCTATCTCCTCAAATTGACGTAGAATTATAGCTGTAGCGATGATCAAATCTCTCTGATCATCATCCTGAATTTCGTGGAATGACCTGAGTGCCGGTAGACATTTCAACATATACTCAACAGCAACATGGGGTGTGAGATTGGTCAGGATTTGACCTTGATAGCAAATACCTCCGGGCGTTCTATGTTGAGGCAATCGATGAAGATGTCGTGCAGATGTTGCGAATATGGCATTGCACAGCGGCTGGAAATACCTGGCACGTTCCGGAATGTAGTACTGGAAATGTTTCCGTACATCACATGTATCAAACTGTCCATCTTAGATTCCCAGTCTCTCTCAAAGGCATGACAAATAACGCACCCAAGGTGATATTTCTTCAATGAAATATCTCATAAGACATGCTTCAGTTTGGTCAAACATACGTAGTTCGAACCCAATTGGCGGAGTAACATGACTTCGACTTTCTGTTGGCACTGTACATTCTTCTTGATGTGCATTGCGTCCATCATTTGAGGTACTGCAATCGATGAGCATAAGGGATCGGCTTTTGATCGTGCACGGTCTCTTCATACGTACACGGCGTGGTGTGAAGAGTTCGATGTTTGTCCCGAGTCAGGGTATGTCGTGCTCAACGGCAAGCTCTCTGGTGAATTCGTGTGTGGCGAGTTGGTCGAGTTTTGATGGAGGGCCGTGACGGGCGGAACAGTATTGCATAGTTCAACGTGGGGAACTGAAAGAGGAGGGTGCTGGTCATTGTTTTCTTGTAAGTCCACTATACAGAAGGCCTCGCTAGGACCATGAACCTGGACTATTAACAGTTTGCCGTCAGAAATCTGCCCCTCTTGCATCCCATTGGATCATTGCAAATTCGCGGGCCCTTACATCGGACTGGATTACTGTTGACCCATCTCTCATTGCCAGTGAAGAGAGCATCATATTTGGCGGACGAACCTGGTCGAAATGGGGTGGGCCGTATATTACGAGTGCACCGAATGTCTTTCAGACGGCAACGTTGGCATATGGGGCGCTCTTCGTCGCCTATGGTTGGAGCGCAAAGTATGGATTAGCATTACAGCAAACAGGAAGGACATCGTAGCATCGAAAAGGTTGGTGCAATCTTTCACGAAGCACACGTACATCGCACATGCTTTTCTAGGTATTCCTATTAGCTCTCAAGAGCGAGCGATGGAAGGGCTACCTACCCCTGCACTGGTTGCAAGGATTTCTCACAGGCGGCATTGACCTATTTGGCTTGCGGATGAAAACTGGCATGCACGAGTTACTCAGTCGACTTTCCAAAGCATGCGTCTCTAGTGGAGGTATGCAATGATTCAAGCATACAGGTTTTCAAAATAGTAATAATAATGATGACAATTGAAAGATGGCCAGTGTGGGGTAGGAGTCGGCGGATGAGGGGGCATCCCAAGACCCCGAAAGGTCGCATCACTCCGGCGGGACTTACTCTTTTGGGATGGGACCTATTCTTCCTTAGGTACTCACCACTAATACTAAACAGGTACTACCTACCTAGGTAGTTAACGATACGTACATGTGCGCTGGTATGAATTACCGTGTCTGTTCGTTACCAACAATAATGCATTATCGTTATTTTTATTCTCCATGGCGATGCTTTGCTCAAGATGAACCCTGTGATATTATACATCCTGATTGGGATATCCGCTAATCGCTTTGCCATTCTCCATCCATAGGTAGGTAGGAGGTAATCAGGCCCCCTAGCGAGCCTTGCTTGGGTGCTTGGTTGCTTGGTATTATTGTACTCAGATCTCGCACCAGCACAGCCTCACCAACGGTCATCGAAGAACTACAACACCTGCAGGTATTTCGGTCAGGACGAATTTCGCAGGATATCCCATTCCCTATGAGATATTTATCGACAAACACAAGATCGCGACGCTTTAGACCAGATACTCATTGCAAGTTTATCCTTCACTCTTGTCTATGCGGGCCGGAGGCATCATCGTCGCGACTCCTGCCACATTGGCTAGCGCCGCCACTCTTGCCGCGATATGCAGATATGGCCTCTTCTCTGCCCAAAATGAGATGATGTCTGAAGTGTTATGCTGGTTGATGCTTTCTTTCGGATGCTGTATCATACAAGGCGGCTTCACAGCTTCCATGCGCCAAGCGGTGAAATCATCTTATGGACACCGACCACTATGGTTAGCAGCATTTGGAATTGCTCTTGTCAACATCTTTGAGGAACAACACGGGATCCTCGAGCTCATGGTAATAGTTTGTTTCATATCTGAGAGTTCTGTGTTCTCTGACATGCGACTAGCCATTGTTGGGCGCCGCCCTTCTTGCCGCAAAATCCAACCCCGATGTCAAGTTCGGAGGCACACTATTGAGCACATTGTGCGCCCATTCACCACAGCTATTATTCCCAACATTTATATCTGTCCTTGCCACCATCGTTTTATCTAGGGAAGACCCTTACTATGCTATATCTTCGGGTATTGTGGTATTTCCCTTGATAGCGATTTGTTTTTTCTCTATCCGCGGCAGTAGCTCTGCAGGTCCCCTACCTTTTGATGACATTCACGAACTTATGGGTCGTTTGTCACTGCGCGTATCAATGATACTGATTATTTTTATCTTCGGTCATATCCTGATCGCTGGTCCTTTCATCTATCAGACTATACCTGTCCTAGGCCTGGCATTGGCCAAAGCTGGATTTTGGTACTTCGTTGCACGCACAGTAAGACCAAATTTTCTTTCATTCCAAACGTCAGTGGACTAAATCATATCAGATTCACTATGCTTCCTGGTCATTTGCACCCTATGTCCAGGCATTTGGCGTACTTGCAACGCGCAACCCCTTCGTGCAGACTTCCGATTCGCAAGCGGTTTTATACGTCATCTCTTCACTTGCGGTCCTGGTTCAAGTAGTTCTAATGGTGCCAGCGAGGACCAAGGCAAAGCTTGCTATTTCGGCCTTTGCACTCCTGCCACTCTGGTCGTACACGACTAACATGGCAGCAATAAAAGCCCAACAATTATCAGCCCGCTCTAGCTTCGTTTCATCACGTCAACATCCCATTTCCGCTTTGGTCGAAACATCAGAAAGGCAATTCGAGGATCTAATTAGGCGCCAATCCAGTAACTTCACCAGTGCATACAATAATTATCGATCGAAATATCACGCAGATCCACCCCCTGGCTTTGAAGAATGGTATGAGTATGCCATCGCACAAAATTCCTCTATCATCGATGACTTTGATACAATCCACAAGTCCATCTCGCCCTTTCTCACATTGAGTGGCGAAGAATTTGTAAAGATGATGGATTCCGCGTTTGTTGTCGAGGGCAGCGAGCTTTGGCTCTGTCGTTATTCCGGTGCGAAAAGACAGACAACTTGCCAGCATCCCACGCGAACGAATGACAGACACATCACTTTATCGTTCGATAGGTTGCTCCACGGTATTGGAAGCAAACTCACTGATATAAAATTCCTTGTTAATCATCTTGATGAACCAAGGGTTCTCATGCCTCCGTTCCAAGGTGAAGGAGACAAGGCAGCGATGCAGCGCCAATTGCGAATGGTTCACCTATCCCATCAACCAACGTATGACGCGATCACGCAATTCTGTTCCGCTCAGCATTTGTCTGAGCCTGTGCAGTCGGGCGAGAAAGAGCAAACCTATGAATTACCCTTTATTCAAAATTTTAGCTCGTCTATCGATCTGTGTCTTCACGATGAGTATCGCAAACAACATGGCCTCCTTATGGGGCCTGTTTCCATGCGCTTAATGCAAGGATGGGCTCCAATATTATCAACCGGGACCCTTTCGACAATGGGCGACATCCTCTTCCCTAGTCCAGCTTACATCGAAGATGAATTCCAGTACGATAGCCTGCACGATCCAGAGTGGGACCAGAAAAAGGGCAGCCTGTACTGGGCAGGTTCTACGACGGGAGGATTTGCGTCAAGCAATGATTGGATGAATTACCACCGCCAGAGGTTTGTCGCTCTGGGCCAAGGGCTCGAGCCTAGACGATATTCGTACCTTGTCGAAAGATATGGCCAGGTCGCCCAAGAAAAGAGTTCGTTCCTCAATGCCAGACTGTTTGAGGTGGCCTTCACCAGAATCCTCCACTGTGAAACCATCTTCTGTAGATCGCAAAGATTCTACTTCAGGACGAAGAGTTGGGCAGACCGCAACAAAGCCTTCCAATTCAAACTTGCATTTGACGCGGACGGAAACGGTATCAGTGGCAGGTTCCATCAACTTCTAGCATCAAATTCCGCGCCTTTAAAACAAACGTTACTGAGGGAATGGCACGATGATCGCCTAATACCTTGGGTGCATTATGTGCCTGTAAGTCAAGGCTTAGCCGAGCTACCGGAGATTGTTTCCCATTTAACCTTGCATGAACACGGTCAAATCATGGCGAAGAAGATTGCCGACAATGGGAAGGCCTGGTCGAGAAAAGCACTGAGAGAGGTCGACTCGAGCATTTATTTATATAGACTTATGTTAGAGCTCGCGAGATTGCAAGACCCAGAGCGAAAACCGCTTTAGGGGCGCCTTTCAACGCTAATGATTCCATTATTCCACCGAAGAACTAATTGAGAGATCCGAACTGATATCATTTGGAAAGTGGAGAGCAGATTCCACTACCAACTAACCATGTGAGGGTTTCTCCGTATTTTGTTACGTCAATTCTCTCCGCAGTTCTATTCATTCTACGTTGGACAAGCCTCCCACATTCCGGGTTGGTGACGTCCCGGCTTATGGTCATTATTCCGAGATTTTAGATGTCGACGCAAGTACGGGTCATTGTCGACCGAAAGTTGTAAAGTCCCCGTCATCAACTTATACGGGAACCATGTCTATCTTCTTTGCTCGTGTTGTCCATAACAAGTAGGAGCCGCCGGCTAGGGAAAAGTGTCCGGAAATGTTGTGTGTGGAACCACCATGCAGATTTAACTTTGCAACTCTGTGTACAAAATGGTTGACCAGCTAATCTCAGTTTGGTAAGTGCCGCCGGGGTTACTACATTTGTTGACAAGCAACAACATCGACCATCACCCAGGAATTGTGGTAAACTTATATGCTAGGTAGCCAAGCTACATGGAGAAAGCAGTAGGGTCATGAAAACAGATAAATAGAGACATGTGGCCGCATTTGCAGCCCCATCAAAATTCTATTTCGTTTGACGGAGTCTCAGTGTTTGACTCGAATTAGCTGCCTTCTCTCCCTCAACTGATCATGGAGCAAGTCAACATTGCCGTCGTCGGTCTCGGCCGTATGGTATGTTTTCTCCAGCATTCCATAATTGTATCTAATAAAAGTTTTAGGGTAAGCGACATGTTCACACCTTGCTATACCGGGTTCCACGTGCTCGGGTAATAGCTGTCTGCAGTGCGACCCCGGAGGAGGTACAATGGGCAAATAACAACCAGGAGTACAAGGAATTCGGGATTTCCGTTTACGACAATTACAATGATATGCTCACGCACCCGAAATTGGCCGCTGTCTGGATCTCTACCAGCACGGACGTCCATGCCAGCCAGTCACTGGCAGCAATTGAGCGGGGCCTGCATGTTCTCTGCGAGAAACCTCTGAGCACCGACCTTGAAGAGGTGAGAAAAAAGGCTGCATCTCTTAGCAAATGCTGAACCCACTGAATCCATGCGCTGACGCTATATCAAGGCGCAATCCGTCGTGGATGCAGCGAAGAAGCATCCCCAGTTGAAAGTCATGGCAGGATTCTCTCGTCGTTTTGACGCTTCTTATCGAGACGCTGCAGTCAAGATACACGATGGCAAGGCCATTGGAGACCCCTTTGTAGTTCGCTCAAATACTTGCGATCTCCTTGACAATATTGGATTCTTCGTTCGATATGCGTCTCGCAATGGTGGCATCTTCGTCGACTGTGCGATCCATGATATCGATCTGTCCCTCTGGTATCTGGGGAACCCTGTGCCGAAGGCTTGCTGGGCAATTGGCACACTCCAGCATCACCCTGAATTGAAAGAATTCAACGATGTTGACAATGCCGTCGGTGTTGTCGAATTCTGGGGTGGTAAAATTGCTTATTTTTACTGCTCTAGAACTCAAGCACACGGGCATGATGTTTGCACGGAAATCACGGGAACAACGGGCAAGGTGATGGTGAACGTCTTCCCCCGCGCAAACAACGTAGTGTTGGCAGACCGGTTGGGTCTACGGAATGAAGTTCAGCCGGAATACTGGCAGAGATTTGAAGATGCATTCGCAACTGAAGCGAATGAGTTCATCTCTTCAATTGTTCGGAATGAACCTGTACCACTCCCAATGGAGACGGGAATTGTCGTCATGAGAATCGGGAGGGCTTTGCAAGAAGCTCTGTGTACTGGCAATGTCGTCAGGTTTGATCAAAACGGAAACCTTGCTACATAAGTTCGAATGATACGCTGATTGTAGAAAGAAAATGATAGAATTAATTGAGTTCAATGCCATGCTATTTTACTCCAATGTTTCAAATAAACCAAGGCTGGCCGCCCTCGATTCAAGGAATGCCGGACTTGTGTAGAATTGTATCATCTCTTCCCATTGGGTTAGCCACTCCCGCTTCATCCACATTCTGTCATCTGCCCATAGCTTTTCGTGGATAACCTTCAACTTCCCTTCTTCATCCTCCTGGGGGAAAAATCCACCATACGCCCTGTCTAATTGTGTTGCGGGAAACGCGCCTTGGGGGGCAAATTGCCAGTTTAGAAAGGCCTGTTCAGCCATCATACAATCATATCTGTCCGTCTTGACGTAATTCTGCAACAGTCGCTGATGCATCCTTTCTGAAGGAGAGAAAACCATACTGCCAACGTTGATGTTCCGATTCGTTTCATTGAATGGATTCTGAGGAACACCCGCAAACACGTATGGCTCACACACTGGGCTGCCATCTAGAAGATAGTCATCCGGTTCCAGATTGGAGCCGAGACAATGCTGACTCACTCCCAGTTCAAACATATCGTCAATATTTGTGGTGGGAAAAGCGTCGGCATCTAGGAATAGGATGCGTGAAAACTCCGTCTCTTTCCACATGTTGAGTTTCGCAAACAAGTCCTTCCAACGGTGTTGTGCACCAGGTGTATTTGGATTCCATTCGAGTGGTGCTAGCTCACGAACGATGGCTCCGGCCCCCGCCAACAATTCTCGCTGCTCCATAGTAACGAAGTCTCCGACAAACACTATGAAAGGGTATCCTTCGCTCCGTGATCTAGGGGACCATAGCACTCTGTAGATAAGAGAATGTATGGCCATGAAGTAAGGATCTTTGATGGACGGGTTCCGGGTTGCCATGAATGTAGCGTACGCATATGTATGCTTTCCATTTGTTGGATAATTGTATGGTTTCTCATTGCTCAGAGCTTTCAATACGTGACTCGGAAAGTCAAGGTCAAGATCATTTTGAAACGGAAACTCTGCTTCGAAAACGGTGGCGACGGTTTCGGTTGGGATTGGTATGTTACTTGAGGTTGATTCATCATTCTGAATCTCGATTTTGGTCGGTACAGGGAAGGCAGCCGGGATTTCCAAGGTAATTGAACTGATAGGCCAATTGGCAGTTGACGAGAAAAGCGGAAGTTCTGGCGGAGGTCTTGTCTTGGAAGTGACGCTCTCTGTTGAATGTGACTCTGGTTGCACACCGTCCGCTTGAGGGTTTCCGTGCTCCGGCACCAATGGTATGGTAATAGATGATGAGCTGTTATTCTCTACCTTGCTATGATGATCATGTATATTTCGAAGTTGAGACAGCTGTAACATGTCAGGGCCATGGAGTGCGAACAACCAGATGCATACTACAGCCCCGAACGCAGCAGCTCCAAGATTGCGCACTTTCCTCATGTCGACGAAGTGAGTGTTTCAGTACCCTTCTGTCCACCTTCGCCTAGATGGAACGATGTTGGGATTTCACGTGCAATTCAAACCCCTCGGTCCCTAACGCTCCCTTGCCGTACGGTCGCTTGGGGCGTGGAGCTTGGCGATTTGGGGAAAAGTGCATGTACCGACGCGATAAGTTGTGCTTCCAAATGATGTGTAGAGGATTTGACGAGCAAATATTACGACGGCGCTCACGCTTCTGTCAATCTCGATCAGAATCGGCGACCATGAGCATGCCTAATGATCATCGACACAATGGTGTAAATCGAAGGCTTGCATAAATCAACACACTCCACTGTTTATAGAAACGGTCCTGATCTGCAGAAATACTCTTGGTGAAGATGTCAGAACATATCCACTTTAATTGGCTGGGGCCGGCGAGGGTATAAGGGTGGTGTTCCTTTTACCCCACTGATCTGTGAACCCCATGGGCACGGTAGGGCCGGAGCAAGATCCCATATAGGAAACCCAATATTGTCCCCTATGCACGCCACCGGTTCCTGGCGGTTCCAGCGCATTATTACTCATTACCGCCAGTCCTTCAACTTGCGTGCGAAAACTCAAAGACAAGAAGTGTCCCCATGCGCGGTGCTCGTTGCGATAGATATGCGGTAAATTGTATTATATGTTTTCGTAAACGGGAACCAGGTCGAAAGGATGAGGACGGCATCTGTTCAGACTCAAACCCATGTTTTACACCATATTTTGGATGCATGTACATAGAGATGTGATTATCGGTACTGTACCGAGTCGGGACAGGATTCGTATCCTGCTAGGGTTTGTTCGTACCGATGCCGGCATGAGATGACATGTGAGACCGAGGAGAGCACGCGAGCAAACTTAGAGCGTCATAATCGCAATGCAAAATTTGCAGGTACAGCTATTGATACAGTCGTGATTATGAGAATATGTTCTATTATAGGTACTGGGCCACCACTAAATAAAATATTTTAGGCATTGCGTAACGGAGTCTGTGGTAAGCTCGGTTGCAACGTTTTCTTGTAAAGCCAGTTCGATATTTTTACGCTCGGCTCGTCGAAGAGCTTGGTCGCAACCTCTGCCGCATATAATGTCACAGGTAGAATAACAATCTGTGAAGCCCAAAATGCGAGTTCAAGACCCATTGGGCCTTGTGTCGAAAGAGGGAAGGCACCGATCCAGTTAGAAATGTGATCTTTCTGAACATCTCTCGCAAACCCCACTGCAGCGTACACTCGATCTCCGAGTATCCAGATGACTGGCCCATGTACCAAGTAAAGAGCAAAGGAAATCCGAGCGAGATATTGGCAGAACCGTGTTTCGAAGAAGCCCTTGAGCCAGGGCAGTCGCGGTACTGAGGCGACCGTGAGTACAGCGGCCCAAAATAAGTAGAACCACTTGGGATTGAAGACTGCTTGAGGTTTCAAATGCGACAGCCATCTCCAGCCAGGTGATTTTGAGAGTAAATGCTCGCTATCTGGCGAATCAACGGAAGGGACACCGCCCAGATACAGGGCTACAATGAAAAGATGGAAGAAGATTAATTCTTTGAATCCCTCGAGCGTTGTGAAGATTTTAGGTTGTTGGCCAGCCAAGGCAAGAAGATCAAGATCGCTGAGAAGCATGCCTGACACAAACAGCGCGCCATACCAGCCGTCTACCACGTATAAGAAATAGACTATGAGTCCTACTTCGCAACACAGACGTGCATTCCTTGTGCAGCGAGCCAGTGCTGATGTAGTGGTGTAAACGATGATTGAGCCTTTGAATTCGATTGGGATCGACCAAGCATGTGGTTGGTATGAATTCGAGAATTCATATATGCTTTCTGAGAAAACGAAGCTGTAGTTTTTGAAAGAATAATACCAGTTCTTGAGCTCTTCTCGGTAGGTGGGCTTCAACTCAGCGACATCGACCCATATCTGAGACCAGTGTCTGTAGGACAGGAAAAGAAGGGTGATGCAAATGACTGGGAAGTATAGTCTAACCCAACGACGAAATAGCGCAGACCCAATGCTGTCTGCCGCAGTCTGGTAGTGTCCTTTTTGTATCAAATCTAAAGATTTGATGGAGAGAACGTAGCCAGAGATGACGAAGAATATTGCAACGGCGAAGTGGCCTCCAGAGAAGAAATGGCGAATGAAGGGCAAGGCAGCGAAGTACCGCCGACCTTCGTAACCAAAAGCATTTTCGAATATGAGATTGCCCTGGAGGTTGTGTGCCCAAAGTTGATTGTGTTGAATGTAAACCATGAGTGCTGCGAAGCCCCGAAGGCCGTCCAGCCACGCCGTTCGTCGCATGGGCTTTTTAGGGCCTCGAGATCTCAGCGCCAGAAATTCAGGGCGAACAAGATCCACACTCCATCTCGAAGCTCGTATGGGCATCCACTTCGAGGAGTACAAAGCAACGTCTTCCAGCTCTCCGTTGTCGAGTGGACCATCGAGTTTGGAAGGCATGTTCAAATGATCAGTGATGGCAACAAAAACTTCAGGGTTGAAGTCGATGGCGAACTACCTGCCGTCGATGAGACCTTAAAAAACCATCTCACCAGAGGGGCACGATTATTGGGCTTGCAAGTGTCAGATGCTGAAAGGCGCCAGCACGGATCACAACACAAGCTATCTCCAAGCATCACTATCTCGCGCAATAATACGGGGACAGACGCGGGTTCAACGAGGACGTTACATGGATTAGGCCAGGGTAGTCCGGGGTAATTTGCCAATGCGGGGATAAGCGTAAATTGCCCCGCCCTAAAGACAAGAAGATCGACAACAGTTGGATGAGACTTGAACGTTGAAAATCCAACCGCGGATGAGCCTCGCACTGATTTTGCGGACATGTGAGCCTCCTCATATGGTGGTCCCTGGCGGGATGACGATGCGACTGCAGGTTCCTGGGACTTTATGCACGTCGTGCATAAGGGCTCGACCTGGAGCCAGATGAATTCATCCAGGACACGGCCTGGAAACAAGCTAGTGAACTCTGTAGACACCTCTGCTATCCAAATAAGCTTTAGCTTGGCGGTGTTGGATACTCCTTTCTGCTCGTGACGCCGAAGTGATTGTCCCAACCTCCCCAACACATGCAGTTCTCAATACTACTGTTCCTTGCCATTTGATGCTGTGGAGGGCATCGTATCGTACGTGCCGAGGGCGAATCCTTTCATAAGATTGAATATCGCCGAGGCCCATGCGCAGGCATGAAGAATCCATGGACATGGGAGGCTCTGTTGATGGATTTGTACATGGCTCCCAGGGTTCTCCCAATATCCCGTCTTGATCGTAATTTCGTGAAAACCTCAGCATGCGCACTCGCTCTGCCAGACCTCGTCCTCTTCAGCTTCATCTCAATACCAGAATGCCCGCACACTCCCCAATTGCGTCTCACTTTCGCAGTAGACTGACAACCCAAGTACGGAGAGTGTTGCCGGCATATATTCTCCTCGTTTTGCTTCTTGTTCTTATTCTGAACTCTTCGTTCGTTACCGCACCCATCCGAGCCGCGCACAAGTACAAGCGGGAGCTGAGGTATCAGCAGCCTCTACAGTCGAGCACCACACTGATCCCTCGCAAGATCTGGCAGACTTGGAAGACGAGCCCACTCACATTTGACCAAAGGGATTCTGATACTGCGAAAACATGGGCGGTGCGGAATCCTGCTCACAGATATGAGGTTTTGACGGACGACAACGCTGTTCAGTATCTTGAATGGCATTATGGAGTCCATGGCCTCAACCGACCAGATATCGTTAGCCTTTACCGAGAACTCAACATCACGATTATCAAAGCGGACCTTCTCCGCTACTTGGTCATGTACGCGGAAGGTGGATTGTATGCCGATATCGACGTAGAATGCCTACGACCCATTGATCGATTCATCCCCGAGCGATATGATGCGCACGACGTGGATCTCATCATCGGAATAGAGATTGACGAGCCTGCGTTCAAATCACATCCAGTTCTAGGATCCAAGTGTGAGTCTTTCTGCCAATGGACATTCGCAGCCAAGCCTAGGTTACCCGTCATGATGAGACTTGTGGAGAACATCCAAGAATGGATCCACGATCTCTCGAAGCAAAAGGGCGTCTCTATTTCAGAACTACAACTGGACTTCAATGAGGTCATTAGTGGAACAGGTCCATCCGCATTTACAAAAGCTATTCTGGAGCAGATGACTGCGCAAAACCATGGAAAGCCAGTGACATGGGATACATTCCACAACCTGGCTGAATCAAAGTTGATCAACGGCATACTAGTACTCAATGTCGAAGCTTTCGCAGCTGGGCAAGGACACTCTGATTCCGGAAACCATGACTCACGGGGTGCGCTGGTCAAGCACCATTATCACGCCTCAGGGTGGCCTACCTTGCACCCTCGTCTCAACCATCCCATGTACGGTGAGGTTGAGAAGTGTAACTGGAAGCCTGAATGTGTTGCTGAATGGGTAAGCTGAGCCCCACAAATCCCTTCAATTAGTATTCCTGCTGACACCTGCGTAGGATAAAAATGTGGCTGAATGGGATACCCTTCCCAAAGAAGAACAAGACAAGCGACTTGCCAGTAAGCCATCCTGATGCAATTTACTGCACCTGGTCCATGCAATATCAAGGGTTTCTTGACACGGCCTGGAGATCATGATTGTCTCCGGTCCAAGAAGCACTTCGGGGAGTATGGTCCTCAAGTACAAGACGAAGATGACTGATCGTCATTAGCGCATGATACTTCCAACATTCCTTCTGGGCAAACAAACGGCGTTAAGGTATACCCGGGAGGTAACTCGGTCATGAAATAATGTTTTATTGGTATAAAGAATCACACATCTGATTCCGGCGGCTACTATAGATAATTAGAAGTACCAGGCTCGTATACAAGCTATTACCTTCTTTATACTGTTGTGCTATCTGTACGGTTGGACTTGGTATAATCATGACTATAAAGCACTGTCTAAATCCAAAATCCTCCAAGTATGATAATAAGTCAAGTGCTATAATTTTAGAGTCCATGATGCGGACTTTTCACTTCAACACAAACTACAATACACCCATTCACCCACCACTCCCCACCATATTGGACTGGAAGCTAATCGCAAATAAGCGTGTATTGAATCGACATGTTAGGCATGCAAGCCACTCAACAGCCGGAATGTAGCTGTAGCGGAATGTTGTAGGTGAAAGCTACGGCAATCCCACACTGTACACTGAACATCAAGAGCATACACTGAACATAAAGGAAGTGTTTATTTTACGAGGTTAGAAGCGATAAGACACATTTCTACCGCCCCCGCGAGAGAATCAGGTGCTCCGGTGTGATTTGTATCAAACGTATTCCTTCTGCAATGACTCGCCATTTTCGAACCATTGGAGCATCGAAGAAAAACCTAGCTCAATTAATTTCCTATCAATTCACCCCAGCCAATACAACCCCCAAAGGATGTTTTCAAGATTTATAAATGAAAAACGGACGGCCAGATTATTATTTCACGCTGTCCATTTCGATTCCTGTCCTTTCACATGCCTTTTGGGTGGCAGACCAAAAAGTCATCGCCTCGATGGTATATGACACCACAGTACGTTATGTATTGCGGCTCTTGATGGTTGTCGTCACTCCATCCTTCTGTATAGACTACTCGGTAGATTCCAACATCCTTCTTGGTTTGGGCACAGAAGGTATCATCTTTGAGAATCGGGAACTCATACCATGCCAGATTGTTACGTCTTGGACAATCCGGAAAGTTAACGTGGTTTTAGCCCGAGTACAGCTTTGGATATACTCTGTTGGCTGTGCCCATCACATTATCAGCATGTAGCGTAGATGAAGTGTAGATAAACTGGGGATTTTTGCAATTTTTCCGACTCTTGTTGTAATAGACGTTACTGGCCCGATCCAACGCGTTGATCACATCCGTCCTTGAGAGTATTTCTTCTATTGATCAAGTTAAATACTATAATAGATACAGGTGCGGAGACCAGACATGGTAAGGCCAGTCTTACGGTGAACTTTGGGAGGGCAATAAAAGGTGGAAGAAGGAAGCGTTCCACGTAACTCCCACTCGTACTCGTCATCCAGGGTATGAAGCATTGATCCATCTGTTATATTATATTCACGGGACTCGTCACTTAGAGGAGTCTGGCCGTTGATTGTACGACTAGCGTAAGCAACTGAAATACATTTCGCAGCGATAAAGAGCGAGGAGAGAAACCTCATATTGATATTTGAAAAGTCGATGAAAGGAAGATGTGAAAGAGATTGAGGCGAGGTGGAAATAGAATATTGACACTTGGCTGGTATAAAAACATGTTTTCAAAGCTTCAGATGACAAAGAACAAGTTAGGTGAGACACAGTGCCGTGGTTCTGTGGGGCGGCGCACACAGCCAGCCTTGGGACATGAAGCAATTGTTATCGAGAGCCTAGGCTCCGGATTGTGGGAGTAGCTGAGGTTTTCGAGACCAATTGAGAATATCATTCTACTATATACGAGACGAATGCAGACACGGCAACCATTCAGCTACAGTCAAATGTGGTGGTATTGCTCCAAAAATCTCGGGTTTCCCGCAAGCGAATCCGCATGCAGCCCAAGTCCATCACAATCTAGTTCTAGCCTCCGCCACATGGACGAATCCGTCATAAATCGTCAAAATAAGCGATGAGCCACCGCTTCATCCAAATCTACTTGGAACCGCGAACCAATTGGGTTGACAGGTCGACGCTCGAGACAACCATAATGCTGTATGCGTGATCGATTTTGTCCACTTCAGCTTCCAGCAAGACGCTGTGGCATACCTGAGTTGAGCATTATTGGCAAAGTCAGAGCAATGTTAACCTGTAGGCGTGGCACGAGTAGCACATTATTGCAAGACGGCTCCATCGGACAGGTCAACCATTTCCGCGTATCCCGCGAAGCCTAATACCGATTACAGGCCATAGATTAGTCTTCCAACAGCCACCATGCGAGTGACTCCATATCCATACCACTCGAGGCTGTTCCAAAATATCAGCTCGTTTATGGGCGCAATGTCCAAGTTGCGCGACCTCGAGGATTTCGAGCCGAAGAGGGCCACTATAAAAGGTTTCGGAGACGGTCGTTTGGAACTGCAGTCTGGTAGTTGCATCCATTGTTCTTCACTCCATTCATTACAAAAATGGCTCCCGACCTCAATAAACTCCAGGATGAAGCGGTCAAGTCCATCGCCAGTGTGAGCACACTTCTCCGTAATGCCATTGCTGCTTCATTGCCCGTCGCGCCCGAACAATACCTGACGATTTCCATTCCTGGGACGGTCATTGACCTTGAAGATTATGACTCAGGCGGCTCCTTCGTCTATGACATTCGAAAGCATGCCGTTGCGCCTACGACAGTCCGACAGTCTGAGGCTCGTCTTGTCGATGGTATGATACCGATTGCCAACATCATGGTGAGTCCAACCCAAACTACTACTTAGGTAACCACTAACTCTTTGCACACAGATCGGAAATACAGGTAAAAGTGTAGCAAGAAGCTACTCGCGTGCTTTGGACGGTCTGATCCCTGCCAAAGCGACAATTAGTAGTGGCAGAGGGGTAAGGAGTCCAGGTCAGAAAGGATATGACGATGCCATGGCGTTCCTCAAAACGAAGGAGGGCGGGAAGTCCATCGTGGACATTTACGTCCAAAAGCAGCTTACGTGGGGCAAAGCTCGCGCTGAATGGGATACTGCCAAGATTGAAGCTCAAAGTAAGTGTAAATCCCCAGCCTTTCTATTATCCTATATTCCATGATACACCTTTCCCAATGACAATACGGAAAAATTTTCTAAGAGGAGATACAGACAGAGCAGAAAAGCTTTTTCCACCATCGTCCGGGCCGGACTATATGGGTAGACAGAAGAAATACATCAATGACTGGAACCAGGAGAACTTTTTCAAGTACAAGTCGGCAACTCAGGCTGCATGGATGGACTGGGTTGTCTCGGGCAGCAAATATAATGTTGACTACAACTTTGGCATGGTTGCCATTGATTCGATCATGGCGCGGGTTGAAGCAAGCAAAGAGTCATTGCGCAACTCCACGATTCCCGATGCAGATGGAGCCAACGAAGTCTATGGAGTTGCACTCACCCCCGGTCGATGGGCAACATATTGCAAGCGTAAGGCTGAGGGTTGGTATCAACGTAACGGAAATTACACACTTGGCCAACTTGACGCCGAGATCGCTAGACTATCATCGTTGCTCGACTCCTACAATACGACAAACACCAAGATTACGAAATCTCCATCCGAGTATCCAGTCAAAGGAGCAACGGCGTCTACTACCTTGGAATTGGAGAAGAAAAAGGCCAATGTAACCACGGCTACCAATAATCTATACGATGCACAAGCCGAACTGGCTGGTATCAGGTATAATCAAGGTGTTGCTGTAAACAAGCCCGATTTATCAAAAGAAGACAAGGCAAAGGCGGAGGCGGCCGCGAAATTATTGATCGATCCCGCCGTAGCCAAGGTCAAAGCAGCTCAAAAGGCGCTTCAAGATTCCAAAATTGCTTTATCGCAGGCGAATCAGGAAGACAAAGACTACAAAATGATGACTTTGTCCGGCACTACGAAGACTGACGTCCAGAATTGGATTGGGTCGAAGATCACAACGATCAACGCTCAAATCAAACAGCTCCAGGATTTGCGCATTGCCAAAATCAAGGGTGAGCCTATCACTGTACCAGTCATCACCGGTTCGACGGCTCCAAAGGATGCCGATGACAAAGATACCGCCAATGGTACTACCTTTGCCGGAGAGGGCGATGAGATGGCAAAGGCAAGCTTTGGATTAAACAAACCCCCACCGCCAGCGCCCGGGACAACCGCTGCTGCTGGAGGGACTGGGCAGAGTTCCGATGATGCAGACCCCTGGACAACCATCAATTTTGCGTTTTCGGCCACGGACCAGAAAACACATAGTGAGGAGTCAAGCTGGGGAATGACTGTCGGAGGATCCGTTGGATTTGGTCTTTGGTCTGTAGGCGGGTCCTACTCTCATGACGAGTCACACTCCAGCATGTAAAGTGATATGGCTTCTTGCGACGTAAGCGTCTCGTTTTCCGCACTTGTTGTCAACATTAACCGTCCATGGCTGTATGGTGAATTATTCCAAGATGTCGACTTGGAAGTCGCGGAGGGAGTCAAGATCAGCCCAGGTCCACTAGGACTCCACCGCCTCATTGCATCACAAGATGTCGCTACCATCGACCAGTACGATCAATTCCCAGCGTACCCAACTTCATTCATTGTCGCGGCGGATACTACAATTGAGTTTAGCGGCAGCACCAAGCATATCGAGGAGCACTTCGATTCGCATAGCAATTCAGGAAGTGCATCGGTTGGATGGGGTCCGTGGTCGGCATCTAGCAGTTTTCATGAGTCAGGCTCAAGCTCGGATGTTCAGATGCATACAACGGCTACTGGTTGCAAGCTCACATTTGGGTCTCCGCAGGTGATTGCATGGGTGAGCCAGATCTTACCCGCGTTGCCGAGGACGGAGAATTACAATCCTCTTACGCAAGGTGCGGGCAAGGCAGTTCCTAAATAGAGGCTTTGTACACATCACAAGAGTTAGATCATTGGTAAAGATGTTTCAATGAATAATTTCCAACTTGACAAATTATGCTCATCTGAGAATGAAAACACCATTCTGTTCCAGCGTGACTTATGAACCTATCTAATCTTAATAAAATTCCATCATTGAACATCAATTTGCACTGTGAAAAATTGTGCAATGTTCATAGAAAAACTGGTCTCTTTGTTGGATTGAACTAAATAACGTTCTTTTTCACTCGGAGTGACAGTGAGCAATATACTCAAAATATCCCTTGGTTAGTTGCAACGCTGGATTTTTATTTTCGTCGTACCAATCTACTATGCCCTGTGACACAAGACATACAGTAAGGAGAGAATTATGGCGTAGGATAGCCGTTGAGTTTCCTCAATTCCCTTCCAAAGATTAGTCCATTCGATTGGTCCACCTTGACGGCCTTCGACCATCTGGTATCCAGTTGAAAACACCCTTGTGGGTTTCGATAGGAAATACAATCTCAATTTTCCCGTCTTCATTGAATGCAATGTAAAGCGCATCCGCTTCAGTGAAGCATGCCTTCCAGATATCAGGAATTCGTTTTTGAGACGCTTTCGCCGCTTCACAGATCTTGTATTCTTGCTTATGGCAGCCGACTAGTGGGCCTACGACATATTTTCCTTGTGTTTTCGGCCGCCCGTGATTTAATTCATAAGTAGAACCTGCAATCGTCTTGAGCTGTTGGCTGTTGAAATCATTGACTCCGTACATGCTCGTATTTAGGTAATTTTTCTTGTCAGGGCAAGCATACTTTCCAGGCTTATAGTCGCTATGTCCTCGACGAAATATGCTACACCTTCCGCGACCTGAATCGAAATTAGTATCGTCAGTGAAATGAACCTTCTTTCCGGACAGTCTTGAAGCTACGCGGAAATTAGTCATGATGAATAAATTGCCGTTGTACCACTCAAGAATCTCTTGATCAGTCATATATGGCGTTGGGTCTGTCCATCCTTGTTCTGACAGTTCCAAGGCGCGTTTCGCGGAGAAGGGTTCGTAGATATAGGCGTCCAGACTCTTATCTTCTACCGCCTGTTCAGTAACCATTTTGTCCCTCAGCTGATCAACCGTTCCTAAGAGCTCAAGCTTCGCTTTGCGCCACGCACTTCCGAGTCGATCATAGGAGGTCCTATCTCTTTGCTCTTTGGCATTCTTTGGTATCCAGCAGACTGGTTGATAAGGTCCACCGAGCCAGCTCCAGGCCTGTTGAATTAAATCCAGAAAGTCAAGGCACATACGCACTTGGCATACAGGACAATAATCGTCCACTTTGGTGGCAACAGGGTGTAAAGGATGCTTGCATTTTGCTGCCTTTTTATTAGCAAAAATGCCCATTTCTACGAATCCGGCGAAGCGAGACAAAGCACGTCGAGAGTTAACCTTGTTGGAATAATAATCTTGAAACGCGCGGTAGTCTTTCGCATAGTTAATCACTCTGAGCTCCTGAGGCTCTCGGCACTGACGCTGATAGGTGTGATAGTGCGAGCATTCCTCTTTCGAAAGAACCAAGTCAGCAGGACATGAGGCGGCTCGCAAATCGTAGGGCTGTGGGCAAGACATGATTTCGAGACTAGTGGTGGAAATCAATTCTTGAGACTGGTTCCAATTCATGTATTCACCGAGCAGAGAGCGGTGCTTTTCTACCCCATGGACGAAACATTGTAACGTCAGGCTCCATGTAATGCATTGAACATTTAGAACGCTGCTGCCTTTGGGCACACCTGCACAATGTTATGTGGGACAAAGAAAAATATAAAGTCAGCCTCTTGAATTATTAACTTCACAATTGACTTCACAATGTCCGACATACTTGAGAAATTGATGGCGTAGATGCCTGCTAATTGTGACGTAAAGCTAGTGTGAATCAGAGTTAATCCGGGATAGAATATATCAGAAATCAACTTAGTAAATTCCCTTGATAAGATTGCTATTCAATATCTACATGGGCTGTAGATTTATCTGCATTGCTAATCGTAGTGTTTAATGGTAGAATCTTCAACAGCCAGACTCGATAGTTAATTAGGGTAAGGTTAGCGTAAGCGCTGGTCGGTGGACTTTTCTAACCACTCATGAGTAGCGCGTTCTATAGTGACTACGGCAACTACGGTCTAATGTTGAGCCCGAATATAGGAATGCAACGACTGGCTCCGCTCGAGCCATTATAATTCGTTTGCTGTAAAAACGAACCGAACTTGGAACCGAGGCCGGCCTGGCATTGGGGGCCTCGAATGAGATAGCATTACCCTCTTCCTTTCTTCCAGATACCGAAGATTGACATGATAGAGGTTTTAATTAGGACCATTGGTGAGTTGATCGTATTCGTAAATCCACACCCGGTCGAAGAGCCGTAGTGTGGGTATCCTCCCACATAAATGATACTGCACGCTCACACCCCAGATCTTGTATCGTTCGTTATACTCCATTCAACATTGTGCACTGTGTAATACTACCCATACGTCCTCCGAATTGATGGTGCACATGATGACGAAAAAGGGAGACCTCGAAGCAATTGAACGAACGCCTTCGCACTTGCAACAGGGTTCTGCAAAGAACATTACGAACGATGCTGTCTTCGGCGAGATTACAGCTGATGGCCCCAACTATCGAAGTGTACGCTGATGCCCCCTTAATTCCTTCAGAAAACAACAAGGTACTAATCACTCTTCGCAGTTGGGCTGGATTGCAACTGCTATTCTCATGTCCAAGTCGATGATCGGTCTCGGGGTCTTATCCATACCAGCTGCTTTTGATGTATTAGGAATCATCCCCGGCGTTCTCTGCCTCCTTGCCATTGGTAGTCTCACTTCTATTTCCGCCTACGTGGTCGGCACCTTCAAGATGAACCATAGCGAGGTTTATGCCATAGATGACGTTGGCTACAAACTTTTCGGAGTTGTTGGCCGAGAGTTCTTCGGTGCCGCATTCATTGTTTGTAGGTCTATCTAAGGAACCCGCCTATGGTTCCACCGTTTATTGACACACTTACGTAGATTGGACATTCGTTGTCGGGTCCGGTATGCTCAGCGTATCCATCGCTCTGAACGCAATATCGACCCATGGCGCCTGCACTGCCGTCTTCGTTGTAGTCGCATTTGCTGCCACATTCCTCGTCTGTAGTATTCGCACACTTGGTCGTATAAGTTTCATAGCATGGGCAGGGCTTGCGAGTATTCTCGCATCAAGTTAGTGTTGGCCTAAATAACGTGGAAAGAATGACCTGCTGATGAATCTACAGTTCTACTCGTTACGATTGCTGTGGGAGTTCAGGACCGGCCAGCAGCTGCACCATCATCTGGGCCATGGAAGTCGGACTACAAGCTCTTCGGAGGTCCAAAATTCCTAGACGCGGCATCCGCGATCTCATCTCTCGTCTTTGCTTACGCCGGTACCACAACCTTCTTCGCCATCGCTGCTGAGATGCGGGAGCCAAAGCACTATGCGAAATCGTTGACAGTCTGTCAAATTCTTGTCAACAGTACATATGTCAGCATTGGAATAGTAGTGTACTACTTCTGTGGTTCATACGTCGCCTCTCCCGCACTGGGCTCGGCCGGTCCACTGCTGAAAAAGGTGGCATATGGGATTGGAATTCTCGGAGTTTTCGTTTCAGCTGTTCTCTTGTCTCATGTGAGTAGTGCGTAATCTGACTACGGGAATCGCTCCCAATGACCTATCGTTAATTGATGGAATCTAGGTGACGGCAAAATATATATTCGTTCGTCTACTTCGCGGCACGAGACACTTGACCTCAAATTCTCCACAGCATTGGCTAGTATGGTTAAGTTGTACCTTTGGCGTCACAGTGGTCGCATATATCATCGCCAGTGCCATTCCGGTCTTCAATAGTCTTGTTTCGCTGATTGGAGCCTTCTTCGGTACTCTCATGTCGTTTCAACCTTTTGGGATGATGTGGCTATATGATAACTGGAAGACAGACAAGAGTAAACGAAGCATCAAATGGTATCTGATGTGTACTTGGAGTTTCTTTGTCATAGTAGCGGGCACCTTCTTGATGATTTCTGGAACATGGGGATCAGTTCTCACGATCATTAGTGACTACTCGGCAACTGGAGGTTCAGCCGCATGGTCTTGTGCTGATAACTCGAATTCCGTGTAGAAACGACTCTGGTAACTCTAACCAGATGGCAACTTCTAATTCCTTGTTGCTTTTCTTTTCATTTAGAATTTATATAGTCAATAATACAGAAGAATTCATAGAACTACAGGTAGAATCGACTTCGCTTTTTTGCTATGTCTTTATTGGCAAGCAGTAGGAGAAATTTTAGAAGAGTATAAAGCTTACAGCTATCAGTGTCCCTTTCACTTAAGAATCCGTCTCTTCTTCGATATTTTGTCAGTGTAAGCGGCAAGCGATCTCACACCCCAGTCAATATCCGCCATCATTATACGAGGGATTTATGTTCCCGCAGCAAGTCCCACTTCCCCCAGCCCAAATGTATGCCCTTTGCTTATTATTTCAAACTTCGCCGCGAGTTGCAAACCAATCGTATGCATTTGTTCGAACCGTATCATCGGTTTTTTTCTTCCTGTTGTATATATCTTACCCATGCCCGCACACCAGCATAAAGTAATCGATCTCACATTCGCTATGCTAGCCAAAGGACGATATGTTTTGGTCATCTTGTCCCTTCTGCTCCAATCCATTCAATCGCAGAACACAACCCCAGATTCTATAGTCGATCTCGGATACGCGCGCTACCGAGGCCTGCACAACTCAACCCTCAAGCAAACAACATACTACGGCCTGCACTATGCGCATTCTCCAACAGGCACCCTACGGTGGAAATCCGCTATCCCAATCGCCCGATCAAACCCACATAACCCCCCAAATCATGCCATCGCAAATTCTCAAAATGCCCCAGTCATAAACGCAACAATACCCGCCGCAACATGCATCCAAGGCAACCCGGGCTGGTACCCTCAAGAGCTATCCCCACCAAATGACGGCTCATCGTCTGAGGACTGTCTCACACTCAACGTCATTGTCCCCTCATCACCTCCATCGTCTGAGTTATTGCCCGTCGTCGTGACAATCCATGGCGGGGGCTACACCACCGGCTCCGCGCTTTTTACGCTGCCGTCTCCATTATTCAAACACACGACGGGAAGCTTCATAGGCGTAAGTCTGCAGTACCGTTTGGGCGCCTACGGATTTCTTGGATCTCGAAAGTTCGTAAGTGAAGGAGGAGAGACGAACCTGGGGTTAAGGGACCAGCGAGTGGCGTTGGAGTGGGTGCGCGAAAACATTGCGAGGTTCGGCGGCGACCCGGACAAGATTGTCATTTGGGGCAGTAGTGCTGGGGGTGGAAGTCTGACGGCACAGATGGTTTATGAAGGTGGGGGTGGAGAGGTTAGGGAAGGATGGAGGTTGTTTAGAGGGTCGGTGGTTGAGTATCCTTGGTGGCAGCAATTTCTGCGAGACGAGCAATTGGAGAGGCAGTATGGGTATTTGTTGAGGGCGGCGGGATGTAAGGATTTGGCTTGTTTGAGGGGAGTTGATGAGAAGAAGTTGGCGAACTCGACTCGAGAGATATATGGTGTCGGTTACGAGACTGGAGAGTATCCGTACGGGAGTTTCTGGTTCGGCCCGTACGTCGACGGGGATATCATGAAGGGGCTACCGAGTGAAGAGTTTGAGGGCAAAAGATTCATCGACAGGCCGTTACTCATCGATAGGGATATGTACGAGGGCTGGTCATTCACCAACATGTCGCTCGAGACGAAGGAAGATGAAGAGAAGGACCTGAGAACTGTGTTTCCGTATGCGACGGCTGAGTTTAGAAAGAGGCTCGATGAGGTCTATCCACGAGAAGCATTCAATTCTACACTCTCGAGGAGGGCCACTTGGTTTGGGTAAGTTGTGTCCTGTTAATTTGGCAACCACACTTTCTGATCATTCATTTCCAATAGGGACATGACCATCCATTGCCCAACACGCCTACTAGCGGAAGTGCATGCAAATGCATGGAAACTTGTCTTCAATGCCGGAACACAAACCCATGCTGCGACAGCCTTTTTTCTTTACGATCTACCCGATATGATAGGACCGAAATACAATGCCACGTTGGCAGCAATCATGAAAGACTGGGTTGGCTCGTTTGCGGTACATGTTGATCCTAACATTCGGAGTTGGAGCAATGTCTCAAAACCGCACTGGGATGAGTATCATTCGACGGAAAAGAGGCCAACAGTGTTGGCTAACCAGACAGAAATTGGCGTGCCTGGAGATTTAGACTTGGTCATCGATGACAGATGCCAATTCTGGAGACAATACCGGGGTATAGCACAAAATTAATGCTTAGCACATGGGTTTAAGAATTACATCATGCTCACGAAGTCGAACAAAGAGGTGTTGTGAAGATGAAGAAGTTCTATGTCATCCTGCTAATTCAATGATCATGCTATACTATATCTGCTCTACGAGATAGTTTCAATGCATTCCATCTCGAAAATATCTATGAGTCCCAACGCCGCGCTATGTATCGATGGAAACAGGAACCGTCATCTATAGGTTAGAGCTAGCAGCGGAAAACTCCTTGCTAAACGGGTAATCAGTGTAGCCTCTCTCCTCTCCGGCATTATAGAAAGTGTTGCGATCGTACGGATTGAGCTCAATGCCCTCCTTCAGGCGGAAGACCAAGTCAGGCGTAGAAATGAAGTAACGACCGAAAACGACAACGACGTCGTGGTTGGGGTACTCCTTGTCCACGAGAGCCTTAGCAGAGTCAGGCTTGAAACCACCAGCGACTAGAACGGGACCTCTGAACAGGTCAACCAAGGGACTGATACGCTCGGTGGACTCAACATCGGCGTTGCCACTAACACGCGACTCAACGAGATGAACGTATGCGAGGCCAAATTTGTCGAGTTTAGAGACAATGTCGGAGAATTGTGAGATAGGATCCTTCATCTTCATGCCCTGGAACGTCGAGAATGGGGAAAGACGGATACCGGTTCGGTCAGCGCCAACGGCGTTGACGACGGCTTCGGTGACCTCGATAGCGAACCTGGAGCGATTCTCGACGCTGCCTCCATATGCATCAGTGCGCTGGTTGACAGTGTCTTGGTTGAACTGGTCAATCAGGTAACCATTCGCGCCATGAATCTCAACGCCATCAAAGCCTGCTGCGATGGCATTCTTAGCGGCCTGGGCGTACTCCTGGACGAAAGACTTGATCTCATCGATGGTCAACTCTTTGGGAGTAGCGTGCCCCTCCAGAGCTACTGCGCTGGAACTGCGGATAGTGATACCTTCCTTTTCGGCGGTTTTAGGATCGGCAACACGACCTAGCGCCCAGAGCTGGAGGTAGATATAAGAGCCTTTGGCGTGGACAGCTTCAGTGACCTTCTTCCAGCCATCGATCTGAGCCTGGCTGTGGATGGCGGGAACCGCTCCGTAACCTCCAGCCTGAGGAGAAATGAAGGTGGCCTCGGTTACGAGAAGAGTTCCAGGGACGGATGCTCGTTGAGCATAGTAATCCGCAACGAAAGGGAGGGGTACGTGGTTTTCATCGGCGCGAAAACGGGTCAAAGGGGCCATGGCAACACGGTTCTTGAGGGTGATGTTGCCGACCTTGAGCGGCTGGAAAAGTTTTGAGGATGCCATTGTTATGTAAGTTGCGTGGAGGCCTTCAGAGATTTTGTTGAAAGCCTGTTTGAGTCGAGTTTCAAGCTGCGTTGAAGTTGGTATTGGATGAGAAATAGCGGTCTGAAATTACTGAGGGCAGGACGCTTTATATGTAACATGGACGGCGATAAGAACGGACTATTAGAAATAGGAACAAGTGTCGACAAAAATTCGACATTTGCGAATTGACATTAGTTATCGCATGTTTAGAATAGCGAAAATGTCGCCGAAGATCCAAAACAGGGCGAAGATGACGCCATGCAAGGATTATTGTAAGGATTGTTGGCTGGAAAAAGATTAGTCGTGGTGGCTAATTTGTCAGCTACGATTGGCGACAGAAACGAAGAGAAAATGACAATGATGATTGTGAGACAACAACCAACCATACAACACCAAACAAGGTGCATGCCAGAGAAACAACCCACGAGGGGAGGGTCCACACCTCGGGCGCCGGTCGGCGAATGTGATTCGAACCTTAAGGGTTTCTCCCAATCTTCAAATTTTGTAGGGAAGATTGCAAGTGAAATCTGTGATCACTAATGCATCAATTGAGCATGCGATCTCTGACGACCGCCTGGCAGCCTGAAATTGAGCCTCGAGATCTCCGTTCAAACGCCTCATGTCTTCGAAGTTGAAGACCTCTATCTTTTCCTCAACGTCATACACCATAGTAAAATTTTGACCAAGATATGGCGCGACTGTTTTAGGATTGGCTGCCGCCGTTATGATGAGATAGGCAAGCGTTTCTCATAATTCGCCCGCCGCCCGCACTACTTGTACTGATGCAGGGCCACAGCTACTGCATGGCAAATGTGCGGGTAGGCAAAGTAGACAGACCCTGCTGCGGCTGTTGTATGGCAGCACCCGCACTGTGGTCGATGGAAGTGCCCGCGTGCGAGAGTAAGTGCTTGATGATGATGGAATCAGCCAATGGTCGACGTAGTTCCTATGTGACGGAAATGCACAACCTCTTCTGCCCCCGAAGGAGAAGGATGTGTACACAGGGACAGGCTGGCCCTTCACCGACTATGCTGGATAGATTCATGGGTACTACGACGTTGTGTCCTGAATTGTGCCAGGCCCAGTGGGATATGTACGCACTGGAAAATGACCCAGGGCCAATAAGATATTGTCCAGCTTGATTACTTGGGAACAACAGCACTGCAGTCGATTCACCACAGAATACTAGTTGAACAACTGACCCACAGACGAATTCAGATTGCAAGTCAAATGCGGCCACAAAGAACGCCACCGCTTGTTGGGGCGATCGATCGATCCTAGGACTGGAGTCTGGAGCGTAGTGGTAATTTTCTTTGCTTCATTCCAACCCAATGTTTTTGTTTCGAAGTCCTGGAGAAATATGTTGCCAAACAATCGAGTCTCTCTGGTAGATGTTGTATATAGTTCATCCTGGTACCTTCTACCCTCGAGATGTGTTGAGTGCAAAACGACAGAGGCTGTACATGCTTTCGAGAAGGTAATCAGAGTGTCAAGAGCGTGGAGTGATAAACATGTAATGCCTTTACAGGATGAACGGCAAGGTGCGATTTGTGCGGCCAACTCTTCCTTTAGTAAATGACCATTATCACTACTCGTGTCGTGATGGCAGAAAATTGCATGCTCCCTTTGAACTTTGACTCGAGACACAGACAAACTACAGCGTGCATTGTGCGTTGATCTTAATATAACGCGTGACTAGATATAAAGAAAGAAAGGGTTACGGAGACCTTGAAGCATATTGGATGATTCTGGAGAGTAGTCATTAGAATGGACATGGATGATGTGGCGATGGTTGGTACAGAGCAGTCGCATCTCGTGATGAGGGTCGATGTCCTAGGTTGTGGCTTGACCTGAAGATTCCTAAAATGATTAATATTCGAAGATGAAATTGAGTACGGAGTATAGTAAAGCATTCCGTCACTGACCGGTTTGCGGTTGAGCGAGTGGGGAAAGCTGGTGAAAAGGGTGTGGACTTGAATGCACGACAGTCTTGTCCACTTCTGGCAGGCATGGGCGTCATTCAGTTCGGTCATATACTCCGCAAGTCGGAGGAACGAAGCCAGACAGTATCTGACGGGATACTACTACCCATATTTCGAGGAGGGTATACTATACTGTGCTCGTAATAATGTGAAAGACGGCAAAAAGGATATTCGACGGAGATTCATGAAAGCCGACATGTAATCAATCTATAATTAAATGCGGAGATAATACTCGTTTGTCCGGAAATGCGTGCTCTCTGTCCTTTTCCTGTGTAATGATACCGGTCTTACTATTGTTCCGTTGAGTGTTGGCAAGATGACTAATAAGTATTATCGAATAACCCCGTGTTATTCATCTAAATTCCCCTAACTCTATTGTTCTTGTCACCGAACTGCTAGTCACCTGCTAGTCATTATTCACTTTTCTCCACACAATAATCCCCCTCCCCTCCCTCTCCCCACCTTCCATTACTCAATTCATAACTTCAACAACCCTTACATCAATCCAGTCCCTCATCATCTTCATCACCATCGTCGCCCGGTATCTTCTACTCCGTAGGTAGATACCAGTTTCCTTTGACACGAACCACCGTTTCCCGCCGCCGGACCTCAATCAGGCAGGCTCCGTGTCAGGCCCGACCCCTCCCACCATTCAAATTGTGAATCATCAATCGCACACACTCATCTAACACTCTACCGGCCTCCGCACCTCCGCATAACCTTCACCACATAATACGATACCACGCCACGCCAGCGAAGGAAAGGAAATCTGCACAGCCTGCCTTATTGTTCTGATCAGCTTGCTTGGACTTGTATGGACTCAGCCGCTGGAATCATTCGTCAGCATTGTCCATTGTACACGTGACGTCACAGACAAGGCACGCGGGCGCACAATATCTGACTCCCTCCCTCTCCCTGCGTGGCTTATTACCATTGTTCACTCCCCAGTCTCCGTTTCAGTCTTCACCAACAACGCCTTTCACACCTGTCAAGACAATACAATCAACCTTCCTATTACCGCTATTTTACACAAACCCACCCACAAACCGAATATGGATGTTCTGAAATACGGCATTTGCCCTCGCATTTTCCTTTGCCAGAACAACTCGAACTTGAACTTTGTCGCTGGACGCTGCGCTGGCGTCTCTCCCTACCACCTGTGAAGCAGTCAAAGGCCTCTTCGCACAACAAAAATTACACTCTCCTGTCGTCGACCGTTCCTTTAAAGATCAACCATCGCGCGCGAATACCGCCGACTCTCCCACTATCCAACCCATGTCCCACCTCGATCCAGCCGCGCGACGACGCGCCGAGCTTCCCGCAAGCATCATCTTCACCCCGAAAGAACTGAAGCACTACCGCCGATGGCAGCTCCAGTCGCAGTCATATTTCGATACCGATTCGATCGGCCACCTACCGTCCGCACTGGAGTACAGCAGATTCAAGACATGGCGCGAGCAACAGGAGCGCATGGACATGATGATGCCCGATCCTTTCCGCTGGGGAGATGAACTGGCGGCCCACATGAGCCCTCCCACGGCGACCACGTCCCACAACAACACGGCCCCGCTGTCACCACCACTTTCCGAGTGCGAAGTCGACAATATCGCCACCGTGTGTGGACACGCGCTCCACCCTGCCATTCCAACCAAAGAGCAAGCGCAATGTCCGACATGCATCATCAAGGCTCACCTTCAATATTTTGGCCTTTTGACGGATAAACTCGCGTCAGCCGGAGGACCCGTATGCCACAAAAAATCAAAAGATCCTCGCGGCATTCAACAACAGACATATGAAGCCTGGTACTGCGGCAAACTCGATCTGGTCCGGACGGTATATACAATACAAACATGGGCCATGCAAGAAGAATCATGGCAAGTTGCTGACGTGGACAGCGACTTGAAGGACCGTCACTCCGCACACGAAGCGCTCATGACATATTGGCAGACAGTGGATAATGCCACCAGCGACGAGAATAGTTCCTCCAGGCCCAGTGAGCCAGAGATTGAGCCCGAGATGACAACACTGAAAAGGAAAGACAGCGGGCGAGAGAGGACTGTGGATTTCACACAAGATACCCATTTCGGCGAAGGCCGACCCCAAGCGTACTTCCGCAAGGACAGTCCGCGTTACGAACCTAAGATACCCACCAACGATCATGACGAGGATGATGAAGTCGCCGAAGATGACTATGAAGAAGAAGACGGAGAGGGCAGCAACATCGAAATCTCCCCTGAACACGCCTTCAGCGACGAAGAAGAGGAAGACGAAGATTTCAGTGACGGAATGAGCGAATGCACATCCGACGATGGCTACAGCACATGTACTGAAGAAGGGGATTGGTGCGGTATCACTTTCGATGCGGCCCTCGATGACGAGGCTAGCTACATTATTTTCGAATGAATCAATGAAAAAAAGTTGAAACTTTTCATGTCATCTCTTGCATTGAACAACGCTGTACGATCGTGATGCTACCATTCCATTCTTCGGGGTCTCCATTCTCCTTTGAATAAATCGTCCAACCCTCCTCTCATAGAGTTCACCACATGTCCATACCATTTGTTCGTTGCTGCGGCAGATTGGAAATTATAGTCAACCCTGAAGGTCCATGCCCCACACGTATCTTGATGCTCGACTTGCACCTCCCTGTCTCCAAATGCTTTCTTGTACACCTTGTGCTTATGAACATTCGTGAAGTTTCACTTCGCATAGGACGACCAAACATCTTCATAGCACATGTTTGCATTTGGATCAACTAAGAAACTCAGAGATCCAGCCATCGTGTTCGCTCCCCTGTTCAACTTAAGGTCCTTTACCTGAGTCCTCAGTGCATTGGGTGCGCCGGTGAGTACCTTGACATGCCCATCTCATCTCACCTTTATTTCCAACTTCTCCTGCGAGCTCCTCTCTCACCTTTACTCTTACTCCCCTCTCTCCTCTCCTGCCACTACTTGTCCCGTCCATCTCCCATCATCCCTCTTTTCTCCAACCACCAACCCTCCACCGCGACCCATTTGAAGCCGACAAAGACAGCAAGTGTTTAATCATGTCTCCCAATTTTGCCAACCCTTCGCCGTCTTCCTCGCCCTCTCTCTCTCATTCCCAATCTCCTTCACCATCTCCCTCAACCAAGCCAACTCCCCTCAACATCCTCCTGGACCCAGAGGATGCTGTTCTCTACCAGGACTGGCTTGATGATGAAGAATTCAATCACCGCAAGTTTGTGGCCGCACATAGGCGGCGCGAGATCCCGGCTGCATGTGAATACATGGAGTTTACTGAGTGGAAAACACATCAAGCTTCTGGGTTCACAGACACCAGAAGAGAGCCATCTGGTTCGTCAACCTTTCTTGACTCCACATCTTCCTCCGATATGGAGGACGTTCAGGCCTCGATGGATCCCGACGGCGGCCAACAATCTCCAGAAGAGAGCAAGGAAGAAGAGAGAATCATATCGCGGGGAAGAAAATGTGGTCACTCTTTCTTCCGACTACCCGAGCGCGGGCTCGACGACCCGATGGCAGATCCGCCGTCCCCTGCCAACAACGACTTTGAGAACGTCGGCACCACTCACATACACGATCCCGACGTCATCAATTACTGCCCCCTATGTATCACCCACGCCCATCTCTCGCTGGTCACTGCACTACTACAGACCTGGGTTAACTGTGGCGGACCCTGGCGTAAGTCTAACCGCGAGACCGATCCACAGACAAAATGGTACTATGCTGCCTCAAAGCAATTCCGACAGGCCAGGACCAAGCTCGCCAACATAATCGAGCGGTACGATCGAGAGGCGGCCGAAATGGATGGTGACGACGGAGGTTACGGCGCGAAGGCGGCCATGAAAGCATTCATCGAGAGGTGGCAAGCTCCCTGCATGCTCGCTGTCACCTACGGCGAAGAAGGAGACGTCGTCAGCGGATGGAGTGAAATCCTGCCGCTTCCTCCCTCTACACAAAAGAAGAAGACCGTGACATTTTCGGTCCCGACCACGGAGCGGGATCGAGAACAGAACAAATTCAGTACATTCTGGCGCCACTCGAGGCATTATGACCCCGAGATATCGATCTATGCTTGCCCGGAGGACTCAGAATCCTGGCAGGATACGTCTTTCAAACACGACCACTACTTCACAATTGCGCAATCGAGGATCCTCCTGCTGAAGTTGGACGATGATACTGGGGATTATGAGTATCAAGACATCAATAAAGCTGAGAGTTTTGGCAATAACCTCGCGGTCTGGAGGTTGCAGATGCTGGTTTCGGACACGTTGGCCACTATGACGCTAGAAGAACGGTCGGACATGGCCACGACTATCGCGTCCTCAAGCCTTTATTGGCTCGTCTGGAAAGAGAACGAAGGAGAAACGATGGGGTTCGACGATTACATGGCCCTGGAGACTCTGGCTGGGTCACTTGTTCAAAAACATGCTATCGCAGTAGGGGACCTAGATCCAGAGGATGCGAAACCGGTTGTGGAGGTGAGCGATATAACACTCGGCCTTTCAGATACCGCTAGCAGTTATAGTGGTAGCCCATACAGCGACATGAGCGACACGGAGGAGGATTCCAGGGAAGAGGATTCAACGAAAGATGAAACCACAGAGGATGCTGAGAGTGCTACTTACGATCAAGAGTCAGGAGGGATTATGATCGATGACGACGAAACCGCCTAGAGTTGAAGAGATGGCGGTTGGAAGGTTGGTTTATGCAAGTTGCCATCGTCATGGTCGATTCTTGCACAATACTTTGTCTTTTCGTCTTTTGGCCGATCTTACCACTCAGCCTGCTGCTTCGAACTGAAGCGCCACGTGGTTCTATTTAAATTTGTATAACGCTTCTTTGGAAGATTCTGAATCAACCATATCGTATGCTAATTAGCAATTCAAATGAAAACAGAAGATTATTGAACTCATGTACACAACCAATACCAAGAGTTTTGCGAAGAAAAAGAATCCAAAACCGCTATTCACACTCTAACATATTTCCTCCATTCAATGAACTGAAGGCATACGATCATATATAAGAAAATCAGCGTCTATCGTCAAACCCTGTTCAAGTGCAGCTTCCTTGAATGTGGTTCGTTAAGTAAGTTTATCATTGCATCTATTCATTTGATCACTACGCTATTAACCCTTTTCTCAGCTGACCACAACACGTACTGTTCCAAACTCAATATGCTCACTTAAGTCGCTGTCAATCACTACGAGGGGAAATAAGTCTAAGCAATAGCGCTCGTGACATCGATCTTGCCCTCCGTATGTCCACTGCGGCCCGATCCGCCACTGAAATCCCACTTCAGCTCCGATGTGCCAAAGACGGTGACCTGTTCGCCGTTGAGTGGCACCGTCTGCTTCAGACTGTTGTTCGTAGTCGTGTGAGACATTGCTGATCCAGTGTTAGTATTCAACCGCTATGTAAGGTCCCTCCGCCTTCAAGAATCGGACACGGCTAGGTGGATCTAAATCACAAGCCGGAAAAGGCCAACTTACAGACACCGCCAAAATCATACGAGAAAGACGGCTCGCTGCACTCTGCAGTTTCGGTCTGGTCCTTGGGGTCATACGTGTACGTGCAGTGGATCTCTACTGGTTCCTCAAGCTCGGAGTTGTGGTACGTCGCGTCGACGGTGTATGTCGTGTAGGCGGAGGCCGGGAACGATACACTGGCCTTGTAGTCCCAGTATCCCATGTCTGCACGGGTTTTCATGGCAGCACCGGAGACCACAGAAAGGACAGCGAGAAAAGGAAGTATGGAGTGCATTTTGGAGATTATGCCAAGTGGAACGGGAAGCTAGCGACAGTGGGTAGAAAGATTGGATGTTGGCTTTGGATGTAAGTTGTAAAGACGAGTGTTGCTATAATGTGGGGATGCAAGTGGTGTTTAATATATGTAAAATGGCCTCGAACTCCCTTGATTGTCCTGTAGATCGACGTCACCTGGTCCATGTTGTACTATTGACTTTGACTGTCGATCCCCTTTATTTATAGCCGCAACAGTGCCTGTCTAGATACGGTTACATTCGCGACAACAACATATCCTGGAATCGTTGACCTAAAAAGGGTTGTGGGTTTATTGAATGCATCAATTGAAGGGTCCATGCCCCAGGAGAGGGATTTAGTATGGAGATCCCCCGATCTAGCCGATGCGAAACGTAACGGTAGCAAGCGAAGCCGGGGAGGCCTTGGAGACGATACATTTTCATTAACATCGTGGAGGACAAAAGTAATGAATGCTATTTCTTCATGGTTTCTTCACACGAGGCGGTACGTGAATATGCAGCGATTTTTAGTCCGAGGTCTGTTTGTGAAAGTCATGTAGACTCCTTCACTATTAGGATTTACCAAGATAACAATGCTTCTTCCAAGGATGTTGACTCTACGCCATGATGCGATAAGTGGCCTATGCTTAGAGAGACAGTTATTGTCTTAAACTAACCGTTGGGGCAGGCCAGCGACAAGTTCCAGGGTAGCTAGAACTAGACACCGAAATCGAGATCAAATTCCCGTTTGCGATCAAGAGCGGCTGGTGAAAGAGGACTAGGTAATGAATGATGTTGATGTCATAGTCGTGAACATTAAAGCGAATACCTGAAGGAGACAATATGAACGGGTGTGGACATAGCCTCACTATGTATCACGCCAGAGGATAGCTCAGAAGAAACCCAGAAGCTGGATAAAAGAGATAATTTCGAAGTGCGGAAGAAAGGTAACTCTTCCGTATCCATGTCTGCAACAATATATTGCGATATTTCCAACTAGTCAAAACTCATATCAGGTCCACTTAACGTGTCGATCGGTGTACTTAATGGGTATGCAAATGCGTAGCGGAAACGGGATCGTTATTCAGATACAAAACGCCAAAGTGAATCATAGTCCATCAGAATTAATGTTTACATGACAACACAGCAAGAGTTTTGCTTCTTTGCCTGATTTCGGATTACGTTAGTTAGCTTTCTGAACACGGTGTAATTTGCACATACCTGAGTATAAAACATCTTGCTTTGCGCGCTAAGGTTGTCACTCTTCGCAACGAGGCTGTCAATCTTTTCTCCACGCTCAAGCACGCTTTCGATGGTCTTGTGCAACACAGTCTTAGTTTCTTGAAGTTCTTTTTGAATCTTGGAGAGGTTATCTGCAGACTCCGGGTCTTGGAACTTGGTTAAATATTCCTTCAACTCGGGGAATGGTAGGCTCTTTGCCTCTGTAGCATTGATGTATGCCGATCGAGGGTACTGCGCTTTGAAATCGTAGGTGATCTTGGTGAGAAGACTCTGCGCAACACGCTCGGGATACTCGTGGTCCGTAGCGATCAAGCCACATAAGCCTTCGGCAAGGGGTAAAACGTGGAAAGAGTACGCTGCGAAAGAGTGTCAGCATTGTTATCTGGAGATAGGTGTATGAAACGAACCTTCCTCCTTGAGGGTTGTCCTCCCTGAGCCTGGTCGTGTGCCTGCAGCGACTTTCGTCGCGAATAACATCAACTAGTTCTTATGTTAACTTATGTTCCGCCGATAAGCCCTGGTTGACTGTTGTCCCGGCTGCGGTCTGGATCAGACGTACGAATTCATTGACGGTGCCCCTGGTGAAACGACTGAAGCTCGATAGGTCGGTTTCCGATGCGAGTTCTAAGGTTTTATCCTTATCCTCATTCTTCCATACCTGCAGACCGGGTTAGTCGGGAGAAGATGGGAATGGCGGTGGGTAGGCAACGAACACTTATATAGTAAAGCTTCATAATGGACGAGTGGAGCAGGAATCTTGAGAGGGTCTATGTTGCAACCAGCCTTTTGGAGATTTTGTTTGAATAAAGTACACGGCCTTTAGCTAACTGGATGGCCGCCTGTATCGTCTGTATGAGATGCTTGCTGGACCGATCCCATCTTGTAAAGCTTCAGTCACGGAGGTCGTGGCGGCGGAGTTGCTGACATAATCGCGGGGATCTGTTCCACTTAGCGGTCGGAAAGCGCCGACCCACTGATGTATCGTCATTCAATGATTCATCGTACCAAATTCCTCTCAACGTCTAGACACTTTATAGAGTAATCCTCTATCACCAACTGAGCCTGGGATTGTTCTATTTTCTCGGAACTATCATCGAAACTAGCAAACGCACTATGCCTACACCTTTGGGTGATGCCCATATGAAATGGCTCGAACAGCTTCAGGTCATGAGAAATGCCATTGCTGAGCTTAAATTGCCCCCAGAGTCACTGAGACCCACGCCCTATGGAGCAGATATCGAATTTGCAGATGGCGAACTCTCCGAAGAAACAAGTACAGACGATATTTGGGATATCAGTGACGATTATGAAGATGACTACAGCAGTGACTACTTGGATGACATCGACCCGGCCCAGACTGGGAATGTAAAATACAACCAAGCATGGCTCGCTGATCGATGTGCTATTGTTGCTGCTAAAGGCTCTGGACTTGACTCAGGCTCTCTCAAAGAGCAACTAATTGCCATTCTTGCGAGTGACAGCAATGGTAAGTTTGATATCTCTCGTGGAAAGTTCCGCAGATGCTTATTGACATCCTTATCAGATGAAGAATTGCAGATGATGTTGGCGGACATTGTCGGATTCGATGAATTGGATCTAGTGGCGGATCTTATTACACACCGTCAAGAACTCAAAGACTCGCAGCACGAATCTGCGAGCAATGGCGTCGTCGGTCGTTTGCAAACGAGAGCGGAAAGAGAAGAAGCACTCCGACGCCAGGATTTCGAACATAAACATGCTACCTTGGCATCTGCAGTTGACCGCAAAGGCCCCCAATACCCACACGTTTATCGAACATTCGAAGCAGGAAACAAACTATCTGCTTACGGCAAAAAGTTCGCGCTTCCTGCAAATCATAAACATCACGATGACCAGGTGTACGAAGAATATGAAATTCCTGCGGCGCCTGTGGGTGTCCTTGGAACCGGTCGCAAATTAGTCGACATCAAAGACATGGACGGGCTTTGCCAACGGACATTCAAAGGCTACAAGTCTTTGAATCGTATGCAAAGTTTAGTTTACCCAGTCGCGTATTCTACCAGCGAGAACATGCTTATCTGTGCACCAACAGGTGCTGGTAAAACTGATGCAGCAATGTTGACAGTTCTAAACACTATAGCAAAGTACACCATACCAAATCCGATTGAAAACCCAGATGCTACCGACTTCACACTTCTTGCTGATGATTTCAAGATCATCTATGTTGCGCCGATGAAAGCCTTAGCTGCAGAGGTGACTGAAAAATTGGGGAAACGATTGGCTTGGCTTGGTGTTAAAGCGCGCGAATTGACCGGAGACATGCATCTGACAAAAGCCGAAATATTAGATACGCAGATCATTGTAACCACTCCAGAGAAATGGGATGTCGTCACACGCAAGAGCACGGGCGATACTGAGTTGGTCCAGAAAGTCCGTCTTCTTATCATTGACGAAGTACATATGCTTCATGACGAGCGTGGAGCTGTTCTGGAGAGTTTGGTCGCTAGAACCCAGCGGCAAGTTGAGAGTACACAGTCTCTTATTCGAATCATCGGCTTATCCGCCACGCTACCGAATTATGTTGACGTTGCCGATTTTCTCAGGGTGAACAAGATGGCTGGTCTGTTTTACTTCGATGCCTCCTTCCGCCCTGTTCCGCTTGAACAGCATTTCATTGGAGCGAAAGGCAAACCAGGAACCGTCAAATCAAGAGAAAACTTGGAAAATACCGCATTCGACAAGGTCACAGATATGCTTCGGCACGGGCATCAAGTGATGGTATTCGTGCACTCGCGTAAAGACACGGTTAAGACGGCCAGGACATTGTACGAAAAAGCCATTGAGAATTTTTGTTCTGATCTCTTCGACCCAAGTGGACACCCAAAATACGATTCTGCTGTACGTGACATGAAGCAATCGAAGGGACGGGAGATTCGTGAATTGTTGTCGAAGGGTATGGGTACACATCATGCCGGAATGCCTCGCGCGGATCGGAACTTGGTCGAACGCCTCTTTGCGGAAGGTGTGATCAAAGTTCTCTGCTGTACAGCAACGTTGGCTTGGGGTGTTAATTTGCCAGCCGCCGCCGTCATCATCAAGGGTACACAAGTTTACAATGCGCAAGAGGGCAAGTTCACCGACTTAGGTATCCTCGACGTTTTGCAGATTTTCGGTCGCGCGGGTCGGCCTCAATTTCAGGATACAGGTATCGGTTTCATATGTACAACACATGACCGCCTTGAGCATTATTTGCGTGCCGTTACCGAACAACAGCCCATTGAATCCCGATTCTCATCTCGTATGGTGGATAACTTAAATGCCGAGATCTCCCTTGGAACTGTCACTACCGTATCCGAAGCCGTGCAGTGGCTAGGTTACTCATATCTGTTTGTGCGGATGCAGAAGAGCCCCTTGAATTACGGGATTGACTGGGCAGAAATTCGAGACGACCCCCAACTTGTTCAACGACGGAGGAAGTTGATCATTGATGCCGCGCGAGTTCTTCAAGCAAGCCAAATGATTATTTTCAATGAAACTACCGAAGATCTACGGTCGAAAGATGTTGGCCGCATCGCGAGCCAATTCTACGTGCAGCAGTCCAGCATTGAAATATTTAACACTATGATGCGTGCGCAGGCCTCTGACGCGGATGCTCTCGCCATGGTCAGCATGAGCGGAGAGTTTGACCAGATTCAGTCCCGTGATACTGAAGAGAAGGAGCTTTCATCTCTCCAGGAAGAGGGCTATGTCGTAACCGAAGTCAAAGGTGGTGTAGGCACACCCCACGGGAAAACGAACGTTTTGTTACAGTCCCATATTTCAAGAGCTAGACTTGAGGACTTCACGCTAGTGTCGGATACGAATTACATTGCCCAAAATGCCACACGTATTGCTCGAGCATTGTTCATGATTGCCCTCAATCGTCGATGGGGTTATCAATGTCGGGTTTTGTTGAGTCTATGCCAATCCATCGACCGCCAAGTATGGGCCATCGAGCATCCGTTGCATCAGTTCGACCTTCCTCAACCGGTTCTGCGAAAACTAGACGAAAAATGGCCCTCGATCGAATCACTGAGAGACATGGAGCCAGCCGAGATAGGTCAATTAGTGCACAATCAGAAGATGGGAACGGTGGTCTCAAAATTGCTAGACAACTTCCCCACTCTCGGCATCGAATCAGAGATCGCTCCTCTGAACCGCGATGTTTTGCGCATTCGGTTATGGATTACCCCGGAATTCAAATGGAATGACCGACACCATGGTATGTCCGAATCATTTTGGATTTGGGTTGAGAATTCCGAAACTTCGGAAATCTTTCATTCTGAATACTTTATTCTATCGCGAAAGAAATTGTACGACGATCACGAGTTGAACTTCACGATTCCGTTGTCGGACCCATTGCCATCCCAGATATATGTTCGTGCCATATCCGATCGATGGTTAGGCGCAGAGACTGTTCACCCTATCTCGTTCCAGCACCTCATCCGACCAGACACCGAGAGTGTATATACAGACCTGCTCAATCTACAGCCTCTGCCGCTATCTGTTCTGAAGAATCCTATCCTTGAAGAACTCTATGGTAAACGTTTCCAATATTTCAACCCTATGCAGACCCAAATCTTTCATTGCCTGTACCACACGCCCGCAAATGTACTCCTAGGATCACCAACTGGTAGTGGCAAGACAGTAGCTGCTGAGCTCGCGATGTGGTGGGCTTTCAGAGAGAAACCCGGATCTAAGGTTGTCTACATTGCACCAATGAAAGCACTTGTCCGTGAACGAGTGCAGGATTGGGGAAAGCGCCTTGCCGGTCCCATGGGATTGAAGCTCGTCGAATTAACCGGTGACAATACGCCTGACACTCGTACAATTCGCGATGCGGATATAATCATTACGACCCCAGAGAAGTGGGATGGTATCAGTCGTAGCTGGCAGACTCGTGGGTACGTTCGTCAAGTATCCCTTGTCATCATTGACGAGATTCATCTCCTTGGCGGTGATCGTGGCCCCATTCTGGAGATCATTGTATCGCGAATGAACTACATCGCGTCCCAAAGCAAAGGCTCAGTTCGATTGCTCGGCATGTCTACAGCATGTGCAAATGCAAGTGATCTTGGTAATTGGCTTGGGGTGAAGGAAGGACTCTTCAACTTTCGACATTCGGTCCGACCTGTTCCTCTAGAAATCTTCATTGATGGATTCCCCGAACAACGCGGCTTCTGTCCCCTAATGCAAAGTATGAACCGCCCCACCTTCCTCGCTATCAAGCAACACTCTCCTGAGAAACCTGTTATTGTGTTTGTTGCGTCCCGTCGTCAAACACGACTTACAGCACGGGACCTGATCAACTTCTGTGGCATGGAAGACAATCCTCGTCGCTTTCTTCATATGCCAGAGGAAGATCTTGCTCTCAACCTTTCTCGGGTCAAAGATGAGGCCCTCAAAGAGGCTCTCAGCTTCGGTATCGGCCTCCATCATGCCGGTCTTGTTGAGACGGATCGCTCCTTATCTGAAGAGTTATTTGCCAACAACAAAATCCAGATTTTGATTGCCACTAGCACTCTGGCTTGGGGCGTCAATTTACCAGCTCATCTTGTGGTTGTGAAGGGCACGCAATTCTTCGATGCGAAGACTGAAGGCTATAAGGACATGGATCTTACTGACGTTCTGCAAATGCTTGGTCGTGCAGGTCGCCCTCAGTTCGACTCTTCGGGTATAGCTCGAATCTTTACTCAAGATGCGAAGAAGGAATTCTATAAGCACTTCTTGCATACCGGGTTTCCAGTTGAATCGTCTCTCCACAAAGTACTGGACAACCATCTTGGCGCAGAGATATCTGCTGGAACGATCACTACAAAACAAGACGCCCTGGATTATCTGACCTGGACCTTCTTCTTCCGTCGCTTACACAAAAATCCTTCTTTCTATGGACTGGAGATATCGGCCGAGGAGCATAACACAATCGCAGCGCAAACCATGGCTAACGACTATATAGTAGAACTTGTTGAAACATCTCTCCGGGAGTTAAGTGAATCGTCTTGCATAGCGATGGAGCAAAACGAGATTGACTCCACTCCACTCGGGAAAATCATGAGTTATTACTATCTCTCCCATAAGACTGTTCGATACCTGGCCAAACACGCTAAACGAGATGCAACCTTTTTTGACGTTCTATCTTGGGTTTCGCATGCTACGGAATACGACGAATTGCCTGTCCGCCATAATGAGGACCTGATCAATGCCGAGCTTTCAAATGCCCTACCACTGAAAGCTGACGACTTTGGATTGCCCATGTGGGACCCACACGTTAAAGCCTTCTTACTCCTTCAAGCGCATTTCTCTCGAATTGATCTCCCCATAACCGACTACGTGGGCGATCTCAATAGCGTTCTGGATCAAAGTATCCGTATTGTACAAGCATCCATCGATATACTTACAGAGTTGGGATATCTTTCAAGCTGCGAAATGATGGTGACATTGCTCCAGGCAATTAAATGTGGCCGTTGGCCTACTGATGGACCTCTTTCCATTCTTCCAGGCGTCGAACCCGAGAGGGAGAGGAAGCGTATGGAACATCCACAGTCCAATCCCAAGACCCTAATTGAAGCTACGCTTGCAAAACTGGCAACGCTCGAGAAAGCTGCACGTATTTCTGGTGTAGCTGCCGGGGCGGTGAAACGATTTTCAGAGCCCGTCTCACGACTGCCAATCCTGAATGTCCGTGTCGGGGATGTGAATGCTACACAGCTTTCTTTTACTCTACAGCGGAATAATTCTGCCCGAACTGGACCAGGAGGAGTGCGTATATATGCCCCTCGTTATCCTAAGCCACAAACAGAAGGCTACTTCGCCATCGTCTCCTACTCGGGTTCGGACGAGACAATCGCTTTGAAGAGAGTTGGGTGGAATGATACAGGAAGAGGTGCGAGCTCCAAATTGCAGGCATCCATCAAGATCAGCTTGCCGGAAGCAGCAAGGGGAAAGAAGGTCAACGTTACGATTCTCAGTGATGCTTACCTAGGGATGAAATGGGATGTTCCCAGTGTTGACGTACCGGAAGCACCAGCTTTAGAGCTGCAAAAAGGCAAATAACGCCTATAATTGAATGTTCATATTGACAAACAATGACAAACAATGGTGCTTATCTATTCTATAGTATATTCTCTGGCCTATCATCTGGTGACTCCAGCCTTATCTCATCAAACAATATTTCTGAGATCCATCCATCATCTTGATTAATGTAGATGACACTGTCGCACGATGATTCATTAAGTTCGTGGCTTTTGGATGACATAGTACAAGTATACTACAGTTCTACAACGGTGGATTCCGATTGACGAAAACGCAACTGATCTTGCCTACTCCCGTTTGCCTGTGTGCGATATATCAGACATCGCAGAGCAGCTGATCAAAGAAGAGAGAAATTTGACCACTCAATAGATCTCTTCTTTTTAATCTTGATACGACAGAGCTAGCCGTGCTTGTACTCATGGATCTGAGGATGTTTCGTTAAGCGCCCAAGGCTGTGTTTGCCCCACTCAAGCATCCCTGTCTCAGTAACAGCTGTGCCACTCAGACGCATCCCTCAGGCTCTAGGTTTAAAAGCAAACTTTCATCCCATCTGTACCCTTCGTTGTACCCTGTCCTTTTACCTCCATCAGAATTGTGACGGCTTTATATTTTCCATGACATTCGAGAAGCCATCAACCCAAATCCAGGTGTAGGACTCTCAGCCAGCTTCCCCAGCGCACTCGTGTACTGAAGAACATCAAATATGGCTGAAGGCCTGGGTATCGCAGCAAGCATAATTGAAATATTCCGGTTCGGGAAATCAATATATGATCGTCTTGCTCAGTACCGCGACGTTGTTGGAAATTTACCTGAAGCATTTGCTCATGTTCAGAATCGTTTAGGCATCTTACTTGATGTTCTGGAAACGACGCGCCTGGCCGCTGAGGCTGGCGCTCTGCCAAGTAGGGCGGTGAGGGCACTGAATCCTGTCATGAGAGGTTGCAAGGAGAAGATTGTGGATCTCGAAACCATCATGAACAAATTGCTTCCGCGAGAAGAAATGAGTGGCTTGCAAAAGAGTTGGATAGCTGTTAAGAGTCTCAAATACGATAAGAGGATACAGCAGATTACAAAGGTCATTGGCGAATACGAGAGTAGCTTGACTTTGCATGCAGCGAGCGCTAAGTATCAAGAATTGGAAGGTATGAATCCAGGGTGTTGATTATCGATGATTATCCTTGAGATGACAGGGAAACTCAAGGTTCATATGCTGATATGAGCGATTCTTAGCGCGTCCTCGTCCGAAACCAGCGTCGACTGTGCCATTTCGCCAAGATCACAATTTTGTAGAACGCGAAAGTCTCCTCTCCGTCCTCGAAGAACGCTGTCCAAAACCTGCCGCAAGAGTCGCTTTGGTAGGCCTTGGTGGCGTTGGGTAAGTCAATGTCCCCTTTGCTTGGCAAGTGTTTTGATTGTGGGTATCTCGTTGGAGTACTAATGATGAATTTAGAAAGTCACAATTAGCTGTCGAGTATTCTTACAGGTTCCGTGCACGATATCCTGAGAGATGGGTTTTCTGGGTCCACGCTGGAAGCACCTCGAATATCGAGCAAGGATTCGCGACACTTGCGGAAAAAGCAAGCATACCGGCTTGGGATCCAACAGACAGGAACAGATTCAGCGTTATTACAAAGTGGCTTGCTGATGAAGCCAATGGAAGTTGGCTAATTATCATTGATAATGCAGATGATCTGGGAGTTTTTTCACGACAGGCGGAGCCATCAAACAAAAAGAAGAAGAAAAATCAATTGCCGAGCGGTCTACCTATCGACGACCTCCTTCAGCTCTTCCCGGAATCCCCAAATGGGTCATATTTATTTACCTCCAGGAGTAAAGAAACTGCCTATCGCTTGACGGGCGATCACAATGACATTCTGGATGTTGAGCCGATGAGTGAACAGGAGGCAGTGATATTACTACACAAAAGAGTTACCGGGATCGTCAGTCAAGAGGATGCCTCCAATTTGGTCGCAGCAGTCGATTATATGCCACTTGCAATTACGCAAGCCGCTGTGTACATTAACGAAAACCAGCCAAGAGTGACTGTCAAAAAGTACCTTGATGCGCTTAAACAAGGTGATCATATCCGTACAAAACTGTTAGAAGAAAGTATTTATGATGCGCGCAGGGACGGTCAACGGTCCAACTCCATAATTGTAACTTGGCATATCAGTTTCCAGTGCATAATGGGGAAGAGGAAAAGTGCTGCTCGACTGCTTGGTCTCATGGCTCTTTTTGATAGGAACGATATCCCAGAAATATTGCTGCACGGTCAGTATGCACAGGAGGATGGTACAACAAATGCTCGCCAGCAAAGATTGTTGCAGCTGGCGAATTATATGCAAGATCGAAACGCTCCACGGAATTCAAAGCGGCACCCAGAGGCAGACGATTTTCAAAAAGACTGGAACATTTTGACGAGGTTCTCTTTAATCACTACAAATCTTGAAGGCGATCATTTTGCAATGCATAACCTGGTGCAGTATTCGATGAGGACGTGGCTGCATATCCATGGAGAGCTATCGCACTGGGTGGATAGACACCTTCGGCTAATGGAAATGAGTTACCCGACTATACCTGACCATACGTCAGAGCTGTGTCTGAGGTGGCTTCCACATGCTAGTGCAGCCCTCTCCCACGAAGTTTCAAACAAGAAAATGCTGGAAATCTGGGCTAGCTTGACCGAAAAGATCGCTGAGTACATGAGCACTGTCATTGGTGCGGGGGCGGACACTGAGGCCTTACTGAGTTTAGCTGTGAAGGCATACGACTCCTCTTTAGGACCGAACCATGATCGCAGTCTCGCCTGTTCTGAGTCTCTAGGCTTCTTTCTAGCTACTCATAGACGATGTGAGAAGGCCGAGGTGTTCAGGAGGAAAGTTCTGCTTGCGAGAGAGAAAAAGTACGGGCGCAAGAGCAAGAAATTGTTGTTCAGCCTAGACTCGTTGCAAGAAACTTTGGAAGTGTTGAAGAAACATGATGAAGCGGGGGAGTTATTTCACAGAGCTGTGACAATTCGACTAAAGGCGTTCGGTGGCAGTCACCACGAAACACAGCGATCATTGAACCAACGCGGTGTTGAGCTGCTATCGGAAGGCTATTACGAAGAAGCAGAGGGTGTTTGGCGGCAGGCTTTCGAACTCAGACAGCATGATCATTCCGCAGCAGAGAAATACGATCCGCGATGGGCTCAACAACTGCACGCTTTAGGTGGAAGAGTAGGCATATTTAGGGACAATTGGGCTAAACAAGAAAAGATCATGCTGGAAGCATATGAGTATAACAGCCGATTCTTAGAAAAGCATCACCACACAATGATTCGAAATGTTGAGGAAATTGCCGTCGCTCTCGTGCAGCAGCAAAAGTACGAAGAAGCTGTCCCTTGGTTTAGAAAGGCTCTTGAGGCGCATGCAGCGGCCTCGAACGAGAAGACAGAAGATGCTCTTTTGACAGTGCACCAGCTTTCATTGGTTTTTCTAGAACTAAATAGACTAGACGAAGCATTAACCATGGCCCAAGAGCTAGTCAAGGCAAGAGAAACATCGACAGGAGGAAACTTGGCAGATTTGGCCGGTGCAAGGCATGGTCTAGCCAATATAATGCACAAAAAGGGGCTATTCGACGAGGCCGGACAACTTTATGAGCAAGCTCACATAACTCTTGTCCAGGAAATGGGAGATAATCATGATAGAACAAAAGATGTTCTGGCTGATTGGACTAGACTTAGGAAGGACATGGAAACCCGTGTACAGGGCGGCGATGGCGAAGCTTCGAATAGTCTTACCTCCCAATGGGAAAGATGGGGCAGTCCATATACTCCGGACAGGCGAATAGTCAAATAGATGGGTAGGCGCCTTGCATGTATTTGTCCATTTCTTACCCTAGACTTCTCTTATCGGTATGCCAACCCAACCGGCATCAAGATTGGCGCAATTCCCAATTCAGAAAGTCGGCTCTACTTCTTCAAATTCTCATAAAACTCTCCACCAATGGTCCAGTGCTGCATGACAGATCCTTGAAAATAGCGCTTGCACGCGCACGTTCTCTAAATACACCGCCAAATGCATTGCAAGAGGTATCTGACAATCCTTATCACAAAGTCCTTGTCACTTGTGCAAGATATTGTTTCCTCAATCATTTCTCGCGCAACCTAGTATCCCAGCCCTTGATATCCAAGCCATAAAGCATTCACTATTTTTAGTCCAACAATGTGCTGCCTCCACGAGATTTGCAACTTTTGATGCCCACTCTGATCAAATTTAAGATCCACTCACCCCGCACTGGAACCCTGCATGATGTTTTGTGCAGATCACTTGGAGATTAAAAGGTCAACGGCCAGGGGACTATAATTTAAACATACACACGCCCCTTGTCATTCGCTACTTTGAAAAATGTAGCTTGGCAGCCGCCTTCAATCAGTTATACGCTCTTGGCTCACTCCTCTTACCTGGCATTATTTCAATGTCGAATCATCTAAGCTACAACAAGCAGCCGGGTTGGCCAGATACTGGCCACGGACAAATTACTTCGTTGATCACAGTCGTACATGTTTTCACACATGTGAGGTAATGGCTACATATCTCTTGCGCCATGACATTCTGGGGGGGAGGTGCTTCATTTAAAGAAGCCTGTACTCTGGAGCTAGGTGAATCGAGCAAGGGAGTAACAGGGAGAACTGGCTAGCTTGGGTTAGAGTATCCGGATATGTCCCGAATGGGTGTTATTCCCCAGCCTTCCCCCGCAATAGTCATTGGGTATAAGAGATGGTTCTATCCCTTTTCGAATGCTTCTGTTCCCTTGACTAGAATCTCCGAGCGCAGAAAGGGCGAATCATTGTTCATCATGGTGGTTCTATATGGCTTCGTCGTCATTTTTGCAAGCCTAACTCCCACTATCTTGGGACAGAAATGTGCAACTATCAATCCAGCATATGCGCCGACATGGGGTTCGGGTTTTTCTGGACGCGTGGTGATGAATGGACTGAAAACACCACGTGGTCTCGTTTTCGACTCCGAGAATAACCTTCTCGTTGTCGAATCTGGAGGAGCAGGAGTTCGCTACATAAAGCTAACAGATAATGGCGGAAATGACGTGTGCGTCGCAAGCTCTAAGCAACTCATTGACGAGAAAGGAGTGAGTGGTTTTCAAACAATGACCAAGGTACTCATTGACGTCTGCTGTTTAGCTCAACCATGGGATCGATCTCTCAGCTGATGGAAAAACGTTGTTCGTCTCATCCATGACGACCGTATTTAGTTACTCATATGATGCCGCCGCTGGGACAGTAGGGGCGAGGAAAACTCTCATCACTGGCATGAGCAACAGTGGGCACTCCACTCGGACCGTGTTAACATCCAAGAAAAGTCCGGATCTTTTAATTGTCTCGGTCGGTTCCAATTCGAACATCGACGCTGCAACCTCGCAGCAATCCTCTGGTCGCAGTCAACTACGAATTTTCAGCATCGCCAAAGTCAGCCAGGCTTCAGTCGCGTATACTTCAGGGGAAGTCTTAGCCTGGGGGCTTAGGAACAGCGTTGGTGTAACTGAAAATCCTGTCTCGGGTGGAATAGTGAGTCAGAGCATAAATGTGTTTAATTAACCCTTTCCATGGTTACTAATTTGATTGAAGTGGTCAGTTGAGAACAGCGTTGACGATATGAAAAAGAATAACGTTGATATCCATAACACCAATCCATGTGGTCTGTACACTGAAGTATCCTATTACCACCAACCTATACTAATTGATACTCGACAGAGGAACTTAATTATCATGGCACTCTCAGTGGTACATCATCGGAACGCGGGGCCAATTATGGCTATCCAGAATGTTTTGCTGCTTGGGATCCTTCTGTCATCCCTAATAACCAGAACATCAAAGTTGGAACTCAGTTCGCCATCGGCTCAGGTAACGATGCAACATGCGCGCAGCGGGTCGCGCCAAAGCTTTGCTTCCCAAGTCATACCGCGCCTTTGAGCGTAGGGTTTAACAGGAATAGCACTGCTGCATACATTACGTTCCATGGGTCTTGGTATGCTATTCAGAGCCCGTTCACGTGAACAGCTCAGCAGTTCGCTAACAGTAACAGGAACCGTCAACCACCAGACGGCTATCGCCTCAGCAAGGTCAGCATTGATCCTGCAACTGGCATGCCTACCGAGCCTTCGACCTCCAGCACAGCAGCGATCAATGTTATGAGCAACCCCAGTAATGGCAACTGCCCTTCCAAATGCTTCCGTCCTGTCGATCTGGCATTCGATGCCAAGGGGAGACTCTTCATGACTAGTGACTCATCGAATGAGGTGTGGGTTATTGGAGGAACTTAGATACAAGCGTTCGCTGTAGCACAGAATAGCAATTTTACAGGTCCTTTGTCTGCAGCTTTAGGATAAACAAGATGTTATTATCAGACGCCAACGGCTTGTTGATTGAATCCACAAATAGCGCATCGCTGTCTCTTATTCTTGACATACAAGCAACCAGGGGCGCTGAGCATAGAATGACATCGACTATCCCTAAAGAGCATCTTGTGATTAGTTGGAATATACTTATATCGTCGACACTGAGCATCATTTGCGTAACCCTATGGTTCTAAAGCCTACATAGCCTGCCGTTCTGTGTCTGCACACCCTGATCCCCATCATTCACCACCCACTGTTCGCTTCCAACAGCCGTGGTCGCGTAGAACAGCCCTTCGGGGTCGTACTGCTTCTTAATCTCTAGCAACCTTGGATACTTGTCACCGTAGAAATCTTCCTGCCATTTAGGTTCCATGACGCTAGCTTCGTTCAAGTATGATCCTCCACCCTCAGTCGCAGGCGTGATGTCTCTCCAAGGTTGGAGAATATCATCTTGCAGGACTTTGTTTGCGTTGAATATCTGCTCGGTGGTACTGTTTGGGGTGAACCTCGGTGATTGGGTGATAAAGAAGCTTTGTGCGTGGCGCCAGGCAGAACTAACAGCGTTGTCGACGTTCTGAGGATTCTTCGGTGCTTGGTGGTAACAACCGAAATGGCGTGCGTTGTTGACGTGTTTCATCAAAGTATCGAACGTAAGATTGAATTTGACTGGATCATCCCAGTTTGCCTTTGGAATGAGGCGGTTGCCTGGAAGGGATTGCGCTGAACCCATGGGCTGTGCTGTGGATCCCCAGGCGTCCCAGTATGCCGGAAAGAATGAATCATAATGTGTTGAATTATGTGGGGCCTTGAATGGGATGCCGAGCTCATTGATTCTGTCGAACAATGGCTTTGTGAGATTATTGTAAGATTCGATCGTATGACCTGGAACAAAAAAGGATCTCATCCTCAATGTCAACTGCCCATCAGTATTGAAGATAAAATACCAAGAGTAGGTTCCTGCATCAGTAAATTCTGGATACATCTCCCAGTACTTCCTCACGCCTTTCCAAAAGTTCTCGCGACTGACGGTCTGGTTTGTCGTATTGCCCAGCTCGAAAGTTGAGTGAGTAACTTGAATCTTTGGATGGACTTTGACAATGGCGGAGGTCACTATTCCAAATGTCGATCCGCCACCACCTCGTAAAGCCCAGAACAACTCAGGCTCCGACTCTTCAGATGCGGTAACAAAACGACCGTCCGCTGTCACGACTTGGTAACCTAAAACTGAATCGGCAGCCATTCCATAGTAACCTGACAGAGGATTGTGGCCTCCCCCTTGGAGATAGCCGCCAACGAAACCGACACTCTATAATTCTGATAAGATGTTTGTAGATCAATGCGAGCGTGGACTTCGTACCTCACAGACACCACCTTGAATAGTGCCGCCCTGTGCTTCCGCAGCTCTATACACTTCCTGAACTGTAGTTCCAGCATCTGCCTTCATTGCCGATCCCATGTATCCTTTCGCTATGTAGCTAGGCAGGTATTTAATTTCCTTGAGGTTATGCATCCAGATGCTCAGTGAGCCTGCTCCTGAAGATTTACCCAAATAGCAATGACCTGTATTCTTGACGACGACGCGAATGTTAGCGTTGCGCGCGAAATTGAGAGCAAGTTGTATTTGGGCAACGCTGGTGACATTCACAGCATATGTTGGATATCCTCCTAGAGTGCACGTATCTTCCGTCGTAGTATCATTACGGGGGAAGCAGGTCCGCCCTTGATATATTGGCCACATGATGCTTGTTGGATCATCCTCACTGCCTGAATGTCAGCATGCAGAACTATTACTTGATTTTCCACAGCCGATCGTTTGGGAAATGTATTCTTGATAGCATTTTGCATGTTTGAAACTTACTGTAACGATGGTGTACCGAACCTACGAATAACTTCATTGCATTTGGAAAGGTCTTTAGGGCCCCACGCAGAATTGTAGCATGGGGCGGCCACCGGAGCAGATGATATCAACGCCCCCCCCAAGAGGTCATTTAATGTATCCCATTCCCCAATAGTTGGCCAATTATCATCTCCTGGGAAGGTCTTACAAGAACTATTCTTTGCATTGCGGGCGGATCGAGTATTACTGCCTTGGTAAAAAGAGAGGAGGTTGGCAATCTGAGAGGCTCTTGGATCCTCCCAGATTTGTTGAATAAGTCCCTCTGTCAACTGAAAGGTTTCGGCCTGGGACAGTGGAGCGTTCGCTGCCTCGGGTTTACTGGAAGATGCGCCAGCAAGCTCTGTCAGTCTACCATAGGTACCGCAGGCAAGAAGACTGCCCAACGGAACTAGATGGTGTAGCGCAAGAAGAACCATTCTCTTCACGGGTAAATTATAACTAAAAGACAAAAAAGAAGCTATTGTGAAAGGTGTTCCTGAATAGTATTATATACGCACTGCTCCTAGTTTCGCTTATGTATCAATATCAATCTGGATAATTAACTCTTAAATCTTGATCCAGAACGATCAGCTCGCCGTGCCAACCTTCTTAACCACCAACCTTTTTTTCACTTGTAATTGTCGACTCTTTTTCGACTTTTTTGGATTCTAGCCAGCCAAACTTCTCATTAAATCTGATAACCCATTTGGGACAGAGCATTGTTATCGCAATCTCGTGTCGGATCGAATTTTGTGGCGACGCAATTGCCGAACGACACGCCATGCTCACTTCCAGGCCTTGCAGATGTTCGGGGCGTAGTGTGATTCTGATTGGCGAATCGCGGAGATCATCCTCTCCGACTGTCGCGGTCCAAGATATTGCTGCAGACAAGAAACGAGTAAGAATGCACATTGAACGGTGAGGGCGCATGTATTTACCATCTCTTAAAGTTGTGTTCGTCTGCGACACAGAGACAATGCCGTGTAAGAGAACGAATTGGTGAGGTCAATGTCCAGCCGGTGAGCTAGTAATAGCGGAGAGGATTTTTGTGATCTTCTCTGTCAATATACAAAACAAGATTGTACACGTAAAGATTTCACAATGCTAGTGCTGGTCGCATCAACTGAAGTTTCGGGCAGTTATAGGACATGTTATTGTATATCCATGAAAGGTCGTGGCTTTAGAATCAAGATCTAAGTAATGAACTGGGTCACCGTACATCGGCATCGTACAAACTCTCTTCACCTCCGCTTCCGCCATCTCTTCCTTCGAAATCTCCGACATTTTATGTACGGTTCCAGCATGTTCATCCTCCGCTCGCGTCGCTTACAACCCTCCAACGCTCCCCTTCCCGTCTACTTTATCCTGATTCTTACATGCATCAACCGCTTACTTTTCTTTGTATGACACACCGAGGTTCGTCGAATTTTCCGACGGGAAAAATGTTAAAAACTGCGTTTCTGCCAGGAAGGCTCGGGGTAAGCAAGAGGAAGGGCGCAGCCGCGTGCGTACCTCACGGCCATCGACCTCGCTCGGTACAGTGAAGAAAATATCCACCAACAATCTTCGTGGATTCAATCATGTTGTGCACTGTTGTACACAAGCCACATATCCGCATTAATGATGACCGACGTAATTATCGATACTTTTGTGACTCATGGACATTTGCTTAAATTTATTTTGTTGGAGCTACTCACGTTTGTAGTGCTAATGACGATGGGGGCGCGTGCATCGCCGGATAACGAATCCGGCAGGAATGAACGGAAAACGAATGAGATGCTTATGCCAGTTCATAAGATCAATCATCCGGTTCCTGGGTTTCCCTCAATATGGAGTGGGTGATTGCGCGAAAATAAGGGTCAAGTTTGGATTCTAGTTAGGAAGCAGTTGACAAAAGACAATCAGGCAGCGTGAAATAGTCAAGATGGAACATTCAAGGTGTAAAGCAGAGTCTACAGGTCTAGCATACAATGTGATCACTAGTTCAGAATGCGCTACTCGAGTTCTGTTGTAACGACACTTATATGATATTTTATTGTTGTTCATCTTCTCGTTGCATGTCTCTTATAGTAAGGTGCGGTTCCTGAAGCGCTCATGGCTTGCTGTAGTTGCAGCTGCGATGCAATTCACACAGCTATTGCGAGGATTCTCCAGGCCAGACATTGTAAATGTACATTGGTGGCCACCATAACTTCAGGTCCAATGATCATATCGTACAATGTAGCATTGTCGATTTACAAAATTTAGTATGCATGTTTGATCATAACAACAGTAAGATCGAACTACACAATATCCTTAAAACAAAGGAAAAATATATCATTCACGGCCTAGCATTTCATTAATATAAAAGTCGTCTGCTTGTACTTACTAGAGAATTGTAACCTATCGCCTGAGCGCACATCAATCCTCATCAATCCATTCCTACAAGCACGACTTACAATACCAAAAACCCCAAACGATCACCCATTAGACATGTCAGAGATGTCTTTTGAAGAGTCTACTTCTGAGAGGAAGTTAGAGACAAGTGTGGTCTCGAAACAGCATCATGAAGTCAGATACGTACCCGTTTTCTCTGATGCTGGAGGCACCAGACGCTATGTTTCAGGCGGTTGTCATCCTATGCATATAGGAGACGTATTAAACAACGGGCGCTACGAGATAGTTAACAAAATTGCGCCTGGGTGGCTCTCAATCGTCTGGGCCGCTCGAGATAATCAGTAAGTTTCCTCGAATCTACATTTGCACAAATATATAATCTTACGATTGACTGGTAGAAACGCGAACAAAATCGTGGCCATAAAGGTTCTCAGAGCAGATCGTTCGCAGGGAGAGGTAAACGAGTTGAAGGTCCTACAACATATCGAAGCAAATGGCAATACGGAGCATCCAGGGCGTCGGTTTCTACCACAGCTGCTAGATTACTTCTACTGCGAAGGACCTAACGGTAGGCATCTTTGTCTTGTCCTTAACGTACTTGGCCCAACATTACGGAGTATTAGATGGGATTCTGAATTTAGCCCGAGGCTTCCTTGCAGCCTCAGCCGTCATGTTTCCCGACAGCTCATTCTTGCCGTCGACTTTCTACACTCAATTGGCATCGTGCATGGAGGTAAGCCATCCCAACCTTTTTGACAATTCAACACCAAGACTAACATTGTTCTCAAGACATCAGCGAAGATAATATTGCGTTCCAGATCCCTCGAATTGAAAGGGTGCGCTTCGATGCAGCTCGTAAGGGTAAGCTGAGGAGGATGGATGGTGAGCCATTAGGAGAGCATGTACCACAGTACCTTGTTGAGCCATTAGCACACTGGAGATACGCCGAAGTAGAAGAGCTGAGTGATATCCAGCTTATTGATTTCTCGGCCTGTAAGCTTTTCCAATACATTGTCAAATCTCTGCACAGTATACTGATTACTATCTAGCATTTTTTGAAGCGAAGCCTGCGTGGTCAGTCCACCGATCGATGGATATTGTTCCTCCTGAAGCGACATTCATGCAACCGTTGAACAGAGCGATGGATATCTGGAATCTAGCTTGTGTAGTACGTGTGCCCCTTGCACACTTGTCGTTCTAGAATATTGCTAACAATACGTGTAGACTTATCGATATGTTACGGGAGGCGATCTATTTAACAGTTACTTTGAGCCGACGGATCATCGGTCTTTTGTACCGCAGATGTTACGAGTCCTCGGAGAAGATTCTGCCCCATGGATGTTCAAGGCCTGGATGAATGTTATCACAAGAAAAGCACGGGAAGGCCTCCCACCACTAGAATGTTGGTATATCCTACTCCATTACAGAAATTTTCATTGCTAACAAGTTCCAGTTAAGCCCGCAGAGGAGGAACTACCTTTGATTGAGAATATACGGGAGTGTTACTTTTACTTCAAAAATTGTGCGCAGCGTAAAAGGCTACTGTATGGCCGGGATGGAAGCATAGTCGGTTACATTGATGGGGAAGAAATGATACTATACGACGCACCAGAAGAGCATTGTCCAGAAGTTGCTGACGAACCAGAAGATTACTCAGGAGATGAGGAAGACGAAGAATTCCTTGCGATGGCCACCTCATATCTCACGAGAATGCTTGTCGCCGACCCGTCGAAGCGAGCCACAGCCTCAGAGTTGATGCTTGAGCCCTTCGTGCAAGACACTAGGTTTGAACCGCAGGCTCTGGGTCCACTTAGGTCTGTCTCTTATTCCAGCGATGACTGGACGCCTTCGCCACCGTACCGGCCTTCCTCAAGGTCGGGTAGTGATATGTCTACGGATTGAGCGATATGATGTACGGTCCTCTCCTCTTGCCAGCGCATGCGATGGTTAGATCTAGCATTTGTTCGATTTATCCGATTCTGACTCTCAAATTCATGAGGCTACGAGGCTACCAGGAGCAGAGAAAATGACACAAGGCTCCCGCACCAAAGCATCCTTCTATCGTGAACAACTTGATCTTAGACTATATCGCTGAATATACACAACATTCATTGCAATACCAACGCTTAACTCCAACGCCCTCCTCCAGTAATAGCTCAAACCAGTAATCCAATTCCAGCACTGATATCATACCGTGGGTCAAGAGACCACCCCCGAAACTAGACGATATGATGCCAAGCTCAAGATATTCCACTGTTGGAACTACTGAATGTGCTTAGCTATTTATCTTCTAGGAAGTGACTTCTACCACATAAACTATCACAGCGTTGATCCTGCAAGCTTGTAAACACTTCAGCCACTGTAAAAGGTTACGAATGCTGTAATCTGTAAGAATATGGTTTCATAACTTTTACTCTGTGTTAATCTAGCACCATGTGCTCAGAGAAACAGACTATTGACAAGATGGACGCCTACTTATGCGTGCTGTGGGGTGAAAATTCATGAAGCGCTGCCCCATTGAAATGTAAGTACAGTAACTAGCAACACTCGGGTCGCGAGATTTCCAGTCAACCTCTTTATATTGTGGTGCAGGTGGTCATGTGGCTTGCATAACTTGTATGGCTTGTACTATACCAAAGGAATTGTCAGACCTCTTCCTCCTCCCTCTTTTCCAATTCGCCAGAGTTGGCCAGACACGAATGTAGTCAAATAGAGCCATCAAATACTGTGGGTTAGTCAGCAAGTGAGCATTTTGGTGATGATGCAACAGCTACAGTGGGAGAATCGGGATGGCAGCTACAACTACATCGTACGTTCGTTCCAAGGGCAATCTGTGGGGATGTCAGATCCCTAGAAAAACGAGCGCACACAGATAGCGGTGTAAAAGCGGAGGTCTCAGCAAGAGATCGCTCTCGACTGCACTCGCTTTGCTAAGTGGCGCACAGAGCTAAACAACTCAAGGGCGGGAACTGTTCACACTGGAACCCTTACGCATAGCTCTGAACAGCCCGCCTCCTTTATGGTCCACGTGAAACAACTCTCATAGCAATGCGTCTCATAAAGTTATCAAGCCATCCACCAAACAGAGATCTTCGAACTTGAAAATCCAATTCTTTTATCAAACACGGAATCAAACCGCATAAAAGATGTCTTTTATCAGTACGTAATATTCCCAGTTTCCTGTCCTTGATATTGCTCAGTGTGATCGATTTCATGGATATAATTCTTTTCAGGACCAATCTCTCCATATAGCGTGGAATATTGTCCCAATATCATTACCAAATGTATCCAATAGCAGCTGGTACAAAACATGGCAGATGCAAAAGGTTATTCGCCCATCAGCCTCTACCCAGAAATGCAACTAGAACTGCCCCATATCTATATCAACTTCGATCAGCTTCTGTAGATTCCTACTTGGGACTATTGCTTACGCAGCAGCAGCCATCATCACCTCGTGATTTTGGGCTTTGGTGGTGAATGCTAGGAACATTGAGAATAGGGCTGTGCATATGACAACAACTACCAACGACGGAAACCCGTTCCCGATGAAAAACATGATTATGACGGGAACGAGAAGGGTTATTGTCGAGATGGAAGTAAGGATGGCGCGGACCGAGCGCTGTATGTTCCCATCATCATATACATAGAGTGAGCCCGCTTCTGGGTCTACTCCTGAGGAACTGGGCTGATAAGCCATTAGAACAATTTTCATGGACGTTGTTTCAAGAACAAACTTTTGCAAATCGTTTCCACAATATTTTCTCAACTTTGCGATAGGCCCAGCCCTTGGCTTCCTTGCCAATCCCTAGGGTAATCAGATCATTTTCGACTTCCAGATATTCGGTAACATCGAGAGCATTGTGGTCTTTAGCCTGTGAAGTGAGACCTGTAACATTGACCGACTCCGGTTCCCCGAGGGTTCTGAGGCGTGATTGCTCGACCAGTGCCCTATCTTTTGACATTAGGATCTGGAAGGATGGTGCTCGAATTAATGGGCTTGGTTGAACGTTTATCACGCAAAGAGAATAAGGGGTACAAACTGTAGGTATTGAGGTAGTAGCCAACCTCTCGCATCAACCTTTCGCGGTGACTTGAAGTGTCTGCATCATGCCCTTGTGCCTTGAGCTCTTCGAGTTTGTCCTCCAAAGACAACAAATGCGCCTGCGAATGGAGCAAATGGCGCAAATTCAGGGCGTTAAAGCGGCGAAAGATGAAAAAGGCCGAGTCGTGGTTCATAAACGTCGCCAGTCGGTCGTCTGCATCCTCGCTGGTACATGTAAGGCTTATATTCGTGGGAGGGTATTCTGACATCTTAATCTTTTCACAAAGAAAGCTGTCATTGCTTTAAGCTGTATTGCAGCTCGCTTAAGAACTTCAGGGCAATTGAACTCCTTTGGTACGATTTAATTAGGGATCAAATAAACGGCTCAACTTCGCATCCATTGCAGTTTTTTTGTCCCTTTCCTTGTCACGCACGAGCCAAGGGTTTTTTGAATGGCTCATTTAGATAGCTCATCCAGGCCTTGAGGGCATGATGGGCAATGCCTAGAGCTGAATGATCAGATCAGATGGATAGGAGAGATCCGAGGTACCCGCAGAATAACTACTTCTTGAGCATCCGTCCATTAATGCTACTACTTCACATCCCTCAGTTTCATCTATACTGACAGACAAAAATCATCTATTTGTATTTCAAGGGCGATAAATTTCTGGCAAGGTTATTCATTCTCTCCCAGAGAACGGTAGTTATGAGGATTGTACGGGAATTTTCCACAATATGGATTGCCAGCACTGTGGTGAGCACTTGACCGACAAGTAAGTTGCATTACATACCTTCACGACGGAGCGATGCTCAAGCCAATTCCAGGGTCGAGTTCGATGAACATGTGAATCATCACACCAATGTACAAACAGCACTTAGCAGGGCCAAACATAGGACATTAGGCGCGGTTTATATCAGCGCAAAGAGCAAAGACAATGCCGAAGGACTACGGGAGGCATCTAGTATCAACAACAAGAAATCGGAAAGACCAGCCTCCCATGATGTTCCCCCACTCTTAGGTCACTCAGGTGCGCAGCAGCGGCCCAAAAGGAAATCCTAGTCCTCTTCGGCCCGGCCTGGTACACTTTTCATTGCCATAGATGGTCGCTCTATCACAAAAACAGAAAACTGGGCAGCAAGAACAACCGAGGCCACTGGTGGACTACAAAGGATTTTAGAGTCATATCCTGTCGTTCCATACAGTGCAAATGGTCCACAACTTGACGGTCCAATGACCACAGCCTCTGATGTTTCATGCAAACATTGCCCGGCGATCTTCTCGAATAGGTAAGATTAGAGATGTCTCAGCTTCCTGGACTAATAGTGTACAGTGATGATCTGACCGACCACTATTTGTCTAAATACTGCCCTGGTATATCAATAATCGTCCATCTTATGATCTATGATAGGTATGTTAATTAGGCACTATCATTTCACATTCTCTATGAATCCAGGATAAACGAAATAATTTCGGTGCATATAAATAACAATCAAAAAGCTCGAAGGTGGGAGGGTACCGACTTGATCGTAGGCTAATACCACTTGATCACAAGACCACCCAACTGGAATTTCAATGCAGGAAGTGTGAAATATGCTTCGAGACAGAGAAAAAAGCAGACGAACATGAAGGGAACCGTAAGTTACTATAAAGACACAAGCTACCACATCTGATCACAGGCCAGATCTAAGTGAAGATGCTAAGTGTCTGCATTGTGCCAAGATATTTACGACATCGTATGTTCTTCCTTGCTTCCATTCAATTCATTAGAAAGGTGTTTATTGACTTTGATTGCACTGAAGGCATGAGTTGGAGCAACACTATGATTTCCATGATGACATGGAATTCCGACATACGCGAGATAGGTTGCGAACCGGGGAGCCGTACTGCGACGACGGCGACCGCAGCTTCCTCGAACAGCCTGGAGTTGAACGTCTCGCAGTCCCATCTACCAATAAAGAAAGCAAGTTAACCCTACGTGAGTATAACCGTCAGAAACCCAGGCTAATTCTGTGAAGGGAGTCCATACGAAGATGGAGATTTGATCGCAATCAGCTTCATCAGCGGCGAAGATCTCGAGCGCGGTAGGTTACACGGATCCCTCTTCCCTAAATATGTACATACAACCAAGAACTGACACAGATGCTTCTTAGTACACGCGCCGCGAGGGGTTCTAAAAGAGCCCTCTCCATACTATTATTACATTCCTGCACACCTCGACCCGGATCACGAACCGGGATCCGTTAGCTACTGTAGGCCTTATGAACGAAACAAGCCGAAATTGCTTCCAAGCTAACGTAGTCATTGATAGACAATGGCGAACTATGTGTCACTGCAGGAAGAATCGAAAGTTTTCTTCCAGGCGATCAGGACCACGACCTTCCAGCTTCGCAAGCGGCAATCCCAGATGTACCAAAGCCCACGTCAGGTGCAACAAGTCCCGTGCTGAAGACTTCGGGCATCTTCTGTCGCATCCGCCGTCTCTTTCACCGCGTCTTTGGTTTAGGAAAGGGCAAGGCGGCCGACAACCAAGGTACTTCCTGGTTTTTCTTCGCGACATGTATTCTAATTTTAACTAGCATAGATATGAAAGACGTTCTAGAAAGGTCCAGTACGCTTACGGAGTTCAACCCCCCTAGCAGACAACAGACAGACATCAGTGCCATTCTGTACCGACAATCCTCAAGCGCCAACGAAGGAACACCCAAACCAACTCAAGCTCAAGATCGAAACAAATTCAGTACATCGGAGAAATGCCCTAAAGCTTGTCGCATTTCGGTGCACGGGCATGGTATACCCGGTAGGATGTTCATCACCGATGAATCCAACCGCACCATAGTCGTCACCGGCCATCTAATAGGGAATATTCTAAGACGTATCGTTGACTACGGGGATACGGGCAAGTGGAGGGCAAAAGCGGCCGGGCTGCTAGTCAATGCAAATGCTAGCAAAGAACAGGGCGACGCAGCCAAGGCCATAAATAATTGGATCGAGGCCCTCTCTATCTTCCATGAGAACCCGGAACTCGACCCCGACGGCACCTTTGAGCTCGTCGTGCTCTGGGAGGTCGCCAAATGTCTCAACGACCTGCAACGGGCCCTGGACGCAGAGGAATACTTCCTCGCCACCATCAAACTCTCGGAGAGGAAGTTCGGCCGCGAGTCCCCTAACAGCTACAACTGTATCAACTGCCTAGGCGTGCTGTATGAGAAGCTCGGCCGCATCGGTGAAGCGGCTGCCATGTACCAGCGGTCGATCGCAGGGCGCGCGAAGGTCCTGGGCGAGCTACACTGGGACACGGCGATGTCTCTGCAAGAGCTCGGTATGATCCACCTGCGTCTGAACAACTACGCGGCGGCGCGGCCGCTGCTTGAAAAGTCGCTCCGCGGGTTCGAGAATGATGAAGGCCCGCATGAGAATTTCACGCTGATTGTGATGACGAATCTCTGCAACGTCTACCAGGCATTAGGTATGATCATCGAGCTGCGGCAGATCGTGGACCAGCTAGTCCCCATGGCGCTCCTGAAATTAGGTCCTGAGCATTTGATCACTGGAGCGGCGACGCGCAAGTATGTTGAGTGTTATGGCAGAGAAAATCTTCCCCCGGGGCTCATCCAAAGATACAGAGACATCTACAAAGGGACTGGATCAGAAGTTGCACGATGGGTTCTCGAACTGTGTTGAAAAGCGATGATGATGCATGCTGTTGTCGTTTTCATATACGCAGAGTGAATCCTGGTACCGCCCATGTTGATAGCGCTATATCGATGGGGGCTACAATCGAGGACATAAGCCCCGATATTGACTAGTACTAATGTTGACCGCTATGTTACTTGCTATGTCACTTTCTATGTTGCTCGGTTGTGCCAGCATAGTACCCACGGAGCGAGACGAATGGAAAAGTGTTATGTAGAGCGATAATGCTGTTTTCAAAAAGGGTCGTAACTTTCTGAGATCAACCCCAGTATGACGCAAGCAACAACTAAGTGATGACACATCGTGGCGATAGAGCTTGAAGAGCATATTAACTTCGAATATCTTAGGAATCTCCACATGCACAGGCAATGTTGCTGTACTTCTTAGAGGTAAACCATTGCAGTTAGCCGTGCAGGCCACTCCTTTCTTGAATCTGAATGCGAATGCATTTACATTGTTACCTCCACGCTTATTCTATGCAAAACCGATTTTATATACACACAACCACCCAGTCGCAACCCCTTTCCTTACGATACACTTGGAAAAAACACCCTCCCATCAAGCCTTAACCATCAACCCCCACCCCTTATGCGTAACCCTCGCCGCAACAAGAAACACCGCGCTTCCGAGCAGCAGACACCCGCCATAAATCCAGATGCTCTCAAATCCGCTGTGATCCAGAATCGCGCCTCCGATTGGCGTCCCGATAAGCAGCCCGACAGCGATGATCGCGAACGTCTGGCCCATGCGGGTGCCGATCTTCTCGCGGGCGTCGAGGGACAGCGAGACGACGATGGCGGGCGGGATGGAGACAAAGGAGCCGGAGAAGAAGCCGTAAAAGGCCATGAGGACGATGATGGCGGCGGAGGTGTGGACGGCGGCGAAGCAGAAGCACAGGATGGCGGAGAAGATGGTGCAGGGGACGACGACGTTGAAGACGCCGATGCGGTCGGCGATGACGTTGGGGATCGTGCGGCCGAAGATGCTGGTGCTGTTCATGACGGCCAGGAGGTAGAAGGCGAGGTCGGGGTTCGTGATGTGGCGCTGTAGGGCGTAGAACTGCGCGTAGAAGAAGGGCATGTAGAGACCCATGAAGCCGACGAAGAAGCCGGCGATGTTGAGGCTGTAGGGGGCGATGGTGAAGGCGTTGAGGTCGAGGAGGGAACGGGACTTTTTGGGGAGGACTCGCACGCGCATGACGGTGAGGGGAATAACTTGCGTTGCGATGATGATGAATCCTATCACCCGGGTTGTCCAACCAAATCCGATCTGCGGAAGGAGGCGATGGAAGACAATGGGGTAGATTATACCACCTATCAACTGTCAGACTTGAACTCCAAGAAAATACGGTTGAATTTTAAGGTTTGTCTTACCAAAGGAGCTCCCACTCGCGGCGAGTCCTACAGCGGTCGAGATCTTGGTCGTGAAGTAGGTGTTCAGGATTGCTACTGCAGGGACGAACAGAAATCCAGTACCGGTGCCTATGCAGAATGCTTGCGCGAGAAGAACCTGCCAGTATTCGTGGCATAGACTCAGCATCATCTGTCCTATCACGAGGAGAAGAGACCCAGAGATAAGTAACGTGCGAAAATACCCAGCATCATAGATCGGTCCGGACAACGCGCCTACCATCATCAGGAGAAATCCTTGTATAGAACCTATCCAAGAGACTGCGGATGCATTGGAGTCTACCAGTAGTACTGTGTTGTAGTAGGTCTGATATGAGCCAAATGTGTTGACGATGCCCCTGCACATCATGTTAGTTAGTGGCCCTCAAACATTCTATTTACTCTCAGACAGTCTCTCATTGAGACGCTGAGAAGGGCAATTTTCCACTTACCAAGTATTGAACAATAAGAAAAATGCACCTAGAACCTGTAACCACGCGACGAGTCCTCCGTTGGGTATACTACTCGTATCTCTCACGCTCTTTCTGCTAACGACCTTATTCAGGCCTTGCTCATCACCGGCATATTGTTGGTCATCCTCAATCTCTGCATCATCTTTCACCGGCGCATTGACTTCTTTGCCACCATTCGCCTCGATCTTTTCTTGCGACTTGTCGTGTGAAGTCGCATCATTGTTTCCGTCACGGCTTGGCAGTGAAACAGAAGATGATCCAGATTCTTGTGTTGTCTTCTCGTCAGACACAGCTGTGGATGGTAGTTCCACCGCGGAATTGCGACCACTAGTGGTGGTAGGATAGGCCATTTGCGGTGCGCCACTGCGGTCATACACGTGAACTTGCCGGCACGCGGTTTGGGTGTGACGAAGCCGCGCAAAGTGACACAGGTGTTACCTTTGCATACGGTTGGATGAAATATGATAAAAGGGTGATCTGAAAAGGATGTCAAAAATTGACCACCGAAGAGAAGGAGGGTAATGAATTTGAAGAAACGAAGATGACGAACAAGTCGATGTTCGATGATGATGGGAGAGAGGAAACCAATTATTAATATATGGGAAAAACAATCCCTGGAGAAAACGGTAGTCAGATCCAATTCATACCAAGTGAGGAATAGTTCTGACCCACCTGCGTGTATACGACACATGGGATTGCATGGGCGTTGCGGATGATGCAACTCTCCACCCCCTCTCCCACCGTCTTTTCCCCCCAGTAGTAGTAGTGGTAGGTAATAGTTGACTATTACTCGTGGTTACTCGTAGGGGAGTGCCGCCCTTCGGAAAAGCATGGGCAAGATGGCGCTAGACTGGCCTCCATTAAACCCGCACAATCCCCGGTTGGGTAAAAAGCTTATTCCATCTCATTCACTCGGCCGACCAACGGTCTACGCTATATCCGACATGGGGTTGTACGAGATGTGTTCCTGTTTAGCGATGACTCGCAGTACCGACAATGGAAACTGCCCATTGGTTCATCGAAGTCGTCATGATGAAGGCCTGCCTGTTGTTGGAAAGAACATATAAGAATACTGTTGATTATTGATAAAATCTCTTTTAAAGCCCAGAAAGCCACCCAGGCCGCTGTCCACTCCCTTCAACCTGCATCACCAAGTAATCCGAATGCGGACACTTACGGTGTGAATTTCAGGTCGAAAAATCACGCAGTCCATCCACGAGAAATCTAAACAGGTTTTATGATGTACACAGATGCCGTGCCTCATGGTCGTGATGAAGTCGAACAAAGAAAACGGGTATGCGTCGTCATCGAGTCGTCTCAGTGCTTTTGTTTGTGAATGCCTTCACAGATAAAGAATAGGAAGAGGAAGAATAAATGAACACAAGAAAGAAATCGTGAGGATTTTGGGGAACCCAATCGCCAAATGTCGCCAACGCCTATGCAACGCCCTTTCGCTCGCTATGCAGTGTACAATGCTGACGCAGAGGACTCTACCTGAACCCCCAATCATATCGAGCACGCCCAACCATATGGAATACAATCGATCCTACCCGAAAATCCTTGTAAAAACCTACCATGGCCCCAGAGCTAGTAATGTAAAATTAACCATATCTCCACAGAAAAGATCGAAATTTCAGAGGATGCTTCTTGCGCCTAATGGGTCTGACGTCGCTCGGTAAGCATTCGTCCGTTGGCTTGCTCTTCGTGGAAGAGATTGTCGACGATGTGCTGTGGAACAGAGCTACTTTTGTCGGGTACCTGGCGGAACCAACTGTGCAGGACTTTCCTACGGCGATCCTCTCGCTCAGTTACGACCTCGTGCATGAGCTTCTCAATCCTGGGCCAGCCGAGTTGGTTGACGACGACTGGACGCTTGAATAACCCATCCAATAGAGCAATCGGTAACGAGAGCAAGATGGTAGAAAGGGTTCGAGTGATGAGATCGGGATTGAGGTCTTCGGGCGGCACGTCCCCAAATCGAATACCGCTTAACCGTGGGTTGTGCGACGCCTGTTTCGACTCGACGACATGAGGCAGGCGGGGACAGTTCTGCATTTCTGGAGCCACACTGAAAAAGTTGAAGCTGGGAGAGAGATCGTAAGCCAGGAAGTCCACACAATCGCGTTCCACAAAGTTGGTGGCGTCAAATTCCACGGGACTTCGTGCACCTTGAGCAATTTCATCCCGAGATCGAGAGTAGATGCTTTCCCTAAGACCATACTCCAGCGCCAACTCAACCGTGTCCCATCGCAAGAGCGCTCGAATCAGCTCCAAGCCGCGACTATGCATGTTCCGAAGCCCAAACAGCTTTCCCGTCGCTGCGTAGCTTATAGCTCCAGCCATGCGCTTTAGTGCCTCGCGCGAATTCGGGCCTTCTTCATCCCCGAGGAAGAAAGGAGCCAAACCGTAACAATATCCCTCCACGGTGAACAAAGGAGCACCATAGAGTATTCTGATCGCTTCGTCGACTGCTTCCGAGGTGATGTATTTGTCCTGTGTGAAAACATCGAGCTGCACCAAGGAGTGGTCATTGCGGGTAGTTTCGGCGCGACCACGTTCAATGGAGAAGGCAATCGCTGGGCTGCGAGCAACAATGAGGCTATGCACTGGAAGTTCCAACAGGGTGGTAGTAGGGGAACGGACACGCAAAACAGCATCTGCGTACTTTGGATTCCCCAGTTGAGAGTTGAGGTATGCCAGAAGCTCGAAAGGCATATCCAGTTTCGGAGGTACAAACGACTGCATGCCAGGCCCGGCATGATAGGGGGCAAATCCTCGATCGTCTTCATGTTCTGAAGGTGGTTGAGTTCCTTGGTAGAGCGGCTTCAGAGGTGATTGTGAGCGAGGGGTAGCGGCGTGGCTGGCGGTCGCTGGTGCCCCTCCAGGTGAGAATGAAGGTACAAGATGCGCATCGAAGGGGGTCTGCACATTGAATTGAGGGGGTTGCAAGCCTCTACCATTGATGTAAGGTGGATCCAGGGATGCTGCAGTCGCTGCCGGGGGAATCCAGGGCGCCTGGGAGCGCGAGTGGTGGTGGGCGTGGCCGGGATAGAATTGACTCGCGAATTCCGGGTGCATGAGACCAGGTGGCTGGCGATGCGTTGGCTGGAAATGGTTATGCATATCCTGCTCAATGTCTTGCGGAGTGACGGGTACCGCTGGAGAGGCATTCGTAGCACCAAAAACGATACCGTCGACACCGGGTTGCTGGACATGCAATGGAGTGGTGAATGGGTGGGCCTGTTGATTGGCGTCATGTCCGTTGATCGATACACGTCGTTGATCGGCGGGATAGAAGGCAGCCGGGAGCTGGTCAGATATAGCAGCGCCTGCAGAAGCCCCATTGACAGTGTCTTGACGAGAAACCTGCTCTTGCTTCGTAGACTGCGCGCCGGCTGTGGTGTCTGCTCCAAGGTTCATTTCTAATATTGTCAGACTCGACTCACTCAAGCTCATTTCCACACATTACGACTTACCTTGGGCATCGGGGACCTCAACGGCAGTCGCACCTGCAGATGTCGCCTCAGAGCTTGCGGGTAGCCTGTTCTCGACACTTTCGTGTTGTGCGCCAGAGACTTGGGTGTCCGGTGTCAGAGGGTCGGGAGCGTTTCGTCGGTTGGAGCCGTTCCCAATGGGCTGGGGAGTAGTCGCACGCGCATCTTGCTTGTTCACGGTCTCGCCAGGATTCTCATCCGGGGTGATGGGGCGCGCAGCTCGCTGTGGGCGGGACAGCTTGTGAGGAATTGCTGGAATGATGGGTAAAGCTCGTCGAGTCTGTCGGGCTCTAATACCAGCAGCGGCATCGGAGGTTGTCGCCATGGTAAGAGAGGATCTAGCGATTGCTTGGAATGGAATGGGAGAGGGGGGTCGATGCTGGTAGAGGGAACTGAAGCTTAGCAGCGGCTCCAAGATAATTGCGGATGCGGCTCGAGTTGGCAATTATCCTGGAGCGCTGGGAAGTATTTGAAGAGCAACAGGATAGAAAGAGCCGTTAAAGGCAGAGAAGAATGAGGTGCTATTGTTGTTGAGAGTTAGGGTAAAGAAGAAGGGAGGAGGGAGAATGCGGCGATGAGAGTTGAAGTTGGGTTGTGGTGGTTGTGGAGGTGGTGAGTAGAGTGATGGTGGGGTGGTGGTAGTGTGTGTTCGAGGTATGAGGTGGTGAAGGACCTTTGGTGGAGGCGGTGGAGGAAGAGCTAGAGTAGAGAGAGAGAGACACACACACACACAGAGAGAGAGAGAGAGAGTACGAGTAAGGGGATCGGAGTTTCTTTCTCTCGCCGTCTATGTCAGTCCACGTCTTGTCTGTAGATGGTTTAGTTCGTAATCTTCTCCTTCGTCCGCCCTTCAGCTAGTTTAGGTTATTTCGATCGTTGGTCGTTCTCGCACTCTCTCGACTTGTGTCTAGTCAGTCCAGTTGGTCTCGCCGGTTCGTGTCGAATCTGATTTGATTCTCTTTTCGTGTGGGGAAAAATCCAAATCCATGTCCGTTGCCAAGAGTCTCGTCTGATTGGTCAGCGCCTCTGCAGGCCATTCGTCATACTGCTCCCCTTTCGTCATAGTAGATATATATAAATATATAAATACATAGAAACCCTAGATAGGGCTAGGTATATAGTCGGACATTCACTGTCACTCGAAATAAAAGTAAACATTCAACCAAGGTTGGCAAGATCAGTAATAACCACAGGAGACATACCGGTGTGCTTCTACATGTCAATGGAATGGTAATTAACATTATGTTATCATCGTCATCAACTACCGGGTAACTAGATGTCGGACAACACTTCCTGCGTGACCATCACTGCCGACTCCTACTTGTTGCGTTGAAATAATTGAACCTTTCAACTCCCAAATGAATCCTTGCAATCGCCCTCTACTTGTGACTTCCGTTACTATCACATTCATATGACTCTTTACATAAGTTCAATCAAAGCAGCAGGTGCCACTGACTGTCCATCCAACAAACGCGACCCCATCCACCATGCGCTCGTTACGTTTGTACTCCTCACCACCTCCGCTTTATCCCCATCTACCTGTCCTATACCGACCTTTCCTATAGTCCTAACCTTGAACGACATATCTCTTCAAAGGCGTCAATGCCATTCACACGTTCGGGATTAACTGGATATTCTCGACGACAGTCCAAGCCACCTCAGAATCCTATAAAGCCCTATCACCAGGAGTACTCGAAGCAGGTGCACATGAATTCAACTGCAAAGGATTTCGCAAAACAATCTGTTTCGCCCAAGCAGACAGCATTCTCGCCAACAGGTGCGCTATGCTGAATTCTTCCAGCAGGCCTTTCACTGACATTGAACAGTGAATAGATTTAGCATCCTGGCGGCACTCGATGCGAACCCTGCTCAGTGGTCATTTGACTTCTCGCAGACGCAGAATTCAATGAGCAACTGTCGTCGTCGTGGCAAACGCGGCGGCAAGCATGTTCGAACAAAAGGCATAAGGAAGCAACGGAAGAGTGAGCAGCGCGAGGTGGCTGACAAGTTATGTGAGCAAATGGCGGAAATGTGCCCTCCGGGGGTAGATGCCATTATTCACGATCCAGACCCTCAGGATGATGTACCCACGCAGGCTCTTCAAAGCGATTCTGCTACTTTCCCCAACAACGTCAGGCATCCTTGGATCCCTCAATTTGGGTCTGCCGAATCCATCATGAAGGACCTTACACCATGCAAAGACAAAGAGTCCACTTTGTTTGGTGGTAATCAATCGGTTGATCCATTCAGACAATGCCTCACCATGGCCGAGAAGCCTGCTTTTAAGCGCAAAGAGTCGCGGTTTTTCCCAATGGCTGCCTTCCTAGCGTCACCGGACATAGCATCAACACAGTCTTACCGGCTACCCGTAGGAAACCTGTCAAAAGTTGCCGAAGCATCAAAGCGTTTATCTGATATCATCAATACTGAGCCCAACACCCCCACTGTAGCTTCAGAATGCCGTGCCTTCTTATCGGAGAGGACTATATCTCCACCTTTGACTATCAGTTTGAGTATCGACCAAGAACGACTACACACTTTAGGTCAACCAGTGAAAAATGAAGACTCCGTAGTCAAAAGTTCAGCAGCTACATCTCCTGAGATATCGAAAGATTCTATTGCATCTTGGACTTCGGCTTCATCGATTGACATGGGGCCAATGCGTTCAGCCACTGCACCAACAACCAACGATTGTACCGTTCCTGATGGAAGGCCTGGGTCTGCGCAACCAAATAATACCCATCAGTTGAGAAATGATCCCCCGAAAAACGCTTTATCAGGTCCAACAAAACCGGTACGGCCATTGTTGCAAAAGGCCTTGACATTGCAAACACCATTCAGGCCCAGGTCAGAGTGCTATGAGATCGATGAGATCGCCCATAGTTCGAACATCGACCGACATAGTCTAGATAAACATGTCGATCTTGAGCATTTTCTCTCACTGGGCCACGCAGATCCGTGCTGGTGCAGGCGGAATATCTTACCAACTCCTCCACCCTCAGATACCGAGTCACACTTGACGCCCATTGACTGTTATGGCATGACATTTTCAACTTCCCCAGGAACTCCAGCTTGGCCTGATATGTCACCAGATCAAGATGCATCTCCCAATGGCACCAATACCCCATCGCTATCCTCTGAATCCGAGTTTGAAGACTTGGAATATTGGGAACCATGGAAGATGAACCAGGAGGACTGGACTATTCTTGGGCGTAGTGAAACTCCCCCACTAGTTCGCACTCCTCAGCTACCGCATACGCCACTTGCGCAGATGAGTCCTCCATCGGATGAATCCGATCAAGACGGAGATACTTGGACTATTTTACCTTTCTCACCAGAGACAAGAACTGCGTATGACGACAATGCTGCTGAACTGAGTGCATCCATGGGCGATCTTAGGCAACCACTCCTACGCAACGACGATACCGACAAGATTGCCCTTGCCACCGCAATTGAGTGGCCAAGCCTAGCGGAGGCAAAGAAACTGAGACGAGCTCAGAAGGAAGTGAACCATAGGCCCAGGAGCGCGAGCAGTGTTGGTGACGAGGGCGACGTTGATACCAATGGCGGTGTCATGATCGGAAGACTGTTCCACTGATACAGGGATTGCCTGCCTTGTTTATGAGCCTATTCATGTAAACTACTAGGACGGGTGTTTGTGGGTGCCTGGATAACTGTCGAATTCCTGTTGGGCCGAATTGAGATGTCTGAATACTATACTTTTATCCCCTTTTCAACTATGTTGCCACTCTTGATGGACATCACATGCATGGAACTAGAACAATTGAAATGACAAGTTTGGCTCGGTTTACTAGATAGGATTGTGTATTAAATGCTATGATGGCGTCTCGAATATGTTTATATGCTATGACCGCGAACGGCTGCTATGTTCGTATGTACACCAGCACTGAACCACTCGCTGGCTCCTTAACTACCAAAACGCCAAAGATAACGCGACCCATCCCTCAAACTCCAAAATGACCCTAGTATGCTTCGATTGTCCCAATCTCCCAACAAAAGAAAATAACAAAACAGTCTTCGTGACAATGCAAGAAAGTGATGCAGACAATGAACATGACGTAAAAAAGTATATGCCAGTCTAATGCAACTTCGAACAGCAGCCATCTACACGCCTCTTGTAGTCGTGATGCTTGGCGCGTCTGTTGTTTGGCTCGATCCCGTGTGCGCTCTGTTGTCAAGACAGAACAGGCCGAAGAAATCTTCTGTGCACGTCGTGGTTGCAGAGTCGTCTGATGTCCAGGGTGATGACGATCGCTTTGCCTTTTTCTTGGTGGTGGTGGTGGTTGTGGGGAGGGGGTCGTTGCAGCCGAACCATCCTGGTGTCTTGCAGGATGTCGTGGGTGCCGGAGAGGAGGATGCTTGGGTTTGGGTTGGGGTGAGAGAGGCGTGGGTGTGTTTGGTTGACGATGATGTGGTTGTGGTTGTGATTTCGTCTTTGCAGCCGAACCAGCCTGGTGTCTTGCAAGTTGTTGTCGTGGATGAAGACGTTGTGGTCGTGGTCGTGGTCGTTTTGTGGTGCGACGTCGTGGTCGATTCGTCGAGACATCCCCACCAACCTGGAGTCTTGCAGGTTTCCGTGCGAGTACGGGAGAAAGATGAGCTTGTTGTTGGCGCGGTGTGGGAGGGCTTTGAGGTTGTTGGTTCAGTGCCGTTGCTTTCGAAGAATTCCCATGGGAAGCAGTCTGTACAGTTGACGTACTGTTCGCATTTGGCGACTTCATCGTACGCTTCGAGAACGTCCTTGATGACGCTGATAATCTTGTGGGTACCAATACCCACGCGCCATCCGAGGTCTCCAACCGTGTCGTATGCACACTTGAAGCCTGTATGGCATACGCTTTGCATGGCATAGCCACCAAAGGTGCAACTGCTGCTTGCTGTGTTGCATTGTCCCATATAAACAGGATCGGCGGTGTGTCCGAAGTGGAAGCCCCCGGTATCTTTGCGTTGTTGAAAAGCACCAATCTGGTGGCCTGGGGGCGTCGGTAGACCGAGACGTGACGCGGGCATGGCCTCTGGTACGGCCTCGAATGTAAGGGCCGGATGTCCGTAAGTAAGGCCGAGGAACGAGGATACAGCGCCGCCGAGAGAGTGACCGGCCATCCAGACTTCGGCATCAGGGTATAATTCGGTGACATTGTGGTAGAGATCCCGCGCAGCGTAATAGTACCGATTCTTCTTGTTCAACGCGGTGACCAGGCAGGTTGAGTTGCAGGTGTAGGCGGATGTTTGGCAATCGCATACTTGTCGCCACAGGTACTGTCCTCCCTGGCCACAGCAGCAGCTGAAGAACAGATTGTCGTTGATCTTGTCGTTCGTTGTTGTTTCCGACCCATCGAACACAGCAGGAGATGTTCCCTTAAGACCAATAACAACAGTCCGGTTCGTCGTATCCGCGAAGACATGACCCCGAAGCCCATCTGACTCCCATCCAAAGTCTTCTGTGTAGTTGAATCCTCCCTTCACATCCTGCCACTCTCCTGTTCCAGGCTCCATGATGTATGCATTCGCAGCCATACGTGCAAAAGTCAGAACAGTCTCCTTGTCGGTGACGTTGGGTCCAGGTATCTCATCCGTCGTCCATGCATCCTCAGCCAATTGTACCGATCTGCCTTTGGATCTTCCCCATTCCAGTATGCCATCTATGGTCTCTTTGCTCCTGTCTACTAGTCGCTGAATGTTCATCGGCTCCGACCTGATGCGCAGTGGCGGTACGCGCTCCCGATCCGAGGAATGTGCATCTTCCGCCATCCATACCGCTGCATTTTCTGGAACGTCGAGGCGACGATGAAGGTCGGGGTGAAGATATGTGCCATGATGGAATATGTGTTTGAGCGAGAATTCGTGGACCTGTGCCTGAGGGGGAGAGTCTGGTGATATCGGAGGTGGCGGTAGAATGGGGATCTGTGACGCGGAGGATACAGCGAGGAATCCGAGGAGAAGGGACGCCGTCACGCGGGTATTGGAGTCGCAAAGATGTTTCCTTCGCATGGCGATAAGTATGACGGAGAATATCAGACAGAATAGAAACAGAGACGCGTCTGGGTTTGGGTATGATGTCGTGTTGTTTGTTGGATGTCCGGAGTGACCTGCAGGGGATGTTGAGTATGTTATGTATGGGAGTATGCGAGTATGCTATGACGACTGCCTACTGGTTCATCGTCATGTGCGGCTATCCAGTGGATACTCGCACGTCCCTTATGTTGATCCGATCCGAGATAGCATGCGGACATCCGGTTTTGGTTTAGCCTGAATCCGAAGCTCTAGACGGCCGATAGACAAGAGAGAGCGGGGACACGAAACACATGCAGCTCACCATACACATACACACTTACACCTACACCACCTATCACACTCGCTACTGGACTACTGGACTACTGGACTACGTATCTGATTACTACCACCTACTTACTGGATGGTTCCCATTCCCATAATTTCAAGTACCCTCCTCGAATGCCTCTCTCCTCTTAGCTTAACGAGCTCGTTCCCGGCTCTCCACGGCCAATCCTCTGTCCAAGGCTTACGTTTAATGCTCCACCTACTACAAATGCCGCATGACGAAATAGCAATTACCACCTAGCCGCTCTGATTTTCGGAGCCTACCATTTTACGACTTGTCCAAAATTTCCTCTGAAGCTTCATTCACTTATCACAATGCCAGAAAGGCCAAAGCAGCTCCATCCGTCCAAGTCGTTTACGCGTCTTGAGCCTACCCAGGCCAAGGGACCCTCATCCCGGGGTAGAGCTAGTACCTTGCAGGCAACAACAGCTCCTAGCATTTTAGATCCTCTCAAGGAAAAACTGCTCCCTGACGATGAAGATGAAGAACACGAAGAGGGAGACGTGTTCGCCCCGCGGGAGGAAGACGAAGAGGAGAAATCCCCAGATCCCAGCGTACCCGATAGCTTCGAGGAGCTTCCCATCGAGATAAGGAGCTTGACGGAGAGGTATAATGGCTGAGCTGCTCCATTCGGTGGTCCAATGATTCTAACAATAAACAGGTTTCTCGACTCGCTGTCTGCGAAAGTACATCCCAGCCCACTCTCCGCCGATGCCTTATCCGACCTCTTCCAAGATTTCTATACACGTGCTTCCTCTCACGTTAACACGCACATCGCTGCACTGTCCTCAAAGCTTTCGCGAGAACATACATTGAAAGCACCCCCCAAAAAGGGCGCACGGAAGGAGAGTGATGCAACTGGCGAGCAGCAGATGCTTACTGCCACCGAGATCGTCGATCGGAAGAAAGCTAGGCGTATGTTGGAAGTGAAGCGTTTTGCTTTGGAAGAAGCTATCGAGCGTGCCGTATGCGAAAAGGTCTACGACAGAATATTCAGGCATCGTAGTGCAGACGATGAGGAACGAGACCAGAAGCTCCGATCTAGGACAGCCGCCCTGTCGCTTGTTGGCATTGGTCTAAAGGAGCTACTGATGAGTGCCGAAGAATTGACAGAGGAGGAGAGGTCAAAGACAAAAGACAGGGAAGGTGAAATCAAAGATTGGCTTTCAAGTGCCAGGGAAGATATACAGAAGATGGACAACGAGCAGTATCCATTGGGGAAGCTGCATCACCTCACTGCTGCCCACAAGTCTATTGTTGAGGCACTTTCCAAGATATTCCCCGCATCCTCCTCTGCTGATGAGATTCTGCCCACGTTGATTTACACCCTCATTACCTCTCCGCCAGAGCATCTTAACGTCATAAGCAACCTCAAGTTCATTCAGCGATTTCGTGGGAGCAGCCGAATGGACGGTGAGACAGCGTACTGCCTAGTCAACCTGGAGGCTGCGATATCGTTTTTGGAGACGGTAGATCTCTCATCTTTACGCGCCGAGGAAACTCAATCGGGTTTGGCGAAAAGCAATTCACGGCCTTCGACACCTCGCTCTGAAGTCACACCAATGCCATTGGGTCTATCACAAGTGCCTGATCTGACGCAAACACCAGCCACACCAACAAAGGATTCCGCAACCAAGGCGCCGCCATCTCCTGGTACTAAAACTCAGCGTCGCTTGAGCAATCTCATACAGGCGCAAACGACCAAAATAGAAGCAGCTTCCGATGCCGTGCGCGAGTCAATAATCGATTCAGCTGATCAAGCGCTCGACACTATCAATAACACACTTGAGAATAGCTTCAAGTTCCTCTTCGGGAGGGCCAAAGAGCGGGATCCGAATAGCCCGGGAATGATCGAGGAACCCCAACTCCCGAAAACGCTCGCCGATGCCAGGAGACTAGTGAGCTCAGCTCCTCATATCGATGGAGAAGAGGAGGATGCTGCCAGCGTCAGTGCAGCAAGTTCAGTGATTGGGGATGATCAAAGTGAGGCTCGAAAAGGCCAGGATGCTGGGAACAGAGTTACGGATCTCTTCGCCGGTAGGCGGCAGATTCGAGACCGTAGCGTAGATTCAGCTCAGTCCGTTGGAAGTGGCAAACGCATGGTTTCCAACTCGTCGCCGAGCGAACCCAAAATCTCTCCGCTACAGACCGCCAAGACCGAGCCGCAACAAGTGTCGACCGGCACATCTGCCGTGGACTCTATTCGCAATATGAGCAATTCATTCAATCCGCTGAATAGGTTCGCCAATATGACCGTGCTGCCGAGGTTTGGGCGAGCAGCGACTAGCAATGCCAGCACCCCTGGAATCACAACGCCCTCAACAGAGCAGTCAAAGCAGTTATCTGCACCACCCACAACTACTACACCAGGGTCTTCTACCCCAGGCGACGTTCCACAGGTCGATGAGAAGGGCGTCCGGGCGATCGCGGCGCTGGACGCTCTCAAGAAGACACCACCACCAGTCAAACGATTCTTAGAAGTCAAAGATGCTTCGGATTTAAAGATAAAGGAAGTCGATGAGTTGTTGAAGGAGTATCAACGACTAGCGGCGGCAATGCGGGGAGCTATCAATCATTGATTGTCATGCATGGTCATTTGGGAGTTAGGAATCTTTGCATATGGGTTTATGGGCAGCGTGTGTCGTAGGAGTTTCTTCAGCATATATAGAGGAACTAGACATTGATCTGTCACTCAGATCTGATATACCTGTACACTTGACAAAACCCCCTCGAACCTTCACCAGATTATGATGTTTTAAATATCCGCTTTGTGACTGATGACGCTAACACGATGTGGGTTCTGGTGTATAGGCGTAAGTGTATGGTTGCTAGGGTAACGGAAGCGCGCGTTCGGACCCTCTTCGCTTCGGTTTGTGTATTGAGGGAACAACGATGACCCACGACATCGACAACCACCACCACCACCACCGACTATAATATACTTGAAATGGCGGAACCAATGTCTTCGCTATCACCCGAGAAACTGAACGCGTCCATCTACCCCACTGACGAAGACGACATGACCTGGCACGATCCCCCTTCGTCGCCCTTTGTTTCCCACATCGAAAGCGACCAAGAAAACATTGCGCCAGGCGCAATGGCACCTACACCAGCTAAGCCCTTGATTGACTTCGACGAGAACCCACCACAGTCCGCTTTCAAAATTCCGACATCAAAAAGCCTTGGAACGAAAGAACGCAACTCCCCAGTCAAGCCTACGCCGTCTCAGCGGCTGCTCGATGACTTCGAAGAGGATTCGTTCAGCACGTCAGACGCGCGTGTAAGTCCGAAAAAGACATCGCCAGTCAAACAGATCCAGACAGATCGTCCAGACTCTGCCTTGAGCAGTCGTTCAAGCAAGATGTCTCCCATAAAACTCTCGCGAACACCTTCCGCCGAAGTTGCAGAGCGCCTTTCGAGCTCCATCCGATCAACAACACCCGATGGTCTCCCTGCTTCGCATCACATTGGGCCTACATACTCAGAACCCGCATTGCGTGATAATGAGGGGTTGACACAAGCAATTCGGATGGTGGACACAGAAGCGGAACTCCGTGATAATGAGGGCTTGACTGTTGCTATAAAGAGTATCGAGGAATCGCGCAGCGAGAGCTACGAATCTTCCACTACATACCACGCACAGGCCGACATCACCGACTTCGACGAGTTTGGAATGGATAACACCGAGTTTGGGCCTGATGGACCCGATTTGACATCTGCTGATATCGACGACACATGTTTCAGCACCTTTTCGGAGATGCCCAACTTAGATATGACCAAGTTTGCAGGTCTGAACAAGAGCCCCACCAGGAAAGGGTTGTACGACCCGGTATGCAGCATCATCGCTTTTAACTCCCTTGCATACTAACAGCGACAGGCAACTCCTCGTGCTCGTGCACAGATGACCCCATCTACCGTTCAACGCAGTGAGCGCACACCATCTCCCACACCTCGTCGCCAACACAAGGATAACGATACTACCAATTTGTTGCTTGATTTCACTGCCCAAATCGAGGCTTTCTCCGTTTCTCGTCGTGCTTCTCCTTCTCGTGGCCGGACGTCCCCTACCAAATCTAGCACGGAACCAAATCTCCTTTCGTATATTCAGAACCAGCGGTCACCAGCAAAGGGAAGCTCGGCTCAGGTACCAGCAACACCGTCACAGAACAGGCAGCTCCTCAACCTGTTGGACTTTGAACTGCCTCCACCTCCCACGCCTCGATCCGTCCCAACGGTCACCATTCGGGAGCTTGAGAGTTTGAAGTCAACCATGCAATCTCAAATCTCGAGTCTAACGGCTTCTCTATCTGGCAAGGAAGCCGAGGTGGATTCACTTGTTAAGGCGATCTCTGGTGCAGAGCGGAGAGTCGGCGAAGCTCAAGAGCAACTTCGGGACGAGCGGAGTGCGCGTGAACACGCAGAAGCTCAAATGGAAGACTGGAAGAAGAAGGGTGAGGAAGTGCAAAAGATTTTGCAGGATGTTCAGTCAGAACTTGCACGCAACGACACGGAACGCGATGCGCTACTCACCCGTCTCGCAGAGGCCGAAAAGCGCGCTGAAGAGGCTGAAGCACATGCTTCTGAACTCGAAACTCGTGCTATTGAGGCCGAGAGCAAGAATGTCGACATGACCACCTTTCTAAGTCCCGAGGATGACGAGAACAAGAAGATCTACTCGGAGATCGAATGCCAAGCTGCAATTGCCGAGAAGGTTAATGACGTCGCTCGCGATTTGCATACTGCATACAAGGCCAAGCACGAGAAGAAGATCAAGGCTCTCAAGGAAAATTATCAGAAGAAGGCCGATGAACGGTGCAAAGAGTTGCGTGTCCAGATCATCCGTTTAGAACGTCAGGTCGAAGAGGCAGAGAAGAAACGAGATGACACGTTCTCGAAAGTCGTTCCCCCAGAGTTTGCCGAGTCGAAAGATGGGGTCCCGACTGCCACTCCTCCCACATCGAACGCGGAGGATCTCAAGACGATTGAGACCCAAAAAGCGGAAATCGAAAACTTGAAGGCTAAGCTGGCTGGTCTTCAATCAGAACTCTCCAGTCTCCGCAAGTCACAGGATGTACTCATGCAAGAGCTCGAGGCCGAACGTGTCGAGAAGGGCGAGCTTGTCGCTGCCGCGGAACAAATGCTTGCTCTCTGTGGAGAGAAGATGGGCGAGATCCAACAAGAGGAACTTCGTAAATCGCACCTCGGTGGCGCGCCTCCCTCTGCCCCCGCTCCAACATCCACTGCTAACAACCGCACTGCACCATCGATGCGGAGCACTGGCTTCCTAGCTGGGGGCGCTCCCGTATCCTCAATTTCTCGTCCTGAGTCCGCACTCGGCGGAGGAAGGCCCACATCAGCAATGGGCGATCGTCTAGGTGCCATGGGTGGTGCGTCTGCCAAACCTGCAACAACGAGTGTTCCCAAACCAAGCGGTCTCAAAGCGCCTGGCGGTGGCTTCGGCTTCAAGGGACCATCCGGATCGGCCCTTGGCAGGAGCACATCGGGAAGCAACAAATCCCGGCTCATGAGCAATATCGAACGCATGGGCGGCGGCAAGAACGGAGAGTGAACTACTAGGCTCACCGGATGATACCCTTTTCCTTCTGGTTGTTTTCTTGTCATGTTTGCAATGGGCTTCGCGACAAAACTAGGGTCAGGTTATTGGTATATGAATGGGAAGGAGATGCGTGTATCTAAGGCGTTTATAGGAAGGAAGCTCGGCGGACATAACGAAAACGGTACCGAGCGTAATGCATGGCTGGGGAAGTACAGTATCTCTTTCCATGGGCTTCTTACATATTGTCTCTGCGACACCACATCGCGCTTAGCCCTGTATGTTCCTTTCTCGCTACACTGTATAGTTGGTTGCGTAGATATGGCCGGGTAAATGAACTTTGGAATCATGATCCTTACCTTGTAGTGTTCAAGTGACATCAAACATTGACTACACGCACTCTCTCCTCTCGACTAGTATCTGGGATGCAATAAAGGTTGCCCAGCTGATTGTGAATGAAATTGAAGAAAACTAGATCAAATACGATGCCGAGATACGAACGTGGGATCTTGAGTATCTCGAGTTGCCTTCGGCCGCGTGGTTTCTGTACATACAAATATACCCCTCTTCTGATTCTATGGAAAACAAGTAGTTAATAGCGGAACACTCCAGATAGGACGTGTAGGTGACCGAACCTATCATACATAGATCCTTTACCTAATAGTATTCGTATTGCTGACTTATGCATGGGACAAAAACAAACGTACGGGGATTGTATTCGTCAAATTTCACACATCATCTTTGGCCAGAACAATGCCTCCATAACAATGGAGAACAAGGACCTGACCTCATACTGCATTGAACTGTTGCTGCGTTTTCCATATGTAGACTTAGACCAGGGCCCTCAGCGCGATTTTTATCTGATCCGACATTTCGCAAGGTAGAGGCGGCAAGGATGTTATGAACTGCCAATTATAGCGGCTTATTTCCAAGATAACCTTTCTGTGTTAACCCTATTGCATACTTAATCTTGAACGACCTCGTATCGTCGCCGCATTCTGAAAAGATTGACACGGCCCCGCGGCACAAATTTTTATCTGATCCGACACTTTGCAAGGTACAGTAGGCAAGGATCCTACCTCGTAGTTATCAACTACTCAATCTGGGAGCTTATGACGAGTAGAATTTTGTTCGCAACTATCTATGCACAGGATATACAATATCAGGATATATAAATACTGCATTGTTCATTGATGTATCATTTTACTATTCTACTAACAACCTCCCTCGCAGAGCATACTCTACAAACAACAACCTGCCTCAAGTCACCCAAAATCAATTATTACATTCTTCTTCACTTTACCTCATTTTTGTTGGATCAAGATGCAGCTCAACCAGTTGTTCACTATCTTCTTTGCGGCAACTGCCTGTGCGGTAGCTTTGCCCGCTGCTCAGAAGGACGAGGCGAATTGTGGCAAAATAATGTTTGGTACTATCGCTGCTTGCCAGGAGAAATGCCCTGGAACTTGCCGCGTACTATTTCCTATCCGGCTTCAATGCCAATGCTGAGTAGCTCTGCGATACGGTTCCATTATTTGGGCCAATGACAAGTGACAAGAAGTTGGGAGAGTTCGTGAGTGTGGCCTGACCTAGTACAAACAAGCTTTGTGACTGATTGTGCAAGTAGCTTTGTCGCTGAGTCTATGGGCGCTGTTGGTGGTTGCTATAGAAGTTAGCAATGGAATCATAAATATGGATCATAGTTCATTAAATCGAAATTGTCTACCTCAAGTCTCTGGCAATTACTATGTGTTCCCGAGATTTACTAGTTTCGGCGGCCCGACTATGTTCAGTAGCCTGCTCACTTCGATCATGGCGGACCCGACTAACCAGAACGTATCAGGCATCTGACACCATCGACGAGCTATTGCAAGCTTCCCGCGAGAACAAAGAGCGTACTTATAATTAGTAGCTGCCCTGCATGCGCTGAGTAACAACAAGTAGAGTTGTCGTACGTTGCCAGAGTAAAGGTTTCTGGGACAGTAGAGTTAAAGCTTACTATATTACGAGAAAACTTGGAAGACCTCTCATATCATGAACTAGCAGAAAACATTTTAATTCATCTATTCGACTTATATAGGTGAAGGTTCTTTTGCAGAAACAAGCCAATTCTAAACCACGGGATATTGTGTTGGAGGCGACTCGATCAAGATACGCTCGGTGCTACAATGTAGCTAGCACATCTTGCAACGCACCTACCAGGCTCATATCCAGCCTCTACTCGAATAATTCAGTGGTAGGAATATACTTCTCTTTAAGAGGCCATCCTGATGACTCTATGATCAAATGGACTTGGGGCCTACTCAATCTGTAATACATGGTCCGTTTTTGAGTCTTTCGGTCTTTTGAATCCTAAAACATACAGCCTCTGCAGTGATGGCTACGACCGAATGGGCCCATTACCACCAAATTCGCCCTCTGCTACCGAGACATCACCTGTCCCAATGTCGCGATCGTCTATCTCATCTACAGCACGAATTCTCGGTGTCATCGTTGGCGAGTCGTCGGGATAACTCTTATGGGAGTTGAATTTGTCTTCTTCCTCTACCACAGGAATAGGAGGGCCGCAACTACGTTTAACGTGCATGCTCCCAACACATGGACTTCGCGGGATACTGCAACGACCAAAAGCAGAGCTTTGCATGGTTTATAGATCTTTATCAACCGTGAGCATCTGGACCTGGGTAGCGTACCCGTCGCTGGATCATATTCTGCCGAGGTGTCTGGTGAAACTACACAACGATAGTCTAAATGGTCGGCAAATGTGACTCTGAGCATTAGATCTGGACACTATGCCTGTGCGCGATAATGCCCCTCTCTCTTTAACTCTCACTTCTTCTAAAACTGTGCATTTGTCCAAGGCCAGCAATGCTTCAGAAGCTCGCTCCACGCAAGGAACGATTTTCATATCAGAGAATGAGGTAAACAGCTTATAGTACGGTATAACTCTGTGTATTAAGCTGTAGTAAATCGCCTTTGTTATCAAAGGTCCCTATTAAAATTCAGTAACGAATAGTTCCAACCACATGATATCAAAGTGTACTCTGTGACAAACTTTCCTTCTTGTTGTAATGCTGGAGGATGGGTTTTCCATAGAAGCTTTGCGTAGGCGAACCTGATTGGTTTAACGTTTGGGACCCAACCCCTGTCTTGTAAACTAACGATTTAGCTCAAGGCTATCAGAACTTCAATTCATATTGACAATCAGGAGATAGGAAAGGTCCTATTATAAACCATTCCAATTCGTATGATTAGTATGTAAGAGACAGTTTACGATTGGATATAACCCCTAGGCGCGGCGGCTCTTCCAGCTAGTCAACTTCTGCGCAGATCTGTGATGGCTGTGCGTGTAAGCGCCAGAGGAACAAAGATCGGCACACGGCGCCACAATGTTTTGATACATATCTCCAGTCTTCCCACGATCACACCACTGATCGTCGAGCCAATTGCTGCCTTGAAATTCAGCACGTATGTGTGAGATCCATTGCGGAGTGGATAAGCTTAGCTGGCTTCACGTACTAGGGGGGCACTCTTGGCAGCGTAGTCAATGTCATCAAGGTTATTTATCAGATTTCTATACACATCTGTGTGTAGATTGTTTGATCCTTATGATATATTCCAGCAACCAACCTGTCAAATGAATCCAGCTATCAGGTGAAAAGTGTAGCCACAAAGAATGACGCGTCTATCTAGAATTCAAAAAATTGCTTGTCATAGTCAGTTCTTTCTTAATTCTGTGCTATTGCTCGACGATAGATGGCCTGTAAGAGTTCGGAATTTACGGACGATGGGAGACATCATGCAACGTGGCCAGCATGTCTTGGATGAGGCACCAGCTCCCTCCTATGACGCTCTCCGGGTGCACGCGTTCCCCGAGCCTTTATCCTTGCACAGCCCTCTAGGTTACAGCTCAGTGTGGAAGCATTCAATACGGATGTGGCCAACATTGCCACTTAATGTCAGCTTACCTACCTAGGCAAACTTCAGGATTTCCGCGCGGTTAAGGACCGTGGCTTAGCGCTTTACATTCGCTGATTCGTTGCTGCGAATCCTCTGGCGCGCGGAAGCGCGTAAGCGCCAATCCTACATACACGGGCCGGAGCGTTGATGCTATAAGTCGTTTCTCGCGCTTGACTTTTCGTGCAGTTGATCTCCACCCTCCCTCCCTCCCTCCCTCCCTCCCTCCCTCCCTCCCTCACTGACCCTGCCGCCCTCACCCTCACTCATCCCAGACTCTTGGCCTCATCCCAGATCCCTCAAACAAAGACCTACATCATCGCATTCTTTCGGGACCGCGTCTCACTGTTGTTATCTCCGTATATATCATACTTCTTCGCCTCTACTGGCCGTTTCTCATTTCTCTACTCATCATCTCTTGCTTCAACAGATCATTTCCCACACCCTCTATAAACACAATTTCCTCCCAGTTTCAATGGCTATTTGCCATTTATTGGCCCTCGTGCTTCATTGCACACTGTTCACTGCCATCGCGTGCCTTCCTCAATCTACCGCGACTCCCACGCCTCATTCGGACAACGACAACAGCTCCGTAATAACTAGTATTATCGAGATCGTTATTGCATTCGCAGCTCTCATTGTTGCCATTATCGGTGTCCGTCGCTACTGGGTACGCCGAGGACGATTTAAGCAAGATGGCAAGCAAGCTCGGCTTTATCAACGTACGTACCCACTTGATTCAATCCTCCTGTTGTCCATTCAGGCACTAACATTAGATCAGACTCGCAAGGTATCACGAATGATTTTGAGACTGCGAACGATTATAACTATCATCATCACTACCACCATTATTACTATCACTTGGAATCGAGGACATAGGCCAAAGAATCGGTAGAAGGGCCAATGTATATAGCGCACCAGCTAAGGCGTCGGAATTCTAATCTCGTCATCTTTTGAAATTTGGAGCTTCAAAGAACTGTTCTAGAACATCTACACTCGTCGACCGCATTGTACTGTCAGGAGAGCGGTGAAATGACGTTTGCAACGAGTGTAGACCACAACTTTGGCGACGGAGCCTTGGTCAGCCGGCACTTTGTGTTCAACCAATAGGAACCCTTTCCTCTCCGCTCTGAGCAAGGGCCATGTGGTTGGGTGTAGAACAATCGCTCTACATGACCTCGTATCATAAAAAGCAGTGCGGAGTCTGGGTTAAGTTATCGGTGGCCTCCTCCAAGAAACCCTCTGGCCGCCTGTAGCCTGGGAATGCCCGACCCTAAACAAAACGCAGTACTCCGTACTTTTTAACACTATTTCAAGAGATCCTGCCCTACTCCTGACCCTTTCTCGAGAATTTCGGCGGCGGGGTCTCTTGGAGGCGCCCACCTGTCAATTACTCTGTCGATGGTGCTCCGGGCTCTGAATGCATGGGGGGCTTTCCTCCTTCAGTTCGCCGCATTTCACTATGCCCGCATACCTTGTACTCTTTTGAACCGAACCCCATGGGAGATCGTAGTTTTCCGCTTTCGTAAGGAAATTACTAGACGTGCTGCCCCAGCAAGCTGCGAAAACTAGGGGCAGGGGCAGAAGCTATGGAGAACCTTTGCGGGTCGGTACGCAAAGTGACTGTAAACTAAGATGGCGATTCCGAAGCACTGGATACAAATAGGTAGAGTTGGACGGAATAGAAGAATTCGAACTGTGAGCAGATGCAATAATGGACGGTTAGTGACAACTCCCGTCGGCACCGGAGTCAGCTCGACGCCTTAGCCTTCTTGGTTTTTAGCGCCAGGGCCGTGGACCGGCGCCGATTCGACATGGGCTTAGCACGCGGAACATGGACTTAGAACGCGGGACAAGAGTCAAGACCGGCGAGAGATGATCCTGTTATCTCACGAACGATACAATATTTTGAAGAGACCATGGTACGGAGGAGATGTATGGAGTACATCTCTCCAGTCAGAGTGAGGGGATTTCCCAAGCGGTTACACCATTCCATCGCCCATGGCCATCTCACAATCAAGCAATCTCCTGCATTCGACGATACGGTACTTCGAGCATCATACTGAGCTAGGCCACAAGTACGAAATTCCTTCTTCGTGGAGAAGTCTGCGACTCCAGGCAAATCTAATGGATTTACGCCATTTTGTGATCGCTTGTCAAAATGCCAGTGCAACAAAGGCATGTATAAATGCGTAGAGTTACACGGTCATGCTACTTCACGTTCTTACAGGTGATCTTTTCTGGTTTTCATCGCCATACTTATCTCACTGTAATAAACCGAGATACACTCCACCAAATGTTTCAAATTTGCAGCAAGTCTCCAGCCAATTGGGTAGATCGTTGATACAAATTTTATCGATATAGCGTGCGCCACCGTACCTACCCCCTGATAGTCGATAATGGAAGGAGCATGGAAGGAGAGGGCAAGCTGGCGATCGCGCGGGCAGTTGGGAAGCTGCCCGACACCAGAGCGGATAGTTAGGCGAGGCGGAAACTGCTATCATTGCTTGTATCGTATCCTTGCAATTCCCCACGTCAGCGACCGATGCGCTTTGAGAAATGCTATGAGAGAAAACAATTGACAGGCGGCTCAAAGCCCGCTCCTGTGCAACCGGAGGCTGCGCATGTACAGGGGATGCAGATGAGGATTCTGTGTATGCCAACGCATGTCCACTGCATCTCCATACTCTGCTGAGTCTGCTCTCCCACTACTCCGTACACCATACCGGCATCTGTCGCTGTTGCTAGTAATCTCAGACTCCTCTACCTTAACCTCTCTACAGAGTACCTACCTAGTACCTATAGGCCTTTGGTAGTATTATAGGGAGTAGGTAGGGGTTGGGAGTCTCTTTACTACGATACCTATATAGCTCTATTATCCCTCTATTCTTTAGCACTTATTAGTATCTACAGAGTATTGGGTTGAGTGGAGTGGAGTGGAGTGGTGTGGTGTGGAATGAAGTCGCGTGGAGTCGTTGTCCCGGTCAACATTGGCAAGGAGGACCGGCCTTGGTGGCTTTGCTTGGTCCTGCTCATCCGAAACGAAGCGAGCGTGGTTGCTTTCACAAATACCAATGCCTTTGAGGACATGCCTAGCCATGCATAGCCAAGCATGACGCGCTCCAAAAAGCCACCCAAAGTTATGGTTGGTGGGCACCTGTAGGAAAAACGGTCACCTGTAGAAACACTATCAGTACTCCGTATCTTAACTGTATAAAAGCTTGCTCGACCACATTTTCTCCATTTTATTCATGACAGCCAATTCATAAATACGCTAATTCATAAACACGCTAAGTTTTCTCTCACCGTGTTGAGGCTCGTTATGGAATCAGCTATGATTGTTATTTTCGTATCATCAACCTTGCTCGTACGCTCGACCCACAGTCATCCACTTCCTACCCCAACGCCCAGTCCAGAACCAAGTGACCTTGAGAATTCGAATCAAGAAACAGCGTCATTTCTTGTCAATTGCGCGACCCTTGTGGTCACTATATTATTCGGCATAATTGCTGCCTGGCTGCAGTGGAAGTGCGGACGAAGGCAAACCCAATCCATTCCGTTTCCAGTGTCTCATTCATCAGGTCTGTGATATATCAACACTTACCGTTTCGTTGACAACGTCTCATTCATTTCATAGGATCTATAATTTTACGACGCACCCTATTCGCCAGCGAATTCTATTACGCTGCCTCCGCTGAAACCCGTTCACAGAATGGCCACTCAAGGCCTATACCTACTCGTCGAAGGATGGCTGGAACGACTTGAATATTTCAAGTTTGGCATCTAAATATGTTCAGCACAGCTTACACTGTTCTTCTGGAAAGTTCAAACAGGAGAATAGGCCAGCTCGACTTTATCAACGTGCGTAGTCAAATGGTACACCCCTCATGTAATCCAAGCAGACACTAACATTTGTTCAGACTCACAAGCTATCCCGAATGACTATCATCATTACTAGCACCACTATTCCTATCACTTGGGATCGAGATCGTAGACAAAGGAAACGAAGGAGGACAGTACATGCCCTAGATAATAAATGCACTCAGAATCCAAGCTCTTTTTTTCAAGAACTCAGAATTCAGAATCCGATGCATTGAGTTGAAATGATGTTGGCAATGTGTATACGCCCGGATTCTACGGCAGGCCGTAATGCTCGACTTACTGTTGAGTCTGCAGTGATCAATTTCGCGTTCACTCCAGAGCCTGTCAGCGAGGCCGAACCCTGTTAACGAGGATCAGGGGAGTAACAGCACCAGAATAACATTGTTTTGCAGTGGTGTAGGCACAGCATTTCAAAGCCTTACGATGCCTGGCGCAAGCTTCTACAAGTAAGAGAGCCAACAAACTTCCGTTGCATCGCGCGATTCACGCAGGGTCGAACTTCGAGGACTTGCTTTTGGTTGGCCTCAGCAGTTGCGACTACGAGGTTCGACGCATGAACAGACATGGATTTGCTAGGCTCGAAATAAGAAAGAATCGCGGGTGGGAACACAAGCTTTCGCCCGAACACCCTTCGCAAGGGCAGAAATGCTGGACGATGGCGCTGGACGACAGTGGACAATGGCGGCATTATTGTGTAGACTCAGCGCAACGGGCGCCGCCGTGGGGGAGATTGACCGCAAGGTCGCGAAAATCGTGGTATAGCTGCCTCTACGCCCAATGTGGAAGTTCTTGGAACTTGGAAGGAACGAGAACGAGACAAGATGCCTTGTAAACTGCCCCGCGAGGTGACGCACCAGACCAGAAGGAGCTATTCAGGTCGCTTTCCTGTTTTGATGTTAGTCCACTAGGATCTACTCCCGTCCCTCCTCGTCGTCTAAATTCACCCATTCAACGGCCATCAATCCTAATACGAGCTAGACCAGGGTGAAGTGATCAGGGTGGTGACCAGGGTAAAGCGACCAGGGTGAAGTATGACACGGATGGATTCACGCATTTTTATAAATACGCAATTCACTCCGTACTCAATACCTTCACTGACAACATTCCCAACATTCTCAGCATTTTCACCCAAATCAGCCCAGTGATTGAACCTGATCGATCAAGCATTGTTTCATTTCCACAATATGCTGAGACTCATCACAAAATCAGTCATGAATGCTTTTCTTGTGCTAGCGAGCTTCCTAGTGCGCTTGACCAATTGTCATCCGCACCCAATCACGACACCAAGTCCCGAGCCGAACAAACCTGAGACTTCGAATCAGTTCATTGAAATAGCAGCACTGCTTGTTGCTTTGGCAACCCTACTGGTCGCCATATATTCCGTCCAGCAGCAAAGCAAATCTGAACGATGGCAATCATATTTCAATCCTTCTCCGGTGATTTCACAGTCAGGTTCGTAATATATAAACCCTGATTATTCCATGGTCAACATCTAATTGATTTCAAAGGACCTACGGTGCTACGACGGACCACCTTCGCCAGCGAATTTTATTACTCATCCCCCTCTGAAACATATTCACAAGGCTACCGCTTACGGCCAATGCCGACTCGCCGAGGAATTGCTGCAGTAACTTGATTATTTCGGGGTTGATGGGAAACAGGAATGACTTATCAATGTTCCTCTGTATAACATTCACTGATATCCATTTTGCTCCTGGAGGCCGACCCAAGTTCTGGAGGCGGGGATCGAGGCGCCCACGAAACATCACATCGCGGTCATGTCATCTTTTCGCCTGATGATACTGAACGTCTGTGTTGCGAGGAACGACAGTAGTGGTTGGACAGGTTGCTGCTGCAGATACATTATGACTATCAAATTCTCGGCACTCTATTATTTGCAACCCTCGCTACCAATACATTCTGTCATATAATCTTTGTTCATGGGCCAGTTCATTATTGTCCTAATGGCTACGATGAAGTTGAGCTTCTATACTGATACTGGCAAACTGGCAGGACGGCGAATGTGCAGTGACGCCTCGATGTGTTTACCGAGTTTTACGGTAGGAAGAACAAGGGGACTGACTGCTTCAAGGGGTTCATCAACCGAAAGGCGAGCGCGAACAAATGTAATCCGAGAGTGTAACTATGCCGTTTTTGGTACTCGGAGATTGAACAAGCAAATAGAGAACAGCATCATCGGCGATAATGGCGTATGACAAAGTAACCATTCGCAGCGTACTGCTGTAGAGGCCAGGCGCGCATACGAGAGGCTCAGCCACCGGGTGAGAAGAGCAAGAGAGAGGAGGTGACGTGGGTTATGTGTTGGGCGAGGCCACCGGTGAGTGTCTACTGATCAGGTGGGGTTGATGACAGTGCTCGTAATGTTGGTGTGGTCCGCCGGTCGGAAGTAAGCCAGCGGTACGATCGATGATATTATTGATTGATAGCTGTTCAGGGGCTTGCGCCACCCTTTCGTTGATTGGGGAAACGAGCAAACTGCCAAAGAAGTAGAATTATAAGCAGCATGAGCCTCACCAAGGATGGGCACCTATTTTCACCAGTTTACACGTTCGCATATCGAGAAACTTTCCTGCTGTTGGTCAGGTTACTGTCCAAAATTCTCTGCTCCATAATACTCCACAATAAAACCTTTTGTCTGCGGGGACTTCCGATTTCAAATTAAGCACTCATGCAATTTTGCCAACACTGTCACGTTTCGAGTAGACTGAGGTTATCTACTATCAAGCAGAGTGTGGGATTTTTTCTCTTTCTGGAACATTACGATATGAATGGATTTCTTCATTGTAAGTAAGATTGTTTAACAACTGTTGTGTTCAGAGGGTTCAGGTATTTTTTTAATCTTAACGTATTATGGGTCAATCCACTAGATAGCTGATGCAGACTAATCGGCATGTCTCTTCACATCTACGAAGTCTTTCATCAATCTCGGCGCGATCCTGACGTTCAGATGAACACATCTACGCTAACTATGATTGCCGTAGCTCTTCCTCGACTGCATCTGCCATTTCTCCTAGAGTGTCGAATCTCCAGTCCCAAACAGGGTCTTGTCTGCTTCCCATGATCGACGAGCTGCGGTAAATCCAACAACTCTTCAGACCAATCTTCCGTGCTGGATGGTGATCATGGTGTTGGCTCTGTGCTGTCTGCAGTACCTGGTCTCTCTCCACGCCCAGTTCTTTGGCTTTGGCAAACATGTATTCGAAGTTGCGAAGATCCGGCTTGTAGGAGCCAATATCCTCAGCCGTGAGAACAGCATCGAACTGAAAGTTCTCAAGTGGGCCAGCGAGCGCACCGGCAAACGACGCATTATCCACGTTCGACAACACAACGAGTTTGTAGTGTTTCGACAGTCTCTTCAATGCATCCACGGTATCAGGGAAGACAGGCCAGTTTGGAACTGAGTCGCCGAATGCTTTGCTTTCCTCGGCCGTGGGCTCAGCAAAGCCCAATCGCTTGCACAGCTCAGGATGGACCTTTGTCAATAGCTGAGCGTACTTCATACTCGGATTCTCGGCGAGAATAGGTGCTTCCACTTCTCTGTGTGTGGTTATGATCACCTTCGGATCTAAGTCGGTTTGGCCATTTTTCTCCAATGTAGGCTGGTAGGCGCGTACGGCACCACGCTCCCAGTCTATCAGCGTGCCGTAGACATCAAACGACAGCAGGCGAAAGTCGGTTAATTTGGACATGGCGAAGATTCAGGTGATCTAGAGAATAAGGAGCAATGTGAACGATCAGGATGAAGATGTACCACAGACTTTATACAGGATACAGGATACAAGTACTACTCTACTCAGTGTTGCACCAGCATGACGATCGTAAGCGAATGACGTACGAGTACCTTGCACTCGGAGCAAGGTCTTGCTTACACAAGCCAACGGGAGCTATTCACGTCAACAGAACAAACAATAACAGTTCCAGCGCTAGTCTCTATAGAGCAGCTCAAATGAGAACAATGCGAGTTTACCCCACACTTCGTAGAGGGTCGATCCCCAGATGTAGTTGTCAATGAATAGTTATCAGTTTGCATTTGTCATCAACTGAATGGAAATCCTCAACATCGTCGTCAACATGTTTCCATTTTATGACATGATACATTCGTAGAGTTCAGCAATTGGTTCTCTTTCCGGACTCCGCATATGCTTTTTTTGTTACTAGATATGGCAAGAAGAAAGGCAATCATCCTTCTTTCACTAGTGGTGGACCTAGGCGACAAAATTGCGCAATCACATACCCATGATGGCGGATCGGCCCTTCGTCGGGGAACCTAGTACTAATATTACCATGAAGAATTATTTCGAAGATATATCTGACCGAGGCCAATGTAAAGATCTCGCATTGTCCATTGTCAAGTCGTCAGAACGACTTCTTCGTCAATGAATATACTTGTAGAAGATTGGTTTTGGCCGCCTCCTAACAGTTGGCATTGTCACTCAGGTACTACATAGACCGAAACTCTGTGACTACAGTATCATTATTTGATTGTAAATGCGTGGAGGAATCCAAGAATAAAAAAACAACAAACAATTTTCTACTTAGAACAAGATATTTTAGCGTTTTTGCAGAGTTTTTTCTCATACCAGTACCTGCGAAGGTCCTTTGAATAATAAACGCAGTTACACAAGCGGCGAGCCCGAGTAGGTAGATTTTTGGTGAGATTCAAGCAGTTCGGAAAGTACTAATGGCCGAAACGGAGAAAAACACTCGCCGACACCGATGAGATGGTACGAGTATGAGAATAGCAATGGCCCAACCCTTTTTTAAGATAAATGCTGGAAGAATGATACCACTACATAAAAGGTTTCCCGTTCCTTAATTTTACTGTAGACTTTCTCTTACATACCGTAGATCATATCCTCCGACCATTCTAAATCACAATGCTCTCTGGCGCCTTGCATCGCATACGGCCGACGCCGGTCGTGGCTAGTATCGCAATCGGAGGTATTAGTCTAGGACTAATGAGCAAGCTGATGGTGCGAAACATACATGCCGACTCAGGCGCACCGCAAAAGGTATTCGGAGGTGGCCTGGCAATGGTGTCACTACCACTTGAAAGTTCTATGCTGGTAAATCATAACACCAAACTTCTGCGATTCAAATTACCCAGCAACAATCATATCAGTGGACTTTCGTTGACCGGTAGGTTCCATTTATATTTCCCAGGAAGCAATTGTCGTTCTCCAGGCTGACAGATTATAGGAGCTGTGCTCACCCTCTCTTGGCCAAAAGGTCGATGGCTACCCGTGGCAAGACCATATACCCCGATCAGCGCGTCAGGTACTAAACCTTACATCGCTTCTGTAATTCCAAGCTAACATGAGTAAAGACCAACCAGGCGTAGTGGATCTATTGGTGAAGCGGTACCCTGACGGCAAGCAGAGCTCGCACTTGCACTCATTGCAGCCTGGCGAGACACTGCGCTTTGCTGCGGCCATCCCTGGAGTCACATGGAAGGCTAATAGCGTGCCGCATGTCACTCTCATTGCCGGAGGTGCTGGAATAACACCAATCTTTCAGCTTGCGCAAGGTATTCTGCGTAATCCAGAGGACAAGACTGTTATTACACTGGTCTACGGCGCCAATACCGATGAGGACGTCCTTCTGAAGAAAGAGTTTGACGGGTTTGAAAAAGAGTTCCCTGGACGGTTCAAGGCCGTATACACAGTGTCTCGCCCTTTCGAAAAATCGCCATTCCGCGGGGGATATGTGACGAAACAGTTACTCGAAGAGGTTACAGAATCTCCGCTGGATAGAAAAACGAAGGTGTTCGTGTGTGGCCCTCCATCGATGGAGACATCCCTAGTCGGTTCCCGAAGTGAACAAGGCATCTTGGAGCAGCTTGGGTACCGGAAAGACCAGATCCATAAGTTCTAAGGCCTTCGAGATGCGTTGGAGAACAGGAATATCAGTACCACAGCCATTTTCTGACCAATTGCGGCGGATGCATCTAATGCGGATTGTTTATTTGTATACTACATAGACAAGGTATCCAGGGTAGATGCCCTTCTAGACGGGTATAGAGCGTGCCTCAACTCGTTTGTAACAATACAGTACATTATTTCGTGCATTTCGCACATAACTTCGTTAGACTCTGAAAACAACGTATTATGCCATAGCTCATGCAAAGAAACGTCCCAGAGACATCACCTCACCTTCTCTAATTGCCGTACTCTTAAATGTAACCTTGCCATAAGACAGCAATATAGAGATGTATAATCATTCGATCATCAATCTTCACTTGAACGTCTAGACCTTGAGGCTTACAGCATTGTGTTGGAAGAGGATGGTCAATAACAGTGCCAGTCTCCTAGAGTGCGACAATACAGAGAATTTTCGGTCTAGCGAAGCTGACAGCGGAGTATTAGGGGTGAACCTTTTATTTTGTGATCAAGCAGCTCCAATTTCTCACTATTCGTGGAACATATTTGTAGCGCATAGGCAAGTTTGTTTTCAGTGGTTCAATGGGTGCTAGCAGAAGTCAGAAAGTATCAGAGTTCTTTTCTAATCTGGCGTCATATGAGCAACGCTGACTCGCCGCTACCAACGTTATTCTCATCTCCTAACAATATCACAGTAGATTTGAGCATTCGAAAAAAATCCGGACAATTGTACGAGCTTGGGGCCATGGAAGTGTGGAGAACAGCTCCGGCTATCATGGCGCTGATAGAGTGATAGAGAGAGGCAGTAAAATGTATCTTCATGTGTTCGTGTCAACAAGTGAAATACAAAACCTTGGTAATGGCACGCCTATTGGATGACTTCATAACCTTCGCAGTTAAATCACCAAGAAACATGAAGAAGACACGAGATCTTTCTTTGATTGTTTGCCTTCAAAGTTTGACGCCTTGGTAGTGAAGTTGAGTCACGTTCAAGCTCAACATGAATCTAATCGTAGATTACAAACCGATTTCTATTTTGGGCAAAGTGAAGGCTTGATGCTTTAGGTTTGAAAGGTCAGGCAACAATATCTGGAGGGTGAAGTTTGCTCGTTCTCGCCAGAGGGTGCCCGCCTTTGTGTTCTCTCTTCTATAAGAGACACCATCTGCGACTTCCTGAAAACAACCCTCACAGTCTTTGAATCAGTCTTCATCTTGATTCAATTACAACGATCGTTGAATATGTCTACCAAACAGGCTTCGCTTCCCAGCGACAGGACTCTCGATGCAACTTCATCCACCGACAAGACATCTCAGGACGTCGTCAACGACTATTTCATGAAATATGCTGAGTTCAGGGAGCTTGACGCGATCAAAAAGAAGGTATGTTATTCTATCATTCCTGCACATTCGGAGGTCCTAACAGTCCATGTAGGGATGGGAAAATCCCAAAGCAGACAACTTCTTCAAAGAACGGCGTTCACAAGCCGATAAAGCGAATACATCGGCCCAAAAAGTATTCTATACCATGATGCAACAAATCGGCGACGAGCTAAACCGCCAGACGGGGGCTTTGCAACTGCCGCCCGCGCAGTCAAGACGCCCAACTGTGCTGGACATCTGCATGGCAGCCGGTGGCTTTACGTCTGCGGTTATGAAGTGCAATTCCGATGCGAGAGTTTCCGGAATCACTTTGCCTGTAAAAAATGGCGGGCACTTTATTCACATTCCCGGTTGGCAGAATGATCACAGACTCAGAATCCGTTTCCTGGACATAACCATGCTTGCGAAGGACATGGGTGTTGAGGCTAAAGATGTGCCAACGGATCACCCCGATGCTCAAAACTTTATATTCGATCAACCATTCAGTGGTCAGGATTATGATCTTGTCTTCTGTGACGGCCAGGTCCTTAGAACTCACGAGCGACCTGACTACCGGGAACATGGTGAGATAGGCCGCCTTCGAGCTGCTCAACTCGTGCTGGCTATGCAGCGGATACGTGAGAACGGGAGGCTCGTCATGTTACTTCATCGGAACGATGCGGTGGATGTCGTCTCTCTGCTCTACACGCTGAGCAGATTCTCGTCCATCCGACTGTTCAAGCCACAGAAGAAACACGCGATGATGTCCTCGTTCTATGTCATCGCTGAAGGTGTCCATCCTAGAAGCCAAGAAGCTCTAGATGCGGTTGAGATGTGGAAGAAGCAGTGGCATGCGGCGACATTCGGGAGCGACGATGATGTCCAGAAAGCGCATTCGATCTCGGTTGACTACATCGAAGGGGTTCTGGCAGACTTTGGGGAAGAGTTAGTCAAGCTATCTCTTCCTCTCTGGAGAACACAATATGCTGCGCTTCGGAAGTCAGAAATCATTTCGTAGGCATTGGGAGCGATTGCATTTCACTGGAACGCTACAAAACTTACCTAGCCCATCGTAAGGACGACTTGGATCGACGTCAAAATTCAACAAGATTTGATAATCTTCAAGTGTTAGATCATGAATCCCCACCATTACAAGATAGTGTCAATCAAATAATGTCACAAACTATTGTCTCATAATCAATGTGATAAAAAAAAGTTCAATATTAAGGAATTGTAAAAATGTCATATCATGAATGATACCAGACGCCAACATTTTCTTCAGGGTGAAAAGATTGGCTTGGCTTCCGTTACTATAATTTTTCATCCACCTTCAGCTTCGTAGGAGGAGGAGGCAAGGTGCTTGATGAATCTTCAGTCGCCTCTGATTGGTCAACCTTCATCAACCCTACGATAGCAGCAGTACAGCATCTATCTGATCTGCGATACAGAAGTCAAAGTGGGCAGATACAAACCCTTCATAGGGTAAATTAGTACTTACGTTAATTGTTCAAGTATTCGTGCGTCATAGCTGAATGTACCATACTCTCCATTACGCTCATATCACATGAGTGCGCGATCGAAAATTGTCCAAGCTTCAAGATGCACCTCACATCCCACAATCGCACGCTCCTCTATCCTCCAGGCTCGCCAATGCTTGCGTGAAATGCCTCCGACCCTCAATGTCCCCCCTACAGATCGCCAAAGAATGCCTCGCCAACCAGTCTAAGCATGTCCGCCTGAATGCCTTCATCTCTCGCGCATCGCAGGCCTCCATTCTCGCCCGCGCGTCTGCCGCTCAAGATGTCGCTCCGGGCCATTGGCCCCCTCATGGCCAGCTCATAGCCATTAAAGATAATATTTGCACCACCGATTTCCCTACAACGGCTGCTTCCGGAACTTTGAAGAACTTTACGAGCCCATACGATGCGACGGTAGTGAAGCTCCTCCGCGATGCGGGAGCGATCATTGCGGGGAAGACGAACATGGACGAATTTGGGATGGGTTCACACTCTATACACTCTCATTTCGGAGCAGTGAGGCACGAAGAGGAGGAAGGGACAGTGCTTAGTGCCGGTGGAAGCTCCGGTGGCAGCGCTGTGGCTGTTTCATCTGGTCAATGTACAGCGTATGTTTGAGGAATACTCTGTATCATTTGGGAGCCATCGTTGACAACCATTTCAGTGCACTTGGAACCGATACAGGAGGCTCTGTCCGATTACCAGCCGCATACACCAGCATAGTAGGCTTTAAGCCATCGTATGGTTTGCTCTCCCGGTGGGGCGTCATTGCATATGCCAACTCGCTCGACACTGTTGGCATAATTGCGGAGGACGTGGAGACGACAAAGCATCTTTTCATGACTTTGAACAAGTACGACAGCCAGGACCCTACATCTCTCCCCCCGTCTACGCGGGCTCGTCTAGGCGCCACGAGCGGCTTCAACTCAGATCCTCGCCATTCGCAGCGTCCCCTACGAATCGGCATTCCCTTGGAATACAACATCTCGGACCTCCACCCCGACGTAAAAGCGACCTGGAAACGAGCCCTTGACCTCCTCGAACTAGAAGGCCACACCCTCCACCCGGTCTCCCTACCCAACACGCGCCACGCCCTCTCAGCCTACTACATCCTCGCGCCCGCCGAAGCCTCCAGCAACCTCGCCAAATACGACGGCGTCCGCTACGGCACGCGCGCAGACGGGCCAGACGGCACGCCCACCAGCGTCCTCTTCGCACAAACCCGAGGCGCGAACCTCGGACTAGAAGTCCAGCGCCGCATCCTCCTCGGCGCCTTCTCCCTCAGCGCCCAGGCCATCGACAACTACTTCATCCAAGCGCAGAAGATCCGCCGCCTCGTCCAGCAGGACTTCGATCGCGTCTTCGCGACTCCAAATCCCCTCCTCAGCACGCCGGACACCCACGCCGAAGACGAGGGTGTCGACGTGATAATAAGTCCCACGGCGCCGACCCCCTCCCCGCTCCTCTCAACCGTCTCGTCCCAACCCCCGACATCCGCGTACAAAAACGACGTCTTCACCGTGCCCGCAAGCCTGGCAGGCCTCCCCGCGATCAACATCCCCATCATGGTTCCCCAGGGCGACAAGCAACGTCCTGCTAGTCCGTCGTACCACTCGAAGTACTCGTGGCGTACGCTCGGCGTCCAGATCATTGGACAGTACGGCACCGATGATCTTGTGCTGGAAGTCGCGGAGGCGTTGAAGGAGTACGATGAAGCCGGTTTCAATGATGGGGAGAAGGTTAGGGAAGTGGAGGAGGATGCATGAATAACCAAATAACACGGCGTGGTACAAGTCGAGCGAGATACACTGGGGATCTGATGGGGATGTTGTATGATAGAAGTATGTGTACATACATACGGTGATACGATAACGTACGATATGATATGATTAGATTCAAAATCGACGAAGTTAGAGCTCATAGTCACCACCAGAAATCAAGTACTCGTAATCGTACTTGAGATCCTTCTTACGACATGTGTATCAACGGTAACCTAAACATCATTCACTAAAATCAAAATCACGTCCCAAGATTTCTCGTCATAACATATAATGTCATATTGTAATGTCGAATTTGTATATCATTCAAATGAGCGTCCTATCCTGAAAGCATAATCTCCTTCCACACTTCTGCCCGCCATTAGCTTTCCCCCTGTCCCAGCACGTTGCAGCGGGTTGAAGTTGCGTCGAGGTGTGGTAAAGTGAAGTGAGGTGTGGCATTTAGTGCTATAATTCCTTCGTGTGAGCAGACGTCTGCCGAACTCTCCGAGAGTACGTTTGGGGAAATGAAAGGTAGGGCAAGGGATTGGGAGGGGCTTACAGAGCAGGAGCTGCAGGAGCAGCCGTTGCAGTCACCGCTGCAGGAGCAAGTGGAGCAGTTGCTGGGGTGGGATGTTAGTCTTCAATTTCTTGGGTCGATGAGGGGGGCTGGGTATGGGCAGAGAGTAGGGGAGGGGAGGAGCATGTAGGCGGTGATGAGCCAGTAATGGGGTAGGTTCAAGGTATGGGTGATTGACTGATACGTGCCGTATCGATCTGAGAGGGGGGATATGGCCGTACCATGGAGACATGATGATTGTTGATTGGTTGATAAGACAGAAAGTCCGTTGGGTGATGCAAGATGGTTGGATATGTGCTTTGTGAAGAGTACTGTGTTGGATGGACAGGTTAAGAAGCCATCAAGGTGCGCAGCGACGAGGGTTTATATAGACATCTTGTCGTCCACAGAATGTCCTTTCTCAGCCTTCCTCCCTCCTCTCCCCTCTCTTCGTTGTCCTACTAGACTCAACGCAGTGCATCCCGCCTTCGTCTCGTTACGGGCGTTCCATGGCGCTCCACGGCGATTGGACTGATCACTGCTATATCGAATGCTCGTTGCCGGCTATACCCTTACCCCGACTGCGCCGCGTCCTACCAAGTATGATTGCCTGATCACTGGTCTGTCTGGCTGCCTACGAGTGCCCGCTTCAAGCGACGAGGTCTTTCGGATATGCCTGTTTGGGAACAGCGGGTTGGGGGGGTTGGCTTTTCACACAAGTGGTGTGGATAGAGCGGGGCAGAAGAACGGTGGCGGGACAAATTGGGGTCCTATGGGAGAGGATTTGAGGATTAGGTTTATGATATGCGATTCGCGGGGGTTTGGGACGTGGTCAGACGATGGGGTGAATACAGTGGAGGTACTACTGGCTAGATCGTTGGGATGGACACTGCATGGTCGCCATGGTGCCGAGGGGTTTCTGGAGATTGTTGAGGGACGATAGCAGAAGGGTGAGATTTGAAGCTCTGGAGCCTATAGTGAACAGTGGCAGAACACCATGGTCGAGTCTGACGTGGAGATGTTGGGTTGTCCCGGCGGTTAGGTAATGGGCCGGGACGAGGCGTGGGAGAGTGTTGAAAGGTGAGGTTTCTCCTTCGTATCTAAACTTACCCCCGGTTATCAGATGGCTTTTCCATAGAACTGGCATGTCACTGCGATTCTGCAGCTGCGGTTGGTACACGCAGGTTGCATGTGCATATGCAGCTTGTAGAGCTCAAGCGGGGTTCTTGTGTCACAGTGCCTGCATGATCACAAGCTGGACGCTGTAGAGGTTGCATACACTCGCGGGCAGAGATGTAGCGAACGGCAATCGAGTCTCGTGGATGATCTTCGTTGTACAGAATCGACCGAGACGACTAAAGATGAGCCGAAATACTCAGGTGACAAGACTGTGAGAGCATTAAAAAGAGCCATTATGGTTATCCATATCGGCCCCAAAGTGACGGCTGAGAAGGAAGTTGGAGAGAGTGAGATGAATGGCTGCTGCTGTTGTTGTCCACTCAGGTGCTCACACTAACTCCTATCGAGCACCACGAGGCAACGCCGCACGTGGGGATTGAGCCATGTTGGTATCGGAAGTCATAGTAATTACATATCATTCAGCGGTTTAGGTACTTAGTTTAGGTATGTATTACCTCCATAAGGCGGGTATACGATACGTTGCGGGAACTTGATGCAAACGGGAACGATGCCACTGGTACATGACTATACATGACAAGTCGGCAGTATCATTCCTTGGCCTGTAGTGGTGACAGGCATAAGCAACACATTAACAATACCCTCGCCACGATAGCATGTCACTCAGGTGTACTCCACTCCGTACAGTACACCATCCCATGCCAACCCACCGGCTAACCTTCTTCGGTGGCTTCCCTCCGGAGATCTGCGCCAGTCGATTGCATAGTCTTATAGTCCTAAGTGCTAGAGAACAATGGGCGCATCCCACGTGTGTAGTCGAACATGGAAGAATGATGATAGTCGCTAGTCATACACAATACAGAGAAAACAAAGCCGCCCTACGCGCTGCTGAGGCATATTCATATGTCCAGCGTCATCCTGATATCGTCCCCTAGTCGCCATTCGTCGTCTCGCGCCGTCCTTTCAATGGGCGAGTGCACATCTTCCTCGTCACTTCTCCGGCTCACGTCCGTACTAGTGGAACTCGCTATTGTGGGGGCGATATCACTACCATTCCTACTCCGACTTCTGCTGTGTTTGTGTCTCTTGAACCAACTACGGCGGGATCTAGTAGATGCAGCATCTGTATCGGAGGCAATAGAGGTAGCGTATTCCGAAGGAGGGCGGGCACTTAGGTCTAAAGAGTCAGGAGGGGAACCTCGTTTGGGTGGAGTAGTGGAGGAGTTGGAGGTAGCAAGTGGTGCAGAGTCGTCTACAGGATCAATTTTCGGGGTCGGGCTCGGTGTTACTTCTGTCGAAGCAGTCACTTCGACCAGTTCAGCATCACGATACCACTTGCGACGGCGAGTATATCGGCCCCATCCGTCCTGCCCTCGTCTCCCATCTCTCCACTATGGCACGGTTAGGGTTGTATATACCAACCATGACTTGACTGCTCAATTTACGTACCTTATTGTCGTAGTAGATCCAGCTTGCATCGTCCCCTGCGGAAGTTGTCTTATCTGACTTGCCGGATTCTCCACTGTCAAGCTTCCATTTGCTGCCTTGCACCCACCTCCACCGCGCCTGGTTCCCTTCCACCTCAGGGAGCTCAAATTGTTCCTTTGGCGGCACGGGATTGAGGTGCTCGTCCGTCCAAGATGCCCGTTCGTAAGCAAGCATTGACGACGTCCAACCTATGCCCAGCCATCGACGTTGATTCTCGTATATACTGAACGTGAAGCGCACACCTGGGGAGTCCGGACGTCGTTTGGCGGCTAAGGAAGCAGCTATCTGTTGCGCGCTCTTGCGGCGTGGTGGTAGCTTTGGTGCTTTGTCGTCCAGTACTATCGGTTCTCCAAAATCCAATCCAGTCACGAAGGCGCATATCCTACGAACCATCTTTGACCTCCAAAGAATGGTACGTGATACACGTGCCGGCCGTGAGTGCCAGCTTAGTATTACGGTGCCAACAGCAAGGACTACTCGTTTGGTAGAAAGGATGTAGAATGGCGGGAGTGTCAAAGCGATCCATAGGGGCAGGACGAAAAGTATCCGAATGAAGAGAACGGTAAGTGCTGGCCGAGTGGTTGCTGAGGTTGCAGTACGCTGTGTAGACAAGAAGTCCGTCAAGCGCAAGAACGGATCCAGCAAGATATTGCACCTTGACGTGAATAGCTTCAGTGTGTCCACTATCTCTTCTAGACTCTTGTGATGTTTGATGTTGCTCTCCGATTCCTGTCGCTTGTGGCTCGTTTGCCCTTTCTCTCCCGTCCAGCCCGTCGACGACAGCGGGGAATACCTGCGCGCAAACATCCCCAGTATAAGCCCCAGCACTACTATTATAGGCCCGGCATATCTAGTTATCCTGTCTCCATACATGACGATTCCCCAGAACGAAGCCACCAGCAGGAAGCTTTCCCAAGGATCGCCCGTCGTCCATGTCAGCAAACCGGCGAATTGGTTCAGCGGCAGCAGGAATGGGTGGGAATAGGCGAGGACACGAGTGACTTGAGGAGGAGTTGCGGCCAGTAAGGGCGATTTCTGGTGAACGAGAATAGCGGAGCGCACCTTTGTCTGCGGCGTTGCTTGACTCAAGGTGGACGGGGAGAATGCAGCGTAGGTTGGCGGGTTTGGGTCAGCGACGGGTTGCTGCGAGACATTGTCGGTGGATTGCGTTGGAGTGGACATGTGATGAAGCCAGGGAGTGTCTGAAGCAGTATTAGAAGACGTTCATTCACGATCCACGATCCCTCTAGGTGTTGTTGACCCAGAAGGGGTGGGTTGGGGGTCGAGACTCGCCAAATGCTGCCATGCATAAACTGCAAGTGCGTCATCGCAGCCTTGCACGCGAATGAGGCTGAGTGCCGCAAGATACAACGATTAACGACGAAACTAAGCCACGCTCTAGGATAACCGGCCGGCACGAACGGGATCGGAAAATAAAGAGCAGATGGGGAAGACAGCAGGAGATTTTCAAGAAAGAAAGGAAGAGAGTGAGTGACGGTGAAATCCAGATGTTTTCTTTCTCATGATGACAGGCGGCGGCGGGAGGGGTGGGAAGGGAAGGTACCTCGTGCTTGTACCTTGTACGGGCATGTGAAGACGAGACGGAGGCTTGTGCCGACTGAGCCAACCTGCGAGTAGATATCCGTTTCTGTCTCTTTGTGCATGTTGGATAATAATGAAAAGTCCGGGTTTGCAAAATCATGAATATTTTTGCTTGATTTCAATGGTATATAGTTTATGGTTTCACTCGATATAGTTCGATGGAGTTACTTGTATGGATATTTCTTGATCGTTAAGGTCTCACAAGCAAGATGCCGACGAGTAATAAATGATAAATTACCAACAGAGTATGCGATCGAATGTTGATTGGTTTCTGATCGTGTACTGATTAGTCACGCATCGGATCAGCCAGGGCAGGCACGGGACTGGCCGTCGCCGAATCATCGGAAGGAATCGATTCGACGATTCCCTCCAGAAATTTTGATGCGCAACTCCAGTCCACAGACGATCACTACGAGTCCCATCATTACAGCAACGACAACGACGGCGTCGACTTAATTGACATACCACTCTTTCTGCACGACACTCTTTCAGTAACCCAGCATCGCTCACGCCTCCCTCTCTCAACCCTGCACATATATTCTGGCAGTAGCTACTCCCAAATGGTATGCATCCCATGGTCAGATCCACATTCGCCTTCGTCTCTTTCTAACAACCCTCCAAGGCCCATCGCATAATAACACAAGTTGTCTTCTCTGGCGCTCGCATAATAGGACGTGCCGTCGCCGAGTCCTACCGACAAGCCTCTGCAACCCAAAAGTATGCCGCCGCCACCCAGAAATCCGGCGGCAGCGCCTTCAGCTCCAACAACATTACCATGGACGAGGCCTGCAAGATCCTGAACGTTGGGCCTTCTAAGATGGGCCAGATAGACATGGAGTTCGTCACAGAGCGATTTAAGAGGCTATTCGATTTGAATGAACCCAAGAAGGGTGGAAGCTTCTACCTGCAAAGCAAGATATTACGGGCAAGAGAACGGATCGAGAGAGAAGTCCAAGGATTCCAAAGAATGGCAGAGAGAGAGAAGGAATTATCTGAAGGGTTCAACCCAAAAATCACCAAGGACTGAGAAGGTTTCTTGGCCGAACGGGGCATTCGACTCTCCCTTTCCATCGATTCGTGTACCCTTCCGATCATTCGATCCTTCCATCCCGAATATAACACCTCGAACGCCCCGAATCCGAAATAATTGCATTCAAGAATAAAGGCGTTGGGTTGTTGGCATAAGCGTTTGGGAACGTCCTCCAAGGTTCCGATCACATAAAGTGGCGCCATCTACTTGCGGGTCTACACAGTTGGGCATATGACCCCGTTGCGATGTTTCTCCACTCTGTGATGTATAGATACTTTTCCTTGTCTACCAGCATTATTGTTCTCTTATACTACAGAGTCATTGTCTCGTTTGCAACCAGCCACTCTGGCACTACATTGGGACATCATCCAACCTACTTCTTTGTAAATTTATTGTCATAGATGCACCAATTCAGGAATTGTAACAAAGAGGCGAACAAACAAATGAACAAACGAGTGCAATTTGCTACGACAAATGCTTCGAAAATCTCGACGCGTATCATCAGGCATTGTTTGAATTGGTTCGAGTCTGGTCGCGATTGCGATTCGTCCTTTCCCCCACCTAAACTATTAAGAGAGTGATCCATGCATTCTGGGTGTAATGCCAAGCCACGCACGGGCCTTCTTTCAACATTTCTCTCTCGTTCGCGTTGAGGCCCACAATCCCTCCTCCCCTTCACCCTCACCTACAAACGCGCGCGCTCTCGCCAACGGAACCAACCTTCCAACGATGGGTGATTCCTATCGACCTGCGCCCCCGCGTGGTCCTAGACGTCCTCGTCACAGACCGCAGCCTTCTCTCGCTGATCGCGTTACATTCAGTGCAGGTGGCGGCGACAGTTACCGACCAGGTGGAGATCAAACAAACCGTCAACAAAACAATCATGAGTTTACCTTCACTTCCAATCGTCAAGGCCCTCAATTTCCGCCCGTGCAGCCTCAGGACATCAATCCCCCTCGAGGTCCTCGTAAGAACAACAGTCGCAACCGCGGACCCAATGGGCGCAACGGCCGCGGTCACAACGGTGCTGTAGACTCATATGCACCTCGTAACAATGGTGATAGGCAAGGTTCCGGACGGCCATGGCGTCCATTCCGTAAAGAGGCCCCGCATGAGCGTGCCCTTCTCCGAGTCCAGAATAAGGATGGCCCTGAGCAAGTGCTCGGTGTGAACCAAGGAGAAAGCAAGTTTCTGAACCCTGATGACCTTTCAGAGAGCGAAGGCGAGATGGATTTAGAGGAGACAGAGGACCAAAGCGATACGCCTGCAGAGTCCAAACCGAGTGCCCCCAAATCCGCCAGGATTGAAAGCTCTCGCGCAGATGGGGACTCGGTACCCAGATGGTCCAATCCCGATCCTTACACTGTTCTGCCGCCGCCAGCAGATGAGACGGCAGGCAAGAAGATTGACTTTGTGCAACTCATTCGTAAAGCAAAGAAACAATCTTCCGAGCAATCTGCAGCGCGCAATGCTGTTGCTGCTAACGATGATTTCATCTCGTTTGGGGAAGAGCCATTGGTACATCCTCCTCCTCCTCCTCCTCCTCCTCCTCCTCCTCCTCCACCACCCTGCGAGCCTCATCCTCTACCACCACCGCCACCGCCTCCTCCTCCCCCGCCACCATCAGTCCCTCCGTTTGTAGGCTCATTGGATCAAGTCTCCGCTACAGGTGTAATGACGAATGCTAACCGTAATGCTAAGCGCACTGCTGAGGCCGCTGGTCTACCTGCTAGGCCTCCAAATGGAGACCGGCAGGCACCGAAACGCAAGTTGGATGCGTCGGACAAGAGCATTATCGATGAGTGGATGGTTAAGCCACGCATGAATGCATCCCCTTGGCATCATATTAGGCCTAAAGATGCGGCGCGCATCGGTCGAGACACGCCAGGCCCGGATTTCCAAAAGATGCGCATTCTGTAAGCCCTCTATCTTTATTTCCCAACGTCTTTCACTAACCCCACGCCAGGCTCCATAAAGAGATCGTTGAGTTCTATAATTTTGTGAAGCCCAGTGACCACATTCACCGAGTTAGACAAAACTTGATCACAAATATCGAGACAGCAATAGGCAATGCTCATCCCCTCCGTTGCCCAGCGCGCTTGCTCTGTTTCGGCTCCTTCCCTGAGAAGCTCTACCTGCCCACCGCCGACATGGATCTTGTATTCGTGTCCCAGTCCCATCTTGATGGAGGTTCTAGGCGGCTGGATTTTGACAGCAAGCGGCAGATTAACCAAGTTTTGCGGCAGACTGGTCGGCGTCTTGAAAATGTGGGGATTGCGACTTCACTCATAGTCATTGCAAGAGCTCGAGTCCCTATCATTAAATTCAAGGACAGGCGGACCGGTATCCAAGTGGATATCTCATTCGAAAATCTCTCAGGCATTGTCGCCCAGGATACGTTCCGAAACTGGAAGCAGGATTGGAAGGACGAGTTCGTATATCTGGTGGCACTTATCAAACAGTACCTCGTCATGCGGAATCTCTGCGATGTGCATACGGGTGGACTCGGTGGGTTTTCCATCATCTGTCTCGTTGTTTGCTTCCTACACACGTGGCATTCCAGATATCCCAACCAGCAGGAGTCAAACTATGGAACGTTGTTTCTGGACTTCCTAGACTTCTATGGCAATGAGTTCGATCTTGCCACACAGCGTATAGTCATGGACCCCATCAGCGTCGTGCCCAAGGTAAGCAAAGACGTATCTACAGTAGTGATAAAAATACTTACTTGTTTCAGGGCATTTACGGCATTGACGGAAGAGAAGAGAAATCAAATGGCCTTTCTATACAGGACCCGAATAACTCGGAGAACAATATCTCTGGCGGCTCACACAGGGCTCATGATGTTTTCCGCCTATTTGGAGATTCTCATGCCAGGCTCTCTGAGCGCATGAACAAATTCGATCCATCCGGGAACAGCATCCTCGATACGGTGATGGGCGGAGATTATTCATCTTACCAACGCTTCATGACCCAGATGAGGAAACTCGCTGGATAAATACTGGTGACAATTGAGATCTGCAGCTCGAAGCACTGTCCGCCGTTTTCCGGATTTCCTATGTTCTGAACGAAGCGTTCACATTATGTTCACTTCAGAGCGACAACACCCGTTAGGCTTACGAGAAGGCCTTGTAATGATTACGAATTCCACATTGTGAGGAGATGGATACGGCTATGGAGGTTATGAAATCAGGTATACCCCTTGATGGCGTTTATGGAGTTTACGTTGTTCAGATGAGGATATGTCGCTTCGGCTACGTTGATTTCGCTACACGCAGATATCACGTCCCGGTGGTAACAAAAGGCGGATTACCTATGGACTCCCTGCACTCGCGTTCAGTTCCTTGTCACCGAGCGACTCCCGATCTCGCGTCCATCGGCGATTTCCTACATCGACTTGGATGAGCCCTTTTCATCGCTCCGACGAAATCGACTCCATATTCAAACGTGTAGGGTGGATTTACTCGTGCCGGCCGATGTCGCAAACCACAGGGTTCCCAATTGTATTCTAGATACCATGATACTTTTCACTTTTTTTCTTCTTCTTCTGATCATCTCCGCATTTGACAAGGTGTCGACGCTCCTCTAGATTACTGCTAATTCATTACCCGGTGTGGGCAAGGCTCGAAGCTGTGAAGGACAGCGAGGGACAGCATCACTCATTGAACGCTGCTTCCGATTTCCTTCCTCATCAATGGCGATGCTTTATGCGCACTATTGAGGAGGAACTTTGCATTATTCAGGAGCTCTCTACTACACCTCGTAGAGAGTGTGTGTGGGAGAGGGTCTCAGTTGCTACGTGCTCCCTTATTCAAGCTCGTCAACTCAACAAATGAGTGTCAATTCATAGTGTGGTGAACCTATAGAGCATGCTACTGATATATAATTTTAGAATAGTTCTCAACGGAATATCGTCAATAATGCTTCAAATAATGAATTGGGAGAATTTCTACTTTCTATCCTGCGCGTCGATAGGCGAATGCACGATCTCACAGGCCTCCCTTTGGATGTGTCGCCAGGATGCCTGCGGATCGCGCTTCGATGACGTGGGTGTTGTTCCAAAATCTTGGCTTGGCTGCTGCACATGCAACGATACATTTCTTGCCTGGTTTGTACACTAATTATTGCCATGTTCATGTCTCTTGCTCTCCCCTCTCCCTCCACTTCCTAAGAGTTTTCTATTCTCTATCTTCATCATTTCTTTTTTGACAAATAAAGCTTGTGGCGGTCTGCCCTGCTCGAGCATCGGAGCCAATCTGCCAATATGGCGCCCAAAAGTCAGGCACTACAAACAAACATGGACGTTGATTACGTGATTAGCTATCGTTTTGCGAAGACGGGTACGCACTTTGCACGTCTTTGAATTGACGCATCAGCTCTGACATGTTGGAATAGAAAAGGCTGTGGCCGTACAAAAGTTCGAGAAGCTAGTCGAAGCTCTCGCCAGCGTGGGGCTGCAGACGGAGGTCCGCAACGGCGACAATCACTCTGTTCTTCTCTTCATACGCGTCTCCTCGGACGAGCACCTGTTCGGTGAGATCTACAGGTCAAGGTAGTATCCTTACACACCTCTGTCAGACCCCGAAGCATACTGACAACCCCTGAACAGAGTCCGCGACTGGATCCACGGCGTCCGAGCCGCTGCCCCTCCCAAGGAAACTCGTGAAGCCCTCGAATCCGAGCCCCTTTATGAAGCCGAAAGACTGCGAATCATATACCAGCTGATCACGAACCCTGTCTCGGAGGGTGGTGCGGGTATCACCCCCAAGGAGGGCGAGTGGAAAGAGGTCGAAGCGCTATTCGCCCTCCACGATCATGCGTATAACAAGGATTGGCTGAAGAAATGGACTGGGCAATGGTTCTTGAAGCCGGAGGACATTGACGATATCCGCAATCGCTTGGGTGAGAAGGTAAGCATTGGTATAGTCCCACGCATAGGCATTGTAGCTGATCTTAGAAGATTGCCTTCTACTTCGCCTTTACGCAATCCTACTTCGCTTTTCTCCTTTTCCCAGCAGCATTCGGTGCCTCGGCATGGCTGCTTCTGGGGTCCTTCTCTCCCATCTATGGTATTGTGAGTTCTATATGGTGCATTGTCTTCACCGAGTGGTGGAAACATCAAGAAGTCGACCTAGCAGTCCGCTGGGGCGTCCGCAACGTCTCTCGCATCGAGACGAAGAGGAAAGATTTCAAGCACGAGAAGCAAATCACAGACCCAATCACTGGAGAGAAGGTTCTCCTCTACCCTGCTACGAAGAGATTACAGACACAGCTGTTGCAAATTCCTTTTGCTCTTGGTGCTGCGGGACTACTAGGAGCTTTGATCGCGACGTGCTTTGGCATTGAGGTGTTCATCTCTGAGGTCTATGGCGGTCCGTTCAAGACTATCTTGGTATGTGCATTGCTACTATGCGTCCGGCTGCGGATTAATGTATACAGGTCTTTCTTCCTACCGTCATCCTTACCACGGTCATGCCTGTTCTCACGGGAATTCTTACTTCATTCGCAACCCGATTGACGCAGCTTGAGAATTATGAGACTGAAGCTGCTTACCAGACAGCACTCACGCAGAAGATCTTTGTCCTCAATTTCATCACTTCATACCTTCCTATCTTCTTAACCGCCTTCGTATACGTACCTTTCGGCAACATCATTGTGCCGTACCTTGATGTCCTTAGCTTGACAGTCAGGCCCTTTGCGGAAGACGAGAAGCAGCTCCAGGCTCCCGAAGCTGGATTCACCATCAACCCTGACAGACTCCGTAAGCAGGTGATTTACTTCACCGTCACCGCCCAGATTGTAAACTTCGGCATGGAGCTCGTCATGCCATACCTCAAGCGCCGTGGCTTCGCAAAGTACAAGAAGATGCAATCCGAGCGCGCTGCGAAAAACGGAGGAGCACCACCATCCCCAGCCGCCAACGATCCTCCCGAGGATGCCGCATTCCTCGAGCGTGTACGACAAGAGGCCGAGCTCGACGTCTACGACGTGACGACTGACCTACGAGAAATGGTCCTCCAATTTGGCTACCTAAGTCTTTTCTCCGTCATCTGGCCCCTCACCGCAGTTTCTTTCGTGATCAACGACTGGCTCGAGCTCCGCGCCGACGCCATGAAGATCTGCGTAGAGATGCGACGACCCACGCCCTGGCGCGCAGACACCATCGGACCGTGGCTCGACTCCCTCAGCTTCATCACCTGGCTTGGCAGTCTTACGACCTCCGCTCTCGTCTACCTCTTCTCCAATGACGGTCTCGGTCCCGACGGCCACCCTAGTAGCATCACAGGCTGGGCGCTCCTCCTCACCGTCTTCTTCTCCGAACACGCATTCTTCATCGTCCGCTGGGGCGTCCGCCTCGCCATCTCCAAGCTCGACTCCCCAGGCCTCCAGAAGGAGCGCAGGGATAGGTTCCTCGTGCGTAACCAGTACTTCAAGGAGAACCTCAGCCTCCTCGAGAAGATTCCCAGGATGGCGGAGGCAGGCGGAGACATCACGAGGGAGAGTCTCGAGGAGGATGCCCGACGCGCGAGTCTCCATGCGACGACGCCGGAGATCAGGTTTTGGGCCAGGCAGAAGGGGTGGAAGGAGGTCGCTGCTGTCGGGAAGGGATACATTGAGCGGGCTGCGGTAGAGGTAAGCCCCGAGACTAAGAAGGAGCTTTGAGTTGTTTACGGGAATGAGAGTGCTGGGTGGTCGATGGAGTGTGTCGGGGGATGAGTTCAGGAAGCGAAGAATGAGAAGAGATGGAGTAAAAGTGATGGTGGCAGTGGTGAGGCGGTGCTTTTTCCTTTCTTCGATAAACCCTTACGAGTTATGACCGAGCGTACTTGGCCTGGCGAATCTTTCTTGCAATCCTTTTCTGCTTCTTCACCGATGACACCTCTTTACAGAATATACACATTTAATACATTTTTATCCTCTAATTTTTCCATGCTCATCATATCCAACAGTAACGTACATGGCTATCATCAGCGTCATCATCATCACCTAAACCCCACAACATCCCCCCCGAAACCCACCGGCCTCCTAACCGCCCTCCCCTCAACATACGGCAGTATAGCCAACGCCTTATAAATCCTGCCCATGCCGGTAGGCCCCCTATCCACCAACCTCTTCCACGCGCCCTCCACCCTCTCCGCCACCTCCTTCCCCTCCTCACTCTCCCCGCTCCCGTCCTTCTTCTTCCCCTTAACCAACCTCTCCACCCTCTCCTTAATCCCCAACGTGCTAAGGAAAAACGCCTGCTCTACAGGCCCATGCACTTCTACGCCCGGCGAGGCATCGAGTGCCGCCTCCGCGAGGGCTAGGAAATCGACGTCCGCGGACAGATCGACGAGACCCGGGTCGCGGAAGGGAGAGCACGCAGCGTGCGATCGGATGCCGCGGAGCGTGTTGGCGGGGATCGTGTCGAGCGGTCCGTAGTCTAGGATCAGGGCTGCGCCTGAGGGGTTTGGTTTGTGGAATGGTTGTTCCTTTTCGGATGCTCGTCGTTGGGGAGTTGTGGACGTAGACGGTGGTGGAGACCGGGGTGCAGGATTCGCGCCGCCGATGCGGGTGGCGAAGTCGGAGATGTAGGAGAGGGATTCTGGCGATATTTCTACGATGGCGCCCTCGGTGGATTGCAGGGCTTTGTAGCGGGGGGACTTCTGGGGGAGGTAGAGGGAGTGCGGGGTTGGGGTTTTGGAGAGGGTGAGCTCGAAGTCGTCTTTTGGGGCTTTGGGGTCGGGTTTCGCGTAAGCGGTTGCGGTGGCGTTTTCTGGGGAGGATGGGGGAGGGGATGGGTTGGAGGTGTAGGGGGATGTTGGGGAGACGACGAGTTCGTGCCAGTTTGATTGCGGGGCTTGGGGACCCGTTTTGGGTTTTATGGGTCCCGTGGGCGTCATGATGGTCGAGGAGGCGGGGATGCTGGTCGACTTGACGGATTGGAAGATGTGGATTGGAAGGGCGTCGAAGAATTCGTGGGCGAGGATGAAGGGGGTGGTGGATTCTTCTAAGGAAGGGTTTAGTCTGGTGTATTTTGAGAGGGATTGGAATTGACGAACCTTTGGGTACGAGTCTGATGTCTTCGCACCAGATGATGTTGCAACCGGGAATGTATTTGCAGGGAGCTGTCCATCCGATATCAGTGTCTTTCAGTTCGTCCGTACCGGCCAGCAGTTGGGCTTGTTGTTTCCGTAGATGCGGCGACGCTTCGATGAGATAGATAGCCTCTACGCTCCTTGAGAATCTCTTGAAATTTGAGAGTGTCTGTTCGAAATCAGTATCCAATCCACATATACATCTCTTGCATTTTCTTCTTCCAGCATTTCGAACATACCCTCAGAACATCATCCATCAACGTTCCTCTGCCCGGCCCAACCTCAATGATCTGCACCTTTTCCTTCTGACCCTGCGCAAGCCACTCAGTATAAAGCCACACTCCCACCAACTCTCCAAACACCTGGCTGATCTCAGGGGACGTTATGAAATCGCCCTTCGTTCCGAATTGGTCGTGGCCGGTCGTCTGCCGTGTGTAGTATCCGCCGTCAGGATGTGTCAAGCATTGCCGCATGTACGCAGCTACGGAGATGGGGCCGGTAGTCTGGTAGAGATTATCAGCTTCCGATAGTCTATCACGAAGAAGGGAAGTTCAATTACTGTTATAGCCTGCGCCAGCGTCTTCGCCAACGGAGTCGACCATTCTCGCTCATCAATCGAGGACAACGACGTCGGCGCAGACTTCGTTGGTGTCGACGAAGACCACCGAACACCGCATTGTGTGCTCCTTAAAGTCAATGCCTGCGTGCGTGAGCTCCGCACCGCATTCCGGCATACTGTCAGCGCAATTGCCCTCATCGCGCGTGTGTAGTTCAAGTTTCCATGACGTAGGGTCCGTCCCGCATCAGTTGAGGATCTCGAAAAAAATACCCGGGCGTAAAACGCGGGAAGGGAAGCTATGACCACATGTTAATTGCACTAGCGTCGTGGTGAGCTTAACTCTGCTGCGACATCAACCTATAAAACGCGAATTGGGTTCTTCTGATGAGACAAAGATAAGCGCGATTGGAGAAATAAGAAAGAGATAGAAAGATAGGATGGCTTCACGCTGGGCGAACGACGAAGCCGACAAGGCGGAGGACGCCCGTAGGAAGAAAGAGAAGGAGGAGAAGAAGCGCCAGAAACTCGCGAAACAGCAGGCCGAGCAGGAGGCTGCTGCTGCACGTGCGGCTGCAGAACGGGAGCAAGCATCGCGACCGGCTAAGAGAAGAAGATTATCTGCCTCCCCTGAGAAGGAGGGTGGTGCATCAGGCGTTTCTGGAGAGGCAAAGGTATTGAGATTTGAAGCTGGAAGTTGGGGTCCTTGTCGACATATCAATAATTTCGAGACATTGAATCATATCGAGGAAGGCAGCTATGGTTGGGTTTCAAGAGCAAAAGAGATTGGAACATCGGAAATTGTGGCTTTGAAGAAGGTCAAGATGGACTACGTAAACGATGGCTTTCCGATCACAGCATTGCGAGAGATTGCGATGTTACAGAAGGCACGGCACAAGAACATCGTAGACTTGAAAGAGGTAGTCGTGGGAGACTCTCTGGATGAGTACGCCCTCTTCCACATCCTCAACCAGAACCAAAACACTGATAGCTAACCTACACCCAGGGTGGTACTTGTAATGGAATTCATCGAGCACGACCTCAAGACCCTCCAAGAAGACATGGCCGAGCCCTTCCTCGCCTCCGAAGTGAAAACCCTCCTGCGCCAATTAGTCTCCGGCGTAGATTTCCTCCACCAAAACCACATCATGCACCGCGATCTCAAAACCTCAAATGTACACATCTTCCCCTCCCCCCATTTCACCCCTATGAACCACAACCACTAACTCACCCCCCAGATCCTCCTCAACAACCGCGGCGCCCTCAAACTCGCAGACTTCGGCATGGCCCGCTTCATCCCACCACCCAACGCGCCCCTGACCCAACTCGTCGTAACCCTCTGGTACCGCGCCCCGGAGCTCCTCCTCGGCACGACAACCTACAGCACCGAAGTCGACATGTGGTCCGTGGGCTGCATATTCGGCGAACTGCTCCTCAAAGAGCCTCTCTTACCAGGCAAGAACGAAGTCGACGAGCTCGCCAAGATTTTCGCGCTGTGCGGCCTCCCGGACGAAAAGTCGTGGCCGGGCTTCTACCGCCTCCCCAACGCGAAGAGCCTGCGGCTTCCGCGCGACACGAGGGGCCCGAAACCTGGCCCCGTGATACGCACGAAGTTCCCGCTGCTGACGAATAAGGGGGTGGAGTTGTTGACGGAGCTGTTGTCGATGAATCCCGAGGGGCGGCCGACGGCGGGGGATATGCTGAATCATGCGTATTTCACGGAGAGTCCGAAGCCGAAGCCGCCGGAGATGTTTCCTACGTTTCCGAGTAAGGCGGGGCAGGAGAGGAGGAGGAAGAGGAGTCCGAATGCGCCGCAAAGGGGGGATGCGCCGGGGATGGGCGGCGCGGAGATCGATTTCAGTGGGATCTTTGCGGGGAGGGAAGAGGAGCAGAAGGGGGCTGGGTTTATGCTTAAGATGGGTTGAAGTGTGGGGAATGGTCAAGTGCGAGTGGGTGCTTTCAATAGATATATTTATTGTTTATTGACTACCTGAGCGCGTCATTGCGGGCGGTATACAGCGATGCCATGTGAGAGCGTAAAGGGGTATCCTTGATCCCGGAGGCTGCTAATTCTATAAAATCAAAATGGAAGTCCAAATGCCCGCAATTGAGTTTTGTTTTTTCCTTTCCCTGCTGCAACGCCATCCAACGCCAATCCTGTCCAAGTGTTGTACCTTTCTTTGCTTTCCGCAAACGCGTGCACAAGAATCAGCGACCATGGTCTCGTCCTCCGTCACCCCTGCCCCTACTACGGCTTCGATCACTGTAGCTGTCATATGAATCATAGCTGGGGCTTCTTCGTCCACGTCCGCGAGGCGATGGATCCCTGCGAGAGAAATTATCTCCGCCCCGTCCACGACCACGTCCACGACCAGGACCTCCGCCATCTCCACGTCTTGGTGGTGTCTCCGAGCGAGATCTAGAAGAGTACGACCTTGATCGGCTTCGCCTGGGAGACCTCGATCTCGAATATGAGCGACGGTGAGAACCACCTCGATCTCCTCTTGGTGGGCCACCGAAGCCACCCCTACCGCGACCCCCTCGACCACCGGGATATCCTCGAGGTGGGGACCTAGAATAACGGCGTGGTGGGGAACGATAACGCTGTGGGCCTCCCATGGGCGGCGGCCGGTACGAGCCCGGCGCACCACCTCCTCTGCTATCATAGGAGTCGCGAGGCGCTGGGCGGAAGGGAGGAGATCGTGAGAAGCGACGACGGGGGAGTACTATGGAAACACTGAGCTTCGCACCGTCCAACTGCGCCTCGTGCATCTTTGCGATGGCTTCGTCGGCATCATCGACTTCCTCGTAGAGAACAAAGGCAGTTCCGCGGTTGATGTTGTCTGACCTGTTAGTTGGTCCATTATGCGCTTGTGAGACAGGCGTGCTTACAGAGCTGATTCATGGGGACCTTGACGTCTTTTATGGGACCATAATTGCCGAAGATCTCGCGAATATGATCCTCTTTGACATTCTTGGTGAGACCTTCTACAACAATCTAGAAATGACAGGGTTGGCATGGGGAAATTTGGCTTTCGCTTGGGGGCAACAAATCGCCTACCTTTGCACTTCGAGGGGCCGGGGAATCACTCCTGCGGCTTGGACTGCGGCTGTAGCTTGCTCGTCGACCTCGAGGACTCCGTGAATATGACCTTGACCTGCTATCTGGTGTGTAGCTTCGCCTTCCATTGCGCCTACCCCCAGGACTGGCGGACCGATTTGGTGTGCGCGATCGCGAGCGAGAGACAGACCGGGAGGACAAAGAGCGCCGAGGACTCCTTGAGCGGTTCGAGGGTGATCTGCGATCTTGCGACGGTGATTGTGTGATAGGACGGCCACGAGAGGCGCTGCGAGAGCGTGTGGGAGATTGGGATTCTCTTCTTGACGAAGACATGGTCGCGAGGATGATGCGACTGTCAAGCCGGCGGGATTGATTAGAAATGGATGGCGAAGCAGTTGTTGTTATTGTTGTTGTTGTATGTTTGATAGTTGCTTGATATCCATACTGAACAATGAACGCGTCCAAAACTTTGGAGCTCGGACCACTTGTGTCTCACGTGACTATTGTTTCACAGCTCTATGTCCCATTTGGGCTAGATCGAGCGTCATCTCTCTCTGGTTCCGCTTGCAGCTGAATGAACAGCTGCGAAGAATTGGTGTCTTTGACTGCCGAATCATGCTTCAAATGGGTGGGACAACATACCGGAGCTTGGGCTAGCTACAGCAGATTTACTGCAGGGGAGACCGCAACGGTTGCAAAGCTGTACACAAACACACAAGGTACATGTAGGTGTATGTGCTATAACATGATCTCCTAGTACAACTGAACTCAATTCCACCTGTGCACGGGCAGCTTCGAAAACGTTCAAGGAATATTTAAGTACATGGCGGCAAAATATACGGGTACATTGCAAGCTCCGGAGGGTATCAAGCTCCGTGGCAAGCGGTTCGGCTATGGGAGGATTGCATTGTGCCTATCCCGTTCTGACCGGATGTTGGCTAGACAGAGGTGATGCATCTAGCCTAGGAGCATTTCCTTACCGTACACTGCTCTGCTCTGCCGGAGATCCCATTACGTGCGTCATATCTACCTAGGTTTTCATGCAGTGCAGTAGTTCTACCGGTACATGCATGCACACGCAGGAGCAAGAGCACAAGCATGAACATGAACATAAGCATGAGCATCAAGCTTTCCATTCCCATATCATGCTTCGGAAAACGATTGTATCTCGTAGGTGGAAGAGATATCCCGTTGAGGGAATTGGTTGGGTTGGGTTGGGCGAGTAAGACATGACAGCTGATTGCATCCATCCCCTGATCCACTCCATTGATCTATCCATTCATGTGCCCATACATTACTCCGTATGTAGGCATGTATTCAGTCGGACCCCCACACGACAACAAGCTGCATGATGGCGCAAGAAGCGCCAAAGGAGAAAATTGGGCGTGGGAATCGAAGAGAGGAGATGAGTACGATACTATAAGTAGAACATACACACAGGACTGCATATATTATTAGCACTCATGACGAAGGATATAAGAGTTCCATGTAAGATGGTTATCAACAGGTAAGGTTTAATTCAAAGGTATAGGCATCTAAAGTGCAAATTCACTCCGTATCAGCATATACGGTGTGAATACATGTGCTGGTGGTGTAGTAGTTAAGTTATTTTAGTTGTCGAGTTGTTGATGGCGGGGTTGTTGGCCGTTTCTTCAAAGCCCCACCTTTTCCCTCCCTAAACCGCCCGCTGTGTCTCTCTCTCACTGTTGATTTGGAACATCTTCTTCCTCCTCTTCCCTGCCCAACAACTCAACTACTAGTCACAGTTACCTCGAACCTTGTCTTGTCTTTGCCACTCATCGCAAATAGCAATTCAAACTCTTGTTGCTGAGTCACCCTATCCCTCTTCCTCTTCCTCTCCTTCCGACCGCCCAACTACAAATCTCTTCTACCTGTTGATCATCCCGCCTTCCTGCCTCTCTTTCCATTACCCAACTACACACTAAACCCCTCCATCACCTTCAAACATGTCCTGGCAAGGTACGTCTACAGCTCCTGACACCCGTTCAGCTTATCCAATTAACATCTCCTCCAGCATATATCGACCAGAGGTAAATTTACTATCCATCCCTTACCAGATATCATCAGTTGAATCTAACATCTTCGTTTCCTACCAGCCTCGTTGGCTCAGGCAACATCGACAAGGCCGTCATTTGCGACATCACCGGCGAGACCATCTGGGCAGCAAGCGCTGACTTCAACGTACGTCTATCCGGAAACATCTTTCTACAATCAAGTTTTGGACAGGAAATGGCACCGGCTGGAAAGCCCAAAGCTGTTTGCGCAAAGACATCCCCGATCATGTATGCTAACTTGTACCTGCCAGCTCCCCACCGCCGAGCTGAAGGCCATCGCCGACTCCTTCAACGACAAGAGCGAGCCCAAGAAGGTTCTCTCCGAGGGCGTCAAGGTCAACGGTGTCAAGTACATGACCATTGCCGCAGATGACGACTCCATCAAGTCAAAGAAGGTACCGGCTACCCCCACTATACATACAGAATCTCCTACATCCAGACAACGTACTAATCTGTTCATCCTCACAGGGCAAGGAGGGCGTCGTAGCTCACAAGACCAACCAAGCCATCCTCATCGCTCACCACCCAGACGACGTCACCACCCCCGCCGCCTTCAACAGCGTCGTCGAGCTCGCCGAGTACCTCAAGGGCGTCGGATACTAGAGAAACAAAAGTTATGGTGGAAACGAAAAACAAGAAAAGAAAAAGCCTTTTTGGTGCGAGCGGACCTCACTTCCCCCTTCTCCCATTCTGAGGCCACGCACGCGCAAGTTTTTTGACGTTGTAACTTTAATGGTCTATTTGCATACCCCCTCGGTGCGGAGCTGGAGACGGATGGCCAGACGGACAGCCGGACACATGGATGGGATGGAGACGGAACAGTGATGGACGACAGGCAATGGTCAAATTCACACTTATGATAGAAATGAACTGGAACGAATTGATCTCATGGACAAAGGTTGGAACGCTTCCCCTTTTCCTGTATACTTGAAACTTCTGTTCGAAATGTTCTCCCTCTATAAATATGACTATCAAGATGATATAAAAGCAAGCTCGCAAGCGCCCCTTGGGTAGGTAGGCCAAAACACCATCACAACGCCTTCCCCAACTCTTCAAACCCTCACCCCCTGCAAAACCCTAACAACCTTCTCATAAAACCCCCTCTGCAACCTCGCCCCCACCTCCTCCAACTTCTCATCATCCCCCTCCACCAACCCAAACGCCTGGGGTCCTTCAAGACAAGCTCTCACAACCTCAACAACCCTGCCCCCTAGATGACTGTTCACCCACCTCAAATACCCCTCACTCTCATCCAGCAACCTCGCCCTCGCCTTGTACGTCACACTCGGCTTCGCGGCCCTCAAATTCTCAATCCCCAGTATCTGATCAATGGGCTTCCAGTACGCAATCTCCAACAGAATGACCCCCAGCGCATACAAATCAAACGACTTCCTATAGCTCCTACCGCCCACCCCCTCGCGGTTACCCGACCCTTGGACCGCAGGGTGGCGGTAGATGTCCTCGCGGGCAGACTCGGGCGGCTTCTCCGTCATGTCGTCGGACAGCGCGGGGCGGGAGTAGTCGAAGCCGGAGATGAATGCGAGGTTGTATTCGATGTCTGCGTTGCCGGAGTCGGAGAAGAAGAGGATGTTGGAGGACCGGAGGCCCTTGTGCAGCCAGTTCACGGCGTGCAGGCGCTCGAGGTTCTCGGAGAGGAGGCACATGAGCGCGATGCGGGAGGTTAGGGAGGGGACTTCGAGGGCGGGGGACGGGGTCGTGAGGAGGGTGTGGAGGGAGGTCGGTCGCGTGGACGGATGCGCGGAGCTGGGCTTCTCGAAGACGATGCCGAAGCGGTAGTGGTCGTCTCCTGTGTCTGGGTCGAGGTCTTGGAAGTAGCCCAGGCAGTGGGGTGCGCGGAATTGGTTGGTGCGGTTGTTTTCGCGGAGGAGCGCGACGAGGGCTTTCACGCGCTCGTGGAGTTTCGGGTCCGGGCCAGTGTGGTGGTAGGTTGGGGGTTCGTAGGTGTTCCATTCGATCCAGACGGAGGTTTTCTTGCCGTGTGGGCGCTGGTAGTAGGCTTCGACGCGTTGGAATTCGTTATCTTCGTCTTCTTCGTCGATGATGTGGATGTGTTTACGGTCGAGCTCGACGGCCCGGATCTCGGAGGCCGTGTTGGGCATCTTGATGGAGTGGGTGAATTCGTCGGTGAAGATGGTAGGGTCGTCGATGGCAGAGTTGAGTGCTTTGGTCTGGGCCAGGGCTGCGAGGCTCTGCAGTTCCGGGTTGTATGATTCTCTGTCGTCATCGCTGTCGTCCAGTCCGCGTGCCTGCAGGATCGCTCGAACTGGGCTCATCGAAAGGCTCGGCCCTCGTTGCCTGCGAGTGTTCCTCGATAGGAAGGTCGAATTGATAATCTGGGCGAGGTCCTGGACGCTGCTGTTCAGTTGCATAATCTGGAACTCGGTTCGTGTCTGCTTGATGGCGAGAGTCTCGAGCTGCGATGAGTTGAGCATCTCACGCATATAGTCGTTGAACGTCGACAACTGCAACACCAGTTTCTCCATCTTGACCCGATCGAACGACGCCCATTTGAGCTTACGAGGGATATCAAACGCCTTAGCAGCATAGGCTAGAGACTTCTTGAGCAAGATCTCTGACTGCGGGAAGCGTCGTGCAAAATCGGTATCTGCACGCTCCAGAGTCGGGCTCTCAGGGGAGTACGCTGGAGGGTTCGGCAGCCGCCCATGTTCCTCTGCGAATTCAACGAGGAGCGGCCGCGTGAGCTTCTTGTACTTCTCGTCCAGTCGGCCGAACTGACGTAGTAACCTTCGCTGTTGGTCGAGCACATCGAGTAGAAGACCTTTACTGGAATTGCTGACGAGGAGGCTCTCGTCTGTCTCGTCTAGCTTGACGACGTCGGCCCAATCAAGGAGACGGTACTGCTCGGTCTTTAGGCGGACTCGAAGATGCTGGCAGTCTGTGGGCATGTGCTTTGCATCGGTGATGAGTTGGTAGCCTGTCAAAAAGTCAGTCATGTGTTGAGATACGACAGATGGGCGCAGCTAACTTACCTTGCACACATCCTGAGAAGACCTCAAAGGTCAATGATACTATGCCTAATGCCAACTCCGCCATGTTTACAAAGAGTCAATGACTATCCAACCACTCAAATGAACTCTTTCTACAAATCTGTTCGATTGAAAAAAATTTAAACGGGCTCCAGGCTTAATCGGCTATTCGACAGCACACTATGATTTCACGATTCGTTGTATCTAACAACCCTGTCGCATACGATATGTGAAGAACAGTATCGGAATCTGCGAGGAAAAGCGATCTGGGCCACCATCGAAAAGGGATGCGGCACATACTTAAGCGCCTCAAGGCTCTAGGCGAGGCTCCATCATTGAGGCAGGGTAACAACGCAGCCTACTGCAGCTCAGCCTTGATGGCTTTATGATCGCCAACGCATGCCTTAAGGCTATCGTCGGTTTGCTCACCGGGATACCGGTGAACGAGGCGGATCCCGTCATTGTCAGATTTCGTAGAACCTACGAATACTCCATATTAACAGATTTATCCTTTGTAACTGGTACAGTACTAGCCATCAGGGTTGACCAACATATAGGTACCGGTAGTTTGAGGTCTGGTTCAACGTATGGCATGTAAGACATTCGACGCCACACACGAGTGCACAGCCACTCACCGCATCCCGTCATCACCAACATTTCTTAAAACCGCTCCCTCACGCCGTGTGACATTCCACACCTGCAGAATCCCCGGCGATGGTATTCGCCAGCCTACTGAAGCCCTCCCCAGGCCCACCCCCGGACCCCTTCGAGCGCACCTCCTTCCTAAAGCTCCTCCTGCACTCCCCCGTGAAGCTCCTCCTCTACCACCTCTACCGCATCCTCTCCTCCCTCCGCTCTCTCCCCACGCCCACCGAGCCCAAAATTCGCATAGTATGCATATCGGACACGCACACCCGCATTCCGGAGGACGTCCCTGCCGGCGACATCCTCATCCACGCAGGCGACATGACGAACGCCGGTAGCGTGGCGGAGATACAGCGACAGGTCGATTGGCTTGCGGGACTGCCGCATAAGGAGATCGTGGTGATTAGCGGGAACCACGACACGTATCTCGATCCGCGGACGCGACCTAGTCTGTCGGATGCGCAGCAGAGGGGCGGCGTCGATTGGAAGCGGGTGCATTATCTACAGCATCGGAAGCTTACGCTGACGATTGAGGTTGAAGCGGAGGGGGGTAGGGAGGAGGGAGAGGAAGGGGAAGGGGAGACGACGAGATTGTTGGGTGGTGATGGTGGTGGGCAGAGGCATAGGAGGTTGGTGATCTATGGCGCGCCGCAGATACCGGCTTGCGGGCCTATGGATGTACATGCGTTTCAATACCCCAGAGGGAGGGATGCATGGTCGGAGACTGTGCCTCAGGATATCGACGTTTTGGTTACGCATACGCCGCCAAAGTATCATAGAGACATGCCGCTGCCGACTGGTATGGGTTGTGAGCATCTCATGTCGGAGGTGAGGAGGGTCAGGCCGAGCTTACATGTTTTTGGACATGTACATTTCGGCGCGGGCCAGGAGGTTGTGTGGTGGGATCGGTGCCATGAGGCGTATGAGAAGGGCATGGCTATTCAATCGAAATGGTCGCGCGGCCTACTCAATCCTTGGTTGTGGTGGAATACTTTTAGAGTGGGGTATAGAGGTCTCAGAGAATTGATATGGGACAAAGTGTGGGGAGGTCAAGGTCCGAGCACGATCATGGTGAATGCTGCGCAGATGTATGGCAATACTGGAAAGTTAGGGAATCCCGTTCAAGTGGTCGAGATATGATCTGGTTGTCACGGCCTGGGACGAGAAGTAAATACTGTAATAGTAGTAATGTGTAATTTTTGTCAATCATCATACAGTTCACGCACAAGGGCAACGAGCAGCCAAAAGTATTCACGCAGAAAGGTTCTGTTGAACTACCTTGACCAAGTCAGGCTCCCGTTCAACATGGAGATCAGGGTACAGGACCAGTCTATTGTAAACTAGCCGTTCGCCGCTCTCCTCGTAATTTTTGTTTGGGGTCATGAACAAGCGTTAAACCCATTGGCCATAAAAAACCGTATATTCCACCAGCACCATCCAGCAATAGAGCGCACACGCTCAGAGACGGCGACCACGGCGACCACCCTTTCTCCTGGTAGAGTCGGAAGGAGTGGGGGTAACGTCCTCGATACGTCCAATGCGCATACCGGCACGGGCAAGAGCACGGAGAGCAGACTGGGCACCGGGGCCGGGGGTCTTGGTTCCGTTTCCACCAGTGGCACGGATCTTGACGTGGAGGGCAGTAATGCCAAGCTCCTTGCAGCGGGCAGCTATGAGATGTGAGTATTATAGTCGAAATGTTGTTTGGATTATTGCTCTACGCACCAACGTCCTGGGCAGCCAACATAGCGGCGTAGGGAGAGGACTCGTCACGGTCAGCCTTGACCTTCATTCCACCGGTAACACGGGAGATGGTTTCGCGGCCGGAAAGATCGGTGATGTGGACGAAGGTGTCGTTGAAAGACTGGAATTTTGTCAGAATTGCTCGCACGAAATCCTATTATCCAGTCCAAAACTTACAGCGAAGATTCTGGCAACGCCGAAAACGAGCTCACCCTCACGGACCTGGGGACCGAGTTGGATGTTCTCCTGGGTGGATCGCTCGACCCTTTGAAAGAGCTGTTAGTATTTGTGTACATCTTGAAGGCGAATAATTGGAGGCGTACTTCTTCTTGGGAGGCATGTTGACTGTGTGCGACGGGGGATTAATGAGGTGGTGTCGGTGGGAAAGTTGAGGTCGAACAGTTCGTCACGAAAGATTTGTGGGCGGCGCAATTTGGTGTCGAAATTCGGGTGGGCGAAGGTGGCGGACTAACTTTTCTCCGATGACTAGCGCAACGGGGCGCGCCAAAACCTCTCCCGCTGTTTTTTTCCTCTCGAACTTCTTCCATCTTCATCTTCCAAACAATAATGACCTGAACATCAACAACAACAATAATAAACAGCAATCAACTAATCCCTTCAACCTTCCATCATCTTGGAGGTTGTATGTGACAATGGCTACTACAGATGACGCGAAGAGCGTCGGTATCATCGGCATGGGCGACATGGGAATCATGTACGCCCGCCGATTGAGTGACGCAGGCTGGAAGTAGGTTTTCTTCCTGGCGCGTCGTCTTTGCAGCTTCGACTACACCAGCTGTAGATCTATGTTTTGGTAAGTCCTTTACTCTTCTCTTCTCCCATACCTTCCCTTCTCACTGCAATGATGACCGTGAGTGCATTTGGCTCGAGTATGGCGTGAGTCCTTTCCACTGCCGTCTTGGTTTTGGATCCTGGGCTTGCCGCTGTCACTGATGTGAATTCTCGCTACCTTAACTATTACACCTCTGAAAAGCTTTCGAGATTCTCCTATTACTTCTTCAACCTATTGGTCGACTGAAGCTGACAATTGTCCTCACAGATTATTACATTACCACACCATCGACCTGTACCGTGCTAACCGTAGCTCCCCAGAGTAAATGCCTGCGATATCCCAGAGAAGTATGAAGCATTAGTAGAACAGTTTAAGGACAGAGTATGGTAGCACCTTGTATATATCATCTCCAAATGAAAAAGAAATCAATAAACTAAGCCTGTCACCAGCCCAAGGTTGAAATTATGCCAAGCGGTCACTACGTATCTCGTGCCAGCGACTACATCATCTACAGCGTCGAGGCTAAGAACATCGATGCTGTTGTGAAGCTCTTTGGTCCATGTATGCCTGCCTGAATATTTAAGCATCACCCTTGATCGTGACCCATGACTGATTCGTGCGATGACTAGCCACCAAGATGGGTGCTATTGTTGGTGGACAAACTTCCTGCAAAGCCCCTGAAATCGCCGCCTTTGAGAAGCATCTTCCAAAGGATGTTAACATTGTCTCGTGCCACTCCCTCCATGGTCCTGGTGTCCACCCGAAAGGGCAGCCTTTGGTCCTCATCAAACACCGCGCAACAGACGAGGCCTTCGCGTTTGTCGAGCGTGTGCTCTCCTGTCTCGAGTCCAAAGTCGTCCACCTCACGTACCAGGAGCACGACAGAATCACCGCCGACACACAAGCCGTCACTCATGCCGCTTTCTTGTCCATGGGCACGGCATGGAGTGCGAACAATCAATTCCCTTGGGAGTCTCAACGCTACGTTGGCGGGATCGAGAACGTGAAGATTAACATCACCCTCCGTATCTACGCGAATAAGTGGCACGTATACGCTGGACTCGCCATCCTCAACCCAGCGGCGCAAGTACAGATAAAGCAATACGCAGAGAGCGTGACAGAGTTATACAAGCTCATGCTCGCGGGACATAAAGAGGAGCTACGGGAGCGTGTCCACACAGCAAGGAAGGCCGTATTTGGCGGCTACGAGGGAAAGGAACTCCTCTTACGCGACGAACTTCTAGATCAATTCAGTCTGGGCGTCTTGCCAGAGAAGCGATTGAAGAACAACCACCTCAGCCTTCTCGCCATCGTCGATTGCTGGTGGAAATTGGGCACAGTGCCTTATGAACATATGATCTGCTCAACACCCGTACGTATCTAGCCTCCCTCTCCCCTATCCAGCACTATCAAAAAGTTTGGAACATGTCACGCATTCGTTAACATTGATAATGTGCAGCTCTTCCGCATGTGGCTAGGTATAACAGAATACCTCTTCCGACACGAAGAACTCCTTGAAGAGGCCATTGACACTGCAATCGACGACAACACGTTCCGCGCCGACGACCTCGAGTTCACATTCGCTGCTAGGGTAAGTTGCCCCCTCCCCTTCCGTTCCGAAGACGCTCTTTATTTTAAGCAAAATTTACTCACAATGATCTTCAGGACTGGAGCTCAAGAGTAAGCCTCGGCCACTTCGACGGCTACCGCGAGAAGTTCGAGAAGATACAGGAGTACTTCGCGCCCCGGTTTCCCGAGGCGACGAGGTTGGGCAACGAGATGATTAAGACGATTTTGGAGAAGACGAAAGATGAATAATTTAAACATATACAATTATAATTTAGTCGAATAATCCGCCTTAGCAACACCGCCCAGCTGCGGAAAGAGTGGAGGAAATGTACCTATTTATTGGCAGCAGCAGGGAACTGTATATACTTTGGATATAGAGACAGATTGTGATGATTATTGAAGTTGAATTGGTATTCGCTGGCGTCTTTTGAGTGGATTCGTGTATGTTCCCCTGGTTCGTTGAAAAAAGCGTCTCCGTCTAAAGTCTACCTACATGCAAGAAATTGAGTACACTATGCAATACATCGCACATCACTTCTCCTCCTTGCCCTCCCCCCTCTTGAACTCCCTACTCTCCCCAATATCCACAACATCAAACACCCCCGTCTCCTCCAGCCCCTTCCACTTCAACGCCTCCTTCAACAACCTCGGCGGCTCCAACACATCCTCCTCGGTAAGCACCCACGTGCCCCAGTGCATGCCCAACGCCTTCTCGCACCGCGTGTCGCGGAAAATGTTGACCGCATCCTTGGGGTTCGCGTGCATGGGCGACATGATGAAGCGGGGCGCGTAGGCGCCGATAGGGATGAGGCCCAGGTCGAAGGGCCCGCGGTGCTGGCCGATCTCCTGGAAGGCCGGGCACGTGGGCAGGTGTGCGTACTTGGGGGAGTAGTCGTCTTCTCCGGCGGGGACTTGCGGGACGGAGCGGTAGCCTGTGTCTCTGTTGGGTGTGTGTTAGAATTTGAAGAAGGGTGTAAAGGGGGGAGGGGGGAACGTACCCGGCGAAATAGACCTTCGCGCCGCCGGACTCCACGCTCCAGCTAGCCCAGAGCGTCCTACATTTATCGAAGGGAGTCCTTGCCGAGACGTGTTGGCAGGGGAGGGCGCTGATGGTGGCTTTGATGATGTCTTCTTTCTCTCCTGCTGGTGGTGCTGGAGCTACGGCAGCGGGAGCAGCAGCGCCGTCGGATGATTCTGATACCGAGACACGCGCGACTTGCTCCTCGTTCGCGATTGACTTCACGACCTGGAGTTCCAGGTCCCTGGCCTCCCACCAGTCGAGCTCGGTCACTTTCTCGGGAGCCACCTTGGCGGTGTCGACGAACCACTTCTTGTTGCCGAGCGGGGCGAAGAAATGCGCGTTGGGGAACTTCTCCTTGATGCGGTTGATGGTCGGGTAGCTCAGGTGGTCGTAGTGGTTGTGCGAGATGACGACGGCGTCGACGACGGGAAGTTCCTCGATCTCGCATGGCGGCGGCGTGTAGCGCTTCAGGTTGGGGAGATTGATCGGCGCGCAGCAGTCTTCGAAGACTGGGTCGAAGAGCACGCGGAGGCCGTTGCGGCCTGGGAATTCAACGTAGTAGCATGCGTGACCGAGCCAGGTTGCGCGAAGGTGAGCAGTTTCACGAGAGGGAAGGAAGTTGGGCTTGACGATGGGGACGGTTGGTGGTGTCGTGTCTGGAGTATTGCTCTGGCCAGATAGTTTTCTCCTGTGAAAACAATTAGCATGTGCTATTCTGGCCCCTGTCTTCGCAACCTAGTAGCTTTCCATGCAATTCTGTCATCCATACAGGTTTTGATATATCTCTTCCTCGTTCAGGACTTCTTACAAAATCCGTCACGTGTCTACGTATTTATGAGGCACAGAACAGATGGAAGGAATACGTACCAAACCATAGCTTTCATGATCGAAATCGGCGTGAAATCTCTAAAGCTATCCCACGGATTCACAAAGCCCTTCCCGTTCTTCAGGTGATGCGTCTTGTTCTCCGCCTCCTCGGGCTGGGAGTATGTGAGCGATGGCGCCATGCTGGCGATGGCGTAGAGGGTCGCAGAACCGACGCCTATCTTTGAGGCGGAGGACATTTTGATGTACTTTTTGGCTGTAGTTGAGAATGGGGAGAAAGGCTGGGAAGGATTATGGGTATAGGAGGAGGTGAAGAAGATTGGCCGTTGTTGTCGTTGGCGTTGGATTGTAGGATTATGTGTGTACACTTTCGAAGAAGAACAACAACTCGCCGAACGGCGGTGCGCTCTCTCTAGTACTGAGGAAGATGAATATGCTCGAACCGATGATGAATGCAAAGTGTTTGGGCGTAAGTGGGAGTGAGCGCAACGTCGCAAGCCTGGTGACATGCACTGAGCTATCTGTTGAAATCGAGTGAGATTATGAGGAAGCGGAATTGAAGGTGGAAGCGGAGAGAGAAGAGCCATGCCGACGACGTCAGCAGCTCTTTATCAAGCCCAAGAAACTCCAATGAATGCGAGGAAGATTCAATGCAGATACACAGCCCCCGTGCACCACGCGCAATGTCACGCTCACCCTGTAGCTTATTGCCTGCCAATTGAGACGATGGACGAAAAAAAAAGGTGAGATGTTGATGGGCCAGCTCGGATATTTCGCCCTATGTCCGCTACTCTGCGCGCGTTCTCGCACAAGACCCACGAGTAAGCAAGCGAATGCGAGGACCCGATAGACGCCTCCCGATCAAAATGGCAGCAGAGGAGACAACTTATCGGACAATGGATGCAATTGGAGGGTATATTTTGAAGAAATCGACGTGTACATTAAATTCTAACGTCGACGGATATAATTAAGAAAGTGGGCCCGCTGGCCTATGAGTTGAGGGCGAGAAGAGCGAACGGACGGACGAACCCTCGTCCCATGGCTTATGATTACCCCCCAGAGTGATTGACTACCTACTCATAGTTAAAGACTATACGAATCCAAAGTGTTCTAGGTAGGTTACAAGTAAGCTGCTAAGAAGGTCGACGCATCATACACTTGATAACGTTTGGCAAAGCGACCAAATACCACGCGTACGTACTGTACCATCTCTCTAACGCGGTGGCTTTGTTTGAGGGAAAATTATCATGAAGGAATAGGCGTGATTACCGTGCAATCTTGCAACTTGCATATCCATCCATAAACAATTTACATTTAACGTACCGGTGCCAGCCTCCTAATCATGATTCCTCATAACCTTCCAGCCCTGCCACGCCATTCACGCCGTTCGAGCCTTCCAATCCCAGAAAGGTCTAGCCCCGAATCCAACAAATCCCATCGGCATTACTAACTTCCCGACTCCGACCACCAACCACCTACCACCTCACCTCTCGTCAATCAGTGTCGATACCATTATTCCAATACATCCATATGCTTTAGTGTCGAAGTTGAATCGTGTGCCTTGCTGTTATTGCTGCTATTTCCATCAATGGAAGTGCAATCACCACGAAGTCTACATCTACAGCTTCTCCACTTCTACGCCGCTTCAGTGTAGGGGCGCATCTACAAGAGCTATAGACATGACCAGTCGACATCTGTATCTCGGCGTCCAATCAAGATGTGGGCGACAATATTTAAATAGAAAAACACAGGTACCCATCCAACGGGATCCGGCACATTTCATGTCAAAAACTCGCCTATGAAGTTCCCGCCGCATGCACGTCTGCCGTTGATACACACTAGGGCATCGGAGAAGTTCTCTACGGACCAACCCCCCTGTCGCGACATTCGGAGGAGGAGAATAAGAAGTATCCTGAAACGTTTCAAGCCTTCGATTTCCGCATCGATACTCCAGATTTTCTTCGAAGTCTTGTTCTTGCCGTTTGCTTGTCATTTCATTATCCCAAAGTTCGCAGGTTATGATGTTAATTGACATGCACATAGGCAAAGCACTTTTGGTCCAATGATCCGTTTTCAAACTCAATTACACGACGAGCCGCAGAGAGAAGAACCAGCGATCGCTTTGCTTATTTCCATTCCAAAGCAGGCACCATTAGAGCCAGAATCATCCGTCACCCTGACATTTGTCGATCACGTTTTAACATTGACGGTCTGTGATTCAGACTCCTCCATGTCGCTTCTTTTGCGTGCACCCCTATCCGGACACGTCTATCCTAAATCTATCCCATCGTTCGATATTTTCGGCATCAATCAAGTCTGGGGCCTTGATATTCATCCCCACGACCCAGTCTTCTTGTTCATCCTTCTTGTTCCCGCTCCCGCTCTGGATCGCCGCTAGAAGACGGTTCCGGACCAACCTCCATGTGACGAAGATATGTCAAATCTGCCACACACTGCCGCAGAATGTGATAGCGATATGTCGAACTCGTTCCCTTTCTAGACAAAGAGATCTACTTCGACTAATACATCTCATACCTCATTTCAATCCCCGACATCAAAGCCGTCATGTATGTGCGTGCAACGATGTTGTGGAGATAGTAATGCTAGTCAATTACCGTACCTGTACGAAAGCTACATAAAAGAGGTGCAAGATCCCACTCTGGTAGAACATCATCACTATCATTCAATCATTTCTCTATTCACATTCCATTACATTCATTCCTCGCACGCTAATATCAACGTTCTTTGCCTATGTTGAATTAACATCAAACGATAATAGTCTTGCAAGCAAGCACAACAACAAACAAGCCACCCAATTCATCAAATAGTTCGTACTTTCTTGGGTCTCCCACAACAGATCCAATATGAGGTTCCTCCAGGCCACCCTCCTGGCCCTCTTCGTAACCACCACCTTGGCAGCGCCAGTGGGTAGGAAGGAAACAACTCAATCCGATACCGACGCCTCTCCACCTGGTCGTGATCCTGCTCTAGCTCCCGCGCCCGCTCCCGCTCCCGTCCCTGTTCCTGTCCCTGATGCTGCTCCTGCTCCTGCTCCTGCTCCTTGCGCCTCTGCTCCAGCGGATCCCGCTATTGCAAGCGGGCTCGACGACGCATCGCCTCCCCCTGTGGAAGAGGAGCCCACTGCCTCACAAGCTCCAACTCCCGCTGTTGCAGGCGGACTCGACGACGACAAGACATTGCCTCCCCTCGATCCAGAGACTTCCGTGGCCCCTGCCCCGGCGTCTGACCTCGCAGTTGAGCTTAAAGACCCGTTGTCTCCCGCAGCAGGCGTGCCCGCCACCTCAGGAACTGCAGCTCCTGTCGCCGATCCCGCTGTTGCAGGCGGACCTGACGACTCAGCGCTTCCACCCAAGAAGATCGATCCGGCAGAAGAACCGGTAGAAGCCCAGCCCCTCGACCCAAAGACTTCTGCGGCCGCCCCTGCTCCTGCTCCAGCACCTGCCCTCGCAGGCGAACCCGGCGAGATATCGCCTCCCGCAGAGGGCGAGCCACTCGACCCAAAGACTTCTGCCGCCGCCCCTGCTCCTTGCCCCGCGTCTGCCCTCAAAAGCGGTCTCGGCGACACAGTACCTCCTGTGGAAGAGGAGCCCACTGCCTCGCGAACTCCAACTCCCGCCGTTGCAGGCGGACTCAACGACGATAAGACATTGCCTCCCGCAGAAGAGGAGCCCCTCGACCCAGAGGCTTCTTTGCCCCCTGCTCCCGCTCCGGCTCCTCCTCCTGCTCCCGCTGCTGCTCCCGCTGCTGCTCCCGCTGCTCCCGCTCCTCCCGCTGATCCTCCCGCTGCTGCTCCCGCTGCTTCTTCTTCTTCTCCTGCTGATGTTCCTCCTGTCGTTGCTGCTGCTGCTCCTCCACGTCCTCAGCAACGCCGTGCTGTCCGTGGTGGTGGCTCCAAGGGCGGTCCTCCTCCTCTTCCTCCCAGGCCAGGTACGAAACCACCCGCTCCTCCTGCTCCCCCTACTCCACCAAAACCCTTCATCTCACCTGGTCCACCCCCTGCTCTCCCTCCTCCTCTTCCTCCCAAGCCCTTCCCCGGTCCTCCTCCTCCTCTCAACACACCTAAGCCCTTCGTTACACCCGGTCCACCACCTCCTCTCCCCCCTCCCGTTCCTCCAAGGCCTACTCCTCAAGCTCCCGCCCCCGCTGCCCCCGCTCCTCCTCCTCCTCCTCCTCCTCCTCCTAAACCCTTCATCTCACCTGGTCCACCTCCTCCTCTCCCTCCTCCTCTTCCTCCCAGGCCCTTCCCCGGCCCTCCTCCTCCTCTCAACACACCTAAGCCCTTCGTTACACCCGGTCCACCACCTCCTCTCCCCCCTCCCGTTCCTCCAAGGCCTAATCAAGCCCAAGCCCCCGCTGCCCCCGCTCCTCCCCAACCCTTCATCTCACCCGGACCACCTCCTCCTCTCCCTCCTCCTGTCCCTCCCAAGCCAACCCCCGCTGACGATGTGACTCTAGGTGGTGAAGGTGGAGCGGATCTGAGCCGCAAGCCGCGCGTCACGCCCCCGGGCAAAGGACCCGGACAAGGCCTCCCTCTTAACCCCATCCCCGCCGAGGCTCCTCCTCTCCAAGCTCCCCGGCCCGTCCCCGCTGCCAAACCCCCGATTCTTGCCGGTGACGATCTCGCCGCTCGCGATCCCCTGGGACGCAAGGGTGCCATCAAAGGCAAGAATCCTTCCGGCGCCAGCTCTGTTCGTCAGGGCGCCTCGGGTCTCTCGCGCAGCGGCGCTATCAAGGGTGCTACCAGCCCCGGCGGTAGCAGCCCTGCTCCCGTCGAGGCCGCTCCAGCCTCGGGTCTCTCTCGCAGCGGCGCTATCAAGGGTGCTACCAACCCCGACGGCAGCAGCCGTGCTCCCGCCAGGCAGCCTGCTCCTCCCCCCGCTGCCGATCCGGCTCCCGGTACTATCCAAGCTCCACGGCCGCCTCCTCCTAAGCCCATCAATCTCGATGATCCGCCGCCTCCTCCTGCTCCTAGGCTTGGTGCTGGTGGCTCAAAGTTTGTCGAGGGCGCCCGCAGGTAACTAAGAGCGAGAGAGAGAGAGAGAGAGAGAGAGAGAGAGAGGCTGATGAGATCTCCCATGGACGGGAAAGAACAACAAGTTCCTCGGTGACGAGATGAGGCGATTTCTTTTCCCCCTTGGCTTTGACACGCTTATCTGGGTCTTGGTCTTGGATTTTGGTGTTTTGGTTTTGGTGTTTCGGGTTGTTTCGTCTTGCATTTTCTCCTGGCATGGCTCTGCATCGTTCCCTTTTGTCATCTAGTATGTTTCGTTTTGTTTTCGTTCTTGTTTTCCGCCGCCAACAGTAATAGGAAGAAGAAAGAGCATACAGGACAGGAGTAGCTGTCACCGAAAGACGGTGCTGGTTGCGTCTGAATAGTTAGTCGGTCATGTTACGGCATGGATAAGTTTGGGATACGACAAACACCGCCACATCACATACGGATGTCTTGCGGAGTTTAGTGCAGTATAGGATAGGCAAGAATGGAAATATTCGCAGTTTCGCGTGTGCCCATGAACAAAACAAGAACCATGTCCGTGATGATCTATCATTCGTTATTACTGTTCTGTGGTTCTTCGAAGTCTTATCTCATCTCTCCTCTCTCTCTCTCCTCTGGAGGAGATAATCCACACAATCGTCGTTGTCGTTGACATAACATATACATGAATGGATACTGCTTGATCTTATGCTAACCATTGTACCGTCCCTCGTCACGCGTGAATCTCTGGATTAGCCTCGTTGTTATCCTGTTGATATCTTAGCACGGTGTGTGGTAGTGGTGCCACACCACCGTCGAGATACCATGTACAGCTGAAAGCATGACAGTCTCACGAAGGTAAGAGCAACTTAGTACTCACCCGTACCAAACATACAAAGAGTTGAACAATCACAAGGGTGGTCCGAAGTTGCAAAATCATGGATGTTATGTGTCAAGAATGTATTGTTATTGTGCTCATGTGTGGTATTGCGAATAATGCCCCCGTCATTTTTTGATATGGTATAATATGATGTTTGTTTGTTTGTTTGTGTTGTGTCAATGTGATGGTGATGATGATGATGAACCCATTAATTACAAGCCCGGCTACAATCAAACGTGTAGGGGGGATATAGGGACCGCAATGAAAGCCTTTGATCAAAAGGTTGGGGGGAATAAAGTCGTGAACCCAGTGTAGCAGTGTAAGAGTAGGAAAGAAGGAAAGACAATAAGAAGAGAGACCACCAACTCGATGCCAGGCTGCTGTCTTTCGACTATGTCAGCGTGCGCCGGCGACACCTCCTCGTGACCGCTACGTGAATGTCTCTCTTGAGGTAGAAGGTACAAATAAAGAAACCATGGTAAAAAGCCAGACCCATAACAACATGGACCTGAACCGAGAATGAAGAAACATTAAACCGGCACAAAAACCCCGCCGAATCCAATCTTTCAGCGCAATGCGAGGAAACAACTTAAGAGCATCATGAAGCAAAAATAGAGAAAACATCCCTCCGAACACAACCTGAGGTATATGCGTAACCGGGGTGGTTGAATCAAAACGAAGAACAGAAGAGTGCATCATGTGTGCGGTGCAAAGACCAACACCAACAATCGACAAAGCAAGAAAAACGCCTAAAACCCGCAAGTCGCTTTAAAGTATTCGCAGGAAACCGTGGATCCCAATGTCTAAGACGAGAGTGAACAAAACAATAACGTCCGGGTCCAAGAATAGAAGGAAAATGAAATCTATCATGCAATATGGCCGCAAGCCGCGTGCTTTTTCGTCAGATCCGGAGAGGCGCCAATATGCGTTCGAAATAGCGACAGAAAAAAAGGATACCACGCTGGCGCTCGAACTCGACAATTTTGTTGGGCGAGAAAGCAACTTTTTTATACGGCAACGGCTCGTCGTGTGGCCTCGCGGTGGAAATCCGGATAACGCTTTGGTCGCGACATCTCCGTGGTGGTTCGGCGACCGCCAAGATCATCGAACGATCCTATGGTGCGCCTAAGGGGTGGATGTTCGAAGACCCTAAGCATGGATATCGGAGGAAGAAGGGGAAAATCGTAACAAAATGTAGTAAACAGAAACTTTTAGACAAATGTGAGACGCAAATTCGAATGGGGTTCAAATATGTATCGCAGAGAAGGTAGTCGTTACAAAGGGAAAGGTGATGGATATGGCCTAGGTTGCGTGCTCTGAAGCATCGGACAGTATGTGGTCGATCAGAACGGGGCGCGTGCGCTCGGTGCAATTACAGCTTTAGACAGCGACAGCCTGAGGACCGAATCCAGGAGCCATGAAATATGGGGGGTGCCTCTGTGCACAGTACATGCAGCCGCAGTTCAAACCGTGGTGGTTCCACGGAGGCGTGTGATACTGAGAACCATACGCAGGTGGGTTGTAGTTCGACGCGTGTTGCTGTGGCTGGCTAGGCGGGAAGAACATGGTTCGGCGAGAGTAGCCTTCGTTGGAAGTCCAAGGTCCATGGGCGCCATAATATTCTGGCGTGGTCGGGCCAGTCGTGGGGGCAGAGGACGGGGAATGCTCGCTGGCTGCTCGCCAGGGGTCATACTGGCTGAACCCGGGGTTGCCGTATGGCGACTGTGCCGACTTGGGAGTGAACTCGTAGGGTGGCGGCGCGCTGAAGTTCTGCTGCATGGGCAGAGGAGGCAGCGGCTTGTTGATGTTGTTGTTGCCATTGTTCATCGAGCGGCGATGCATCGAGGTATCGATGGGGCTCAACTTGCTGGACCTGTTGGAGCGCGCGGCGGCATGGGCCTGGTACTCCTGCCAGTGGTCTGACCACGACTGCCATCCCTGGGTCTCGCTAGGGTCGCGGTGCAACTTGAACTCGATGGCCACGAGCCACTCGGTCTCCAACTTGTTCAGGTCGGTGACGGGAATGCCACTAACGTCTGCCCAGGAACGGTTGATGAAGGTGTTATCATCCAAAAACTTGCTGCCCAGAACCAAAGAGATGGTGAGCAGGCGGTACACCTGGCTATCCGACTTGGGCTGAGAACCCAACATGGGCATTCGGTGTGCCAAGTAGAACATGCTTAGCAAGATGGTGGCCGAGGGCAAGCGCGTCGCGCATAGAACCTGGTGTACCCATTTGCGGAACGACTGCGGCGGGATCGTACGGCCAGGCACGATGACCTGCATGGCCATCTCGACCACGAAGTCGGTCATGACATCCATGTCGTAGTCCAACTTTGCAGACACGCCACCCACTGGCTTCTCTTCCTTGGGCTGCTGTGCAGGGCGAGTGCTGAAGTCGTGCATGCGTTGCTGCTGTTGCATCGCGGCTCCACCCATCGCGTGGCCATGCTGCATGCGCATCGGAGGCAGAATGGTCTGGGCCACAGACTCGTAGAACGAGCTCGCTGGTGGCAGAGTCGGGGGAGGGTTGCTCAAGTAGGTACCGGCCTGGGGGTACATTGGCGGCATGGCCATGGCGAGCTGTTGGTAACGCTCGGCGTAGTCATAACCATCATCCTGAGGTCGAATGGCTGGCTGGGCGGAGAATGCATTCTGCTGGTAGGGCATTCCTCCGCAGCCAGTCTGGTAGCTTGGCACGAACTCGGGAGGTGTAAGGGGCAACTGCCTGTTGGCGCTGTGCCTGGGGTAGAAGGACGGCATGATGGAAGAGGCCGGAGATAAAGAAACGAAAGAAATCGGTGTGCGTGACGACCCTGATGAGTATCTGTTAGTATTGTGGCAGGCAAAGAGACGCGACCCGGGAGTCCACACGTACAATTTCTTCAGTTCCCGCCGCGGTTGGTTTTCGAGCGTAGGCTCTGCGAATTCCCTACCGACGCTTCAAACAATGTCGATCATGCACGAACAAGAATGCGTATGTATTTTTGTTTTGGTCGGGAAACAAGATTGGTTGTTGGTATGAATCCAAGCAAACAATCGGAAGAAAGATGAGGTCGTAGAAAAAGAGGCTTGGAGGAAAATGCGTGGATCGATCGTGAAAAGTAAAAGAGACTCTCTGCGTCTAGGACGAGGCTCGAACAGGACGATGAGGAATGAAGACAGGCGATGAGGTCGTGGATGGAAGGGTGGCCACGACGATGATCGGGTGTCTTTTGGCGATGTCTAAGTGAATAGATCGCGTGGATGTAGTCGATGGGCGACTTTTTGGATTTTCGTGGCGACGGCGAAGGGCAACGTTTCTCGACGACGGCGATGAAGTAAGTGGAAGGAATATGTTTGCTGGAGCAAGGTTGGGAATGCGTCGGGAAATGATGTTGTCAGTCGCACAGGAGAGAAGGAAGCCGAGAGCCGAACCAGGGTAGGGTCTGGTTGGATGGGTAGGGAAGGGCAATCAACGCTCGCAAATCGAAACCCTCGAAAAAGCTTTTAAAACGTATAATGCAAGGTGTGCAACTCCGGAAATGAAATGCCCGCGATCGAGGAGGAGAGTATATGAGCAAGGCAGATGGATGTACAGACGGGTCGACGACGATTGGGTTTTGGGGGGGGTGGAAGGGGTGTGTTGTGGTTACGAGGGAGTCGGAACCTGTTCGATCGAAGTCGGTGGACCTGCCCAATGGTGGTGGGATTCGCAGCTCGGCTGGATGGTGATTGTGACGGCGACGTTGGTTGATGATTGAGGACGACGACGGGGACGAGCACCAGGGAGACTGCAGAGTCTTTCACCGTTCACCGTGGGGAAAGGTGGTGAGTTGGATGAAATTGGGAGGGGAGAAGAGTGGTGGTGGTGAGAGGAGGTGGGAGAGAGAAGAGGAGGAGAGAGAGATGAGGAAGGGAAGGGTAGAGGAAGGGTAGTTAGAAGAGAGAGGAGGGATGAGACGGGTTGGGTTGAGATGGGAGAGGAGACGAGGAAGGAAGGGAAGGGTTAGGGAAGGGAAGGGAAGGGAAAGAGCGCGCGCAGGGAAGGGAAAGAACAGGGTTAGATTCGGATTGGGTGAGTAAGAGAGTGACGTTAGAGTAGTTTAGGTGGGTTTATTCAGAGGCAAAAACCTACGCAGTAACGACTTGTACTAACTAGGACACGCAGTAAAGCGGGTGAGTGAATGGGTGTGTGGGTAGGGGAATGTCGCGTTCGCTTGGTTGGGACCAGTCCCGTTGGCTGATTGGCTGGATTCGTCGCTTCGCTGGTTCGTTCCTTCTTTTTCTCTTCGCTGGCCGCTGGCTGTTGGCCGCTGGCCGCCCATCCACCCACCCACACGCACCTGCCTCGTTCCTTCCTTCCTTCTTGTTCAAAAAAAGGGACTGACTGACTGACTGGATCGGTGGTTGCCGGAGAAGCGCCAGAGCCACACCACACTGTTTATTATTACACCCATCCCGCCGTATCCACTGTTATTTATTACATACGCATAGATTACATCCACACACACATCAACTACATCACAGAGTTACAAATACCAAGACCAAAAACCCAAGACCAGATTCCGGCCGATCCCCTAGTCACCAGAACCCCGAATATTCCCTACCAGCGAACATCTCCATGGAAGAAAAATACTCCAGTGGGACATGACCACTGGCATGCAGAAGAGGACGACAGAAAGTGGTGAGCAGATAGTGGGTAACAAAGGGTTGCGTCGGCTCGGGCTGGAGCTCGATCTGTGTGTACATACATGAATATCCAGTATGTACGAGTGTACATGGCACATATGAACAACTAAGTATGCGTGTGTGCGCGTGCTCTTACTGTGCAGAGTGCAGTATTAATTATCGATGGTTTGGGGTAAGGGGATGGGACTAGGGAAACACAAGAGTCACTGACCGACATGACATACCCACGCCAACGACGACAGGCAGACAGACTGGTCTCTGGAGACTGTGGTACGGGAAATACATCATCATTAATTGTTACTGTGAGCCTTGAGGAGTGGTGAGTAACACGAGGCAGCGACTTTCCCTCCCCATCGTCATCACCACCGCCATTCATCATCATCATCGTCATCGTCATCATGGTAATCATCGGAAGTGGCAGCGGCAAACAACCACCAGGCTGCAGACCCAAAGTGGCTAACTACGTGATGCGTGATAACTTCGGGCATGGTGCGCGCCCGCGCGGTGCTATCCACTGCCTACACAGTGATTATTTTTACTCGTACTGTTGGCTGAGAAGAGGGGGTGTCTGCGTCTTGCCATCGAGAAAAGCCCTGCGGCGGCCGATGCAAAGGGTCGATTCGGATGGTGGTGGCCTGGCTGCCCGCCATCGTCGTATACTTACCGAGTAGTACTGTGTATCGTACACATGTACTTGAATGCAACGGGCATCGTGTATCGTGGAATGCATACATACTGCCCTTCATCCGTGGGCCCGTACCTCTCCACACATGTAACAGATTTTCAAGAAGGAGAAAAAAGAATAGACTCGGCTCTACAATGCACGCGCGAAGCCGATGATGTCCTCTCCGTTTCCTTCCCTCTATCCCATCTATCCAGCCATTCATCAATTTGTGGTGGCTATTTTTTGCGTGAATGTGTAGTCTACGTTAGCCCTCCAATCCTCGCCCTCCATTCATTACGCCGTCCCGTTACCATACCACTCCGTTTAATACTTGAAAAAAATCCACATTTAGTTGGGACGGACGAAGACGAAGGGAACTGTAGACGCTTCTCGAACGCCAAACCTACAGAACCTAAACCCCACCCGTTGGTTTTTATTGAGAATTAGATAGGACAGGATAGGATAGGATGGGCAGCGCAGCGCAACGCAACGCATTCAACGGATGGATGGGGAGGGGACAAGGGGACGAGGGGACAAGGGGGGAACAAGGCCGCCAGGGTCCATCTTAGAGGGAGAAAAAGAGAAGAATCAAAGGAGCGGGCCAGCCCAGCGTGACGCACTTTTCCTTCCTTGCCTTCCGTTGTGCTGCTTGGCGACCGAGCGGCCGGCCGCGGTATTAGATTCTACACATTGCATATGGTAGGTATGTGTGTATGGAGACATTTGTAAATTACTGTATATTCACTGCCTGGTGGTGGCTGATGGTAATTGTGCTGTGTATGATAATGGTGGTAGGTGTTGTTTTCTGAAGCTCGTGCCTGGCGGGATATGTTTCGTCGTTGCCGTTGCTGCCGCGAGTGAGCAAGGTATTATCATACCTAGATGTAACTTTGGAAGATTCGTTGCCCCGGGGCCTGAATGGGATGGGGATGGGGATGCACGCAGCACACAGCACGCACTGTGAGAAACGGACGGACAAAAAGCCTTGGTAGGGGGAGTCTGGAGAGGGGATGGTGTGAATGGTAAGGGGGGCGCGGCACATCCCATCGGTTTTGACACGAGATTTCGAGAAACCGGGAGAGGAGAGGACACGCCAGACGAGCAGTGCAGCGCAGTCATTCATGTCAGTCAGTCATTTCAGTCATGCCATTCATGTCCCAGACTACCAGTCATACAGTCCAGTGCGTAATTCAGGAACAGGCAGCCGGACGGGACAGGGCGAGGATAATGTGAGACATATGAAATAACATGTCTTGTGTGTCTGTATGCGTGTCGTATATGCGTATGGAGATGCCTACACAGTATAGTATAAACGATGTTAGGGGTTTAGATTGTAATTACAAAGTGCGTTATTTGGCACAACAACAATAATATGGGATCACGTTCATTATTCTCCGCGTTTTCTGACACTTGACAGCACGGATTGGAGATTATTGTTTGCATGGCAGGGCCGTCAGCCGTCTTCGTTCGTAGGTAAGGTACGTGTGCCTTGTTGTGGCTGTCGTTGCGTGGTGGTGATGATCGGGGTGGTGGCAGTAAGAGGACCTTGGGTTGGCGCATGCTGTATTGAAAATATGTACTCCGTACTCCACACAAACATAGGTACACAGACTTGTAGATATGTTTCACTGTTATGTAGACAGCAGTATGTATTATTGTTGTATACACTGTTGAAGGTCATGAAGGGCCACAGGGAAGTCCCAGCACTTTCTCGTCTAGAAGCAAGTCCCTGGGAGGGTTCAATAACTTGGACTGGAAAGAATACCTAATTTAGTTGGTGCCATCAGACCGACCGGGCTCAGCACAACACAAACGCATCCATAACCAGGAAAAAAGGGAATGGTGGCAGCGTGTGCCGCGGAGTCTGATGAGAGCACATAGTCTGCACCTAAAAAAAAGCCAGACAGACCACGAGATACACGTACGGGCGGGCGTACACTATACTCATACTCATACTCATACTATATTCATACATGGTCGCTGTTACGGTACGCGGCCGGACGACGGTTTACCTATTGCAATTACCCCTGTGCCTGTGGATTGGGGGTTGTTGTCTTTGGGGTGGTGCCAGGTGGGAGGGAAAAAGTGGCTCGGAGTTACATGCAGTGGACCGCCGTGCGCGCGCAACGATTGCAGCGGCAGATGGAAAGTTGATGAAGAAAAAAAGAAATTTGCACAAAGTAGTGAAGACTAACAGAGAACTAAGGCAGAGAATTGTGCAGTGCATCGTGAGGGTCTGCATTATTGGTGTGGTGTAGTGGGAGATAGTGTACGGAGTAGTATGGGTGGAGTCACTGGGCAGTGGGCAGTGGGCAGTGGAGTGTAGTGGAGTAGACGGGTCAGGGCCATTTATTGAATCAAGGGGCTGTGAGTGGTGGGAGGAACGCAAGAACCGTATGATTAGTTTCATCGAGCGATTCGAGCCCGTGTATGTCTTGCAAGTTGTAACAAGTATTACAAAATAGTCGATGTGAGCTGTGAGACTAGGCCAGAGCCTGAGGAAGAAACCGGCATGAGACGACCACCATCGCGACCACGACCACCAATTTGGGGGTCATCAAGTGGACATTTTGTGCGTTTGGAAGGGGGCGAATCGACGGACATTTGGACACACCTGCCTACATAGTTGCATCGAATGGTATAAGCCTCTCCTCTCTCTGGGATTGAGAGTTATAATTACTTGGTAATGAAATTGCGCAGCCGGACGAGCCGTTCAGATGGGGACATGTCTCGTCAAAATGCCCTTGGCCGTCCTTGCCCATCCACGGTCACCCATCCATCCGTCCCATGCCATGCCATGCATGTCCCAGACGCACGAAATGGGGGGTGGAGGTCAACTTGACTTGTTGTAGTTATGTAGCAGCCTGGGAGGTGCGAGGTTGGAGAAGAGGGGGTGGCGGCCCAGCGAAGAGGAGAAATAATGTCAATCACAAGAACATGAGAATCATCACCAATAATAGTACCTTGTAGTTACAACCTGGTTATTGCAAATAATTACTCCATGCTCTGGAGTCTGTCTACTCTGTAGAGAATCAACTCGCTATTCGGGCTGACGAAATTCGTCCAATCAGATGAGGCGAGCGGGTAGGTATGGTTACTGTGTACGGAGTACCTTCTATAAAGTACCTAGGTGGTAGAGGGAGCGATAGAAACAGAATATACGAACGAAATGCTTTGAAATTCACAGTCCTCTCAACTCTTCGACCAAAAGATACAGGCAACTAGATACGGTCTTTGATTGTCCGTGTGGGATGGCGGTTTGTTCGATACTGTGCAGTAGTACTCCGTGCTCCATGGAATCTAGATGATGGATATTCCAGGGCCGATCAATCATCCTCTCTCTCGTACTCAACACATCAGAGCAACCACCCCTACAATACTTACTATTCTTGCCAATCCGATCCCATCCCCCTCCCATGAAAGAAAAATTACTCTGATCATTCTATCAATCTCATCCATTCATCTACCTAGCTTCAACACTTTTCCGCCATCCGCTCCGGCGCCCGCGGTCGCACGCGCCCGCCCGTCACACATCATGCACATGCGGTCTTTTCCACTAAATCCGACAATATGCACACGAGCCGAACGGGTGTTGCAGGACAGCATGGCAAGCCAGAACACGCGGGACACGTGTGAGGTGAGGGGATCGGTACCTATCTATTCTCTCGGTTCTTGATTTGAGTTGGACTGTGACGTGTGTTATTGGTTCAAATTGATGCCCTTTTGATACCCGTTTTTTTCTTGGGCGCTTGTGGGCGAGAGGCTCGTTTTCATCGTGATGAATGTTGAACGGGATGAGGGCGTTTGCTGGTCTGTTGCATGTGTACGTGCGTGCATGCATACACACACATAAACTTTCGAGCAAGCAAGCAAACGGATAATGATTGCTTGTACGGAGCAATATGCCACCATAACACAGTAAATTCGCCGCCGCCAGCCGTGTCGCTTGTGGCAAAATGTATCCATCCAGCAGAGAGTGGGCTGGAAATGCATGCAGTTTTTGCATCACGTGATATAGCCCTCCCCTCCATTCTCCTCTATACAGCTATAATTGCTGGACACTCTGTGAGATTGGAGATCGAGAAAGCTACTCGTAGTTCAAACTGGGAGATAGGCATGTCATGTCCCACGGCTCGGAATCACGGTGTCCGCCATTTAAGCAATTGAAAGTAAATGCCAACCGATTGTCCGGACGACGATCGAGTAAAGCAAAGCATAAAGAACGAACAGGACCTGCACGTCTTCGGCTCGATCGACTGATAAAAAGTAACTTTACGGAAGCTACCGTTGTTCGTTATTTGGTGTTCGTGTACCTGAAATAACCAATCGGTCTTCTCAAAACCCTCGATACATGGGAATATTTTATAGAGTAGTAGTAAATTTATATTTTATTCACAACCCCCTCCCCCACCTCCCCGCGTCGGATCGGGGAATCCTTTTCGTATTCACATTTCTGTGTAACTGTGATCGTGTTTGTAATTTGTGTAAAAGAAATCAGATACAAATATAGATATGTATATACAATAGTAAGGTGGTACAGCAGTAATACAGTATGGAAGTGGCAAAAAAATAAAAGGAAATATAATTAATCATTTAATCTAAACGCTTGACCGCTCGTGACAGATCCATCACGAGGGTCCGATGTCGAAAAAAAGACAGTAACTTAATAGTTCAATTTTCGATCCAATAGTGTTAATTCGTCTAGGTCTCTATGTGGTGAGAGAGAGGCGGGGAGGTGACGGGGTATTTTTGGTATTTTTGTGTGGACATACGTACATGTATATAGATAACATATGTTTTTATAACTAGGTATGTGTGTAGCATGTTTGTATCTCATTTTAACATGTGCGTGTGTATATGTTAATGCAGTTCGTCCTTACTATACGTAGAAGACTAGAACAAGGATACCAGAACTTGAAGAGCATGATGGTACGACTTAGCTGTAGGCTGCAAGAAAATGTTATCCAAGCTACAAGTATCATCATCATTATTACCATCACATCAAGCCAGAACATTTGAACGAGTAGTTTTTTGTTTTAAGGGACGTCTTTTCTTTGCATTCAACCCTATCCACTCTATAAAAGCAACAGACCAATTAAACATTAAACACATATTTTTTTCTCTCTTTTTCGTAAATTTTCCTTTCTCTCCTCCTCTATCCATTGCATTTCCATCGCTCCCATTGATGATTATGCGAATATACATATACACCAATGGGCAAACCCAATCCATTGTACCCATGTGACCCATATGACCCAAGACCGGAAGAAAAGGAAATAAAAGCCCTAGTATCCAAGACAGAAAGGGAAAAGAAAAGGGGAAGTATATTAGACATCCATTAGGTGCGTTATCATACTTTGATATCTCGTCAAAAGTCCTGAGATATATAGAGACCTGAGACCTGACTTGTCAAGATATGGGGACAAGCTTATAGCTCGGCGAAGACCAAGCCCATGAAGCCAATGGCACCAGCAGCGAGACCAGCGCGGGTACCAAACATCTCGAGGGTGGATGCAGCACCGGTGAACTCTGGTGGGCTGGGAACGCCGGGAGTGGAGGGGACCTCTGGGACACCTGGGACAGCCGGAGTGGGCTGCTCGGGCGCGGGAGGAGCACCGGGAGCACCAGGCTGCTCTGGCTTGGGAGGAGCGGGAGCACCGGGAGCACCGGGAGCCTCTGGAGGAGCGGGAGCACCAGGAGCACCGGGAGCAGCAGGAGGAGCGGGAGCACCGGGAGCACCGGGAGCACCAGGAGCACCTGGAGGAGCGGGAGCACCAGGAGCACCAGGAGCACCAGGAGCACCGGGAGCACCAGGCTGCTCTGGCTTGGGAGGAGCTGGGGCACCAGGTTGCTCTGGCTTAGGGGGGGAAGCAGGAGGAGCAGCCGGGGGAGCAGCAGGAGGAGAAGCCGGAGGGGCAGCTGGGGGAGAAGCAGGTGGAGAAGCTGGAGGAGCGGCTGGAGGAGCAGCAGGAGGGGCAGCCGGGGGAGCAGCCGGGGGAGCAGCAGGAGGAGCAGCAGGAGGGGCAGCAGGAGGAGCGGCTGGGGGAGCTGCCGGTGGTACCTCCGGGGGAACAACTGGGGGTGCCGGTGGTGCTGGAGGTGCTGGGGGCGCGGGAGGCGCTGGGGGAGGAGGAACTGGAGCACCAGACGTCTTAGGAGGCGGGACGATGCTGGTCTCGTTCTTCACGGGGACGGAAGAAGGAATGACGACAGGAGTCGTGACCGGCGCGCTGCTCGGGACAATGATCGTGGTATTAACGGCATGGCTGCTCTTGGGGAGCTTGCTAGTGACCGTAACGACAACGGTAGACACGATGGTGGTGGTAGGCTTGACCTTGGTCGAAGAAGAAGTAACCTGGGCCGAAGTAGACGAGGCCTTGGAGGAATAAGACTTCGAGGAACGAGCCGAGGATGAAGCCGAGGATGAAGCCGAGGATGATGCCGCCTTTGAAGAACGCGACTTGGAGGACTTGACGGAAGAGGAGGCCGCGGCGGAGGACGAGGTGACCCTGGCGGAAGTCTTGGAAGAGTGGTGGTGCTTCGAAGACGACGCTGCAGCGGAGGACGACCAAGCATGCGAGGAACGAGCAGGGGCATGCGAGGAGTAAGAGTCCTCGTGCTCGAACCTGTAGTTGTAATCATCGTCGCGGCCAGGGGCGGCCTGGGCGAGAGAAGCAAGGAGCGCCACGCTCCAGATGTTGCGGACGTGCATATTGACGAATTAAAAAGATTGGTCAGTTGAGAACCGAAGTGAACGAGTGGATCTGTCGCAGGTGGAAGCGAGCTGTAGTTGTTGTAGATTGAAGAGAGACATGTTATTGCTATTATATATCTCCGGGTGTCAGTCGTCGATCAAGATGCCGTTTGCAACCCTACCCTACCAGCTCTTGACAATCAGACCGCGAAAGGAATAGGAACAACGGTTCCCCGCATCCGGTTCACTTCTTTGTTGTGGGCATGTTTCAACACTGGAGGCGTACTTCTGGTCGAAAGCGTCTATCTCCAGATCCGTCCTAGTAAGCGAAGACGGAAAGTTGGACTTCGGGACGGCCCATCGTACCGCAGATGTATAGCACATGGAATGCTTACGTCTTGTGCTTCAGAGTTGGTCTACGTAGAATAAGCAAGCGTCTGTGTTCGATTACCAAACAGAGAGGAAGAAAGCGTTCGTCCTTAAGTCCTTCTAGACACCATGATTGATCATTGATTCCATGGATCAAGACTAGAACATCTGACAAAGCTCGAGGATGATGCAATTCGAAGGGCTATGGAACGATGGCCTCAATGTGCGCAGAGGTACAACCAATAAGGCTACGCTTGAGCAAAATGTTGGCCGGTAAACTATGAGACTTTGGGGGTTTGAACGTGGAAATGTGCCTTGGAAAGCATCCTCGCACCGATCTAGGCCAGTTAGGTCGAATGATCTTGTGATTCAGATAGAAATCCCTCTCAGAATCACTGCCTTTGAGACCGAAGACTCGCAGTTCCATTGTATAGCGCTTGTGGGTGGCCAATCTGAATAGACGGAGTTTCCATCTTACGCCATCACGGCTTTGACCTAATGCAATGCTGAAGAGCGATACGTACTCCGGAACCTACCGGAATAGGAAGTGAGAGAAGGTGAAAATTCATAGCATCGTGAGCTTCTTCTCTTACGCCAGCCTCGTTGAGCCACGCTACCTTCGGTACGCAGACGTTCCTAGTCAATTGAATAATCGTACTTCCGGAGTGAGCCTAATGCCTCGCAAGCAAAATCTACAGAGACTTGATGGCATCTTCGTGTCGGACAATTGCTGTGAACAAAGAGTTGCGCGTCTACCGAACCTCTACCGAACTTGATAGCTCTTTCTGGCATTGGCCAAGTACCGAAACCATGGCATTCCACACAGAGCGGACATTTGCGTGGCTGGCTCCAAAATGAAAGGGAGTTTCTTTGATTGCAGAGTGCATATTACCTCAACTGGTATGGGAGGAATGCTGATGTCCGCTTTGGGCAACGTGTGTACTGGCTAGAGTCTGTATGGCAACGGTAGCATGGACTGGGGACAAGACGCGACCACTGTTTGTTGTCGCGTAAACAACATGATCATCCACAGAGAGGGAACTGAGTTCTTTTGAACCCATTGCTCAATGTTGTGGTCATGATGATGATGGGTGATGTTGATGGAAGTCGCCGTATCCATCTCGGACTAGTCAGGAGGTTGGGAAAAAATCGCTCTTGTCTCGACTAGGACTAGTCTCTGCGCGCACGCCCACTAGCGGGCCAAGCCCACAAAATTGCAGACCAAATTTTTGTGAGAGTTTTCGACTTCAACTTCGATACTAACGTAGCAGGTTCAAAAATGGCGCCCACGACGTAAGTCATCTCCAGTACTCCCTCCTTCAATGACTGCATCTGAGTGAGCGCTCTTCGAGTCCTCAATTCGATTGCTACGAGGTGAAGGCAGTCGAGAATGTCTACATAGAACCACGAAGCTGATCGACTCTTAGGAGCGTTCCAAGCAAGAACGACATCCTCGTCCCCGAGACGCTCTTGAAGAAGAGGAAGTCCCAGGAGAAGGCCAGGGAGGAGCGCGCCCAGGCTACCAAGGACAAGCGAGGTACGCGATACACACTGCCGCCGAAGTTTTCGAGAGGGCGATACGATGATGATAACCAACCAACATCTCGACTAGACCTACGGGTCAGTGCTGTCGAAACGTTAACCATCTTTCGGGACTGAAAATATCGCTCTCTCAAACAATTTGGCTTGGCATAGGAGTATTGTTGAGGATGCAGGCTGATATTGAACAGAGAAGAACAAGAAGAAGCGGGAGACCATCTTCACCCGTGCGGAGAAGTATGTGAAGGAGTACCGTGATGCCGAGGTATGATTCAGATTGTCTTATACAAAGTGGATGATTGCTTACAATTTTTCACAGAGGGAGAAGGTCCGCCTTTCCCGCGAGGCCAAGAAGGAGGGTAACTTCTACGTTCCCGCCGAGAACAAGCTCGCCTTTGTTGTCCGCATCAAGGGTATCAACAAGATCGACCCCAAGAAGAGGAAGACTCTCCAGCTTCTCCGTCTCCTCCAGATCAACAACGGTGTTTTCATCAGGTTGACCAAGGCCACCATTGAGATGCTCAAGAGTATGTACAGCAGTCCAAAGTGTGACGAATATACCAAAACTAACTCACCTCTAGTCGTCGAGCCCTACATCGCCTACGGCTACCCCAACCAGAAGTCCGTCCGTGAGCTCATCTACAGTAAGCACTGTCTCTCTTCGTAGTTGAAGTTCCGACCAAAGCTAACCTATCTATAGAGCGTGGATACGGAAAGGTCAACAAGCAGCGTATCCCCTTGACCGACAACGAGATCGTCGAGGAGAACCTTGGCAAGTACGGCATCATCTGCGTTGAGGATCTCATCCACGAGATCTACACCGTCGGCCCCAACTTCAAGCAGGCCTGCAACTTCCTCTGGCCCTTCAAGCTCAGCAACCCCACCGGTGGCTTCAAGACCAGGAAGTTCAAGCATTTCATCGAGGGTGGTGACTTGGGTAACCGTGAGGAGCACATCAACCAGCTCATCAGGCAGATGAACTAAGAGTCTCACAAAAAAAATCCAACAAAAGGAAGAAAATGAAAAGCCACGGAGTGGCCAGGATAACTGTTATGACACGCCTGCTAAAGAAGGCTTTGATGCATTGCATGGATTAACGGGAATGAAAAGAATTTTCGCTACTTGTAACTTGCGTGCAGAAGCATATGAACCAAGGGCTGGCTGGCCGGAGTGTCCATAGGAGCCCTGAGAAAATGAAAAATTTCCAACATACCCTTCAAATCTTCAATCCAGACTTTGGCAATGCGATATCACGTGCATCGACCTAGCTCCTTCGCCTTGTGTGAGGGTTTCTTGGTGAACCTGATTACACAGTAATGCCCACACCTACGTCGGCTCATCGATATATCTACAGACCCTCAAGGCAGTAACGAAGAGTCACCACCCATGGTACCTCGTTTGTTACGGACGATCACCACCAAGATCGTCATCCTCGTCATCTCGTAAATTACCATGTTGCCTGATCCCCTCTGAGCCATCCTAAACCTCCTGAATATCGATCCTCAGCGCACATGGGGCCACATTAATGTGTGGGATGGGCGTAGATCTCAGTAGTTCTAGCCTTTCCGACTTTATTCTCTCGCGACTCACGAGATTGATGGGATGATGTACGGAGTACATGCTCGGTTGTATTAAGTTGGTTTTCTACAACCGGTAACGACCACGACTACGTGTGTGGCTGGCTGCTTTGTGTCACCCGACGCAGTGCAGCGGAGCACAGCGCAAACGCAGCCTAATGATCATCACCATCAGATGATGGGATTTGAATTGCCACAGACTAAATTACCATGATACCGGTGATGAGCGGATGGTATCCATGGCGGGCGGAGTAAATGAGCGACGTTTGCCCTGCAAACCTTCTTTGTGTCGTGCCGAGGAACAGACTCATTCCTCCGGATAGAGTTCAGAAATACCTTGGAAGTGTGAAGAGGTGCAGGTTGCGGCTAGAGTTGCTCTTCGGATATCGTTGAGGAGACGGGCATCTTATGCTCCGAATATGGACACAGGGTGTAGTTACTAGGGCAGAAGACAAGGCGAAGCAAGTACGGGGAACCGGAGAAGGGGAGCCCTGATTACAGACATGAACATGGATTGACACAACTTGTCTCTCGTTTTGTTACGAGTGATTGCGTCCATTATTGCGGAAATTATGATTATGTGCATTATTCCTAATGGCGGAGAATTACTTGTCTCCTCAAGCAACAGCAGCAGAGTGAGACGAGCGGTGTCAAGTCACTCAGGTATCAACCTTCTACCCCTCACTCGTCGTTGATTTCAATCTACACCCAATCCTGCCCTGTCAGCCTTTCTCCGCGTACGAGATTAAATTTGGGCAGTGTTTGCCACGAGAGGAGTATGCCATTCTGCAATGCTTGTGACGGACCCCTCTTTCTAATTGGCTCGTTGGAGACCCGTCATTGCAATTCCCCGGCCCGCGAGACAATAGGAATGTCGGAATCCAACCTCTCCCTGTTCCACATGCGGCCAATGGAAATGTATGACGTTTTCTTGCGCCTTGATCCCTCAAGTCACAAAATTTGCTTCGCATTCAGCATAATAGAGATTGGTAATATGCCGGTTTTGCTAACCCGTTTCTTCTTCCACGAGAGCAGTCGATACAATGAGGTAGTATCTGTATGGCTACGCCAGGAGACTACGCAATGAAGCCAAACTGAATATGACCTCGACTTGAGCATGTCCGTGCAACCTGAAAGGTACCAGCAACACAATCGAGAGCAGCTTGGCTTTATTTTTTGGCCATTGACCAACACCATTCTTCTCCTAATACAACCCGCTTTGTTACAAGGCTTTCTGGTGTGGCCGACACGAGTAAATGTACATACGGGTTTCTCTACGCGCACCTATTCGAGCGAACTTGGTGGAATAGGTGCATTTTCAACGTTTGACATATCCCCATCGCCATGGTGATTGCAGTCAATCTTGCAGGTAGAATTCAATGAATTCTGATTGATAATCGGACATAATGATCAATACTTTAAAGTTGAAATGATTGTGATTACTTTCTCATTAAATATTTGATCACTTTCAATACTAACTACACTTTGATTGAGTATTTTTATTTTGTTTTTCCTACTTCCCACCCTCAGGATTCTGCATGACAATCTCTGGATACACCACCGTTATGGCATTACAATGCAGACTTTGCCAATGTGATTTCCACTAGCAAGGTAATCGAATGCAGCCTGAACACCATCATTGCCAAATTGGAACTCTTTCTCCACTGGTGGAGATAGCTTCTTCCTGTGCACAAATCTCACCAGCTCTTCCAACAGCTGTTTTGAGCCAACAGTAATTCCCCTGACCACGGCCCCCTTGGAGAGAGCAAGGCCAGCAACGTCAGGCATATCTTCTTGCTTAGCAGCAGAGAGGAAGCCAATGACAGAGATGATGCCTCCCATAGCAATGCAGTCGATACTTTGCTTGATGGTACCGGAACCTCCATTCTCAAAGATATAGTCAACGCCATGGCCTCCTGTGATCTTGTTGGCTTCACTAGCCCAGTCTGGCGTTTTCTTGTAGTTGATGGTGTAATCTGCGCCATATTTCTTCTGGACAAGTTCGAGCTTTTCGTCAGAAGAGGAAGTGATGATAGTAGTGGCTCCAGCAGCCTTTGCAAGGATGAGACCAGTGATCGAGACGCCACCGGTGCCTGGACACGTCAGTATCAGTCTTGGCCAAATATGAATCTAAATGGAACACGTACCTTGGAAAAGAACGGTATGGCCTGGTTTGATCGGCATATTGCCATAAAGAACATTCCACGCTGTGACACCTGTGCAGACCAATGCAGCCATCTGCGAGAAGCTCAGGCCCGACCCATCAGGTATCTTGACCAGAGCACTGGCAGGAACAGCAGCATATTCGCGCAGAAAACCATCCACAGGCCCGCCATGGCCGTGCTTCCAATCCTTCTGAGGGCCGTACAGATTCGTAGGATCGAACACTGCAATCACATTGTCACCCTTCGCGAAGCCTTCCACAGAAGAGCCAACGTCGATGACTTCCCCCGCAGAGTCAGAGCAAGGAACGACGCCGTCTTTGACGGGGAAGGGATAGCCTCCATTGGCGACTCCGATGTCCCGGAAGTTGAGGGACACGGCGCGGATCTTGACGAGTACCTCGTGCTTATCGATCGTTGGGATGGATTCGTCGAATTGTTTGATAGCTTGATGCCCAGTGCGGCTCTGGAGACGGAACACCACCTGGCTGGACATGTTTGTTTCTCGTGAAGAGTGATCCGTCTTGGCTGATGTGGTGGGAAGATAGACAAATTGGGGGAAACGTATGTAGAGTTTTATGAGGTCTTGTCTCTGATGTGTAGTGTTTTGGGATTTATATAATTGTGCCATTGCCTATCAGCAATGGCCATTATATATCTAGATACTTCTCCTTCTTTTGTCAGCATTGCTGGCCGTTCCCAGTCTCTGCACTTGCCGACTTGAAGCCGAGAAAGAGTCTTCTTTCATCATGGAATTCTGCATTCGATCCATAGTTGATTGGTAATGTGGTTTTAGAGAGGGCATTGATTAGTATCGCTCTGGGAAGGTGTAGGAGAAGTTGGTGACGTATTTCGGTGAAAAAAGGGCTACGTCTACAATTTTATATTGGAAGAAGAAGGTATAAGAGCTGTGTTTGTTAGTATTTGATGATTATGGCTCTGGACTAAACAGGTGTTTTAACCTGATCCAGGCAGTGTGGATTTTAGGACGTTGGGTTATAGTTACTGCTAGTGTAAAGTGCCCTTGGACAAGGAAAGTCTAAGCACCCGCCGGGTCCCGATCTGCTATGAGGACGTTCGCATTTGATATAATGTAAGCGCAACCGCTACCTTCCTTATAGCAAGACATCGTAAATAGCAATTTTGCCTGCGTGCCTTTGTAATAGCCCTACCGTGGCTAACACTGCCATTTATGTCAATGCTGTTTATGAATTCTGTGAGACTGTCGATGAGTTTTGTGTAAATATATTTCCTCTCAAGTGTTCATGTTAACTATACTGAATCTTTGATCCTACAATACTGCCTGGGTTCGAATATCTCTAACGCCATGCTCGAATTGCCAATCGCAACAGCAGACCTTGCATTCAACGAGCCGGTCCAATTCAATCTGCGAGTCGATGCAGAGTTGCTCGACTTGACCAAAAGAAAACTTGCTTTGGCTCGATACCCCGAGGAGCAAGATGACTTCGATGAAGACGATTGGTCGCAGGGCGCGAAGGTCAAAGTAGTACGAGATTTGGCCAATTATTGGATGAATGATTATGACTGGAAGAAAAAAGAGGTATGTAGAGAATAGAGACTCAATTATTGTCACAGAGTCCTCTGACAATGTTAGGATGAACTGAACAGTATATTCAATCACTTCCTCGTGAAGCTAAACGTGCCCGGCTACGGCCCGTTGGTATTGCATTTCACACATGCAAAATCTTCGAAATCCAAGGCAATTCCTTTACTGTTCTCTCATGGATGGCCTGGATCTTTTGTCGAGGCTATGAGGGTCGTAGGCGATCTGAGTGATCCAAAACAGCCAAACGCGCAGGCGTTCCACGTCGTGGCACCCTCAATACCCGGCTTTGGATTCTCTCCTGCACCCACCAAGTCAGGCGTTGGCCCCAATATCGTGGCTCGTGCATATCAGATTCTGATGACTGAAGTTCTCGGATATCGAACATTCGTCACCCAAGGTGGCGATTTCGGTTCCTTCATCACAAGATCAGTCGCCATCCAGTTCCCACAATCCGTCATCGCCCAGCATCTAAACATGTTCCCCGTCCCTCACCCGACACTATGGATAGCCCCTCTCACATACGCTCGCTGGAAACTTCGCGGTCTGTTCTACTCACAGTTTGAGAAGGACGCATTGGCTGTCCGTGAGAATTTCGAGACCGATCAGTCCGGATACCTCGAGCAGCAGAAGACGCGACCACAGACATTGGGATTCGCACTCGGTGACTCTCCAGTAGGACTATTGGCATGGTTCGTTGAGAAATTCCACGATTGGGTAGATTGCCACGAGGCGCTTTCTAAAGAGGATACGATTACGCTCGTGATGATGCATTGGATTCAAGGGGCAACCCCCGGCCTCCGTTTCTATCGTGAGGCGTTTGGAGACGGCAAACGGGAGGCTGAAAAGACGTTCGAGACTTACGTCAACGTTCCTACGGGAGTCAGCATGTATGCGAAGGAGCAGCTTCACGTAAGTGCTATTCCTGATTCACGCAAATGAAAGCTGATAATAGTGCAAGTGTCCACAGGATTGGGCACGCCAGGTGGCGAATATTCAGTATTGGAGGGAGTACCATAGAGGGGGCCATTTCTCATCGTTGGAGCGGCCAGATGCTTTTGTCAAGGATATGAGGGAGTTTTTCACAATGACAGTGGTTCAGAGAGCGATCAAGAGAGGCAATGTCTGAAGGGTGCGGCATCCGTAGATTTCTAGGAGGCAGATGTTGCTACAACGAACTCAATTGTGAATGAAAATATGAAAAATAGTCTAGAGGAAAATTCCGTATACTCCAAGCTTCTTTTTCTCTGCGGTTTTGGGAGTTGCGTATGAAAATAGCAACGTTCCAATCGCAGAATAGCGCAGCCACCGAAAAGCTTTCAAGGTATTAGAGTTGCCGAATTTCCTGGAACTCAAGAAGGAAATCTTTGCCAGCGCTACCATTAGCGAGCCATCCGGTCATTTGGAACTTCCATCACGCCCAGCCAGGTAGTTACAGGAAGCAAGGACACAAAATGCAAGCGTAGGCGTCGTCAAGGAAGGCCAGTGCTTGAGTTCATCTTGATAAAGCAATAGATCTAGTATTAGTCCACCATCAGCCAACTTTGCTAGGCGTAAAGGGTCAACCTAGTCTACGTTTTTAGGTAGAAAAGAGTCAGTTTTAGTACTACCTGCCTTGGAATCAAGTGCCATGAATAGCCCCGTGTTTACCCCAGAGGTGACCCCAGAAGTAGCCCAAGGGGCAGCTCCGCAGTACCTTTTGCGGAGTGTACAGATTGGTAACTCCGAGCCTATACATTCTGTTTCTGGGTCAGATAGCCTATGGAAAGCTGGGGAAGATCTATGGAGCACAATGTTAGATAAATGATGGAGCATCGTCTGGTCTTTGTTTCGGTACATCACTATCTCTACCTTTCAACAACAGTATCTCTATCTGGACCACAACATGCATTCTTGGCTGGGAAGAGGAAAATCACTCCGAGCTGGGGTGACAGTCTGTTGCTTGATCGCGTTCGTGCTCTTCGGCTATGATCAAGGTGTCTTCGGAGGTATTCTGCAAAATAAGGACTGGTTGGACCAGTTCGACCACCCGTCGGATTCGAAAACAGGAATCATTGTTAGTTGCTACAATCTGGGATGTTTGGCAGGTTGCGTGTGTAAGTTTCTCCTTCTGTTACAGCTAAGGTGCCAGGCAACTGATTTGTTCTATTAGTGAATTTCTGTGTGGGCGAGATACTGGGCCGCCGCAGAACGATTTGGACGGCGATGGGCTTCGTGGTCGTCGGCGCTATCCTACAAACTACGGCATACAGCGTTCCTCACCTAGTCATTGGACGTGTTATAACTGGCGTTGGAACCGGCCTCAAGACGTCAACCGTGCCTATGTCAGTGCAACTCACTACTTTCTTATCCATTTACGCCATTTATTGACCAAAACCAGGTACCAGGCAGAGCTATGCGACCGAGAGAGTCGAGGAAAGTTGGTATCCGCCGAGGTCCTCTTCGTCGGCGTCGGTATCGTCCTCGCATACTGGTTTGATTTCGGCATGTCTTACGTTGGCGGTGCAATCGCCTGGCGCCTTCCAATTGCCTTCCAGATCGTATTTGCCCTTGTCGTCATCGTCCTGGTCTTCGCATTGCCAGAGTCACCGCGTTGGCTTTTCAACCACGGAAAAGATGCACAAGCAACAGCAATCCTCTGCGCCGTCTACGACATGGATCCCATGGACGAATACATCGTCAACGAACGACACGCCATCCTCCAAGCGATCGAGCTCGAGCGGTCCACCGCCAAATCGAAGACGTTCTTCAGCATTCTCCAGGCCGATTCAGTCAGGACCCGTTACCGCGTGCTGCTAGCCTGGGGCATACAATTCATGAATCAGGCAGGCGGAATCAACCTCGTCGTCTACTACATCCCTTCCGTGCTGATCCAGAACGTGGGAATGACGCCGCACCTTGCACAGATCCTCGGCGGATGCATCAACATGATGCTGATGTTCGGCACCATCACCCCGTCTATCGCTCTCGACAGAATGGGTCGTCGCAAGACGATGATTGGTGGCTGTCTGGGCTTGGGCATCTGCATGCTGATGATATCCGCACTGTTGTCTCAATCTGAGAAGCCGAATGGACATACGTATGCCTCTGCTGCTGTCGCGTTCTTCTTCCTGTACATGTTCATCTTCGGTATGACGGTTCACTGCGTCCCCTGGGTGTATGTCCCGGAAGTCTTGCCATTGGAAGCGCGGACAAAAGGCACCGCCATCGGCATAAGTTCGAATTGGCTTTGGAACTTCACGGTCGTGATGATAACCCCCGTCATCATTAACAGACTACAGTGGAAGGCCTATCTTATCTTTATGGCTACAAACCTCCTCTTTGTACCATTGCTCTATTTCTTCTACCCGGAGACAAGCAACCTGGGTCTCGAAGATATAGACAAAATATTCTCACAGGGCGGAAACCCTGTTCACGTCGCTGCGGAGATGGTGAAGGAATTGAAACTGCAGAAGGAGGAGTCGCAACTAGTCAGTAAGATTGAAGGCGGTCCTGACCCAGAGTTGCAAGTGGTTCATGAGATCAAAGTGTGAAGAATGGCACGCGAAGGTCTTGTCCTGCAGATGAAGTTTGCCTGCACACTGTTGCACGAACAGGTTATGGGACAATAAACACAATCTAGGAGCGAATTTTTGATAGGGCGCGGTAGATTTCAAGTCAAGGTGGGATCAAGAGAATCAGCGTCAGTATGTATCATTAGTCAATGGCCATATTTGATTCATTATTCAAGTCCCCACATTTTCCTAAGTTCAGCAGCCCGTCCAGATGTTTTCCAACCTGTATCTCGTTCAATCCTAGCTAGATGCTTCAATAGAGCAATTTGCTCTGCCGGAAATTCCTCTTCCACATGGTTATCTTCTTCAACTGCAGTTGAGCGAATATTCTGCCGATCTACTCGAACACCACCAAAGACTTGCCCTGCGATATAAAGAGGTTGCAAATGATTCACCCAATTAGCACTTTCGAATTGTCAGTGAAATAGGCCATAAGGAAACAAATTGGGAAGTTAATGGGACGCACTGAGAAGTATTCGATATGCTTATTCCACAGAGCTTCTTGGCATGCCACACGGGATCATAATGCAGATCACATGTTTCCGAAACTGTATGTGGGGATGCAAAGAAAGGAGATGGCCCTTCATTTGCAGTTGATTCGGTGCTTTCTCGTTTCACGTCTCCTGTCCATAGGAGTAGTATTGCACCTGCATGATAAAATGTATCCGCACAGACTACGCCAATGGTCAGAGATAGATCTGAGAAGAGTGCATTGACTTACTGGATGATGAGTGGCTGAATATGATGGTTTCGAAGGGGCACTTTGACGCATTGACTCTGAATGGGAATAGTGGATGTACCTGTTCTGGGCGGTGCTTTTGCCAGTCTTCCACTTCATTCCATAATTGGTTGACTTCAGAGACGTATTCAGTGCTTCTTGAAGGTCGACGATGTATCTTTGCACGCAGATTGATGATCTTTGCAAAAATAAGAATAGCAAGGTTGCAGTAGGCATCCACACTACCAGATGTCGCAGTTGAGATAATCGAGTTGTTGTCAACCCAATCTTCTGTCGGCATCAGCGTCTGCTCACCAATCATGAAAGCTGCCCAAATATCTGAGTTGGATTAGCTAAGTATGCATCCACTTTCTCCGGGGACAGGCAGACCTATTCGTGCAAAGGCCCAGAAACATGCATTCACTATCCCTTCGCTAGATCCATTCCACTTTCGAGATTTCAGTAGCCCCGCACAGCCCTTTACGAATCAGCTTCTGAAAGTGGTGAGGGTCGGAATGAAGGTGCATACTTTGAGGTGGCGTCTCCACTCTACAACATCAGATGCCATCATCTCGTAAACACACAGCAGAGTACATGTTGCCAATATAGCGGCATCTGCCGATGAAGGGTCCTGATGTATAAGTGATTGAATGGCATGTTGGTAGAGTGCTAGCGTCATCTGACGCGGACGTTTATTTACAGCGTCGAGCTGCCGAGATGCCAAAGCCATAGCTGCGGCTACAAAAGGCTTGCTTTTCATCATCATGTGAATGCTTGAGACGGTGAAGTGCATGTTTGAATCCGTTGTCTCGCACCAGGTCCCCGTTTCTCGGAGGTATGCTGATAGTAATTGGCTCTGCTCAGCTTCAGGTATAGGTAGCTCGAAATCGGCCAGAGGTGGTGCACTAGAAGCTATGCCTTGACCCAGAGAAAACGGCAGAGTGACTGTGGTAAATGGCGCGACACCAGTGGCTCCATTTCCTTGATCTGCAGGTCGTCGGTTCTCTGTGAATTCTGGAGTGTAGTCTTGAAGATTGGAAATCTCCGCATCCGGCTCCAACCATCCTGGCCGTGGAGGCGTTGCACTGACCGGAGAGGCCTCGGGGAAAGTGGAGGCAGCAGGTACCGAATACACGTCTGGGCGATCATCTATATTTCCTATTTCAGTGTCAGGAGACGCAGCATCCGCGGCATCCAAAGAGCGCGCATCGTCACGATATTCCCGGACAATGACATCGGTATCATTGACAATCTAGGAACATTAGACAACAAGTCGTTTAAAACAAAACTGGGCAATGAACGGCAATGACTGACAACTACACCCTTCGATGCCACACCCCCAACTCTATCACTCTCAATCGCCGACAAGATTGCACTGTCTTCGCTCGATAATTCTAGGCTCCTAGAAGGGTGAAACGACGCTTTCAACCCCCAGAGACACTCATCACCTCTGGCTTCACAATTACGACACCGCGGCTGGGCCCCATCGCCTAATAGCAATCGTTAGAAACCAGCTTGTCGATATCCACAAATGGTACACACATTTTCTTCTCCGCCGGCGGCAAATGAGGCTACGGGTTGCACGGTTAGCACTGGATGCGCGGGTAGCGAGTAGGCTCATCTTACCATCCAGAACGACTTCTCGTACGACTCGCAATGGGAACACCATCCGCACCACCAGCCATGTAGAACGATTTTCATGGAAAGTGTAGGAGTGAACGAAAGAGGACGTTGAGAAGTGCTTAGACTTGCCCTAGAAGCTCTATTGCTAGCGCGATGCGGGGTTGCGGTATAATGAACAGGAGCAAGCAACTAGCTTCGAAAAAGGCAAGTCGAAGCACCGTCTGGTGAAAGGGAAAGTAGTGGCACTATTCCCGCATTTGGAAATCCGCGATGGATGAATGTGTTTACATTACGAAGGAGCATAGGATGAGTTAGGATTCTTGTAAGGTGCACAGGAATTATATAAGTCCTCAACACTGCAGTCATGAATACACATACATTCAGAAGCCATCCTCAACCCCTTACCCCAAATCCCCCATCTCCACATCCCCAAAGTCCACCGCCATGAGCTCCAAAAAAGAAGTCCTCATAATCGGAGGCGGGATATCCGGCCTCGGCATGGCCATCCAGCTCAAGCGCCTCCTCGGCCACGACAACTTCACACTGTACGAGAAGTCCGACAACATCGGCGGCACCTGGTGGCACAACCACTACCCAGCCTGCGCATGCGACATCCCGAGCCATTTCTACTCGTACAGCTTCGCGCCGAACCCGGACTGGTCGAGCATGTATCCCGGACGTGATGAGTTGCATTCATGTATGATCCCGCGTCAGTGTGCTATACGGAAAGACACTAAAGCAATTGTTAGACTTCTTCTCCGTCGCCGAGAAATTCAACATCCTCCCCCACTGCCGCTTCAACACGACATGCAAAAACATGCTCTGGGACGACGCCCGCCAACTCTGGATCTGCACCTTCGAAGACGGCGTGACGGGGAAAACCTTCGTCCACGAAGCCCCCGTCGTCGTCAGCGCGATCGGAACGCTCGACCGGCCCAATGTCCCCGAGATCGAGGGCGCGGGGAAGTTCCAGGGCAAGATCTTCCACAGTGCGCGGTGGGACGACTCGGTGGCGCTGAGGGGGAAGAATGTGGTGGTGTTGGGGAACGGGGCGTCGGCGACGCAGTTTGTGCCCGAGATCGTGAAGGAGGTGGCTCCGAGGGGGAAGGTCGTGCAGTTGGTTAAGAGTGCGCATTGGTGGACGAAGAGGGTGAGTCCGAACGATGACAATCCGTCAAACTGCTCTGCTTTTCATGAGAATTCTAACATAAGTGTATCAGGGCAACCCAGTCTACTCCAGCACCTGGAAAGCACTCATGAGATACGTCCCCCTCGCGACCAGAATCTACCGCATCTATCTCGCATGGCAACTCGAAAGCGTTTTCTACTCCTTCCTCATGAACGACAGCGGGCTGCGGATGCGGAACAAGATCCGCAACGCGACTCGAGAATACATCGAGAACGACGCGCCGAGACAGTACCACGAGATCCTGATGCCAGACTACGAGCCGGGCTGCAAGCGCCGCGTCAACACCGCTACCTACCTTGCCTCGCTGCACTCCCCGAACATGCACCTCGCCAAAGACCGAGTCGTCAAGATAGGTGAGAAGCACGTCCAGACGGAGACCGGGGCGACGTATCCTGCCGACGTTATCATCTACGCCACGGGGTTCGCAACCCAGAAATGGCTTTTCCCAATGGACATCAAAGGGGTTGGTGGCCGTGATATCCACCAGCTGTGGGATGCTGCCGGCGGCGCGGAGGCGTACAAGGGCACTGTTGTCTCTGGCTTCCCCAACCTCTTCATCTTGTACGGTCCAAATGCTGCGACGGGACAGCACTCCGTCATCTTCCACTCAGAATGCCAGATCAACTACAGCTGCCGCTTGCTGAAGCCCGTTCTCTGCGGACGCAACCATGCGGACTCGATTATGGTCAAGCCGGATGCACAGGCTCGTGACTTGAAGTGGGTGCATGGGAAACTGAAACATCTAGTGTTCAATAGCGGTTGTCGGAGCTGGTGGATGGACCCGAAGACGAAGAAGAATACGTTCATTTATCCGGATCCGATGTTCAAGTATTGGCTACGTACGATCTTCCCAACCTGGTCTGATTTTGAAATAAGGAAGGACAGAAGAGTGCAGAAGAAAACGTCTGGTGGACTGTGGATTCTGGTCTTACTAGGGCTTGGAACAGTGACGTGGACATCATCGGCGAATTATATAGATCAGTCTGTCTTGAAGAGTTACTTGGACCATTTTATTAAAAGAAGCATGTCTTTGGTATAGAAACAAGATCAATGTCATGCGGTTGTCATAGAGATTGCCATTAGAAAAAGGAACTTATTGCATACCAGAAGGAAGGGTAAAGAAACACATCTGTTAATCACTCATCCAATGGACTTTTATGATTTATTTTCTTCATATTTTTTTCTCGGGAACTACCCCTACTATCTATCTAATCATATCAATGTCAAGACTCTGTATGTGGATGACTATTATCCTGCTGGGGGTCTTTTTCCCCTTCCTCCTGAATTTGATCAAGGTATGCAAAAGCGTATATCTGTCCCTGTCCACCTTGCATAGAAGCCCTCGGTTCCTGCAACAGATTGAAAACTAAATAGGAGACAACGTGCCGCCGCGAATCGTAATTCGCTCTGTGCTTTGTATGAAAAGGAAAGATGACAAGTAATGAGACAACTCTACTTCGCTCAGGAGATGATGCGACAACCCATTTGTTAGGGGTGTGGTGGTAGTAAACAATAAACAAGAAGAAAAAACATGGCAGAATATGCCGGAGATCAAGAGAACAATAAAAGGTGTGTCCTCCCATGTCGTCATATGAAAGAAAAAGTCAAAGAACAAAGAAAAAACGCCATGCCCAGCTGCTGATGCAATCAAATGTACAGACCTGTGTCGAATGATATGTAAAATAATACGTAACCCACCAATTCCAATCCCAATATCTATACCCCGCGGCCGTAAGAAAAGCTCCTAATAGGTGAAGACTGCTCCCGCGCGCCATAATCCTGGAAAATGCGATATGCTTATGCGATGCTGACGATGCAATGAAGAACGACAATGACTATTCCCTCCTACTGGAACATCCATTGGCAATGGCAGGCCCCTGCCGGATCTCTACGCTTCGTCAGCGAGCGCCGCTCCGATTGGCCGATCGCTGAGTCGCTTGACGAGGCACTGAAGAACTCGTCGAAGGTAGGATCTTCTTCTTGGAGGTTAACGATGATAGGCTGCGATCCGACGACCACCGGTAGGTAGATGCCGTTGTCCATCAAGCGCATTTTCTGGCAGTAAGGCTGTGGGGAGTCGGGGAGGCGTCGTTCTTCAATCTTGACGATGCGGGGATAGGGTGGAAATCGGGGATAGTCTCCATCGCCTCGTTTGCTTCGTCGCTTGGCAGCTGGCGTTGGCGTTGGCGTCACCGAGACACTTCCTTGCGTGCCAGTAGTGGGTGAAGCAGTCTGTGCTACCAAGGGCAATATGGTACTGTCGAATGGAACAGTTGCCTGGGTGGGCCAAGCCGTTGGGAAAGCGGAGAAAGTGGCGGCAGTGGAATTGTCTTCGACATAGATGTATCCCTCAATGTACGTCTGGTTCCAGTAGCAGAACCAGGGCGCATCACCGGGTAACACCTGGAAACGGTGTCGGAACGGAGGCTTGTCCGGAGGCTTGTCTTGCGACTGGCCTAGGGAAACACCGGCTAGGAATTCGTCCTCGGCGAGCACAACCACTTTGTCATATCTGGCATGAAAATGGAAGGCTGGTCCGAATGCCTTGTAGTCTAGATCCTGAACGAGCTGCATCGAAATCGGCTGGAAAGGAATCGCAGGCGGCTGTACTCCAAACTGGGTACCACCATCGGGTTTGCTGAAGGCTTCAACCGAGACCAAGGGGGCTGATTGACCTGCGGTGTTGTTGACAGTGATAATAAGCGGCGCAAAAGACGACTTGCATGACCATGCAGATAATTGGTTCGCTAGAGTGAGACAGCTGGGGCTGCTCTCCTGAGCGATACCAAGTGGTAGGGCATAAGCACCCTCAGGCAAGGGAGTTAGAGAAGAGGGGGTCGGGATAGGTGTGGCATCGAAGAGAGAACGAGAGGTGGGAGTCACTTGGGGTGACCTATGAATGGTTAGCGTTATAATGCAGTCTCACAGCGAACATCAACTTACGGTTCCTCATGATCTTTGTCGTGCTTCGGTGGGCGGTTTCCACTGTCGTCCTTGCTCTTGTTTTTCGCAACATATGTGCCAATTGCCGCACCGAGGATGATGGCGAAGATCAACACCAGGATGAGCAAAAGCACGGCAATGCCCAGTGGGAACCTCCCCCACAATTTCTTTCTACGCCAGCTTTCGGCTTTCTTCTCCGTCTCTTGCTTTTCCGAGATTGGCTGTTCGTTGGATAGTGATGTTGTTGATACAGATGTTGATACTGCGAGAGAAGTAGTGGTGGCGGCAGCGGCGGAAGCGGTAGGACCGCCTCTCCTCTGGAGGGACTGGCGACGTTCATCCAATGGAGTCAATGCACTTGGTAGGGGTGCAATGGGAGATACTGGCGTTTGGATTGCGCGTGAGTCGTCGAAAGCATTAACTGGCGATGAAGGCTCCACCGGCGTTGCATTTGCTTCGGCCACCATAGCAGCCTTTGTGGGACCTTCGGTAGGATACCGGGAGTAAGGAGGCAGCTGCTCGGCGTGGCCGTCCGGTCCAACAATGTCCTGCTCTTCACCATCTGGTCCGAGTCGCCGATGATAGCCAGGGTTCAATCCGGGAAATCCGACGGGAATGGCTGTTGCAACAGCACCAGCAGGGAGGGGCGGCGGTTCGCTATCCTCCACAACGTTCTGCGTATACATGCCATAAGGATGGGTTGGGCGCGATAGTGACATTGAGCCCCGGGTTGGTTGTGATGTCGATGCAGTTGCTATGCTAGGCGAACGTGCCATTGTATTTTGAGTGTACATGCCATATGGATGGCTAGGTCCGGTGGTGAAGGGGCTTTCGGATCGTGCCATTGTCGCGAAAGAGCCTGTTGAACTTATGGATGTGCGATGTTGCAAATGTGCGGTGGCCTGGGAGCTAGAACCCCGAGTGTGGGAAGGGTATTGTTGGTGGTCGTGGGCGTTTGAATCCCCCGTTGGCTTCATGGTGCTATTTCGCGATGCTATCCTCCGCAGATCGCCGTCCTGTGCCTTTTGAGTCGAGAAACCGGCGAGATTGGGGCGCGGCGAGCCATTTCGATCGTGGTCCTGCCTGTCGGTCGTGTTGTGGTTGGCCGCGTCGTGGTTTTCGTTGCCCATTCCCATTCCCATTCCTAGTCCCGTACCCATCCCCATGCCGGCTGGGCGAAAGCCGTCCGACACAGAGGGCATAAAATCATCTTCATCCGGGTCGAGCGCATATTCGTCGTCGAATACATTGGGATTGCGAGGAGGCGACGGGTCCCTCCTGTCGCCGCGGTCATCGCGGTCGTTGTTGCGTTGGTCCATCGCGTGTGTCGTGGCTGTCCCTGAGAGCAGCCCGACTGGGCTTGGTCACCCCTTTACAAGCCACCCAGCAGCGTCGCGACGGCGTGATTGCGAGAGCGATAGTAAACGGCGGATGGAGGAATTGGGTTCTGATGGCGATAGATCGAAAGGAATGCGAGCGATGGAGTGTGTAGTGAGCGAATGTGGGCGTGGGAGTAAGTGGTGTGGATGGGGATGTGCGGCGTTGGAGGTTAGGAAGGAAGAGAGTTGGGAAGGGTAGGGCTAGCGAGGTGAGGCGAGGGCGGTATGAAACGATCCGTGTGGTTGTTGGGGTGTGTGAGTGTGGGAGCGTGAGAGCGGAAAGGAAGGCAGGAGCAGGAGGGAGCAGGAGGGCAGGTGCGAGACAAAGGCAAAGTTGGCAGGCGTTCCTTCCTTCCCTTCCCTTCCCACCCCAGTAACGGGCAAGTGCAGGCCGGGGACAAGACAAGACCCAGGACAGGGCAGGTGCAGGGCAGAGCAGAGCAGAGCAAGGACATACACAGAGCACAACACAGGGTAACTGCAGATGGAAAGGCAAATGAAAATGTGCTGTATCTACTCCAAGTGACTCAACCTATTAATTGTGATTCCTAATACTGGCATTGAAGAGAACCCTCAAGTCAAGACTCGAGTTTCGAGCAAAGACAGGATTGAGAAGCCAGAGAGACAACAACGGAATCAAGAGCCGTTTCGAAGACGATGCAGGCGCTAAACCGGCAACAGGCAAAGTCAACGTTTGAGAATTCAAATCCCTGTCCTGATCCTTGTCCGATGCAACCAATGATGTCCTTCCATTTCGCCCAACCACCGACACACTAAACCCTAAATCCACCAAGCGGGCAAAGGTCCGGTTCGAGTTCGGTCGCTTCCACCCAACTTTTGCCTTGCCCTTGCCCTTACCTTTGCATCCATCTAGTTACATAGTATCATTGTATCACAGTATTACGATAATATTACTCCGTACGGGTCTTTCATCTTTTTCCTTTCTTTTAGCTATTTACTCGATGGTATCGGAGTTATAGTGGTACATCTATCCAGTATTTCACCACCGGTTGCTGTGCACATGCTAAGCCCGAACTCTTTCGACCAAGCCAAGATACGGACTATTCATAGTCGGAAGAATGAACCCAACAACAGCGATAACAACTTTCGTAACGACGACTACGACGCAGCATTCTTCACTGCCCAGAAACGGCGTTCGGACAAGAAGTCTCTTCAACAACAATACCAACGATGATGCCATCGCTAACAGCAATATGAATCGGAAAATATCCATCAAATATCCCTCCACCCATCCATCCATGTGTCCATTTAGCCATCAACCCGAATGATGCGATATGCCTGCCCCCTCCCATTAATATCCATAACCTTTCGCCTTTACTCTCCCTCTGCCTCGGTCCAATCAATTATCAATCAATCAGTCCGTCAATCAGTTGTCCATTTCATCGCCGGCTCGCTTGCCCGGTAATGAACAGTGAAAAGAACATCTGCAGCCATACTCGTTCACACTGTCCCCTAGGTACACGTGTGCGGAATGTTCCGCACCGTCACACTTTCTCCTCACCTGCCTGCTATCGTCTGCATGTACATATGTAGGTACAGTACATACCTCGTCGTATATGTCTCTAATCGGAGATGTACCCTACATTCGAATGCCGGAGATCGTGCTTCCGGCTCTCATACTCCAACCTCTTCATTCTGTCTATCTATCTATTTATGTATATAGATACATGTACATCGGAGAGAGCAATTGTCCGAACTCCACTCCTCGCTAGCGATTAAGACACATCATGTGTATAGATACCGTTGTTATTTGGTAGGTACCCAGGGTTGTACCGATCAGGAAGAGAGAAGAGCAAGACTCGAAGTGAAAGATGCTCTTCGAAAGAAACAGTGACCTTCCACTCTTCAGAAAAAGAATGTTTTGAAAAGAAAGAACAGTCTCCCAAAAAGGGAAAGTCTTCAAAAAAAGATAATAGTCTTCGAATAAAACCGTCTTCAGAAAACACATCTTCAAAAAAACATAGAGCAAGAATCTAGACCAACCACACCACACATCGCTCATCACGCACGAGTCTACAAGCATCTCCATACACCCCTCACACATCCCGGCGAGCAAGAAGCGAACACTCGATACGATCTACAGATATATCACCGTCGGTCTAGAACGATCGTACCTATATACGTTCCATGTACACTGCAATGCATAACGTGCATTTACGACTTGATATCAAACCCGCAAAACACGCTCTTTCCTCTCCCTTCCACGTGGATATGGACATTGCCTTTTCACTTCGCCAGCGCTTTAGGAGAGCAGAAGCTCCTCGCTTTTATCTGCATCCACCCCTTAGGAAAATGTGCTTGGATATGATCTCGTATATCACTGTAGCAAGTGGTCTAGATCGATCGTATCTATATACGTTCTACGTACACACACTGCAGTTCATAAGGTGCATGTACAGCACGACTTGATACGGAACTCACAAGCCACGTTATCTTTTCCTTTCACGTGCGGATGTATGACTTCGTTGGTCTTTGATGGGGGAAGAGGGGATGTGATACCTATACGGGTATGTTGTGGCTTTTCCAATATAAATCGTAGGCAAAACGTGGTTTGAAGTGATCTCGTACGATCAGTATAGTAATTGGTCTAGAACGATCGTATATATACGTTCTATGTACATGTTCGTACAGTACATACAGCTCATTTACGACACGAGGCGATATAGAAGTGAAGTGAAGTGAAGTGAAGTGAAGTGCCAACCATGAGTTTTTCTCTCGCTCACGTGTGCACATAGACGTCTTACATACCTGCTTACCCTGACCTTTCGAGGGGAGAGGGTGTTGATTGGAAGGAAGACGTGCTTCGATGTGGTTTATGGGTTGGAGGAGAGTGGTAGTTCATGCCTCTGGCATGTCACCTTTCTCACCACTAAATGATCGAGACGCTGATTTAGTTTGCTTGACGATGGCAGCGAGGAAGTGCGTAGGTACATAACTATGTATGTACAGAACATGACATCGAATCTACGTAGGTACGTATCCTCCCCACGTCTCAAGTAAGGACATTACATCGCTGCTCCATCACGAGAAACGGATCGAAAACAAAACCTTTTGTTAGCACCCTTTCCATACATTATAATGACTTCGTTCGTATATTTTGTAGTCGCGAAAGCGGAATGCATCTGATTCCCTCCTCGTCGCTGATTGGTGTGTAGACGGGACTGTATGCTGTGAATTCGATTTTTCAGATGGAGGTTTGCTTTTTTATGATACAGTACTGTGCTGGTTGTTTGGGAGATCGAAGGTTTATCGAGTGGAGTGGTTGATTGATATTGAGATGATTGTAGGCAGATCACTTCCGAATACGACGATTCCGATCACATAAGGCTCACTCGCCCCGTGGGATAAGATATGAGCGCGCTTCTTGAGCGGTGGGGAGTTGTGAGTATGGTGAGATCTGGTTCTAAGGCTCGTGTCTTTAGGTATGCATGGAAATGGATCATGGAACATGTTTATGTCTCATCGCAGTCATAAACTCGCGAAGCACCTACCCAAATAGTCAATCAACAGTCCAGAAAAGAAAAAGAAAGGCGTAACAATCCCTCTAAAGCCCGCCCATCAAACACCAAAAAAAGGAAAACCAGATCGATCAATTAAGTCTCCGATCCCCGACCACCGACCATATTGCAACGTAGTATACCTCTCAAATGGCAAGTATCTACGCGCAGGCGTAAGCCTCAAACTCCGACCCAGCCAAACATCAACTCCCCGACCTCCGACACCCTTTCGGCACCCGGAAGGAATAAGAAAATACGAGCCTGTCCTTTCCTTCCCAGCTAGCCTAGCTCGATTCTATACCACCAGGATTCTTTTTATTTTCCACCTTCGTTTATGCTTTTGTTTTATCCTAAAGAGGATTGGGAGGATGATGATGTGCGGTATGGGGATGGGGGCCTAGCTGAAATGTGTGGATGTATGTAGGTAGGTATGTAGGTGTTACGAGCGAGGGTTTGAGGTATGAGGTAATAATGTATGTATGTGAGTGAGCGAGCTGAGGGAATTTCCCTTCTCTGGACGTCGAGTTGCGAGTAACTACTCACACGTAAACGTAGAAAGCAAGAAGGCAAAGCAAAGCCCAAGATGGGAAATCCATCGACGAACCAACCAATTCACTTCCTCCATACCATGCCTACCATACCGTCCCACCATACCCTCGTCTCGTCTACCACGCCCTACCACCGCTAGCTAGCGACCGCCGTGACGTGAAAAACTTTATCAGATCAAACTTTTGCTTTTTTTTCCCTGCCTGCTCTCGGTGACGTCGATCGCGTGCGTCTCTCCCGCTCCATCGTGGCTTGTTTAGGTTTTTTCTCCCTAAGGTCAGCTGCATGGCCGGGCCATGCCGTTTTGTAACGAATCGGACCTATCAAAAATGCTCGGCTGCCCTTGCACAGGCAGGTATTTTGCTTGCCTTCCCGCTCCAGGCGCAACGCAATTGTTCTCCGCATGCGTGGAACGTACGGCGGCGCGGGCAGGACTAGTGGGGTGAAGGGTTACTGGTCTACTGGTTTACATGCAGGTTTGCAGGTTTGCATGCCTAGCGAACTGCCGGCCGCGATGGCAGGAAAAGGTGGGTAGAGAAGGCGAGGCGTTATTATCATGGGCGATGTCGGATGCTCGAAAGAAGGGTAGCTGTAGCGCTGACAGGGCTGGGGGATTGGGATGGGGATTCACGTTGCAGAGGAACGGAGGGGTTTCGACGGTACGGGCCTGGCTTCCCGATGTCGTTTGGACTAGAGGGTTGGGCGTTGCCGTCAGCGGCTTGAGGGCAGGGGAGTTTATTGATGGTTTGGAAAGAGTAGTTGCTAGGTATCTGGGTATAGTTTACTAGGAGGTGAAATCTAGGGTACTCTGGATTCTATCTAATCGTACCATTGTTGCTCGGAGGTTTGATGCAAGGATTAGTTCCATTCTAGAAGTGTTACTCGTTGCCTGTCATATGTACATGTACATGTACATGTACACGTTGATGATGCAGTTGTTGCTGCCCTGCGTATACGCCGTGCTCTCACCGTAACGCGACGCAGGACGGTGTGGCCTGACTCTGACTTGGACTCTGGTACGGAGTCCTCTGTACTGTCTGGATTTGATTGAACGGCAGTGAACATGAGGGGACATGAGTTTCAACATGACGACAGCGGGCATACGCGGCAAGTCACTGCGCCTCGTCTCTTCTGGGTATGCAAGTTAGTGGTAGTCGTGGTGGTAGTGCTGGCCCTGGATGGGACGGTTTGGTAAAAGAAACGCATCGCAGGGTTAATGCGACGTTCCTGGCTAACGGAAGAGGGAATGGCTTCGATCTGATAAGAAAGCTGGGCGTGGTCAGAAAGGAATCGAAGAGGATTCTGATCAAAAAGTGGAGGTCTTGGATGCTTGAGCTCTTGGGTTTGGTGGACATGTTGGCGGTTTGGCGGTGCTCATAGTTGGCTGAAATCTCCCCCTGCCCTGCATGACTACCTGGTTGCCTTGTACAGTATGTGTTACAGCGAAGACTGCAGGCTTGGTGGTGTTGTGTTACCAGAGGCTGAGAATCATCATCATGTTGGTCCACCGCGGCACAGCGCATCACCTCAAAAAAAAAAAGTAGCCGCACCAAGGTTCTTCTTCATCTCGACCCATGAGGAGGCCGTGGTGACCCCCATTCCTTCCCATTCCTTCCTTCCATTATCCACTATCCACTATCCATTATCCATCCCAATCCCGTATCCCTCCCCTCCGCCCGGCCACCGGCGTTGTGAGCACTAGACTCTGATATTGCTGCTGTTCCATCCTATGAGAGATGCTGTTGGAGTCAATCGATGCGCGAGGGCGGGGGTGGTGAGGCTAGGTATTCGGCTACACGGTCGCACAACGTCAGCGACTCGGGGTTCTGCATTATTATCGCGACCCTGTCTCTCGGAGGTGAAGATTTTAGCTCTTCATGTGAGTGCGTCGAAATGGGATGAAGCAGTCGATGATCGTTAGCGTCGCGTATCGACCAACCGGTGGGGGGATGGAGGATGGAGGGGGCGGAAGAAGGAGGGAGGGACAGCTGGACAATGGGACGAGTAGTAAGAGAAGAGAGGTAGACATAAAAAGGCTTCGTGCTCGAGATTTTGGTCAAAGTAGAATATTTTTGTCTTGACATGTCGACCTGTTGACCTGGCTTGTACCATACATACATACACACATACCTATATACCTATTGTGTATTCATTGTTGGACTACTATCACCACTGCAGTCCACTACTTGTACAGTACTACTGTCTACTGTTGCTACTGTTGCTACTACTGGGGATACTCTGGTACGTTGTTGTTGAGCTACCACCCGCCCTCGTCCCCTCTACACAGTACAAACCTCTCTACACTACCCTACCCTTACGAGGTGCTATCATCCTCCACCATCTCTTCTGCTTTTCCTCTACTGGGAATTCTGGTACCATTTTATTCGTGTACTATACCCTCCTCCCTCTAGTCCCTTGGTCACTTTCCTCCATTGAGTCCGGGTGCACTACACACAGCACTACAAGTACCCTACCACCTACTACCTAGTAGTTTACCCCCCTACTAGTACAATACGCAACAAAACCATACTCCCGTTTTTTCTTCTTCCTCTTAAGTCTCCATTAACCTAACCTCTTAACTAATTTACCCTCAAAAAGAATTCCCAACTAAACTCCTTTTTCTTCCTCGAACCCAGGGACTCTCTCAATCACACAAGCCCCTACGGTCCCCTACCCAGGCCAGACTAGTCCTGTACTTTCTCAACCACCAAAACCCTTCATCCTCCAAAACTCCTTCTCAATCACCCAATTGCCACTTCCAGATCGCCCGCTACCCAGACCGCAATTTGCCTTTGTCACCACCAGTTCACCTCCCACTACTTAATCAGCGGTGAAGACGCCTCCCCCCGCCAACACTTCGTTATCACACATATAACTACTTTCTCTTTCATACTCTCTCCCCCCTTTCTCTCCCTCTTCCACTTCCACTTCCACTTCCCTGGAATCCACCCCACCTTTGTATCACCCCTTACAACAATCCCCCTCGCAACTTTCCCCTCCTACAAAACATTGGAACACCGCAGCCATGGCCGCCCGTCCCTCCAACATCGGTATCAAGGCCATTGAGCTTTACTTCCCCAGCCAGGTAAGTTTCTGGACCCTTGAATTCTGCTCCCCAGGGCTGTCTAAACAGTTTATGGACGATTTCGAGCACATCAACACCCCAAAATTCTGAGAAAGACCCCACATCCCACCATTTCTAACGCAAATTTCCACAGTGCGTCGACCAGGCCGAACTCGAGAAGTTCGATGGCGTTTCCACCGGCAAATACACCATTGGTCTCGGCCAGACCAAGATGTCCTTCTGTGACGACCGTGAGGGTGAGTTTCCCAGCAAAACGTCCCGCAATCTTTGCGGGAAAACCCCCTGTCCAAAGGACCAGAAACTGATTTGTTGCTGCCTGCAGATATCTACTCCCTCGCTCTCACCACCGTCACCTCCCTATTCAAGAAATACAATGTGGATCCCAACTCCATCGGCCGTCTGGAAGTGGGCACCGAGACCCTGCTCGACAAGTCCAAATCCGTCAAGTCTGTGCTCATGCAGCTTTTCGAGGAATCAGGCAACTACAATGTCGAGGGTGTGGATACCGTGAACGCCTGCTACGGAGGCACCAACGCTCTTTTCAACTCGGTCAACTGGATGGAATCCTCCGCATGGGACGGACGCGACGCTGTCGTCGTTGCTGGAGATATCGCTCTCTACAAGAAGGGTAACGCCCGCCCAACTGGTGGAGCCGGCTGCGTGGCTATGCTCATCGGCCCTGACGCCCCTATCGCCTTCGAGCCAGGCCTACGCGGCTCTTACGTTAGGCACGCCTACGATTTCTACAAGCCAGACTTGACCAGCGAGTACCCAATCGTCGATGGCCATTTCTCCATCCAATGCTACACCGAGGCCGTTGATGCCTGCTACAAGGCTTACAACGCTCGCGAGACGACCCTGAAGTCCCAGTCCAATGGAACCAATGGACATGCACAGGAGCAGGAGACTCCATTGGACCGATTCGACTACATGTGCTTCCACGCCCCTACCTGCAAACTCGTCGCCAAGTCTTATGCTCGCATGTTGTACAATGATTTCCTGACAAACCCCGCCAACCCCATCTTTGCTGAGGTTGCGCCCGAGCTTCGCGATCTCGATTACAAGACCTCTGTCACCGACAAGGCTGTCGAGAAGACCTTCATGGGTCTCTCCAAGAAGCGCTTCGCCGCCCGCGTCCAGCCCAGTATCCAGGTCCCCACCCAGTGCGGTAACATGTACTGCGGCAGTGTCTACGGATCTCTCGTCTCCTTGATCGCCAACATCGACAGCGAGGCTTCCAATGGCAAGCGCATTGGCTTGTTCAGCTACGGCAGCGGTCTCGCCTCCTCCCTCTTCTCTTTGAAGATCCGCGGTAGCCTCGCCGAGATCCAGAAGAAGTCTGACATCCACGCCCGTTTGGACGCCCGCCGCGTCGTCGAGCCCCAGGTTTATGATGATGTAAGATGCTTCTTACCCCCCTTCATTTTCTTAGCATTGTTCTTAGAACCACGTGACTAATTTCCCCTTTCAGATGTGCAACCTCCGCGAGCGCGCCCACTTGAAGAAGGACTACACTCCCCAGGGCAGCATTGACGGCATTCTCCCTGGTACCTACTACCTCACCGGCATTGACGGCATGTTCCGACGAACATATGCCATCAAGGAGTAAACGGTCTTTTTCCTTTCTCCAAAGACTCACATTCGATTCTTCTTCTATACTTTGCTGCATTTTGGGCATTTGCAGGAGTCATTTGATGATCCAACGACCGTCCTCGCGAGCTGCAATTATTTTCCTTCTTTGACCTAAATTTTCCAAACCGTGTCTCGGTAATTATTGGCATAGACTAAAGGGCAGCACGCATGATACCAGTGTGCGATGATTTGATGAGCGCCAGGAACCAACAATATATTACGATGGGACATATGGAGCGGCGGCGGATCGGAGACCAAGGTGTCTGGACGCCCGCTCGAGAGAAAGAATTAACACGATTAAATAATTTAATACTGTTTGTGCAACGCAATCAACTCAATTGTCTGGCTCCGCGTAGCTGGAACCTCCAAACAACCCTCGCTTTAAGTCAATGGCTTTGAATATGTTTCGTTCTGACATACACTTTATACATCTCTTCGCTTTTCCTCGAACAGACAGCACCGACCACACAATCTCTCCACAATTGAGCTGAGATCTCCCCAAATCGAATTGCTTTTTGTCCATCCCAATGCAACAATCCCAATCTTTTAAACAAAACACCTGACAAGAACGCCGAAACCCAATGCAATGATATCATCCGTCCCATCCTCTTTCCTTACAACCTCGCTAGCTTATCCTGATCACTCCAAAATGCCATCAATCTCCCCGGGCAACCTCTTAACCCTCCTCTGCTCCCAGTCCTCCAAATCCTTCGCCTGAAGTCTCTATTCTCCACATTAGCCCAATTTCCTTCCCCCCGTATAACCCAACTCAGGTAGCAGCAAACTTACATAAAACTCATCCTTCATATTAACCTTCCTCCGATTCTGCGTCAGCCCCATCTTCTCCTCCTGGCTGATCTGCTTAATCTTGTTGTCGTGGCGCTCGTAGCGGAGGGCCGTCGCGGGCGTCAGCATGAAGGAGCCCGCGACGATGGTGGCGAGGAAGGGGAGGCCGAAGAGGAGGAAGGGGTGTTTTTGCAGCGAGCGTCGGTACCGAGAGGCGATGGAGTTGGGGAGCGTCGAGGCGAAGGACTTGGATGTGAAGGGGCCGCCCATTGTTGTGGTGGTTGTGTGGTGGGTGTCCCGGAAGGGGACGAATTGGTGAATGTGTAGTTGGAGGAAGTGGTGGTTTGCGGCGGTGGTGTGAGTGGTCGAGTGGGATGATGGGTGATGATAATGGGGAACAGGCGGTTTCCCAATGATGGGGATGCTTTGGGTTTGGCGGCTTGGCGTTTCCACATGACACCGCGCATGGCTGTTGTGACGCGTTTCGAGCTTGTATGTGTGCCTAATCAATCCACGACTCTCTTTTTTTTCCGCATTTTTCTTGATCGACGGTTGATGGTTTTGTGAACACTTTTGGAAAGGAAGAGATAGGAATCGGTTGAGAGTAATATCGTACATCTGGATCCCAGGAAATAGATCCTTGCCGCAGTTTTCTTGGAAGTGCTGGATTCCGTCAATATAGATCTTCTCCTCGCCCGTACATCATCCCCAGAATATATCCTTGCATGCAGACATCCTCGACATGAGCGATAGATAAAAACTCCGACCATGGCCCGCAGAAGCGGGACTTCGACTAGATCTCTGGTTCCACCACCACCGCCAGCGGCACCAAACGCATCCGCAAACAATGGAGTTCCGCCGCCGTCGACCATCGCGGCTCAAATCGTCGACACCGCCGCCAATGCCAACGACCAGCGGGAACCCGAGTCGAAGCGGAAGTTCGAGCAACTCCTAGATGACTACCTGAACGACCCGATCACCAGAGCAGACGACCCGGACTCCCTGCTCATCAAACTAATCTACCTCGTAACCCAAGCGGGACTGGACGTCCTGCTCGACGACAACCCCTTCGGCGTCGACCTACTCCTCCCTCCGGCCCTGAAGAGCATCGCGGCCATCCAAGTCACCGTCCAGCTGCGGCCGCATCTGCTGCTCAGCGCGAAGGAGGAGTCAGACGACGGGACGCCCCATCCGCCGCTATTCGTCTGGCTGCTTCCGAAGGTCTTGGGCCTGCTCGGGCAGAAGGCGCTCGGGGCGATTCAGCACGAGCTGCGGGAGCTGTTGGCGACGTTCGTGGGCGCGCTTACTCGGGCTTCGAGTACGCGCGAATATGCGTTGTCCATCGAGACAATTTATCGGTCTTGCGTTGATAGTAGGTACTTCCGTTCTATCTGTAAAGAACTAGCTTATAAATGTCTTAGGTATCGTCCTCGCTCTCGAGGACAACAACGAAATTGTGCGGAGCTCCTCCAGTCCTTCTATCAAAGTGATCCTCCCGCCATCAAGCAGTATCAGTGACATCTGGCCCGACAGCCAGAACTTCGTCGCCCTGCCGCAGGGGTCACAGCGGGTCGTCACATCTCGTCCGCAGGCTATCCTGATTGGGTTCCACCTCGTGCAAGTGTTCATGAGATGTGGTGATAGGGGGCAAAGCAACTCCGTGCTTTCCCTCTTCCGCGAGAACTTCCTCCCGTGGATCATCGATTGCAGTCATGCTCTCTGGCAGGACTACAAGCAATGGCACGGGCAGGTGAGGAGATCTACTGCGTTTGACGAGATTGAGACGGCTATCTTGGATGTCTTGGAAGCACTGCTTCTCTCAGGGAGTGTGGAAGATGAATATCATTGCTCGTCTAAAGTCGTGGCGGCGCTGTCTTCTCATATTGTAGATCTGGTCAAGGCTTCATATACGTCGCCGCTGTCGACTAATAATCAGGTTTTGTTGGCGTCGCTTCTGACGAGAGTGCGAGGGCGGTATGTGGTACCGCGGAGCGATGATCCAGCTCAGGAGCACGCTCGGAGAGATTTGAAAAGGGTTACCCTGGACGACGTCGAAACTGCGATTGCGAGTGCCTGTCAAAACGTGACGGCATTCAGTACCCTGATCAGAGATTTGCAGGTAAGATTCGAGTGTCACTTGCGTAGTATAGGGTGCTAACATACCACAGCTCGCTTTCTGCCTATGGACGTCTCCCGGCGACTGGCCTTCGGAAGTGGACGACATACGGCAAAGTCTCTGCTCGTCTGCTACGGTTAGCTTCTCGGATGAGCAGCTACAGCAAGATTCGATATCCGTGACGACCACGTTCAGACAGATGAATGCCCCGGAGTCTCCGCGTGCTTCTAAGCGGCAGAAGACTGCGCCTGATGACGATGAAGACCTGGCACGGAAGGAATATGACAGACTTATTCAATTCGTTGCAGGGGCGACGGATGGTGATTCTATGGCTGATCTATCTGGCCTACACACATCTATCGCGTAGGTTACTCCCAACTAGATCTAGCTTTGAAAAGCTAATTTTAACGTAGGAGCACGTATCTCAATATCTCGGAAGCAGAGCAGTGCGAGCTCTTGCTCGCATTCGGTAGAATACCCTGTGCAGGCGCCAAATCTCTCATCCCCGCACATGACATTCAGGTGCCCGCGAAGACAACATGTCGTGTATGCGACGACGCTGGCAAATCTCCACGAGACCGGAGCATATATTGGAACGAGGCCGACGACCAAAGTTCCGATTGGAAGGATATCGTCGCCGCCCTTCTAGCCGTCACAGAGATACCCGAATTCCGCGACTCTTCCAAGCCACGAGTCGTCATGGCGTTCACGATCGGGCGGGTCTTCAACCACATTTCGGATTCGGAGTACCTAAATTTGGAGTTCTGCTCGTTGGGTCAGTGGCTGCTGGGTTCTATGAACAGGTCGCTGAGGGAATTGAGGGTTGCGGCTGCGTATGTAACTAACTCGTGTATTCGATAGACACTGTTGTGCTAACTTTGCTACTAGACATGCTTTAATGGTCTTTCTGCGCGACGACATCACCAAATCGGTCAGGGATAAGAATCGCTGGTCGAGCTTGGGATTCTTCCAAGAGCTCTCCGGGAGGGAAAGTCACCTTGGGAAGCAGATTACGCTGATCATGGCGTATGGACAAGCTGCGCGGTGAGTTTGCTTGCCTGGGTATAGGATGTGTAGCTAACGTTCTGCCGAAAGGGTTTGCGGCGAGGCAGAGTTGCAAATCATACTTCTCCGTCTTGTTGAGTTCCTAGGGCATCCGCATAGGTTGGTCCATGGTACGGCTTATGATGAAGTGAGTGAATTCTGCTTCCTTTGGTGTTTGAGGCTGATTTGGTCAGATATCATCAATCGCACTTGCTCTTGATACCGATCCCTTCTCCATGATGCGACCGTTCTGGAGAAGCATCGGTATCTTAGTCATGAAAGACCTTTTCAGCAGGCCGCAGAAGGTGACCCTGCTAGCCGATGTAGTCGGTCGCAAAGCCAGCGACCTCAAACTCGATCTCGCTGCGGACACGCTACCGATGCTCGTCCTGACGAAGCGAAAGGACGTCTTGCAAGCGATCGCGCATTTACGCGGCAAGGACGTCAAGATCGAGAACATCATATCACAGCCACGCCAGACTCTCGCGAGCATTCTGGCCCTGTTGCTCTGTCAACCTGTCGCGAATCCAGAGCAGAATGCCTGGGAGACGCTGATCGAGGTCGCGCCGCAATTCGAGAAGGAATACGATCTCGCGCGTCTCATCCAGCTTGAGGTCGTCCTCGTCGCTTGCGAGATCTTGAAACTTGCTGCCGATGACGACGATTCGAAGAAGCCACAAGTAAGTTTGATGCCATCTCCTCCGTGCATAGTACGTGTATTGATTTGATAGTATCATCGAGCTTTCTACTCGCTCGCCGCGCTCGCGGAAACTAGACCTGGGCAAAGAAAGGTCGCGACGAAGAGATCGCTAGATTCGTTCTTCGAGTTCAACATCCTCGGCATCATGGCCAATTTCTCGGAGGTGCTGGACGCGCCGTTGGCGAACCACCCGCTGCTGGAACGAAAGCGCTGCGTAGGGGCTATCCGGGAGATGATAGGGCTGGCCAAAGACGACGCCAGCTTGGCTTTACCTCAAGTAAGTAGACAGGAGTTTTCATATCTGGTACTACCGGCTGACGTGTTTTCTTTAGATCAGAGCTTGTCTGCAGTCCGCCATGGCAGACGCCCATCTCTGCGATCAGAGCTTTTCGGTTTGGTCCGCTCTGTTGAAGGTGCTGCCGGAAGAGGATCTGGAAGTCATTGTCGACCAGACTTTTGCCCTCATTGCTCAGAACTGGGAATCGTTCTCGGACGATACTAGGCTCCTTGCTTCTGGAACCATTGACTATCTTCACAAGAAGCACGAGCCCCTGCTGCGAGAACGAGTGGATTATCTGCCATCGATGGGTTCAATCACGATGCTGTCCAAATGGGAGGGAGAGGTGGCGCGCCTCAAGGCTAAAGTTGACAAAATTAGCTTCTTCAACACTTTCAGCCGGCGTTGCAACGACCAGAACGCCGTGGTTGTTCGTCAAGCTCTGAAAGAGCTAGTCCCCTTCCTCGAGGCAAATCAAAAGGTCCTACACGATGCAGCTGTCAGCCAGAAACCGTTGCCGGCTCTCCCGGCCCTGAGCCGATCTCTCCTTGATGCCTCCGTTCGGTTTGCTGAGGGCCACCCAGACATTCCGATTCTCTGTGCTCGGTGCCTCGGGCTCATTGGTGGCTTGGACCCGTATAAAGTCGAAACGGTCCGCGAGAAGAAACACGTCTTGGTGCTATCGAACTTCGATCGTGCGAAAGAAGTCATCAATTTCTCTGCATTCCTTCTCGAGAACATCCTGGTGAAGGTCTTCCATTCAACGACCAATTCGAAATCGCAAGGTTACCTTGCGTACGTGATGCAGGAACTTTGCAAACACTGCGGCTTCAGCGACTTTGCGTTCTCACGACCCCGATCATCGCAGACAGGGCCCGCCTGGGAACGGTGGGACCAAATATCTGACGCCGTCCAGGGCACGCTACAACCTTTCCTCAGCTCGAGGTACACAATCCGCGCCCGCAACCAGATCACATACGAGCCGCCAGCGTACCCGATCTTCAACTCCGAGATAAGTCACGCGCACTGGTTACGCACGCTCGTGTACGACCTACTACAGAAGGGGAAGGGGCAGAATCCAGAGATGCTGTTCCCGGTCATGGCGAGGATTATCAGAGGCCACGATCTCTCGATATCGACGTTCCTGCTTCCGTACGCTGCGCTCAATGTGATCATCACCGGAAGCGAAAACGAGACGATGATGGTAGGCCGCGAACTATTGACGGTGCTGAAGACAGACATCCAGGGCGTCGACCAGTCCGAAGTCACGAGGATCAAGCAATGCAGTGAGAACGTCTTTCACGTGCTCGACTACTTCAACCTGTGGCTGCAGGAGAAGCGGAGGCAGGTCTCGGAGGCCAGAGTCATGGCGGGTAAGACGGGCCGTGGGATCTCAGAGGACGAAGAGATGAACGCGATCCGGCAGATCAGCGCCGTCGAAAGCATAACACAGATGATACCCGCAGAGGTGATATCCCGACGTTCGGTGGAGTGCGGATCCTACGCTCGCGCTTTGTTCCACTGGGAGAAGCATTACCGTCAGGAGGAAGAGAAGTCGCAGAACACGGGCGTGTTCGCAAAGGACGAATTGCTGCAGCATTTGCAGTTCATCTATGCACAGATTGACGAGCCGGATAGCATTGAGGGGATTTCTGCACATCTGCAGGTGCTTAATCCCGAACAGCAGGTCATGGAGCATCGAAAGGCGGGCCGCTGGACGGCGGCGCAGAGTTGGTATGAGCTGTCGCTTGCGGAGAAGCCTGACGACACGGAGTTGCAGATTAATCTTTTGACTTGTTTGAAGGAATCTGGTCAATATGGTATGAAAGAATTCATTGGAGGGGATGGGGCTCTTTTGCTAATATGGACGTAGATTCGATTCTAAACTGCGTTGACGGAATCAATGCTACGAAATCTGTAAGCTCCGACATCCTTCCCTTCGCCGCAGAAGCAGCTTGGTCGACGGGAAAATGGCCGCAGCTAGAAAGAGTGCTGTCGCTATCTCCAGCCGACCAGGGCGGAGCATCCCACAAGTTCAACGTGGGCATCGGAAGGGCGTTACTCGCACTGCGCAGCGGTCAACAGGAGGAGTTCAGCAAGACTATAGAATCATTACGAGCGGCCGTGGCAGCGGAATTGTCGCCGGCTACCACGGCTTCTATACATGCAAGCCACGACCATCTGGTTAAACTTCATGTGTTGTATGAAATAGAAGCGGTCAGTGGCACGTCGGAGAAGACGGCGACGGACCGGAAGGATCTGTTGGAGGTTTTGGAGCGGCGGTTGGACGTCATAGGAGCGTATACGTCTGACAAGCAATATGTGCTCGGCATTCGACGTGCTGTGATGCAGCTGTCAAAGTAAGTGTTCAGGTTTCTCCAAAATGATCATCGCTAAGCAAGACCCTCTAGGATCGAATTTACGAATCTAGACATCTCGTCCGCCTGGTTGACAACAGCCAGACTGGCACGAAAAGCAGAGTTTACGTCAACGGCTTTCAATGCGGTAATGCATGCTGCACGCCTCGGTGACGATGCTTCAAAGATCGAATATTCGAAGCTGATGTGGAAAGATGGGCACCATCGGAAGGCTATACAAAATCTTCAAGGTGCCATTGCAAGTAATGCGTTTCAATCTAGGGAGGCTGTTTCCATGGAAGTCTCAGTCACGACAGCTGTAGAGCAGCCTCAAGCTGCAAACAGGACAAAAGCGCATGCCCAACTTCTCCTCGCGAAGTGGCTCGATAGCGCGGGTCAGACCAAAGCGGGTGCGCTGAAGGAGGCATACGCGGCAGCCATTCTCTCTCATCCCAGGTGGGACAAAGGGCACTACTACCTGGGTCGTCATTATAACAAGCTTCTGGAATCCGAGAAGTTGCTACCCGCTTCCAAGCAAAGCAAGTCGTTCCAAGCGGGAGAACATACGAAGCTCATTATTGAGAATTTCATCCGGTCCACCGTGTACGGCACGAAGTACTACTACCAGACCATCCCAAAGATCCTGACTCTATGGCTGGACATGGGCATGGAGGTACTGCACAACCAGCCAAGGACCTCTGGGCACAAGGAGCTCCACGACCACAAAGTAGGGTACGTCGATCACATCAACAAATACATCAAACGGTATTCTACGACGCGTATGCCTATTTTCGCTTGGTACACTGCGTTTCCCCAGATCATCACGAGAATCAGCCATCCCAACAAGGCTGTCTGGGAGGTGCTCCAGACTTTGATCGTTAGTGTTGCTTCTCAATATCCCCAGCAAGCGCTGTGGAGTCTTATGGCTGTGACTCGCGCGACGCAAGACGATCGTAGAGCACGTGGGATGGCAGCCATACAGAAGCTTAGAGGAGTAAGTATTCGGTCTGATTAATAGTGACACCGTACTGACAACCTACAGGAAACGTCTAAGCGGAAAGGGACTACGCCGCTCGAGCTGCGCGGACTGATACTCCAGAGTCAGAAACTCACCGACGCGCTCCTGGCTGCTTGCGATGCCCCCATCGAACAGCGCGTCTCGCACGTCAGTCTATCTCGCGAGCTGGGTTTCAATCACAAGCTTGCGCCTTGCGCTCTCGTCGTGCCAATTGAGGCGACAATGATTGCCAACCTCCCCTCCGGCAACGACAGTCGTGTTATTCGAGGCCATAACCCCTTCCCGCAGGACGCCATCACCATCTCTTCATTCGCAGATGATGTTCTGGTGCTCTCGTCGCTGCAACGGCCGAGGAAAGTGACGGTGCGAGGCTCGGACGGACGTCTCTACGGTCTTCTGTGCAAACCCAAAGATGACTTGCGAAAGGATCAGCGTCTTATGGAGTTCAACGCGATGATCAACCGCGCCCTCCAGCAGGACATTGAGTCGAGCAAGCGGCGACTGTACATCAAGACGTACGGCGTGACCCCACTCAACGAAGAATGCGGCACGATCGAATGGGTCGAAGGCCTGAAGCCAATGCGCGACATCATCATCCGCCTGTACCGGCAACGCGGCGCGCAGATCGACTACGGCGAGCTCCGCCTCCTCCTCAACGAAGCCTGCTCCGACCCCTCGAAGCTCCCCATCTTCACCGACAAGATCCTCAAGAAATTCCAACCCGTCCTACACGACTGGTTCGTGGAGACGTTCCCAGAGCCGGAGGCCTGGTTCGGCGCCCGGCTCCGCTACACGCGGTCCTGCGCCGTCATGTCCATCGTCGGCCACGTCCTCGGGCTCGGCGACCGCCACGGCGAGAACGTCCTCCTGGAAGAAGGCAACGGCGGCACCTTCCACGTCGACTTCAACTGCCTCTTCGACAAGGGCCTCACCTTCGAGAAGCCCGAACTCGTGCCCTTCCGCCTCACGCACAACATGGTCGACGCCATGGGACCCCAGGGCATCGAAGGCCCCTTCCGCACTGCAGCCGAACTCACATACAAACAGCTCCGCCAGCACGAAGACACGCTCATCACCATCCTCGAGACCTTCGTGCACGACCCCACAGCCGACTTCCTCGGCGGCGGCAAGCGCAGGAAGAAGATTGCGGGCGTGCCCGACACGCCGCAGGAGGTGCTGGAGAGCGTGAGGGGCAAGGTCGCGGGCGTGCTGAGCGGCGAGAGCGTCCCACTGAGCGTCGAGGGGTACGTCGATGCGTTGATTTCGATGGCGAGGGACCCGCGGAATCTGGCGGCTATGTATATTGGGTGGTGTGCTTTCTTCTAGGCTGCCGTGGGCCAGATCGTTTGGTATGTGGGATTGACTTGGGGGATATGGCTGCACTGCATTGCATATTGGCGTTTTGGTAAAAGTTGAGGTGTTTATGGAAAAAACAACGATAGATTGGTAATGGAAACGGGGGCTGTCAAAGAACAGTAGGGGGAAGGGTCAATTGGCCACTCTTTGTATAATTTTCAAAACAGATATCAAGGATCGTGAATCTATAATTTCATTCTCTATCTTCTTGTCTCTTTCCTCTATTTTCGTGACCACGTTCATCCATTCGCTCAGCAGTGGGAATGACCCTGAACAGCAGACTAGAGTTTGACTCTACTCCTGGTAGGCCTTCAACTCCTCCGCAATCCACCTCAAAAACCTCCCACTAAGCTCCCTCTTCGCCGCCCCATCATCACTAACCGCGAACCTCGCCACCACACCGCCCGGCTGCTCAGGCCTCAGCAGGTTCCCATCCGCCTTGAGCCCCTGGAACTTCTGCTGGTCCTTCTCGCTCATGTGCGCAACGTGCACGCCGCGGATGTCGTCCTGCATCGCGGTGTCGACGACGCCCGGCTGGATCGACACCGTCGCGATGGAGGGCTCCTCGACGGCGAGGGTGGCCGCCAGGTGGTTGAGGACGGCTTTGGAGGCGCCGTACGGGCCCCAGGCTTGGTAGGCGGAGGTCGCGGCGCCGGAGGAGATCAAGATGAGCGTGCCGTTTGTGGTGCGGAGGTGTGGGATGGCGGGTTGGATCTGGGGTGGGTGGATGTGTGAGTGAATGGTTGGTGTCACGTGAGATATAACAGTTATACATATGACGGCAAGAAAGCCTTGAGGGAGGGGAAAGGTGTTAGGGGAGAACTCACCACAGCCAAACCGCCGAAGACATTAACGTCGAAAGAGGCCCGCCACTCCTCAGCAGAGATGTCAGCGACCTTCCTGACGGGCTCGAGCGTGCCGTGGTTGACGATGACGGCGTCGAGGCGGCCGAAGCGCGAGACTGCGAGGTCGACGGCGCGGGCGCCCAGCGTCAGGTCCGAGATGTCGCCCGCGAGGATCTCGACGCGCGACGGGTACTGCGATTGCAGGCTCTCGAGGGCCGAGCGCGTGCGAGAGACGGCGACGAGCTTGTGGTTGGGGGAGGAGAGGATGGCGTGCGCGGTTGCGAGGCCGATTCCTGGGAGTGGGGTTAGAGAGGGAGATGGATGGATGGGCTGATGGGTTGATCGAGAGGAAAGAAAGGAAAAAAAGAAAAAAGTACACAGTAAATCCCGATTGGATCTATCTTCATCCATATAAGAAATATAATGTAGGAATGACAATGTTCAGATAAGTAGAATGACGCCATATCTCAACATCGAATGAAGCATGCCCACTCGTATATGTCCAATTCATTGGAATCGAGTAGATTTAGTCGAATTCGCCCATTCAACACCAAAGTAAAAAAGAAGAAACGGAAATAACTTCCTTCCAGCAAGAAGGAACACTTGACAGAGAGTAGGGAGAATCAGAACAAACCTCTAGATGCACCAGTCAAGATGACGACTTTTCCCTGCTGCTCGGTCGCCATGACTATTGATTCTTTTCGATTTTCAATGAATGAGCGTGTGCTACGAGTTTCCAATTGGACGTTTTTCTTGTCGTTCCTGTTTTGCTTCTATTTCGAGGACTGGGAATGGTAGTTATTGTAGTTGATATTTAGAACATTATACGTTGTTATTCTTTCGGCTAGCTACGGGGTGGGTATGGTCGTTAGTCAGCATGTTTTCCGTACTTCGGAGAAGCATGCATGTATACAGTGACAACAAAACAACCGTTGGACATTTACAATTTGATCATTGCAACATTGGATGCCTGAGGGACCCATATAGACCCATATCGGACCGAATGTCAATTATTCTTCGTTGCATCACGCGCGCTGTTGTCCGATTAGCAAGTTTCTTGGGGGTCGATCCGCTGGGGGGGAAACCAGAGCTCCGAGTAAGCAACCGCATAGAAGAACCACATATACGAAACCACCACACATGAGAAATTATAAATAAGAAATTTCGTACAAGCAATTCTGTACAAGAAATGATATAGGAGAAACAGAATAGTTCTTTAATAATGCAGAAAGGCGAACCTACTTACATGCGAAAACACATATTAACATGTAACTACAGAAAGTCTCCTTCTCTTTCCGGTAAATTGTTCAATCGAATCATTCTTACTTGTCGAAAACCAGTAAAGACTTGGAATTCGAGGGGTCGTTTAGTAGCGGTGGAAGGCAGGGTTTGCTACAAGACGGTGGAGTAGGACATGGTGGTAATTGTTACATATGTAAAAATCACAGAGCTTTCACACAGCATACACGTTTCATCCGAATCATCATAAGGAATAAAGATGCATTAACTTTAAATTAACTTAAATTTTCCGACATGTCTGTAGAGTAGTAGGTATAGTGTGGTATATCTCATTCTTCATCGTCCTCTTTCAACGCTCGCTTTCATACAAGGCCACCTTGGGAGGGAGTGGAGGAAGGATTGTGGTGTTGTATGTAACCAACAAAACAAGAAAATGCTAGTGACATAGTCTTCCGAAGGTGCGTCCCGTCGCTCAAATAAAAACAAGAAATTTCCATCCCATATGAAAGCCCAATTCATTTTACATTATAAAATGATATCCATTCCTCTCGTCTCAACTCGTCTAAGCACACCGTCGCCTATGACTGTGGGTGGGGGTTCTGCGGCGCCGGCTGCACGATTTGCGGCTGTTGTGGGCTGTACGGTGCAGCTGGCATCTCCTGAGGTGGAGACTGGTACTGGCTGTAGATCTCCTGGGGAGCACCACCCTGGTGGGCGTAGTGCTGAGGAGGCGATTGTTGTTGGTATCCACCGTACATCTGCTGTGGCGGGCTGGCGGATGGAGGCGGTGGGCTCGTGGTGGGCTTAGGGTATTGGTATCCTGCTGGTGGGGAGCCAGGTTGCGAATTGTAAGGCGCTGGAGTGGATGACATCTCGCTGTATGTGCCGGGTTGCGTGGGGTATGGGTACATGTTTTGGCCAGGTGGAGGAGTTCCGTAGGCAGTTGGCGATTGAGAGATGTGTGAGTAGCGGGGATCGGATGGGGGTGGAGGAGAGTGAGGAGAATGAGGAGAGTAGGTACCGTGAGGGACGGCTGCGGCGCCAGCAAGGGGCAGTTTGTTCTCTTGGGGAGCGTAGTGGCCTTGGTGGGGAGCATTGGGGGCAAGAGCGGCAGCGCCTGCAGCTGGAGTCATCATGTTTGGTGGTGGCGTTGGGCCAGTCTGCTTGTTCTTGCGGCGCTTCATAAAGCAGAAACCGACAATGGCGATGATGACGAGCGATCCTCCTGCTACACCACCACCGATACCGGCTTTGGCACCAGTCGAGAGGCCTTTGCTTCCTCCACCACCTCCTCCATTATTGACCACTCCAGGTCCTCCAGGTGCGCTTGCAGCAGGGCCGATGGGGTTCACGGGAACGGTCTGACCGGGTTCAACCGTGACGGTGAGGGTCGAAGTGACGGTGGTCCGGGCGCTGAGGGCCGATGTCCTTGTCGTGGTAGTCGTGTCATAGACTGTCCTGGTTGCAACACCACCGCTAGCTACCGAGGTGATGTAGACGTAGGAGGTCGAGTAGTAGGTGGAGTACACAGTGGATGTTGACGTATCAGTACGGAGAGTCTGGCGCTTGTAGAGCTTGCCGTGGACAACGAAGACCTGGGGCTTGTTGGTGACAGCAGCACGAAGCTCATTCTGCTGCTTCTCGACTGCAGGAGTAGCAGTAGGCATCGACGTGGTGATGGCAGGCGCGGCTGAGGACACATAGGAGGTGGCAGATGGGGTTACAACCTCAGCAGTACGCTTAACTTTGGCGGCACCAGAGGTGACGGTGGCAGTAGCCCATTCAGTCTGAGTATCAATGTTTGAGACAGTAGTGATCGCGACCTCGGTGAAGGATCGGGTCACTGTGGTGGTATCATCACCCAGGGTGGTCGTATAAGTAGATGTTGAGACGGTGAATGAAGTAGAAACAATTGTCGTATAATACCACGAACTACATACCCAATGGTTAGATTCAGACAATCGGAAGAAGTAACAGTAGAAGAGATACTCACATTCTCGTTGTGCATTTACCCAATGAACCAGTTCCAGGTCCGCAACCGGCAGTGGGAGCACAGCACCAGCCATCCTGAGCGTTATTCGGATCGATACAGCATTTGTTGTCCTGGGTGATACAGGTTCTGGCCTCTCCGCTACGGTAGAATGTACATTTGGCGCCTTCCTGTCTCTTGAAAAGATACTTGACATGCTGGGGGTTCCTGTTGACGATCTCCGGGTACTCTCCTACGAAGATATCGGCACCGAACTCAGGCAAGAGAGTATTCGGGTCCTCAGAAGCGTAGCCAGGCGCGAGGCTGAGAATCTCCTCCTTGATCTCAGGTTCAGGAAGGCCGAAAGCATTGGCCGAGGAAGCAATTGTTAGTAGGGCGCTGGCGAGCGCAACGGCGGACTTGATCACCACCATTGTTGCTTCAACTGCTGTTACTCTGCTGTTGTAGGATGAATTGCGCAAACAAAGCAGCCGACGAGCGAGGAATTGACAGTGACAAGGTCGCAGGTCCACAACGAGCAATGGGCGGGTGATAAGGCATGCCCTCCATTTTACATGCTTCTTCAGCCTCTCTTGGTCCGTTCGTATTCAAAATGCGAGAGCATCCCTGCCTCATGGGAAGGTGGTAACACATTGAAAGCGGTTAGTGCTGGCGCATAAGGGTATTCGTGATTGGAAAGATGTTTCACGCTCATATGATTCACGTGGAAGGCTTAAGGTCCTTGAGGTCGAGTGCATGCTGTGGCGTTGTCAATCCCACTCCCTTTTCGGTGTGGTTGGATCGGATGGTGCTGTCCTGGTGTTGTCTGGAGTATTTGCCAAGATCCCGCTAGCCACAAAGGGATCTAGTGCTAATCTTGCTTTCACCTCATTACTGACCTTAACAGCGCACTGCCTTCAAACTATGTCCTCCATTCACTCCACTCCCTCCACTCCATCCCACTAGTTGCTGTATGTATCAACTGCCTGCATACCACTAATCACACAGTACATGGTGACTATCTTCAGGCCACTCACCAGATGCTCACATTTCTCATCCTGCGTATCCCGTCCCGTCCCAGGTTGCTGGACCTGATCCAATGGGCCTTACCAACCCATGCAGGTTGTGGTTAATTTTGGGTGATGACCCCACCCGAGCCGGTGAATACAATAGGTACAGTACATACAGACGGGGAGGCAGCATATCATCCTGGCATCCCAAGAGGCTCTCGCCGACCACACGTCGCACTGTACCGTGATCTGCGCCAAACTAATGAATACTACCATCCCGGCGAACCGTCTATCGCGAGGCCGTCATCACACAACATCCCTCGCTTGCTTGTACTTTGCACCGCCGTATAGCAAAAACCGTCTCCCTCGGCAGTGCATACCATGCGTTGTAACTTGTGCAAGGCGAGAGAAATCATGAGGTTATGTGTGTATTGAAGCTCCCCTCCAGGCTCCAGGGCACACCTTAGTTTGGACCAACCTTGCAGAGTGCGGTTAGCCGAATGGGGGCCGAAAAGCAAAGATGTGTCTGGGGCAAGCGAGCGAGAGCGAGCGCGAAGAAAAGGGCAACCCTTAAGCAGAAAAGCACAGCTCACAGCTCGTCTCCCCTCTTTCTTGAAAAGTGGAGCACCTAGACCTCTCGCAAGACCATTATTATCTCTAAGGCTGAGCAACCTGAACTTCAGCCCGAGCCTTGGCCAGAAGTGAATCGACCTACCGCGCTCCAGACAGAAGTGGTGGGAAACGACCAGATCTATGTACCTTCGCATATTTTCTTTGGTTCTCTTTTCTTTTTACTTGAAAAGGTTGATGAGCCACGCCGGTGGCTTCCGATATATCGCATCACTTTAAAAAAGGTACCAATAAGGAAATCAGTCAATCGACTGTCGTTTTCAATTCATATCAGCTTTATGACGATGCGGAGCCTTCTTTCGGACAACGCTGGACTCTTTCCTACAGTAATGAGATGAGGTTCGTTCTTGGAAGGATCAGATTCCAGGTCTTAATCGCTGAGATTCTAGCCCTCTCGAAGTTGACCTTCTCCTCTATGGTGAGGCTGAACCAGTCTAGTGAATCCTGCATACAGTACTACTAACCACTCTTTAGAGTGAGGAGAAAAAAGTGTGCAATCCTCTGTTAAAACATCTCTGATCCAGAGTTCGGCCCATCGTCCAGACGCTCTTTCTCAGGACCAATGTGAGGCTGCGTTCTGAGAAACCACCGCACTCACCGTATGTTTGTGTGGTTGTTTACTTTCCGGGGTGTCGTTGGTTTAGAGCTCAGGGGTGACCCGGCACCGCCCTGGGAGCTTGTGAGCTTCGGACAGCGCGCCTTTTCTTCGGCAAACACCACCAGAACAGCTACCGGCCACCCATCCAATCTGCTTCGAGCAGTGTCTGCGAGCACCGCAAACAGCAGTTGGAAGCAGGAGGCAGGAAGTGGCGCTTACTCCATCAACTGCAGGAGGAGCAGAAGAAGAAATGAAGGACATAATTATATACCAAATGCAAGGAACATATCTTTATTTGTTCTGCTCCTTCGGCTCGCTGACCGTTGTCGCGAAATCGGTTCCGCCCCCTCTCCGATTGCGCTCAGATGGAGGGAAGCGAAAGCGAAAAAGCAAACAGAGTTCTCGATGCTCAGCCCCTATCCTTTTTCGATATGCGGGCCTTTCGGCCTTTTCATCCTTTCCTCTTGGTGTCCCTCTTCTGGCTCGAAATACATAGTTCAGTGTTGTCCAACCGGTGTTTCGTATTATGAGTCGCGCCGCGGTTGTAAGCTCATGTTCATCCATTTAAATTATCGCGTCTTGCACGAACGCACGTGCGGGACGCGGTGGTGTTCTTCGGTTTCACTGCCTTAGGTTCTCCTATACCGTGCGTCTTGACCAGAACTTCGAGTCGCCCAGCACACATTTGGTCTAGGGCGGGACCGGCGTAATGATCCTCTGTCGCGCCTAATCTGGGAAATGAATATCGGGAGATCGACCAGAGTTCGCTGAATCGTTGGTCATCAAAGGCAATCGGTTGCTTGAAAGTAGTATGTTTTTTTTGTTTCTTGTTTTCATTTTAAGACTCGGGGTTGTCTCCTGGATCAGACCACACTTCCATCATGTCCAACCACTCGAGCGCAAACGCAGTCACTATCCTTGCCCAGTCCCTAACGGTTGGCATGTCGAGATGCTCGCCGTCATCTTCAATCTTATGCCAGACGTGCGGAAACGGACTTGGGATGACGTGCAGAATAGGAACGCCTTGTTTGATGAACGGCAAGTGGTCGTCTGAGATACCGCCGAACGTCCTATTTCTACCCTCGTCTGGCAAGAAGTTCTCCTTCGGTTTCGTTTCGAGCAATCGCAGTTCACGCATTCGAGTCTCGATAGTTGCGAGGTTCTGATATGCCCAGTGCGTTTCCGAGAAGTAAGATGGGATCATGGGTTCCGCCGAGCCGAGGAGATCCAGTAACATGAACATGGAGATCTGATTCAGTGGATTGCGATACTTGTAGAACTTCGCACTGGGCGGGTTTGGTGTTGTCGCCCATTTCTCCGCCAGCGCCCTGGTGAAATCACAATCAGCACATATCCTCCAGAGCATACAACGTATCATGACTACTAATCCTTTGCAGCATCAAATGGATGTTGAAAACTTACCTTGCCCCATACAATGAATCCGTATCAGTCCATTTCTGGAATGCTTCTTCGCCATCCAGCAGGAGGATCTGAATCCCCATATCCATCTCCACCGTCCCACCTTCCCCAAGTTCCGCCATCTCGTCGTACATCTGCGTGACATATTTATCAAGGTTCTTCGCAACCTGCATCAACATTGCACACGGCGCAGCGCTATCAATAGCACCGATGAACCCCTCCGGCTCATACTTGCTATCGTAATGCGCGGCGAGCGTCAAATAATTGGTCTGGCCGGGCTTCGTCCACGGCGGCTCGCGGCGAATGATCATGTTGCCAAATGGTATCTCGACGTTCCCTGATATCGAGGTCCGGGAGGTCGAATTCTGCCATTCGACAGTCCACTTTGGCAGCTCGCGTTGAAACCAGCTCGCAAAGTGCTCCTGCACTTTCTTCTGCCCTGCCGTCCCCGGCACGCGCGGGATCAGGATTGGTGACAGCATGCTGCCGGTGTGGATGTCGAAGTCGGAGGACTCTGGCATTGGGATCGCGCGTAGGAATGAGTCTGAGAGAGGTTTGTAGGCGGATACCAAGCTGGCTGTGAGGGTCCATAGCTGGAGGATGGTGAGCCATGCGTTTGGCCTGGAAGGCGAAGATGTGAATGGGACCCGCATGGCGATTATCGGATTGGAATCTCTTGCGATGCCCTGGGTGGTGAATTTTCCGTGGATTTCCGATGGATATCAATTGTGCATCACGGCGCAAGAAATCCTCATCTCATTTAGGAAGTCCGATATCCAAAGTGGCCAGCTGTGCTTTTTGCGGTGTTGTGGCGTTCAGCTGCTTCTCCGGTACCACGGATTGGACGACAAGCAGCGAGCGATGTCTATCTCTTGCAAAACAAATACAAATCAATATTCCATTAACCGACCGTCCGTCTGGCCGTCGTCAAGCAAGCAAGCAAGCAGGTATGTGGCGCAGACCTCGTGGCTCGGGGATGCAGGATTTAATATTCGCCTCTCTGCAGCAGCATGATGCGTCGTCGTTGACAAGATATACTCCCCGAGCCCCTCCCCTCGCGACGTTTCATACACCGCCCTAGCTCGAAACCTTCCGGGGGGTCCAAGCAACAACTCCGTACCTGTAACATGTAGCAAGTAGTGCCGTGTTTACCGATTTGACCACGGAGTTATCTGCCTTCTTTTCTTTTTCTCCTTGCTGTTTTTCCCTCGTAGGGAATAAAGACATAATAATCCTGCGACATTTTACGCTGGAAACGGAGTTGTTTGGTGGATCGGTGGGTTGCCCTCTGCGACTTTTTGACAGCCGCTAGGAAGGGATGGATGTCTGTAAGAATGCATCAAACCCCGTACCAAACTACGCAGAGACCATGCCTCCGTGTAGGGCAGACGTAGACAGACTGCTGACTACGTCGGCTCGTTCGCGACCTGGCCCTGATACAAAATACTGGACCCTCACCGACGACCCTTTCACGATATACTATTGTATCTTTGGAGGTTTAAAACGTCGATGTCTCCTCGGCCGTGCACCGTCTATGATCGAGATACATATCTCTGGTGCCCAAGTATATCAAACGAAAAGTATAGATTGACCAACACCATGTGGTAGATATTATTTTCCCGAAGTATAATCACATAGTTATGTCTTCAAGGCTTGTTGCATCTATTAGACAGTCTTCCTCAAACAAATGTGTGATGCCCCCGGTCGAATTTCAACATCTAACATCAAGAGACCACTTTTCTCTACAAGCAAACGATTAATAGGGAAAAGGTGTAGAAAGACTCGGTCCGTGAAACCCGCACTATTTTCTAGTGACCGCTATCGATCACCGGTCAGATGTTCAATACTCGGATGAGTAGAATGGTGGATGCATCCTTTCTGTGCGTCTTTATACATACATAATTCCCCACATGGGAAATAGCTGTCCTGACAACAACTTATTTACTTTTCTTTCTGCATTTACCCGTCGATTATTCATTAGATCTGCTTTTTGTTACCTGGTATGATACCTCGTGAGTACATACGTAGCATTCCATCATGTAAAGAAGAATAAAATCAATAGTGCATTACACATACGCAAATCTCCATGAATGCATGTCTCGATGGAGAAATTGACATATGAAGTACCCGCACAAGCACAACCCATCAAGCCGTGAATTCGAACTTCGAAATTCTCGTCTATTCGTTCCTATTTACGAACTGGAAAAAGGCGCTGTTTTGGTCTTTGATTAAATGATTTTATTCCCTATTCCCTTGAAGAATGAGCGGTTTCTCCCGCTATGGCATCTCCACATAATTTGCACCTGAGGTCCATTTTCCTCTCAAAGGCATTACAAGACAAGACAAGACACGACAAACAAGAAAGGAAACCATTTGCCCCCTACAAAAACACGATATATTCCAACCTATCGAACGGACCTGGCTCGACTTGACTAGACTAGACTAGACTAGACTACCTAATAAGCACCGACCTCCTGGCCCTCCTTCGCCAGCGTCTCGAAGACCCTGGGTGGCAACTTGTACCTGATGAGGCCTGCGAACACCATGAGGTCCTTTGCCTTCTGGAGGAGCTGGGCGGCGAGGGCCCGGCGGGTCGGGTCGTCGAATTGGCCGCTGAGGAGGACCTCGCGGTGGCGGCTGCAGCAGCCGATGCACCAGAGGAGCACGTTGCCGATGTTGCGGGCGACTTCGGGCGGGTAGATGGCGAAGTTGTTGGCTGAGGCGCGGATGGAGGAGAGGTTGCCTTGCGCTTGGAGGGGGAGGATGCCGATGGCTTCGATTTTCTGGGGGTGGTGTGTTAGAAAGGGAGAGAGGGAAGGGGGAGGAGGTACTTACGTCGAGAGCTTCCATGTAGCGTCGTGCTTCGATGATCTTCTTTGCTGTGTTCAGTTGGAATAGTATGCCCAATGTGTCGCGGCTCATCTGGGAGACTTGTCCCCACCAGAGCGCGTTCCTGTTGTACAGGTCCATCACCCGCTGTGCCAACTCGAGTGGATCGTCTGTACCCAACATGCTCAGGCTGGATGACATGTCAGAGACAGGTGCCTGTGCTTGTGCTTGTGCATCGGCAGCTGACATTCGTTGCTTGAGCGGCTCAAGACGAAGAGGTTCTTGGCCGATCTCGACAGACAATGCCTCAGACAATGCACGGTTGAGGATCTTGGTGACAGCATCGTACTCTCCAGCTAGATGGCTGAGCAGAACCGCGTCGTTTGTCCTGCCGTTATCGTCTGCTGTCTTGGCCGATTCTTGGGTTATGTTGCGGATGAAGGCATCGTCGTCGCTCAACTTAATGAGAGCCAATCGCTGCTGAATCAAGCCTTGAGTGCTCTCGCCGTTGGCCTTGACATCGCCGAGAAGGGTTGCGAACTCGCGTGTCTCGAGAACAAGCTCGCGAAGGGCCTCGTGGCAGAGAGCAGCTTGCTGCCGTCCCGCTTCGCCGTCTAAGTCTGCATTGAGGCAAATCAGGATCAGGTATTCAGCAGCTGCATCAGCCCTGGCGGCACGGAAATCAGCAGTGTAAACACCAACAATCCTGCCAAAGTTGAGTTGCGCCTTCTGCTGAGTAGTGTATGTCAAAGTCTCCATGCCAGCTGTCGTCCAATCCGACACACGTAGGAGTCCGTAGTAATCTAGAGCAATGGCGAAGTGAACGGCGGAAACGTAGTTGTACTTGTAGAGGTAGTTGACGGCACTTTCGAACATTCCAGCTAACGTAGCCAGGTAAAAGTAGACACCATAAGATCCAGCAGATTCAGATGAGCCAGATCCAAAATGTCTCTCGCCAATGTCCTTGATGGTATCCTGGAGCTCTTCGAGGCCGAACATCTCCCCGGCATTTTCCTCGGCACGGTTTCCCTCTCGTGCAAGGTTGAACTGAAGCCAAACCCAATCATCCAAAGACTGAGAAAGCGGTTCCAAGTTCTTGCGGGTCATCTCACAGCGACCGATCAGCTTGTAGCAAGCCATGCGATATGGATCATTGGAAGGACCAATGCGGGAACGTTGAGCATACGCATTGTTGATTCTCTGTTGCAAATCGGGAGTAAGACGTCGGTCAGCGTCTTGGGCGTAGTGGAGGATGGCAGCGGCGAAATTCCTATCGTTGTTCTGGAAGAAAGTCTTCTTTTCACGAACATATTCGGCGGCTTCCTGGACCAGTCCACCCCTGAGAAGGTAGAAGATAATGACCCAAGGAAATTCTTCGCCCTCAGCTCCGATCCTCTGGAATTGTTCGACTTCCTGGCCCAGCTCCTTGAATGCAAGCTTCACACGGATATAACCTCGAATGCGACTGATTGCTGATGGAATGCCGCCAACTTGGGCCTCACGGGGGTGTTTACGGATAGCATTATCAACCTCGCTGGTGAACTTGCTTTCCAAGAACTTGCGAGAACCGTTAAGAATTCGCTTGCGAGTGCTGAGGGTATTTGCCGAATTTGGATGCTCGTCCAGATACTCCCGTGCGAATTGTCGTGTCTTCGGGGCACTGTTCGAAAGATCTTGTAGTTCTTGCTTCTCGCCAGTGATGGAAATGAGCGCAGAGTATGCGTTGCAGAAGTGCTCTGTGTTCTCCCCCATGGACTGATCTTCGACGCTGGCGAACTCATGCAAGACGGGATACGGGGTCTCTCGTTGCCTGGCCTTATTAAGCTCCTGGACCCTCTCCATGAACCTCTCCTGTTTGTCCCGAACGAAGCGATCCTCGGGTCCAACCTGACCACCGATCGTAGACTTGTCAGACGGGTCCATCCGGCCCTTCGAGAATGACCCAATGACTGGCCCGTTCGACGCTGCGAAAGAACCGTTTTGCGAAGCCTTGGGGCCCATCGATCGACCCTTGCGCGCTGTTCGGCCAAAAGCACCGCGGCCGGTATTGTTGAATGTACTCTGAGAAGCCGCCAGCTCTTCGCTCTGACGTCCCAAGCCAAAGTGCTCGTAGATGCGTTTGCGCTGGGCATCCCATTCAATCTGAACATTCTCTTCCAAGAAAGCATCGAAGTCCCGCTTGGACTGTTCCAAACCCTCTTGAATCAATGCCAATGTGGATTGCGAGTGGATGTTCGAGAGGTAACTGTCAACGTCCGTGTCAAGGACGTTTGCTGTCGGGCCGGTGCTGATTCCCGCTTGTGTGCTGAACTGGTTCAGGTCGCGTATGGTGCTACCTATCTTGACGCCAGAGGCAGAGAGAAGGTAGTGTCTGGTGATGATGATGAGTAACCGCAAATGTTATAGGCAGTAGCAAACTTACGCGGCGCGATCATCTTGCGCCTGGGCGGCTGAGGGACCGCCAGCCCCAAGGTTCCTAACCTTGCGGGCGATGTCGCCTAGGTTCAGCTGTAGGCTCGGGAGTTCCTCAAGGCTACTGAGGCCATTCTCGCCAGCGCGCTTCCTGCCCTTCTCTAGCAAATGGTCGAAACGTGCGGAGCGATTGTCACCCGCGCTTTGTTGGAGACCGCCTGATTGCTGCTGTTGTTGAGTACTAGCCTGGAGGACCGATGATTGGGGAGGAGCATTCGTTTGTGCCGTCGCCGTGTTCGAAAAGAGACCTCCGCTGGGTGCTGATTGCGTATTCGTTTGAGCCGGCTGAGCAGTTGACGCGAACAAACTGAAGGCACCGGCTTGTGATTGCGCGGTGCCCGTTGCCGCTGTGGTAGCAGCTGGTTTGGCAAAGGCAAATCCTCCAATTCCAGCTGTGCTGGGTTGCGCTGTGTTGTTGAGGGCATTCGACGCTCCTCCGCCCAGGTTACCGAAAGTTGAAGTGCCCAATGAACCGAACAAAGGCTTCGCTGCTGCTGTGCCCGCGGCAGGAGCAGCCGTATTGGCAGGCTGGCCACCAAAGAGGGACATGACGGGAGGGTGAGGATGGGTTGGTGTTGGTGATTGCGCAGGATATCCGCGACTTTACTTGGGCGGGAGTGCAAGTTGACCGTTTGGCTGGGGGTTGTTTTCTTTTCGGAGAGCTGGTGCAGGGGCCAGCTACAACTTTGACGCATTAGGCGCGCGTATAAAGTCACGAACAATGACAATTGCAAGTATCTATAACAAAGCAGCAAGCAGACAACATAATGTGGCGCATAAAGATGGCGATCGGGATATAACGTGTCATTATTAAGTTGAATTATGATATTGGGTGATTGGAACAAACAGCGTCGCTTGCAAGGTCAAACGTCGAAAGCACTTCTGACCTACTATGCCAGCTCAACCGTCTCTATCTCAATAACAAACAGTAATGAGCACAAGCAACGCCCAAACGTCCGTTCCGAGGAACTTGCTGCTCTTTTATAACAATCATTCCATTCTCCAGGTTGAAATGGACTCGGAGGTAAACTCGTTTCGCGTCTTTTAATCCTTGCACACCCTCCACGGCAACGATGTATAACCTCTTCTTCAAGCCTGTCATATGCCCACAAAGGAGAGGGCCAACCGAGTACTCCCAAGGTCTAGGATGGTTCCAGCCTGATTTGAACGGGACTCTGAAAAAACGACGGGTCAGAAAGCCGTACTACCACCTCATATGGCCTCGAGATGGGAACAGATCCAAGATGTCAAGACTGAGAGACATCTTGAGAGGAGAAGGTCCCGACATGCATGTGACAATAGGTGCTGAGAAAGACGATTACATGCACATCCGGCAAAGGAAGAGTCAGTGGGCGCGCCATAGGAACCTCGACAACAGTGCACCGGATTATTCACTGAAAACCAATCTTCCGGGAACAAAGATCAATCCTTGTGAAGCGTACGACTTCAGGACTCGCAAGTACGTGCATCTGCATAGGGATATGTGGACAGATGCATTGCGCATGCCGGATCCGAGAGAGACCTATGGCTATCCGTATGCTCTAAGGGACATATATGGCGAGTGGAAGCAGCTTGATCCGCACTGGTTGGATCATGAATTCGGTGGATATCCAGGATGGTACTGAAACGATGGATGGTAGGCAATGGTTTAATCGAGGCAGCTTTCATGGAGCGCCTCCCACACTGTTTCTTGTTTCTCGTTGGCTTCTTCTGGCTGTTTGCTCCTTCTTGCTGTCGGTACCAGAGCGGATTTGTCGAGTAATTTTCCACATTTGGCACAGGAGTTGCTCTGTACGTTCTTGTATGCCGCGATCATATCCTATTAACGTTAGCGACAATTCACCACCAGTCTTCTCTACTTTGAACGTGAATGCAACTCACCAAAAGAGGCTTCAGCTCGTTGGCGTGAGGCCTTAACGAGACGCACCGCGTGATGGACACAAAGGGCTCCCCATTGCCCAAGCATTCAGCGTCAAGGTGCTCGCCGCCATTGGTCTCACTATTAACCACAACATGGAAGCGATACTTCAGGCCCCCGCTGATGAAATGTATCTGTCCTTCCGTCAGTCATCTGAAAAGCATCCGGACGAGAGCCCAACATACCAGAATATCACGATCATCATCCTTACTAAACACTTTGAGCTGCCCGTTTGCCGCCCGGAACTCCTGCAAGATCCGTTCTCTCTCCTCCTTACTCATCGAAACCACCGCCTTGTCCTCCCCGTCTTTCGCGCCATCACGTCTCCTCGCCTCCGCATCCCTATCCCTGATCTCCTTCTGCTCCCAGCCGTACCTCGGCAGCTGCGCTCCGGGCGTCAGGTCGGAATTTGCCTCGAGGCTCGCCTTGGTGTGCTCGAAGAGCGCCTGCGTCTCCTGGCTTTGCCATGTCGTGCGGAACGCTTTGATGTTGCTTTGAGAACCGACAGCGGCCTTCTTGAATGCGGCGAAGAGCTCCGGGCGCTTTGTTATTTGGGGGCTTAGGGGTGCGACGACGCGGGGGATCGTGAGGCGGAGGTCATCGATCTGTGGATGGTATGTGAGCGCTCGGTCTGGTGATTGAAGGCGCGGTTGGGGGCTTTGATTTTACTGACTTGTGCTTGGAGGCGCTCGAGCTGCGCGAGGGCTGCTACGCATTGCGATTCGTCCCATACCTGGGCTGGCTGTTGGGACGCTGTCGAGGATGCCATGTTCCGCGGATGTAAAGTCTAAGGTATTTTTAAGCGGTGGACGAGAACGGAACGTCGCGAGAGAACGTGGAAATCTAAGATACTTCTTGAAGCATTAAAGGTCTGGGCAATGTGAATTGGGGAAGCACAGGGCGTGGGTTAGGTGGACGCGGAGTTAGTAAAAGTTGCGCCAAGTCGGACCCCCACGAAGTGCGCTATCATGTGAACCAAAGGAGAGTTCAATGTCTGGAACGGTATAATGAAGAAACTACAATTCGGGAGCCAGTTGGCAACAATACTACGCAAGGGAAGGTGAATTGAAATAATAAAATTCTCGTGAATGCTGGATATTTATTGAACTTGGAACAGGCAGCCATACTATTGTGTAGGTCAGCACAAGCCTGCGACTTCAGCTTTAGTGGTCGAAATCATCGACAATGGCCGGAAAAGCACACAATAGACTCGGAACAATAGGTGCAAATTTGGATTGAATCATCAATCAAACCATAAAGGATCTACCCAGCGCCGGCAACTCCCAGAAACTCCTCCCAAAATGCCAGTATCGGACACGTGAAGCACAGCCTAATTCCTCAGTGCGCGCAGTCGCTCATTCAATCCTTCCTCCTCTTGCTCTGTTGGTCCAACCTTCGTCTTCGCGGGGGTAGCGGCCTGTAGATCTTGCTCCAGCTCCAAGCCTGCCTTGTCCGCTGTTTGCGCCATCAAGCGGTCGACATCCTCCTGCGGCGTGCCCACGGCGGTTGCAGACGATGTTGCGTTCTCGTAGTATCCAGTCGCGACGTCCAGATCCTCAAACTGTGTCTCGAACTTGTCCATGACCGCCGAGATCTATCAGAGTATTCGTTAGTTACCTCAATCTGCCTCGTTGTACTCTATGGTGCATACCTTCTCCAGATCCATAGCCTTCATCGCAGAATCCATGCCACGGACCACATTCGCCATGCTACCAGTGACCTGTCGCATCGTGACCGCCGTCTGCACGCGACTGCTGACAGCATCGATTCGGGACGCGAGCCGCAAGAGATTGAGTTTCTCGTTCTGCTTCCGGATGGCGTTCTGTGCGTATATGCGTGCGATGTCGCTGTGGCCCTGCTTCATTGCCTAGTCGGACCCCCGTGTTAGCCTCCCCTCGCTCTGCGTGTGATGTTCAGGATGATCTGTGTTTGCGCACCTTCTCTAGCTTTGCCTTCTCGGCGGTCTCATCTTTGCCGGCTTTCGCAGCTTGTCGGTTGAGTTGCTTTGCGGTGAACTGCCGATTGTGAGCGCGGGGTGATGTGGATACTGGGCCGTTCCAGGCGACAAACCTTGAGGTTGAAGAGGGCTTTCTCGAGACCGGACATTGTGAAAGAGAGGCAGGAGGGTTGCTGCGACGGCAGTTGTGTATATGGATGGTGCAGGGAGATATAGGTTTAGGTTGAGGTTGTGTAGTAAGGCACAGTGGAAAGCAGCTGGCTTAGAGGTGTGGTTGATCAGGAACTCGGCGGGCCCAACGTCATTGGCTTTCCAGGGCTCCCGGGCTGCTTGGCTAGAAAGTAGCCCCGCCGCCTGCAGCCCCGGCTGGATTCCACTGAGACGTTCCGCTGCACAACGGCAAGCGTTTTCACTCTTAAAAGTGACAAACATATGCACGACATGCAGTGACTAAACATGTGTAACATACTCACGCCTCTCTCTTGTTTTCACTCCCTTCTCATTTCCTCCTCCCTTGAACGCATATAATACATCACATAATTGATATCAGCTGATCTGTGATTTACAGCATCTCGTCGTCCCGGACGCTGTTGAACAAACTTGATGTATATAGACAGATGATATGAACTCCTATATTTGCATGCCAAAGTAAAAGTGGCTGTGAATAAAAGGCCGGAATATAAGCCATGCTGTAGATAGGCTCTGTATGCTCCATCTAGCCGTAAACGCCGCCTTTGCTGTGTCGAAGCACCCATCCTGAACGCCTTGGACTTCATTTGCAGAAATCGCCTTTTTGAGAAACGAACACCCGTAACCATCCGCGACATGGTTGCGACCCCTTCGCCGTCAGTAAATCTTAACAACATTTCCCGTGGATTGCCCACGCATTCTTCAGTCGCAGGAGAAGAACACAATTGCGCGAACTATTTCGCATCCATCTTCGGCTGGAAATGTCATGAACGTATGTGCTGTGGCTATTGCGGACCAGCATTGAACTTGTCGGTCGCAGAGCGGAAGAGCTCCTGTTGTTGACGGATGAGCTCCTCCTCGGTCATGCCGCTCTGCTCGATCTTTGTCTGTTTCTTCTCTCGGTTCTGTAAAACACCCATCAGCAAACATTCCTACCACCACCAAGCCACATTGGCTTTGGCAACAAAGGCGAAGATTAAATATAAGCTGCAGAAGGAAAAAGGGGAAACGTACGGCCTGTTGTTTCTTATAATCGGCAGCAACCTCGAGGATCGCAGGAACATAGTCGCTGAAATCCAGCTCCTCCAGCGCAGCCTTGACGTGCTCGCACGCTATCGTCTTCTTGGCCTCCTTCTCCGCGATCTCATTCGCCTCGGACGATATGAGCGTAATGAACTCGACGCAGCACTCGATCAGAAGGTCGCGCGTGTCCTTCGCAAAGGACATTCCAGGGTCATTGGCAAGGATCTCGCTCACGATCTTGTGCACCGTCGCTGTAGGTTTGTTTGTTAGCTTCCTTGAAAGAAAATCTCAATCATTTGTATGGATAAGATCGGGCGTCGGGCGGTAGGGTCCGAGGGGAGGCATTCGCATGCGCGGCGCGCGCGAAGAAATGGGAGCTTTGAGCTTTGGGAGGGCGACGTACCTTTTGGGAGGGAGAGATCATCGTTCCCGCCGAACTCGCGATCAGACATGGTGGGCCGCGGTGGGGGTGGAGGGAGTAATTGTGGTTTCTTAGGTCCGCGGGCGCAGAGGATATAGGTGGTTATCCGGTTCTTGTAGAATTGGGTGAACAAAAAAGTTGTGACGACAACGCGCGAACACGCCCCGCGGGTTCGATGTAGCTATGTTTAAAGTATTTGGGTACGAAGATCTTGGCGGGTCGGCGGAACTATTGACCGTGGTTTGTTGTTCTGGGGAACTTCAATAGTCCTGCCGGGATAGTATGGAGTAGGAAAAGACAAGGAACTGGGACTGAAGTTGAAAGGAATCGGTATTGTTCATATAATTCAAGGGTTTGGCAATGTCACTGGCTCAAAGATGGTAGGAATCAGTGAGCGCTGACGGTTGTCGACCTAGGCAACAACCTGACAACATTAGAGCCATTGGTGAACTGCCATGGGAGCGTCTGCAATGATCTGGACGATGATTTGATATCGGCCATGTCGTCAGCTTTTATTTATAAGCTCGATCTTCTTGAAAAAATATCTCGAGAAACTCGGACACATTTCTCCATGATTCCAGAACCAAGTCCGAATAGTTACGTCGTCCACCTAACCACGCTTTTGAGGAAACTCCCAAAAGCACTTTCTCTTCATACTTGCAAATCATATATCGTTCTCTTATATGAGTGAAGAACAGCCGTTAAAGAGTTCTGCTAGAGGCAGAGATTTGGAACGTATTTGTCGTCTTCGAGGATCTGTGTGGTGTGAGTTGATGGAAACTTTGATATGTCTAATTGATAATGCCCTTCAGACTACCGAATGGACTTCAGTCCTGCTATACCTACAGTACCATCTCTTCATGTATATGTACATTTATTTTCCCTTTCCCCATGAACACACAACCAAACGCCGCGGTAAACCGAACACCCTGTCACATGTCATATGTCACCTCCATCCCCATCCCGACCTCCACCCACCTACCAACCTACCTCCCTCGTATATTGTACCCTCCCTCCACTGGACGCCGCAATACCGTGGCCTATGCAGCGTGGGGTTCACCAACCTGCAGTGCGCATCAAAAAGCCGCATCGCTATTTAGTATCTTTCTGCATACATTGGCATTTCCGGCCGGGATTATCGGGCCCACTTCCATGGGCTTTTTGAGTTGCTTAGCTCTCATTTACCTGCCCCTGCACCCATGGACTTGCAGTTATCATCAGAAGTTGCGGGAGGAAGGTAGTTGGCGGATGGAGGGGGTGAAGATCGACGAGGATTGATATGGCTTCAAGAGGTAGATAAGAGCACATGTATAGGAAGGAAGAACTGTACACGTTGTCCGTTTACGGCGACTGTATTCCTGGACGTTGGGGTTTGTGATGTGATTGGCTCGGTATGTTTTCTATGTAAAGAGCTCAAGAGTCGGTCGGACTAGTTGCTGTACAAGTAGATGTTCTAATTAATCACATCACTACCATCTTAACTAATAACTGTACATGTGGATGAGATTCGAGCATGGGAGGTGTAAGTGGGGTGTAAACACCCAAGCCGTGGACTCCAAAGCTACATTTACGAGTTGAGTGTAAGTGTAATTACTTGTAGCGTGTTGTTGAGAACGCCTGGCGCGGTAAACGTGGAACCCTTGAGCTCCCTACATCTCGATATCTCGACATCTGTGGTTGGATGTCTGAGGCCCAGTTGTAATTAATGTTTAATAGTATCTAGTAGTATGTCAGATGGAAGGATTGGCAGAGAAGAATGGGAGCACCCGTTCTGTTCCGCACAGATGGAAGCGCCGACCGCCGCCAAATGACGGCATAGCGAGGGAGTGGATACGGTAGACGTCACCGGGCAGATGGGGGACCCAGTATTTAGTTAGTTTGGGTGACTTGTGCCGGGGCGTGGGAAGATGGGATGTGACTTGGCGGGTTATGCAGCGATGCAACGATGCAGGAGCATTATTGCAGGTAGGTTTACCGTTTAAGATGGTGATGTTGGTTTGGGTTTCTTTCTTGCGGGATTGGTTGGTTGTTAGTCGTTGATTGTTGGAGGCTTTGGATGTTGTGAAGAGAGGATGTTGATTGACCTTATGATTGATACTTGATCGAAGAACATACTGTAGTGAGATCTAAGTGACTGCAGGGACTAATAAGGGGACTCTGATCATGTATCCAGGGACTGTACTACAACTCTATGAGCATCTAGTTCGGTGTCAAGGGAGGCGTGGGAGGGTCCTCGACGACAGACCATGGCAGATGACGAGACAGCGGTGTGCCCGATGGGGAATGGCCCGATGGGGAATGAAGAACGAGCTAGGACCTTGCACGCCATGCTCCAACTACCCTACCACTACCACCACTTGTAGTAACTAATTAATTATGTTTTTCGAATGTTTCGGATGGGGATCTATCTCAGGATGCTGTCCAGTGATTTGTAGGAAATGGGGCATTCGCTCGGGGATTCACGACTCAACAAACTCGGGGGCATCCGACTAGTTTACTCATTATGGCCGTAAATCTTTGACCCTTTCCTGTCTTTCAAACACCGTAGATACCGATCGGTCAAATCAGCATTCGCCGTGGGAGGTTTCAAGTGAATGTTAAGCAGTCTACGTTTGAGCTGGGATAGGCGTAGTTGGAAGTTGGACGAATGGTAATGAGACAGGCAACAGGACGGTAAGAGTGCAGGCAGAGGCAGAGAGGCGTATATGGAAATAACGCCCTGGTGTTACTCACGGACAAGTAAAGAACCAACCATTACCGCGCCCTACCACCGAGTTAGTAGCCAATATCTAGCATCTAGTATCTCGGTAGTATCTACAGCTCCGTTCTGCTGCATCTCCACCATCATCATCATCATCGCTTCCGATTCTCCAGTAAAACCTCGTAAACGCCCCCTTCCTACGAGATAGCCTCGCCTGGGTTTACGGACCAGCTAGCCAGTCAGCGTGAGATGGGACGAGAGGAGGCAAACTCCTTCCCAGCTGAGATTTCGCCATCATTCGCCCTTTTTGGATTATTTTGATTCGATCAGGGCTGAAACAAACATACCTACTGCCTCCACTACTACTACATATCGTATACGCTGGACAGTTCCAACGTGGCGACGTCGAGGACGACTGGAAGATCCGTCTATCTACCAACGTTGGCAAAGATAAGATAGAAGCGGAAGGGTGTCATCCCGTTGTACCCATCCATACTCTTTGTACCTACGGTACACAGTACATGTGTCCCGTATACCGTACCATAGACATACCTACTGCGGCACTCTCTTCCGTAGGGCGGAACATTCCTCCTACCACACAAGGGACATAAGTTTTCCCAATAGGAGCAGCGGCGCATCCACTCGCATTCCCATTCCCGTTTCTCGATACCACCATCCCGTGCGTGCCATCCTATCCCAACTCAGTGCCATCCTAGGGTTTCACCGGTACCGAACCGAACGAAGAAGACTAACTCGTTGGTTACTGGACCGAACGGAGTGGACTAATTACTTCTGGAGCAAGTGGAACGAGGGAACGACACAGACAAAGGTAACTAATCTTACCGTGGAAAGGGAAAGGGAAAGGGAAGGGGAAAATAATTGGGTACAGTTACCTTTTTACTTTGCCAGCCATTTTCCTCTTTTCTTGCTCTTCTCATTGGGAGATTGTCGGTGGAGAACGAAAGGACCCTGTCGCTCACCGCCGTACCGCCGCCTATCGCCGCCGCCCAAAAGAGAAATCGTCGAAAAATTCTCGGGCGGATTTTCTTTTCTGGTTCTACTCTACTCTATCCATCTCATCTCAACTCAACTCCTACTCTATTATCCCAAGGCGCAATATCTATTCTGCCTACTCGTACTACTCTACGGATCACTCTTCTGCTTTACCGGTACTCGTACTCGCACTTTTGCCTTGCCTTACTCTACGTACCGCCTCGCCCGTCTTGCCCGCCTTGCCCGGCTTACCCTGCGTTACCTTAATTATAGGTCGCAAGACTGGTCGGAACGAAGAATAATAAGAAGGGCATACATATTATTTACTCTACGTTTCTCTGCCAATAAATCCTTACCGGTAGTCATCAAACCGGAACGGCAGGGCGCACGAGTAATTAATATTAAACCTGGCTTGAAAGGTCGAGTTTCGGGTTCTTGTTCCTATGGTCCAAATCCCAACTGCCTGTACTTTCTATACTCTCTACTCTGCTTCAACTCTACTCTCTACTGTACCTAATCTGCCTACCAACCTATCTACCCACATATCATTCGTAGATACTGGATAGGACGGGTGGATTGCAGGACATACCATACCCATACCCGATCCACGATTCCAACGTTGCATACTGCACTAGGGATACTGGGTACCTAGGTATACATAGTAGGTGTACTAGGGATACTAGAGTTACTAGAGATTAAGGTGTACATGGTATAGGTATTTAGGGATATACTAGGGAGGGCCAGCAAATTTTCCATCCACTTTGGCCAGCCTCCATTCGGCATCGCGCATGTTGGTTTGACACTTCTGAACGAGCCAGCGAAGCATTTCAGGGAGGTCGTCTTTGGTATTGATTGGGAAGTATACATATTATGACGCCAGTACTCCCTGATCCTGTACGGGATCAAGCACCAGCAGCAACTCTGGCGCCATTATCATCTTCGCCTTCACCGTCACCTTCACCAACATCTTCAACTTCACTATTGACAGCAGCACTTGCGCCAGCGCCAACACATATACAAGCATCAGCGCCGGCGCCAGCTCGAGGTCAAAGTCAAGGTCAAGGTCAAGGTCGAAGTAAAGGACAAGGCCAAATTCAGGATCGGGATCAGGGTCAAGATCAAGGTCAAGGTCAATTCGAGGCTCTTTCTCGGCCGGCATCGTCCCCAGTTGTCTCTACTACTAGTACAAGCACTCCTCGTACTATTACTTGTACTGCTGCTGCTGCTGCTGCTGCTGCTGCCACTACTTCCTCTCCTCCAATACCATCATCGTCATCATCGATCAACACCGCTACTCCTGAGGTCGGCGTTACTTTGAGTAGTACTACTGATTCATCAGATAATACTCTTCGACTTCGCCCTCAGGTGCTTCATCATCCGCCTCACCGCAGCGAACAGACCAACAACCAGGCACCTGACGCAATACCTACCCATTCCATCTCTACCACCACCACTACTACCTCTCCCAATACCAGTGTTACCACCGCGCCTGACCCACGGATCCAGCATAATCACCTGCACCACAATCATCCCCAGCAGTTCTCTTCTCATAAAAAGAATTCGAAGTCCTGCAACTACTCTTACATTAACAACCCCACCGCCTTCACCAATACCTTTAGCAGCATCTTCAAACCTTCGCAGTCGACCACTCATGCGAATCGACCGAAGCTAGCTCGCGCCTCAGACTCATCTCCGCCAACGCGACCCCGCTGTCGGTCACTACTTCTCTCTTCCACCAAGTCTTCGAGTGCGGTACCGACGCTGTCAACCACCTCTACGACTACTCCATCCACCTCAACCACCACTACTACTACTACTCCATCTACTGCTACTACGGCGACTGCAACTCCTGCAACTCCCGCAGCCTTCCTCTCTTCCACTTCTACATCCTCATCGCAGCGTCTTCTTCCAACCTACTGGCTGTATCCATCAACGTCGTCATCATCAGCATCCTCCAAAATGACTGCCACCGGTGGCGTTAACACCACTGCTGCAGACCTGCTGCGCCAGGCCATTACGCAGAGGTAAGTCAGCTTTTCCATTTCATCATCAGCATCATCACACTTCACACTCGTATCCATCATCGTCACCATCATCATTATTTGCCCTCCACATCCGCCTGCATGCATGGTTGGCCCACCGCCCTCGTCGTATGCGAGCTGGCCTAGGATGGGATGAAATTGGGGATGAGATGAGATGAGATGGGATAGGATAGGATGGGGACAGGACAGGATGCCGTATCCTGTCCTGTCCTGTCTTGCCCTGTCCTATCTCGTCTTGTCTCGTCCCTGTCCCTCGTCCTTGGTCCTGTCCTCGGTGCCCAAACAGGCATCATTGTCGTGGTCGGGGCTGTCGAGGCTGTCGAGGCTGTCGAGGCCAAACCAAAGAGGCACAAAATGAGATCGATCGCTTAGGTTGCCCTCTCCCGAAGTGGGCAATCATTGTTACACACCATTTTCTTGGAATAGATTTCCCAAGAATCCCCAATCCCGTCACTGGCTTTTTCTCGATACTTGCCTGCCTACCTTTCCTATCCTATCCTATCCTATACCTTTCCCTACCTTATCCTACCTTGCCCTACTTTGTACCCTTCCATCCACCCACCCACCATCCCACCTACACCCACCTCACCTGCCCTACCTTCCCTACCTACCCTACCTACCCACCTCCCTCCCCCCCAGTCGGGTCCACCGCGTCTACATCTCACGCCAGCTTACTACCACTTTCACCATCAAATATCTTTCTTTTCACTTGCTCCCCTTCCCTTCCCCTTCTCCCCTCTACTCTACTCTACACTACTCTACTCTATAAACTTGTCGCAACCTCCCCCTCTCATCTTTTTACTTTTTCACATCCTCCTCCGGCTGGCTCCTCGCCACCTCCTCCTTCTCCTCCGCCGAACCTAATCTTCCCACCACGATGCCGCCATCCGCTAACACATTTCTCTCCCCTCGCAGAGCTCCCGAAGACGATTCTCACGACCACATCGGCTCCAACAGCTCCACACCCCCGGGTGCTGCAACCCCACGACCTGACCCCACGGATAAGCGACTGCCGGGTATTCTTCATAGTTACTTTGGCCAGGTTCGTGATTCTCTAATCCCCAGTCGAAAGTCTTCGGTCAACCCCTCCCCCGCACCTGCCTCTTCCGCTTCTGATTCTGCGTCCGCACCTACCTCCGCTTCCGCCTCCGCCCCCTCCACACCACCAGAGCTGGCTCAGGACGATGCTGCACCAATACCATCAGCACAAGCATCATCGTCATCACCGTCATCAAAGAAAGAGGAGGAAGTAGAGCCAAGCACTAGCACAAACACAAACACAACCTCTCTGCGTTCAAACCCTCTTCCTAGCCCCACTCCCAGTGCATCTTCGCGGCATCCCTCAGCATCGCAATCGCATGGTGAAAACGGGAAGCTAACAGAAGGCGCTTTCGCGCCACCACGAGATCAGGCCACACCCCCGCAGACTCCTCGGACTCGTTCACAAGAAGGCAAGCCACCCACCTCGAACCTGTCGACCACCTCCCTCGCATCCAAGGCAAAAGAATCCAGGACCGGCCCCACCGTCGGCCCGCCCAAGGGCAAGCTCTCGGTTTCCATAACAGAAGGACGCGGCCTGCGTCCAAGCATCGATCCCTATGTAGTGTGCCAATTCCAGTGGGCAGAGTACATCTCTGATGGTCCCCGAAACGACTCAAAGAAGAGTGCCCCCGGACGGGGTCCAGGAGGCATGAACATCAAGCGTACGGAGAGTGAGATGGGCAAGCCGATGGCGATCCCCATGAGGAGCAGGCAGAGCAGCAACAGCGGCACAAGCTCCGACCCAAGAGAGAACAGCCCTTTCAAGGAGGTCACCAATCCCACGTGGGAGCATGACGCTATCTTGTACGGATACTAACCACCTGCTGATGCTTGAATCTTGATGCTGACTTAAATGTAGTGATGTTGTCGGAGACCACTCGGAGATCGACATCTCGGTCTACGATCGCTCCAGCGGCGAGGCCTTCCTAGGCCATGTCCGGTTCTGCCCTAACCTCGTCGAATACGAGAAACCCTGGGATGGTTGGTTTACTTTGGAGGCCCGCGACGGAGAGGCGGATCAGGTCGTTGCCGGCGAGATCCACCTGAAGATCAACTTCCACAAGACGGACAAGAAGCAGTACGGCCCGGAGGATTTCGAAATCCTGAAGCTCATCGGAAAGGGTACCTTTGGTCAGGTCTTCCAGGTCCGCAAGCGGGACACACGCAGGATCTACGCCATGAAGGTTCTGTCGAAGAAGGTCATTGTGCAGAAGAAGGAAGTCGCTCACACGCTCGGTGAGCGCAACATCCTTGTGCGAACAGCGATGGCCGACTCGCCGTTCATCGTCGGACTCAAATTCTCGTTCCAAACACCCACGGATCTCTACTTGGTCACTGACTACATGTCTGGCGGTGAGCTCTTCTGGCACCTTCAGAGGGAAGGCCGCTTCCAGGAAGCTCGAGCGAAGTTCTACATTGCCGAGCTCATCCTCGCCCTCCAACATCTCCACGACCACAACATTGTGTACCGTGACCTGAAGCCAGAGAACATTCTATTGGACGCCAAGGGCCATATTGCCTTGTGCGATTTCGGACTGTCCAAGGCCAATCTTACCGAGAACGCTACCACAAACACCTTCTGCGGCACAACAGAGTACCTGGCTCCTGAGGTGCTTTTGGATGAGCATGGCTACACCAAGATGGTCGATTTCTGGTCTCTCGGAGTTCTAGTCTTCGAGATGTGCTGCGGCTGGAGCCCGTTCTACGCCGAAGATACCCAGCAAATGTACAAGAACATTGCCTTCGGAAAGGTTCGATTCCCTCGTGATGCATTGAGCACCGAGGGCCGCAACTTCGTCAAGGGACTCCTCAACCGAAACCCCAAGCACCGACTCGGCGCTACCAGGGACGCCGAAGAGCTCAAGGCCCACCCGTTCTTCGCAGATATCGATTGGGATGCTTTGGCCAAGAAGAACGTCGTCCCACCGTTCAAGCCCAAATTGAAGTCTGAGCTCGATGTTTCCAACTTCGACCCCGAGTTCACCAATGCTTTGAACGGAAACGGTTCTCTCAATGCCCGGGCGGCAGCTCTTGCTTCGGGCGTCAACCCAGCTTCGACCCCACTCTCGCCCACGATGCAGGCCAATTTTGCCGGCTTCACTTTCGTTGACGAGAGCACAATTGAGCAGCAATTCAGGCATCGCGACGATCTCGAGCGGATGGACGAGGACGAGAAAGAGGAGGAGCCCGATTGGGACAGGCCTGCTGGGCGGGGAGATCGCATGAGCGGCGTTATCCCCAGTCACGATCACGACATATTTAACCATGGCAATTTCGACGTTTGAGCGACGTCCGGCATTGTGCATTGGTTCGCATTCCGTTCCATTCTTCCAGTTTTGCTGTGCATTCCTGTATTCACAGACTTCTTTCGGCTTAACAAAAGTGCTTTGACATCTTCTTGGTACGAGTCTCACGAGTGAGTGGTTGGTCAGGTCACGACGGGAACTTCCTATCTTTCCTTTTCGGACGCTTCCGAGGGGCGGTGGTCGTACTCCTTTGCATGTTTTATGGATACCCTACGCTTTCCAGCGACACGGAGGCTCTAAATTGTGCTAAGACCTCTTCGCTGACATCATCATCACCATCATGCCCAATAACCGAGGGCTTTGATTGCTTTTTCTCGAATCACCGTTCGTTACGTACATGGAATTTATGGGTCGCTGATCTGGGTGGGAGTTACCTGGTGGACACTAACTGGACTGGGCACTATGGACTTGATGATGGATATATGGAGATCATGTATTTGGGAGCGAGTTGGGTTTCTGCTCTGCATACAAACGACAGTCGTATATTTTCATCTGGGCATGCTGCGCCACGACTCGGGTCAATGCTCCATGGTGCTGCTGCACAGTAGTGTTCATTCTAAGCCTGCGAACGCTCTTTTCTGGTGCCACCCACGCTCTCGCCTTCCCTTTCGCTACGTCACACGGGATCCTATGGAGTTTATTGCTGGTTTCAATTGTAATTGCATTGCGCGGTCGAGGTCATTTTGGGCATTGGGTTTCCCAAGGGCTTTCGGGGTTTCTGGTTCTTTTCTTTCTTTCGTTCCTCTCTCTATTCCTCCCCGTGCATTGCGTCGACCTATTGAGCATATTCTTCCAATTACGCATTATCAAGTTTACCCTTTATCTCCCGCAATGGAGCTGAGCAGGATGGCTAGTTCCTGTACATGTTGCGGACTGCAGCAACCTTTTAGGCAATGTCAATAACCTGCAATGTTCTGAATATCAGCCAGTTCGACTTGTATACATTTTCAGTGCACCTCAGCTGTTGTGATCCCTGATGTTAGAAATGTTCAGGCGAGGCAATGAGAAGCCATGGAAATGGCATCACGTCAAACGTGGAGAGGACTTGGACGGTGTAGGAATAGCCCCACCAACCATCGAGTCGACCAGTTCGACCTCGGCAAATGGACCCTGGAGCTCCGCTTGAACCTCACCGAGCTTCCAACACCCCCGCAAACGAAGGATGAGCTAACGCGTAAACATAGAATGGTTTATATACATATACCGAGAATTCCCTATTCTTCCCCAGTTTCTTGATATATCAATTGATCTCTGTATTCGCATATTTGACTCTGAACACTACAGAAATATAGTCATATCACATCATATCATTCACAAGAAGCAAAGATGAGCGGCCCCGGTGTAGGATTCGAATACCCAGCCATTCCAGTATCATGGCTTAAGAGGGACGTCCTGCTCTTCGCCGCCAGTATTGGAGCCACTGCAGACGAACTGCACTTCCTCTACGTACGTACCTATCTCTACTCTCCTTCCCTTCCTTTCCCTTCCCCGCAAGCATCGTCGTTCAATAACCGCTCAAAACTGACATCACCCTAGGAACTCCACCCCAACTTCCAAGCCTTCCCAACGTACCCGATCGTCCTCCCCCTCAAGCACAAAGACCTCGACGTAATCGACTTCTACGCGCGCTCCAACGCGATCCCGATCCCAGGCGCGCCCAAACTCACCACAAAGGGCGTGCTCGACGGCGAGCGCCTCATCGAGTTCAAGAAGCCCATCCCGACGTCGTCCGAGGGCCGCAACTTCGAGATCAGGAGCAAGGTGCTCGGCGTGTACGACAAGGGGAAACCCGGCACCGTCGTGGAGACGGAGCTCACGCTCGTGGATGCGGATTCCGGCGAGCTGTACACGAGGGCTGTCGGGAGTGGGTTTTACGTTGGTCAAGGGGGGTGGGGTGGGCCGAAGGGTACGTTATAAATTCTTCCTTCTTTTGCTTCGCCTTCTTATCTATTCCCTCTTCACCCTCATATCGATATTGATGTCATCATGCTAACGACTCCAAACAGGACCAAAGACAGTATCCTACCCACCCCCCGCCAACACCCCCCCAACACACACGCACACCCACCAAACCACGCCCGAAACCGCGCTCCTCTACCGCCTAAACTCCGACTACAACCCGCTGCACGCCACCCCCGAACCAGGAACCCGCATGGGCTTCGGCGGCCCCATCATCCACGGCCTCTTCTCGTGGAACATGTCCGCCCACGCGGTGCTCGCGCTCGTCGGCGGCTCGAAGCCCGAGAATATGAGGAGTTTCCAGGCGAGGTTTGCGAACCCGGTCAAGCCTGGGGATAAGTTGGTTACTGATATTTGGGTGCTTGGGGATGCGGAGGGAGAGGGAGAGGGGTGGAAGGAGGTGAGGTTTATAGTGAGGGTGGACGGGGGGAAGGTTGTGTTGAGTAATGGGAGGGCTGTTGTTAGGGTTGAGGGGGTGAAGGGGAAGCTGTAGAGATATAGTTATTCATAAAGAATGATGTGAATAGTTACGTATATGAGAGATGATTTCTGTTGTCATGACTATGGTGGCCGAGAAGGTGGTTTCGTGTGCTGTTGTGATGTGAGTGAGGAGTGTAATGGACATAGATATGGTATGGTATATCAATAATGGGGTGGGTGTTTCGCACGAAAATGAACGAAAATGAACATAGCGATTCATGATAGAAACGAAACCCAACAGAGTAGATATAAGTAGATGATCACCATCACCAAAACCCAATGACACTCACCATCACCATCACCACCACCCCATACCCCTTCCATGACCCTCCAAACGCACCTCATCCCTCCCTCATGCCATGCATAACTTGTACAGTTTTGACTCCCAGTCCTCCCATCAACCCACCAGTTTGAGTTCTTTTCGTCTTCCCATAAGAAGGTCTGGATTGTTGAAACTTGACTCCCAGTCCTCCCATCAACCCACCAGTTCGAGTTCTTTTCGTCTCCCTCACATGGTGTCTTGAGTGTTGGAATTTGACTCCCGGTTCTCCCATCAACCCACCAGTTCGAGTTTTTTTCGTCTTCCCATTACATTGTTTAATTCCGCCTGTGAAATACCGTCACAGAAGAGGGAAGAGTGTCCGGACGTAAAGCGGGGCTTTCGAAGCACTTCCGCCATGGAGCCTGAAATTGCGAGCTTTTGAACGGGCGAGCGGCACGACACGGCACGACACGGCACGACGCCATAGCTATACTTGTATGCGTCTGTCGGAGGAGGTTGGGTTGAAATAGGGAGAAGTCTCGCTCGGAAAGGCAACATGTGGGTAATATATGGTAGTTGTGATTTTCGAAACATGGCAAGGGGGGCAAGACAGGACATGACAAGACGGACATGCGTTGTCTTGATAATTATTTTGGACCAGCGAGGCACGACAATATGGTCTTCGGTGAAGTGTTTGTTGGCGAGACTGGGTTGGAATAGGGAGAAGAGTCGCGAGTAGAGGGGGCATTCGAAGCACCTTCCGACATGTGATAGCGAAGATGTGAGGTTTGAAGCAAGGCGGCACAACACCATTTTATTGTTGTCATGATTCTGTTGGTCAGACTGCGCAGAAACAGGGAGAAGAGTCGCGAGTAGAGGGGGTATTTGAAGCACCTTCCAACATACGAGGATATGTTGCGCACTTTTTTTTGTTTCTCAGAGCGGTACAACACCATGTGATGCGGCATTGGTGATGTCAAGTTCCCATATCTTCTGCCAGTGACGGGTTCCAGGACATTTAAGAGATGGTAATCGGAAGACGGCTTGAAGGGAAAGGCGACCATGCGAAACACTTTCCCGCATATGAAAGTTGAAGCTTTGGGTTTTTGAACGAGCGAGACACGACAAGACAAGACAAGACACCATGTCATGATGGTCTTTCCTGTGATAGTATGTGCGAGTCGTTGAGTTTCGTGTTTCTTTTACTTGCGGTGTCTCCAGGACATAGAGAAGCTGCTCACACTCTTCTTCCCATCGTCAGGTTCCTTTTTGTGTTCTAGTATTGCCACGGAAGCAGGAAGAAGGAGAGGGCTTGAATGGAAAGGCGGCATTCGAAGCACCTTCCAACATACGATTAGCGATCACGTCCTTTTCTTTTTTGTTTTCTCAGAGCGGCACGACACCATGTGACTGATCTATAGTGGCTTCAAGTTCCTATATCTTCTGCTGTGATGTCTCCAGGACATAGAGGAACTGCTCACACTCTTCTTCTCATGACCATGGTGCGTATCTCATTCTAATATTGCCACGGAAGCAGATAGAAGAAGAGCGCTCGAACGGAAAGGCAGCATTCGAAGGCCCTTTCATCATATAAATGTTGAAGGTTTGGTTTTCGAAGCAGGGCAGCATAACAAGACTGTGCACCATTGTATTCTAGTGACAGGTCTATTAGCGAGATTAAGATTTGATGGCTTTGACTTGTGGTGTCTCCAGGACATGAAAAGCAAAACTGAATCCTTCTTCCCATGGTCCGGTTCGCTTTATGTTCTAATATTGCCACGGAATCTGGAAGAAGGAGAGCGCTCGAACGGAAACATTCGAAGCACCTTCAGACATTTCAGTTGTGAAGATTTTGTTTTTTGAACGGGCGAGGCACGACAAGACACCATAATCCAATGGTCCCAAATTTTTGGTGGGATTTCGGAGCTGGTGTGATGTTTTTAAGGGCGAAGGGGCTGCTCGCTTACCATCATACCTGCAAGAGTACTTTCTTTTTGGGGTTGAGACAGGAGAAGGAGAGGGCTCGCACGGAAGCATTCGAAGCACTTCCTACATGTATTCGGATGTGTGGTTTTTCAAACGGGCGAGGCACGACACCATGAATCTAGGAGATCGTGTTCTTAGGATGCGAACAAAGGCACTCACTCGCCACCATGCATTCCGGAGTGAACATGTTTTCGAGATTGAGACGGCGGAGAGGGCTCGAACGGAGGGAACGCAGCATTTAACGGATGTGTGCGGCATTTCAACTGTGGAGTAAAGCTTTTTGTCGACCGTCTGACTTGTCCCTTTGCTCGTGGCGCGCGTGAGGGTCATTACACAAGAGCAGCCATTTTTTCTCTGGTGGCATGGCATTAGGACATAACAGCCTTTTCGGAACCAGCGAGGCAAAAACATCATGTGAGAAATTTAACATTGCTTTGTTGGTTAGGTTTGGATTTGTTGTTCTCTCCCTTGCATTGTAGTGGTGGTTTTGGGATGTGAACAAGGTCGCTCACTCCTCATCCGCCTTTCTAAATTGAAGTTGTTTTCGAGATTGAGACGGAAGAGGGAGGAGGGAGAAGTCTCGAACAGAGGGCATAGCCAGAAGTTCTCGTACACTTTGGACATTGGCGTAGTATTACTCTCTTTTTCGAACCAGCGCGGGACAGACGACATGTCGACATAGGCAATGCTGGTTGTACGATTTCGAGCATGTGGGGTTACTAAGGAAATGAATGAGTTTGTCACAGTCTTCTTCCCATGTCTACGAAGTATTCGTATTTCTAATACTGCCACCGAGTCAAGGGGAGATCTCGCTCGGAGGGAATGTTTGAAGTATTTGAGCCAATTTTGGACATTGGCGTAGACAAGACTGAATTTTGAACCAGTGCCGCACGACGACATACCAGTGCACGAAGAGGTTGTTGTAAGATGTTGAGCTTGTGATTGTTTCGGGACATAGGGGGGCTGCTTGTGGTCTTCGTCCCATACCCAGGGTATAGTATGTTTTCTGATGTTGCTATAGAAGAGGGAGAGGGCTCGAACGGGGGGCATGGTTGGGAGAACTTGGATAATTTTGGACATCGGTCTATCTGAAGCTGCATTTTTGAACCAGGACCGCACGACAACACATGAAAGCACGAAACACACATTTTGAAGATGTTGAGCCTGTGGTGTTTTTGAGATGCGAACAAGGTCGCTTACTCGCCATGGCAGAGTTACATATTAGTGTGATTCCCGTTCTCGTCATAGAAGAAGACATATCTCGATCGGACGGAACGCAGCATTCGAAGCACTTCGTACATGTAAATGGAGGATCGGCCTCTTTGAACCAGCGCGGCGCAACACTTCCGGACATTCGATTACTCTAGCTTGAACTTTTTGGTTGCTTTGCTTTGCAGCACGACACGACACGACATGTGAAGGTTAAACTCGTGAATATTTTACTTGTGGTGGCGGCTTTGAGATGTGGATGAGTCGCTCACGGCCTTCTTCCCATAAGCCACGAGGTTAGTTTCTTTGTTAGGAAGTGTTGCTGAAGAGGGAGCAGCTCGAACGGAGGGCATAGCCGGCAGTACTCTCTCAATTTTGGACATATGACTTGGATAGGTCGTCTTTTCGAAGCAGCAGCACGCGAACACTGCGGACATTCAATCACTCTAGCTTGGACTTTTGTTTTTGCTTTGCTTTGCTTTCCAGCACCAACACGACATCATGAGAACCATACTCTATGATCAACATCTTCCATAGTAGGGGTGCGTTGTGTTGTCGTAGCTAGATGTGAATGTGTCGCTCACGGTCTTCTTCCCATAGACAGAATTTTGGTAGCTTTAGAATTATTCCTGAAGAGAGATGAGGGCTCAGACAGAGGACATCGCAAACAAGCGAAAAATTCGGACATGACAACTCGCCGACCGTTTATTGTTAGGCCAGCGAGACACAACACCATATGTATGTACACAGCAAGTACATGTTTCGAATATGTCGAGCTTGTGGTACTTTTTGGACATGAACGAGTCCCCACTTTCCATTCTATCTCTTTCCGAAGCTCGTTGTGGTTTCTGAGATTGTGTCTAAAGAGGGAGAGGGCTCGGAGAGGACATGTCGTAAGCTGTACAGCTATTTCGGACTTGTATTTAACATTGCGAAACCTTTCCCTCTCTTTACAGCGCAGGATGCAACTATACGCTTTTACACAGTACATATTGCAGGATGCTTAAATTGTGATTTTTCCAGGACGCGAACGATTCTCCACATCGCAGTGTCTTTTCCGCGTCTGCGGGATTGTTGCTAAAGAAAGAGAGGGCTCGAACAGAAGGCATGTCCTAAGCCGTTTTATCATTTTAGACATGTGCGACAGCATGTGAATGTTAGCGCGGCACGATACTCCATGTATGCACACAGTCAGTACATGTTTTGAAGATGTCGAGCTCGTGATGTGTTTCATGACATGAACAATTCTTGCCATTGCGGTGGCTTAACCGCGTCTCCAAGACCATTGCAGTTTTCTGCCGAAGCTCGCAAAGCGGCATGCATATAGATTTTGGACATCAAATTTGACGAATGATGCTTTTCAAACCATCGGAGAAAGATGCCAAAGGGGAAAGGGTCGAGACATTTTTGTCGCTGAAGATCAGTTTCGATATTTTTTGCCTTGCGACGTTTTAGGGGGCGAACGAGTCGCTTGTTCTCCATGGGGAGTAGATGTAGACTATTCTCGAAAACAGGAATTACTCGCTCGGACGCGACATTCGAAGCATTCGAGTCATCAGTTGGACACTCATGGTCTGGTATTTTGTGTGCTTAAAAACCGAACCACCTGCCTGTATCGAACCACCCGCAGGAAAGGAAACATTTGCACCATCTCTGTAGTGTTGAAGGTTGATGGAGACATATTCGTTTCGTGACTGACGATGTGCCGTTTCTCAGGGACCAAGATGTATTTTTTGTGTCCTATTGGAAGAACTCATAGGGTTTGTCTTTCGTCTTTTTCGATCGGGTGTATTGTTTATCGACGCGGCACAGCACCATAGATTGTCGGACATATGGAATCTCCCCCCACCAAAAAAGGCCACTGACCACATGGCTCATCCCAAGAATTTTTTTTTCGGGCGGGAAAGATCCAGAGACCATGAAGACGTCGAATTGAGGTTTGAGGGTGTGCTCCACGATAGACACTCAATTCATTACGTTGACTGTTCTAAATGATCGGAAACATTCGATCGAGGCGCGAACATTTTTACATATCATTAGAACGTGATTGACATTATGTTTTCCAGATCCAACATTTGGTTGGTTGATTGCGAGGTTCCAGACATACATAAAGCCCTTGCTCTAAGTTTTTGGATCGACTCAATGTTGTCGTTGATTGCAGCTTTCCAATCAACACGTACACCAGCTTGATAATATTTGAGGAGTCTAGGTTGAGGAAAAGGACGGTTTCCATGTGGGCGTTTGGGCGTAATTGTTTGTTCATCACTCGGTCCAGCGGTGCTTTTGATGCTGGTAGGGTTTTTGGTCAACATGTATACGAGCTGAGTCGCAACTTGAATTTCTGGGTTAAGAAGGCAGAGCAGGAGGGACATGCAGCACTCATGATTTGTTTCTTTCATGATCTGTTCTTCAACATTTTACACGCGTGCCAGTACTTCAAAGCCCTTGTCTCTGGACTATGTCTAGGGACGCAAAGGGCCGCGGCACAATCCTGACCGATCATATGTCTGTTGTCTCCACGCATCTATCCATTGTTTGAATGCTTTGTCGGATTTTCAGAATCGATCATAAAAGACGCCTAAGTCGGTTCTACAATAGATTCGGAGACACAAGGAACCGCAGCACATCCTTGTATATTGTTGTAGATGTTTGTTTCTTGTCTCCCTACGGATTGCTGGCTGTTCCTGTGGCTTAGAGCGCAAGGATAGGAATATCAATATGTGATTTCTGGTACATGTACGGGGCGAAACAGGCGGCAGCACATTGTTGTATGTTGGTGTTGCTGTTCCTTTCTTGTCTCCGCACTTCGTTCGGGCCATTTGATGGCTTGCGAGATTTTCGAATTGAACATGACGAAGATCGGATTGTCTTTTCATATTTGTGTGGTCGTCTCCCAGACATTGAAATGCGTCGCAGCTGTTGCAAAGTACCATTGCTCTTGAAGTCATCATTTGTTTGGATAGGATCTTGAATCAGAAGAGTTCATAGGGTCGATTCAGGGTGTATTCATCTGGCAGTCCGCACATGGGTCTCACACCGAGTGAATCTGTCATGAGATATCTCGCGTTTTGGCCGAGACAGGCCATTCCGGTATAGACTCAATGAAAAATGGACCCCAGAGCGCTCTTGTGATGCATTGAACAGGCTTCATTTTCCCCATGTAACTAGTATCTTGTGGATTTGTCTTAGGTTTTGCTGAATGGATGCGAATTCGCATTCGCTTTTTTGAGCTCTTTCGATCTCAGCTCCTTTTGCCCATGCCCAGTGTGTGTTTCTTCTTATTTCAAAGCTCATTCTTCTACCGCAACATCGATCCCTCATTTGCCTGGCAATTGTCCCATGGAACTGAGATCCGCGTCTTTTCGGTGCTGTGATATCGATAGCACCTGTCAAAGGAGAATAGAGCTACTTGTCTCCTGTTGCGGTGTCCATGTCATTATGTGCTAGATCTCGCCCGCAACAACAATCTCATTGAAAGATGAGATCTCTAATTGAGTTGTACTTTGCGTAGCTTGTAATCTTTTCTCAGTCCGGTTTAAGACACAATATCCATGGTGTAACGAGACTGTTTGTACTTTTAGAGGCCACACCACTCATTGAGTAGTATTTGTTTCGTTTCATAAGCCACATTTACGAGCCTCAGACATTATTTAGACCACAGTCAGGCGATTCACCATGTCCTGGAATGGAGTTCCTCTAGTTCTTGCACAACGTCATCTGCACACATTCAAGAGCGCCGTCAATCTGTTTTCTAGAGCCAACACTCCACATAGTCTCGAATCGCATGATGATTTTCTCATAGCAATTCTGGCAGTCCCATATGATGCTGTGTACAGGTTTCGAAGACCTATCTGGCAGTTTCCGACATGGCGTCGGATGCTATCTATGATTCCATAGGACGAAATTACCATCAAGGATTTGTTTCATAGGTCTTGTCGTGTCATTATCAGTGTCAGAAGGCAGGGCTTCCGACGGTCATAAGGAGCTAGGATTGAAACCGAACATATCACCATCATTGCGGACATTTTCTCTTTTCGAAGAGAGAAAAGGTTTAGTTCCGGTATATACATATTCGGAGATCTCTTGCTTAACGACCCTACAAGGAGAGTGGCGCCCAGAAGCCGAAAAAGGGTCCTGCAGATTTTACAGGGCGTCAAAGGCATGTAGAATAGCTATCTCAAGCTGCGGAGGTGACATCGTTGAGTGGAATAGTTGGATGTAGGCATCGTGATGACTACAGCGAACATATGTTCACGTCTCTGGACTTTCTATTGAAAGATAAGTAAACATACGAGACATTTGCCTTTCCTTGGCTGATTTATCGTAAGAGGCCCCAAAGTATCGGTTTATATCGCCATGAATAATTTAGTTGTTGTAGAAACTTGGGAGCCGGAGCAGACCATGGCGGTCTATTGGACTTGGTTGGAATGAGGGGCAGTCTTTGGTCCATATTGTAGCAGATTTGTGTGAGTTATATCGCCAATAAACACAGAGGGACAGCAATAGCGTTTTTCTTGGTGTCAGGTCAAAAACTCTTGAAGATCTTCTCGGAAAATGATTTGGTATGTCCTAGCTGTTCGCAGCTACTGCGAAGGAAACGACATATGGTACCTTGGCCACGAGATAGAGACGGAGCCTCATGAAGTAGCTTGACAGTGTACTGACCATGCCCAAGACGAGACATGGCATCTGTGTGCTTTAAATGTCTGTTATAACATGGCCTTTGAACAATTCTTTCCCGGACAGAGTAAAAATGATAGACACAACCCAGAGCATGCACTCAGTCTAAAGGCATAGTTTCATAACCATGATGTTGAAATCCAAACCCTTGATCAAGGCGAACTTAGTCGTTTCCTTAAACCTTGTTGTCGCCGAGCTGCCTCCACCGCTCTCATTTAGAAACGCCATATGAGCTTGAATCAGTCGAGCCTCGGACCGGATACGTTATGTGTTGGATGCCAAACTGATTCGCGAGCATTCCTTTGAACATCATCATAAAATAGTTTCTGCCAGAAATGTTGCCGCGTCGTGAGCATGTCCAAGAGAGACCGGGCAGATGATAGATTATGACATGTACCTCGTGAAGTGGTATTTTCGTCATAGGAAGCGGACGCAGCATTTCCCAGGAGGGTATCGTATTGATCATCAAGAACTTAGATAGTGTGTAGTGTTTCTCCTCTCCTTGCAAAGAATCAGGCGTCGTCTCGCTCATATAACTCTTTCAGGTTGAATATTGATGAGCTTCGGACACATGCTACGAGAGAACCTCCAGTTTCTCCATGTTGCACATTTTCAAAATCTTTATCGTCTGCGTCATCTGCATGTTTTTCGGGACCACCAACATTCAAGACACTGTCGTTGTATTCAAATATCTCCAACATGTTTGATTTGATTGATACCTTCGAGTTCACTAACATTCGGTGCTCACCAAGGTCTCCGAGATCGCCGACATTCGTCATGTTAAAGATGTATGAGCCTAGAAAGAAGCCCCCCATCTCCACGCATGAACATCATGGATACCACGAGGCTCGAGTCTCTGCACGTTCTTTTGCCTTTCGTATTTCTTCTCTGGTTCCATGGTTCTTCCTGAAAGCCATAGGCGGCCTTTTCCGCGATTTCCAAGAACGATCTCATCGATCGTTCAAATTTCTCATTTGAAAGCAGATCCATGCAATTCCGGAAGCGATTCATTTGAAAGGACCAGGAGGCGGCCCGGCCACATCGAAAAAAATATGTTGTCTTTTTCTGATAGCTTGTTCTGCAATTTCCAAAAACCTCCTGATAACTCTCGCCGACGAGAAACAGTCATTATGCGACTTGACATCTGAGTGTAGAACATGGCGTCACCGAAGTTGAATATGTGAAACGGAGCACAGCGCGAACCAAGCGCATAGGAATCAGGCATGTTTGTTTTTGTCAGTGCATTCCTTTTCCGGGCTTCATATTGAAGATGTATGTAGGCTTCCGACCAACCAGCCCCATAGAACGAGATTCTCATCGTTCCAACACCGCATCTTCAAGTTCACATGATATAGTGGTGCCCCATTGTACATGCGATGTATATGTTTCGTCTCGCACATCCACATTCCAAACTCCTCCTCGCTCTTTGTTATCCTTCGCACGGGATTCTCATAATTGCGCCGTTAAGCCATTGTTCCCGACTTCCACCGCACATGTACCTGCGGTATATGTTGTTTTTGAAAGATCCTCTCCCTCTTTCCACATGTAGTATGTGTGACACATGTGTCAATGTGATGTGATGCCATACCACAACCTCCACATTTCTCGTCACTTTCCAGGACTCTCATGAGAGTCACCCCTTCTTCTTTCCTCCCGACTCCCACAGCACATATGGTATGCTTTATGTATCTTCTTTGAAAGGCACTCTCGCTCTCCTTCCACCATTTTGAACGTCCAGTCGAAGGTTGATGTACCTCAACGTTCCGCGGCAGAGCATCGCGAAGTATGTGGTGAATGGCGATACCGGGATCCAATCGAACGCGACATGGACAGGGAAATTTGCCATTTCCAGTGAGTAAACGCGGGTTTCGCACGGCACCACACATGATTCTGTTCAGCTTTGGAATTTCTTGACGAAGAGTCCCGTTGGACTTCTCATTCGAAGGAAACAGTTCAGTTTCTTCCATTGGGTCGAATGGACTGCGTTTTTCCTTCGAGAAAAAGGAAAGGAGGCACGGAGTCCACAAAGACATCGGACAGTCACGAATGTCCTTTTCGTCCGCGAGTCCTCCATGATAGTGAAGTACATCGACTTGGACGCGGATCTGGTCAGGAGGGCGGAAGGGGAGGCACTCCATACAAGAATCTCCTGTCGTCTGTGAAGAACCCCATGGGGTTTCGTTTTGCTTTTTGAACGGACACATATGGCTCCAATTCAATGATTTTTGGTCTCTCTCTCGTCCCTCCATATACGGACATAAAGAGAATTTTGGAAGACCAGCCCATTCATATGGTCAATGTGCTTTTTTTCGACGGCTGTCTTCGCAGTGACTGCGTCGCATCGGAACCCCGGGAAACAAGCCCACATCATAGGGGGTCTTAACGCTTTTTGTTCAGAGCAGTGGCAAATTCTCTCTCCCCATAGTGGAAGGTGTGAGTTTTCGAGAGCGAGAAGACCATACGCAGGGATCTTGGTCGCCTGAGACTTTTGGCATTTCCGAGAGCGAGAGGAACACCATCGAGTGATACTTTGGCTTTTTGTCGGAACATTGGTTTGCCTTGAGATTTTGACATTTCCAACACCGAGAGGAACATATCTTTATCTGTCGGTATTGTTTGCTGGAACATTGCTCCCTTTGAGATTTTGGTCGTTTCCAACACCGAGAGGAACATGCCTCGACAAATCATGGGTTTTTCGTTGGAAAGTTGATATTTTTTGAATGTTGAGTGTGAGGAAAGGAGAGTTGCTCGATGCTCGCCGGGGAGGGTGTTTATATACACCGTCCTCTGGTAGAGTTGAGATGAGACGGGAACGTGCATATGACCGTCTCCGCAAACGCATTCGGTGATTGACGATTGCACTGACGAACGACACACACGTGGCACGTGGGACATGTGGTAAACATTTCACTTTTCAGTTAATTGATGGCACAGTATGTGAAGTGTGATGGATGGATGGGTAATGAACGAATTAAAGTACTCCCCAGGGTACGAGTTCGAAGCTCTTTCGACTCGTTTCCCCCGTGCTAGATGAAATGTGCTATCATGCTCTGTGCAATCTACGAACGCTCAGGGGTGGGGTTCCCATGCGGAATGCTGCTCTACATGCAAGGCTTCTCTCTCTCTTTCGTACAAATGCTGATGCTAAAGACAATAATAGTCTGGAATAAGAAAACACAAAACACTTCCGTAGCCTGGTCCGAATGTTGGACGTGCTCGACAAAAGAAACTCGTATATCATCTCCTAAAGTAGTCTGTCCTTCCGTCTTGTTGTTCGGGGCTGTAGGGGGTATATGTAGCAGGGCTGTGTGAGCCCATCGGCGCTGCCCCGCCCAGTAATCTTCTGTCGTCGCGGATCTGATATGGTTGGCTTGAAGTGCTGTCCATGGTCCTCGTGCCGCGGTCCGGACTTGGGCTGTATTCCCTCAATGCACTTGGCGTCGAGTGGTACCCTGCTGGATACGTGACACCAGTTTCTTCACCACCCATAAGTGCGCGCTCTGAATCTCTCGACTGTGATCGACCGCGGTCCTGTCCGAACATCGACGCTGGTGTGTCGGGTCTTGAAATGCTCGCGGCGTCGCCACCGTGCTCGGCAAATTCTGGTCGGTTCTTGAAGTTCTCATAGTCCATATTATCCTCGGAGACAAACTCGAATGGTCCTGTGGGAGCAGCGACCTTGCCAGGTTGGTCTTTGCTCATGCGTTTCATCGCATATACATCGCTGTATCCTCCGGAGCCTCCGATGTCGCCGTCCAACCGGCCTTTGTAAATCTCGGCCAGTAGGTGTTTGCTCTTTTCGTGGACCATGGGCACAATTAGCTTTTGGTAGAGCGCCGGATTTCCAAAGCGGACAGCAACTCTGTCACGCCTGCGCGCTTCTTTGTCAATGGGTGCAGGTGCTTCTGCTCCCTTGGGGCTTTCGCCCTTGGTGTAGTACCTCATCGAGGCATCAAACGTATGCCTGCAGTAGAGTTTGAAGCCAATGAGTATGACGGCTAGAGGCACCATCGCACCAATCATGTGCCATCTGTAGGGATAATTATCTGTACGAACGTACACCGTCAGTGCGACGATGACGTTGGACAGAAATGATGCCACCAATAAACGATTGAAGAGAACACGCCAGAATTGACCGCCAGATTCGTTTTTAGTGGCGAATACATAACTAAGGTTTGGTCAGCAGATATCTCGAAGAGCAACGGCAACTACTCACAGCAAAAGGTACTTCTTCATGGAGGCGTCGATGGTGAAGTAGACCGCGGTAACTACCAATGTAAGTGGCTGCAAAGTGGCGAAACACAGAGCCACCGTGGAGTAGAACAAGAAGTAATTGTAGTATGAGGCATAATCAAACGGCGGAGGAGCGGTCCTTTGGATGAGTTCTCTTGGCGTAGGGTTGAGAAATTTACGAGAGAAAGAGCCCCACGCAAGATTGACAGCTTGCGAGAGATCAATAGCGGCACCCAGATTGCGCTGCGCGAGCCAAGTCACCCAGTAGGGCGAGAATTCGCTCAATGTCATAACAATCATCTGGAACGGCTTTGCTTCCCTGACAACAACCAAAAAGCTTTTGTTTTTATCTTTCGATTGTGCGACGACTTGAATGACGAAGCTGAAGACCGCTCCGAGCAGGGAGAAGACAAACAGATTGTTAAAGACGAAGAAGGCGTAGAGTTGGTGAATAACGTGTCTCTCTCGTGAAGTCTTCGTCAAATCTCCAGACTTGATCGACAGTCGACGGAAAATGATGGGCAGGAAGTAATAGAACAGCGAGGTGAGGGCAGGAGCAGCAATACCCTGTACCAAAGCCCAGAATTTTGGACTCTCCTGCATGGTGACGCGGAATGACGGTGCGAGAGTGGCTATGTTGTCGAGCTTAGCTAGAAAGATGGCAATCATGGCATTAGGAATGAAGTAAAGCATAGTCAAAAGGGTAATCCAAAATTGGGTCGTGATATGCCTCCAGCGTCGAGTCTTGGGATCCAAAGGTAGATTCTTCCAGATGATATTCGAAGGACGAGGCGCCAATTGCACTGTGGTTCCCAATGGGTGCTTGCCTCTTGCAGCAAAAGCAACACTGTGGGCAGACTCGAGCGTCTCATAGCTAGCAAAGCCGTAAGGCATAGCGTCACGCTTATCTACAGTCTCACGGACTGCTTTGATTTGGGCCTCAAGACCCTGAATTCTCGCAGTGAGATAATCGATGGCATCGACCTTAGTCTTGACGCCGAGATACTCAGGATCCTTCTTCGACGGTTTGCACATGGGTCGCGACGGGGGCAATCGATCAGGCCTCTTCAAATATTTCGAAAGCACACCCTCCAGTTCTATGACCGCTTCCTTGTGTTCCTCGATGAGATCGGGAAGATCCTTGACGTTTCGGCCGATGGAAGCGCGGGGTACCTCTGGAGTCGTCCGAAGGCTGTCCGTTATCTCAATGATGCCGTGATCACTTCTTTGACTTCTCTTGATATCGGTAATCATCAGGGTCCTCGAATGCAAACTGTTCTGGTATTCTGGGCTCTCCAGGTAATTTCTTCTTAATCTGTGGACGGCACGGTATGTCCACCAGAGGAAGCCGCAGACCACAAACGTAAACAAGTACGCGATAAAAATCATGACCCAGAGCTTGTTTCCGAACAAACTTTGTGGCGTCATGAGGAAGAATGGATCCAATCGCTTGAATTCGAATTTCGATTGGAGACTCTTTGAAGCCGTGACGTTGACTGGTATTATGACCGCACAGCCGAACACAGACAAAACAATGAACATGTTGCGGCACATCCTCGCGAAACGAAGAAACACGGCCGCGTCGAGCCCAATCTTGTCAACGTATTGTGATTCATTGTAGTGGAAAACAGGCGGTACCCAGGCGAAGAGGCCTTTTCCGATCGGCGGAGGCTTTCGTTTCTCGTCAGAATGGCGAAGCTTCGGCGCGTACACAGTCGAGTTAAAAGGGCGGAGGAAAAGGAAGACTAGGAAGACCGCTAACGAGATACCGAGCGCGGTGAGAATGGCGATTACAACTGAGTCTTGTGTCACCTAGTCGATTGTTAAACCGATTTCCCTATGGGTTGGTATACAGGACATACCTGAGTATTGAATGGGTTTGACATCAGATCTAGAAACTGCTTTCCCGTGTCATCGCGCGGGAGAAGCACTCCCGCCCGGCTGGAAGCCATCTCGCACAAACAGAATGTATGTATATGCCCTGATCACTCGAATACAGCTCAAGTATCTTTTTTTCCTTATCGCTGCTCGTGTGGAGATTGGATATCGACGGGTCGAACTTTGGGTCACTCGGTTCGGGGTCGTGTGCTGGACGTGAAGCGTGCGGTAGGTGGAGTACCTAGATATTTACTGATAAAGTGCTAGTAAATTAAGGTCGTACAACGAAAGTCAGGAAAACTCCACTGAACGAGGGATAGGAGTGTCGGGTACGTAAGGTCGAGCTCCTGGCGGTCTCTTGACAGGTTACTCAAACCCTGTAGTATTAAAAAATCAGTAGAGATGCGCACGAAAGCTCGAAAAGAAAAAGACGAAAAGAAAGACGCAATCAGAGTCTAAACACAAAGATGATGTTCGGACAGGTGTCTTTGTGCGAATGAGGGTGTACTGAACGACAAAGAAACTAGAGAATGGAGAGTTTCTTCAGAGGCAAAGCAAAAGGATTGTTCCATCTAGACCTGTGGACCACGACCACCCTGGTGATAGTCCGTTCGTTGGGACCGATGACGACGCCCCGTGCGGCACTGAATAAGAGCCAGGGCCCATGTGGCTCCCATTCGCCCTTGACCTCTAGTGACGCTGCCGCCCGCTTGCAAACCGCGGTAAAGTAATGTTCCCCGTGTTATGCTGCTTTTTTTGGAGTGATACTAGTCGACACTAGATACTCTCGATGCTGTCAATTCATTATTTGGCGCAACGTTCAAATCGATCCGTCCGCTGATCATCTGCCTTAAGAGGGAATCATGCCAGCCCTCGAACACTTAGCATCGGTGCAACTCACGATCTTCTCCCGGATTGGAATACGACTACAGACTTGTCCCCGCCGACAGTCAACTTGGCCAGCTCAAAACTTGCAGCCAAAACTCGCGTGGGCACTCGTAGCCACAGGCATTAGGCCGAGAGATCCGTCAGCCACCTGCTCGTTCTTTGATCAAGGCGTTTAAGTCGCCACATTCAAAACATTAGCACCATTCGAGAAGGTATATTTCTGCACGACGATTGGACAAGAGGCGCTCTCATTCTTAAAATGATGCCTTGAAACACTGTCAGCTTCATGTATCCCAAAAGTTAATTTGTTCATAAAGCGCCGGCCCTCGCACGCAGCGGCTAAGGCACTTGTGGTAAGTTCTTAATAGAAGTTCAGCTGTACCAGGTACTCCGTATACAACGGTAGCCATACTATGTAGATACGCCGTAGTCGGTTGGGAGAAAATCTTTATACATTATAATTACTTGTAATAACTGCACGAGGTTGCAACGTCTCCTAGCCGAGATAGTCCTGCGATCGACTCCTCGATAGCGTGATTATTGAGGCGCAGGCCTGCTGGACGGTGAACTATCGTATTCAGTACGGATAGCATGATACAAGGTTCTATCTGGTGACGCGCTCATGCGGCACCAAACAGAACTTTGAAAGCCGACTTAGGTAATTGTTTTCGCAGGCAGTGTCACACAGTACATTCGCCCTGGACCAAAAGCCTATCGCGGGGCATGATGGCTTCGGGGAATTTCGATGAGGAGCATCTGGCATGTCATCTTCGCTCAAAGGAAGGGACACATTTATGTTGTTGTGCCTCGCTACGTGAAGCTTCACTCGAAAACCCTAGTTACTCACTGAGGAGAGGAGGCCTCGCCGCAGCCATCTGAGTAATCGTTAGTCGAGGAGTCTAAATGAATGCATGTGAAGGTAACCGGAGAAAAACAATCAGGAAGGCTCAGGTTGTGTTGTTTTCGCACACTGTAACCATAGGAGTTGCCCAGGTTCTCTTTACGAAGTATCTGTGAAGACGGCTGGTGCTTTGATTAGAACCACACCGCGTCTTCTTCATCATTGCCACAGATGAAAGGAAACAAAAACGAACATGAAAGAAAACAACTTATTACCTTGGATGCATCTATTGTAGCGTTCTTGGTTCCCCAATAGATTTCGGTGCGCGTTCACGTGTTGAGGAATCGAAGAGGAGGATGAAGAGGAAGAGGACCTGTAGACTCTAGAGTAAGTGAGTGAGTGAGTGAGTGAGTGGGAGCCCGTGCGCGCGCCTGCTGTTTATGGCACAGACCAAAGATAACGTCACCAAAACAACAAAGATTTAAACAGCAAGGTGATAATCAAAACTTTTTTCTATCATGGCTTCTTCCGGCCATCAAACGTGCCTTACATATGTCTTTTAGTGATATCGTCTTTCTCTAGACTTTTAATCATTTTTTGGCTCCCGCAGCCTCCACGATGGAAGCAACCTTGCGGGCAAGGTCCTCAGCCTCAGCCTTGGTGGCCGCCTCCGCGTAGACACGGACAGCGTCTTCAGTACCACTGGCTCTGGCGAATGAACGGCCCTGGCGGACCTTCTGTACCTCCGCATCGATCTGTTTCTGTACACCATCCGGCTTGACGAGCTTGCGCTCTGCGTCGGTCGTCTTGAATATGTTGCGGTCTGACACAATGACCTTGGTGAGCTTGTTGGGCAAATCAGTGTACGTTCCCAACCACTCTTCGACTCCCCAGCTCTTGTGTGCGAGGACAACCTCGACTAACAGGAGGTCGGAAAGAGCATCACCAACTGCTTGGTTGATAAGCTCAACAGTGGCGCGGAGGACGTCAAGGGCCTCCTTCTGTGCTGGGGATCTTGGCTCGTGCTTGTTGATCGTGTCTAAGGTGTCGGGAGAGAAGATCACGGTTCCGTGACCATTGGCCTCGAAGTAGACACCGATGTCGAGCTTCTCGGCTGCGTGGTGGAGATACTTCACACCGGTTGGCGTGCAATCAACCTTGAGTTTGAGAGTCTGCTCTACGTAGTTTGTAGCAGCTCCGTTGGCGTACGCAGTTTGAACGACACCAATCGTGATGGCGTCAGCGAGGCCAGATTGGCGGATGAGGTCGCCGAGGAAAGATGCCACGAGGGTGGCGATGCGATCTCCATCAAGCAGGTGGAAGACATTGCTAGAATCCTTGAAGTAAAAGACGACACGGTCGGCGTCACCGTCGAGAGAGCAGCATCTGTCGTTGGGTCCAACCTTGGAGGTAGGGGGGGCTCTCTGGTTTGTCTTGACGTAGTCTGCACCGCACTATGATTACCAACATTAGTCCACCGTTCCCACAATCAACATACTAATTTACTTACATCAACGTTCAAGCTCTCAGGCTTGATCACATTGTCATTGACAACATGGATCTCAAGTCCACCCTCCTCTTTAGTAGGGAGGTACTTGATGAGTTCGGTTAGCTTCGGGCCACCAACACCATTGGCACCATCCACAGTCAAGCTGCCTTGTGGCTTCTTGCCCTTGAGAGCATTCTTGAATGCGGCGCCGAACTTCTCGTAGTAGCCCTTCTCCGTCGGAACGCCGTATGCATCCTTTGTGCCTTCTGTGTTGAGACTTCGGACGACGTAGTGGAGCTGGGGAGTGGTGAAGAAACCGAAGTCCTTGTACTCGGCACCAGCGGCCTTCAGTCCGTCGACGAGGCAGCCCAAAAGGCGGGATCCCGAAGCCCTTGTGTCCCTGGCTACTACTACTCGTGCAGGAGTGCTGAGGTCGATCTTGAACTTGGCCGCAAGCTCGTTGTAGTACTCGGCAACGTCCTCAGGGGTGGCTTTGTTTGCCATTGTTGTGCTCAGAACCTCCCACTCCTCCTATGATGCTTTGTAAATATAAAGGTTCCGAAAAGGTAAAGGTGCAAGTGGTCGCTCATACCTGGAGCATGTTGCCCTACTACAATGTTAGCAATTGTTTACTCCTTAACTTCCGGACTACGTACCATTGGCTCAACAAGTTTGACACCATTGTCCTCAGGAGGGTTGTGGGACGCAGTGATCATGACACCAATCCATTTCCCTTTAAGGGCGCGGGAACGGAGGGATGCAATAAGACCGACGCGTGCGAGGACGGAGTCGAGCACATCACTGGATGTGTGAGTATCGCGGAGGGTACCAACGGAGGGGTAACGTCATATCCGACGGCGGGGGAGGTGTCTTACGCTTTGGTGCGGAACTGGATACACAGTAGATTAGCGAACAAACTTCGGAATAGACGATGTGCATGTGCTTACTCCTGCAGTTCCATAGGTGTATACAATGCCCTCAGGCGCAGGGTGCTTGCGGGCGGCTTCAGCGATGGAGGCGGCCATGATGGATGTACAATGCGAAGGGCTCTAAATGATCGATGTGCTTCGATGATGCTTGCTAGAACAGAATACAAGATCAGAAATGCAGAGCGTGAGGAAGAAAGATGAAGGAGGAATAGCCAGCTCTTAGGACATGGAGCGTTGTTATACTCCCAGCTGCAGAAGGCAGAGCCGCAGCTTGAAACCACCCCTCTCTTGTAGGGCTGAGCTCAGCGCTTAACCGCTTTCAGGGCACTATTGACGTACCTGTGGATTGAAATAACAGGAGCTGAAGGTCCACCCGATGCTTGAACTAATGCCTTTATACGGTTGTTTTCGTTGAAGAGTAGATGAGAATTGAAGACACGAATGACGCCAATGGTGAGGAGCTAAGGTACATGTTCAACCTGTTTTTAGATGCATATATATCTCACCAACCACGTCGGCACGTTCCTGCCCCAAGCGGATACTGACCGCCTTTCCCCACGTTCGTGATTTCTGCACCTTCCCTGGTTATCCATGAAGCTGCGCGTCGCCGCGTATCGCGGGTGGTGCCACCGAACGTTTGCAGAGATAAAACAGCTACGATGTGCTGGAGAATCGAGATCAATGAAAATTCCGAAGTGATGCCTACCCTGGGTATCTGGTATATTTACAATTCAGTACGGAGTACGGTTAAGCACAAAGCCCAAGAAGTCACCTCGTATTTTGGCATCTTCTTTAGACATTTGAATGGGTACTCGTACAACATCGGAAACTGGACTCTATTGATAGAACAGTAACTTCATCAGAGGGAGGTAACCTTGAAATCTATCAATGCACTTCTCAAAACATAAACTACAAATTAATTTACAAAACAATTCGTCTACTGCAAAGACTCAGTATTGAATTTTCTATCATCCAGTAATTGAGGCCAACGATAATCCCTCCTTGCATTACTACCCTGTCATGCCCGTCTCATCCCATCACCCAAAGTCACGTGCGCCATCAAACTGCTGATATCTTGGCATTCACGAATTTCTGAACATCAGTCCAACCTACCTACCATCCAACCTCTCAACCCCAATTGCTCCTCCACCACCAACCCACCACCCAAAATGAACTTCTCATTCCTCCGACCGAGCTTCCGGTCCCTACGCCCAACAACAAACTTCGCCTCCCAAAAAGCCATCCTCCAAAACCCTACCACCACATCCCTCCTCCAACGCACAACATCACCCTTCTCCACAACCGCGAAGCTCGAGAAGCGAAACAAAGGAAAAGTCAGGACCGATGCACGAATCAGTACGTCTCCCTCACCCCCATCACCTCGCCCCCTGGAGCTCAGCTTAAACGGCGGGCGGGTGCTCAATTGGTCTTCCCGTCTTCCCGGCAACGAATGAATGAATGTATGAGTGAACAAATGCTAACCTTCGATTCCAGCTGCAATCCGCTACCACCTCTCGCACCCTTTAACCCCTCGCCCCCTCCACTTCTCCCGCACGCGATACCTCCGCCACTGGACGATCCACCGCGCGTGGCTGCTGTTCCTGCGCAAGCGGCGCTGGGCGGAGGAGCGGGAGCTGGAGCGGCAGTACGAGTCGATGCGGGCTGCGTGCGAGCACCTGCGGCTGCTGGACGACAATGGGTTGAGGGTGGCGAGTTCGGAGGGGGGAGGCCAGGGCGCGGATGCGGGGACGCTGGGGCCGAGGGGGAAGGAGGTCGGCAGGTTGTATAGGGGTGCGATGAATAAGAAGGGGGTTTGGGGGAGCGTGCCGGTGGAGTATGCGAGGATTCAGGTGGATTATCCGCCGAGGGATGGGTGGAATCATGAGTGGACGAGGTGAAGAGGAGGAAGGGGAGGTTTTGCTGGAGGGGAGAGTTTGTAGTGATATGGGTGCTGTAGAATAAGTGTAAATATCCAAATACCATTTGCCAATCTGATGTTTTGTGCAGTGCTATTTTTATGTGACATTGCAATTTGTTTTGGGAGAAGTATAGACGAGTGGTTAGAATCATGATTAGCTAACTATCAACGCTCATCGTGCATCGCTGGCTATTGCTACTTTATGCCGGCCCACCAGCTAACAGCTGAGGATGCTTCCATCATTCTCTGAACCTCGAACCTCCCTACTTACTATCCAATGAAAAGCACATACATCTAAAGGAATGAGGGTGAGATGATAACTATCATCGATCATTAACGGCTCCGGAAATGAAACTGTTCCGTGTGGAGTCCTCGCAATATGTCCATTAGAACCAGAATTTCTTCCACCTGCGCGCAAACCGCTTTTCCAAACAATTGACCAAATGAAGAGAATGAGGACAAACTATGCAGGACTATGAAAGCAGGCGCTTAACAACGCCCATCACAGCATAATGGTCCAAAATGATTAACACAAGAGCTTAGGCCCAGAACACCACCCAATGCAGTTGAACAAAAGGAAAATACTAAGGCTCATCACAGAATGGTGCAGCAGCCATTGCCCTCCTTCTTGTCTTGGGACAAGAGGGCAGCGCGTGTAGCGGCTTCAAAAACGTCGTCGACACCATCGCCCGTCAACGAGGAGCATTCGAGGTATTTGCGTGCTCCAATCATTTCTTTCATATCGCTTCCAGCTTTCGAGGTCGTGAACTTCAAGCTCTTCTTGCGCATCTCTTCTTGTGCAAGTGGGTCGTCGCGAAGATCTTTCTTCAACCCAACTAGGATGATAGGCACGCCAGGGCATCTTTCGCGTGCCTCTTCCGCCCATTTGTGTTTGACGTTCTCCAAAGAGTCAGGAGAGTCTACAGAGAAGCCGATCAGGATCACGTGGGCCTTGGAGTATGCGAGTGGTCGTAGACGCTCATAATCTTCCTGGCCTGCTGTGTCCCATAGCGCTAATTGCACTGATTTTCCATCGACTCGACAGTCCGTGACGTAATTTTCGAAGACTGTTGGCACATATCGCTAGAGGCAGCATTAGCAGTGTAACGCTAGAAAATGTGCGCGAGGCGCAGCCAAACTTACAGTGGGAAAGTAACCCAGCGTAAACACGCTCAAGAGTGAAGTCTTGCCGCAAGCACCATCGCCAATAATGACCAACTTCCTGTTGTAACTTTGATCAGCATAATGAAGAATTGGAAATATTCGGCGAAAGCATCGAAACGAGATTAGTGGTGATTAATAATAAGGAGAAGAGCAAGTAGTAGTGTAGAGAAAGATTGGAAGGGATGAAGTAAATCCGAAGGTTTGAGATGTGGACATGGGAGCCATGTAGGTAACCCTATTTTTAGACTGGGGTGTTGTCGAATCGGGGAACACCAATGCAGGTTATCGCGCAGGGCCAGGATCACTGACAGCTCCAAAACATGGACTCTGCTGATCGTGTCGAGGGAAGAGGACATAGGGAGAGAAAGTGCTGGTCTGAAGAAAAAAATACAGGAGTGTATGAGGGGATAGGAGCATAATGGAGAGGGATACAAGATGCTGAGATGGGAACGGCTGAACAACTGACAGACAACCAGTGATCGGCAAACCAGAGCGTATCCCAGTGCCGGCTAGTAAAATTGACATCGAATGATTTTAAAATTCACACGTACCTTCGCATTACAGGTTCTCCATTCTGTGCCATCGTGTCAAATGAACAGGTGCGACGGATACAGCCTTTTCGGTGGGTGAGGAGTTGTAGAGTAGTGGTAGTAGTCCGGGGTCGAGGGGTCGAGAGTTTTGGTTCGGGGACGGGCGCGCGCAGAGCTTGCTGTATGTCCTACGGTATCGTTGTGGTTCCCGTAGAAGTGGATAAGATGTTCCAACGAGCGATTGCGAGACGGAGGGAGAGCGAGCGAAAATGTCTCACGGGTGTAATGGTGAGTCTCGAGGCGGGTTGATGAAAATGTAAAGTATGTAACCAAATTGATGGATTCGACGGAGGTTTCGGAAGAATTACTTTTGGAGGAGAATTGTCTCAATCGAAATGAGCGTGGCGAAGGGACGGGGTTGGGATGTAGTTATGGATGCGGTCGTGGTCGTGGTTGTAGTTGCGGTGGAGGTGGAGATGGGAGGGATGGAGCGAGCGGCGTCCTTTTGGCAGCGGCGACTTGGTGCACCTATTCCAACCGACGAGAGGAGGGAGGGGGGCGCGGCGAGCTGATGATAAATGGATTGATAAAGTTGATGGCAATTCCGACGACAGCAAACGGGCGCGCGCGCTTTGGGAAGAAGCGAAGCGAAGTTGGTGGAAAAGTCGAGAATACGGAATGGATGTTTTCTGAGGTTTCGGGGGTTGGTGGTAGTTTAAATGTAATGAAGGTGTAGGTGGTGTAGGTAAGGTGAAGTAAAGGTGGAGGAGGAGGTGGTGGACGGGTTAACTACGAGTAGGTAAGGTAGAGAGAGGAACGAGTACCCTAACCTGCCACTGCCTGCCCTGCCCTGCCCTGCCCTAACAGCAACAGCCAACCTTACTAGGTGAAGGTTACTAGCAGGACTTACTAGAGAGATAATAGTGCCAAGACATCTCTCTCGAAGATCCACGACATCCTGGCACCTTTGGACTTCAACGTCAACACCACACCCGCAAGGCCGCACCCCACGTCACATTCTTTTCCTCGATTCAGTTGTCTAATCACTAGCTATAGATATCGAGTCCCTGCCCGGCGTCGAGAGGAGTTTCGCGCCAGTTGCCCGTTCAGAGTACGTTGCAAGGTGGTGGAGGGGTGCATACTTTCGCTTTTCGTCCTTCACCACCGTCCCTACGGCCTCTCGCTGTCGTCCTTTCCATGGTTCGCTTTTCCTCATATAAAGGCTCTAACAATTGATCCATAGCTCACACGACCAACCTCGGACCCATGGCTCAGGGTACGAAGGGCCCTGCCGCGTCAACGGCAACACTCAACAACGGCGTGCCAGGTTCGCACAACCCAACACCAAGCGGCCCGAACCGCAAGAAGCAAAAGCGACGAGAGAAGGAAGCCGCGAAAAAGGCAGCCGAGGCAGAGAGGCAACAACAGCAATACCAGCAATCCGCGCCTACAAAGAATGGCCACCCGCCACCAGCCCACGGTTCGGCCGCCCACGCACATAAACCTCCACCAGGACAGCCTGCTCCTCGCTATGCCGAACCAGAGCTGGATCCCGAGCGCTACGAAGAAGGGGACGAGGTATATTCGGATGAAGGCGAGCGGTACGAGCAAGCATTCGGGAGGAATGGACATTATCCATCAGGGTACGTGGACGCTCAAAGCGCAAGCGGTACTGGCAAGAAGTCCAAAAAGAAGAAGAAAGGGTCGTCTGCATCCCAGCAACCGGCCTACTCCTCATCCCTGGCCCAACGCAATTACCCCATGCCAGCCGCCCCACCAACCCAATCATCCGACATGAAGAAGGATCGCATATGGGATACCTCAACCTCAGAGGAGCGAGAACGCATTCGGGAATTCTGGTTATCGCTAGGAGAGGAGGAGCGCAAATCGCTGGTCAAGATTGAGAAGGAGGCTGTCCTGCGCAAGATGAAGGAACAACAGAAACACTCTTGTAGCTGCACTGTATGTGGACGCAAGCGAACCGCTATCGAGGAGGAGCTGGAAGTCCTTTACGATGCTTACTACGAAGAACTCGAACAGTATGCGAACCACCAGCAAGACGTCGGCCCTATCCTTCCATCAGCTCATTTCCCTCACCACGCCCATGCCCATGCTCACGCTCACGCCCACGCCCATGCACACGTACATGCACACGCGCACGCGCACGCGCATGCTCATTCTCCCGCACATCACCACCGCCCGATGTTGAGACCACCCGTACCGACCGAGATCTACGACGAGACGGATGATTTATCTCAAGGAGAAGAGGACGATGGTGATCAAGACTATTCAAATAGCGAGATATCATCGGAGGAGGACTATAGTTCTGAGGATCGTAGTCTACATGCAGGTGAAACCGACTTTTTGCAGTTCGGTAGCAGTTTGCAGGTAAAAGGTAAGTCACGCCTCAGCTAGAGTCTGTGGTCTGGACAGAAAGACTTACGTTGTACAGGCGGAATCCTCACGGTTGCCGATGATCTACTGAAGAATGATGGCAAAAAGTTCATTGAAATGATGGAACAACTTGCTGAGCGCAGAATGCAGCGAGAGGAAGAAGCGCAGTATCAAACTCATCCAAACATGTATCATTCTCGAGGTGGCCATAATCACGGTCCACAGGACGAGGCTGATTATGACGATGAAGACGATGAGGAGGAAGGGTATGACGAGGATGAGTATGAGGAGGATGATGAGGATGAAGATGTGAGTCATTGCGGAGAACGCCAACCCTCACGGTCACGATTGATGCTAATTTGATAGGATACAATGACGGAGGAACAGCGCATGGAAGAAGGCCGGCGAATGTTCCAAATATTTGCTGCACGAATGTTCGAACAGAGAGTCCTGCAAGCATATCGAGAAAAGGTGGCCGCAGAACGCCAACAGAAACTCCTTGAAGAACTGGCCGAAGAGGACCACGAGAAGGAAGCCAAGGAGGCGAAGAAGGCTAAGGAGGCTGCGAAGCGGAGGGAGAAGAAGGATAAGCAAAGGCAGGCCAAAGCGGAAGAAAAGGCACGCAAAGATGCTGAACAAGCCGCGAAAGAAGCCGAAGCCAAGGCCGCCGAAGAGAAGCGCGCAGAGGAGCAACGAAAGAAGAAGGAAGAACAACGGAAGAAGAGAGAGGCGGACCGTAAAGCTCAAGAGGAAGAAAAGAATCGGAAAGAAGCCGAGCGACTCAAGCGCCAGCAAGAAGAGCGGGAACGACAACAAGAGGCTGAAAGAAAGGCACGAGAACACAAGGCCCAGGAAAAGAAGGCGAAGGAGGAGGCCAGGCGAAAGGAGAGAGAGGAGCGCGAATCCAAAGAGAAGGAAGCCCGCGAGAAGAAGGCATTGGAAGACAAGGATCGCCGGGAACGGGAACACAAGGCAAAGGCTGAAAAAGATCGAGCCCGCAAAGAAGAGCAAACTGCCGCGGGAGCTTCTAGGAAAACATCCCTGCCCATTGCAGTGGCATTGCCTCCAGGCTTGTTAAAGCAGACATCGTCCAGTGGAATTCCCTCGCCGCACGTTACACCTGCAGTTCCCAAGGCACCCACTCCAAACAGACCTCGCCAAAGCTCCCAGCAAGACTCCTATGGATCATCGCCAAAGACACCGCATGCTGGCCCTGGAACTAGCAAGTCTATTTCTCCATCATCGCAACTCCAGAATCCTCTGATGCCGAAGGCGATCCTGACGAAACAGCCAGCATCGCAACAACAAGCGCCACTTCATCATACCCAGCCAACGTCTCCTTTACCTCCAATAGGACCTCCGCCAGGCATGGGTACCTCCGTGGGAATGGGTCACAACATGCCTCCTGGTCTGAACGGCTTCCCTCATGGTCAAACCCCAATCATACCTGGACTCAATGGCCCACGCCAGAGCATTGGCCAACACATGGCTATGTTTCCTCCGGCACCTGGTTCACAGAGTTACCGACCGTTCCCTCCTCCAGGCATGCCCATGCCGAATCATCTGCCAATGGGTCGCGGATTCCCCATGGATGGACCTCCAGGCTTCGGCGGCCTCCCTGGATTTGGAGCTCCGAACCCGCTGCAAGGCTTCGGCATCGGTATGCCCTCACACTCCAGACAAGGATCCGGATCGTTTGAGAAGTCGACTGCTGAAATTCAGATTCCTGGATCTCAGGCTCAGCCGATCCAACGCCCAGCGCCAATTCAGAGGCCTTCTAGTGTCAAGCCTCATGAAGATGACCTGGCTGGATCTGATGTCGATGAGTTGGCAAGTCATCTAGGCAGCAAAGCTCTCCTTGACGACGTAGACGACATGCCCGAGTACCCTCAGCAGCAAGATGCACGCCGTACGAGTATCCAGACACCCATGGGCTCCTTACGGGGAGCACCTCTGGGCTTTGGATTTGGAGATGCACCAGGCCAACCTCGAGCAGATCCATTCACTCCCTTCGGTAGTGCCGGCGCCGGCGGCAATCCATGGGCTCAACCAGTGCCATTCCCGATGAGCGGGCCAGGCTGGGGAAACTCTCCCACCTCAACGCTATTCAGCAATCCATTCCCAGGCCCGATGATGGGAACACCACGACCTGGCGAGCAGCGCATTGTCTGGATTCGGAAGATGGTCTGCCAAGCTTGCAAGTCCCTGGCTCGACAGGCTAGCCCTGACGGCTTTTTGGACGCATCTGAAGTTCACCACCAGGTCGACCAGATACGCAGCCAAGCCGAGGCGGCTGTCCTACCCCAAGAGATCAAAGAGGCTTGCGACATCTTCGGCGACAGCGGCAACGGCGGCGGCACGCTCGAATACAAGGAAGCCGGCCCCAACGCGGGGAGAATATCCCACATCAAATTCGTTGAGGACCGGGGTCCACCACCAGCATCTGCTCTAGGCGAGATTGGCAGCCCAGTCCCGTCGCACAGCGTACCTGTTGGGTCATTCGGCGCTCGACCATTTCCAGGCCTCGGACCTCAGGGATTCTGATAAAAAGAACCCAGAAGATTCGCCAAAGCGGTTCGGTTGCATTGGCGAATAACATCATTGTTCCAATATCCAATTGTTTCTTTGCATGGCTTTGAATCATGCTTTTCTACAGCAGCCCCTTTATTCACAAATGGGTGCTATTAGGGATGTGTTTGCTCTTCTTCTAAAGTAGCTCGCTCCTTGACTGGGATCAGGTAGTCAACCAGAGACTCATAAGTTCTCTGCGAAAGGATTGGTTTATCCGTTCTTCCATGTTCTGATTTTATGACTTTGATGTTGTGATGTATCCCGTGATATCTGACTATGCTGCACGCCGCCCTACCTCTTCGGTGTGGATATCCAAACCAATGGCACTGATCTTTTAGATGCGAACACAATGCTTCCTTACTTCATATTCTCGATGCGCTGACCAAAGAAACGTCGTTACTATTCAAACATCCATGTGATCTTTCGTTTTCACTCAAACGAAAGAGACTACAGGAAGCCATGTGACCCCCTCTCAACGACGCACGATCATCGACAACGTCATGTCCGCACTTCACATCCCCCAAATTCATCACTACTCAAACCCCATTCACAAGCTACGACACCAAACACTTCCTCCTACCCCTTCTCAACCACTGGGTATATAACCCCTCCCACTCCCCTCAATCCTCTCTTCCCTTTCCTCACCTCCACCACAAAGACACAACTTCCAGAAACAAAACGAACAAGAGATAAGGTTTCAACAATGCATGTCCTCTCTTTGTCTCTCGAAAAACTCAATGTCGAAGACGCAAGCTTGCATGTCCTCCCCCCCTCTCTCTCTCTCTCTTTTCAAAAAATGACCGGAAGCAATTGGACATGTCCTCTGTCTCTCGAAAAGAAGATTGAGGAAACTCGCATGTCTCCTCTCTCTCTCGCTTCGAAAAACCAAGGAGCAGAGGCGGAATGTCCCCTCTCTCTCTCTCTCTCTCTCAAAGTCGTATGAGAGAACTAATATGTTCTCTCTCTCCCCTTGGGAAAAAAGTCCCAATCTGTTTCCACAATGTTGGTCGGCATCCAGGGATATCGATCAAAAACGTCCTATTGGACGAATCATGTTGTCGGCTTCGGCTGTGTGTGAAAGGATTAAAGGAGTGCAAAAGAGTATATTATGCTGCTAAGAATGACGAGTGAAAGTTCACACTTGCCAGTCCATGTAATTATGCATTCAATCTATGGATAAGAATAAGGCTAATATGGCAACTTGGAACTCGGAACTTGGATCCTTCCATGGCGCTTCCCTCTTGAAAAGAAAATCAGCCAAGGACACCCATATGTCCTCTCTCTCTCCCTTGGGGGAAAGCCCTAAGATTTTTCCCCGATGTTGGTCGATATCCAGAGATATCAATCAAAAAGTGTTTGGGTACGAGGCATGTTGTCGGCCTCGTCTCTGTGTGAAAGAGTGAAAGAATAGAAAAGAACAGGCGACGAAATTGTGAGAACAAGGGGGAATGTTCACACTTGCCCATATATCTAGATCATGGCCACCGTACGATAAAGAACAAAGGAACCATAGCAGCTCGAAAACGACGGTTTGACCATGTTCTCTCTCTCTCTCGAAAAAGATAATATCCAGGGAACACATGCCCTCTCTCTCTCTCTCTCGGAAAGAGAAATGCCGAAAGCTGATGTGGCCTCTCTGCCTCTCTCCCTCGGAGAAAAAGATATCGGAAGTGGAACGAATGTTGGTTGGCGTCGAAAGATATCAATCAAAAAAGTATCTGTGGACTTCGCATGTTGTCGGCCTCGCCTTTGTGAGAAGAGGTGGAAAAGAACAGGCAATTCTGCTACGAGATAAAATGTGAAAATTCACACTTGCCAATCCATACACCGATGCACCCACTTGCCGAACGAGTGAAACAATGGTTACATGACAAGTAGTCCATCCTATACCCTACACAGGATCAGTCCTAATCAACTCCACATCTGAATTGCTGTGCCGCCTCTGAACTTCCGTTCAGGATTGCGACGGTTATGGCTCTGGATGGAGTCATGGGTTTTCCTTCGATTAGGACCATGGTGTTATGGTTGTTCCTTCCAGCACATCTGCCCATGTGCACCCAGAACGTTTCCCCATCCGTACCACACCGTTATGCCACTGAGGTCAGTGGTCCATAAAAAAAACCGGGGAAATGTCACGGTCTATGGTTCTACCCTATCCCTCGCAACTCGGAACTTGGACATATCTTCTCTCTCTCGAAATTGAATCACATGTACGAAATGTGGTTTGGCGTTCAAAAGCCGTAGACTAGAAAGAGCATGTCGAGACTCCCTGTTACCAAACTCCACTTGCAGAAAAGAGCAGGCGATCCTGCTACGAGGCCAAGTCGAACTTTCGACACTTCATGTCCTCTCTCTCTTGAAAAGTAACTATCCGCTCAGTATGTAGTTCGGCGTCAAAAGCCATAGACCAAAAGGCGTATGTCGAGAAGCCATGTTACTAAAACTCTATTCTGTTTGAGGATGAAGAAAGAAGCAAACGGTCTAGCTATAAGACTAAGTCAGAATGTCAACACTTGGTAAAACATACACGCTATGGCCACCGGAGGATGAAGAACAATAGAGAATCTGGAACCAACTCTATATGCCTTCTCCCTCTCGAAAAGTAACTATCTGTACAGGATGCGTTCCAGCGTTAAAAGCCATTGACGAAACACCATACGCCGAGACTCCATGTTACCAAAATCTACTCTCTGTAAGGATAAAGAAAAGTGCAGACTGTCTGAGCTATGATGCCAAGTTTGCATGTCGACACTTGCCAATCCACAGACTCTATGGCCACCTGATGATGAAGAAGAAAAATCTGTCGAAGATTACGAATGTCGTCTCCCTCTCGAAAAGGAACTATCTGCACAGAATATGATTCGGCGCCAAAAGCCATAGACCACAAAGAATACGTCGAAACTCCATGTTACTAAACTCCACTCTGTTTGAGGATGAAGAAAAGAGCAGGCTATTTATGCCAGGAGACCAATTCGGAATTTCGACACTTACCATGTCATTTACTCTACGATCGCTGGACAATGAAGAAGAGAGATTGGGCGAAGTGTGTGCAATGCCGTCTTCCTCTCGAAAAGCAACTATCTGTACAGAATTTGAGCCGGCGTTCGGAAGTATTGCAGGAACAAAAAGATTTCAAATTCTTCCTATGTTGTCGGCGTTTTGTGTGCTGAAATCTTGCAGTCGAGTACACATAATGCTTCTGGGAAATCAAGCCCCGATACCGAAAGAATATTCTCTCTGGGGAGATAAAAGATAAAATGCACGAAGCAATGGAAAATCACCGATTGGCGAAGAAATGCTGTTCCCTCCGGCTGTCTCGAAGCATGAAGGGCAATGACAAGCGACTCATGTCCCCTCTCTCTCTTTCGAAATAAAAAACACATCGGTTGTTATCCTAAACGTAGGACGATGTCAAACGATGTCGGTGAAACAGACTGGTCAACGACCCATGTTGCCAGAGTCCGCATCAGTTGTCCGCTTTCCGCCGCACCCATGCAGCCCTTTCCCGCACCCACGGATTCAAAGCTGCCATCGAAGACTTCGATACTAGCTATCCATGTCCGCTGAGGTTGCTGAGATCCGCCGAAGAGTTCGAGAGGGATACTGATCAACTGAGCATCTAGTTGGATAGCGAGCATCTCCGCAAAGAGGCTATCCAGCTCTTTTTCACGTCTATAGAGCCGTGCCGACTTCCCCTTACGCCGACAGGGCCCGGCACTCAGCTCGTCCCCGAGCCCCAAATAAGTCTAAACGAACAGCTATTAGACGCCTTGCCCGACGTTGAACCTTTGCCTGATAGACATCGAGGTTACCGCCGAGCACAAGCGGTCTGAAAGGTGTAAAAAATACACGAGGACAATCCCCAAGATGAGAAAACTCGATGAACAAACGAATGTTTTCTCGGGGGAAAAGAAATCGCCAAACCAGAAGAACGAACGTAGCCTATCTTGAATGGAAAGCGTGCCTTCCTCTGGTCGTCTAAAAGCAGGAATAGCTTCTGATATAGACAAGACATGAGTCCAAGGAGAGATGCATTATCTGCAATTATTCCCGCATTCCAAACGCAATGGAGCAGGAAAATGACACAGATGAAGATGCGCTTCTTCACGCGGAGTAAAGCGGAAAACTTCGGAGAACCCATGCTCACACAAAGTGTCACCTACTACATGGTGATGCAAAACGAACGATCCTCATTCACGGCCGAGAATTTTTGAGACGATGATAAACAAAAAGTGAGGGAAGCCAACGGATGAGAGGCACTGTGAGCTTCGAGCCCAAACTAAAGATCTTTGATGGAATGGGGAAATGAGCATCAGAATCACCATAGAAGATGAGATCTTGCCCTTTGAAATTTCAAGACCGGAAAAAACAGAGCGATGGCGCGCTGTTGTCGAGAAAGACACTGAAGAATCAAACTGTGCTGCCCGTTCTCATGTCCTCTTTTCGAAAACAAATGCCACATTATTCATGCCCTATGCGGTGGCCTGAAAAGACAATGAAAACAACAAAATGTTCGGTGGAAGAAAGAATCAAATGGTGAGGCGCAACAACGGATGTCCTCCGGAAAGCTACTAGAAAAATGAGCGAATGGCTTGCGCGGAGGGTCTGGGTGAATGGCATAAACAAGCAAGAAAGCAACGTCCATATTCGCTCTCCGTTTCGACAGCACGAGCAGCTGTGCCCATGCTGCGAGAAAGAAGTGATTCCCTGTTATTACTTCGCTGTGAAAAGCCGCACGAGAGCTAGATATGCTGTCCGAAGAAGAGAAATAAGGATATGAAAACCAAGATGATGAAAAGTCCTCAATTCGTAACTAGACTCTGATTCGCTTGGAAGAAGAAAAACACGAGATACGGAACGATGTCTTCTGCCGGTTGGAGCGAAAAAAAATGCTCACGAGCTAAAGCCATATGTGCGACTATATCGAGCAATCCGAAATCTTATGGTCGCCCTTGGCTAGAGCTTGGAATTCTATGTAAGAGGATGCGCTCTGAAGGAAAATTGATACGCCCAAAGTATATGTTGAACCTTGCCGTTGTGGGATTCGCGGCTCCCTGTCGTGGGCCGAAATATGGTGGACGGTGGTGCTCATCATCATTATTTCAAGTTGGTGGTGACGGGCGACATCGTTGATTATGTTGGATTGATAATACGAATTCTCATCACTACTTCAAGTTGGTGGTGATGCGCAAAATCATTGAAAGTCTTGAATTCGATACTGCCATTGATCTATAGCCAAATTAAGAAGATCTTAGATCCGTTCTATGTATCCTACTTGTCTATTTATACCCCAGAAGTATTATTCAGGCAATCCAACAACGATATGGCCAATGCCTCTTGAAACGCAGGCCAGCATTTCAGTCTTCTGTTCGATCTCCGTAAGAGCCGTGCCTCTATGCTGCACCCTCCCACTCTTGACTGGAACTCTGCAAGTTCCGCAGTTACCTACTCCACAAGAGCTGCCGATATCAAAGCCGGCGTCTCGCATTACGTCCAAGAGCGATTGTTCAGATTCGACTTCTAGAGGCCCCTTCGTTTCATTTGAGAGGACGTCTACGGTAAAGGGGTCTCCTGTCGTGTCGGCGCCTTCGAAGACCTCGTAGTGTATCTCGTCTGAAGTCATACCTGCAGCGGAGGCTGCCTCGACAGTGCCATCAATCATACGCTGTGGACCGCAGATATATACATGGCTGTTCCAAACTCTATTCGTTAAGATGTCGGGGATGTTCATGCGCTGTCCTTTTGACTTGTCGTAGATGGTAACATCAGCACTGAAGCGTGACAGCAAATCGGTAAATGCAACCTCGCTTGCCTCTCTGACCGCATAATGAAGGTGGAAGGTCTGGTTGATGTTGCTGAGACGTTCCATCATAGCGAGAAAGGCTGTGATTCCAATGCCTCCTGCAATGAAGATGTGGTTCGACGCCATCTGATCTCTACTCATGCCGGCACCGATCGATGCTAAACCTATAGTATCCCCAAGAGTGAGCTTGTCGTGAATATACGTTGATCCTCCTCGGCTGCTGTCATCTCGGGCCACTCCAAGGACAAAACAATCTGTGTTCCCGCGGACGACCGAGTACGCACGCCTAAGTCCATTAGGAAGTTTGATATAAGCGTGGCTTCCAGCGTCGATTTTTTCAGGTGATTCAGATTTTCGCACTCGTTCCAGCTCAAGTCGCACTATCCGTGGTGTCTCAAGGCTTTTACTTTTGACTGTGAAAGGCACCCACGCTTCCGACCGCCTCGCGTTCTTGGATTGGATTTTCCTTAGTCTCTTAATGAAGACTTTCCTACACTCGTTCCCTATCACCTCGATCGCAGCAAGCTCCTCAGTGACAGCGTCATCCTTTGTATCACGATGTACGTAGTGATGCAATCGAGCGATCGACCATTTTGGCTGGGTCCGACGAACAATGCGGATTTCCATGCCCTCGTGTATCCACCCCTCCTCCTTCACGCGATAGTACCACCCCGTCTTAGCCTCTTGATGAGTACGCGGAGCAAAATTCTTGATGCCAAACCGTTGGTTCAGCTTGAAGCATGGTTGTCGTGGTAGACTGACTTCTAGAAGACAGCCATTCGCTCCACCCGTGAGAGTGGACCCGGCAGGTCCAATTCTTACGAGGTCACCGATGCAGACATTACTTTCGTTCAGACCGTCCGCTACAAAGTTCTCGCCAAAGCCTCCCGGGACAAACTTTGCAAGGATTTCTGGAGAAGGGTAGAGAGAATGCCAGAAGGAGTAGTTTGACGAGCAGTACTGGTGGATAGCCTTGTCAGGACCACCATGGAAGGTCAAGTCATGCTCGTCTTCGGAGAGACCAAGGGGGGAAACGTAGAGTTTTCCAGAGCGTAGTTGCTTGTCAATGCCACTGAGGACAGGACCGAATGGCCGGAGCTTAGAGGTTCGAATTTGCTCAAGGGTTGTTGGTGGTGGGATATCGATCGAGGAGAGGTCAATACTGGGTTGTGGTTGGGAGCCCATGGCCAATGAGGTGTGCCACACGAATGATGACACCTGATGTGTAGATAGATGAACTTTTTTTCTTGTCACAGTTGTAAGGTTGGGTCGAGTATTGACATTAGGTATTGTTTGATTGTGCGAAACAATATAGGCCTGTATCAGGAAAAGTATGCTAAAGGAAGAAGTTGTGAGCTAAAAAAAAATACGAAGAGAACTGCTGGCCTGTGTGATTCATTATTATATCTGCAGCGATCTGGAATGCATCGCTTTCAAAGCTTGAGGCTCTGCGCTAACAAAAGTCAACGCTAAGTACCAAAATTCCACTCGTGTGGGGAGATAGGTATGAGATTATTGGTAACAGAATGATGGAAAGAGATCGACTCGACCATTGAACGAGCGCCAATGAGCCACAAGCTGCGTTGTTCTTATAGGGATGTGTGAGAAAGTAGTCCAAATAGAATCTGCGCGGCCGTCATCGTAATAAGTACCCCGATCTGGTAAATTGGTACGAGTAGAACCAAAAGGTCACTATAGAATGTAAGCCGAAATATAGTACTGCGTTCTCTTAGAAGGGCAAGAGGTTAATCAAATAAGAAAAATGGTAATCAAGCATAAGCATAATAACTATATTCAAATAACTTCTCTTATAGATTAACCTAACACTGGCCATTCTGCCATAGATGATCAAGGGAGGCACTTTTCCTATATCCTAGCAGTAGTAATTATATCTATTGTTTGACGAATTACTCCTCAGAGAGAGAATTATAGATCGAAATATATGGAGATACTTGACGCCAAGGAGAAACTACCGAAAATACGTCATGTGATGTCTTCTAGTACTCGTATAAGCTCGCATTAGAAGTAAAGAAGCTTTCAACAATACAGGATAAATCATTTTACCTTTCTTACTCTCATTGACGTCGAAATGGCTTTCAGACATTCGAGACGCATAGCCCAAAGTTCTTTGCAACTGTTTCAACGCAATTGCTTCCCCCAATGTTCACGGAGATTTGCCTCGGCTGCGGCGAGCGGAGATGCAAGCAACCTCCCGCTCGCTGGTATTAAAGTACTCGATATGACAAGAGTGCTCGCTGGTGTATGATTACATTTGGAGACATGTTCGCCATAATTTCTAATACAATTACAGCCGTATAGTACACAAATTTTGGGAGATCTTGGGTATGCGATGGTAGCCCCAGTATGGCCTCCGCCGAGGTTAGACATATAGAGAAATGCCAATTGACATGACGACAGCGCTGAGATCATCAAAATCGAACATCCAACACGCGGAGGTAAGTGCTATTCACATTTATTGTAGACGACAGCCAGCTAATGTGAGTATGGTAAAAAGACGACACTCGAGCTTGGGGACCACCATATGCCAAGCATGTAAATGGAGATCATACGGATGGACCTGGGGAGAGTGCATACTATCTTGGTGTAAGCACACGTATCGAGCTAATTTCATTTCATACTTATAATGCCGTTCTACAGGTCAATCGCAACAAGAAATCCTTAGGACTCTCATTTGCCCATCCCGCAGGAGTTGACATTCTCCACCGGCTGGTGAAAGAGTGCGATGTACTTGTGGAAAACTATCTACCGGGGTCTCTAGGGAAATACGGCATGGACTACGATACCGTATCAAAGATTAACCCTGCTCTCATCTATGCCAGTATTACCGGATATGGCCAAACAGGACCATACAGAAACAGGGCTGGATACGATGTTATGGTAGAAGCGTGCGTATGCCATACATACACTTATATTGTAGACACTGACACGATTTAGGGAGTTTGGTTTGATGCACATCACCGGTTCCAGAGATGGGCCGCCTGTCAAGGTTGGCGTTGCTGTCACGGATTTGACGACTGGCCTATACACCTCCAACGCCGTCATGGCCGCTTTGTTAAGCCGCATGAAGTCTGGTAAAGGACAGCACATCGATGTTGCTCTCAGCGATTGCCAGGTAGCAACCCTAGCAAACATTGCTAGCTCTGCCCTCATCAGTGGCCAGAAGGATTCTGGTCGATGGGGCACTTCGCATCGTTAGTACTCCATGGAAGATTATGCCGACAGCTCTAACGTCATGTAGCATCGATTGTCCCTTACAAGGCATTCAAAACCTCGGATGGCGACATTCTTCTAGGAGGTGGGAATGACCGACTCTATGGAATCATCTGCAACCGTATTGGCAAGCCAGAGTACATCACAGACGAGCGATTTGTGACAAATGCTCTCAGAGTGAAGAACCGGGAGACATTGGAAGACTTAATAGAACAAGAGACACGCCAAAAGACCACGCAGGAGTGGTTAGACATACTCGAGGGTAGCGGCATGCGTGAGTGGTCCATACTGTTCGCCTCGTACGATGTACTGATATGAACAGCTTATGCTGCCATTAACGACATTCAGACTACTTTGAGCAACGAGCATGGTACGTTTGATCCTCCATCTGAGAAGCCACAGCAAGCTAACAGGCATTTAGTACTCGCGCGGGGAATGGTGCAAGAAGTTGATCACCCAGCCTGCGGACCCATCAAGCTCCTCAATACTCCCGTCAAGTATTCAGACTCCAAACCTGGTATCCGAACACCGCCACCAACACTGGGCCAACACACAGATGAAATATTGCAAGAGACATTGAGGATGGATAAGGAAGAGATAGATCGTCTGCGCAGCGATGGAGTTGTGGCGTAAGATGAATATTTTAGACATCAAAGAAGATAGACAAACTACTCCATAGAGTTTGTAATCCATAATTTGAGATACTGCTCCTTCGCCCTGCTGAAGACTACAAATAATCTCTATGGAATTCATGAAGGATCCGTACTTAGTCAGCGACCACGCACGGGCCACATGATACTCGGGAGCACTTACAGCTCTAACGTTCGTGATGTCGTTTATGCACAATCGAACCCAGTCGTGAAAGCTTATGGTGGATTTCTGGGACTCGCTGACCTGATATAAGCAATCGCATTCACGCGCTCTACACCATGAGCGCATCAAACCCGCCAAAAGATGGCGCCGGAGCCGTCAATCGCACATCCAAACCCGTGGAGATCGCACCCAAGCCCAGTCCCAGACTTGAAGCTGCTCCAGCTCCCACCTCCGCGCCGGCTCCCCAGCAACCTGCCGCCACAGATTCGACAGCACCGGTAGCGGCGCCAGCATGGAGGACTTCTGGTCCATCTCTTCCAGATAGTATGCCTACATTCAACGAGTACTCACCTGCGACTGCGGAGATATTGAATCGACTGCGCTCGAACCCTGGCGCTTCACTCGGAACCCTTGCTTTTGAGGCCAAGAGAGCAGAGGTGTTGCAAAGTTATGTGACGAGTGACAAATTACCGACACCGCCGCCGATCGCAAACAATGCGCGCAGAGGAAGAGGTGGGAGAATAGGGACGCCCAGTCAGTTGAAGAAGGATGTGTCTGCAAGCCCAGCGACAGCTCCTACACCGACAGCTGTGAGAGGAAGTGGACGGGGGAGGGGACGAGGTCGAGGTAGACGTGGTGGGCGTGGTGGGAAACGGAAGCGATCTGAGAGTGCGGATGATAGTGATGTAGGCTGCAATCCGAGGACATTCCAGTTTGAATCCGGATTAACATATAGCAGAACGACTCCGATATCTCTTCGTCATATACACCGCTTCCTACGCAGACAAAGTCTGGCCGTAACGTGAACAAACCCGTCGCCTTTGTGCCCACTCTCCCAGAACCATCACCAGCCGTGAAGCGACGACGATCGACGAAAACGATCCTTGCGGCGCAGTGCAAGGTGTGCCATAGAGGCACCGACCCGGGCAATAACCGCATCGTCTTCTGTGATGTATGTACCACTGCATACCATCAGTACTGCCACAACCCACCGATCGAGAACGAAGTCGTGAACGTTCTGGAGAAGGAATGGTTATGTGGACCATGTCAGCGTTCAAAACAGAACGTGGTGGAGGGAACAGAAGACCTGGTTAGCGGAGAAGGCCTGTCCATAGACGAGGTATGGCCCATAACGACACAAGCATCGATTTCAATTATACTTACACAAGTCCAGAAAAAAGCATATCTTTCCACACTATCACAACCACAACTTCTATCCCTTGTATTGCACGCTACAATACGCCATCCAGAACTTCCCATCTTCCCAAGTAACATCGAAACTCTCATAACGAAACTACCGAAAGTCACGAATGTGTCAAGCACGAACGCCGCAATGACAAAACCAGACCAACAAGCGCCGTCAGTATCTCGATACATACAGCAACCCAACACCAGCACCACGCCCGCAGCAAATCCAACGCAAAACGGCCTCCCTACACCCTCGAAACCCAACAACAACAACAACTCCCGCCCGCCCCCTCCCTCAAACTCTCAAAACTCGACATCCCCAGACCTGGACCCCGCAGAAGCCCAACTCCTCGGCGAAATCCCCAACCAACCCAAATCCGCAGCACCAGCACCAAAACCCACAATCCCCCTACCCTGGTCCGGAGCCCCCAAGCCACTCCCCGCCACAACCGTAGACAACGCGCACCTCTTCACGCTCCCCAAAACCCCCACCAACGAAGAGGAAGACTACGAAGAAGACGACGACCCGCCCGCGCACTACCCGAAACCCGGGAATGGCCTCGCAAGGACGATGCGGCCCGAGAGCGAGGACCTGCAGTGGCTCGTCGACGACAACTTCGAGGTCTTTAGTCACCACCACCACACGCCGTTCAAGATCGGCGACGATGACGACGTCGACGACGAGATCGACGTCGATGGCATGTGATGTGATGCAATGGCACCTTACGTACCGACTCGAACAGGGTCTGTGGGTGTGATCATTCTTGGGCGTTCTTTCTTTTCTACATATGCTGGGCGTTCACGGTCGGGGATACGGCATTTTTCCAGGGAGGTATACAGGCGGCGTCGAGGTTTCTTAATCCCTTTTTTTTTTTCTCCACTACCGACTGTCTGTCTACGTGGCGGACAGGTCTGGCGTTGTCACGGGTGAAGAGGCGGGCAGGAGAAAGCACTCATTGCTTCTTCCGCTGCAATCACCCTTGTTATTGCATCATGAACCTCAGAAAGCGGCAGCGGGACGGACGCGAACGGGCAGTACAATACATGTACGCGGACCTGTAGGAAGGATGGATGTCGAGGCAGCTAGGCTGAAGAACTCATGTTTCCCTAGCATGAACGATACGAATTGTGGAAAGAATGAAGGAGGAAATAGCAGGAAACGAAAAGGGAATGTCAAAAAGGGAAAAAAAGGAAAAAAGGTCCATTCGTAGTATCATTACCTACCATGCCTCTATTAGGTACCTACCTTATTAGCTATTATACCAATTCATCATTACACATACATTCACACATCACGCATTCAAACCACGAGTTTTTCAATATGTATATTGTTATTTCAGAGTAACCTAAGCTAACCTGACTTAAGTCAAGCCAAAGCCGAAGCCAAGTCGGTTACTCTCTTCGCCATTCAAATCCGGCGGATGCGCCTTAAGGGCGCGAGCGCATACGCAGCTCTGCTATGTGTAATTTTTTTGTGAGGTTTGTCTAATTGTGTTTTCATATGTTCGAGTCGAGTCGTTTTGCGGGTAGATTCCCATCGACTGGCTGTTGTGCTCCGTGTCCTTGATGTCGAAGGAAGGTCATTGTCCTTCGATTGGTATTGGGGAAAAGTAGTGTACATGAAGGGGAAAGGGGGGCAATGGGGGATTGGGTATAGTGGTTCGTGAGAAAAGCAGAGACTCCGATGGTGTGCATTTGTTTGGAACGCCGAGGCGATGGATGAGGTTGTTCCCATTCACCATTCCCGATGAGGTGAATGGAAGTTGGAAAGAGAAAGGGAGACGGAAGGAGAGGAAACGCTGAGGTGGGGTATGAGGCAGAAAGCAGAAGTCCAAGGTGACTATAGGAGAAGACAAGAAGCAAGAGGAGAAAGTCAAAGTGTCCGATGCGAGATGGGTGGATAATCAAGTGGCCAACGGGTGACCAAGTGCAGACTAGACCAGTGTACCTGAATGTGCAAGAGACTCCAGGGAAGAAGCGAAGTGATACACCCAAGACCCAAAGAGCTATGCATGATAATCCAGGTTTAAAAGTCGTCGTCGTAGTTGTACTCGTCCTCCTCGTAATGGCCGGGATCGATGAAGTTGCCCTCCTCGTCGTACTGGTCGTTGTAGTCCTCTTCGTACTCTTCTTGTTCGCCGTGGGCCTCGTTGTATGCAGCACCGGCAGCAGGTTCTGGTTGTTGTTGCTGCGCCGACAAATCGGGTTTTTGGCGCTCCGAGCCGGATGAAGCTGCTGGGCTTGCACCAGTAACGTTCGCTGCTGCACCTGGTGTCTCCTCGCCATTCTTACCGACGAGGTTCAAGAGCGCTGCATAGTCTATGTGCTGGGAGAATTTGCTGCCCTTGGCGCGCTCCTGCATCATGAGTGTTGCTGCCTCGGCAGGACCAGATACCTGCCTGCCTTGGAGCAGACTACCATCGCCCATCTGGCGGTGTCGACGTTTCTGCTTCTGCTTCTGGCCTTTGTTCTGCACTTCTTCGAGTTCTTTGGCGAGGTTCTTGCGCTGTTGTTCGCGGAGCCAGTCTTCGTTCTCCGCGACCCAAAGACGTTCCTTGATGCGTATTTCGTCGGGAGTATTGAGGCAATTCATAACTTCTTCATCGTGCTCGAACTCGTCCTCTTCGATGTCTTCGGTCTCGGGGATGTTATTGTCTGGCCTGTGTTCAGACGCAATGGCGGTGGCTTTCGCGCCAGCGGCGACAAGGATCGGATGGGCTTCGTTGTCTTTGAAGACCTTAAAGATTTTGTCCCATTCGACCAAGCTCTGGGATACTTCTTCTTCGAGATCCGCCTCTATTTCGAGATCCTCGTCAGGAATGATGATGGGCTCGCGTTTCTTCGGCGGTCGGCCGCGTCTCTTCTTCAAGGGAAGGGGCTCAATCTCCTCGTCATGTTCCACTGCGTCCGCGATGTCTTCTAATTCCAGCAAGTCTGCATCACCCGGCACGTCTGGAATGACGAATCCGTCCTCGTCTCTTCGAGGTTCTCGAGAAGACGATGCTTCACTGTCTCCAGTTGACTCGGCGCTATTGTTTGGGGTCTTGCGTTTCTTGCGCGTGCTACGCCTTTGTGGTTCCGATCCTCCGGCTGCGTCCTCGACTCCGCTGTAGTCGATGTCATCGTCGCCGTCGGAACCCTCATCTTCACCCGATGCTTGCCGAAGCTTCTTGCGTTTTCTCTCTTCTTTCTGCTCACGGCGCCAGATAGAGGGTGGCATAATCTCATCCTTGACCCGTAGCCCAAACTCTCTGAACTGGTTCACAGTCAGCTGAGAACTCTTAGTCTGCTTGAATTCGTAGAGTCGCTGGTTGATCGTCGAGTCGGCCACCTTGACAACATAGACTACCTCACGAACGGTTCGACGGTAGTTGTTCATTCTCGCAGCCAGGATGATGCAAGCCCCGCAAAGACCGGCGGGTTGACGACCCTGAACCATCCAATCTCGCTTCATTCGTCTCAAGATCTTGCAAGCATCTTCGGCGACGCGGTAGGCTGCTTCCTCAAACTCAAGTTTACGACAGAACTTCAGCATCAATGGTTCGATCTGCTGGATGGTGACCATGCCCTGGACGTTTTCGGGATCCTCCATCATGATTGTCTGCAGGAATTGCTTGTACGTGTCTCCGAGCTTCCAGACGTTGACTTGGATCTTCTCCGAGAGGTCCATGAGGAGAAGAGTATTATCCGGCTGCCTGCGCGAAGCCAGGTATATGGCTATGCTGAGTTAGCGTATCTCCAAATGAGCTGCTTAGAAGCTCTCTCACAAATAGCTGCCACGTTTCGAACCCGTCGACCTTGCACAAAGTTATGAGACAAGGCAAGCTTGTACAGCGAGAAAGCCTGCTCCTCGATATTGAGTCTAATGTTCATGGCTCCGCAGAGCTTCTGAATCTCAGACTTTCCCTTCCACTCGGTCTGCTCTCGGCTTGCTATGCCTCCAAGACCTCTAGCGGTTCCTCCCATGGTATTGGCGTGACGTTGGTTCTCTCCGACAAAGGCACCTGGTATGACTCAGCCTATGCATCTTGCCAGAAGTTGGCAGGCAAAACACCACATACCTTGAACAACGGCACCACCAGCTGCATTTTCACCAAAGGTGACCTCGGAGACAATGTTGCTGTCACTAGAGAAGATTCGACCGCAGCTGTAGCACAGAGTCGAGCCATCGTCCTCGATGCTGATCTCCTGCGAATCGCAGCAGACATATTTCTTGGGTTTCGCGTTGGCGTTGGAAGAAGGCGCGGTGAAGTTGGGCCTCGCGGAGGGCTTGTTGCGGGTCGCAGTGTAGGTAGGCACGGATCTGAGGTCGAATTGTCAGTATCGCATCCAGAAATCTTCTACAGGAAGAGCGAAGGACTTACGCGGGGTTGTTTAGAGATTGCAGCCGTGGGGCTTTCACCCTCGGGACTGTAACTGGACCTGGCATTATTGTAAGTTACACATGAATCAGGTTGATTTGTGCGTTTGTAAACAACGCGCGGTGCGGTGTGTGGGGGATTTGTAGGGATTGTGATTCTTTCGTCCTCGAGTACGTGAAGGTATTCAAGTGATTCTAAGGTTTAAGCGGGTCTCACGTGACTATTCGGGAGTCGGGGTTGACACTTTTTGGTGGGGCCGTGCCAAGAGATAAACCTGCGCTAAAGATGTAAGCGAGAGCCGACTTGGCTCCACAGTGAGAGATCAAGCGAGGGAACGCTAGACGAACCAAGTGAGAGGAGGGGGAGTGAACAGGGAGGGAGTGAAGGTGATGGAGTGAACAAACATGTCAAACAACAGTAGTCAAGTCGAGTCCCATCAATTCACCCAATGCAAAACATCCCAATTCGTACAAGTACGCTAATACCTATCTGGCATCTACCTTGACCCGAACCAGCCATCCTGCGAGCTCCCACTCTCTCTCTACCTTTCGCCTTTCACCCAGCAGTGAGAGGAGAGGGACACGACTGCTCTAGCCAGAACCTGCGCTCCGTGACCAAACTGTACTGTGTATGACTTGTAGCCACGAACCACATGTCATTTTATTTGCTTCGAGAGATGATTCCTGATGATCCGAGAGACTTCGAGTGATGATGGAGTTCTATCGCATTGAGGATTCCGTATGCTCTCCACTCTCTCACATCTCACATCTCCGATATCCCCATAACCCGCGAACCGCAAACCGCATGCGAGGTACCGGTACCTCGTAGGCTGCGTGCGGACTCGACACCCGCGAGTTGATTGTCTGCGGTCCTTTTCGCTCGTCATCACACGTGCCTTGCTATTGGTCCAGTCTGGCACTCCAATCTTAGCACACGGGTCCCTTGCCTGTGCTGGTGCTGCCCTGTCCGTCCTTCCCAGCCTCCGTCCAAAAGTATGGCGTTAGCCTGGCTCCCTCCACCTCCCTCCCCCCCTCCCCGCCGGCTTGCCTTGCTCTGCTCTTGCAACCCCATCTCACCTCCTCAACCTCATCCCATCACTCTTCAATCCCCTTTTCCATTCCCACACTCCCCATACCCCATCACAACCCATCATGTCTACCCGCAAGAGAAAGCAAGAGGCCGAGGAGGAGGAAGAGCTCCAAGCACTTCCATCCGACGAGGAAGAGAGCGAAGAGGAGTAAGTAGCACCCGTCCTCCTTTGACGTCATGTCTTCATACCCATTTTCCTCCCAACGTCGCCAATACCCAAAAGCACCTCAATTGCGGTCGCTTTCCATCGTTATATCGAACTGAAGCTTCCATGTCGCGTGTCCGAGCTTCGTTGTGGCTGCGCGAGCTGCTTCAGTGACAGCTTCCAGCCTGCTCAAACCAGAAACTGGACACCAGACACATCCAGCCTTGTCGATTTTCTTCTTCTCCCCGTGCCTGTCGTCGTGTGTTCATGCTCTATCAGGATCGCAGGTTGCGTCTTCGATTCAAATTGATTCTTCCTTTTCCGCTTTCCCGCGCTTTTGTTGAACTGATTACTCCGTACTGCTTGTGTATATGTGTTCGCGTGGCACAAGGCTGACGAATGTGTCCTCCCAGATACCAAGAGTCTGAAGGATCTGCAGCCTCATTCGATGATGAGGATGAAGAGTCTGCGGATGAGGAGGCTCCCCGTAAGTGACATGCTTGTACCGTCCCATTGCGACATCTGACACCTTGCCTATAGCCCCCAAGAAGAAGACAAAGGTCACCAAGGAAGGTGGTGACGATGACGAAGAGGAAGAAGAGGAGGAAGAGGAGGAAGCCGAAGTCGAAGAAGAGGACGAAGACGAGCCTCCAGTCGAGGACGAGGATGCCGATGAGGATGCCAATGGCACCACAAAGGCACCTGGTGCTGAGAAAGATCGCGAAGTCAAGCCTACCAAGGCTGATGATGCAGTCCCAGTCGTTGCCGACGGCGACGAGGAGGATTAAAATATGTTGTTGTCGAGCCGTTGACTTCAATGTATGATGTTTTGCCGGATGTATGTAATGACTAGTAACAACGACGGGTTGTTATGATTAGACAAATGTGCGAGCACTGGTCTATCTTCAATGGCACTTTGATCAGACTGCAACACAATTGCTTTAATGTGTGAGAGTCGACTAATTGTTGAAGTCGTTAACTCCGGTGACTTATCCGCGCATGATATCGACCGCCGCGTGTAATTTAAGTTGCACTTCTACTTACCATTCGCCAGGTCTTTTCGAACGATTCGTCGTCCATGATATAGTACGATGGCTTGCGTTCATTGATTGGCGATGTCCATCGGAAGGTTCCGCAGCAGTGAGCTATGTTGAAGCCATGAGATCTACTAAATTGTTACGTTGTGCGTGGATCCACTACGAGCCTGTGGCTTTTGGCACCCCGTAAGTTAAATCGACCACTTCAAAGAAACGAGTTCGAGAATCAGTGTCTGCACTGGCCAACGATCGTACTCGTACTGCAGGCTTCGATCGCCGCATGCGGAAGCAGGAGAATCCCGTCCCGTAGTGGACGGAAGCATCGGTCCCACGGAAGTTCCGACCACGACGAGTGATGATCTCGACCACTGCAAAATGACCACATGCCCCCATATCTCCTGAAAATTCCGAGTAGATGGTCGTGAGGCTGAGATAGTCTTATGGTTCACCGGATGTGTTCTGGAACCTTTTGATGGTCGCCGTTCAATTCAGGTGGACCGTCGGTAGGCAGCTCCTGGAATGCGGTTTTTCTGAGATGTTTCCTGTCTAATCTTGTGATATTGATCTCGATAGATCCGGCAACAATAACTAGTTTACGTCAGACCGGTGGCATGAATTGGGTTGGAAGGCTCTTGCCCGTATGCTAGATGGAATAGACCAAGCAGGTACTAAGACTGTGACAATCGATTCTTTGCGTTCTTTCCTTAGGCGATTCCATTCCAATCCACTGTCTCCATTACTTTTAAAAGCGGAACACAGTGTTATCCAAGGCACTTTGGATCGAATGCCGCGCTGTTGGGTCGTATTTCGTCGTTGTCATTCCTTTCGCCACGGCTGTAGACTGGTGTGGATATCCTCTATCTCGATCTGTCAGTGGCGATCGTTAAAGTAGCACCATATGCTGGACTCATGATCATTTCATCTCTGTATATCAGTTCTGACACGGTTTTCCGGTTTCCAAACGAATGCTCCTGCATAAATCATTCATTGCAACCTCCGCCTTGAATTGCGAACACTTCGGTGGATGAGAAAAGGAAATGAGCTGCCTCTCATCGCCATAGGTGTCACTGCAACCCTTTTTGCGGTACAGTATCCGTGATAGTGTTTTGGAGCGAAGAGTAGGGAAAGTTGACCAGGCGGGGTGGATGTTGTTCTTGCTTCATTTAATGGAAGGCGCGTCCCATGATATCATGGGCATTTTTCCGGATAGTGCAGGATCAATCATAGTTTTGAATTTCCAGTGATTTTATTTTTTCCAGACATATAATTTCATCTTAGGATTCATCGAAGGTGAGTATCTATTTCGGATAGGGGAGTTGTCTCCCTGTACCACGCACGCGTGTGTATTTGTTGCAGAATGAAAGTTCGATTCCAGACCTGAGGCAAGTCAACATCGGTATAATTACTAGGATAACTCGGATACAGATACTTGACATGTAGCTCCGGTGATTAGAGTGAAAATACCATCCCAATTTTTTATCACAGCCAGAGCTTGGTCTAGCTCAGGTAGACACCTCATACATGTGTTGAGTGGAAAACAAGACTAATTGATTCAAGGATCAATTGACTACATTTGCTAATGATTGCTGCAGTTACTGATACTCAGCACACAGTAGCGCTTTTCCTCGAACATATATTCAAGTGCTCAGAACGTGCTTGAGCCGTATGATTGGGCCAGCATCGTCGACACATGATCAACAACTGAAAACAACCTGCCAACGCATCGAAATAACTCCAATGTTCTTCCAAAGCGAATCATTATTGAATGCGGCAACAGCGGCTTTCTCTCTTTTCCATCTCGCCAACGCACTCGCCAGACCTGCTCAAAACTTTTCGACGACTGCAGCAGTGCTATTATGCGTCATCACTGGGTTTCCTTATCTCGCTCGCTTGACAATAACGCTCATCACTCTCTCTATTAGGAAAGATTTCACCACTACCACTTTTGCTACTACAGTACTACTACTACAGGCATGTCTCATCTCATGGGGCCCCGGAAAACGAGAAATAGAGACATTCGCCATGCCGATCATCTCGCAATCGCCTCGAGGTCTCGCAGAACTGTGAAGCCGCAAACCTCTGGCGCCACCAACATTCCGATATCGCAATTCCGAACAGCTGTAAGATCTGCAAACAAGTTCCATGCCTACGAAGACGATAACGGTCGTTGATTCGGGGAGTCGCAATTCTCGAAGTCTCCGTCTTTCGGCGGGGACAAGAAAGTCTCCATAGCGATGTTTGTCGCTCGTGCGGGGTTCTGCGATCTGATTCGTCGATAGACCTGAGACCTCTCTGCTCATCGCTACCTCATGGATACTTACCTTTCCCTATCTACGGATAACGCGGATTGCCCATTTGAGCTGTATCGACGTTCTAAACGTACTGTATCTACTCGTATACAGGCGTGCGACACAGATAGATCTCACTCCGAGGCCTCTACTGCAACTATGCGCAACACAGTAAGCCCTTACACTACGCCTTCCAGCGTCTCGGAAACGCCATAGACAATAGCGACCCCGACCTGCGAAGGGACCCTTTTCTGCCCTCGAGATAAGATTGTGGGGTAGAAGGGAAGGGTACCAAGGTCGAGTAGGGCCCTGTAGAGTGCGACACCGCAAAGGATGGTTAACGGTACAGCTAAACCTCCGTACTGAAAGGATTCGATGGGTACATGCTAAAGTCTCACCTCATAGCCAGCTTTCCTCCCGGGCTATGGTAGACTCTAGGTACCTACCCGTACCCATTCGCGGAAATTGCGAACTCGCACGAGTAACCGCAATGAGGAAATAACGAGATTTGGGGGGAGAGTTCCAGTAACCGAGAATCAAGTGCTGTTTGACGGATCTTGGTTATCTCCTCTTCCAGAATAACAGGTATTGGATGTCAAGGAATGGTTGGAATGTACCCTGTATGATGTAGAAAGGTACATACAGTACATCATTATTATTGGGGTTGATCAACAAACAACGTCAATGTCGTCATCCAACCAATCCACCATCACACTTGGAAGTGTAGATAGTCGTACTTTGGACTCGGACATATGCTATCAATACCTCCGTCTCGATTAAGACATCCCTCTTCGGTGAGACACGGCGTATCGTACAATCAACCAATTCCTCGTCGCATGTGAATTGATATGCGCAGGTTAGTAATTCACCACCGGTCCTGCGAGACCTCAAACAAAAGTTTCCATAATCTCTCCTATTCAGTTATCAGCCCCTACCCACTAGCAAGATTGATTCACCCAATTCCAATTAATGCAATCTCCATGATCCTCTCGTACGATCGAAACACGCATTGTCCAAATAATCAGCACCTTGAGATAGTTAGGAGCTGGGTAGCTATAGGTAGTCAAGCCACAGCCAGTCAGCTCCGCCGCAGCAGCCCCCATACAACAAACAACACCACTTGCCATTCCGAGCAAAGTGCTCTCCACTCCCAGCTACGCCTCACTATAACCACAACGCCAGCACAGCAAAGCACAGGACGTGTACATGCCAAATGTACCTCCGACCCCCGACCCGTGGAGGCGCATCATTACTAGCATTAATTCCAAATGCACTGTCTTTTCCCACTGTCCAATCTCGGTAATGGAAGGGTAAGTTAGATGGAGAGGTAGTATCGGACAGGCGTCCGCAACGTCGTCCGTCTGCCATAAGCACAGCACACAGCACACATCAAGCGCAATAGGAACACTATACGAGCGAGTATCACAGCGCAGAGAAACCAACATCCAGCCAGTTCAGCCAGCAAACCATCACATCAGCGCATTGTTTCAAAGTATCCCGCCCCTTCCCTTGCCTCTGTCGCCTTCAAATGCTTCGGGGCGCTTGATGATTCCATCTTTGTCGTATCATTATTGGTCGCTTTTATGCGTTCAATCAGCCAGTCAGGTAGACTCAAGTACTGTGATATATTTTCATCGGGTTTGTGTTTCGAGATTCTTAGATAATGCCAGTTGTGCATCGTGTTTGTGTGGTGGTGATTGTGAGTGGATGGTGATTAGTTCGGGGTTCCGTTAAGGGAAACATTGAGCCTCACATCTTCCTATTTGGCGATGCATTCAATCGCACTTGAAATCCATCCATTTCTTTCCCACATACTCTGCCAGCGCACCACCATCACCATCAACAGCCGTGACAATAACCGTCCAGCTAACGGCGGCCGCTGTGCCGCAATCCCCAATACCCCCCAATTCATCCTGTACCTCTGCATCTGCATCTGCATCCTCAATACGATGGATTGGATGGAATGTCCGACATCAACTCTGGGGAAACGCACACAGTATGCCCCATCCCCCACAACCCACCACGGACTTAAACGCATCCAACCCACTATATCCACACGCCTATCGCGAACGCGCCGCATGGACGTGTATATGTATATATGTACCACCATTGGCACCATCCATCCAACCACTCACTCGGTCGGTCGGTCGGCCGGCCTGTGCCTGTGCCTGTGCCTGGCTGCAAAGTGCCACGACGTCAATCATCAGCACATCAATACATGCATGCTTATATCTATACCCACGGGGATAGGTAAACCCCAAACCCCGAAGGCCAGGAACACACCTACCCGAGCGATTGGATATTACAGGCACGTACATACGTACGGATATCTCGATAGAAAAACCCTCCCACCATCCGTAGATGTGTAGGTTCCCTCGTGGCTGTCGTGGGTTGAGTATTACATCAGCCCCCAAACCCAGCGCAAAGGGTCTCCCCTGTCCTTTCTACCCAAAGATCTATGGAAGAGAGAAACTAGAAGAAAGGCAAGGGCAAGGGTGAGGAAGAACAGCAAAGTCCGAGATCTGAATCTTTGAATCTCGAAAGCTGAGCTTACTGTGATGTGCCTGAGATGGCATACCCTGTGCCATGTGCCACGGCCCCTGTAGAGCGAACGTCGTGCCTTGCATGCTGGATGCGTGCGTCTTAGTAGAGTGGTAGAGTAGAGTAGATAGGGACTCGAGTGTGAGTGTGTGTTTCAGGACGACATGCTGGCGGGCGGGGTAGTGCACTGTTTGCGCCTGCTGGTGTTGTGTTTTTCTTTTGATAGTAGTTAACTGTACAGTTGGTTGGTATGTATGTATGTATGCGTTCATGCATGTACGCCTACATGCGTGCGCATGGTGATACTATATGTTGACAACGAGGCAAACAAGGCAAAACATCAAAAGGAAGACGCGGGGTTTCTGAAACTCTGCATTTCAAAACAGCAGTCTTCGGGCAGCGAGAGAGTCGAGTATGCAGTTGAAGGAGGGACGTTGGGGAACACGGGTATCTGGTGTTGTTGATATGGTTGTGTACGTACGCTGTAGGTAGTCGCAGGACGTGCTGTGATTCGCGGGGATTGGTTGGAGGGAGTAGGGAATGGGAATGGGGAATTAGGAAGTGGATTGGATTGGATTCGATGGGATGAAACGAAACGCAGAACGCGCAATACTGTGTCGTTCTCACGAGATGAAACCAGCAAAGGAAGGGATCTGGTATGGAAACTATTTGGGGTCTTGTTGGTGGTTTGCGGGGATGGACAATGATGGATGATCATTGTTCGGATGGGGAGTATTCGCTATCTTCCGAGAGTACGGAGTATGTACCTACTATCAGATAGGATAGATACTCGTAGATGTTTCGTTTCGTGTGGATGATTGACCACTCGCTTGCTTTACCTGCTTGCTTGATGACTAGATTCTTTTGTTGGTGGACGTTTTATCCCGTACGAGATAGTATCTAGAAAAAGATCAACACCCAAACGTTGGCGTTTCGTTTTGTTTCGACTTCCTGACGAAGTCCGTAGGCCAACGCCCCATGCCATGTTCTTCTCAGCAGGACGGTGCTGCAAATGGGCAATTCAACGTCAAACCCACGAACCCCACCACCGCGCCTCAGCAATCAGGCAAAGCAAATGACCCATCAATGCAAGCGAGCGGGCAATGATCATCAAACACCCGCAATCACAAAGCCTCTGTTTCGTCCCTTCTGCGCTGGTCTATCAGAAACATCATTCCAATTAGTTCCAAGTTCCCATCATGCGCCTCGCTTTGCCGCGGGACCATCCAAGAAAACCGTCGCAAGCATCACTACAGTGACCACACACACGCACCCCGTGGCCTCCGACCCTCCACGTGCGCCCTTCAAGGTACTCACTCACTCACATCACGAATACGTACTCACGATGTACGGCACCCATCGTCCTCGTACCACGATCGACGAGTCCCTTAACTTCCCGAGCGGGCGGCGGAAGCATTTGAACCCCGAGCTCGAGGGGAGAAGGACGGGATCTGCTGCGCTAGTCTTCGTCCCGTGCTATGAGACTTTCGACGTGAATCGAAGCGAATAGTAAAATGAAAGATCTAGAAACGTGATTGTTTTTTTCGTCCGAGCAGCCAGTCTGGCTCGCCCGAGGCCAGCTGGAGCTGAAGCTGAGGAAGTAAAATTGCACAGCTACGTGTAGACAAGCAAAAGCGAGCAGGCCAGAACTTCCATCGAGTACTCCCTTCACGCGGCCCCCTCGCTCCCGCCGAGAAAAGGACATGACTCCCACTGTGCAACTATCGTGAAAACTATCGTGAACCTTTCATAAACTATCAAGCCACACCCGCGCCCAAGCGCCACATATTTTTAACGAAAGCCCATCGAAAGCCGAATTCAATCAATCTACTAGAAAACTTCAACTAACTAGCTCCCCTATTTCGCTGGTCACAGGTTCGTTAATAGTTTTTTTCAGTACTTTCCTCGCTTCTCTTCCCTCAAGAAGAAACTTACCTTCCCAAGGCGAGTTTATCCGCTTTTAGCACAAGTACCTACATCGTGGGATTTTCGTCTTTTCTGTTTTCCGGACGATCGGAGTTCAAGACCTCGGATTGGATTTCCAACCCTACGAACCCTACGATGCAAAATCTAGAGTACCCTAGTAGTGGGGGGGGATTTCAAAGCACAAGAATGGTGCAATAGCAGTCACGATGTTCTTCACGACTTGAATTTTGATTATGGCTGAGTAATTCACCGTTGAGCATGATGCGCATACTGTGAAAGTCCTTATCGCGATCTGCTCGCTCATCATACGCCTTACCTTCGCACTCACATGCGCAGGCAAGTCGTAGATAACATCGTAGATTAGATAGCCACACACTACACACACACACACATGCAATATCTCCCTTTAATTATTATTTATCAGTCGTTGGTAAATGTTGGTCAGGCAAAGCCGCAAAAGGGCGGTCAGCCCACATGCCGTGCAGCAGTGTGCAGCAGATGTGCAGATGTGCATATTTGCTGCTGTGCTGTTCCTAGCTCGCTGCGTTTCGTTGTCTCGGGGCTGTGATTGGAGGGGTTTAATGGGTGTCGGTGTGCTTGCGCTGGGCTGGCTGGTTCTTCGGTTTCGCTTGGGAATTGTGGTTTTTGCGCTGGTGGGGGTGGTCGGTGAGTGTAAGGGAGCGCAGCGAGCGGGCGGAGGGTAGCGGATGGTGGGTGTAGATCAGGTGCCATTCTTAGTCCGAGGTCGTGCGGTTGTTTACTCCGAACCTCTGTGGTGGTTTTCCGGTGAGCGAAGTGACTGTCATATGCATGCAATAATGATTCACGATGATTCACGAAGAGAAGAGTAGATGTTTGAGTAAATTGTTTTGATTGTTTTTGGATTGGTTTTGCTATTCTAGTGATGATGGGAGTCTCTACCATTTTCACACACACTGTGTGAAAGGGAGATCTCATACCATGCTTTGATGTTCCCGTGGTGTTGTATCCTCCATGATTTTTCCTGTTCCTGATTTCCCGTATGACAACACCAGTCTCCATACAATTGGAGACGAAAATGAAATAGATAGATAGAGTAGAGATCATCGCTAACCCCAAGGGTTGCGGAATTCCGGATTCCAGTTCGTAGTGATTTGGATATCTCGTAAAGACAAAAAAGAAAAAGGCGGTCGTCGATAAAGTGGTATCCCGGATAATAAAAGAAAAAGATGCAATGCTCTCGATGATGAATGTCGCTGTGATAAAATTCGCTCGCTCGCTGGAAAATGCTCAGATCATTAAACAAATCGTAAAAGGTCGGTTTATGGTTTTGGTCGATTCGAGGCCAAAAGAAGAAAGGGGCCTAGTAGCTTGTAATGAGCGGAGCAGCAGCGACGCGGGGGTCTTGTATCGAGCCGAAGAAGGAGTCTTTGGCGTAGTACGATGTCGTGAGCATTGCCTCCTTGTCGGAGAATTCCATGGTGGCTTGCGGTGGGGAGACGGGAGGGGACTCGTCGTCCGACTCCTCGTCGTGGACGAGCTCGGGTGGTGATTGAGAGGGCACGCGAGTGAGGGCGAGGTCTGCGTCGTCCTCGAGGTCATCGTAGATATCGTCCTCATCCTCCGACTGGTCGTCGACCTCGGTGGTGGTGATCTGGACGGGTGCGGAGACGATGTGGCGGGGGAGGTCGACCATGTCGAAGTCGCCGTCCTCGTCGTAGTAGTCGGATTCAGAGTCAGAGTCGGACTCGGAGTCGTCCTCGTCGTCGGCGAGGGCATCAGCCCACTGGATGTGACGAGCCTCCTCGGCCTTGGAGGCCTTGCGGACGGTGTTGTTGAACCACTCCTCCTGCTTCCTCTCGGCCTCTGCGAGCTCGAGCATCAATGAGTCGAGGAGGTTGGCGTGTCCGACGAGAAGGCGGAGGTCGTGATCGGGCCTGCATGCCTCCTTGCCCAGCTTCGAGCGGGCGGAGGCAGCAATGTAGTAGGTCTGGGTGAGAGACATCTTCTGCTTCTTCTGGGGTGGGGAGGAGAAGTAGTGGGAGCGGGTGGTCTCAGCAGAGATGGGTTCGAATTGTGTTTGAAGGCGGAGGTGGGATGTGGAAGGCATGTTTGCTAGGTTATGTATGGGTATGGTGTTTGGATGTGTAGGCAGAAAAATAGATGCCTGAAAAAAAGATGTGAGTCAGTAACTCTAGTTATGGTGGAAGATTGTGTGACTGGACTGGGAGCCACGAACCTAATGCAGGAGCCAATAAGAGGCAGGTGATCCGAGCTATGGATTCTTGGGGTGACGATGAGGTCCAGTGTTGATGTTGGTAGTCGAGGTATGTTTGATAGACTGTTGTAGTAGTGTTGTAGTAGTGTTGGTAGTAGTGTAGTCTTGTGTGTCTTTGGATGTGTGTGGGTTGGAAATCTGGATGAGGCCTGAACGGGAGGGCTGAGTGTTCTTTAATGTTTTTCGACACGATGGAGCGAACAACGACGTACGAGGACGACCACGCAGTCAGTTTGTCCAGAAATCCCTGTCCAGTAATGCCCGAGATGCCGCGCTCGGATACTTGTCGAAGTTAAGCCCGTCAAGGTCCGTGGGAAGCGGTCAAAAAAGACGAACGAATCTACCTAAGCACCTAAGCAACCAGGTTACCAGGTTAGAGACACGCTAATGGACTAAACAAGGGGACGATGACGGGACCAGGGTATGTGGGATCAACCTTGCAGATGGATCAAGACTGACTGTGGACAGTGACTGACGGTAAACGTATGCCTTGTTGGTGTCAGTCATCCTCATGGCCATAGTCACATTCGTCTATTACAGTCACACTCTCATTCTCCCTAATTCCTAATCCCATTCTCCGCTACGTCCTAGCGCCGACAAAACATTTCGTACACGTTCGGCCGATTTTCACCTTAACGTTGTCTCTCCCCCTCTAAGCAAGCCACTCCCACACCCCTCGGCCTTAACCATCATTGATTCTTCTAATCATCATCTTCTCTCCTCCGGTCTGCGTCTGGTCTGGTTAGAAATAATCTCATGATGAATCATCCATCAATGCCCACTAACATTAACGCCGTTTGGGCTGGCCGTTGTCACCCATCCATCTTGCTCTCTCTCCCCCAAGAATCCCATGTGCAAGTCGACTGCGAGTAATCATATCCATCCCCCCCAAATCTTGCTCACTAATACCAAGTTGATGCTACTCGATTATCGATGTACTTCTATTGCATCATTGCATCATGAATATTCAATGCATGCTGTTTTCTCTTGTGCACACCCCTCCAAGCATTATTCCGTGATGATGACTCTTTCCACTATATTGATAACCACCTCTCTCGAGTGGGGGAATGTGACATTGAATCGAAATCTTGTGTGTTTACTACCGCATCGAGTAGATGCTACTCATTCCCAGTCACAGTGAGCTGGCAGTGCTGTGCTGCGCTGGGCTGGGTTGGCGGTGATGGCGCCCGCTGGCAGTAGTGGGGATGGGGGGGCTTGCCAGCTGACATTCAGCCACGCAACCAAACAAAAAATCCCATTCCCTCTCGCGCACAACTTCGCTCTCTCGCATAATCCCTAGGAAAGTGGTTAGGGTCGCAGAGTCGGCGCTCGGATGCCCCGGTCCCCTTCGCCCTTTCGCTGTTCCTGTAATCTATGTTTTCTATTCCCAAGGGCTATCTTAGGCTATCCTAGGCTACTGGGAAAACGTTTGGTACGTATCCGGGGCGCTCGGCCTCGTCAGTTGCGCCTGTTCCGATCCACCACCAAAGAGAACGAAACCTCGCATTTGTGATCTTTGCTCGCACCAGCACAGGCTCAAGCAGCCTCGGAAGCCAATTCCTGCTCGGAACCAAGTTTGATACAGATTTCATGTGCACGATGATGTGATGCTATATTTTTTCCGCATCGTGGATATTTCTCCAGATGCTGCATGTTCTACTCTATTGCATTCGCAAGCTGTTACTGTCGTAGGATGGACGGACGCGCACGCCTGTGGTGGCATTGTAGATACATACGATAGCCTTCCACGCGTAGCCCTCCAGCCTCATATCGCGACCTTGACCAGAATGCAGAAAGCATCGCGAAAGTGCGAGAATTCCGTAACCTAATCTCCATGGAGTTGCTGCCTGTTCCTGAATTTGTCTAGTTAGTGGTTGTTAGGGATGACGACGAAGGAAGTGGACGAACCGAACCCATGTCCAAGAATAAAACGTCCCCCCAAGACCTCGCACTGTGTTCCGCAATAGGACTAGCGCGGGACAGAGAGGCTCGGACGAACCTAGAGGACGAAGCGAAAAGGCCGCCGGTGGACAAAATAGTGAACCGAATAACAAATACATGTAACTACATCCATACAACAAGATGATGCTAACTAAGAACAAAGGGATGATGCGATAGGACCGTATTCAAGGGTTCGACTCATCTCTCAATTCACATCACTCATTGGACCGTTAGCTATTCCTGCTGGTGTCAGCCTTGTATTCTGGACTATTGTCCTGAAAATACATTCCGGTGTCTACAGGGTCCTGTACCGTACGAGGTATCTTGCCTGTAGATAGCTCGTACGGTGAGGCTGTTGCGGGCAGGGCAGGGTAGGGCAGAGCGCAACACGGCGTCTCGGGGACTTATTCGTCCCTTTTTCGTTCCCTTCCCTTCCCTTCCCTTCCCCATACGAGTACAACAACCCCTCTCGTTATGTTTCCATTTCTCTCCGGTGCTCGTTCGAACTTCAACCGGGTGCGAGACACGTCCGAGACTTTCCATCTTCATGCCCGCATTGCATTGCCAGTCATCATCACCGTTCAACAAGAGTGAATTACAGTTTTATTATTCCCGGATGATGATGATGATGCAGATAGGAATTGGAATAATTCAGAAACACATACTAAAAGCTGCCCTCAGCACCAACATCACCACATCCATCCATGACTCCACATCTTCCAAACACAAAAGTCTCCAACTGCATCCCAAACTAACCAATCACCCAATCCATCGGAGATACCATCAACTTGATAATTAATCCAAATATCCATCCCATTCCATTCCAGTCATACACATCGGAAAAGCCACACTCACCTCCCACCCACCTAGTCAATTAGCCGCAGATCATCATCATCAGGGTCCTCCTCCCCCACCGCCGTTCCCTTTGACTCAAAAGTCGCGACCGCCAAGACCCCGCTCCCCCAAAGCTTACAAACTCGAAGGGCTGAACCCTCGCCATTGGCTACTTTGGGGTTTTCTTTCCCTTTTGGGGTTAGTGATGCTGTTTTGCTTGATAATTCACGACTTCTGACAAATGCCCTCGACGGTGGGATGGCCAATGAGGGTGCGAGATGGGAGGGATGGTAATGTCATCCCGTTGGAAGTACCATTGCTTAACGTTAGGGATGCGATTTGTAGGGTTGGGGATTCTGGACCGTGAGGCTGAGAGTGCGAGATGTACGAGGGAGGAGTTGAGTATCGTCATTTTATTGCGTGATTGACTGCATGGCTTGATTGTGTGTATTTGTGATGTTGGATTCTGTTGTATGTATTTCTCATCCATCTAGAAAGCTACATACGATATCCTCCAGAGTCCATACGATTAACAATCCCCATACCGCTTCAACATCGCCGCAACCTCAACTAAACCACGCTCAACCTTCCCCTTCGTCCCTCCCTCCATCATTCATCTCCCTATAATTAGCAATCCCACCAACTTCCCATCCAGTACATCCATACATCCATCGCATCAACATAGCACATAAACGGCGCACCCGAATAATCCGGGGGAGGCTATATGGGGGGAGGGCATACACATACCCAATCCGACATAGGCCAATTGAGCCACAGAACGCCATGGTCAATGTAAGGACCAGCACCTAACGCCTAAGCTGTGGATGGGATTTTTCAGCCTCATTGCTCGTTGTTGCCCGTTTTCGCCGAGAGGGATTTTGTAGGCAATGGAAAAGGGAGAGAAGGTGTTGCGAAGCGGGATATCGTGGGTACGGTATCGGTATGTGATGAGGCATCGTACAGATTGAGTGACCCATAGACGGAAAAAGGTACTCAGGTACATACTCTGTAGCCTCAAATCCAGACCAAAGGGTACAATATCCACAGCCCTGGGTAAGCTGGTAGGTAAACAGGCCTGGTCCCCTATCCCCCATTGCTCTGACTTCCGCATTTGGTTCGCGCTGGGGGGTTACCTTCAGCTAGCCAAGAGTGGTCCAGCCAGCCCTACGGTATGTATCGTGGCTGGACACTCGCGACGTTGCACTCACCTAACTACCCAGCATATTGTTTAGGTAGATGCGACACGCCCACGTATCATGCCATGCCCATACCGCATGTCGCGAAACACACAATTCACCGTGCATGAGTGTTGCTCACCGCCAGGCCCTGCGGTCGCGAGGCTGCTGCGGGCACTCACCGCTCGCTCCGGGTGATCGGTATGGGATGGGATGGGACAGTGCAATTAAGGTAAGGTGCGGTATCGGAATGTATGTTGTGGACAAACAACGAACATCAATAAAGACACTTCCTTTTTGTTCAAGATTTGTGGAGTTCCGCGCACCGCGCCCTGGGGATTGGGACGGTTTGCTCGCTCGCTCACTCACCGCTGTCGGGATGGAGAATGTAAGGAATTTGACAAATACCCCAATGATCGATTCATCCATTCATGCAAAGTAAGAGGAGGGTTTGAATGTAAGGTAAGAGGGTAAGACAAGCACACTACAGCGTCCGCAGCACATTATCGACATCGAACGGTGTAAACACGACGAATGACTGATTATTGATGAATTAAATTGCTTGATGATATGCTGTGCAAAAAAATGGATGATCAATTGGGACGTATCCGGAGAGTGGGGTACGGGGTTCGTCCAATCACAGTGGGGATCAGAGTTCACCGGTCTAGGCTTCATCGTTACACGTACGTATACACATACAGAGAGTGACTAGCGGTAGGCATCTACATATTCACACACTTGCTTTGAAGAACGATCTAGATACCTACGTGGATGCAGACGTAGACAGAGACGTGGACATGGAGGACATCAATAATGCATGAGCCAATAAATCAGGTATCTATCCAAGGGAATAGGAACGTCGGATTCGATGGCCTGACCTGCGATGTTTACTCTTCTCCGGATTCGAAGAGAGAGCGAGAGCGAGGCTTTGGTAGGGACGGGAGATCTGCATTTTAATTCAAATCATGCGATCCTATAACTGCTGCACGTATGTACGAAATAGGCAATCAGGTGTATTGTACGAGTACGCTGTACGTATAGAGCGTATTGCGTACGAGCATGTACGTACCTAGACCCTCGGAATGATCTCGGTCCCGGGCCATCCATGAGCATGGGGGAGGGACATCAAACTACGGACTTGAGATCATGAGATCTGCATGTCGTTCCTGTCCACAGGGAACTGGACTGGGGTTGACTACACTCGGTCGTTCGTTCGTCCGTCGACGTTCATCATTCCCCCGCCTGCGCCTCCCCCAGATCAAAAGATCACTACCAGGTAACGTGGACATTGTACTACGGAACTGATCAAATCACGTTCGTTCGAGGCTCAGTCAGTCGTACCTGTTGTACGAGTGGATGGTGAATGGTCTCTGACCTCGATGTCCGGACACCCCTCGGAGCTACGGAATCAGCGTTCCGGGAGCAACCGACATAACAGTGGCTGCATACAGAATTTTCGGGATAAGAAGGAAAAACTGCGAAGTGGTAAACAGCAGGGCTTTTTGTCATTGGCACAATCTCGCACAGGCCCTAGGATCGATCTATTAGGTGAAGAGTCATTACGGCTCAGCAATGGGAGTTGTTCGGACCACCTATGTACTGCGTCAAAAAATGTTGATACAAAATGCAGAGCGACAAGTAGATCAGCTTCTCATTGGCAGGCTACGGGCACGGACAGGTGAGCGGAGGGGGATACTAAGACCAGATCTCTTGTATTTGAGATTCTGGCTGGACATATCTCGGATGTAAACAAACACCAACTATCGCTCGCGATGGTGATGATCTTCGATCTCCAATGACCTCAAAATTGTGTATCTCCGCGCCGTCTCGTGATAACTGTTCCCTTCGTACGAGGACGATGGGGCTTCGTTGCCGAGGTGCGTGAGTCCGGACTTGCTTGTCGTGAGTAAATTGTATCGCATCATATCGCATCGCATCACCACGGATTGTATCGTGCTGCACCGCATGGTACGACCTCAACCCCTCACAATCGTCATCGTAGGATCTACATCTCCAACATCTCACGCCCTCGCACCACCCGTCGTCATACCCCATCGCTTTCCCCTGGAGAGCCACGAGCATCAAGAGATCTAATCTCCATAACCCAAACTCCGACCGCCCGACCGACCGAACCAACGAACGACTCGACTGATCGACCGGTCTGCCTCGGCACACAGTTTGCGCCACACAACGCCAGGAACAACAAAGTCAACGCACCAGCCACACCATACCCCTGTCCGACCGGCCGGATAGTATACGACGGACGACGATAGTCACGAAAAGACTACGAAGAAAGAATTTTCCTTTCTCTTCGCGCTGTACGATATTTTCGTAAACCTCACTAATGAGCGAGCAGAGCGGGCCGGAAAACCCATCGACAATCCATCCCTAGCACTCCCGCTCTAAGCGAGTTGGACAGAACAAATGCGGTTTTCTGTGTATGTAATTTTTACGTCCAAGTGGGTCGAAGAATACAAAGTAGAGAGCGACCCACAGACAACGGGACGAGAGGGTCCCACTGTTGAATGGCAGGGTGCTCGCTGTCATCGGCGTAGGGCAGGTAGAAAATTTTCTCAGTTGTCAAATGGGTGGGGGGTTAGTGGTGGAAAAGAGTTTTTCTTTGCTTGTGAATTTCAAAGCAAGGCGGATGGGGAATGAGGAAGAAAAAAATCATCGTGAGTACCCGCTTGGGCTTCGGACGAAGGATTTTGAATTTTGGGCTTGGGGTTGGGTTTGAGGTGAGTTGGACTCGGGGTTTTGGAGGAGATAGCATGGAAGAGACTTCGTGCTGGTTTTTCTGTTCTTTTTGAAAGGATGAGGATATTCGTATATGAAGTTGTAGTTTGAAGCATCATAAATTGTACATTTATAAATAAAGTAACAATTGCTCGACTCCGTACATCTACAGCAGAAAGAAATATCATGTTGCCATTCTGCTACAATCCCTCTGCCCGAACCCTCTCACACCGCAACATCTAACCCAACACACCCCTTCTCATTCCCATCGCGCGTGCAAAGTCTTTTCGCAAGCCAGACCCAGCCAAGACTTCACGATACCCCCCACCCGCACACCGAACCCCCTCCTCTTCATCTTCAAACTCCAGCCTCACAATACCCCCTCCCCTTCTCGCTTAACAACACCTTACCTCATCATTCTCTCGCTCCAACGTCAAACATCTAGGACCCTCCCTCCTCCCCTCGGATACGTACTTGCACCTCCCCTCCCCCAGAGGTGTCAACTCATGAATAAGGCGCGGTAGTGGTATTTTACAACCGTTACACCTCTACTGCACGAACGCAACACGTTATTCCGCAACGGGGCAGGCAGAGGGCCAAGCTGTGTATCATCGATCGCGGGACAGAGGTGTGGTTGTTCCGGTGGCCGGAATCCTGCGGATAGTCAAGGTCGCGTAGGGTGTAGACGTGCATGTATGTACTTCCACATATACATGCACGATTGTGTGGCGTGAATATGCGAGTTTGTTGATGTGATGTTATGTTGATGCACATTGTGATATTTGCTGCTTGCTGAGGATTGATGTTGTTTTTTTCTTTTTGTTCGCATTGTTTTTGGGGATTGCTTTCGAGAAGTGTTGGCGGAAACGTACTACCGCGGAAACGTACAGTGGTAGCTGCGAGTATTCACGACGTAGACAGGCAGGTTACACAGTAGAGTTTCACTTGGTAGACCAGTTTAATTTTGCCATGACATGTAATCCGAAATTACGCACAAACTAATCAATCAATCGCATACCATGACACTACCGAGATGTGAAAGAAAAAAAAGAAAGAACAGACGTACCCATCGACCTCAAGCTTTACCATTTCGAACAAGGAGAGGGAGGAACAAGAGATGGAAGGAGAAAAAGCTAATCTTGAATAATCCGCATTAACGCACCGCACAGAATCTATCCCTGCCACACATCACCACCTAACGTCGCGCAGGCGCTACGCAGGGACCGACACGATTGGACGGGAAAAAAAGAGGAAGATGTTCGCTGTAACTTTGTCGCGATAGGGTTGATTGAATGGCTTGTTGAATGATTGCTGAATGACTCGCTCGCTTGATGCCGTGACCGGACTCTCGCTACATGGAGGATTTTCCCCTTCTGAGAGAGAGGCTTTTCGTATATGCATGCAAGTTTTGGGGAGATTAGATACATAATCTTGGTATGCATCTTTCTCTCTTCCTATCTTGTGTCTTGTGTGTATGTGGCTAGAAGATGCGTTGATCGCAGAGCTTGTGAGATTGTGGATAAGGTAGGGTCCAGTATGGGATTGCATTGCTTCGTTCAGTTAGTTTGGATCGGACATCGAGATTCGATCAGATTCGGGCAAAGTTAAATGTAACGATGCGCTGGATGAAGATGAGAAACTCATATGGAAGATGGGAGCCATGCTGTAGATCGCTCGCGAGGTCGCACCGCGCGCGCGGTGCTGCGATATCTCAAACTATGATCAATGATGTTCATGTCTCTTGATGTTTCGTACACGGTGTGCGGCGTTGTTTGTATCGCAATCAGTTCCAACCATATCTCAGAAGCAACCCGCTTGTACGCGGCACAAGAGGAATCGTGTGCCGAGTGTCAACCACCGACTTTGTGAAGGCGTAGACCCGGTTTCGTTGGAGGTACTGTGTAATGCCAATACCGTATAACGCCAACGCGTACAATGCTGGAGTAGATCCTGTCAAATCGTCACCATAGTGCCTGTGGTATTGACACACGTTCCCCCTTATCACCAAGTTCGACGCCATTATCTGCCATAAGGCTGGTGCTCTCAACTCGAGCCAGCATTCAAGCCGAAGTCTTTTATCCGATTGGTAATTCACCATGGAGCGAAGAAGCATAGCTGTATGCATGGAGGGTTCTAGCGTGGTTGCTTGTCATGTGGAGACGTGGGGATCCCATAGCATTATCTCGTAGTGCAGCATAGTGTAATGTAGTGCAGTATCTCCGCGAGTTCAGCCAGTGGTTTGTCAGACGAGAAGGTTCACACATCTCCTCGGCCAAGGTAGACGGAGTGGGAGAGAGACAAGGCTTGGGTCTATGATTATCCTTTGTCGATGTAGTCTTCCCGTGGCATGCATGTGGGTAAAGTCGGTGGGCAGGCATAGGGAAAAGCGACCGAGCATAGCGCAGCATTGAGAGGGTGTTGCAGTCACCTAGTCGCTTCGACCTATGGTTTACCGCGCGGGAGGGCAGGGCATACAAGACCAGGCGTGAGTGTGGATGCGCATTGTATTGGTGGATTGATTTGATGCCTGGACGTTGAGTTGAGTGGACGTCATGAAGGGTGCTTACTGAGAATGAGGTTATCGACCATAAAGGATAGGGCGCGGGCGTGGATGAACAGGGGTATGGACGGAAGCCATGGCCGTAGGTAGACAGTTCAGGTAGGTGTGCTGGGAAAGGAAAGACAAGACGGTGCGTATGCATGTCGTCGACGTAGCAGACATTATTTCTTCCTATCGAGCATTGATTCGGCGCCTTCCGAGTGTAAATTATCCTTGTCTGCCTCCACAGAACGTTTAAGCATGTCTGTAATCAGAGTAAGCGAGCAGCCGGTGGGAGAGTTCCGCATCCTTTCTGTGCATCGCCGGTCGATTTGAGGTTGGTATGACCGTCTAGTGTGATGTTTGTCATGGTCTTGGTTTTTCGGAGAGTATAACAACATTGCGCAATCTTCCCAGTGATGGCTTGGAGCGTATTTTGTCATATGCCACTTTTGGATCTGAAGGAGCGGGTGGTGAGTCGCGGAACCGTGGTATGTGCGGAGGTGCGTTCGATGGCTGGATGACTGATGCAGATGTGGAGTGGGTTTATGAGCGGTTGAGGGACGAATGTGGATTAGAGGGTGCGGGAAGCGGCCAGCTACGGTTCTTTGCGAGGACTTTCCCACCAACCTTGTACAAGTACGCGAGAGGAGGCAGGGTAGCCTTTCTGGAATAAAACAGGATTCTTCCATGAGTGGGGCAGAAGCCTTCGATAGTCCTTCCATGATCCTTCTACGAGTGGGTCCCCAGCCTTCTAGAGACCTTCCACGAGTGGGGTGGTTGCGTTGCGATATTTCTTCCATGGACAAATCCACAGGGCTGTTAGGTGGTGACGAGATTTTCCTGCGTATACGAGGTAGTATTTACCCTACGCGAGTGGAGATGACGGGCCGCTGTGGTTCTTTCTGCGTGCAACGCTCATTGTTTTCACATTGGTGCTCAATGCTCTGATGTCTTTGACGAAAGCGATCCAAGGCGATCGGTCGGCACCCTCCATTCCGCCCTACCAGCCCTAAAGCGACGCAGGTGTTACGTTTGTCTTGTTTATTTCAAGTCGAAGAATCCCCACCGATGGTCTAGGCTGATGTACCCCCTCTCCTGAATGGGGTCGAAAAATGGGTAAAAGCGGTCGAGAAAAATTCAAGATTCACTTTGACGCTGCCGACAACCGCCTCGTCTGTTCCAGAATGAATGCCGGAGCGAACACGTCATATTATCTAACATACACAATAGTAGGAAGAAGGAAATATTCATTAGTCATCTTTTGCACCTACAAAAGATGAGTGTCGTGAATTTCTTGCGCCCGCGGGCTTGTATGGCTTGATGGCGGCGATGGGTTTGAGGAAGGGCTCGAAGTCGATTGTTTCTCCGAGAAAAATCTTGTGTTCGTCATCAGGCCCACGACATCGTCTTTGTCAATTTGTGGACTCAGCATGCCTGCTCCATCGGCACCATCCATTTGCGCACCCTTCGCAACGCCCATCTTTATCCAGAGCCTCGAGACTTCGTCATCGAAGAGCATTGGTACCCAGAGGCATTTTTTCATTCTATCAAGCAATTCTTGCGCAGTCGGCTTGTTGTCAAGGCCAGTATCAGGAAAGATCAGTGGGCAGTAGTGGAAGAACGATCCTGCTTGGCTTGATCCCTGGGCTGCCATTTCTCCCAAAGTCAATGTCCACAGCAGCAGTTCCTGGCTCTTGGCCCAGCGGAAGATTGTCTCTCGCGCCAAAGACTCGCGTAATTTTTTGACTGTCGTAACTATCATGGCTCGGTACGATGGATCAAATGGCTGGGAAGTCTTGACCAGGAAGATGATCAATGCTAGGCACACACTCTGATCAATGGGATTGCGCTCTTCGCCTAAGGGAAGCGCTTCAGAGTACCAAGTAAACAACCGATACTGAAGCAGACAGCTGTGCTTTTGAAGCTCCAAAGGGTCAACAGGGCACTTGCTATCCTCGTACCAGGCAGACAGATCCCCCGTGAAGACAACAATATCGCCGATGATGGTCTGAAGGAGGTCATCGAGTTTGAGGTCACGGAAGGCACGAAGCACTCGAGCCGATGATGGACGTTGTCGGAAGGTAGGAAGGTCATAACTTTGTGGACGTCCGTTTCCGTCGAGCAAAACGGCGTACGGAGGCTGGAAGGTGGAGATTGAATGTGCCATACTATGCCTATAATTGCGTTAGTGATTTGAATAATTGGACAGTAGCAACGCGCGATCTGTATACGCGCGGCTGTGCCGCATTACAGGGCGGAAGGTGAACAGATCGCGCTGATCCGTAGGCCTTGAGCATGCAAGGTGTTCATCATCGGAAGTTAAGGCCGCCAATGAGAAGCCTTAATCAGACGTCTAGTGGAGTCTGGCTCGCGATTGAAGGCCAGGATCGCTAGCCTCCGCCTGAAAAATAGGGTTCTGTGGCATCATAGAAGTGCATTGAACGGTGAGACCTACATGAGAAGGAAAATCTGTAGGTTTCTGTTGGAAGAAAAGCTTGAAAGTCCACCTCTTTGGTCGATCATGTTCGTCAGACCTCTTCGGTGCCAGGCTCGCTGGTGATCACTGTAATCAGGATTCATGGTACCTGGAATGATCTGACTTTCTTCCAGACATAGGAGCATAAAGACTGCGGCAATGTTATCGTCGTTGATCTGTGCACGAGTATCGTTCATCAATTTGTGGATCGCGGCGATGGTCAGTATTTTGTACCGAAGCGTATCGCTATTGTCGAGCACGCCCATGGATTGGAGCTGAAGCGCACTGGTTGTTATCACCGCATAGATGTAAGGTGCGCTCGTCGCATTCTTCAGCGAGTCAACTACCCATTTAGCGTTCGCCACCAGTGATGATTGGTGCAAATCCACAGGAACCAGCCGAGGAGAGATGATTGATACAACTACACACTGCGTTTCAATATGCATTCTGTGAGATAGTGATTGGATGCCTTACAGTGCTCGAGCAATGAGCTCATCTTGTGATCGGTCTGCACAGGTAGACTGTCAAATGGATCCATCGTCCCCAGAGCGAATCCGTCCTGGCGGGACGATATTGTCGGTGATGGAAGGCATCCGATTCCACGACAATCCGGATTATCGCAACCGCGACGATGCCTTGGGCGGGATACTACATGTGCTCGACTGCTTCTTCTGCTATTGGTACTCAAGCTGCTGTTTCTGCTGTTTCTGCCTGAGCTGACGGGCGACACGAGGCTCAGGGCACTCCTTGCATCGGGGCTCCTCGTGTCAGAAGAGCTCCAATATTCAAAGTTCAGAAACGAAGACTCGCCAGCGGACTGAGTCTCGTGAGGTGCGAACCCCTGGTAGGGAGCCTCGTTATCCTCATCATCCGCGGGGGGACTCTTCGAAGCCTTCATGCGGGTGCTCCAGGGCTTGGATCGACGCGCCTGGTGCATGACGAAAGACCTTACGGCCTTATCAGGTTTGGCATTCACTCCATGATCCGAGGAGTCGATGAACATGAACTTCATAGGTTGGGGCTTCTTGCCAGACCGGCGACCCCCTTTGTTGGCTCTCTCTTGGCTGCCTGAACTTTCCATGCCGTGAGCATCTCGCCCACCCGGGGAGGGGATCAGAGGAGCCTTGGCGCCGTGTATAAAGTGTAGACTAGAGATTTGTATGCGAGCGCGGCTTTAAGCATGCAAGTGGCGTAGTTCAGTGCCGTGTAGTAGGAGGTTGGAGTCCAAAGGGGAAACACATAGTTCGTTGTGAGGGACCGTTCGAACGAGGAGGAGACGATGACGGACGGCCTTGCGCACCGCTAGTCCGCTTTTGGAGAACAGTCACCTCGCTTACCCCGCTAGCTCTAGACCACCAATAGTATCCAGCCACTCGTTCTGTACCGTGATATCAATCTACTCCAATTTTTGTATATCATCCGACCTTAAAATAGTTCGTACCTTCGATTAATTAGCCGAGACAAACGGTGTAAGGAATAAGGCATGCGCTATGCAACTGTTGATATTGTGGCTGGTATCACTTTTGATCGTCTGTCCTATCGTTCTCCCGGTTGCTATGTACCTGGTCTCTCAACGTGCACTTCTCACAAATCCCAACACACCCACGCTGTATCCGATTGAACCTCCAATTCTTTCTCTTTCTTGCTTAGCTCCTTCATGCCATTTCCTCAACAAGCCAATGAGTTCCTCGCTGCTGGCAATGACCTCACCATGTATCCTTAAGAAGACACTCATCCTGCGAGACACTACATATTAGCACTCGATCTCTAGTAGAACACGGTCTATCTGTAGAGCATAGGGATAAGGAAAGGGTATATCATGCACTTACCATGCTTGGACTAGTTCGTAGTCTTTCCTTTCGTCCAATCTCGACGTTAGAGCGAGGATGAAGGTTTGCAGCTCGGTGTACGGTTCCATAGTATCAAGTGTGCGGATGGCGAGATCGGCAGCCGATGGGTTCAAAGACGACAGATAAGACAATACTGGCTTATAATCTTCATCATCGGTGGCTTGAGCAAGTCGCCGAGTGAACTCATTCGTGGAGGTCGCGACCAACGTCTTCGAGGTCAGCGACGAAGAAGAGATACGGGACTTGGGTTCCTCCGTAGGGACAGGCAGTGTGTCTATCGTTGCAGCGTTCTTCGACTCGATGATAGAAGATGGCTTCTCTGAGAGCGAGGGAAGGAAAAATGGGGCCTTCTCTGGGGCCTTCGGGGCCTCCTTGGGCTTGTTGCGTGCTCGAATCACGTCGAGATGTAGAAGTGTCTGCCATTTGGCTTTCGGTACAAGACTGAGGGTCGTGACACCTTCGCTCAATTGGTCCATGATTGGGACTGCAATCGCGTCCTCGGTATCATCCTCCACTTCCTCCTCAGTTGCCGCCTCCACTATACCGACACCACCTTCGCCAGAAGTACTTGGTCCAGTCATATTAGCGATATCGGCATCGGAAATATGACGCGTAGAAACATGCGTGAATAATGATCGATTGGTCCAAATGTCGATTCCTACAGCGTTCTCTTGTGCAGTGGCGAGATACTCGCCTGTGGGAGAGAATGCAATAGTAGTGCATGGCTGCGGTAATCTCATTGCGTCGATGAGATGACCCGTTGGAAGATCCCACACTCGGACCACAGAGTCCGAGGCAGCAGATATAATCCATCTGCCATCATTCGAAAATGTGTAGTCAACAGTACGAATCTGACTGTGCGATGAAGATGCCCAGAACTCGCGAATGAGTTTCTTGGTCTCGATGTCAACGACTCGGATAGAGCCATCATCACAATTGAGAGCTACCAAATCGCTACCGCGGTGGTAACGGAGATTGACGATTTTCGTCATAGGGTACCAGTCAATTTCTATGCAAGTCAGTTCAAGTTGCTTGACAATAACGTAAGAGTAAACCAACCATGAAGAAGCAATCCAGTGCCGAAGTCCCAGAACTGTAATCATTAGCACACGAACGTCATGGTAGACATTGAGACCTTACTTTCAACTTGCCGTCTTCTCCACAGCTGATGATCACCCGATTGAGACTGTCAGTAGCAATGCCAGTAATGGCACCCTTGTGCTTGCCTTGACCCTTCGTAAATTTTGCCTGTGATGAAAATTCCGAACCAGTGCCAGCCTCTTCTGCATTGAGTTGTTGGATTCTTAGTCGTTTGGCTTCATTCTGCGTCAATGGAGCCGGATATTTCCTGCGATGTTGTCCGGATTGGAGATTGTACATATCCAATGCACCCCCGGCAGATCCGACAAGAGCGAACGTTCCACAAGCAGTGATCGCAACACTCCTGACTTCTGTTCCATCACCAGTGTCGAACGCCCATCTTCCGGCACGCTTGCGGCCCCAAAACCAGGTGCGTGCTGCTTTGTCTCCAGCGTGGCCAGTAACAATACTCTCCCAGCCAGTCATATTGACCTCGGGAGCCTTTTTGCCCTTGGGCTTTGTAGCATTGTCCCAGATGCCAGTAACACCGGGCATTGCACCCATTCCGCCATCACGATTGAGTGAGGCCGCGATGCATGTAATGACCGGAGCCTTAAGTTCCTCCAAAGAGCCAGAGCCTCCGTGTGCCTTTGAGCCCGCCATACCACCATTAAGAAGGCCCATCTTCTTCGCTCGCTTCTGGATGGATCCCTGGGAGAGTTCAGTGCTCTGCCCGTCGCGTCGAAGACTCCATCCCCACAAGCTCCTGTCTTGACTTGCGCTGAGCAGCCATTTTCCAGTGTCATCTGTGCCGTCCGAGTTGGAAGGCAGGAATCGCAGGTTCGAGACAGGGGCAGAATGGCCACCACGAGAATGCAGAATTCGGGGTATGGGTGAGAAGGGTGTGTCGTCAAAGATCCAGCTCTTCAAAGAATTGTCTAAACCACTCGAGATGAGTACAGCCTGGCCGGGCAAGAACTCTATTTTGCTGACACCGCCACCAATTCCCCCGTTCGCAGATGGCGGAGGATTATGTGCACCACGAAGCGTGCCGGTTTTGCGCCCTCCATCATTGAGATCCCAGAAGGTGATATCGCCATTTCCCAGGCTGGCTGTAGCCATGACACCATCTTTCTGTCCGTCGTCGCCGGCGCCGAGTCCGTCGGTACGGAATGAGATGGAGGTTATAGGAGCCTTAGTGGACCCCCCAAGGTTCAGTCGCATGACCTCCTTATCAAGTCGGACGTTGTGGATGATGACAGGCCCGGCTTCGTATGCAATCGCGAGGAGGGAAAGTGCAGGAGTCGGCTGCATAGCGGTGACGGCGCCAAAGCTTGATGCTGGTGGCAGCAGAGTATACAGGAGCTTTCCGGTATTCAGGTTCCAGATCTCGACAGATCCGTCTTTCCTGGCCGCGAAGATTTTGTTCAGATAGGTCGGCATGGTGCAAATTGCGACAAGCGGGCTTGACGAAATACCCTGTAGAGTAGTGTAATGCTCCAAGGTGGAGGATTTCCAGACCTCAATCGACGTGTGTCCTTGGCCTACAATCCAACTTCCGAAGACAGCGAGTTGAGTGACATTGTGCTTCATTCCCTTTGGGATCTCAAGCTCATTGACCTTCTTTCCGCGCTGATAGACCCAGACACCTCGCGGCGAATGCGTCTCCTGTCCACCCCAAGCAGCAAGAACAAACTTCTTCCATGCCAGCGTACAAGTTATGTCCTCCGGCGTTTGTGGTCTTGTAATGAAGACGAGGTTCAGTCCTCGTTTTAGGTCGTACGTCTGCAGCGCCCGACCGACAGAAGTTGTGATTTGAAATGTGGTCTTTCCGAGAGGAAGGGAGGTAAATGGAACATTTGTGGGAGAGACCAAACCTACTGTCTATATTGCGACGCGGTTGTTAGCTTCCTATTTTCAACTAATTGCACAGCTTTCCATACCCTGAACGGAGAAAAGATCTTCGAGCCATGCGCGACTGGCTCATTGGCGGCGACTTCGAGCTTTTGCTTCTTGGCCAAAGGGCCACTGGAGGGCCCTGAGAGATTGGGACCAGACATTGCCGACTAGATTCGTGGAATGTGGAAGTAAGAGCACCCACAGCAAATGTTGTTCCAAAGAGCGCGCAAAAGATTTTGTCGGAAGACGGAGATGCGATTAGATTAGATCGCCAAGATGATCGACACAAGGAATCCCGTTCCAGCGAATGAGCACGAAGCTGATACAGAATAATTAGAGATCTGAATCTTAATCGTTGGCTGCATTCACGATCCTACAGGACATGTTTATTGTTATTATCGTTTCTACTCATAATGGGGTGGTTTCTACGACTAGGGGCCCTTCAAGTTTCCCTCTCATCCGTCCGTCGGACCCGGAGTAGGGTGGTACTGGTCACATCACCACTCCCTCGAACAAATTAAGAAGGTAACAGTATTGCGGGTTGATACTTGGTAGTGATTAATATTTACCAATGGTCGCAGACACAAAACGTCTTAATTCATTGTTGGTGCATGGATTCGGATCACTTGCTTGAAATGCCCATCCATGGTTGGTGAACTTGGTGTAGCTTCTTATCTATTCACGTAGGTACCTAACGAGATGATTTAGTTGTGTATCACCCCCTCTCTCAGACTTGGTAGATACCTAGATAAAAACCCATTTCACTGTTGCAATAACCTCGAGATAAAATTCAACAATTCATTATCTATACAAGCTATTCACTTTCAACTATTTCGGACACCTTGCACATCAAGACGCCCCAATTCCCCCCGCTCGCTCGCCTAGTTTCAAGGTACGTTAGTTAGATACGAGTAGGTTGTCTACAAGTACCTCGAGTACTGTTCATAGATACATACGTACGTCATTGACGCCCGCTTGCACACCGCCCACCATTTTCTTGGGTGATTAATACCTGTACTGATGTCGAATCAAATCGAATCAAATCAGATCACACCTTTCCTTTCCTTACTCGTTATACTAACTACCATTTATAGTTCCCCCCTTGGCCCTGGGACTCGGAGTGATTAATTAAATACTCGCTTGTCCCCAGAAAAACAAACTCCAGGAAATTCCAGCCACACCAAAGCACCGACAGCACGGGCGACATCCTCAATCGCTTCGCAGAGCCACATGGAAAACCTCTCCCTCTCTCGCACACACAGCGCAGAGAACTCGCGATCATGGACCTCCCAACACCCACTTGCCTCTTCAGCCAGCGGTTCCACTCCGGCAAGTCGCAAGGCTCGGTCGTCGGAGCCGGAAACAGGTGGCTCCAACGTCGAACGAGCCAGCGTTAGCCTACCACCAAGAGTCAGGCAGTATCCCGCTAGACGTCCCTCTAAAACAGAGAGTCTTTTCGACACCATCACTGCCCTGAGAGGCGGCTCTGCCATTGACGAAGAATTTGACTCCACCACTCCCACCCTCGAATCCCTACGTTCCGAGGCCCATCCCTCCGCAAAGACCCACGCCACCCCAGACTCCTCAGGCCGCACAAGGTCGGACGCAGATGTCGAGTCCAATCGCATGTCATTTTCCTCTCTGTATTCACTAGGATCTGCCATAATGAACAACGCTAGGGGATTGAGCGGTCCCAGTTCGGTCGCGGAATCAGAGCCAGAGGGTATTTCTACAAGTACTACTTCCCTTTCATCTATTGTTCCGCTGCATCCATGCGAAGCATTGAATACTGACACCAGCTCAGGCAAAGACTTAGGCAAGACTGATGGCCCTTCGCAAGGCACAACGACTGCCGCATCTTCTCTCTCGGTCACAACCTCGAGCCACAATGGCAGTCTCGCTCCAAACGTATCTCCTACCCAGCTCCTCTTCCCTCCTGGTAGCAAAGAAAGCACCATCCATTCCCCGCAGATTGCTACAAGCCCCACAACGAACAGCAACAACAACAATTCCACCACCACTACTTCTTCTCAGGCTCAAGCCGGTCAACCAGCTGCTCGTGCCGACAACACACACGCTAGGCGCTCGCGGAGTCGGACAACGGCACAAAGACGGATCAGTGGAAGTACTGCCGCAAGTAGTCCTGCGAGCAGGGACTTCCGCGAACCAAGGAAGCCAACGAAGGGAATAATTGGTGTTTGTGCCCTCGAGTCTAAAGCTCGAAGTAAGCCAGCACGCAACATCTTTGGCAAACTTGTAGACGAATTCGAGGTCAAGATCTTTGGAGACAAGATCATCCTGGACGAAGCCGTTGAAAATTGGCCAGTCTGCGACTTTCTGATCTCCTTCTTCTCCGATGGCTTCCCTCTAGACAAGGCCATTGCTTACGCGCGCTTGCGGAAGCCATTCTGTGTCAATGACCTACCAATGCAACAAGTTCTCTGGGATCGACGTCTGTGTCTGCAAATTCTAGATCAGCTGAAAGTGCCCACGCCGGACAGAGTGGAAGTCAGTCGAGATGGAGGCCCCAAGCTGGCCTCCCCTGAATTTGCCAAAATCCTGCACGACCGAACGGGCATCACCTTACCTGGAGCTTCTGACGGTACTGGTGGAGGTGTTGCGCCACCGCAACAAGTCGAAATGTTGGACGATAATAACGCTATTCGTGTCGACGGTGTCGTGCTGACCAAGCCATTCGTGGAGAAGCCCGTGAGCGGTGAGGATCATAACATCAACATCTACTTTCACAAGGCAGATGGTGGAGGTGGCAGGCGATTGTTTCGAAAGGTCAACAATAAGAGCTCGGAGAAAGATGATACCCTGGATGTCCCACGATCTATCACTGATCCCACGAGCAGCTACATATACGAGCAGTTCCTGCAAGTCGAAAATGCCGAAGATGTTAAGGCCTACACCGTTGGACCCAACTTTTGCCACGCAGAGACAAGAAAATCTCCTGTCGTGGATGGACTTGTTAAGCGCAACCCCAGCGGGAAAGAAGTCCGTTACGTTACGAAATTGAGCGATGCTGAGGCGTCAATGGCCTCGAGAATATCCGAAGGGTTCGGACAGCGCGTGTGTGGATTTGACCTGCTCCGTTGTGGTGATCGTAGCTACGTGATTGACGTCAACGGTTGGAGTTTTGTCAAGGATAATGGTGATTATTACGACAAAGCCGCGCAGATTCTCAAGGAGATGTTCGAGAAGGAAATCCAGCGCAAACAGCGCAAGAGCACCTCATCGGCTGTTGTGGACGACGTCATTGACATGCCGGAGAAGCACTCTTCTGAATCGTCACGGAAGAACACAGGTAGCCACCGACAGGCACTGAAAGGTATCTTCAAATCACCCAGCATGTCAAAACTCGCAGGCCATCATCCACACATTCGATCAGGCCATAATTCAGGGAATGCAACGTCCTCGCCGGAGGGCTCAATCAGCAATACTCCGATTACTGCCAGTCCTAGTTTCGAGAAATCATATGGGAATAATGTGACAAGTGCTCCGAGTATCCCAAGGTCAGAGCCGGATCTAGTATTACCTCCTGCCATCCAAGAGGATGATCAGCAATCAGAGATTCAACATTCGCAGTCGGATGATCAGGTCAACGTACCGCCGCCAGCCTCCAAAGCGCAGTGGAAGCTCAAAGGAGTTGTGTCCGTCATTCGACACGCAGATCGCACACCGAAGCAAAAGTTCAAATACACTTTTCACACAAAACCTTTCGTCGATCTGCTCAAAGGCCATGATCAAGAGGTTCTGCTGATTGGAGAAGCTGCCCTGCAGAGTGTTAGCAACGCGGTCAAGGTTGCTATCAAAGAAGGCGTGGAAGACCCAAAGAAATTGCGTGAGCTACGGATTGTTCTTAGTAAGAAAGGAAGCTGGCCGGGCACCAAAGTCCAAATCAAGCCAATGTTCCGGAAGAGGAGGAAAGAGGAGATGCTCCCAGGACAGGAAGTTGAGGACTCCCCGGACAGACAAAGGTCGAACTCTACGGTTGATCCGGCAGACATCAATTTGGCCCAGAAGAGAAGTGATTCCATGTCAGGTGTCACGATGTCCCGTATTTCGGCGGCTGAGAACAACTTGATTCTGGACAAATTGCAGTTGATTATCAAATGGGGCGGAGAACCCACCCATTCTGCTCGCCATCAAGCCCAAGACATGGCAACCAACTTCCGCAACGATCTGCTGCTGATGAACAGAGATGTTCTCGACGATGTGTCGATCTTCAGCAGCTCCGAGCGGCGTGTTACTACGAGTGCTCAGATCTTTGCAGCCAAGTTTCTTGATAGAGATCACTTCCCCGACGAGAATATCTCGATCCGGAAGGACCTTCTTGATGATTCGAACGCTGCCAAGGATGTCATGGACAAAGTAAAGAAGAAGCTTAAGACTCTTCTTCGGGAAGGCGACAAAGCCCCTCCCCAATTTGTCTGGCCCAAGGACACTCCTGAGCCCGCCGTTGTTGGCAGACAGGTTGTTGAACTGATGAGGTTCCACCAGCGAGTTATGAACTATAACTTTAAAAAGATCGAATCCGGTGCAGTCTCATCCCTACACGCTATTGCAAGCCCTTCTAATGATTCATCAAATTCAGGACAACCGCAGGCTTCATCAATCGACAATATCCAGAAGCGTTGGTGTATTAGTGGCGAGGGGCCCGAGCTCTTTAGAGAGCGCTGGGAGAAGCTCTTCAAGGAGTTCGGCGATGCTGAAAAGGTAGACCCAAGCAAGATTTCGGAACTTTATGATACGATGAAGTTTGACGCACTCCACAACCGACCTTTCCTTGAATGGGTATTCACGCCTGATCAAAATTTTCTCGACGAAGAAGCAGTATCGGAGAATGTATCGAGGCAGCCATCGGTGGACAGTCAAATGAAACGGCCCATGCCTGCCGAGCAGATCAAGAACGAGACGAGAGACATGCCAGCCGAAAAGCTAGTCGAAAAGGGACCGGAGAAAGCTCCCGAACGTGTCAACATTGCACAGCGCATGGGCTTCAGGAGGAAATCCGAGATTGCCATTAAGCCTGCTGAGATTCCTAGCTATCCGCATGAATCGTACTTCAAGCTCTTCACCGGAGCAACCAGCAGCGCAGGGAACAAAGCCCAAGTTGATGCACGACTGGTTAAGCTTCGCGAGATGTATCATCTTTGCAAAGTCCTCTTCGATTACATCGGCCCTCAGGAGTATGGAATTGAAAGCGAAGAAAAGCTCGAAATTGGTCTGCTCACGTCTCTTCCACTTTTGAAGGAGATCGTAGAAGATCTTGAGGAGCTGCAGGCTTCGGATGCGCCAAAGTGCTTCTTCTATTTCACCAAGGAATCCCACATCTATACTCTACTCAATTGCATTCTCGAGGGCGGCATCAACACGAAGATCGAGCGCAATGCCATCCCCGAGCTTGATTACCTATCTCAGATCGGATTCGAACTGTATGAATCCGAGAACACGACTACTGACAACTCGCCACACACTTTTAACTATAGCATTCGCATCACGCTCTCGCCAGGATGCCATGCGTTTGCACCCCTTGATATGTACGTTCCTTCTTCCCCTCCTGCACAGGAATGAATCTTTACTGACTATCTAGACAACTCGACTCCCGCCACATGATCGGCTTCTCCCCACGACGCAGCCTCACCGCCCACCACGATTGGAAGGAAGTCCTCGAGACCCTTCGTGCGAAGTTCCACACGTATGTCATTAACCTCCCCCGATGTCTCGTACGTCCTTCTAATCCTCCCTCCCAGTGTGAAACTCCCCAAATCGTTCGTCGCCATCAATCTCAGCGAAAAGATGCCCGACGTCTTCGGTCTCGACCAGGAGCGGGAGAAAGATGCAGCCGCCGCCGCAGCGTCAAAAGCCGCGCAGGACAGTTTCGAAACGCCGTTGCCGAGTCCTGGCATTGACAGCAACAACAACAACGCCACGAAGCAGTTAGCTTCGGATGTACAGAGCAAGCCCATGGAAGATGTACAGGAATAGACTAGACAGTCAGCGCCGATTATGTTTCATGCATAGCATGTTATCAAGCTTCGTATATACTTAGCGGTGGATAGGCAGGTTGTGCCATGACGAGAAGTGGATAGAGAATTCCTAGAGACGTAGACATACGCTTGAATAGATCAATGCCTGTATCGATCCAACGATGTTTCCCTTTCACCCCAATTTGAAGTCGCTCGCCCCTGTCAGACGTTGCAGGTAAGAAGGACGTTGGTATCCGAGTGAGTTGTAGGCCACGAGGTACCCAGGGAGAATGAGAAGTGTGCAACATATTAAATCAAACAACTTATGAAGTCAATTCCGTTTTTTCAAGGAGGCTTTGAGTTTTGAATTAGAATTTTTTGTGCTTGCACTGAGGAGATATGTTATATATTAGTCTACTGGCGTTTTGGGTATTGGCATGGGGTCGAGAGGTGCGCCATCACCGCGTCCAATGGTCTCGAATGGGACGTCCACTGCCACCCCGTCTAAGTGTTGCAGAACGGGACGTCCACTGCCACCCCGTCTAAGTGTTGCAGAACGGGACGTCCACTGCCACTCCGTCTAAGTGTTGCAGAACGGGACGTCCACCGCCACCGCGTCCAATGGTGTTGCAGAACGGGACGTCCGTGTCTGTAGAATAGTCAGACAACGCCTAATATGTACATATCGTGGTCAAAACGCCTCATATGTCACGTTGTGACCGGCCTGAAGAGGTGCTTGCTTTCTGTAAGGTACCTAACCCGTCTATGAGGGTTTCTAGGTTGCGGAGAAAGGGATTGGGTTGGTGGATTTGTCCCTACAATTGTGATCGAATTGACTGGAACTCGGATACCAATAATAGTTATCAGAACTGGCTGGATAGTTATAGGATTTGGCTGGATAGTTATGGACTTGGCTGGACAGGTAGTTATAGGATTTGGCAGGATAAGTTATCAGAATCGGTTGGATTTACACTTGCAATAGGAATCAATAACAATCGAATGGTATAGTTAGTGCATTTGATCCTATGAGCATACTCCCATTATTGTCGAAATTTGAGTACCTAGGTCCATATCATCTGTAGACAATAAATGTACTGCTAATAGTCATATGACACACGGAGCTATCTATTGTATGTCGACATCGGAGAAGCCCCACCACCACCGACTGAGCTCCGCAACTTGAAGAAACCGACCGCGGCTGTGCCTCACAGCCGCGCCCCCCCACCAACCACCATCGACCTCCCACCCAAAGCATCGTCACCGCAACCATGTTCACAGGCCTCGTTGAGATAATAGGCAGTAAGTACCCCCTGATTCCCAGATCCTCGACACACTTCACATCAGATCATTGACATAATTCCCCAGCCGTCACCGCCCTCGAGCAACTCGACGAGTCCTCCTCCGGAGGCGGCGGCACGTCCCTGACGATCGGGCACGCGCAGGACATTCTCGGCGATGCGAACCTGGGCGACAGTATAAGTGTCAATGGTATGTATATATACCCATCCAGCTACCCCTATTCACGGTTCTTACTCGCGATGCACAGGAACATGCCTCACGGTGACCGAGTTCGACAAGACGTCCTTCAAAGTTGGCGTCGCGCCCGAGACGCTGCGGCGCACGAACCTGGGCGACTTGAAGCAGGGCTCGAAGGTCAATCTTGAGCGTGCGGTGTCGGCGTCTACGCGCATGGGCGGGCATATGGTTCAAGGTAGGTGTCTCGGGCGGTGGTTTTTATAATTCAGGTGGTGGTTGTCGAGTCGGGCAGAGCATGTGCTGATGGTGTTTGATAGGGCATGTTGATACGATAGCGAGCATAGAGTCCGTTACACCGGATGGGAATGCGCTCACGTTCCGGTTCAAGCCACGGGACCCCGCTGTGTTGCGGTACATTGTCGAGAAGGGGTTCATAACAGTGGATGGGGCGAGTTTGACGGTCACGAAGGTCGAGGATGGTCCCCAGGGGTGGTGGGAGGTCATGTTGATTGCGTATACGCAAGAGAAGGTCGTCACGGCGGCTAAGAAGCCAGGGGAGCATGTCAACGTCGAGGTCGATCAGGTTGGCAAGTATGTGGAGAAGAGTGTCACTGGGTACTTCGAGGGCACGGCGAACGGAGAGTTTGCCATACTCGAGAAAATGGTCTCGAGGCTTGTGGATGAGAAGCTCGAGGCATTGGGCAAATAAGATGGAAGATATGGAAATGGTAGCCGGCATACGGCACCGTTTGATATACACTTACCTGAAGCAACTTAAGTTCGTCGGATAACAAGGCAAGGCTTGCCGAGATCTTGAAGAGTTTTGGCAGGAGACGCAAACAATGAAGTCTGGGGGCTACAAACCTGACCATAGAGAAAGCCCAAAGAGATGGAGTATCAGGGTGTTGGCGATTCGGGGATGAATGCCTAGTGGATGGGTGTGGTGGCTCGTGAATGAAGAAGTGAGGCGCAGCCCTCCCTCCCTGTCTGGCTCCCTACATCCAGCAAACGCCATATAAACTCAAATCTATCCACGCTCAATGTTTGTTTGCTTTGACTTTTGCTTCTCTCCTTATTCCGTTTTGCTGTCTATTTTTCGAAACTATCTGCTACTGTCATACCATGATCTATATCGGGCCTTCGTTTAGCATATGCCGAGTATGGAGGTTGCTGCCTGGGAGCATATGCACCTTTCCCTCATCTTGCATACTCGACCCGACTGACCGACTGAACTGACATGCAAGAAAGGAATGTTGCTCGAATCAGAACTTGAGACGTTTCCCATCTCACCACTCCACTTGGCCACTGTACAAGAACAAACGCAACACGAGCATACGACTCGATCAGGCAGACATGTCTGTTAATTAAGAAGCCAAATGCTCGACGCCGCCAAAGGCAGCAACTATTCTTGGTGGATCCAGACGAATTAACTATTGTATCGAATATGCGATGATCTCTGGTCTGTTCAAGGCCCTGGTCTGGCCCTACGGCTCTTCGTCGCTGGAATCGGATCAGCACCTAATCTTTTGCGCCGCACGGGAAAAGCCATCGTCCACGCCATGCCACCATTGCCGCAAATTGCTCGGTCCACGACATGCACGAGGGTCAGAAAGAGTCGGAATTCAGGATTCAATGCAGAAAAAATTGATCAAGGACAAGGACGAGACGATGCGGGAAGAGTAAAAGCTTTGTAAAGGGTGGGGGCCAAAACGAAAGATCAATGATCGAAGATGCCCAAAAAAGGAGGAGAATATTAATAAGTTACGCACGAAGCGAAGGGACAGAAGAGGAGACAAGACAGCAGAGAGTAGGAATTGGGAACTGGAGAGTGGAAAACGGATGCTAATAGAAGTGGAGAGGCTGCGGCTAAGATGAGGATGCAGCGAGAAAGTGTAGGGAGGTTTTAGGTTCGGGCATAATTTATCTATTGGCCTGCTGCTGTTGTTGCTGCTGCACTCCTCAGTCCTCACACCTCACCACTTCTTCCCTCCGCACGCACCTTTGATCCTCGACCACGTCAAGGGCACGTTACCCTACATAGACTCCTCCGTCCGTTTTTCAGCCTTGTCGCCTCGTCAAACTTTTTTTCTCCTCATCGACCTCTCTTCCCCCAATCTCGCCTTTTCTTTTCTTTTATCAGACGGTTTCATCTTCCTGCCCAACACTTCGGAGGATGCGACTCGCCATTTTCCTTACCCCTCGCTAAGACGATTCGCGAATCAGATACGCGCAACTCCACCATGGACTGGAGACTGCTCGACTACGCCAAAGCCGCCGAGGACGTGGCTTCCGGGCTCTATGTCTTCAAGGATGAGGTTCCTCAGTATGCCAAAGAGATCACGGGAGACATGGCCGAGCTGTGGGCTATCTCCAATGCTCTCCACACCCTCGATGAGGGGCTGGCCTTGTCCAGCTATGGCAGATGGTCAGGCCGCATTCTGAGAGACCTCGAACCTTTGCTCCGGAGTCTGTCTTACACGCTGGACGATATCCGTGATATGTTCAGTAGATCAAAGAAGTCAGCTCCACTTCCTGGAGCCTTCCCCGGAACTCCTCCGTATCCCCGTATTTGGTCCAAGGCATGTGACAACTTTGAGGCTGAAGGTATCAACCTGCCATTGCGGCTGCAATACTACCGCGGCTATCTCCAAGGATTGTATGACATCCTGAAAGGGTAAGATTGTGTAGTCCTCTTATGCTCTCTGGTCAATTCTGATCGTGCATAGTGCACCGAACGATGACGAGGTGGACCAAATCAGGCCAAAGCTTCATCGTCTGCTTAGAAGACAAGAACCAAAACCCGCTGAAGCTCCACCACCTCCACCACCTCCACCGCCGCCACCTCCTCCTCCCGTAGAGACATATTTCAGCAGACTGAACATTGGAGATCCTAGTCCCTATGGTATGGCCCCCCTATTCTTTCTATTTCTACTCCATGTGTCTATGTGACGGCCTATGACGTATCCTCCTACAAGATCCAGAACTTAGTATTCATATAATTCTGCCTTGATACCTTTTCAATAATTATCAGCCCTATTAACCAAACTGTAGGGCATGCACAAACGCCTATGCCGAATCCTCCATCACAGCCTCGACCAAAGATTCATAAAAATCCAACCTATCCTTCAGCATATGGTGGACACTACGATGTCCACCCAACCGCACATCCACCACCTCCTCCTCCACCACCACCGCCGCCGCCGCCGCCTCCTCCTCCACCTCCACCTCCACAGCATCAGGGCCAGCCGATGTACTCTCATGTTCCAGCTGGCCATATGTATCCACCACCTCCTCCTCCCCCTCCCCCTCCGCCGCCTCCACCACCACCACCGCCACCTCAGGTTGTGTACAGTCACGTCCCGGCCCCTCCAAAACCGCACCAGATTCCACCGCCCCCTCAGCCAAAGCATTCCAAGCGTCATTCTCGAGTCTCTACGCCGGTTTACGGAGAAATTCCTTACGTTCCCCCTGCTGCCCCTGAGGTCCCACAGTCGCCCACGTACTCCACGGCCTCGTCTCAGACGTACTCATCCCATTCCAATGATTCGGGGGGCCCAGTCGCGCATTGGTCCATGAAGATCTTCAACGGTCGCCACGGCAGCACTCCCTTCCAGATCCTCGGCGAGCAGACGAAATGCCTAGGACGAGACCAGCCGCAATCGATCGAACGCCTCGACGCTGAAGGCTTCATCAAAGTGCTCGAGCTGCCTTTCGAAGCCACCAACGTCTGGGTCCGCCTCTACTGGCGCCCCGATGATTCCCGTGCGCGCATCCTCTTCCTCACCATGGACTCCGCGGCCCGCAAATTCAGGTACTGCTTCCCGCTCACCGGCCTGAAGGTCCTCCGCACGGAATCCTGCCTCCAGCTCTGCCGCGTCAACCGCGACGACGGCAACCTCGACCTCTGGGCGAACCTCCGCTTCATGATCTACGAGCGCATGGTGCTCTTCTACTGCACCCTCGTCGCCATGAAGTCCCAGGATGAAACGAGCACCGCGGAAGGCCTCGAGGACTTCTTCCAGCCGGGCGAGAAGCAAGAGTACGGCGGCGAGATCCAGGACGGCCACATGCTACATGCATTCCGCATCTTCCGCGACCGCGACTCCGGCGGCGTGAGGTTCGAGGTCACCCCTCGGAGGGGCAAGATGAAGACGATTCCTATCTGGACCGCTTTCGTCACGCAGTATATCGGGAATATGAAGTGGATGAAGCTCGTGGGCGACGCGACCATCCAGTTCCGCGACCTACATCCGTATGTATTTTGTGACGGGTATAGGCCTCCTCAGGGCCGGTCGGGCAAGTATCAGCTGCAGTTCACTTCGAGGGAAGGTATGTTTGACGTCCCATCCCCTCTACCATCCCCAATTGACCTCACGAACTAATTTATATCTACGTTAGACGCCTTATACTTCATGGAAACATTCCACAACATCCGAACACGATAGTCAAGCGTCGTCAGTGGCACCGTGACTCCCCTCCCACATTGTGCAATTTATGGTGGCCAGGGAGAACTCCGAAAAAAGAAAAGAGGATAAAGAGCAGAATGATTCTAGGTAGTCAACGAAAACGAAATAATGATAACGACCACACGACCAGTATGATGACTCGCAAATCTTCATTTTTCGTTATTTGTCTTGGAGGGCGGCCTGTGCTAAATGACAATACCCCTCTCCTTTGCTTTTTGATTTTTTGCCGTTTTGTGCGTTAAGTTTTGTCGTGCGAAAATTGAACATCTTCTCTCCGTCTTTGGTTTGTTCTGTTGGCTAGCTTTTTTTGGTTTTGGACTTGGGAGGAAATAGGGACAAAATATCATCAGGCAGTTTTTATCATCTCGACTTTCTTTTCATATTGACAACTGTTCTAGCTCGTACAACATGAATCTATCTAACTATCTACAACATTGGACTCGACTATGTTTACAGCTAGCTTATGATACAACAGTTAGTTTTTCTCTTTGATTCGGACTCATCCAAGATCGGATGACCGTCTTCCTCACGCCTTTCACCAGACTTCGCAGTCCGGCTCCTAGGCCTTCGACGAAATCTTCCAACATCTCGCGGACTTCAAGACTGCCATCGTCGTATCTAGGCATGTGCAGTACACCCGGATTGGAGCTGACAGGAGGCCAGAGCCCCATACTGTCGAAAGTGACGTACGGATTCGGTTTCCACTCTGCCCTCTCCGTTCTCGTCCCCTCTCCAGAACCTCCCTGGTATCCCCCAGACCCCCCTCCACCTTTCCCAATCGCAGACCTAGTCTTCAACCCCCCAATTCCATTACCAGGAACCCTCCTCCCCCGTCTCCCACCCTCCCTCGACTTCAACCTCAAAACCCCCGGATTCGCCACCACAGCCCTAAGACCATCCATCCCTTCAAACGTGACCCCCGGATTCGGCTTCCATTCGCTCCTCTCCCTCGCCCTTCTCTCCTCCTCGCCCCTCTGCCGCTCCCTCTCGTACGAAAAATGCTCCCATTCGCCTCCCCAGCGTCTCTGCTTCTTCTCGCTAACAACAAACGACGCCTCATCTCCCGACTCCCAACTCTTGTGCCGAGGATCCACGAAATGGTGACGTACATCCGTTTGTGTTGCCCCTCCAGAGGAAACCCTGTGACCCGCAGCGTTCCCCATCCACTGGACCGTCGCGTTCGTGACTACTGGCGCGCACGCAGCCGCCTTGGAGTGTCCAACTGCACCCCTGCCACCCCTGCCACCCCTGCTTGTAGTGAATGCCGACATGCTTCGAGGTGCAAACGACATGCGGACGTCTGAGTGCGCGCGGGTGCGAACGTCTGGGGCGTTTGTGTCGGTCGCGGGGTGCCGGTGCTGACCATGCTGGAGGCGGTGGCCGGCGGTGGGGGGGTGTGGGTGTAGCAGGAGTTTCTGTTTGATGGTTGGGTGCGTGATTGTTATTTTGGGGATTTGGAGGTATTGGGATGGGTTGGGGGTGCTTGGGGACGTCTGCGGTGGCGTTGGCTTTTGCGGTTGGGGTTGGGGGGTCGCGTTGGGATGGGGGTGGGTGGTTGTTGTGGTGGCGATGTTGGTGGTGTTTGTAGTAGTTGACACGACTGGTATTGCCATGGTGGGTTCTTGCGAAGGGCAGGTAGGGGCTCAACGGGATTTGGATGGGATTTTTTTGTTACTTTTGGGAAAGTGATAACTTCGATCTGGGTGTGCGCGACTTCTGAAAGTGTAGAAGTGTTTGGGAAGGAAGTTTGATCTCGGGTAGATTAGATTTATCACTTTTTATATGCGTTGCAGAGAGGCATGTTGGCTGCCTATGTAGGGACATAGTGTCTGCACAATGCAGTTGTAAGTTTCTTTGTGTGTGGGCAGTAGGCTGGCGGAAAATAGTCGAGCGCTTTGTATAGGTATTCTCGAAGGCGATGCATGGTTCGAGGATCTGAGACAGGAAATCGAGGGAAAATTAAGAAGATGCACGTTGTAGTGGAGCATCGCTACTGAATTTCGACATGGTCTAAGGTACTATGAGTGAATACGGTAGTTTGTCAACGATGTTGATATTCTAGGGTACCCAAATCGACACTGTACGCTCAGAATGTCCTTCCCGTCACCAACACTGAGATATATTTAACTACACGCAACAGTTATCTACTTAGCTTCCATATCGATGTCATATCTACATTACTACCATACGGACATGATGATTTTCGGTATCACTGAGTACCCAGCCAGACATTGTTCGTTGGGAACGTCCCTCATACTACTGACGTATTTTCCATTATTCACAAATAGTTGTCCCGATATCAGACCTTTTCTAACACCATTACGAGTATGTAATCTGTCAATACCACTGAGTACCCAGGTGGGCATCATTCACTCAGAATGTTTCCCCCACCCTTGACGTAGACAATACCGGGCCCAACAGTCGTCCAGCAGTCCCCCCGATTTCTGATTCGGTCCAACGCTGTATGGTAATTTCGTTTGTCAATGTCACTGGATAGCCAGGCAGACATGGCTTGCTAAGATTGTAAATACATTCACTTTTATCAGGCACCTACCGCCACCTACTGGATGAGCTGGGGTCATTTGACTCAACAAAGCCGCCTGCAGGCAGCACTGTCTATGCAGACCGTTCATTCAATCTGTCTCTGCGAATCAGTATCCATAGACAGTGTCCGTCCACACTCTTACCCCTAAGCACTGTCCATCCAGATCGATCAATTCACTCAGAATGCGCCAATCACTGCACATAGCAAAGCACGCACTGTCCTCCCATAGGGTCATTTCACGCTCGACCCGCTACTTACCCCACGTATCCATAGTTTCCTTCGGTGCAGGTGACCCAGACGCGCATTCACTGTTCAGTGACCGTGCACAGTGGCCCGTGTAATTCCCTCCAGGTGGGAGCATTCTTGTAGTATAAGAGGACGTCTTCCCCCCTTCCAACTTCTTTTTTCTTTTCCACATCACAACATTCTTCCATTCGAAACAAGTCAACTTCTCAACATGAGTATATACTACGAGGTATATACAAAAGACTTCACTCACCTTCTCCCCCATGTGCCCCGAGCATATCAAACTTTACATCGACCTTGGTATATGTTCGAAAGCATATACTAACAAAGCATTGTTGTGCATTTCATGTGCGAATCCGAACCGTCTTTGAAGCGCACCATGGGGGCGACAAGTTGATAGAATCATGGAGCATGTTTCGAGAACAAATTTGAGAACAGAGACTTCGACGGAGACTGCTTCTTGGACCTTCGAAAACGAAAGCGACCACCAACAAAGCTTATGTTGGTCCAAGGATTTGCGACCAAAAAACTCACGGTCCCATTCCACTACGATGAAATCGTGGACAAAATCTACCTTACTACAGCTCGCTCATGTTTTCGAAAAAGATTTTTGACCCAGCTTCGATCCGCCTTCAGAGACCTTTTCGAATCCCTTATTCCTGTCCTATGAGGGATTCAAAATGACCGACACATAACTCTTCCGGAAACATCCAAATGGTTTGTTCCCACCAATGGTGTGAGCCCGAGAACTCCTTTTCAAATGGAGGAGTTTCCTCACCATGGAGAGAGATTGGGACTTCGCTGGACTTTGATCCAGCCAAGAAAATCTATATCGAAAGTGCGATGTGGTCAAAATGAGAACAAAATTGACGCCGCTACTATGGCGTGGTGGTGGCAGCGAGGGACTCCTCAAAACATTGTACAGAAATTCCATGAGGAGAAGACCAAACGCTGCGCGACCAGATTGCGACAGTTGTGCAGGAGCATGAGCACATCTCTGGCTATCATACTGCCTATGCAAAATCGGCCAGCGAAAACATTTCAGATCCCTCGGTCTCGCTCGCGAGCCAAGGGGATCAAAATATTACCCTGTAGAGGCAGTATGGCCTGCGGGGAGTGTTCCTCGCGAAATGAATGCAGACAGCGATCATACGAAATTGATCAGCAAAAACATTTCAGATCCCTCGGTCTCGCTCGCGAGCTAAGGGATCAAAAGATACCAGGCTTCCATACCATGTGAGAAGAGAACTTTCTAAATCACTGCCAACCGAGATCACAATTGGAATCCCCAGGCTGATGATGGTGAAGCTGAACGACTATGACGTTCAGCATACGGAGTGCTCGGTCCAATCTTTACTGCAACTTTGATATGAGTTGAGGAACAAAATCTACGGACCACATTCGCCTCAATGATGAGGCTGATGGAAACAATGTTCCCGAACCTGAGCGATTCCAAAAGCACCAGTTCGCTCGTTTGCCCCAGCGACTTGAAATTCTCAACACCAACGTCTCACCTTCCCGCGGAGGGAAGGAAATTTTTCATTACGGTCAACCAAAAACTTCATGCGTCACCCGATAGGAGGAATTCGCATAGCTTGCGATCAAACCACATGCCTGCACTCTGGTGGTGCAAGCAGAGCTATGTCTGACCTCTGGTGGTGCAAACACAATTATGGCCAGAACCTCCACAAAGACTGTGCAGATGCTGAATTTGCACAAATAAGTCTAAAAAGAGGGAAGAAAATGCCCGGATGTGATCCGAGCATCCTGTTCCCTATACACCTGGGACGCCAGGAGAAAAAGATTGTGCACTCTGCGTACCATTGATAGACTCAGTGTCTGAGGAGGCGTCAGAAAGGGCGAGGTCTTGACCGGTCAATCCAACTACATACGCTGGAAACGCGAACTCATTGTCCAGGCAGACATTGAAGGCGTTACCGCACTCTTGACCTGTAGCATTCATGCATCTTTCACAGCTGTGGTGGTGCATGTGAAAGTTGTGCACACAATTTTCACATGGCCTGTGGAGAGGCTGCCCTTGTAAAGAACAGGAGCAGAAGAAAGAGCGGCAGCTTGCTCTACAACAAGTCGCCATGATGTCGAATGTTCTTGAACCAAAGACTCTTGAACCGACAATCTCTATTTCATCCATCATTCACTCCATTTTCAACTCCGACCGCAAATCAGACATCATTTCTGCCGAAAAGTCTACCGAAATCGATCCTGACTTCAATGAATGTGTGATTTGGGAGATTCCACTCAATGTGACACCAACATTCACAATGCGAGCGATGCTTGTATGTCCTGACACGACCACTGAAACAAATTCTCTCTTCTATATCGACAAACAGGGCCAGCTACACTCTTTCTTCCCACGAGGAAATAATTTTAACCCATCATTGACAACCAATTTCGTTCCGGGTGGAATTCTTCGACCGAAGAAAATCGAACAACCAAAGCGATGATGAACAAACCGAGCAGGAGCTGCAGCGATGAGTGTCGCTGGACAACGAGGACAGCGAAAAATGTCCGAGAATAACGAAGATATCAAGGAATATCCGTAAACAACAAGGAAATCGAGAAATGTAATGTTCCTGAACAACGAGGACATCGAGGAATGTCCGTGAACAACGAGGGTACTGAGAAATACAATGTCCCTGAGCAAGGGGGACGTCGAGAAATGTAATGTCCCGTTCCTGAAAAACGGGACATCGAGAAATGTAATGTCCCTGAAAAATGGGACATCGAGAAATGTAATGTCCCTGGACGACCACAATGGCGTTCAAAATACGGAGTGCTGAAGCTCCGGAAAGACAGCGGCATATGGTGGCGGGTTCAAACCAACAGCTACGCAGCACACGGGAAAAGATGGCTCTACAGCAGCATATATCGATGCTTCTGCGAATCTAAGCACGCCAAGACCAATGTTTGCTTGACGAGGATCATGACGAGGTTCATGAGGCCGAGACAAATCTGTCCCAAAAGGATCTTGCAAGAAGATGGAGAAGTGCATGATAGGCTCTTCTCCCAAATCGCCGAACCCAGTCATAGCGGCTTATAAATTCGGCATGACACCCATTCCCGACCAAAAGATCATGTGTGGAGGCACTTCTGGGCCCCACCGATGCTTTCCACATTCTCGACGGCGATGACCAGAATCAGAATATCAGATTTATCACAACGATGTCCCTATGCTTGGATACTTCGACCGAATCAAGAGAACACCGAAGACTATGATGACGAGAAGACGAAACAGAGCGGGATAAAAGGTTCATGTCGCTGAACGACCAGGACTGAATCAACAAAATGGAGTGCCGAAACTCTGGAAAGACTGCGGCCTATGCCCGCGGGTCAAATTGTCTCAAAAATATTCACATGAATCCCGAGTGGGATACATCAATCTTGGAATGAACCCTCGAGTATGCCTACGAAGGCACTCTTGAAGATCATGGCGCTTTGGCAGAAGCCAATGAAAAGCTTTCTGATGCCCAGAGGGCGTACGGAACGTGGTGGATGGATTCCCCCAACGACGACGACGACGACGACGTATGACGTCGTCTTGGAGTCCGACATGGGCATCTTTCGGCTAATGTGCAGAGGCACCGGTGGGCCCTGCCGCATACACTATATCCCATTCATACAACTTGCGGATGTTTTCTACTACGATGATGGTAACCGACTCATTCAAATTGATATCGTCAAAACGATGCATGCAAGAAGCTGGGTGGATCTCAGGTTGATTTTCATCGCAAAGATGTCGCCTTTGATTTGGATCACAGAAATGACCTTTTCCAGGCTTTGTATGACTTGGAGGGTCGAGTTCTTTTAGATAGATTCGCATGAAATGGATTGATTTTTTGTTTTTTTGGAGAAAAAAGTTGTTCCAAAAGGTGCTATTGTGATGCGTATATGTTGGGTGGTGCAATTGGGTGTTAACATAACTATGCAGACGCAATGAGTTACAAAATATACCCAGGATCCCGTTATATGTGAAATATCATGAACATGAAAGCTTTCGTGGATTGTTCGAAAAGACTCGACCAATGCTATGTATGCTGCATGGCAGGACAAACGCCCCCTGCGCAAACCCCTCATACCGAAATCCCACTTAACTGCATGAGAACCTAGCAATCGTCAGTCATATGTCTTTTTACACATCATCGTCATTGATCCTTACCTTTTGAATATACCTCACAGCCACTGTCTCCCCATCCCTCTGCAACTCATCCTCGTCCCCGAAATCCTCATTCCCCAAGTCCAAACACGTAAGACACGACTCGACAATCGCCGCATACTTCGACCCCATCGTCTTCGGCAGCTCATACACCGCAAGCGCGAGAAGATGCCCCTTCGTGGCCTCCGATCCCCTAGGCGTGTAGTAATCGTCACCGTAGATCATTGGGTACGCCTGGGACTTGAATGGCTGGAAGTCCCCGCCGGGAACGTAGTTGACGAAGGAGGACCAGAGGCCGATTTCGAGGAGACACACGCCGAGGCTGTAGATGTCGTGCTGCATGACGTAGCGCTCCTGGATCCGGGGGCCCTGGCGCTGCGGGTGCCGGTAGAGGTTCTTGGTCCAGTCGGTGTCGCCGGCCATGACGGTGTCGCCTGTGTCGAGGCGGATCTTCTCGAAGCCGAAGAGGTAGGCTGACCCGAGGGTCGAGGTGGGGTCGTCGAAGAGGATTATGTTTTCCGGCTGGATGCTCTTGTGCACCATGTCGAAGGTGTGGATTGAGAAGACGGCGCGGGCGAGCTGGGTGGCGAGGCGGAATCGGTCGGAGAGGGAATGCGTCGTATCTGTCGACATTATCTTCGCCCTGAGCGTGACGGGCATCGAGATGCTCTCTGGGATCCGGAACACGAGACTACAGGTGTGGTCTCTCTCGTCCTGGACTGCGCCTAGGCAAGTGAGAAGGCCGAATGTCGAAGGATCTGCCCTCTTCAGCCTCACTGCCAGCTCGCGAACGGCATCTCTCTGGAGGTAAGACACGGAATCTAGGACCCGCCACTTGTTGTCGATGTTGACGTATTTGACAGAACTATACTCGATATCGAGAATCTCGGCAGACTCCAACTTCGTTGCAGGGAGGAATACACGAGCGGTGTTGACGTCTTTCAAAGGATTGCGAATAGCTATAGCTGCGGCCATTATGTTGCTGTCTTGGGGTGGAGAACTCTCTTTGGCACGTCTGAGTGGCTGGTCGATTTGCTGCGTCTGGACCTTCATGGTCTCAAGCCAGAGTGGATTGAACGAGAGACGTTGCCATGACTCGATATCGTTGATAGCCTTGTCCAAATTGCTCTTCTGAACAACATACTTCGCCCTGGCCCATTTTGATGATTGATTCTCACTAAAATACTTGAGTTTAGCATCTACGTAATTCAGTTTGAGTACTAGAATATCTAGGACATCCAACTGGGCTGTCTGGCGTTGATCATCGAGCTGGTCTGCGATTTGACGGAAGATCTCGAGTTGCTTCCCTAGTTGCAAACAATTGCTTAGCAGGCGAACATTTCGTTCATGAAGTTGTACATCGGCGTTCTTGAAATTGTGGCAGGTTTCGACTACTGCCTTGCAAGCCCTGTTCATTTGATAAGAAGTCAGCCGTCTTCTTCGCCATTACTGGCACGTAATGACAGAGATGCACCGATACTTTATGCTTACTTTATTGCAACATCGACAGCAGCGACGGCTCCTACAATACCCAAACCCAGCTCGGCGCCAGACATCGCACGCAGTGACTTTTGGTGTCGCAAATACTCAAGGAGTGGCAGGAAGTCAAGTCTTCACTAAAAGAGCGTCCTCGCAAGGCTGTGTCGGACTGGGGCCTTGCTGAATGGGTCATCGGGTATGCACCTTTTGGCGAAGAAGCCAATCACCAACCATCAATGCGCTGCGCCCCCTGGGCTGATAGCCGCTGTGGATGTCTACCCAAGAACATCTCAGGTAACTGACGGGCGACCTTTCAGCCTCGACCTGGGTTGAGATTCGAGAATTTCAAGTTTCGCCATAATTGAATGACCAGTACTCCGTCCGTATAGACATCATCGATCGACTAATGCCTTTGGGAAGACTCTAACTCGGTTCGTACCTCAGGAACGTGACTTCATTCGTTCTCCAAGAGGGGTATTATCGCGAGAATCATGTCTCGAATCCCAGACCTTGTAAGAGACTCGGAACTCAAGGTGGAGTTCCGCGGCTCCACGACAGTTCATTCTTATCACGACATCGATGACCGTGGCCGACGACTGTTCCGGCAGGAATTCTGGACCTGGGATCGACTGATCGGACGGGGAGGATACGGACAGGTCAAGCTGCAGAAATACACGGCACGAGACACGGACGGGGAGTCCGTTCGAGCAGTGAAGATCATCGACAAACCTTTGAGTGTCGGCGAGTCCATCAACTACAATCGGGAGCTTGAGGCGATTGCTAAATTCTCCAACCGTCGGGTAGGTTCAAATTTTTGAAGAGAGTTTGTGCGTAACCCTGATCTGACCAATTCTAAAGTACAAACGCTGGTTCGTGCAGTCTTTCGGCTGGTACCAGGACACCACTTCGATATTCGTTGCTATGGAATATTGTCGCCACGGTGATCTCCATCATTATCTCAAGAGTCGAGGGTCATTGTCTGTTGGTGAAGTCCAACATTTGGCACGGCAAATAGTTGAAGGTCTCGAACAGATGCACATTAATGATTTTGCGCACCGAGATCTAAAACCTGGGGTATGTGATGATGTAAAGCAACCTTCGTGAAGTTGAGCTGACACTGTCAGAACATCCTCATCAAAACGATGCCACCAGAAGAAGAGTTCTGGGTAGTGCTTGCTGATTTTGGAATCACCAAGAGAGGAGAGGAAACAAATGGACCGACGACGGCGATTGGAGGAACTGACATATTCATGGCACCCGAGTTGCGCGGATATCTCGACACGCACAGGCCCAAGTCGGTTGCTGAGTTCAAAACAGCGGACATGTGGGCGTTGGGAGAAATGATATTCCAAATGCTGACTGGCGAAGCCACCTTTCGAAACCCTCTGGAGCTGTTCCCATATTGTACCGGCCAGCAAGAATTTCCATTCAGTCGACTGCCAGCATCTGTTGATGGCGATGGTCAAGATTTCATTGCTTGTCTCATGAAGACAATGCCACAGGATCGTATGACTGTGACACAGTGCACCGAGCACCCTTGGATGAGTACAATGACTCCTAATGATCCCGACGACATGGACTGTGACGAGATGACATCGCCGGCATCACAGGTCTCCCTAGCCGAGCCCGCTTCTGCTCGGTGGACTAACATATCAGGTGCAACTGTCAATTCTAATCAGGCGACCATGCGACCAGGGTCAGAAAGCAACGAACCTACTTTCAATATTGGCGTGAGCTGGGATTCCCCAATATTAACATTTAGAAACTTGACTCCAATTAAGAAGGACTCAATTCGGGAATTCAAAGGCCATACTGCTACTGTTCGCTGCCTGGCCTTCTCCCCAAACGGCAAATACGTAGTGTCTGGATCATTAGATGGGACGATACTGCTATGGGACATTGAAACCGGTAAATGGCCAGTGCGGACAATAATGGACTACTACCCTCAAGAGGTCAGCTGCCTCGCGCTCTCGCCCAACAGCAGACTCTTGGCTACTGGATCGTCGAAGGGGAAAGTGAGCGTCCGGAACATAGCCAACGGGAGTACCTTGATACACACTGTTGACGGCGACAACGGCGACATGAGCGGCATTCAGGGACTGACCTTCTCGAAAGATGGATCGGGTCTGATAGCTGCAGGAACACGTGGGGTATTGCGATATTGGCACGTTTCCGGAGAGGGAGCCTTAACCATGAATTATGACCATGCCTTGAATCCAAGGCAAGAATGGCAAGAATGGGCGACAGCATGTTCAGAGAATGGAAAGTGTTTGGCCGTAGGACCGAAAGGGTATTTTATGATATTAGTGGGTCTTAACGATAGCTATGTCTCCAACGAGTATTTTACTCCAAGGCGTCAATGCACGATGACTTGCCTAGCGCTGTCACCAGACGGGAGTTGGCTAGCAGCAGCTTCGTACAAAGAGTCCGCTAGAAAGATACACATTTGGGAGTCTCCTCACAAGGCTGAAAGAGCTGTACTCGGAACACATCTGCTTCCTACTTGCATGGCATTTTCGCCGGACAACAAGCTGTTGGCAACAGCGGCGGGCTACATCTTACAGATCTGGTCTGTTTCTACCGGTCAACTGCTTCAAATGATTCGAGGTCGTTACCATGATATTACCTGTTTAGTGTTCTCTCCTTGTGGTACTAGGTTGGCGGCTGGAACGGATAGTCACTTAGTACAGGTTTGGACAGTATTTAGATACTAAAATACAATTGTCAACTGGTTAAGCACGAGTAGTAATAAATAAGGAAACAATGTTACCGTGCGGAAAGTCTAGCAGGCGACTTCCTATCCTGATGCCTCGCCCTGTACACTGTGTCTCTCACGAATGTCGCAGTCTGTGGCATGGTCCAGCAATCAAATGCTTTCACGGCATAAAGCAAGCGAATATTCCAGGTGGAAAAGGCTGGGCCGAAGGTGCACTTGGACTCGGCAGACTGCCTGATGGGAGCGGCAGGTCCAAATCAAAGCCAGTTACATAGGGACTCAAGGAACAGACGGCTTTGGATGACGAACTGTTCCGAAACAAAAGAGTAACGGAAGGAAGACGCCAATATATACGCAGCGAGTTCTTTCTATGATTCCATGGATGCTATAGAATTCTGTTTCAAACTACCGTGGTTCATACATACATACATACATACATACATACATACATACCTTCACCTTAACCTTCACCATCACCTTCACCATCATCACCATCATCATAAACATCAACATACAAAAAAAAGAACCATATCATTAACAAGGTAGTAGTATAAGTAGGTAGTGTAGGTAAACTAGTTATAAGTAATGTAAGTGACGTGTAAGCTTTAAGTTCAAGCCCCCCAAAAAAGAAGCCGGTCAGTCACCAAGTTTGCCTTAAATAAAGTAGAGGAAAAAAAGGAAAACAGAAAGAAGTTTACGTAGTCCCCCTTTCCCCCCTTCCCCCTTCCCTTGACTTTCCCTTCCGACTACGTAGCCCTGTACCCTGGAACGCCGGATGAGCAAGAAAAAAACACGATAAAGGAGAGAGAGATGGAAGCCCACGATGGAGAGTGCCGAAGATTGACGTGACAAGACAGCGGAAGAGAAAATGACGAGTTGAGGCATGAAGGCAGGGACGTGGAGTTCGGCTGGTATGAAGGATTTCCCCCGGGGAAAGGAGGAGGGGTTTCAACAAGCGCTAGTAGTAGGGGATGGATGCGTGGTCGAACAGGGAGAGGGAACGGGGGAAATTATCAACTTGTGATGATATCGTACTGGTTTTATACTTTCGTGTCCAATGTTTGTTGTACTCATTTCTTGCTTTGCTTTCCATACAAGAGCCAGGGAGGAGGGAAGCGGGTGGGTGTCCACTAGGTAAATGCATGGGGGGATCTCTAGCGTCGTCAAAAAGCTGTCCAAAAGCTGTCCAAAAGCGCTGTCATCACAGTCCTCCTCTCGCACAAAAAGTTCGCGATAACTTGCGGATGGTGATGATGCCGACGTTGATGGTGGTGGTCGTGGTGTGATTGTTGCGTATTCCACTAGCAGCACTTTCCGCCCGATGCTGCGTTTTGATTGCCGTCTCCAACGTTCACCGCGCTCGTTGATGAGCCCTCCGTTCTTGCACTATCAATAAGCCTCTTCTTGATGTCGGCTGCCAGGCTGTAAAAGGCCTTGTCCACGTTGATGTTGCTCTTGGCGGAGACTTCTAGGAAAGGAATGCCGAGTTCGTCTGCAAGGGCTTGGCCGCGCTCGGTGGATACTGCACGCTTCTCCTCCCAGTCGCACTTGTTGCCGATAAGGATCTTGTTGACGCCTTCTGTGGCATGCTGCTCGACGTTCGAAAACCAAGTACGGATATCTAATATTCAACTCAGCACAAGTTCATACTTCCAATACTTCCCACAGAATGCACGAAAGCGGTGGCGGCCTCGCATTTGAGGCCACGGTAGGCGGTAGAGACTTACTGTTGAACGACCGCTCATCCGTGACATCGTACACCAGCAAAATGCCCATAGCACCGCGGTAGTATGCCGTTGTGATGGTTCGGAAGCGCTCCTGTCCTGCGGTATCCCATATCTGCAACTTCACTCGCTTTCCGTCGAGCTCGATCGTTCGGATCTTGAAGTCGATGCCGATCGTGGTGATGAAGGATGGGGTGAAGGAGTCTTCGCTGAACCGGAGCAAGCAGCAGGACTTGCCTACACCGGAGTCACCGATGAGGAGGAGTTTGATCTGGAGGCAGGCCACGTTAGCTGATAGAGTCCGGGGAAGCAAGTCGGCGGAGAAGAGGTGCACGAAGTGGGTAGGGGGGTCATGACGGTAGCGGCGCCGTCAGCGGGTGCGGGCCGCTGCTATCAAGGGAAATTCCTCACAAGAAAATCGTAGTTTCGTGTGCCAGCCATGATGTCGTTGAGAATTTATACGAGAGTTGCGAGGGGAGGATCGTGGGCAGGCGGCGATGAAACCCGCTGGGGGAGGCTTTTGCTGAGCTGCGGGAAACTTGGCTTGCGTGTTTGGAGGTAGATTAGAGACGATGCGCCAAACGTCGATATGCTATGCGGCGTGGTGTGTAGGCAAGAGATGCGCGGGCGCGACGGGGAAAGGTACGTGTGAGTATGTGTGTGGTGTAGGAGTCAAGTAGAGGACAGAGCGCTTCAGTGCAGGCGTGTCCCTCGTTGACTAGGCAGTTGAGTTTGTAGTTTACGGGCCAGGCACTGATAGAGTTGAGGTTGGAGCGGCCGATTTGCCAAGAACAAGCGAACGTCACATTCACCGCCACACTATGCGCTTGCAATTAATAGATAACTGCCTAACTGGGCAGGGAACATGGAACATGGGGGCCATGGGCATTTTTCTCCATCTTATGATACACTGGGATTCCCTAGGATCCGAGCATGTCCGACCGCGACAACTTCACGATCACAGAGACTGTATCAGTCTGCCACGGTATGGAAATTTCTCGCCGACTCTCTCCGCGCCGTTTCCGCAATCTAGATCGCATATTCGCCAGAATACACGTGGTAGTGACATGCAATGCGCGATATCAGTTGCAGAGACATCCTGAGTAGATAGAGCGACGATCTAGGCTTGCTTCCCTGTATATCCCCAGACTCGTGTCTACAAAAGCTTCGCGAATCAATACATCACGGATAATTCGGGAATAAAGATTCAGATATTATATAACAAACACGACAGAAAAAAAGGCTGTCTGAAACATGGACTCGCGGCAGTTCTGTCAGCCACACCTGTTTATTTCGACTTTCCCATGCCTTCTATTTGCGGTAACAGGTTCCTCCACAATATACACCACATGTCTTACACTTGTCTCTTATCCAAAAAGGAACTACTCTCGCGTTCGCATTCGCATTTGTCGCAGATAGCTGCCAACTTTCCCTCTCCTATTTACATGCTGGCCTTGCCTCTGCTCTCGAAAGGCAGGAGCAGGACGAGAACACCGCTGGCAATGAAGAGTGCACCGCTGACATAGACCGGTGCGCTTGTCTGCAGATTCGAGTACATGGCGATGATGGGTGCCATGATGCCGAAGATGCGGTTGGCACTTGCGGTGATTGCATTGCCCGTTCCGCGATCCTTCGTGGGGAAGATCTCGGGTGTGTATGCCTAGGATCTCATATCAGAAACAGGGAGTAAGAACAAAGAAGTTGAGGAGACTTACGTAGAGTACAGCGTACATGATGTTAGACATGAAATTGTAGGCACAGTTCCAGCCAAGCAAAGCGTCTGAAGTCAAAGCGGTGGTTGAACCGAAGAGAAAGACGCCAGTAAGGATGGTAGCAGCGGCGAGTGTACCTTTGCGGCCAACCTTAGGTGTCTCGACAAGCAGTCCTCCGAGCAAGCATCCCGGGACACCCAGAGAGGCAATGATCAAGGAATTTCGATACGTGAGGTATGTCGAACCATCGCCGAAATCAGCACCGCGACTGTCCTGAATAAACGGGAGGAAAGCGTTGTAGAGTGGGAAGCCGAGACCAATGAATGCCCAAACGATTGTGATTAGCGTCGTGGAATACGCAAGCTTCTTTGAAGCAAACAATGCCTTGACGTGCTCTGTGTTGACCTTTTCGAGATTCCTCTTAATGGCAGCTGTGGCGTGTGATTGGGTGGGTACCGTTCCCGGTGCGAGACTGTTGCAAGCCTCCAGGTCTTCCAGAGTGAGACTTGATGTCTTGCCATTGCGTCGCGCCACTTCGTGGACAACCTTGACAGCCTCTGCGTCTTGTCCCTTGCCCATCAAATACTTTGGACTCTCGTAGATTGTGAAGCAAACGAATCGAAGGACAAACATGATCATGGCTACTCCTCCCATGACGATCATGAAATACCTCCATCCCATGTTCTTGCTCTTAGTACAATTCTCCTCGGTTTGCGCACATGTTAAGTTCCCTAAAAGTGGCCATGCTACGAGGTTGGCAAATACTTGGGCTAAAGCCCAGTCGATACTCAGAATCGTAAGCAGATACTGATGGCTTCCTGGCAAGAACTCGAGAAAGATGGCTGAATCGACGGGAAGATTGCCACCAACTCCAACACTCCAGAGCGCAGCGAATACACCGACAGCAGCAAAGCTGGGCGATCCGGCTGCTACAAGGCCGAAGATTGCTGTGATACCAATGGTAAGATTGAAAGCCCATCGGCGGCCGAAGATGTCGCATCCGAAGCCCCAAAAGACTGCACCAGCGAGCAGTCCAATGTTTTGGCTCAGGGTGAGGAGTGGCGGCTGCGACGGACGAAACTCATTCCTGACTGGCGTGAAGATGAGCGAGGTAACAATGGGCCAGAGATTGTCAGAAGCCCAACCAAAGCCAATAACAACGAAGAGCTGGCAAATGTCAGCACGGGTCAAAGGACGCGATAAGATAAACAATGGTTACTCAGAGGTTGTACTACTGACCTGCCATTGGTATTTTCCCATTCCAATGTCTTGGATGGCCTTGTTCAGGATTTTGGCCTTCGCTGCGTAGACAGGATCCAAACTTCCCTCTTCGATGGCAGCTTCGGGAGCTTCCGCAATCAGGACTTGAGCGCCCTCCTCGCTCTTCTGCCTGTCAAGGCCATCTTTGTGGAACTCTTCTGTCGTCATTGTGAACAACTGCTCTTCGGTTTCCCCAGAACCCGGCGAAGTATCCCGATCAGAATACAAGTTGGAGTCAAAATCAAGAGTGAAAGCAAGTAAGGTATTATAGAAGCAACAGCTCTGGCAAGCTTTGCAATATAAAGAAACAATCGAAGAGTGGTCAAGCTAGCAAGGACCTTTGCTCCCCAAATCGGGTACCGCGGGGGATTAACCCCAGTTCTTGCATACGCAAAGGGTAGGTAACTCAACTGAGTCCGAGCTGTCTGCACTCGGCTGGAAATGTGCCCTACCAGAGGCCGCCATCGTTGCGCAATCGACAGCCGGACTGTCGCAATATAGGGAGGACTGGAATACGAGCTGTGGGCGTGGATTAGAAAGCCACCTACGGACATCGAATTGTTCTGTGGTACTGTTTTCACAAGTAGTTTGATAGAGGACATAGTTGTCGCAAAGGACCCAACCACGGCTCTCGGAGAAAAATTAGTAATTTTGATGTCCGAGGATCATTCCTTACGAGTAATTCTTCAAATCTTCTAGAACTGAATGGCATAGCATGGTGGTTAATTTTATAATTAGCACTTCAAGATACTTGTCGCGTGGGTTCATACGGAGATTGAGTTGTAGGATCTGCAGCCAAACGGCAACCTAAAGTCTGCGGGATCGACGGCGCCAGGTAAGGCTAGGATCGATGTCGCAATGTCACGTGGTACAGCTTCATTCAACGCCATGCTTGAAGTGTGGGCTCCCAAGAGTATTATTTGAGGGATAAAACTTCCACATTCGAACAATAATCGTGTTGATGTGATATCGAGGCTTGATGTGCTATTGCACTATGTTCGTTGGATGCTTCATCACAGTTGGTGGCTTCCATGGCAAACGGAACGCAATCATTTTGTTCCCGACGTCATTGCCAGGCCGATCGCCCTTCATGGCATAACGCGACGCGTTTTGCACAGTTGTCAATGCTAAATCAATCGCAGACAATCGATGGTCACACAGGATGCTTAAACTCGCTATGCATTGATATTACATATAAGGATGGAAGTAACCGGAGCAGTAGCATAATGGTAGCTCCCAAGATCTCGGATCCAGCCCACCGCAACCCCGAAGTTTACTTCCACAGCTTGCTCAGACTGGTAGCCTTGTCGTCGTGCTTGTTCAGTACCTTGGCTGTCGCAAGGTCGAAATCCTCCTGGGTGACATGCACTCTCCTCTCCCTCAGAGCGTACATACCAGCCTCTGTGCAGACACCCTTCAGTTCGGCACCTGAGCAGCCGTTCATCTTTTCGGCAATCTTGGTGAGGTTGATCCCACGGGTCAAATTCATGCTCCTAGAGTGGATTCGGAGAATATCTGCACGTGCTTCCACGGTCGGTGGCGGGAACTCGATCTTTCGGTCGATACGGCCGGGTCGGAGCAATGCCGGGTCCAGGATGTCTAGACGATTGGTTGCCATGATGATCTTGATGTTCTTAGTAGGTTCGAAACCATCCAATTGGTTGAGCAACTCCAGCATAGTTCTTTGCACTTCCGAGTCACCACCAGAGCTGCCCTCTACACGGCTTGACCCAATACTGTCGATCTCGTCCATGAAGATAATACTGGGCGCGTGTTCTCGTGCCATGACGAACAGCTCTCGGACCATACGACTTCCCTCACCAATATACTTCTGCACCAACTCACTTCCAGAGACTCGAATGAACTTGCAGTCGGCGTGATGTGCGACGGCACGAGCGAGCAGAGTCTTTCCTGTTCCTGGGGGGCCATAAAGTAGCACACCCTTCGGCTGTGCTATACCAAGCGATTCGAACAACTCTGGATGCTGTAGACCAAGCTCGATAACCTCCTTGATTTCCTTGATCTGTTGATCTAATCCACCGATCATGTCGTATGTACTGTCGGGAACCTTCTCCACCATCATGAGAGAGACGAGAGGATCGACGGAGGAAGGAAGCATCTTCTCGAGCTTGTAGGAATCGCTAAGGAGGGTGACCCGCTTGCCGACGGTGAGCTTGCTAATATCGACGTTATCGGAAATATCAACAACTGAGGTGGCGTATTGTTAGTCAAGTCTCATGGGGGTGAGCATATGATCGCACTGAACTGCATTGCACATACCATATTTTCCCTCCGGATGCACTTTGACAAGCACCTTCTTTGTACCCATCACCTTGACCACCTCGCCGACATAAGATCCTGGTTGCTGAAGAAGGCCGAGTTCCTCCCGCAGTAATCGCACCCGTGAGTTGTAGTCGTTCCGCTGAGCCTCTAATCTCCGGAGAACGGCCTGTCCCTGTATGATCTCAAGCTTCATCGCTTCGATCTTATTGTGGAAAAACGTATCGAGCGCCATGGTGGCAGGTACTCGTGGCAATCTCGGAGGACGGACTGCTTTGTGATGATGTCTAGGTTCCGCGCAATGGCCGATGGGGATGGGAGATGAGAAAGGAAAGGTCTGAGTTGGGCTGGAGCCCGCTGGGAATAGAAACGGGGCGTGAGATGTGACAGGAGGATCGAGCAGTGACGCAGGGTATGGAATGGAAAGGATGCGGCGTTGATGATCGATGGTGATGCTTGGGGTACTGACTGCGTTTCAACTAGGGAACTGGAAGCTTCCGCGGGTATGGAGAAACGATAGGCCGCCCGTGTATCTCTCCGTTCTCTGGGCTCTGTTCTCTCTGGTGCTTTGGTGAGATGATGGGGCCTAATCTTATTCTGGGTTAGGGTGGCCTTGTTTCCATCTTGTCTCGATTCTACCAATAGCTCGCAAGGAATCCGAACAGCTCCCCCTCCCTCTCTTTCTCTGTGTCTCTCTCATACTAGATACACAGTAAGAACTGCAGTGAGTACACAGTAGTAGCATTAACCTTACCCCATCTTACCTAGTCATTGTTAAGTCTATGGACAAGTAGAGACAGAACTGAACGGACAAACTCCCCGCCATTCCTCATCCACCATCCACGTCCCACACGCGCCAACCAGAGCTCGCCCATTCTTGTACCCGTGATAACCCACTCTGACCATCACAGCCGATCGTATCGACATCCATCTTCCACCACATACTACCCTACACCTACTACTTCATGCATCTGCAATGATACTAGATAATTGAAAAACTCCAGTCACCTTACCATCACATTTCCATACCCATTTACTGCCGTGAAAGCCGATACCAGCCTGCGTAGTGGCTCTTGGCACCCTGAGACACGCCCGAGCTTGCCAGATTCAAGGTTGATGTGATATACGGGTCTGATCCATTCCCTTACCCAGCACTGTCATCTGTACAGTTGCATCGCTAGTTAGGCCCCTCCACCCCTTCGTCGGAGACGCAGCGCGCAGCTCAGGGTTTTGTTCCTTTGTGTTCTATTCCTTGTGCTGCATCTGCTGTTCTTTCCTTCACTTCGTTTCAGACGCCCCATGGCTGTGTTGTTGTCCCGTTTCCTTGAATAAAACACCTGGACGAGCCGCTTTGGCCGCCTCCCGTCCACTTATCTTTGTTCACTCACCACATCTCAGCTCTGCGATCGCTGCAGCACCTCAACCGCCATGGCAGAAGGTGACCGCCAGCCCACCGGTGGGAGAAGTGTCCCTCAGACCGGGACGAACTCGGACGGCACCAACACACCAACCTCCGCATCGCAATCGCAACAACTTGCGTCATCGAGCTCGGAGGCAGCGCGTCGCAGACCACAGGGCATCCAAACACAACCTGTAGGCTACGGTACGTCCTTCTCAACCAACCTCGTTGTCTATGGTTTTCTAATCTCCGCATCTAGGCTCCATAACATCTGGCGTCGAGCGTCAACAACGGAGCGCCAACACCCCTGACCAAAAGACTTCCAAGTCGAAGAAACCCGCGATGAGCCGTAGAACCACATCCACGCACGTTCCTTATAAAGGGCAGGAGTTCTCCGTCGACGATGCCGAGGATGAGGTCAGTCAAGACATCTCAGCACAGCAGGAGCAGGGAAAACACAGCACCAAACAAACATTACGCCGGAAACCGTCCACCATAAGACGGCGAACCGCTGCTCAGTCGCCTGGCCTCATTACACTCGAGTCTACCGAAGACGATGCGGTCGAACAAGCCCCTAGCGCCGCTCCGGTTGTCCCTGAAATACAAGCTGGATCATCGGAGGAAGAGACACTGAGGCCAGATGAAGACAGCGGGAGTGGAAATGGCATCGATGACGACGACGATCTGAGTGATGCAGAAAGTTTCACCCTGAAGGATCGCCAGGAAGCTATCAACGTTACCCATCCCTTCGGTATAAGGATTTGGAAACCCGCTTTGTATAAGAAGGACAGGTCCGTTCAGCGCAATGCCGAGGGCGATATTCATTCCACTCCCGGCTTGTTTGTGACCAACTGGTTACTCCTCTTCAATATCGCCTGGACTCTGGTGTTCGGCTGGTGGCTTGCGCTCATTGCAGCAGCTGGTGGTCTACTCTGCGCTCTTCTTGGCTTTGCTGATAGCTGCATGGATTACTCCCGCCTTCTATTCCGCCTTGCTGGATATTTGTTCTACCCCTTCGGCAAGTACGTCAAGCTGATGCAGGACGAGGCATATGCGGAAGAAGATGAAGGCGAGGGCCGCAGCATCGGTGAGTACGAGCAGTGGCAGAGCGGTGACATCGAAGAGGGTCGTCTCTTCTTCGGGCCTACCGAAAGTTCTCGCAGTCAAACATCATCCCTTGTCGGGCGGAGGCGGAACAGCATCGACTCAACCGGTGACGATGAGACGACCAGCCTGCTTGGTAGAGATGGCCGCGCCCATATCTCACACGCCGACACATCAAGGACGAAGAGGAGACTCTTTGGCCGTGGAAAATGGAATGTGGGCCGAGTGGTCTTCTTCTTTTTCTTCTATGGTATCTTCACGCCGGCCCTGTTCTTGGTATGCGGCCTTTGTTGGTTCTTGGTCTTCACCATCCCTATGGGCAAGGTGACTTTACTCTTATTCCACCATCTCCGGAAACATCCCTTGGCACTCTCCTTCCACTCTGATAGTGGTAATGTACGACGTCCAGGAGAGTCGTCCTCTATTTTGCTATGCACATATCGCGCCGTGGGCATCAAGTACTGGAAGTACACCATTGACGGAACAAACATCTTCCTCATCAACCTTCTTGGGTTGGTCGCGTTCACCATTGTCGACTACTGGGTACTCGATGTGGCATTGGGATTGAAGTTTTGGATCACAGACCAGTTGTTTGTCTTTACACTTGCACTGGCCTCCATCATTCCCCTTGCGTACTTCATCGGCCAAGCAGTTGCTTCCATATCAGCTCAGTCATCGATGGGAGTGGGTGCCACGATCAATGCCTTCTTCTCCACAGTCGTCGAAGTCTACCTCTACTGCGTTGCCCTTAACGAAGGCAAGGCACAATTGGTAGAGGGCAGTTTAATTGGTAGTATCTTTGCCGGTGTTCTCTTCCTTCCCGGACTGTCCATGTGCTTTGGTGCCATCAAGAGGAAGACGCAGCGTTTCAACGTCAAATCTGCTGGTGTCACTTCCACTATGCTGCTGTTTGCTGTCATCGGAGCATTTGGGCCAACATTGTTCTATCAGATCTATGGAAGCGTAAGTCACCCATCCTCTCTTTACTTCGTGTCTCTCTAACCGACTGCTAGCATGAATTGAACTGCCATCAATGCGTTCGCCACCACTCCGAACCCATGGAAAGAGACTGCCGCAGGTGCTATTTCTCTCAATCACCAGCCATCCATGATGAGTTCTTTACCAAAGCTGTCAGGCCGTATACATGGTTTGCGGCACTTCTTTTGTTCCTCTCATACGTTATCGGTCTGCTGTTCACACTACGAACCCATGCGGCTGTTATTTGGACAAGTGAGCTTGACGAGAAAAAGCCCGTGGACATGTCTGCCAGCCACATAAGCAGCCACCTCAGTACAAGTGGACACCTTGAGGTTCCAAACACCCTGACCAGGAATGCGACCAGCACTTCAGTTCCGCGAGGCGATATTCGTGCCAGCCAACTTTATAAACGCATCGTAAACCAGACGTACCAATCCGTGGGGCTAGGGCCGAATGGTGAGTCTCCCGACCAAAAGCGACCGGTGAGCTCTACATCCGGGACCCATACTCCGCATCTCGTCCCACCCAAAGACGGTGATGAGCACCACATCTCTCCTGAATTCCATATCGAAGGGCTTTCCGACGAAGCAAGCCAGTCGCTTGTTCGGCAAATAACCGAGATAGCGGCCACGACTACGGCCCTTGCTACCCGCGATGTGACTAAGGGTACCCACAAAACTTCCCACGGTGTTGGCAAGAAGCATGCTGAACGACCGGCCGCCCCACGTAACGCATCAGCCGCCCCTGAGGTGGAGGAGACCGCGCCAGGCCACACCTCTGGTGGACACGATGCGCCGAATTGGAGCAGGACCAAGAGTGCAGTCATTCTTCTGACTGCGACGCTTGCCTATGCCATTATTGCAGAGATTCTGGTCAGCACCGTTGACTCGGTTCTGGAAGGATCCAACATTGATGAGAAGTTCTTGGGAATTACCTTGTTTGCTCTCGTGCCGAACACGACCGAATTCCTTGTAAGCAAATCCCAGCCATGAAAGTTTAATGTGGATCCAACTAACGAATTCTAGAACGCCATTTCGTTCGCCATGAACGGAAATATTGCACTGTCCATGGAGATTGGTTCAGCATACGCCCTACAGGTTCTTCTTCTCCAGATTCCGGCCGTTGTCTTCTACAGCGCTATCCAGGGCCGATATATCGACCCGGTTGAGATTGCCAACCACAGTTTCAGTAAGTTCTGATCATTGTGTTGGGATCGGAATAGTTATACTGACTCTTCCACAGCTTTGATCTTCCCTCAGTGGGACATGGTGACGGTGATCCTGTGCGTCTTTCTCCTATCGTACATGTACGGCGAAGGAAAGAGCAATTACTTCAAGGGCTCGATTCTCATCCTGTCGTACCTCGTCGTCATTGTCGGATTCTACCTGTCCGGCTTCGACGATGACCTCGGCATGCGTGGAGTCAACCCATACGACACGCTTGCCGTGGGCGGCATCTTCGAACAACAAGTGCAGTCCATGTCTTTCAAGACGAAGGGGCGAACCCGTGGCGGACCGGCTTATTAAATTTCTCGTTAATAGAGGATACGCACGCATTCTCCAATTCCTGGTGCACACCCAAAAGGCCCGGCCCCGTAGATGGAATTCCTTTCACATAATCCCTCACATCACCCTTTTTCTGTTTTCCAATGTTCCATACCTCCTTCACCATTCCTTCTTTTAAAAAATAATTCGGCAGATTGTGTTTGTTCATTGCAGATTTTCGAAGGTTTGCGCATAGCGTTGGGCGTTTTACATGGCGTTTATTTGGTTCTGTTTCAATGTCAATTCATACATCCAATCATAGTTACCTCTTGTCATTTTGATGTTTCTCGTTGGAAGAGTAGTGTGAAAAGATGTTTGTTGCTTCTTATCTTGAGTTCTCGTACATGTGTGAAAGTATCATTGAGGGTATGCAATACGATTCTACACGCGTCATATATGAACAAATTCCCTCGTATCAATCATTCTTACCCGGAGGATGTCCTCCATTTAGATTCATTCCCAAAGAGATTAACAATCAAGCAAGCCCTCCTGGTCCCTTCCTATAGTAGCTATACGCGTATATATGCACTACCGCTAGTCACCGCTACTATACTTAGATACCTTGATACTTACACACTGACATACTTTCCTGCCCACTCACCAAGGAAAAGTCAATATCACAGCACACAACACCAATCCCCCATCCCCTTCCTTCCCTTCCCCAAGAAAATGAAATGAAAAACAGAACGACAATCCCTCGTCGGACCGATCTCGCTCCGCCCCATCCCGGCCCTTCTTCGAACAACCACATTTCACCGTGATAGTTGACTATGGATCCGTTTCGGTCCGCACTCGGTCTTCGCATCCCCACGGCATGGTATCGCGGGACTGCGTTTCTCCGGGGGGGAACTCACTTACGCATGAGTACCTAGGTATATTTGGAGATGTTGAGCTGGAATAGACAGCTAGAAATGGAAGTCTATGTACTCGTCGAATTGTGGTGTGTGTGTAAGGCGTCAATTCATTTCATGTCATTTCGTGTGTCTCTACACAACTACTACCTACTCAGATACAGATACATGGAATACGCATGTGTGTTCCCCACGGATCGTCGGTTATTTCCTCCTCCGCCTTAATGTACCTATACATTTAGCTTCTCACTTCTTTCCCCGTTTAGTACTTTTCTATCTGGTTAGCCTGGGGTGCTTTGCATTTATGGGGACCGGGACGGCCCCCGGGTGGCGCAGCGAACATCACGATATGTACTCCGTACATACATATTTGAAATCACTTCACCGTCGGGTAAATACTTCGGTGGTTTTCGTTGTTCTTTTTGCACTTTTTCCATTGATTGGATTAGTGGGTTTGTGATTAGTAGCCGGCTTCAACCTCGTACGAAGCCATGCGAGAGCCGGCCGGTGAGCGTTGTTACGTTCGCGTGGGGAAGCTCCGAGGCTGTGCATGCGTGATCAATTATCAAATTCTGGGGGGTTCTAGAGACTAGGGAATGGTTGGAAGGGAGGGACGGAGGGAGGAGACGCGCCAGGTTTCAGATCAGAAGTCGAGGTCGAGGTTGAGGTCGAGGTCGAGGTCGGCAGCGGCATCGGGCGGTAGCGATGCGGGTATGCAATGTACAAGTACATGTACGAGTATGGCACTGTGGAAGGGATGGGGATGGATGGGATGGGATGCAAGGATGGATAGAAGGGCGGAAGGATGCGGGTAGTACAATAGCACAGCACAGCAGAAACAATGCCACAGCTATGCCACGAATGCTACGAATGCCCGCCCGTGTAAGAGTCGATAATTAAATTGACTTGATTGATTTGAATTACACCCTTGCGGGAGGAACGCGACAACATCTCAGGTTCAGGTTCTAGGTTGAGGTTCGAGATGTGGTTCAATAGTTTGAGAACCAGAGAATTGCATGTGCCTGTTGTCTCAAAGGATAGTGCATGTTTTCTCCGGTAAGCTAGGTATTCTGGTAGCTATCTTGATTCACATTGGACATGCATGTACATGTAGGTACTGTTACTACAAAATGTAATATGTACAATGGGAATGTATATGCATATCTGTACTCTGCAGATACATAGTGATTTATCACCATCATTGCTGCATACAATTACGATTCATGGTGATGATTCTGGTGATGATTTATCGACTAAACTTCTTTTTAAGTCTCTTGCATCCCCGTACCGTACCGTACTATCTAACAGTATCTGGACACTGGTTACCGGTAAGTCCATATGGAGAATGGAGAATGGATCGTGGAGTATGCCGCCCGCGTGCTTTCAGCTCCCGCGTCATCTTGCCCCGTGCCCATCCCCAAACACCCCCCAATTCACTATTCACTACACTATCAATTAGCTCACTACTCCCGCCCACTACTGTCACTGCCACCACCACTACGAGTATCATCCATCATCACCATCATCATCATCAATTCAAATACTATAGCTAGTTATTTTGACTAGTGCTATCCGACATGACAGCCCGCACTTGCACTAATCCGGTTAGCCTATCCATCTCGACCCGCACAGCTCCGCGCCATCCCATACCTTTATCTCCACTTGCACTTCCACCCAAACACGGCATTCTCTCCCACTCAAACCCCCCCAGTCGCTCCGTCTCAGATTCCTTTTCGAGTGCCAGCTCATCGTATATACTAATTCTCATCATAGTCACATCACTACTACATATTACTACTGCCCTCACTTTGGTGACACTGCAGATTCGAGCGACCCGTTATCTTGGTTTGCATTGCATTGCAGTGCAGTTCCTTGCAACTTGGAATCTTGGAAGCGGAAGCGCGCCTTTACCTACTACGAGTAATCAACCACTATTTACCCTGGAACCCCGCGCGTCTCGATCGAGTCCTGCACTTGTCGCTGGCCTGTCGATCTGCTAGCTACTCGTATGGTGGCGCCCATCTCCCAATCCTACTCGTACTCCCACCTCCAAGCCACAATTCCTCCAACATCATTCACTGTACATAGTCGTACTTCGTAAGACCGGATCGGATCGCTTTCGTCTCTTCTGCGTCCGTCTGCCTCCACCTCCCTCCCCCAACCGTCGCTACACTTCCCACTCCCATAGAGTAATCATCTCTACTGCGGACTGCGGACTGTGATCAGCGACTTGCGACTTACGACCTGCAAACTGCGACCACCATAATGGGGTCCTCACGCTTCTCGTGGTGCTATTCCACCTGCGCGCTGGTCGTCGCTCTCGCCTCCGTCGCCTCCTCCGCCCGCATCGAGCCCTCCGACAAGAACACTGTCATAGACACCTCCAAAGGCAATCTTACTCTGCAGACCTCCAATGGAGCCAATCTGTCTGACCTCGTTCCTCTTACCAGAAATGCCATCATCTCGCAGGTTCGCTCCCCGCTCCGAATATCGCGCGCAACGTTCCCATACTGACTCAAACCCACTTGTAGAATGACCCTCTCCAAGGAAACCTCCGTTATACCAACTTTGACACCGTCCAGAACCTCACCAACACCGATGTCGCATACATGAGCTGCGATCCTAATGACTATAATGGTTTGCTGGACGCTGACGCCCTGTTCACGCAGGCGCGGGATGGGCACAACCTTACGGCGATCATCTTATTCAGTCTGAGTGCGGACTTTTGCACGTACGGTGAAGACCAGTCCGACCCCACTAAGCAGGAGTTTCCGGTCTACTCCATGATGATGCAGCAACAGTCCGACGCGGTCGCTACCGAGTTACGCGCTGCCGAACCCGACCCTGCCAGAAAGTTCTTCGTCAAGATCGTCGCAGGAGGTAAAGGTAATGGAGATTCTCAGAACTCCAACCCTCCAAATCAGAGCCCTCTTGGTCCATCGCCTTCCACTGCAGTCGCCATGATTATCCTCTATAGTATAACCGGTATCATCACGGCACTGTTCTTGATCATAATTATCACTGGTGCTGTTCGAGCACATCGCCATCCGGAGCGATATGGGCCCCGCGACATACTCGGTCGACCCAGGCAGAGCAGGGCTCGAGGCCTCGGAAGGGCCATGCTAGACTCCATTCCCATCGTAAAGTTCGGCGAGCGTGAACCGCCCAAGCCGACAGATGTCGAGATGGCGTCGACGTCGGAAGCAAGGAATGTCGACAACGACGGCACGGCTGGAACAACTGCAGAAACAACCACCAACCAACGCTCAGAGACAGAGACACAACAGGAACCACCCAGCCAGACGGCCACCACTCAGACAGCAGATGAACCCAAGGACACGAATTCCAACCAAGCCTCCTCTGGCATGGGCCCCGCACTCGCCGCTGGTGCTGCTGCTTCCGAGTCCAATACCTCCGAGGAGGAACATCTCGGTTGCTCCATCTGTACGGATGATTTCGAGAAAGGCCAAGACATCCGGGTACTCCCTTGCGACCACAAATTCCATCCCGAGTGTGTCGATCCATGGTTGTTGAACGTCTCCGGCACATGTCCGCTATGGTAAGTATCATTATTTATCAACTACAAATTGACCGTTACTAACATTTTCTCAGCCGTGTCGATCTCCGTCCATCGTCCTCCGGTTCGGGCCGCACCAATGGCTCTCAAGACCCAGACCACATGCCGCCGCCACTCGATGGATTCGAGAATGAATCCGGTCACCGTCGCCGCTCTGCTCTTCGCGATCTCTTGAATGGCCGCTCCCCGCTCAACAACCATGCCGAGGCGCGTCTCGCTGCAATCCAACGTCTCCGCGAAGAGGAGGCTGCAAATGCTAACCCAGAGGATGCCACGGCTGCACGGAGGAGCAGGCGGATGAGCGCCCGGTTGAGTGGTGTCTTCCACATTAGGACGAGGAGGCACGGTGCCGATGCAGTCCCTGATGTTCCACCTTCTACCGACGTCGCCGAGTCCTCTACTGCGGGCGCGGCCGCTTCAGAGTCTACTCCAGTGGCCGCTACTACGACGCCTTCCAACGCTGCGGGTTCTTCCAGCAGCTCGGTTCCAGACGAGAATGCTACCGCAACCGCTGAACGGAAGGCCTGAACTTGAACACTCGATACCTTCAGACATGAAACATTGATGACGATACATACTTCTCCACATACGAACACGATACCTCTTTCCCTTTTCTCGTTCTCCAACATCTGGCGTAAATCCCGGCTTAGGCGTTCTTTCTCCCATCTCTCATCACGATACCAGCCACGCGGCACACATCTCTCACGTCTTCATTCATCATGATCCCATTCCTCATCAAAACCACCCGGTTCTCTTTGGATACCTTTTGGATCTCACTATGCATTTGTTTGGCGCTTTTTTTTTTCATTTTGATTGAGTAAAAGGAGGGGCAGGGGCGTTGGGGGGCGGCCTTCATGCCGAGATTTTATTCTTCTTTACTTCTTGGTGTGCTTTAACTACGGTAAATGGGCTCTTATCTTCTGCGCTTTATAATTGGATGCGCACACAATACGACACATCATCCCACGGTACGGTTGGGGTATACGGGACGGTAGTATACGGGCGGTAGGGATTGGCTTGGTTCCTTTGCTGGGTACATTGTCCTTGGACTTTGTCTTTGGATTTGACTCTGGCTTGGGCTTTTGGCTTACCATTTTGGATCTCACTTTTGAGCTCTGGCTCCCCTTCTTGTCCAACATATCCCCTCCATTCCGACGTATATCCTACAAACGGAATTGCCCCCGACGAAGAACATGTATCCAAAATACTGCCCTTTCAGAAATGAAACTGATTTAATACCCCATGCTCTTCTTTCTCATCTTCATTGTGCTTTATGGTGATGTGACACGTGATATGATTTGACATAGTACATTGGATCTTAATTTCTTTCTCATTTGCTACCATTGGTAATATCTAAATTATCTACTATGGAGAATGCATGGGTAATTACCACTCTAGGATTACACAGCATAGTCGTTAATCTTCGCTTATCTCAGGAAGAATCCATCCATACCAAAAACAGCATTATCATACATAACTTCCTCCCATAAACTCCACCACCACTCCCCTCAATGTTCAGACTCGCTACATTCACCAGTCGAGTCGCTCCCCGAGTCGTACCTCTCGCCTCCCCCCTCCGCCTCATTCGCTTCTTCACATCCAAACCAGCCTCAGACCAACCCTTTGAGGAAGAGTCGCTACCCTGGTACAACCCCAATCAATTCTACCCAGTCCGCATTGGCGAGATCCTCGACTCCAGGTATAAAGTACTCGGGAAGCTGGGGTACGGTGCGTACTCTACCGTCTGGCTTTGTAGGGATGTTAGGTATATAGCTATGCATTCTCCCATATTTCATTGTCATATGTATGTACATAAGCTGATGAGTCCATGAAAAGAGATGCCAGCTTCGCCGCAATAAAAGTCTGCACTCGCAACGTAGACCAATCCGCACGTATCCATCGCGAGCTAGAGTTTTACGAGCACGTCAGTTCACTCGATTCGCAGCACCCCGGTCAACGCTTCATTCGCGGGTTGTTGGGGACATTTGAAATCTCCAGCCCTACCGGTGGTCAACATCTATGCCTTGTTCACCCCCCAATGCACATGACTATCCGAGAACTGCAGTACATCAATCCATCGCATAAACTCAACGAACCGCTTTTGAAGTGGACGCTGCATAAGCTACTAACCGCGCTCTCCTTCCTGCACGATGAAGCCAACGTCGTCCACACAGGTACGCAACGCTTCCACAACCCACCCCCCCTTTTCCCCCCGTGGCTGATAGATGGAAATAGACATCACTCCATCAAATATAATGATGACCGTGGAAGACGAATCTATACTCGATGACTTTGAAAAAGCCGAGATAGAGCAACCGTCACCGACAAAGCCCATCAACGACACCCACACCATCTACACCTCCCGTAAACTCCGTCTACCTAAGGATTCTCTGTGGGGACAGCCAGTCCTCTGCGACTTCGGCCAAGCGTGCATTGGAGCAGGTCCTCACAGGGGGTTGATCCAACCGGAGGTGTACCGCGCGCCGGAGGTGCTGTTCGACATGGGATGGAGTTCCAGCGCGGATATTTGGAATGTCGCAGTTCTAGTAAGCCAATGCGAATCTGCATGTGTCCACTCATCACTAAAGTCGAATCATAGATTTGGGATCTCTTCGAGAATCGGCATTTGTTCAACGCACGAGATGAGGAGCAGAAGGCGTCGGCGACTCACCACGTCGCTGAGATGGTTGCGTATATGGGGTTGCCGTCGCGCGAGTACGTTCGGAGAAGCGAAGTCACGCGGAAGGTCTTTGACGATTCAGGTCAGTGACAAATTTCAAGTGGTTAAACCCAATTAACTTGAAGGCGATCTAGGACGGTGGAAAGGTGCAGGGGGGACGGTTGTACCGCAGCTCTCCCTCGAGGAATCGGTAACGGGACTCGATGGTGAGGCAAAAGAGAGGTTTTTGGGGTTTGTGAGGTCGATGTTGGAGTGGGAGCCGGAGAAGAGGAAGTCAGCGAGTGAGCTTCTTGAGGATCCGTGGATGGTTGGAGCGATACCATGAAAGGGATATGGTCATTTCTCGTAGAGTAAATCACTTCCCAGCTGTTGTTGAGTATGTTACGAACCACGCCAGATCTCTATACTGATTTCCATAGTAATGTAACAATACTGTAGATATATGATCTTGCTGTGGAATGTAGAAGGTATATGTTAAACCCTGATCAATAGCAAAGATAGAGCGAGACGAACTTTAGTGGGTATTATACTTCGAATATTCCATCCTCTCAGGACCTCCCTTTGCCTTCTAGGACTCGATATCTATTAGAGAGTAGCTCAGTGATTATCATCTAACCTCCTAGTCTGTGACCATAAATCTGTATGATCCTCCGATCTCGTACTGCCAATATCCCTCTCTGTCGCATCCTCTGGCCCACCCCATTGCAACCCTAGCGACGGATCAGTATCAGTAAGACTCAAATACGGCATCTCGACCCCACCACTCGTCTTCCGCTCACCCTCTTTTTCCCTCATCTCCCTCCGGCTCCCAAGCGCAATCTGCGACCTCGCAATCGCCTTCGGCAACGGGTCCGCCCCAGCATCACCACCACCCCCCGCCTGCGACCCTCCATCCACCAAGTTCCCAGTCGCCCTAATGTACGACGAAAAGAGGTTCTGGTAGCTCGCGTTGTTGACCCAGACCGCCCGCATCCCGACGACCGAGCATATCAACGCGCAGACAAACGCTATCCCGTACGGCACGAGTAGTTCCGACGCTGCGTATTTGTACGTGATCGGCCAGCTGTTAATCATGACGGGCACGAACTCGGACGCCGTGCCGTTTTTTCTGCCACAAGGTCAGCGATCGATTGCTCCGCGGGAAACTTTCAGGGGTAAAGACTCACATCAAAGCATCGTCACTCGCAAGACTCAACGTAATATTCTGGAACAGCCCCTCCAGACCGCGCGTCACCGCGCTGCTGTCCTTCCAATCGATGTCGACGAGTTTCCAAATGGTGCTCGTGACCCTTTGCGTGTTGTCCCGGGTGCGCCTCGCCTCGCCCAGCAGCATCTGGCCGAACGCGTCCATCACCATGCCGTAGGACATTATGTGATTGGCGGTGACGTTTCGTTGTTTGCCGGACCCGTTGGTCTCGCCGCGGGACATCATAGACACGGGGTGTAGCCAGTTGGAGACGGAGGCGCTGATGTTTTGGGAGGGGTAGGTGAAGTTGTAGTCGACGCTGTAGGTTGCGTTGAAGAGCACGCATTCGGTGACGTTGACTTGGCGGTAGCGTGTGTTTGCTGCTGTTGAGGATGTTGAGACGTTGTACCGGCGTGTGACGCTCCATGTGCCTTCGTTTGTCATGATGTATAGGCGCGCTCCGTCTTTGGATTTTGTGTCTAGGGTCGCTGTTGACCTTGATGAGGCGCTGGCGGCGGTGAGGCCTTGGTGGGCCCAGGAGAGGAACAGGGTTCCATCCTGGTCGTAGGATGTGACGCCGTAGCGGTAGGTGAGGTCGTTGATGTAGGTTTCGTTGGCTGACGCGCATTTTATGGCGGGCCCGTTGAAGTCGAGGTGGTAGCTGATGTTTGCGATGTCCATGGGTGAGGCTAACGAGAGCAGTCTCCCGGTTGATGCGGTGCGGTATGCCAGACTGTATATCCTAGGATGGCCCAAAAGAATGGCGCCGTCGTCGCCAGTAAATGTGCCGAAATTGGTGTAATTGAAGTCAATCTGACGAACTCGCGTGTTTACCGTTTCGTTGAAACTTTGAGGGGAGACCGTTAAAGAACCAGGGGTGACAATGGCTGCCAGCGGTATGCCCCTGTGAGGAGTGAGCATTATTCTGCCTCTTTATTTTGGGGAGACATACCACGATACCATTGCCATGACCGCAAGCATAGGGTGTCTCGCCCACACCGTGCTGCTCAAGAAACTGAAAGCGTTCGCCAGAACACTGGTCATGGCGTCTATCTCGCTCATTCTGAAGCTATGTTCCCGAAACCTTTGCCATTGCCGCTGTGTATACGATGCCCCCACGCTGGTCGCGAGAGTCAACTTCACAAGGATAGCCAATGCAATTCCAAACCTCGAGATCCATGCTTGTGATAAGGCGGCGCTGAACACAGGTCTCCCGTCCAGTTCCGTGCCCATGAAGTGGTGTCCAAGTGCGATGCCCAAACCCGCCAGAAGAGGGATCAAGATTGTTGCTGGAGCCCTCAGACTGACCTTGGTCGATCGGTCGCGACCGGGATTCACGGGCGTCCAGGACATGGACGGTTCCAAGGTTTCCGTGGAAGCTTGTTCCCGGTGGTAACTTGGGCTCCTAGAACTTGATCTCTTCATCTTCGACGAAAGTGACGATATGCGAACATGACACGGCTAGAAGTTCAAATAAGTCGTATACAAACAACGTCATAGCTAGGAAGATAGCTGTTGTACCAATCTTGGACGCCTTGTGTAGCTCCGCCACCTGGGGGCGGAATATGCGTGTATGCAGGGGTGGCCAATGAGGATCACCAACAGGCGATCCTTCCTTCAATCCTACGATACGAGGTATTGTTAACAAATGGGAAAGGCCAAAAGTAGTGCAGCTGAGTAGAATCCTGCCTCCAAATTAATCAAGAAGTGTTGCAGAAACAGCATCGCTATCAATTAATCGTGTGTATCTATGTAGACGGTCGACAAATGCTCTCTGTATGCGGAGAATCTTCGTTTCCACTGTCCACCAGGTACTTTTAAGAGGCTATGGAAGTATTACAGACTTTAAATAAGTGTAAGGCAATTGGTGTAGTATGATACTCGGTGCCTCTGCGAGTATGCAAATATTCGATTGGTACCCTCAAGTAACCTGGATAAAGGAGTGGTATCGTTGCGAGAATCTACAGCAATTGTAGTCGACCATCCAAACATGTAAACCAGAGATGCCTGTTTAATTGGCTCAAATCCGATGACCTAACGGAATGTAGTTAAGCATTCTCTCAATCTAACCCGGACCAATGTTAGCGTACAAAGTCAAAAGCATAGACATAGATGGTGATGAACCCAAATGAACGCACACCCACATTAATTCATAATCGGAAATTCTTACACTCTTCTACGATCCCGAGCCTCCGATATGGCTCCCCTAGTCCCATCGCCGATATCATCGGTGAATTCTGAGAGACCAAAGACTTGGAAGAATACCGACATCAATCAAGAGCGCTTGCTAAAATCCGTGAATTGGAAAGCACGCCGTGAATTGGAAAGCGCTTGTGGACTACGCGATCGATATAAAGCGGAAACAACTCGTCAATTACGATGACAGAGTTACCTGTGAGCTCTCTTCTGAGTACAAGATGGGCGGCATAAATGCCGTTCGGCGCCTTGACTTCGACGACGGTACGAGCTGGGTAGCACGAGTGCAAATGGGTCAATCAACCCCAGAGTCACTTAAACGGAAGGAAAATGCAAGTAGTTAGTGATATGTCTAAAATTCCGATCCCAAAAGTATTCGGGTACGGTTTTAGTCCCGAAAACCCGGTCGGTGTCGGCTTCATGGTCATGGAGCTCATTGCGGGGGACAGCGCTATGGACATGTTTGGTGGATGGCTTGAACATAAGGGCAGAACCCCTCTACAATTCAAGGAGAGGTTTCATTCAGCGATGGCAAGAGTTCAGGTTGGTCTAACAACATTCCGGCTTACGAATGAGCATAAGATACTAACAAAAGTTAGGTGGAAATGGCATCAATACGCTTCCCCAAGATCGGCAGTATCATTCGCCTCACTGACGGCACATACGACGTAGGCCCCATACCCAAGCTTGGAGGTCCGTTTGATTATCCTGCAGACTTCTTCTCTGCCTGGGCAAAGCACACCAAGTACCCCTACACCGACGCACTTGTCCGGGAACGCACACCCCCAGAGGTCGTGAATGAGGTGCTATCCTCTATCAAAGAATTCCCATCTCGGCTCACGAACTTGGCAAAGAATCACTGTTTCGAGCAGGGACCCTTCCCTTTGTTCCACACCGACATCTACAAAAGCAATATCATCATCGATTCAGAGTACAACCTTCTCTCCGTCATCGACTGGGAGAATGCAATTGCCGTTCCTTGGGAGCTGGTGGAATTCATCAAGGATCTATGTATAGTACCGCCTGCAATGGATGGACCACTATACCATGAGGAAGAGTCAGATCGACAAGCAATCGCTGATAGAAAAGTGTATGTCAAGATGGTGCGAAAGGTGGAAGAGGAGATGCGATTGGATAACAGACTTTCGAGTGTGCTGGGGAATGAGGATATGCAAAATTTGGCCAATGCAATTTGGCTCTATCAACAGAGTGGGAGGATTGGGTTTTATACGGGTGTTCTCGAGCCTTTTGAGTGAGGGACCCGGCCAGAAAGGTTCTGTGGCCGGGAAGGAAGAAAGACCTGTGGTGTATGGATGCGCTCCTTCAGCTTTTCCTTTTGTACATCTCAAGATACATGAAACAGCGAGGCAAGGACTCTATACAATTTGGTGTCCTAAGACAACGTCCCTATATAGGGCGCTCAACCTTCGGCCACATAGGGAATGAAGATTATAACTTAGAGGTTTTACAAGGTCTTGATTGACCTGAACAAGAGCGAGCAATAAATAATAGGGCCAACGAACTTTTAATATACCATGATATATGAATGCAGAATACGAATTGATACCTAACTACTCTTAGTGTTGTGCGAGTCCAACGAACTGGTGACACCGTATGCTATAGTATATCACCAGGAATTGGCATCCATGAGCGTTCGGAGTATGTCCGTCTTCCTATCCTGTATCCCAAGTTTGGAAAGCATGTTTCGCCGCTGTCAACCTTCCTGGGGGGTTTATCCATCCAACACTTCTTCGCACACTCCTCTGATGGTATGTGTCTCTTTAATGCTTGTTGTCTCTCACATATTGTCATATAATCAGCTTCGGGCAGTCTTGGATGCTGAATATCTGCCGGCAATTGTTTGTGCGGTATGTATCCTTCATCTAAAAATCCATCCCTGTCCAACCCTCGAAACTCCGTTTTGAAGTTCTTTTTATAAAGTGGAGGGCGTGGATCGATGGAAGGGAAAGCATTCCAGCATACGCGTAGTTGCTCGCCGTACTTATCACGGCCAATGCCTTCGAAAAGTTCTTGGAGGGCAAGCGGGGGCCGCCATTGTCCGACAATCCAGCATATCCAGCGTTCCTCGTTGCGCCAAAGATCAAGTTGCTCGCCCTGGTATTCATGGTATTCATGGGTCCCAAAATACTGAACTCCCCATGCAAAATAGTCTGTATACGACCAGAGCGCCCCTCTTTTGAGTGCATGCATCTTTGTAGTTGCTTTGGCGAAGGATTCGAGCAATGGGTACAGTTTATCCTCGTTTGGTGCCACGCGAAAACGTTCAGTCTCATAAGTCTGATGTTGTTGGTCAAAGTGCCAGCGTGCGTCGGTAGGATTTTCCTCGAAAGGGGGACGCATGTTGTCCGTCACTGTATATCCTACATCACGTTCTCCTTCCCCGTTGCAGCCCTTGAAGTACCAGGATCCTGATGGCGTGGTAGGGTGGAAGAATACATTAAGAATCTCCATATTGGGAAAGACCATATCCCCCAGTGAAGTGAACAATGTTTGGTCCACCTTGGCACGTAGGCTCAAACGCCGGAGACTCGGTGAAAAAGTATGAAAGCTTGCACTGAAGAGATCACAAGGTGCAGGTTCGACCAAGTTGGGCCCTCCGCCATGCTCCTCAAGCCTAGCGAAGTTGTGGTCGTACAAGAAATCCATCTGTACTCGTCGAAGGGTTGACGGAAATTTGACTTTGTTTAGTGCGTCGCTGAACCGAAATCTAGAGTCTCGAGCACAAGCTTCGTAGTCATGTTCGAAGTGTTTGTTGCATAGCTCTTGCTCTTCTCGCTCGAGCAATGTTTCCTCTTTTCCGAGCGATGAAAATAGACATTCGAGATTGGGACATTTGCTTGCCAGGTCCACTACAACTCTCAGATCCAGTCGTGAAAAACTGCACCAGTCACCAAACTCTTTGATTTTATTCCGCAGACGAAGGCTAGAGGGATTACAGACAGTAAGTTCGCGGACAGAGGCCAGTTCTGGAAGTTCTTCGGGGCATAGTAAGTGTACGCGCCACGCAGAATATAAACGATGCCAACAAAACCCCTCGCTCACCCAGCGAACCGGAGTCACTAAGACGAGATGTACATTCCCAAGGCCCTGTGACCTAGTTTCAGCAGATATTTCGGCCTTCTTGATAGTCTGGAACGCTTGCTTAACCTGCGCGGTGAATAAGTCGTCTTTCTCTTGAAGTTCAGCCACACTCTCTCGACAGGGCAATTCCTGGCTATCTTCTTTTGGAAAGCTCAGTGGTGGAAACTGGGTGTGTATCTCAACGTAACGCAAGTACGATAATCTTCGTGTGCCATAAATTGAAAGAAATTTCTCATGGTCATCCTCGTATCTTCCGAAATTGAAAGACTCGAATCCTCCACAGTATCGCTCGGCGGCAGCCTGGAAGAGCCGTGATACGAACAATGTCCGCTTAAGATCATCCACGTCCAGAAAGGAGCTGATTCGTTCCACTAGCTCTAGAGGGAATCTGTTCATGTTGGACTTAGTTGAGTATGATTTTGGGTGTATGGAAACTCTGTCCAATACAGTATCGAGGCGAGGCCATCTATTTGAAGTGCTGGTAGACGGTCTGTGCGTGACTGTGCCTCAGCACTTTCGCACTCATTAAATAAGATACTATTGATCTCTTGAACGATCGATGGACACATGATCAAATAATGATTGAATAACATTGTACCTTTCTAATAATCCCAGACTTGCCATTTCGTCTTGCTACCGGAACATGTACGTGTACACGTAAAGAAAACAGTATTATAGTCTTGCCTCGTCCTGGTCTTGATCTGGTCATAAGATACGCACTACCAAGGCCGCGGCTGCGTGCCATGAAAATGGCTGTATTGTGTCCAAAGCGCAGCCACCGCACGGCAAAATAACAATTCATTCTGAGCGTTGGTGAGCAGGTATTCCCTTCTTTTCTCACTAGAGCAGCTTCTGGCTTTCAAATTGCGGTAAACGTCCCGGGTGAATTGGGAAAGCGCTTCAGACGATCCGCGCCAGACAGTATCCATGTACTCATCAAATAGGGTACTCAGGCCCTGATATTGCCATGGACGCCAGGTCCCCAGCTTGCGATGATTACCTAGATCCCGGTCAATTTCGTCGATAATACCTCTGATTCTAAGAGCTTGAGTAGCGAAGATATCTGAAGTTTCTTGTAGATATCGAGCAAGCCCTATGGCTTGGCGGGCCCGCCGCAGAGCTTCGCGCTTGTTTGTGGCAATCCACCTGTTGATGTCGTCTCCGTCATAAATTTGTGCAGGAACAGCAGCGAAAACCTATAGAGATAGCTTTAGTGAAATGAAGCGATCGGCATAGGACATCGCACCTACTCGTGATTTCATATTGTTCATACTCGCATAAAGGCCAACCATCTCGTCTGAAAACGCATGGGTGTGGGGATAATGGTCAGCTATGAGTTGAAACGGTGTGCGGGCGGTGTGGTATCGGCCATTCAGTATGATTGCATCTCTTTCCCATTGCAGCACGAAGTAGTCGCAAAATCCCACTGTTCCACCTACAGACGGATCGGGATGCTGCCAACTTTTATGTGACAACTCATCATCCACCCAATTGAAGAAAGAACCAACAAGTTGCCATTCAAGATCATGCTCTGTATGGAACCGTATTCCCGAGTTCAATGCTCGAAGATAGGCTGGAGTATTAGCTCTGGTTACCCACTCTGTGTCATGTAGGTGATTAAGATCATCATAAACCCATCCGTAAGCACGAATGTTTGGCTAGTAGCTTCTTAGCTTTGTCTGCAACTACGCGGATTACACCTACGTGTTGGCGAACCTGCGCGCTCCAACTTTTATATGGATTGCTGATGAAATTGTCGGCTCCGCAAGGGTTGAATGACTTGGGGGATGCACGTGGCTGTAGAGCATTATGCGTTTTCTCAGCCTCCGGTATCCCGTTATTGTGATCCAAATCGTAGTAGTTCTATAGATAAAATCAGCAGAGCGTAAAAGTATACTCAATTAGAGTTTATACAACGTTGGCGTTGCTAACATTCCCTATGGTAGCAATTGTGGCCGTTGGTTGCGATTCTGGTTTCCCAACATCTTTCTGGTCGTGTGGCCTTCCAGCGACATGGGTGACAAGTATGTTCAGAGCGGCGATAGCGATGAAAGCCCATTTGCCCTTCATTGTGAGGAATCGAGTCCCTGGCTCGTAATAGCAGGACTTCTAGAAGTCGAGTGTTCCACACAAAAATGGCTTTCGATATTAGATAGACTATGAGTAGATCAACAAAATGAGAAATCAGTCCGGTTTATAACAGTAGATATTTGCGAGAATAAGGAGATGTTTCTTAATTTTCGTCCAGACATACGAACTCCCATTATATATTGAGCTCCAAGCAATTTGAGTAAAAGATCCCGTAGAATGAGAGTCTATCTGGCGTTAAAGTTGTAAAGAAGACATGTCTACTACGGGTGCCGTTGTTAATTCCTAGCATTATCTTGATCCTCTACGTATTTGATGAAGTGTTTGCTACAAGTCGCCGGAAACCGTTGGTAAGGCACCTATGAACATTTCGTTCAAGGATAGTGTCATTTGCAAAGTAGCGACAAGTGACAGTGACGTGTAGCAGATTTCTCCTCCAACTTTGCGCAACTGAGATCATCGATTGACGTACATTGAATGATTATAGATCTACTCCAATCCGCAACGTGCATATGCGGCGGCGAGGCACGGCAAAATGCAATATCAGAACGTGCCTCATGCAGGTTGGAGGACCAACCCAAAAAAAACTCCATGTACGCCGTAACGCCGCCTTCTTGGGGTCAGCAACCGCAAAATAAAAGGCAGAAGGGACACAATATCTTTTTAGAAGTTGTAAATTCGATACGTGACCTTGAGTTTACCGTGATCTTGATCCATGTCTTCGGTCATGTCGGTTTTCCTGCATCAAGTATTCAAATGCCTCTTCCCACACGGCGCATGTGTACCAATGTGTGGGACCTGGTCTTCTCTGAAATAATATCTGGTTTTTTTCGGATATCCAAAGTCCGGCGGCAACTGGATCAAATTATCTGGTCTTTGCCGGAATCAATGGTGTCACATTGTTCCTCACGACTCACCTGAAGTATGCCGACAGGCACTGTGGGTTAGTTCTGAAATATGTTTCCAACCTGTGTAGGACTCAAAGTGCTTTAAATCGTTGAGCACTAGTAAGATGTCATAGTTTCAGGGGTAGCAGAGATCAATAGTAGGAAATGGGGAAGTGTCGAGAGAACAGAGGCGTGGCAGCAATTTCTCAATATCTCGCTCATTTCTATTGAACGATGGTTCACATTCAGCCTCTTGTTCTTCATTTATTGCTTTACGGAATACTGGATCGCTATTTACTCTAATCTGATTTTAACATTCAACCATGGGCCCTTCACGGCGTTAACAGGACGTCACTCCAGGCATAAAATGTTGTCCCAATACACGGAGGCAACCTTTTGGTAATTTGATATGCCAGTGAATCAACGATCACATATCTGTCATGCTGCCCAACCAAAGTATATGTCATAGATCCACCGATGTAGCAGTTGAAAAGGGTGTACCGGTTACGATCTGCTGTGGAAATCACGAAACAACTCTTTCAATTCATGCGCTGCCTGAACATCGCGTGCATACGTAAAAATAGACAAGGTTATCATACTTGTGCTTCTTTGGCGCCATACTGTAGATGATCCAATAGATCATCACCCGTTGTTATCCCGAGACATCTCTCTACATCCCTCTCCCAACCACAAGTCCTCCCACACACAGACTTGGTCAGCATTCCTCATAACATTATCTCTTAACGAGATAATTGAAATGACAATGGCACAATATAGCATTCTCATCACGGGCGCTGCAGGATACATGTACATCCACTTCCCCTCTCCTTTCCCGCAGCATCCGTTCTTTGATTCTGATGACTGACGGAGTTCCAATAGTGGCGGGTCGATCCTCTCAGCTCTAGTTAGCCTCGAGGACCAACACAATATCTTCGCTACAGTTCGCACGTTTAAACAGGCGGATGCTGTGGTTTACCAACACCCAGGTATCACTGTGCTGCAAGTTGATGTTACACATGAGAAGGAAATTGAGCATATTATATCTACACATGAAAGTGAGCAATTGTTGTAATACAAATTGTGTCACAAAGAAATACACTAATGAGAGAATAGTTGACATTGTAATTCAGGCAGCGAGCTCGATAGACTCGAGACTCTCGATCCAACTCATTAGTGCTCTCTCGAAAAGAAAGCAGAGAAACGGAGGCAAGAATGTTTGGTTCATCCATGTAAGCATTGTGCCACATGTATCCAACAGAGTACCAGGAGGGCGAAAGTCGCTAATGTGAGATATAGACATCAGGGCTGGGTGGATTTTGTGTGCAGAATGGTTGGCCCGTTGAAGAGAGGGAAGACACGGGACCTATTTTCGAGACGGAGAAGAGACTCATGGAGACTTTTCCTATTAGGAAGGCAAGTTGACTCCCGCTGCGCGCGCAGGTCAATACGATGTGCTGGTACTGATCTTCTAGACTGATGTCGAAATCACGGAATATGCGGAAGTGATGGGAGTAGATAGTCTCATTGTTGTGCTGCCCATTATTTGTAAGTTCCTACATTGGTCCTGATCTTCAATCTTCCGTTGGTGCTGATGGATGGCATAATAGATGGCAAGGGGACGGGGGCGTGGAATCAACTCTCAATCAATTTGCCCATCTACGTCAAGTCGATAATTCAGAGCGGGCGGGCGAGGAAATTTGCAGAGAATACTGTATGTACTGAGCATATGGGACCACTGTCTGGAAGCACGATGTATTGATCATACACAGAAAGTCTCAGCAAGCCATATTTCGGATCTGGTATCTCTATACACACTCCTCGTCTCGAAGATCATCGCTAGAGAAGATATTCCTAGAGGGAAAGAAGGTTACTACTTCGCGCTTGCACATCGAATAGAAGGATGGGAAGTCGCAGAGTCTCTTTCCGGGGCTGCGAAAGCTCGAGGGCTCATTGCCGATTCGACTGTCGAGGTCTGGGAAAGCGATGCATCTGCAGCTGAGGCAATGGGGGTCCCCGAGATGTTTGTCCAGGTACTGTGGAATTCAGGGTATACCTCTCTAACATCAATCACGGGAATAATCTATTTACCAAATGCCGCAGAGATGAAATGATAGCGCGGAGACCGTTCAGCCTAGGTTGGTCACCAAAATGGGATAGGAAGAGGTTTATAGATAATATCGACGACGAGATAGCTGCAGTTTTGGAACTTGGTGAGGCAAAGAGCAGTCTCGTCAGCTCGCTTTTCAAGTTTGCGGGGGTTTGAAGCTGGGCATGGTATGATTGGCGATGGCATTGCTATTTGTGTTGGTTGCTGGACGATGTTTTCCTAATGGGTGAGATTTGCGCCTCTTTGGCCCCCACGAAACCTTGTCTTGCCATCATGATGAGCGACTCTTGTCAAGATAGCACAATCAAAATTCCTCCCAGGCTACCACCTACAGATCCGACTGAACCGACTGCAAAATATCTATTTATAATATCCTAGAATCCAGAAATCAACCTATTCCTCGACCCTTTTGCCAACCCTTCTCCATGACCTTTTTTCGGTCCCCAGAATGGCTGAGACACCACCCTCAACCTCGCGGCGCGACCATTTCGAGCATGACGTACTGATCGATAGGAGCTATGAACCCCAACATGAGAAAAGCTTCTCATCATCGGAAGACGCGGGTTCTTCAAAATCGAGATCAAACGAGCGAGCAAGAAAGGTATTTAGCGACTGGTGGTGGGAACTCCTGGCTTGCGTACCTATCATTGCCAGCTTCAGCGGGCTCATAGCTATTCTTCGCGCCTACCAGGATCGCCCTCTGCCGAAGTGGCCTCTTGGTCTATCATTCAACACGGCACTGTCAGTACTCGGTCTCGTCTTTCGCACTCCAGCCCTCTTCATTGCTGCTGAGGGAATTGGCCAACTGAAATGGCGTTGGTTTTCGAAAGAACGCCCACTAAGTGACTTGTCTGCCTACGACGAGGCCACTCGAGGGCCCTGGGGGTCTACGAAACTCCTTTGGGTGACTCGGTGGCGAGATCTTCTCGCAATAATCGGCTCTATAATCATAATCGCTTCAATTGGCATCGATCCTTTCACCCAAGCTGTTGTTGGCTACTCTCCCTGTCGAGTTTCCGCAACCAAAAGCGCTTCTACGGTTGGACGAATCAATTCGTTCTTCAGCTTTTTCTGGCACGAGATCGAGGAAGGGGTACCGCCATGGACGAGATTGGCTATGGCTGCGAGCATCCAGAACTCGAATTCTCTTACGCCGAATTACAGCTGCACGGCAGCCCACTGTACCTTTACCAAACCGTATCATTCCATAGGGTTCTGTAGTAAATGCGTCGACGTTACAGATGAACTCATCACCGAGGATTGGTCGAATGAGGATTGGCGTGGTCGCAACTACACCTTACCACGACTGGATCCGCAAGCATCGGTACCATTGTCTGGGAGCCAAGCAGGCTACCGATTCGACCTACGGGGAGAGGAAGTAAGAGACTATGCGCTCTGGGACGTCCTGTCAGTCAGGAAGTTCGCTGAAGGATTTACTTTTCCAAAGGACGTGTTGCCATCAGAGACCGAGGGCCGCCATCAGAGCTCGAGATTTGACATTGTGTCCGCTCGACCAATCCTTGGGTCTCGCTGCTATCTGTCATACTGCATTCGATCCTACACTGGAACTATCAACCACGGGGTACTTGTGGAAAAATTGGAGTCGACAAGCAGAAATTGGTCTACCTGGTCAGCCGGGACTCCGATAGTGCGAACTGTGGAAACCAACTGTCTAAGACCGCAAGTGCGAAGAAAACTCGAAAGTGAGGGCTATATCTCTGCAGATACCGAATGGATGGCTTGGAACGGTACCTATTTCTCTGGTACCGAGGCGGATGAAGGAATCAGTAGGTCTACTGAGCGCGCCATACCAATCCCGTGCGTGTACGAGATCCAAGTGTACGACGATGCTGTGAACTGGGCCCCTTATGAGTTCTACACCGGCGATTTGGCTGGTTCCGTCAGGGGAAATAACATCAGCAGCACGCGCATGAGAATTTTGCACGGATCGACGGGTTTCCTGGCGGGTCTATACGACGACGGAGCGATATCCATCGATTCGATCAACCATGTTTTCGACAACGTGACCACCGTGATCTCAAACTACATGAGGACGCAAAGTCGACCCATTCCCGCGAACATCAGCGAATACGATTCGCCTCTGAATCCCAGTGAGGCCAAAAACATAACCAACCCCAATCCCGTTATTGGTGAACCCAAAGACTGGAATCATCCAACAGAGGGAAATGACTTCAATGATACGACCTGTATCCGCGTTCGCTGGCCATGGCTCGCGTTGCCCGCTGCAATCATCGTCGGGACACTGGGATTCTTGATCATACTGATCACGACGATGACCTTCCAGGATGAACGCGGGATGTGGAAGTCATCGCAGAATGCACTCATGTGGCACGGTCTATCCGGTCCTGCAGTGGAGGAGAGTGCCAGCTTGAATTCCAGGCAGGATATGGATGCAAGAGCGGAAGAGATCCGCGTGCATTTATCAAAGACAGATAGAGGATGGAAACTTGTACAAGATGAGAGACTCGAGTAAGCTTTGCATACATGTTATATAATATTCTGGTATTTGCATAGCCGAACTAGAATGTTTGTAAATAAAGACTAGAAGATGTGGAATGAACTATGATTGATAGTTAGAACCCAACTCATCCAAACTTCAGATTCGATTGATGTACACCTAATGTAGAGCCCAGAGTATTTGCATAAGTGTGAAACAGTCAATGAATATTACTCGTAGCATTGTCAAGTAGAGACCGACATTTGATGAGAGGCATTCAATGATCGCCGCACATCAATCATGATCGGAGCATGGACATGGGGAGCAAAACGGCAAGAGAAACAGGATATTGGGGACAAACACGAGCTGAATCAATCGATCACAGTCGATGATCGGGGGAGTGATGTGATGCAACGGACGACGTGGATGGGGATGATGCGCCCGACGCGGCATAGATAAGCGAGAATCTCCACTATTCTATCCCATTTACCGAGACCATGGAATTCTTGCTACAATTCCCATCATTACATCAAGATGCCTTTCATACGAAGCAGACAAAATACTTATATGCCATGTAGAATGCAGCAAGCTACTCTCAAGAGATTACTTTTTAAACAAGCAATTTTTTCTCAAATTATTTATCAGCACAAGGTGGTAGAGAGAAGATTGAAAGGATAGGGGTATTTGTAGATTCCGATGCGGCGGATGATGTAGCTGGCTGATCCTGGCCCTGATCCTGGGGGTCGTGCGCATCATGACGCAACGTCCTCAACTTTCCTTCCGCGGCTGTCAATCCACAACACGTACACATACGCAATCAAAATAATCTAGCATAGCAATGACATTCATTTTACTTTTTTCCTATCCTATCCAAAATAGTCCATGGAGTAATAGAATTTCCACCTGCTGACATCCTTCCTCCTTTCTCTTCATTCTTTCATTCACTACTAATCGTGAAAGTTGGATTTTCTGCAAGTAACAATATCCCACCATGGCGACTGGAGCGGTCTACAAGGACCTGCTCCCGCTCCCTCAGGAGACGGAGCCTGAGAAGGAAGAAACCACCGTCACCATGCAGGACAAGCCCACCGAAAGTCACGCGCTGGCCATGCAAGAGCCAGAGATCAAAGGTGCTGCACAGGTCGACCACGAAGAAGAGGTCGTGAACCTCGGATGGAACGAGCCTAAAGAAGCTGTATCGAATCCACTCGTTGGTGGGATCTCGAATGAGGATCTCTGGCTACTAGTTCGACGTTTCAACAAGGTGCGAATCACTATGCTACCATCGCAACGGTAGCAAACGAATGCACCAAACGACGGCTAACCTCTCGCAATAATAGCAAATGTATCATGTCAAAGAGATACCAAACCCACCACCAGGAGGCCTCGACCTCAACATCGCAGACGAGGAGGAGTTCTCGCCAGACAAGCTCAGGAGCAATGTAGAGCGCTTGTACATGACCATCGTAAGCCCATACCAAGTGAGTTCTTTTCTACCAGTGACTAATCCGTCATGTGTGCTTAGGGCATCGGTCTGATGGGTTTTGGAAAGCAAATTGTTCGCCTTCGGTCCTGGCGCGAGACACGCCGCACTGCTTCGTTCTGTGCAGTATATTTCCTCGCATGGTTCTTCGACCTGTTGATGCTGGTTGTTTCGCTCACGCTTATTGCTCTCATTGCGTATCCCCGGAGTAGGGAGGTCATGTTCCCTCCTGCACCCCTTGCTTTGGTCAGCAGTAAAGGAGGTGTCCAAAAGCCAAAGTCTGGTGTCCTAGGCAGCACTGACAGTGCCACTGGTGCACCCGAGAACCACAAGGGTGAGGCCGTTGAGCAGGAGGCTAGCAACTTTGTCAATGGCATTGCCTCTGTGGCCTTATCCAGCGCAACTGGAAAGCATCCTCAGGGCGATGCTGCTGAAGATGCAGACGAACCCGGGAGTTCAGTACCCGATCCAACGTCCATCGCCGTCAGCGCAGCCGATGCAAAGGACAGGGCAGCAGGAGCAACTCCTACGAAAGAGCATGATAAGACGAAAGTGCCCATGGAGACTGCCATGTGGACCAAGATGCGGCCCATAATGCATGGCCTCGCAGATGTCACTGACACTTGGGAACGATTCGCTAAGTACGCAAAACAAAGCTCCCCCTCGATGCCCCAATCCAAGCATCAAACTAACACCATCGTAACAGTGCCCTCGACCCTCTCCCACCCTTCCCCAAAGATCGATTCCGAGTCCGCATAGCATCCCTCGTAGCCCCACTCCTCCTCGCCTCGATCTTCGTCTCCTCGTACATGTTCATGAAAGGCGTGACCTTCGGCTTCGGCTTCGCCTTCTTCGGCGACCCCATCATCTCCCGTAGCCTATCTCTCCTGAACCGCAAGTTCCCCCACTGGCAGCGCCTCCTGGAACTCCGCAACACCGTCCTCAAGGGCGTCCCGACGAACGCCCAACTCACCATCACCCTCCTCCGCATCGGCGAAGCCAACAAAGCCCCCATCCCCCCACCCCCACACATCGACTCGCCCCCTCCCGAACAACCCACCGACATCACGGACTCGCAACTCCGCGCCACAGGCGCCGACTGGCCCCTCAACGCCACGCAGGAAGAACTCGACGAAGCGATGTCGCACGACCCTTCCGTCGCCGCCTCAACCTCCGGCGCCGACATCGACGCCTCCAAAGCCTCCAAGCACGGCAAAAAGGGCAGCAAGATCCTCGGCTTCTTCCGCCACACGGCGAAAGGCGGCGTACAAACAGCCATCGGGTCCGACAAGCTCAAAGCCGCCGCCGGGTCCTCGCACGCGAAGAACCGCCTCGGCGCCGTGCCGCACCCAGACGAAGACCTGACTTCCGGCCCCGTTGCCTTCAAGTGCAGATACAAGGGCAAGAAGGGCCACGCGTACATCACCGTCAAAGCGACGATACCGTGCGTCGCGTTTTCGACCGACGAGACGGTCGAGACGATCGGCGCCGTCGAGCGCGACGACCTGCATCCGCTGTGGTCTATCCCCGTCGGCGAGATCAGCGAGCTCGCGAAGGTAGGCGGGTACGGCTGGAAGGCGAAGCTCGTGGTTGGATGGGCGATGGGGAGGGAGGTCGCGGATGGGTTGGACATCGTGCAGAGGGATGGGTCGACCACGCGCGTCACGGCGATGCCGCTGCGTGATGAATTGTTTAATCGCCTCATTGCGATGGGGGGACAGAAGTGGGAGTGCTGGTGACGGGCGAGGAAGGTGCAATGGGAGTGTGCGGGCGACGCGCGGGTGAAAATGAAGGGGGTTGGGTATAGGAATGAGGGTGTTGCGGTCAAGAGTACGATGCTGAGTGATACGTTGGCGGAGATCGACGTCTTCAGTAAGGCCATGGAGCTGTGACTGGTGGTGTGGAGGGTGTGGGATTCCATTGCATCATCTCGGGGCGTGGTGTGGTGTGGTGTGGTCGAGGGTTCTGGTTCTCCTATTGCATACACATATACACACGCATACATGTAATTTCCTACCTCAATTTGTACGATAGATAGTCGAGAGAGGGCGTAGGCGATGGGCGGTTGATATAACGACCCAAGCAATGAACGAATGAGCGAAATCGATAATACAATTACCATTTACTATTCACGCATTCATCACGTTGAGGGGCATGAGAAGAATATACTTCTTTATGTATATTTATATTGTCTATAAGATGAAGTATAAGTCATAATCTACGTATGTATGTCCAGAACCATCGAATTTTTATGACAAGGTAGTGGTCTTGTATAGTTACCCGTTAACGCCGTTAAGTATGATATAAGAAAATAAGAACGAAGGAACTCCAAACCATGACATAACAATGCTCGCTTCGAACCAACAGCAGCTCTTTCGTGAAGTAATGTGATGTGCTAAGAACGCCGTTATGCCATGGGATATAAAACGGTCCCGCTTGTGTCCAGAAGAAAAAGATCACCAGAAACGCCGTTTAAGTAATGATTTTGGGGACATTCTGATTCGTGTAACGATGTATGTCTTTGCGTTTTAAAACGCATGGTATGCTCTTAGCATAATCTCGAGTACATATGTCGGTCGGGTCGATCTAGACGGTTTCTCCATCGTGTTCTGATGCCTCGGGGTCCTCGACGGTAATGTGCACGACCTCGTGCTTAGGAGCAGGCTTCTTGCTGAAGCAGCAACGTGCTGCACCGGTGACCTTAGCGTGGGTGTTCTTGGCCTCGCGGCTGAGGAACGGAATCTGCATCACGCCTATTATAGCGACCAGAGCGGATGCCCACCATGCGAGAGGCGTGAAGTGGATCTCGATGGAGAGGCCGTAGAGAAGACCGGCAACGGGACTGGCTACCGTGCGGGCAGCGGCTCCGGTACTTGCAGCGAGGCCGTTGATCTGTCCGAGACAGCTAGGAGATGGTGCGGACTCTTTGATCATGATCAAGAGCAGAGGGTAGGCGAGGATCGAGAAGAGGCTTCGGATGCTGAGACAGGTGTAGATTCCGGGATAGAGAAGGTTCTCGGGAAGAAGTTGCAAATAGGGGACGATGAAGTAGGCGATGGGGTGGCCGATCGTGCAGACGACGAGGAGCTTCCATACGCCGAACCAGGATGCCAGGCAGGGGAAGATGACTCCTTGGACGAAAAGCTGGATTATGCCGTTAAATGACATGATGATACCAACGTTCTGGATCGAGAGTCCGAGGCCACCTCCAAGGGATCGAGGAGATAGGCTCTGTGCGGCTAGATCATCGGCACGCTTGTCCTGGAGGAAGATTGGGAGGAGATGGTCATATGTCATCTATCCGGTAGCGTTAGTAACTTGAAGCAATAGTTCTTCGGAAAGTGACTTACGGAATGATAAGTAAAAATTCCCAGAGCCGCAACAAACATGATAACGGTCTTCGTAATGACCTTCTCCTCAGACGCGGGAGATTCAATCCATTGGCCATTGGAGGTGACGCGCCAGAGCTCATCCCGATCAATGTCAACGCGATCGAAAGTTCCATAACTCTCGGTCGTGAGGTTAGCCGCAGCGTTTGCAGTAGCACCCTGTGCGGGAAGCAGAGGGGTCTCAATAGTCGACACGTAGTCATCTTCGTCTTGTGACCCGGAAGGTTGCATGTCGGGATGGGTTTCATCCAACAGGACGTACGCAGCAATGATGGCGAGCACCAGGAGCAGCGCGCAGATCAAGTTGGGGAGAAGGTACGGGAACTTGGCAAAAATGCCCGTGGAAGAGAAGAAGCTCGGGAAGTTCTTGACCGGCTCAGCGAAACATCCGCCGATGGAGGCTGCACAATTAGCATAGGACGGGAAAGCGAGTGGGGGGGGGGGTACGGGTATCTTACGGCCAATGATGGTACCAATCGACCATACAAACGGCATGACGGCGTATGCCTTTGCTACGTAGTAGTCAGTACTATTGTCTTTGAAGTTTGTTCAGAAGAAGTACTCACGTTCATGCTCTGGACGCTTGACCAACTCTCCAACCATGGTCTGAACGACACCTATATTACCATTCAGCAGTCCACCGAGGATTCTCCCCGCGAGAGCAACCCAGAAGTTGGACGCAAAGCCAAAGACTAACAAGGAGGCGATTGTACCCAGACATCCCATGATAAGGACCGGCTTGCGGCCTACACGGTCGGAGAGGGCACCCCAATACATGCCAGTGATGGCTTCGGCAAAAGAAAAGGCAGAAATGAGGATGCCCGCAAAGAAGGGCGCATTGGCGTCCGAAGAGACATGGTAATGTTGGACGAGCTTCCAAGCGTATGGAAAGATGGATGTGAGTGCAATTGGCTCTGCAACTCGAACGAGTGCTATTTGGTGCAAGTTAGGAACCAGAACTTATCGGGTGTGATGCGGAGTGGTGGTCACGCGACGCGAGGTAGGACGATAGATAAGAAGCCGGGGATTGTGGCAACTACTCACCAAGGAGGAACAATTGGGTTGCGGGAAATGCGTTTGGATCTCGCGGAGCTTGATTTCTGGTGAGAAACATTCCTTCAACCTGATTTGAATCTTACGGTTATGCCAACACGCAGGAGCTCAGGTGGAAGGAGGGAGGTTGTAGCTGTAGTGGTGAGTAGAGCTTTTGTCTGCGTTTGGCCTCAAAGAACCCCAATGATAGAAGAAGACAGTCAGAGATAGCCGGAAACGAATTGAGAGAAGAGGAAAGACAGTGTTTGAAGTTGAGGAATGTAGAAAGTTGGACGCAAGGAGAGTTGGTTGAAGTACGGAGTAGGAAGAGTGAGGATTGAGAAAGATTGAGGTAGATTAGAGGCAAGAAGGGTGCAAAGTCTTTAAAAAAAGGTAGAGACGAGACGAGACGAGACAGAAATCTTGGGGGGAGCCGGTCCGAGCCAATGGGGTGGGATCAACATGCGCAATCAGGCCAATGAGAAGGCAGGATGGTCTGTGCAAGTAAGCGTACGGCATCAAATCCGGCCCAGTCTTTTTCTCTCCTCTTATCTTTCCCTTCTTCCTCTTCCTTCCCCTCCTCATCCTCCTTTGCTGTTTGCGGACATCATCACCAGATCATCCATCATCAATTCACCGAATACATGTGGAGTATTAATTATACCATAATCATCGTTTTGTATCCACCCTTTCCGTTTAAAAAATCACACCAATCCAGGGCACGTATGGGGAACCCTAGCTAGTCAGCCGCATAGTCAGTGTAGTTACCTCTAGTAATTGCCGTATCAGGTTAGACTACTAGACGGGACGACTTCCGATCCCTGATTTTCCCATCCACGCTTTGCTCCATTCGTATTCGAGACTCGTGGAAACTTGCAATCTCTTTGATCTCTTATGGGCATCGTATGGAATCTCCTGTTTTTCTCGTTGACATTCGCATTGGGGCTCGTGCGGGAAGTCCAATTTCCCGATCCCTCTACATACGTCACTTCGTCGAGTTTGTAGTTTCAAGGTCGTCGCATCGTAAATTGGCACAACTATGATCTCGATCAGAGATTCGTACGTACTCAGTATGTAGTAGTACGAGTAAGATCAACAAACAATTAGTCAAAAACTCGTACCAAATCTAGTCTTCTGATAAGGAAAAGGAGGGGTCCCGACTCCCGCAGGTGCATGTGCATGTGCATTTTTTTCCTTCTCTTCCCTTTGCCCTGCAGCTAGACCTACATAGTATGTCTTGACTAACCACAACCCCTCTTCCCATCCAATCATTCACTGCTGCCAATGCCTTTCCTATTCTTTCCAGAGTTACCTCGTGTCTGCTACTGTCTTTTTGTCCTCCTGATGAACTCGCCCAAGAGCTTACTACAGAGCGCTGCCTCCTTCATGCGAGTTGCCACAGATCAGGTCAAAAGATGCGATCACTCTCGCATCCACCCTCTTCCATTGGGCCCTTTTCCAAAACAACAACAATACGAACGGCTGATCTACATCTGTAAACCCATCCTCCTCGTTCTCTCATCACCTGGCCAGACCGAGCATATATGCACACCGCTCCACATGTAATGAGCTGCTACTCACTCACCCCGCCAGACAAGGAAATAAAGTCCCTTCCCAGCACACCTGTCTGTCCAGATTCATTGTCGCCCGCATATACCGCTGAACTACAAACGTAGGGAAAACATTATAGCGACTTATGCATAGCGCACATGCGATGTCGGCCAGTCCCGATACCCACTCTCGAACAAACAGGCCTCGCAAATCCACTCCATGCTCAACCCAACCAACACATCCAGAGATTTCCTTCCCTTTTCATCTGAGACCGAATCACTCACTAATCAAGAAAAAAACCTCCCAAACGCACATCTCGTTGTCTTTGTTGTTCGAAATTCAAATCAAGTCCTTCCCACAAGACTTGCAAAATACGAATGTAGATTCAAAAATATACACCGCCAAACGCAAAAACTTGAAACCTACGACACATTGTTCTCTTGAAGATAGTTCTACAGAAAACACCTAAACTTGGGAACTTAGAGACGAGTATTATGTGACGAATTAAGCGAGGAAGGCGAGGAAGGCGAGGAAGGCGAAGAAGAAGAAGAAGAAGAAGAAGAAGAAGAAGAAGAAGAAGAAGAAGAGGGGGTAATATGTCGAAGTACTAGTAGAGTCGAGTTAAACCTGGGCTTTATGTACACAGGTAGGCATCTAACCATCCATTCCTTGACGCTCAAACCCGAAGTACATTCCACGCCTCCCACTGTCACAAGACTTCCCGTCATGAACGCAATAGATGTTGGTGGGGTATGTTGGTGGGTGGTGCTGAGCAGTTGAGGGTCGTTTGTAGGATCTGCCTACTATAGCTAGGTACAGGAGGGACAGGAGGGCGAGAGTTTGAAAGACGGTTTTGTTGGGGTTTTGTGGAGAAGGAAAGAAGAGGTTGTGGTATTGCTGACTGTGGGTTGCATAGGTACTGGGTAAGATGTCTGATGTTTAGATAACCTAAGGTCCTACGGGTCCTCTCCTTGGACGGGTCGTAGTGGAATTGTTATGAGCATAGAGCTGTATTAGAAACGAAAAATGTATCAAGATATTCAAAGGTCACGTAAATGATTATCATAGAGCAAATATAGGCACGGAAGAATGAGGTACATTGATAAGGATTTCATTTCGAAAAGGGGGAATAAAAATAGTCAGATATCATCCGCTTTCATCATAATCATCAATACCCAGAATCGTGAAGGACACTGCCGCCAGTATCTACCACTAGACTACCAAAAATCTCGTCAACTTTTCTGTGGCCATACTTGATAGAAAGAAAAACTCGCTCGGGGGGAAATCATCGAAGGGAGATCCGGAAAGATTCAGATAACTAGGTGGAGGTAGCAGCAGTGGTCGATGTGGCCTTGGCGCAACCACTGCAAGCACACTGTCCTGGAGCACAAGCACACTTTCCAGTGTCAGCGGCGCAGTTGCATTGCGTCTTGTCTGTTCCTGGGATCTTCTCGAGACCAGCCTCTTCGGCGGTGGGAGTGGCTCCAGTTGCGGGTTGGTTCTTCTTCTTGATATCAGCGAGGTGACGGGCCTCGTTGTGAACGTCGAGGACGGTCTTGTTACCCGTCTCGTAGAATGTCCTGAGCTTCTGACCGGTTGGCGTCTCGGCGGCCTTGTCGAAGTAGCTTGTGAGGCCTCCCCATGCACCCCAGAACTTGGAGCTCACACCAAGCTTGGTATCAACTGCCTGTGCCTTCTGGGTTGCCTGGGTCTTCTGGTCGAAGTTGTTGAGGGCGTTCAAGAACTTGTTGCTGACGCCGTGCTGCTGGTCGAGCGCAAGAGCCTTCTCGATGGCCTTGTCAGAGATGGTGTAACCGTGTGCGAGATACTCGGCGACGATACGGCCTCGGGGCTTCTCCTCCTGCTCGATATGGTGGTCGCCATCCTTGGCTTCCTCTGCTGAGGCGGACTTCTCGCCAGCAAGCTCGTCGATGGACTTGGAGGAGGTGACGTGCACGGAGTTGGGACCCAACTGGGTATTATCCAGAAGGAGAGCCGTCTTGGCTGCAGCGGCCTTCTCGAAGGTGACGGTGGCAGACTGTGTTTCGCTGTCGGTGGGGGTTACGGAGAGGTTCTGGATCTTGCCACAGAAGCTGAAGAAGGATTTGATCTCATCTTCGCTGGTCTTGGTGGAGATACCCTCGACGTGGACGGTGGTAGACATAGTTGATTTGGTTGAAGATAATTGAATTTGAAGAGTTTTTTACGTCGGTATTGTTGTTGGAACGAGGAAGAAGTTTGGGAGAGGTAGTAGGTATGCTGGAGAAGAGAACTTGCGTGGTGGGGGTTATATAAGGAGATTCGCACGCGGAGGGGCGTAGAATTGCCGACGTCATCGCGTTCGTACTAGTTCGTGGCGGTGCGACGAGATGTGGCGCAGGAAGGACTACGAAGCTTCAGGAATTCTCTGTGAAGTTTGCATGTGAAAATGGAGCTCTACTTGTGGATTGAGCGAGTCTAGAAGGAAAACAATTTCTAGTGTATTGGAGAAGGTAAAGTTGTGTTCAGCTTGATGAAGCTTATCTGCAGTGCCAATTCGTGAGCCGCAACGACCCTGCTGTAGTGCGGTCTTCCACAACCGCGGAGGGGCAGACCAAAGAGATGGAAACCTGCTGAGGCTGTTGGGTCTAGACTTGTCATTTGTCTAGCTACCTCGTAGAATTCACAGTGATTGACTATAGGACCTAAGAAGTTTCTACAAACATTAAAATCAATTAACGATGATTGTAGGTCAAACAATACTGCCATCATGAGAAGCTCAAGAACCCAAGCCTTTTGATTTCATTCATGGATACCCCGTCTTAGTCCCCTCCAATGGAAGGTATCTTAGCCAAATGATTGATTCAAGTCTAGAATGCAAGCCGCCTTGTGTGACGAGAGGATATAACGTCCCAAAATGCATGAGCGCAGTGTAATCGCTGAATGATCACCGTACGACAACCTCTGTTTCGCCAGTTACAGCAATCAAAGTCAATGTAACAGTACCCCAACTCTTTGACGCACTCTCCCGAGACACAATCAAACCTGGTGGCAGATCCACATATCTTTGTGTTGATGTGCTGGATGATTGACACCAGGACTCCTCCTAGCTGAGTTCTGATTGGCCGGAGCTCCACCGACGTCACAGCCGCGGCAGCAAAAAGCATAAGCGTAATCATAAGATCGAAGACCACCCCCAACACCTTGAAGTGCTTCATGAGTGCAGTGTTTCGAGCAACGCGACGGCAAGATGTCCTTCGTGGTTGAGTAAGTCACCATATTCCTCTTTCCCTCAGTCTTAGCTGACCAGCGCCAGCCAAGTCAATCGCATTGACAGCCAGCTCGACCGGCTACAGTTGTCAGAGACAACCACCCCAGGCGACCGCTTCTCAGTGTCGCGGGAGGAAACACACGACCCCGCAAAGGCAGCACGGATCGCACAGCTACAATCGCTGATCAAGAGCCTCTCCGCCGGCTCGTCGTCCAAGTCCTCTCTCGTCCCCACAAGCAAAATCCTCTCCGTCCTTTCGCAAGCAGACATCTCCAGCAGCTGCAGCACGTGCACGCAGCTCTCCGAACACGACGACTCAGGCGCTCTACAGGCAGAGACGTCATATGAACATGAGTTGGAATGGCTCCTTCTCAGCAAGGCTACTACACAGGCGTACGGCGAGGTGCTGAGTACCATCCTCGAGCAAACGATACCGTTGGAGGACGAGATCTGGTATTGGGAGGATATATTGAATACCTATAGGTTCGCCGGTCTATATTCCGTCCAGACATCCCCGATTCGTCTGTGGCGATGGTCTATCGACATATATCACGATGTGCGCTCTAAGGGCGGGGAATTGGCGAACGGCTGGCAACAATTCTACGGGCTCGTCAAGGATGCCGTGCAAGAGCGGTCTCTCGCAAACATCCAACGTCAAGTCGTCTCGCCGTTAGCTCTAGTCAGGAGCGAGGCAAAACGCAAGCGAGATGCTTTGAAGAGGATACGATTGATGAACGCGAATGCTCTCGGATTGCTCTTGGGCGAAGGCTTGAGCAACGAGAGGTAAGCTCAGGATGCGTGCAATTCGCACTGCTCTATAGGCTAACCAAGACCCAGCATTCACGAAGACGGTTTACAAACTCCAGGACGCTACGGAGCTCAGGACAATCGGCAGCGATGGAAGAGCACCATTGCTAAGAACATCGCTCTCATGGATGCTGTCATTCACACGGTGAACGACGCAGACATGTCAATTGACAAGTTCGACGGCTCAGTCGGCGCTTACACGCAGGAAGACGATTTCTATGACTTGCACGACGCCTCCTCCGATCGATCAGTTGCATCTCTCCGCCCGACAGACGTTGCCGAGCGTCTACAGTATACATTGAACCAGGCCTTGAGCAAATACTCGACCACCTTCAGCACCGCAGTCACTACCAATGGCCGCCCCTCGCTGCTCGTACGCTATTGGCTCCCAGCATCCGTCTTCCTCATTTCATCGACCACCATCCTCCGAATTGTCATAAACCGCAAGGAGGAAATACTAAACTGGGTCCGCGAGTTCGGCCAGACGGTCATCGACTTCTGGTCGAACTGGGTCGTCGAGCCCTCAAAGAAAGTCATCGGAACAATCCGCCACGACGAGGGCAGCGAAGTCTCCATCCTCAGCAAGAGAAGCCTGGAAGGCGATCGCGCGAGCTTGGAGCGAATGGTCGTCGACTTCGCGGTCGCGAACCCAGACGGCCCCGCGCTCAACGACACCCAAATCGCCGACATCCGCGCTAAAGTCAGAGAGGGTGACCTCACCCCAGTACTAAAAGCCTACGAGCAAGACATGCAGAAGCCCGTCATGGGCGCCATCCGCGGCAACCTGATCACCGCGCTGCTCATCCAGATCCAGAAGACGAAAGTCGACGTCGAGGTCGCGATGAGCGGCATCGACAGCATTCTCAAGAGCCAGGAACTCCTCTTCGGCTTCATCGGCCTCACGCCTGGCGTCCTCGTCTCCATTGGGACCTACCGGTGGTTGCGCGGGATGTTCACCAACCGTAGCAGCGTCCGCAAGTGGGCACGAGAGGGCCAACTCCTGCTCATCCTGAGGTAAAAACATCCCCGATCCTTGTTTCTTTTTCCTATTACTCGCACGGCGAATTAATTACTAACGACGATCTGCGTGCAGGAATATCCATCGCATCCTTGTCGCCGCCACTCCAACTGACTTCGGGGAACTTTCATACAGAGATCACGGGCTTTTGCTGTGCGAGGTGCACCTCCTCAGACAGGCTGCGAGTGGGATTCTCCCTCGTCGCATCTTCCACGACTTCTTGAGGGAGGTGGATGAATTGGTGGATGTGAGGTCTGGACTCGTGCGCCAGAAGGAGGTGGTGGAGCGGATACGCTGGGCTTATTCAAAATGGTTCACATGATAATAGCATTTATTGTCGTCGTTATTGACGAATTCTCTAAAAGAAACGCTCTCAAAGCGTAGCCTACCTGGTGTCTGTATCAATAGCAATTGGACCAAAAGAAATTAATCCCATCTATTGTGTGAAAAAAAAAAGAATTCCCACAAAGCAGATGTGCGCAACCAAGGTTTACCAAAAAGCAACCAGTTGGTGTGTGGTCGTCCAACTTCGGTCATTCGAGCAGTTGCCCCATTCCAACTCCCCAACACGGCGGCCAAACGCAAAACGCATGTCCCGTGCACGGGATTCATCACTCTCGTATCGTCGCAGAAAACCCCGATGATGCCCAGCGTAGCGGCTTCAGGTGAGCTCCGATGATACAATAGGGAGAATGACGATTAGACTCCACTACTCCCACCGCGCACATCGAACATGCGGCAGTTGCGAAACCGAACAGTCATCATCGTCAAAGAAACTCAACTCGAATTGAATGTCGCTGGTATGGGCTTCGATTTAGCGCGAATTCTAGGCTTCAATGCATTTTGTTTTATTGTTCGATAGTTGCGAATGATCAAAATAAATCGGGATCTCCTGACTTGTTTCTTTGTAGTTGCTTGCGGAGAGGAGCATCGTCGGATACGACATCCCCACGTGGATTGCTGTCGTCGACTCGAATTCTGCTGCCTTGATGATTCGTTAGCGTAGGGAGTGTAGCTTATGACGCTCAATACAGTGGTGATGGCAAATGTGGGACTTGTTCTATGTCTAGTGTGCCGATTACGCAGCGCCAAAGCAGCACAATGACGACTGCCTCCTGAGCCGATCTTGTTGGGACCGACAAACTCCATCAATCGTCTGCGAGGGGACGGGCGAAGCATCGAGAACCAGATGGAGTCGCATCGTCACCCCTTCCCGCCTCACGAAGGGGAAAGGCAAGGCGAAGGTCATGGAAGATGTTGGAAAATAAGACCAAGACCTGTGGAATTGCGAAACAATGAGAGCGGCAGCAAATAAGGGTCCAAACCAAGTCTAGGGAACTGCCTATTCAAGGAGTTTCCCGTTCCCGTGTCACGACTCACCAATACCTTTATCTGCTTGTGCGCCAGTAATTACTCGTGCAATCGTACCGGTACTTTGTAGCGTCGCGCTCCGAGATTGAGGAGATAGGGAGCTCCGGTCGTGTCGCCGCCGCCGCCGCCTCCACTACACGCCATGGTAACGGAAGATTTATTCCAAGGGGTGCGCAAGAATGGGCCAAAGGGGCCTCGTAACTACTAGTAAAGGGAGTTGAATTGTTCCGCTCAATTCCAGACTCAACCTCCGAGATTTGCATACAGTAGCTTTGCCAGTAACTACTGATCATCGTACTACTATATTGCAGCCGTTATTTTTTATTAATTGAGTGCGTTAAATGTGCCTGTAGCATGTGACGGTAGTTGGCGGGAAGAGGGCCGGGGAAGGCTAATGAACTTCCCCCCATGAAACCGAAAGGGAAGGTTCTACAACACTTCCGTGCAAGGTTGCTACCCCAGATACACAAATCTCCCGGTAGTGAATTCATATAGACAACGGGAGTATCTGCACTCTGCACGTATTGAAGGGTTTTCTCGCTGGCGATTATGCGGGGTCAATTAAAGAGACGGGTAACAGCCTGGAAAAATATATTGCATCGACTATGGGGTGCATATCATTCCAATGTTCGAGAAGGTTCAGTGCCAGGGCAGATCGATGCATCTGAGTTAGCTCGGGCAGCGACAATATACGGGTGAAGAAAAGTCTCGAGTGTGCGTGACTTCGCCTGGCAGAATTGTGAAATCAAGTTGGTGATGCTAATAATGTCATGCAACAATGTTGCAGCGTATTTTTGCTGAGACTGATTATTCTGAGAAGAGAGAGAGAGAGCAGGTCTCGATCTTACGCCAGCCGTTGCGGCCGACCATAATTGGAACGAGGGAGGGACGTCTCGTCTCGTCTTCGTACTGGCTGATGGTTACAGTGCTCGCACAGAAATGAACAGAACCGAGTATTGGCGTGCTCGTTCCGCTGACTGTGTTACCGTTAATGCCCTCACATCTCACCAGTGGAAATCTGGCACTACAATTCGCCCGTACCGAAATGGTACGGTCGAAAAAGGTCCCGCTAATCTGATGAATTGCTGTGCTTGTTTCGAAAAGATCGTTGCCCAGGGCTGAGTACCCCAAAGTCGTCTTTTTGGCATCTTCCCCTCAGTTGAGTAGGATTGCTGAGGGAAGAGGCCGTGTGAACAAGGGCGAGGAGAGGGATCAAACAACGCAGTGGAGGCGAGGGTGTGGCGTGCAGCGTGCGGCGAGGGGGAGGAATAGGATTCGAGGATTGGAGGATGGTGGAATGCTTCCCCCTGGATTCCCTGACATTCCCTCGGTGCACGGGCGGACTCCGTGGTGAAACGCAGCAGTTCGAGGGATTGACGAGCAGTACAGTGTAGGTTAGTGTATTGTAGCAGCAGCGGATGGTGAGTGGGTTCTGGGCCGGAAGATAGGGAACCTGGGTATGGTCTTTGGTGGTCTTTGGTGGAGTCAGTGTGAGTGTCGAGGTCCACAGTCGTCTCGTCTTCGGGTTTACGTTATTCACTGCCTAAATTAAGAAATCTAATGGGCAATACGCTACGCCGCATTGGGTAAGTCCAGTCTCGCCCCTGTCCCTCGCTGCCTACCATAAATGCCACCTGTCCTCACCTCCTCCATCTGAATATCATCCCCTCAACTCCTCGCCTCCAGGTTGAATGCAGCAGATACAGCAGCACCAGTGCAGTACAACGATCAACACCATTACTACCACTACAACCATGGAGGCAGAGAACCACTACAGCGCTCTTTTCGCACAGGCCATGAACACCCCGGCCATGATGGCCCACCATCACTTCGCTACCCCACCACCACCTACCATCGACCCTTCATCAACAACCATCAAGATGGAGGACTTCGCAGCACATCTCGCATATACCTCATCTCCCTTCCCTCCCACATCACATCCCGCCACACCAGACCTCTCCTCGACATCATCACAAGCCGACGGCAAGCCCGGAAAGAAGAGGAAGTCATGGGGCCAGGTGCTCCCAGAGCCAAAGACCAACCTGCCCCCACGTAAGCGGGCCAAGACCGAGGATGAGAAGGAGCAACGGAGAATCGAACGAGTGAAGCGTAACCGCCTCGCTGCCCACAACTCCCGCGAGCGTAAGCGACAAGAGGTCGAGCATCTTCAGGACGAGAAGGACAAGCTCGAGGCCGACCTCCAGGCCGCTCGAGCTGCCATGGCCCGCATGGCGGCTCAGCTGAAGGCATTCCAACAACGTCACCCCAATGAAGTCATCGACGAAACCTTCGACACATCATCAACCGCCAACGAGACCAACTTCGAAGCCCTTCTCGGACCCTCGGAAACTGTCAACCCCCGCCAAACCTCATTCCCCAGCCCCGTATCAATGGCATCAATGGACTCTCCACGAGATGAGTCCTGCGCGCCAGATACGCCAGCGTACACAGAGAGCGTGATTACCGATCTCGACCAGACACGATATCCTGCTGCGATATTGTGTGACCTGCAGTGTCGGTCGACCTCGCAAGCACGCTCTCTTCCATTCCAAGCGACGCTGGCCTATCTTACTCTTTTCAACCTCACATGCCGTCCTTTGACGACAAGCCTCTTGACGATCTGTTTAGCTTTGACTCGTTCCCAGAAACTCAACTGGAGCAGTCAGCAACTAGCTTGGTGGACAGCTCAGACTTCTTCACCGGCTCTCTCTTCGACGCCCACACCAGCAACCCTTATGGCCTTTCTGACGCGTTTGATACAAAGCACCACTTCGACTTGCAGACAGCCTCTGGCGCAGCGCTTACCGCTTGCGACGAGGCTCTCGCAGCCACAGAGGTGTAGTATCGACGAGGTCGCTCGGTCACTGGCGGTTGCAGACGGGGCCGAGCAGAGGAGCGTGGAGACGAAAAAGCAAGATTCACTGGGTATTAGACAGGGTCGGCGTCAACAGGAACTTTTCGCATTAAAGCCACACTTGAAGCGATGGCTGGATTCTTTGGAGGTATATACTGGGAATTTACAGGGGAGTTTAGAGGAGTCATAAAGCGGCGGGATTACCACTTTGATGTTTTGATGAACAACTTCTTCAACCTCCGGGTACTGGCCCACTCTAGACGGGTTGGGCGATGGCGGATTTTGGATCAGGCACAAGCCTGCTAGCCTTTGCAATGAAACCATTTCTATAAAACTTTGATCTTCCATACTTGAATGCATCGTGATGACAGTAACTTCCTTGGTGATTTGATACACTCAACAGTCTAGAACCAGGAGTACTAACTGAGAGCCTTGCAGAACTCTACCCTTTAGATTTCTCCCTTGGATGTGCCATTCCACAAATTCCCACCACCTTGAGCGTATGTTCTCCTCACATCACCTCACTTAACCTTCCGCGCCCTCTTGGCCTCTCAACAACTACAGTAGCGAACGTTGAAACCTCACATACCACCACCAAACACCCCCTCCTTCCCTCCCTTGAACCAAGCACATGTTAAATCTTCCAAGGGGAAAAGGACCATAGCCACACTTCGTACATAGCACATACCATCACTACCATCACTAGTAACTCAACTTGGCTGATATCAAAATCATCACATCACCCCATCATTCATACATATGTTCGTTCAATCAAATTATTCATTCATTAAGTTATACAAAAGTGCACTATAGCAGTAGAACCTCCAAATTCCAACAATCATATCTACGCATCTTTCATATAACCTCTCTACCTCTCATCCCCCAACGTCCCATCCTCCCCTCTCTTCTCTCCCCCAGGAACAATACAGTACGCACTCGTTCGTACGAGCAGCCTGATCCCGTTGCGCAAAAAAGATAACAGCACAGCACCGCCGCGTGTTCAATAGGGTTTTTAAGGTTTCCTCACCTTACCTCGTCCTCTTCCTCTGCGTTTAGTTTGCCTTGAGGATGGGATGGGATGGGATGGGATGGGATGCGGGGAATTAGTCTTCGGCTGTTGGAGCAAGAGAGAACGAGGTGAAAGGGTAGAATGACGGGGAGGATTGGAGGAGGAAGGATGGTTGCGGAAATGAAGGGGAGGGAGGAAGAAAGGCTGGATTGACATGTGGAGTGTAGGGAGGAGGGAACGGGGAGGACGATGAAGAGTTTGTGTGGGAGCGAGAGTGGGCCTGAGGTTGAGGGGATTGTTCGGGGTGAGATGGTGATGGTGATGTTGAAAGATGCCAGAGTGTAGAAGAGTCGTGATGTTTGGGATCTAGGAGTTTCAAGGTTGCTGCGAACGACGGCGGGATGGATGATGGATTGTGCGAACTGTGAATGTTGTAGAGGATGAGGATGAGCATCATGATAGAGTATCTCCCTGAAGACGAGGATTGAGGATGAGGATGCAATCGGTACTGTACTCCGTAAGTCAATTACTCCCCTCTACCCTTACGCCTTTCTTCCTCCCGTCGAAGAAAAGAGTACAGACTGCAAGACCTCATGAGTTTCTTCATCCATCCCATCCTCACAGCACAAGCACAAACACAGCAACGATCTTACCCATTTCACCCCATGGTTTCTAAATGATCCAGTGGTGGGATACGTTTCCCTTCGTTGCACGATCGTGAAGGATTTGCGAGGCTTGTCTGTCTGGAGGGAGTGAGCATCGCCCTGCCAGCAGCATCCTTCGATCACGGGGCAAGGGTTGCTGATGAAGGGCCTTCTTTTTTTTATTCGCATCGCATCGCATCGCTGACTCGGCAATCTCCCCGATCACGATCAAGGACATGGATGAATTGACCTCAGATTGGATTCTGAGTTATCCTGGCCCAGGTTGAGGCTGTCAAGCCTCCTCCAGGGTTGGTTGGTTGGTGGGATGTCAATGTCAGCCATCTCATCGAATCGCAACCCGTTCCCCACATCTAGGATCTTCCTCATCAATGCGAGCACCCATCCAAGTGTCCAAAGTCTAGCCTTGAAACCGCCATGATCTGGTTCCAGGATCTGGATTCGAGCGAAGCAGCAATGCAAGGATGATGAGGCTCTGCTGCGAAGCAAGCATACTTGCGCACGCACTCTCACATTCATACCCCACCAGGCTCGAACGAGCAACCGAGCACGAGCACGAGCACGAGCTCGAACTGCGGCGAGGTAGTTAGAGAGATAGAGAATAGCAAGTGATGAGGAATCAGACAATTGCCCATGTTCGGCGCAGTCGTGCGAGCTCACCACCCCCTCCACCCCACTCACTCCCTATCTCCCGTCAGCAACAAAAAGAGAACTGCCGCAACCGTGAGGCGTGTTTCGCGGATTGGTCCCTTTCCGCTCTTGCTCTGCGGCTCTTGCGCGCGTGAACGGGCACCGTTTGGGAATGGCGAGCACGTTCTGAGGGAGGCGAGAGTGATCGTAACGGTCAAATCCACGCATCGCATCGCCCGTTTTGGTCGGTTCGTCCTCACAACAGCATGTGCACGTGCTTGAGATGCCTCCCAAAAAAGGTACATCGCCATCTTACCTAGATACCTACCTTCCTTAGGTAACTGACAGCCCTGAAGGATTCAAACGTGGAGAACGCTTTCGCTACTTGCTTGCTTGCTTTGCTTGTCTTTCCCTGCTGCGCCCGACCCTTGCTAATCTCCCCTCACTCTCTGCTCACTCGCTTTCACTCGCTCACAGCCAAACCCACAAAGATCGACCTTCGATGCGCCGTTTCAGCCACGCACATCTATCTCATCTACCCAGGTAGGCTGAGGTAAGTTTCTACTTTTTCCACTCTTCGCTTTTCCCTGTCGGTACGGTCGGCTCTCTGGTAGATACCTTAGACACAATGATGTGCATGCGAAGGATGAGTAAGGTTGTGCACTTCTGTCTTCTGTCTTCTACCCGCTATACAGAGGGATTCGCTTCTGCGTCTGCTTTACCACCGAACGAGGCGTCCAGGCCTTTGGGTAAGCACCCTCGTGTCTGTGTTTAATTAGATACTTGATCCAGGCCTAAACGGCGGGCGGCGAGAGAAGAACGCGATGGACCGATCGATGTGGCGGGGCACAGGCACAGTGAATCAGCTCTCTACGTTTGGATAGGAATGTTCGTGTGTTTCGTCTGTTTCTGTATGTTTAGTAAGGTCAGGTCAGGTGAGTCAAGCAGAATAGTACAGATTTCCATCTCACACACCTCTCTCTCGCGCGCCGGTAAGGTTAGGACCTGTCGGCCGCGTGGCATTTTCGTTTCGTTTCGTGTTGTTCGAGGAGAATTTGGAAAGATGGAGGAAGGGTGGGTGGGAGGTTTTGGTCCTGTGGCGGAGGTGGGAAATGTGAAACGGAATAGAGGAGGGTAGAGTAGGTTGGTGTAACCTCGTGACTGACTGTGCCTATGTAGCTGTGTGGCGGAGAACTGAGCTACCATATCGGGAGGGGGATGGGGAAGGTGAGTACCTTAGGGGTCTAATGGGCGGGAAGTCAACTTTCCCTTTTGTGATGGAGTGATATTGGATTTGAAGTAAGTATGGAAGAGTGATGCTATTCTGATGTCGCTTGGAAACATCGTGAATCGGATCTTGTGCAGCATGAGAGTGATTTGTTAAAACTGGTAAAGAGAGTTGAATAAAAAGATACACAACAATCTATAGAGTCTACAGCCGTTGATACAGGTTGATATATGAAGAAGTTGTAGAGCAAACCTACAAACGAAATACTGAGATATCAAACGTTATATAGTACACCATACACTGTGGAGGATTTACTATGAGGAGTGGCTTTCTAGAACTAACATGATTTGATACTTATCATGCTGTATTTAGTAGTTACCCTAGAACATTGCAGAGAATGAATTTATGTCGATGAATCACGTGGGGGCAACAGACTATGTTACAACAATTAATCATAAGTTAATTCGCCAGTGAAGTCCCTTTCCTCGGAAACTATTGGAGAACGATGTATAGTTCTGTATATAAGTGTATAGCAAGATGCATCGTTTGCCAATTTCACAGATCGAGTCTATTGAAACGGCGAAGAAGCAGTTGCTGTCGGGGATGAAGGGGACAAGATTTAGATTTCATGATAAGTGATCACGATGGAATCAAAAGTTCCGCAGATCTGAACCAAATTAACCAAGTGAACCAAGTGAATGAATCTGAATAATAAAGCCTTCACTATCGAACAACTCAGTTCACAACAAATTACGAGAGGCGAATTTGAATGATTCAAGCTAGCATTTGTAGTACTTATACAGCCTTTACTGATCAATTCCACAATATTTCGTGCCCCCAAACTGGAGAATTCATTTAAGAGAGAAGGGAGAAATTCCTTTATGTTACCATGTGCATTCCTTTCCTACCAACTACCATCCTTTTGTTTTCCTCTATATTGAAGCGCCTTAAACTCCGTCACCAGTCGCCAGTCACCATTTCACTGATGGAAATCCCCCCACGATCGAGGAGCAATCAAGCAGGCAAAACCAATGCAGAAAGGTTTGCCGATGGCTCTCTTCCTTCGACGAGCTCCGCTAGACAGAGTCCTGTGCCTGGAGCTTGGGAGATTCCCCACGCTCCATGTCCCGCGGCCACAAAAACTCCTCCTTCTTTTCCGGGTCGCGTCTTGATGCCTGCGCCGAGTTTCTCGTCCGGGATGCGTGCGACGATGGGTCGACCGGAAGATGTCACTGGCCGGAAGCACTGTGGGAAGTCAGCATATTTGATGGGGACATTCGAAGACTGATGAATGAATGTGACGTACCAGTGATTCTCGGATGCTCTCTAGCTCCTTGTTATCCACTGTGCCCATCATTGCCTTCGCACACTCTTTCATCTGCTGGATCGCCTCGGGGTTACACTTCACTTCCGTTGCTTGGTCCGGCAATGGGATCTGCGTGCTGTTCAGGCCTGCGAGATACACCTCTCCTCCGGCTCGCGAGAACCATTCCGGTGAGAAGCCCAGGGTGTCTGTTGCGAAGATCGCGTGGCACATTTCCTCCTCATCCAGCTCCTTGAAGAATGGATTCTTGAGCAGGAGCGAGTGGCCCGCTAAAGGAGCAATTGGGATCCGTGTCGAAGCTTTGGGGAAGAGAGAAGCGAATGTCCGCGGTGCCCATGCTCCTGATGTGATGATGATCCTGGTGCATGGTACTGTCGAGAATTAGCAAACTGACACAACAAAGGTCACAAAAAACGACATACGCTCTGCCTCGACCCCGCCCTTCTGTATCCGAACGCCATTCAACTGGCTTGCTCCGTCGGTGTTTATGGAAGTAACCTTCGCGGGTTGATGCAACTGGACACCCTTCTGAAGGCACTGCTCCAGCATCCACCTACAAAATCGCAATGGGTCTCTGAAAATCCACCGTTAGCCAATCTCAATATCCCCCTCAGCAAATCATGTCTACCAACATTTGTGCCGTGCTTCGATCATGACTGATAACCTCCAAACTCGCGCCGTCCACTTCCTTCAGCCAGACGGGACGGTTGGACTCGACATTGTGTCGCGTGCCTGCAGCCTGAGCGCGACTGGTTCCATTGCTCAGCCAGTCTTCTCCGCTGCCGTCGATGGCCGATTCGGTGTCCTGGCTGTACGATATGCCTGTGCTCCTGCTGTATCCCCAGATCTTGCGGCCGTTGTTCGATTCCGCGAGTTGTTTGTGGAGTTGGAAAGATAGAATGCCGAGGGAGGCCGATGATGGTGCGAACCCTTTAATCGGAGAGAAACGTTAGCTGGGAATATCTTTTTTTTTGTCGAAATTCATGGTCGGATTTGTTGGTGGATTTGTTTGTTTGTTTGTTTGGGCGGGAGGGGAATAGAGCTTACAATCGGCAGCTAGAAATCCGCCTGCGAATCCTGACGAACAATAGAATAATTCCTCGGTGGTATCGACGAGATGGATGCTCTGAGGGTTCGTGTAACCAGATTGCGACAGGTAGTAGGCTGTTGAGAGACCTATGATGCCAGCACCGAGAATGACGGTGTTGCTGCCGTTGCTGTTGTCGGTGGTGGCGTTGTCGGCCATGTCTTTTTGCTTGCTTGCGGACAGATGCGGGGTAGCTACGTTACACAGAACAGAGCAGGGTAATTCAGTAGGAGGGGAGGGAGACGAAGACAGCAGCGGCTGTCCGTATTATGAGATCGGAGGTTCGAGGTGGGGATTCAGAGATCAATGCAAGCAACGAGTACATGGGGATTTTTAATTATCGTGAATGAGAAAGGACAAGGGACATGAGAACAATAATTGGCGTCAAACGTGCGAAGCGGGCGGGATCCATAATAAAGTGCAAGTAAGTATGTTAAGTTACAGTAGAGTACCCAAGTAGGAGGCATGTATGACTATGAATGCATGCATGCCTGCCATCCCATAAACCTCCTAGCATTACATCGGCAAGTACATCCGCGGGGGGCGGACGTCCAAATGGAAAGCAGAGGAAAGGGCAGTAAGTAACGCAATTGGTGTTGTACATAGATTAGTGTCCGCTGTAATGCTGTATGTGTGGTTCCCGTGGGTTGGAAGAATTCCAAAGTAAGAAGGGTGGAAGGGGAAGGGAAAAAAAAAAGATCATACGATGGTCGGATTGGGAGAACGCGATTGTGGTGCCGCTATTATCCTACCTGCCAGCCAGGAGACCAATTCTTCCATCCCATCCCATCACGATTCACGTCCCATCACTTTGGGCCTTCCGCGTGACCCTAAAGAAATGGCCTGATGTTCCGCTTCCATTAACTACCTAAGTTATTGTGCTGGTTACCTTGTGTAGCTTTGTCTTGCCATTTCTTACCGTTGAACCATTCCGTAACATGACGTTCAACGCCCTCCGCGTTTCTCACCCGCAGCTGAACCACCCATCTAGATTCTAGAATCATTCAACACCCCAGAGAATATGCGAATCCCTCCTCTTCCCCTTACTCCTCCTCGGAAGAAAACATATGTTGTCGCATGATGGCAGAGCCTATGGTTACCGTTCTCCACCTAGTCATTCCGATTGAGTCACAGCGTGGCTAATTATATCTGCAGAACATCATAGACACAGACACACACACAAGTATTATTGAGAGGTAGAGCAATGAAATTCGCTGGCTAGCTAGCTATTATCTGTACCGTAACGTCTGTCATTTTGTATCTCGAACGAGGAACCCAGCATCATTACCGATGAGTTATAGGTACTTCTACAATATCGTACTATAGCCCCCTCTCTTCCCCAGAAAAATAAAACGAAAATAAAACCAAGTCAGAATATTACCACACGTACAAAAAAGGAAAATACGTTCTTTTTTGTTTCCGGATCCCATCGCTATGCATGACATGTACAGTACAGTTTATGTTTTAATGTGTAGGTATGTGTATCTCAGATACAGGAGAGATACCAAGGTGCGTGATATCGATGCTCCGCCTATAGAGCGAAGAAGGCGAGAGCCGCGCCGAGAAGAGCGGGCAAGGGAATGGAGACTGGCGAAGCAGCACCAGTGAACTCGGCAGGCTGGGAGACAGCGGCGGTGCCAGTTCCAACGGGGACCTTGACGGTGCCGAAGGAAGACTGAGCTCCCGATGGGATGGGGTAGGGAGCACCGGTGGTGACAGCAGGGACAGGGGCGGGCGTGCCGGGGATGAGAACGACAGGCTCCTCGGTGGGGGTGACACCTGGTGCTGGGGGTTGAGTGGGCGTCTGGGTGGTGAAGACGACCTGGGGAACAGTGACGGTGGTGGAGATGGTAGACACCGTGGTTCCCTCAGGGACGGTCGAGCAGGGCACCGTGACGGTGGTCTGGTAGGTGATGGTTGTGACAGGCACGGCGGGAGGAGGAGTGACTTCTCCGCTGGGCACAGGGACGGGAGCAGAAGGGACAGGGGCAGAAGGCGTAGAGCCAGTGGGGTTGATGGGAATGTTGGAGGGGCAGTCAGTGATGAGACCTGGGTTCTCGGGAACGTGGTTGGCACAGATACCGATGAGGTACTGGAGAGCTTCCTGAGTCTTGTCGTCGGTAGCCCAAGCAGCAACGCACTCGATGACGTTCTTGGTGAAGTCAGGGTTCTTGCAGTAGCAGTCCGAGTCGGTGTTGTCCTTGCACTCAGAGTTGATCTCGAGCCAGGTGTTCATGCACTGGGGAAGGACTTCAGGAGGAGTGTATCCAGGACCCTCGTAAGTGGGAGGAGTTGGCTGAGGAGCAGGCGTGGACGAAGCGGGGTTCTCAACAGGATAAGAGCTGGAGGTGACCTCGACAGGGGCAGTGCTGGAAGGTCCTTCAACGGGATAAGAGCTGGATGGCACCTCAACCGGAGCAGTGCTGGAGGGTCCCTCAACTGGGTAAGAGCTGGAAGGTACCTCGACTGGAGCAGTGCTAGAAGGTCCCTCAACCGGATAAGAGCTGGTCTCAGGGTTGGATGGAGGAGGCACGGCAGAAGTGCTGCTGTTACCAAAGATAGGACCAGTTGGGTAAACAGAGGAGGGAACCGGTGGAGGAGTGTTGCTAGGAGTCTCGGCGGGCTGGCTAGGAGTCTCGGCGGGCTGGCTAGGAGTCTCAGCAGGCTGGCTTGGGGTCTCTGCAGGTTGGCTAGGAGTCTCAGCAGGTTGGCTGGGAGTCTCAGCGGGCTGGCTGGGAGTTTCCGCGGGCTGGCTGGGAGTCGAGACGGGGTAAGAGGGCTTGCTAGGAGGAGTGTATCCCGGGTTGCAGTCGAAGTCGATGTGATGGAAGCCAATCTCGCAGTCGTTGCGGCCGCCCTGGTTATGGTTTCCAAGATAGACCTCGACGGAACGAGCACCACCGCACTGGGTGTTCTGAACAAGGGTACCGTCCTTGGAGCAAGACTTGACGTGCTTGCAAATGGACTTGTCGGGCATGGTGTAGTGGAACTCCAAGTCGCAGTCGAACTCGACGGAAACCTGGATCTCCTTGATGGAGAAACCATCCTTCCTCTTGTCACAGTCGAACTTGGCTGGCGTTTCCTTCTTGACCTTGTTCTTGATGCACTTGGAGCCGAAGGTCCTCTTGGTCAAGGCATCACGCTTGCCGAAGCTGTTGGAACACTTCCAGCCACCTCCGAAGTTGAAGTCTCCATAGTTGTTGAAGTTACCCTCGGGAAGGTCACCCCAGTTGAAGCCCTCCTTTTGCTTGTCACTGCACTCGTTGTTGTTGTACTTGGGACTGTTGAAATGGCGTGCTCCGCGATTCCAGGTCGCGGAGACTTGTTGGGCAGCCAGGCCAGTAAGCAAAAGAGTAGTAGAAAATTTCATTGTGACGAAGTTTCGATATCAATGAAGTGAGTGGTACGAGAAAATAATAATTGATAGTCAATGATGGTTGTTGAGTGAGTGTACAGACGAAAAGAAAGTATGAAACAAACAAGAGCAAAGAAAACGATTGACTTTGACTCCTGGTCGACACGAGATTAGAATATACAGAAAGTATTGCTTGAGCAAGAAGAGGCCTTACAGACAGAGGAGATGGACATAGATATACCCTCTGTACCTTGAACTATGTAAAACAGGAGCCTTGTGAAACAATCGCCTGATTGGAGAGCCATGGTCCGCACCGATACAATTGAGAATTGGTCTAAGCCCCAATCTATAGTATGGAGCGCTCATGGGTCGTCAGTGCACTATTGGATTCTACATTTTCCGTGGTAGAGTCGGAGTAGCAGGCGGTTATGGAGTGAGATGGAATCCATGATGGGGAATCGTTTTCGCAAGCGAGGGGTCCTCGCAGACTTGAAACACTCTAAGCTGGACGCGCTGTCATGCACCAGGAGCGCCAATGAGTAGCCACCAGCCGCCCGGCTCCTCAGGGTGTTTAGGAGCACATCAATAGACTATTGGATAGGAACGATAGAAAAAAAAGAGCCTCACTCACTCGCCTCTACACACGCCTCTGCGGAGTTGACAGTATTCTATTGTAGGCGACTTGATTTCCGTCCGGAGATTTAGCAAAGCGCCTTTTCGCTGTGCCTGATGTCGATCTTGACATCAATAGCAGCGAAGCAAGCTGCAAGCGCCCATGGAGCTCTTCAGAACTTTCTTCTGAAGTCATCGGCCGAGAAAAGAAAGGGCCTGGCTACACTTCGTCCCGATTGAGACCGATGCTACACATTCGCCGGCGTGAGGCCGCATTGTCACCTGTTTCGTGTGCTTGAGCCTTGAGTTTTGGTCAACGAAGGTGCCGATTTCCATATCAAGACCCCCAGTCGTTGGATCCCGCTGCTCTCCCGCTCGCTAGTGGCTGCACCGTCACGTCTCACGATGCCCCTGGGTTGTTACAACAACGACCTCCTACTTGCACCCACCAACCACATGCCTGCCATACAGTCAATAAACTTGAAATCCGCCAAAATCGCGTCTCCATGATCTGGACCTACCATATGGTCATGCTTTTTTTTTTTTCAAAGGGGGTCAGATCTTGTAAGATGCGGACAACGGGTACCTGACAGGGCGCGCGGTGGTACTCACCAGATACATTCGTTGTCTTCTTCGCCGCGCTGACTCTCCTTTCGGGGGGCGCCGAAACAGATGAGGCAAAAGCAATTCTTCTGCTGCCATATTTCCCTTTTCGCGATTCAGTAGGCTCACGGTGCGTGCAATATACTTATCGAAAGGCCCGCCCGTTTGAGTCTTGAGAGACAGGTGACAAGGTCCATGACATTCCAATACTTCCACCCATGACCCGCAGGCTCTCCGACAGAGGGGGCGGTGCAGAAACGTCCCTGACGTCGTTACTAAAGACTATCCGTTGTAGGTATCAACACCGTTGATATGCGACTCAAGGCCCAAGATCTAGGAACCCTTCCCAGTTTCCCACCCTTGACCAACCCATAAAATCAATGTGATCCGATCTTGAGGTAGCTTCTGTCAGTTCATACACAATAGTAAACAAGCAATGACCAAACTACTATTGCGCAAAATGCACGTGTAGATGTGCGGACCCAAAAGACAATGCAGCTTCCGTGCCCCTGAGTGCTAGGGTAAATATTGAATCCAGTTTCAAAATCATTGTTGAAAGCATGCGTTAAAATAGATATTCTGGGGATTGTAGCAACCGGGTTTTCCTTGTACCAGGTGTTCAAGATGCTGTTTCCCAGAATTGTGAATGGTCGTCAATGATATGAACAGTACTGGAAGCTAGAGGTTCTTCATGCATTCTTTCCTGGTTGACCGAGATCCACAAGGAAGGTGAAACTGGTCGATGTTCTAAACACGATGTTGACAAAAGTAGACTTTCACAAACTTTAGCGTGCAGCTACCTTGATACACTTGACAGGTGTATACATGGATTGAGTTCACAGGGATCTGGAGCCGAAACTGTCGATACTAGGTATCGACTGAGTGTATTCAGACTCTCAGAGTGATCGCATTCAAACCCGGTCAGCGCTGGATGTTGGATACCTACGTCGATTCCCGATTCCCTGACAAGTGACAGCCTTCATCGAGAAACTTTATACTCCGGGCTCCTAAGAAAACGTTGTAGGGATAATTCCACGCTCTGCGCATTCCTAGACGATATACTTCGTATCGCAACAATGTTACTCAAGTGGCACGGTGGTTAGCCCTAGGGAAGTTGCACGTGTCCAAGGTGGTACGGCATGAGACTGGGTCACTGGAATGCAACCTCCCGTCTATGATATGGCTATTCGGGATCCGAAAGTGAAAGCGCCTGGGAAAAGTCCGTTTGCGGTGAGATACTGTAAGCGCAAGATTAAAGTAATTACAGAGTAATGTAAAGATTGAAAGGAGATTCGCTGAGCGACTGGCACGACTGACGGCTTACTCATTCACATGGTCCGCCAAGGGAGGCTAAAATTGGGCCTTCCCCAGATAATCCCGTTCCCCCTTCTGGCCTTTTTTTCCCAACATCCTTTCTTTAACGCGACAAAAAGAAATCCACCTACAAACCACGAACACACTGCCAGGAACCGCGCCTGGCAAAAGAATCGAGAGAACAATACTTCCAAAACCTTCGCATATGGGCCCACCGACCGCTTCCTATACATCCTCCTGCGTCTGCACCCTGGCCGTCAGCGCGACTCCAAATATTATTCTAGCTTTCGGGCTCTCCAAGACTGAAGCCAGCTTTGGCTCCTTGATTGATCGTGCAGCCGCAGGAGGTCCGCCTTGAATAGGGCGGACGGTAATATTTGATCTCAAATACAAAGATTGGATGTGCGCAGTTTCCCAGAACTGTCGGGAATGCAATTACTAACAGAAACTGCTTAGAATCAGGTCGAGGCTTGATTAAGCGAAGCAGTTGGACTTTTGAATTCATATCCACCCACTAGCTCACATGGCGCTGTTCACCTTCGATCACGACGATGCTCACCTAGGGCAAAATAAGGCGCAACATGAAACCTCCTCTACTACCAATTGCGCTGGGACGATCGTGAATGGAATGGCTATGGACATCGATATCCCCAACGCCGGCTCAAACGCAACTTCGGGAACCCCTCCAATGAACATATCTTCCACTGCACCCAAGCGTTCACTACAGCCGGCTGCTGTCAATGGAAACCAGCAGCTCGCGCCGCCGGAAAAGTTGGATTTCGAGGCTGTCCTGAAGAAAGCTCAGAAGAAGAAAAAGAAGAAGCGAGCCATGAAGCCTGGCGCTCCAGCTGCGACCACTGTCCGTGGATTTCAGACACCCGTCACATCTGGCGGGGAGGAATCCGACTTCTCGGTCTCGATCACGAGCACGCCGCGACTTGGACCAATCTCAAAGCTCCCTAGCATCACCAGTAGCCCAGCGCTGAAACCATTGAATGGCCATGGGGGCATCACGAACCTCAAGCAACAACTCGAGAGTTTGAACATTGGCTCCCGGTTCGATTCGCCATTCCGAGGAACCTTTCCCGGAGTAGCATCGGGTCTTTCGAGCAATGCAAGCGTCTCCGGACTTGATAGTGACAGCGACCGGACTGAAATGGAGAGCTACGAAATCAATCTGGAAAATGATTTCATCAGTCAAGATGCTCCTTCCAAGACATCGACCATGACATCTGCGCTTGGAAGGGTCGATTCTGACCAATACATGCGTAAGATGACCGCAGAAGATTTCGAGCCCTTGACTTGTCTCGGGAAGGGTAGTTTTGGTACTGTTCTGCTTGTCAAACAACGCGCGACCGGTCGTCTCTACGCACAGAAACAGTTCAAGAAAGCTTCCATCACCGTGCATAAACGACTTATCGAACAAACCAAGACCGAGCGGGCTATTCTTGAGAGCGTGAACCGACATCCTTTTGTAGTCAAGCTCTTTTACGCTTTCCAAGATCACGAAAAACTCTATCTTATCCTTGAGTACGCACAAGGCGGGGAGCTCTTCCATCATCTTGCGACTCAGCGCATGTTTTCCGAGGACGTCACGGCATTTTACATGGCGGAAATGGTACTCGCTCTTGATCACTTGCATCGCACTGTTGGCGTCGTTTACCGCGACTTGAAGCCTGAGAATTGCTTGTTGGATTCCGAGGGTCATCTCCTACTCACCGATTTTGGCCTGAGCAAGGTTGCCGTTGACGAGGATGCGAAATGCAACTCCTTCCTCGGAACGATCGAATATATGGCTCCAGAGGTTATTCAGGGCGCTGAATATGGCATGGCCGTAGACTGGTGGTCTCTTGGCGCGCTCGGGATGGATCTTCTCACTGGGTCTCCACCATTCACGGGAAACAATAATGCAAAAATCCAGGAAAAGATCCTCAAGCAGAAACTTGTACTTCCTTTCTACTTGAGTGCCGATGCGAAGGACCTTCTCACCCGTCTGCTCCGCAAAGAGCCCAAGAAGCGTTTGGGTTCGAATATGCCTAAAGACCTCCAGACGATCAAGTCTCATCGGTTCTTCCGCAAGATCAATTGGAAGAAGTTAGAGGCTAGAGAGTTGGAACCGCCTATCCAGCCCCTCATTACCGACCCCGAGTTGGCCGAAAATTTCGCGTCGGACTTCACAGATCTGCCTCTCAGCCCTGTCGCCACGAGGAAGGGGTTTGACGAGTTCATGGCGGCGAGTGAGCAGGATCCTTTCGGTGGGTTCAGCTTTGTAGCCAGCCAAAGCCTTCTCGAGAGCGGCTTCCTTGACGACTGAGTGCTGTTGCACCAATCCATATCTGTTCCGACCTTCAGTCACGTTTTTGCTATCGCCATCATTCTCTGCCATTCTTTGTTTACAGTTGCTAGAAATGCATGGCTCCTGTTTTCTTAACGCATTCTGCTGGTACCATACTGGCTATTCATTGTGGGCGAATTTCATACATCTTTCTTACGGAGGACATAATTGCAAGCGGCCGGTTCATCAATTCATTTTGCTTTCCGTCTTAGTGCTACGGTTGCCGCATCTTGCCGGTTAGAAACCATGGCATTCTACATCTATCAACATGGTCTTTTATTCTTGGAGCGCAATCGCACCTCTTCTCTTGACTGTGAATGTGAACGACATGAACGACACTGCCGCTCGGTGCACTTACATGCTGATATGCTGAAGTTTCAGATAAGTACCAAAAGTAATCATAATGCAATGAAATTGCATTATAAAGGCTTGAGAGCAAAGCAGCTGTACTCCTCTTCATGCGTAATGTGACATGCATTGAATATCACAGACCAACAACCTGCCCGAGCAAACACGCTACAAATCGATTTGAGAAGGCAAAAAAGATTTACCGTCAGATTTGCACCTACTAGCGGCACCTGCGAGGCAAGTTTTGTTAGCATCTGGGTTGGAACTTTGGTGCATCACCGGTCAACGTCGCTTCCCTTGCCGCTAGCGGGGTGAATATGGTCAGTGCGTTAAAAAAGCTCTCTGCCCTTTCACATTTACTTAGACTGCTAGACTTTCTTCCCAAATTTCTCTTCACTTCACCTTTCTCCAATCTTTTTTCACAGCCTACAAAATGGCTAACAACGCTGCTGGTTCTTCGCAGCCTGCTAAGGCGGGCGATCCTCTCGCTCAAATGGCGCATTCTGAGGCTCACTACTTCAACAGGTACGCATGTCCGCTGTACAGTCTTGGAATTAATATACTGACATGTTGATTTCTAGTTATAACCACCATGGTCAGTTCTTGACCCAAAACCCAAACAGGAATCTATACTAACGTTGTGCGCTTCAGGTATCCACGAGGAGATGTTGGTGCGTACAGATCCTGCAGTGATCGCCTATTTCGACAAGACGTGAGCGCCTTAAAACTAACAGACCGCCTCTTACAGAAAGATGAAGTCCGAACCAAGTCCTACCGGGACGCCATCTACCAGAACGGTCACTTGTTCAAGGACAAGGTGGTCCTCGATGTCGGATGCGGTACATCCATCCTCAGCATGTTCGCAGCCCCTCCCCCACCACCGGAGCCCAATATGGCTGGCACACGAGCAGGCGCTGACAAATTGTGTATAGGTTTGCGGTTCGCGCGGGCGCAAAACACGTTATCGGTGTCGATATGTCCACAATTATCGACAAGGCCAAGGAGATCGTCGAGCGAAACGGAATGAGCGACAAGATCACTCTTCTGCAGGGAAAGATGGAGGAGGTAGTGCTCCCATTCGACAAGGTTGATATCATAATATCTGAGTGGATGGGCTACTTCCTACTCTACGAGAGCATGATGGACACTGTTCTTTACGCTCGTGACAAGTACCTGGCTAAGGACGGTTTGATCTTCCCTGACAAGGCTACTATCTTTATGGCCGGTATTGAGGACGGTGACTACAAGGAGGAGAAGATTGGCTGTAGGTCTCCATGTGCACAAACGTTTCTTCGTCTTCTAACGATTTTCTGACAGTCTGGGACAACGTCTGGGGCTTTGACTACACTCCCCTCAAGGAGACCGCCATGACAGAACCCCTCGTGGACACCGTCGACATCAAGGCTGTTGTTACGGACCCTGCACACATCATCACCTTCGATCTCTACACAGTCCAAGTCAAGGATCTTGCCTTCTCACAAGAGTACAGCATCAACGTGCGCCGGAGCGATTTTGTCCATGCTCTCATCGCATGGTTCGATATTGAGTTCTCCGCTTGCCACAAGCCCATTCGCTTCTCTACCGGCCCTCACACCAAGTACACTCACTGGAAGCAAACCGTTTTCTACCTCAAGGACGTCCTTACCTGCGAGGAGGGCGAGACCATCACCGGTACTCTAGTAAACAAGCCCAGCGAGAAGAACCACCGTGATCTCGACATCAGCATCTCCTACAAGCTCAACACCGAGGATATGCACAGACAGGCCTCCGGCTCTGGAGTGTACAGGATGTATGTTTTGCAGAATACCCCAGTTATCATCTATGTTGTGACTTTACTAATCTGTTCCACAGGTGCTAAACGATGCTTATTTTCAAGTATCATGCATATAATGATTTAGTTCCATTTCATCGACATAGATGTTCCCCTCCATTCCCCCTTTCTCTACTTTCATCAATGGCAAGGTATGGCGTTCTGCGACAAAAGATATATATCACTCGGATATGGGCTGCTGCGATGGCTGTTTCACTTTTCTTGAACGCCCGGTAGCCGAGCGAAAAAAGAGAAGGCATTCACAAGTGCGTACTAGTAATGACGCAAAGGAAAAGGAAAAACTAGACATTCCTCTGAGTCCTTTTCCCTGTCTTGGAGGAAGGCTCTCGATCTTCTTTGGTTAGCTTTAAGTAGGGTAGCATGGCTTGACATGGGTATGACACATGACACGAGCTTAACGAAAGGTGTTATTTCACGATTGTCACCTTTTTCCATTATAGCCTTTCTTCCTGAATGCTTGTCGCGATGTGTGACCTCATGTGAATTGTGGAAATTGATTTTGATTATGGACAGATAGTATCGTGGAGGCTTGACCGCTGGGGATATCATCGTTATGGAAAAAGGGAATGACAAGACAGTAACAAACAGGACCCATCATGACAGAGGAAACAGCACCTAGAACACCACCCATGCACCAGCCAAAATCATTATGGTCATCGATAGAGATGGCGAGAAAAGAGCAAACCTGAAAAGCATCACTCATCGTCCAGGCCAACCCTAACGCTAGACTCAGGATCCTCCCACTTCTTCGACTTCAGCACCCTCATCTTCTTAACGGGACTCGCACTCCTCGCCATGCCGTCCCTCTCCAGCGCCTCGATCTTCGCCTTCAGCACCTCGTTCTCTCTCTCCAACTCGTCGACCCTGTCCCTCAACTCCGGGTCCGGGTCCTCGTAGATCTTGATGTCCTGCTCGCGCATCTGGGCCTTGGTAGCCTTGATGACGACGTCGATCTTGCGATCGAGATGGATCTCATTGTTGTCCTGCTCCGCGTCCCACGCGGCCTGCCACCTGCGGCGCTCCTGGTCGACCGCGGCCTCCATGTCCGCGAAGCACTCGTCGCGGATCTCCTGCTCCATGTCTAGCATGTGCGACTCCGCGGCTTGCCAGGAGGCTTCTGCGGCCTTGCGCCGGGCGGTTTCCTCCGTGAGCCGCAGCGCGAAGATCTCGACTTCTTGGGTGAGGCGGGCGATTTCTGCGTTCGCGGACTCGAGTTCTTCGAGCACGGCGGAGGGCGTCGTGCGGCCTGAGGCGGTGGTGCCTGGGTGCTTGAGCGTGGTGCCGGAGAGGATGGTGGAGGTGGTGGAGGGGATCCGTGGAACCGTCACTTCGCGGGCAAGCGCGGAATAGCGGAGGATCTGGGAGGTCGCGTTGAAGTCGCCCTTGGGGTCGGCGGTGACGATCATGATGGACTTTTGGGGTTGGTGGTGGTGGTGTTGGCGGGAGTTGTTGGAGGGGAAGGAGTTGGAGAAGAGGAGTTCGGTCAGTTTGCATTGTCGGAAGGGCACGACGTTCTGGGGATGGTTGGTTAGTAATGATTTGGAAACTGGCATTCGGGGGAGAACGAACCTTGGAGCCATCTTGGTTGTCGGATTGCATTTGCATGCACTGTCCAAGGTACATGAGAGACTCGTTGATCTTTCCGGCTTCAGCAAGTGTAGCACCCGCCGTCTTCGCATTACGAGCACGCTCTGATCCAGCGAGATCGACAATGGTAAGTGTACTGCCAGACCAAGGACCCTTTCGCTGTGCGTGCCTCTTCTTTACTTCGACGCAGAAGAATCCGTGACTTCGGGAGCTGACGGCGTTACTGCCTGTGCCTGCTACCTTGCGCTCCATGAGACCGGTCTCAAGGACCATGAGTGCTTCCTCAAAACTGCCACAGATGATCTTGGTCAAGCCAGCCACCACTTTTCGATCCGGGCTCTGTTCCGTGCTCTTGAAAAGCAATGCCCGACGCTTGACATTGTGCTTGTTCCTCGCAGCATTGCCGCAGAGGAGATCGAAAATGCGGTCATTGTAGACTTCATACATAGAAATAACAATGGCGTACTCTGCATTAGGATCGGACGGGATGTCGATGTCGTGTACGCTAGGACTTTGGGGAAGTGTGGAAGGGCGGGGGATATTCTTCGAACGTGAACCCGGGTTTGTAATGAACGAACTGCAGTCCTAATGTTTGAATAAGCCTCTGTCCATAAATATAGAGCAAATCGGACGATTTGCGCTGGGGATCACTACTAACCGGCATGGGTGTTTGGGCCCGCGATGGGAACCTTTCTGACTGGTTGTCTCCGTACAATGAGTCCAAAAATGCTGTGGCTGTGAACATGTTCGCTTCAGATACATCTGCCGCAGCAAGAGAAGAGAAAGCGGGAGCTCCATAGAATGACTGGACAAGTTGATCGCCGGTGCTTTGGAAGAGGACGTCGAGCGCCATCTGGGTAAGACCGCGTTGTGATTTGGTTCCTAAGATTGTGTGGCTCTGAGAAGGGGTTAGGGATTTGTGCTTCATACGTTTACATAGAAGATTGTATGTCACCTTTCCGGAGCCAGTAACACCAAGTGTTGCCAAAAGACCATCTCGTCCATGGTGTCCATTTGCGCCCAATACGCCTTCAATGAGCGGGACTACGCCTGTGCATTTGAATAGCTCGGCTTGCTTTGCATCCTCCTCGAAGACCCTTGTGAATGCAAATCTCTCAATCGCACGTTTGCGCTTATCCTCGGTAGGTGGGCGGATCGTAATGTGTGTCGGATTCGCTGAGGTTGTCTCCTCCACGTTCAAGAAGCGTGCATTGTTGGGAGCGGAAGGTCGCAGGCGCAGAAAGACGTCAAAGAGCGAGCTTGACGGTCGAGGCGGTGGTTCCATAGCCATTTTTAATTTCTATATGAAGGTTGAGAAACGAAATTTGGGTGCAATGACAAGTGTCGGTGGACGGGCTTTGTGAGATAGATGGTGGATGGTGATCTGGGGTTTGTCAACACGGGCCGCACTGTGGTTGTCTGGGTAACAACCCCTCAGATGCACACCAGCAATGACCTCAACTTCATCGACTTTCATCGCCAAGCTTGAGTAAAATCAAAGATCATTGCCCCGAACCAATACTGCGTAGATAGTTAACAATGATGTTTTATCATCCATGCTTCCCATCCTTGCCTTCTGAGCTGAGGCTGTGCAATCAACTTAATGCGGCTTGGAGACCCCCACCTCATTCAGGATAGGATTACAAGTCGCTACCTAACCGCCAGCTGTGGATCTCATCATAAAGCAGACTACCTCCACATCGACAACTTACTTCTTCATTATTATTATTCTTTGATACTTACTCTTAACGCATATGATATCCTTGCTAAACCACTAAAGGGGTACTTTAATGGCTCAAACGCAGCGCGATGCATCCCTGTGCAAAGCATGTAGAGCGCTGTTCATAGGTCAAGAGGCTCGCTACGGAAATTCAAATAAGATAAGAAAAGTGTGGCAGTCCTCTTTGGAGTCGTTAGAGAAGTCAGTAGAAGAAGGATGTTATCTATGCTCGATGGTCTCACACGATATGCGGCACGAGTGGCCGTCTCATCGTGAATGGGGGCCCATCGACTTATTTTCTGTGGACATAAACCTAGCGCCTCGCCCTCATAATGATGTACATGACAGAAATCATTCGGGCTCTTCGCATCAATTCCACATCTCGTTCAACGCTGAATACGACACTGAGGGCGGCACAACGAAAGGCAACTCCTACCTCCTTGGACGACATTGGTTACGACGAGTTGATATCGATCATCAAGAGTTTGGAATAGAAGCAGCACCCCATAATTCCTCTGTATTAGATAAGGGAGGAGCTACATCAACTGCGGATCTCACTATGGCTATGAAATGGTTGAAGCATTGTCTCAAAAGCCATCTGACATGTGAACCAGACAATCGCCCACTCGTTCCTCCTCCCTCCAGGTTAGTTCATTTAGCCATGAGAGGAGATCAAATCACAAGTCGTTTGATTGAGCGCGATGAGTTCCCCCGGGGCTGCCAATATATTACCTTGTCCCACTGCTGGGGATCAGGCCCTATGCACTCACTTCGAAGTGATCGATTAGACGGATTCAAGACCAAGATTCCTGTCTCTCAATTGCCCCTAACTTTTCAAAACGCTTTCGATGTTACGTTGCGACTAGGATATGAGTATATATGGATAGATTCTCTTTGCATTCTGCAGGATGCCTTGGAGGAATGGGCCGAAGAAGCATCGAAAATGGCAGATATCTATGAATTTAGTGTTTGCAACATCGCAGCTACTGCTTTCAAATCTTCCAGCTCCGGTTTTTTCATACCTAAGCCCGCCGATATAGACAAGCCACTTGTTGTTTCGGTTGATCTAAAGCTGCAACCTGGCTTGGAGATGGTCGGAAAGTTCAAGTTCATCGAGACTTACTACTGGGTTTCCCGAGTAGACAAAGCACCATTGAATAAAAGGGCTTGGGTTCTGCAGGTAAGATGTCTTCACTCTACCCTTTTACTTTGATGATCGATAATTGAGAAATATCAAGGAACGCTTCTTCTCACCACGTATCCTACACTTCGGCAAAGACCAGCTTCTATGGGAATGCGACTGCAGCAGGGCCTGTGAGTTGATGCCTAAGGGATTATTTTCCACCGTGCGAAACTCTGCTCACAGAGGACACACCACAAGTCGAGCGCTCGCTGCTAAGTCCCGCCAGTCTGTCAAGAGAACCTGGTACAACCTCGTGTGGGAGTATACGGTGACAGACTTGACGTATCCCAGCGACAAGTTGATCGGCATTGCAGGCATCACTAAGAGATTCGAAACGATACTGGAGGATGTCAGCATTGCTGGTTTGTGGTCGGAATCCTTTCCAGGAGACCTGCTATGGTGCCGGGAGTGGCGGGATCGCGAACGGTTGCCGCGTGCTAATGATGGCAGAGCCCCAACATGGTATGTCATCAAACTGCACCCAGACCGAGCAGGTTCACTAAAAAGCTGAAGGTCATGGGCATGTCTCAACTGCGGCATTTACTACCCTTTACCCAATTTACAGCCCCAGATAGTAGCATCCGTGCAAAGAAATACCGTAATCGCCAACTACTCACAAGGTACAACTGAGCTCCGCATACGGGGACCTTTGCTTTTGGCAAGCTGTCCATCTGGTTCGTTCTTAGAACGGGAGACGGGAAAGCTAGTCACCTTGAGACTCTGCGCCAGCAAAATTCGAATCAGAGTTCGGCTTGATGGTAGTCCCGGTGATCTCGATGGTCTTGAGGTTCTTTTATCAGATAGGACCACAGAGATCTCCCATCCCGACAGTGGAAGTGGAGAGGCAGTAACCACAGATGTTGCCAGTCATAGGGGGAACACGGACGCTACCGAGGAAGACCTGCGCAACAATCACGACCTCCACGACAAGCACGAGACGCCCCCCGACACAGGATGGATTGCTATGTACTTATTATTCATCTCCTCGAGCGCTCCAACGGCGGGAATTTGTCTCAGGCGCTGTCCAGAAAGAAATGGACGCTATTCGAGGGTAGGATATTTCGATACCTTCCGGACGAGCACTAACAGTAGAAAACACGACATCAAGAACTTAGAAAGTGACTTGCTAGATACTTTACCAATCCACACTGAGGATTATTTGGAGAGCCACGGCGGGGGAATTTACACAATCTCAATCATTTGAAGCTATCTCTGGCAATCTGATAGTTGTTGGAAATTACACTCATTAGTACATTATTATTCCCTTAGGACAGAAATCAGCCAAGAATGTATCTTCTTATATAACCAACGATCAACGAAATAGATAGATCTATGGTTCCAACCAATCAACCAACAATCAACTTGTTCCACAAGTATAGTGATGAGCATACCGGACGAGCCTCGCTGTCCTCCCATGAGAACAGATAGAAAATGAGCCATGGCGGAGGGGCTTGCACAATCACGATCATTTGATGCTCTCTCGCTCATTGGGGTATTGAAGCATACTGATGCAGCAGTGCTTCAACAGCGACGTCAAGAATACCGAAAGAGCCTCACTCTCGTACCATAAGATCAGATGTAAAATGAAATATGTCTATTGACTACCGCTCAAACAGACGGATGGAGTGAAAACTTATTTACACAGCGCGCTCCCTCACGCACCATTGCAAGTACCAAAGCCCTTTAAGCACCCTGTACCACAGTGTTCAAAGGTGTTACCACAATATCCGAACTGTGAGCAGCATAGTCCCCATCCAGAGCCCTGACAGGTTGCGCCCGTAGTGCCACCACAGGTTCCGTCCGTTGTAACTTTGACCGAGCTTACGGGTGGTGCGGCAGAGGTGGTAGTAGCGGTAGAAGTGGTAGTGGTAATGGTGTTAGGGGGATTATTGCCGCCGCCGTTGTTAGAACCACATGTTCCAAAGCCAGCCTGACAGCCGATGCCGCAGTGGCTTTCAGTGGTTCCGCACCAACCTGCAGCGCTGCAGCAAGAGCCAAATCCGCTGCCTCGACATGTGCTTTTAAGAGGTTAGATGTTTGCTGTGAGGGTTCATGGGAATAAAAACGTACAATCCTCGTACACTACCGCAAGTAGCGTCGGTAGAGACTTTACCTGTGGATACAGGAGGCGTGGAAGTAGTTTGTGTGGCATTTTGCGTAGGGCTTTGTGTGGATATGGTTGCGGTTCTCTTTAATTGCAAAACATTAAAAGTCAGGACTACTAATATCTTTCATAGGTTTTTTTTGTTCGTTTCCAGGTTGATCTTTCTTTGCATTTCATTACGGCGAAGGATCGATCGCATGAGTAACATGCCGATCTTCTTCGAAAGGTATTAATTTTCCAAGAAGTATAACTTCTTAGACGGAGGAAGTAGGGGATGTTGCTCTTAGTTCGAAAACTAGCTTGGAGTCTTAGATCTCGGCTCCATTTCAACTGGCATTCGACGAAAGCAAATCGGTGTGTTGGAGAGGTTGGCTGTGCACGGGTAGGCAAAGAAAAGAAAGCGGATTAACTTACAGTAGTAGAAGAAATCGAGCCCTGACCACCTCCAGTATCGGTACGGTACCAATTCTCCTTCGGGTCGTTGAGGCATTCGCCAACAGTGACCGCACGGTATCCTAAAGTGGTGATGGTAGAAAGCATAAACTCGGTCAGGTTAGTGGCAGTCTGCTCATGGATATCGTGTGAGATGGAGAGCCAGTCATGAGTTCCTGAGGAGGCGCCCCCGGCGGTGATGTTGCCCTGGAACCAGTTCTTGGAGTTCTGGATCTCGCCAGGGGCATCTTGGTTGTAGTCATCTGTATCGACATCGAAGTAGGTGATGTGGTACCCAAGGTCAGCAAGATCTTGCTCGCAACCAGACGCAGCCGTGCAGCTGGAGTACGGTGGGCGCATGTAGGTTGGGAAGAATCCGAGAATGTTACGTAGAGCCATTTCATTCCTGGTCATCTGAAGTTTGCGGTCTGTAGAGCTGATAGCACTAAGGTCCTGGTGAGTCCAAGTGTGGGATGCGATCTGGTGGCCCTCAGTGTGGGCTCGAGTGATGACAGAGCGGTGCTCTTCTGTGAGATCGATCTGTCCTTTGTTGATGTTGTTGCCGGTGATAAAGAAAGTAGCCTTTGCATTGTACCTCTTGAAAACTTCAAGAATATGCTCGGTGTACCCTTTGAATGGTCCATCGTCGTAGGTGATGGCAACAGTGCCAGGATTTGCGCAAGAGTAGACACCAGTACCTCCGTATGGGATGGAGCCTAGCTTTGGACGGGGCACGTTTGCAGTATCAGATCCAGCAGGAACAGCATTATCGGGACATCCAGGCCCAAATTGATAGTTGCAGCCAGGGGCATAACAATAGTCTGGACCAGTTCCGCACCCTGAGAACAATTAGCATACCTTATGTGAATGAACAAGGTTAGAAAGACCTACAGCCACTACCACTGCAACACACTCCCGCAGCACAGGAACCAAAAGAACCACCACATTGTCCACCGGTATTTTGACGAGACTTCAGAGTTTCTCCCCGCTTCTCAAAATGTGATGAGCGAGCCTTCAAGTTATTGAACATGTTTCTAGTCTTCAAGTCACGAATGTTCAGACCGAATATCTTTGGCATGGCCGGAGCGTCGCCATGGGCGTTGACGATCGGCATGATAGCGGCAGCAGCCGCCAGAGCAGTCGATAAATGCATGGCGAAAGAATTGACGGGTATTGATGACGTAGAATTATAATTACTTTTTCGGGTGATGATGTTGGTTTCTAAGAGCAAGCGAATGGCTGTGTGACTGAGTAGATGCTCAATACACTGAGAGACCTTTGGGAAAGACTGGAAAGATAATGACTGAACGACAGATGTGCCAAAACGAGGAGGCAGGATCGACAAGGTTGAAATAAAATTCCTGTGGGCAAGGAAGGCGAGTGAACGGTACAAGGAGGGAGCGAGCAAACATCTTTAAGAGCAGGCAGGTGACGATCGGCATTGCAGTAGATAGAACCCATGCCCCCCAAGAATCTAAACTTACTCGAAACTCAAGATGGCTACAAGTCCAACTGTGGAATAGTGAATTGCAGCCCTGTAATACTGGGCAGGCTTCGCCCTGGTCCAAGCCGGCCGCGTTTGGTGTAGTCTACACAGTAGTTACGAGTACAACATATTCGGTCAGCTCTCCCAACGGAATGGCTTCGGGAGTGGCTATGGGTTGGGATTGGCCAAGCCGGACATCGAACATGAGCATGGGGCGTGGGTGAGACCATGGGACACCGGGTATGCAGGAACCTTGGGTCTTGAATGATGTTACTTGAACCGTACCTGTGAGCACTAGCTTTTCACCTGGAATGGAGAATTATAACTGGCGTGCGTCCTGTTGATTGTAGGGTACGAGAAAACATCAAAACCTTTGTGCAAAAGCTTGATATCATCGCCTCCTCCTGCGCAATTCATGCAATAGATTTTGTGCTGACTGGCTGACCGTTTCGGCCAATGTTACGTACTGTGTCCCGACGAACATTCACTTACAAGGCCTGCGGCTAACTATATGTTTAGCTGGCATTAAGGGCGTGACTAGGCAAAGAGGCATAGAGAAGAGCATTGAGGAGCCGAGTAGAGAGAGCGTCAGCAGCTATTGGGGCTGGTAGCATTGAACAGGGAAGATTGATCGATGCTGAATGGTGGTTGAAACAGCGGTCGAGTGCATCTGTCGCTTGAGGCTTCTTGGCAGTGTCAGTGGCATTTACACAGCACACTAATTACCGGTACAGGATCAAATTATTGAAGGACTTGAGCGTTCGTCGAGGACAGCTCACGATGAGCATACGCGGGTTGGACTTCGCCTATAGCTTGGCTCGTGACTGCTGGCATTATCGCTGTGTTACCAAAGCCGCATGGCTTGTGATACGTTACAATAGAACAAAGAAGAAGGAAACGATGATGAGGTTGATCATACAACTCCGTGATAAAGAGGTGGATACTAAAATCGCAAGACCGTTTTTGTTTTGTGGTCGTTGAGATTAGAACCTCCTGTCCGCCAGAGTCTCCATCTCCCAAATTTGATCTCGCGGTAGCCGCTTACGGCTATAGGAGATCAATCTAAACCATATTAAGATTCAACCTGGCGGGAGCTATATCAGTTCAACGTAGACCGCTGCATCAGATCTACATCGGATGGGCACCAGCTACTCGTGAGCGCTTCAGCGACATTCCCATCCCCTCGCCGATGCACCCGGCTATCCCTGTAATAGCTGCCGTCGATCACTTGGTATACCATTCTTAGAACCACTCTTGGTATTGCTTGTGTATGCCACCAACATGGTCGTGAGCGGGGATCATAGATAAAAACAGAAAAACAACATCAAAATCAAGATTCCTTTCACAGGTCTACGGGACTGCAGTGGATTAGATAGAATCGTTCCATTTTGTTTAACTCGAGGGCTAGACTGATCGCACTACACGACTCTGGTACACTGCTTGTACCGTCCTACAACACCTTTCACTAGCAACCCACAATTCATGCTTTCCATCTGCTCAAATGACCCTTCAATCGCCCCTGTTTGCCATACCTGTATTCAACAAGCATATCGTTGTCTCTGATAGCCCCTAATGATGAAATACATTCTCTCAAGCATACCGACATCCGACATCGTCAAAACTATGTCCTCGTCAAATTTGATAGGATCTTATTACCGGCATTTCCGACACTCGGACGCACTCCACGAGAATGGACAGTTTAATGTCGCACGCGGTGTAACCGCAGTGGAACCCCTCGTGAGACTCTTCGCGAACGTACGCATGAGCTCGTGTATCCACGTCGTACCGTCCCATGTGCATACACCCTGTACCCCCATGAGTTCTGGTATTTCCGAGTCATGAGATTGGGCCACAGCGCATGTCCTACCTCAATCCTGACCTCACTCCACCGGTCAGGCTGCTTCATAGGAGAGGGGAAGAATTGAGTCGCGCACTTTGCATGCATGCGCCTTTTTTTGCACGCGCAGGTGCAGGAATCAATACTTCCCCTCAAAGCTTGTTGTCGTCGATCATTAGAGCCGGTGTCCATTCGGATCCACTTGTTTGGATGGATGTTGGGCCTGCAAGCCAAACAATACATACTGTTTCGAACAGATGGGGCTTTTCCGTCGCCCATGGATACGCCAGCACATGCTAGTTATCGAACGTTGGCTCGGGATACAACCTAGTTCTTGCTCCGAGCTGTCGCAACTCATCGTCATACCTTCGGGAACAGAAACAACATCATTGATCCTCTAAACCCCGCTTCTTAACTCCATCTCCCATGTCCCCTCTTTCCGTTCAATGTATCACATATTCAATGATGGGAGCGAGAATGTCGTGCCCTCATCATGCCCAAACGTTCATCGTGTGCAAGTGCTGGCTCCCGCACCCCAAGTACTCTTGAGTCCATGGGTAACACCTCTCTCTTTGAGCAATAGAGCAATCGTTAAACATTAAACTGTCGCGGAGTTTCATTCCCTACGAATCATATTTACATACGTATCGCTCTCGTCTCGGTGACGGCAGGTGGGACAATTAGTTCTTCCATTGGCTCGTGTCGTCGTGTCTACCTAATTCACTGCTCCAGTAAATTTCATGAACGTCACACATTATCTCTGATCTAGATTGTAAACGTCAGGGATCCGTGCTACATGTGAGACTGCATCTGTTTGTGTTATGACTTGTCTGCGTGCTGAATGGATGAACGGTGGGGTCGTATCGTACATGAGATGTGATCCAAGTGTTTGTTTGTTTCTTTACTTACTGTGATGACAGAAAGATCGATTTTCATTCGTTTTCAAACCCGAAGTGGTTACGAATTGTTCATCACTCCGTGGTTGACGGTCTCAGACGATGTAGTGGTGTCAGCGACGGGAACAGGAAGTGATAAAGCGTTAGTAGGGCATTGCCGATTGTTGCTCATACACCCCCATGCTAGGAGGAACGATAGATTCTAGTATCATATGGATCCACTTGCCCCCAGCTTCAACATTTTGTTGGAATATAAGCTATCCTAATTGTCGCATTTCCACCAAATGGCACAACAAGCCCGGCTGGCACAATTGGTTAGCGCGTGGGACTCTTAATCTCAAGGTTGTGGGTGTAAGTTTAAATCATCACTTTCTAAGTAATTCATCAGTACTAACAAAGTCAATAGTCGAGTCCCACGTCAGGCTTCAAGATATTTCTTTTTTTTTGCAATTTTTTTATTGCAATTTTTACAATTTTTGGGGGGTTTCGCTTGGTGCTCGGGTGCACGGTTGTGTTACTATTTTACGCACATCCGAACATCACCGTATCCGGAACATCGTCAAGCTTGAATTATGACGAAGTCTGTTTATATTGAACGATTGCCATAAATATTTACAAGTTTTTCAAATTATTTAAATAGAACTGGGTATCTCTTCAAAACCAACTCAAACACTAAAAGCGAAGAAATTGAAACCGCCGAAGCGTCTCATCAACGTTCCCCCACCAAGAAAAAAAGTGGAAACACCTAATTTTGGCCCGTCACATATCCATTCCGACCTGCCTTTGCGTTGTTAATAGCAATCGCCAAAGCCGCGATGTCATTAGTAGTCGGAACGCTTCGCGGCTTATCGAAGGGGAACACGACAGATTTGTCCCGAATGCCCAAACTATCCACATATAAGACGTTCGGGAACGATTCGGGCGTGAAAGCGTTGAATGCTTTGTCGAATAGGTGGTCGTAGACAGAGGTCCCGAGGTTCATGATGGCTTTGTCGAAGTTCAATACATCTTCTGGCTGCTGCGTCAATGTCCAGGAGAGGATGTGGAACTTGTCTTTGCGGCTTGCGGAGTCGGCAACTATGTTGCGCTCCGCTTTGAGTTTGGACAGTTGGTCGTTCTCCATGTCGTCGGCCTTGTTGGAGTTCGAGTACGAGTCGTAGAATGGGAAGTTGTTTTGGTTGTAGAAACCCTCGTTCGCGTAGTTGCCCAAGGAGATTCCGTTCGGAAGCTGGGCAACTATGAATACCGATGCCCGATCCGTGATGAAATCTCCCAGCACTTTGTTGCTGAAGTCTGTATTTCCGGGGTTCTGTACGGTGAAGCGATTTTCGATGCCTTTGAGAGTATCGAATAGTTGATTCCATTGATCCTGAGATAGGTCCTTGTAATCATGATCCGTGTCAAGCGTATGGCTGAGGTTGATGATGACCAGCTCCTTGTACTGTCTGGTGAAGTCATTCACCTGCTTTACTATGTCCTACAGACGGGGTCAGCAGTCCATCCAAGCGTCGAAAGTCAAACCGTGTAGGTCTTACCAATATGGGCTGACCGTTACCACCTAGCCATATTCCTGGGCCCTCTATTTCCGAGTAGTGTCCAGAAACCCATTTTCCATTCGAGATAACCGGTCGAAGGTCAAAGTATCGAGATCCAACCATGAGCTGACCGTAGAAATCGAGGTATTGCGCCTGAGTGTTTGCGAAATGAGCGCCAACGGTACCTGGCTTGTACGAACTCATGCCAGCATCGTGGGAGCCGGGCAAAGCAATATGCTTGAGCGTCCTGTTTCCCAATGATCCAAGGCTCTGCTGCATCCAGTCTGTCGTTGTTCCACTGTTCGACCACCACTGATCGGCTTCGTCTGTTGAGAGGATCCAATTGACGGCTGCATCGTGCCTGAATCCCAGCTCGACCTTTGAGCCCTGCGGGCTCTGCTTTGTCGACAAACCGTCCAAGCTAATTGTGAGTTGGTAGTCTCGAGGCTTCCTACCCAGTACACTGAATTTCTCCGATGTTCCAGCGATGTTGTAATATGCTTCACCACCGTCATCCCCCGTGTTTCCTTTTGTTCCAAATTCAACGTAGACTTTGGCAGATGTACCAGCTTGAATCGTGGGCCAACTCCAGGTGTCCATTTGGTACGAGTGCTGCCCACTCAGCGCGAAATCATGAGGAGACCCATTGAGAATGGTCAGAAATCCGCCTGCGAAGATCAGTACTTGGGTTCATTAAGATGTGTAATTCGAAAGCTTACCGTAACCCATTTTCAGCTTTTCGCGTTGTCTTAAACAGAAACTGTGATTCTCGCTGGCCTTAGAGATACACAAACAGCGCTACCTCTGTAACAGAAAAAGTATACAATACTTTCAAACAAACAAACGATCTGGGGAGAGATCCTATATACCAAGCAAGCCCTCAATGAGAACGTGCATGCATAAAACATGCACCCTCATCTTCAGGGTTCTCACGCGCAAATAGGCCATGACCGGACCTTAACAAGAAGTCCTACTGGCCTGCACCTGACGGGGCCGGGTGTAGTATTTTTTTATTAATACAACAGCTTCTGAATCCAATGCAAGCATTCCCCTCAGGGGTAGGGAGTCAAACGACGGCCTATGGAGGCACCTCACTGGTTAGCATCTTTGCCGCATGCCTATTGTGGCTAATGCCCCTAAATGTCGAACATGTTCCTAGCCAATGAAAAGTTAGGCATGCCACAGTCCGAAAATACTCAATTGAGAAGGTCGGAGACTGAGTCCTGTGTATGGAGGAGGCCAATGGAAAGTGATGTGTGGTTTATTTGACGCTGCCCAGAGTGGCGCAAGCTCGAGACAGGGTTGTAAATGTACCTGTCGATCCCGAAGCTGAAGGCATAAAGGCGCATGAGTGGATCACATAGGCTCTCGCTTACTCAAATGATACCACATTCCTCTGCGAGAAGTCGACGTTGCTAGGATGGCATTGCAGACTCGCGCGTACGTTGCATCGAAAGGACTTAGCTTTTGCTATGAGTGCCTTTCTAGAGAGAGGAAAGTGTTAGAGCAACCGCGCAGCCCAGCGATAGTTCGACTGATTCGTGGCAACCTTCCATACTGCTCCAAGTTCAAATGCTAGGGGTTGAAGGACAACACAAGAGTTCTGAATCACTGCGAAAGATATCGCACTGGCTCACATCCTGAGGCATTGAAAAGTCTTAATGGTCAGGTTCAGTCAGCTGCATTGCTGACGCAGAAGGTACAATGTCCGTACCGGTCTTTGCATTCACTACATCGTAAGCGAAAATCATTTCCGTACACTGGATTAAGGAATTCTCCGGATCATAGTTCAAACATCGGATATTTTTAATAGATAATAACATTTTACATGGTCGGTTGGTGCAATTTACTCACACCGAACCTGCAACTCGGGGTTTTCTAGCATACAGATCTACCACTGCACTCAATAAATCCTTCACAGGCGGGAGCGCATGAGATGGCCCCGTATCGAAAATGCGTTGTAGTTGTTCAGGCCTAACGACAGGCTTATCGTTCTCGGTCGCAATATCAATTGCGTCTTGAGACAATAGCGGTCGTTGTGCTCTTTCTGTAGAGACTTGCTCATCGTCGTTCATATCGTCTTCAGATAATTGCTCGGCAGCAGCCTGTTCTGAACTCGATGTGCTTTCCGGAGGTGGTGTTTGCAATTGAAGATTCTCGCCCATAGGTCGAACCGTTCTGATGGACGAAGAAGAGTCGAGTACAACGTATCCCTTTCCGTCCCTCGCGGCCTCCAGGGCGAGCACAACATCGGTGGTCCTACTAGACCATAATGGGCGAGGTTGCTCTGGACTGAAAATTGAAATCTTCGACGATGCTTTCCTATATCGCCGGCCACTGTTCGTTTTAACCAGTTCGCGTTGATCGAAGCTTGGATAGGCAATGGCAAATGTCCCATCAGCCTCGTTTATGGCTAGGCGAATCAAGGACATTGCATCGAGGATATCGTCGGCGCCAGGGACGACCAAGGGAATGCAGTGTAGCAATTGATCGACCACAAGATCCCATACTATGATAGAATCCCCCAAAGCGACTAGATAGCGGCCCACTATACCAAGGCAAGCGAGAATGCCTACATCAATCTCGCTGATAGACTGCTGAATTGTTCCTGAATTGCTGTCAATGAGATGAATAGATCCTGAGCCATCCTCAGAGATCCACGATATCCCTGCAGCAAGTACTGAGCCATCTGCAGAGAAAGCCAAGCGTGCAGAAACTGGCACTTGAGAAGACTGATAGGTTGAAGCAGACTCCAAACTATCAATGCTATTTTCGAGCTCGACAGAGTGATCAAGTGACCAGTTAACAAGCCCCTCCTCCGCTCCACGGACGATGGTTCCGGTACGAGTTCGAGTCTTAGGTCGCCATACACGAACATTGCGGTCCTCGCCAACGGTTGCGAATCCAACACCCGAAGGGTCGGCGATGAGACTCAAAACACGAGCACTAGCGCCAACATCTTCAAAGAAATGAGGTGAATCGATTCTCGAAATCAATGACCACTGTGATGTCTTCTCATCCCATTGCCAAAATTTGAGGTAAATCTCGCGGCGGAAGGACTGCTCCTCCTCATTGAATTCAGCGATGCCTTCATCGAGGTAAGAGAGATCTTTTCGTGGGGGAAACCACTCGTCTACGGTTGCCAACCACTTGCCATCATTGCTGATTTGGAGCAATTTGACGGTGGGCTCGTGAATCTTGGATCCATCGGGGGCCATGTTTGGATCAGTAGCATTGTTGCGAGTCAATGCTTGCCGGAAAGCCGAACGACCGGCGGAGATGTCGAAGGTCTGGAGGTAAGGTTCAGGAGAAACCTCTGGGGCCTGGGGAGATCGAGGTTGAGAAGACGGGACCGGGAAAAGAACATGGTAACCGTTCTTGGGGTCTACAGCCATGGGAACCGAGACAAGATTTTCGAATGCAGATTCCACCGACCCTGACTCTTCCGGCATTTTCGAGGGATCAACTCGTCTTGATTGTATGCCGACAATGTTTGTCTTTGCCTGTAGCTCAGCAGTGGACAGCACGATTACGGAGTTGTTAGCCAGCGCAATGGCATAAGAGGCGCCTAGTGGAGATACAGTGATGTTCTCGATGGCGGCAGTCAAATGAGGGAGGTGCTGCTGTTTTCCCGTAGACAGCTGCCAAATCACTAGTACAGTTTCTCTGCCTCCAGAGATGAGATAGTTGCCTGCTCACGGTCAGTATACGGCACGAGACAACGGAACAAGAAACGCTTACCATCGCGCGACCATTTAAGTGCACACACAGCCTCTCGATGCCAGTGCAAGTGCTTGGATCTGAGGGCGTCTGTGTTTACATCCACGTTGGCCCTGTCACTGTCTTTCTGAAGCCGCTCCATGGCAGTAAAGGAGGTCAAGATATCCTCAAACAGATGTATCGTACCCTCTACATCACCGATTGCAATATCGAGATTGACTCTGTGGTCCTTTGGAGACTGCTTTGCCTTTCCACTAATGTTTGCGTCGCGGACATATGCACTCATTGTCGTGATTTGCTTCGCAATCTTGATTTCTCGCCAGACATACTCAAAATCCTCCAGGGCAGTCTTGTGTACTTTGATCCTTCTTCCAATCAAGATCGTATTATCGGTAGTGGCGACAACAACCTTACCACCCAAAAGAACCTCGAAACGGTTGACACCTGATGTTGCCTTGAGGATTTGTTTCAACTCGGTTTTTGAATCTTGGGATTTGGTACGGAGAGCGTGGACGTTGATGATGTTTCTTTTCAACCCTTCCTGGCAGTAGACAAGGTCGAGATCCGTATCCGGTTGAGGGACTACAGCGATCTGTTGGATGACTGCGCCAATGTCCCATCGGCCGATCTTCGATCCTGTTGTCCAGTCCCACAACGATATCAAACCCGTGGAACTGGCCACATAGACATGGTCTGGGTTCGCCGATGATAGCGCATATGTGGCAAGGGAACTGCCTGCGAGTTCGCGGACGCGTATGGATGTTTCGGCGGAGTATATTTGTAGTGCCCTAGGACTGGCAACCAGCAAAAACTTCTCGTCCGCAGAGAATATGGTGTCGTGTGGGAGGAACCATCCTCCAACCGGTGCAGACATCGACCACTTCGTCACTGAGTCGAGTCTTCGTTTCTTCTCCAGAGAGTCGCTCGAGACCATTGGTAGTATGAGATTGCCAATTCCTTCCTCTCCGTCATTGCGCTTATCCTTGTTCCTAATCCTATGTCTCTTCTTCGCCGCGATCGCAGCCTGAGACTCGTCTTGACCATCTTTGACAGAACCTGCGTTTGCAGTAGCTACCGCGACAGTCTTGGTTGATGATTTCTCGGATGTATCGTCTTTCTTGGCGGTCTTCGATTTTCTTTGGCTAGATTTTGACGACAAAGGTAGCTCTTTAGATGCGCCATTGCTGAGGGTCGATTGCTGGGGTGTAGTCTTCTTTTGAGCGTCTTGACTGCCCGTCACGTCCGGCGTTAGGACATCAGAGCCATTGGGCGCCCCTTCGTCCGCATTGTTGTTAGATGCTTTGCTCTTTCCCTGCGTTCTGGCCTTCTTCTTTCCACGAGACTCCGCACCGTCGTGCTTCCTCTTTAATTTCGGCGAGTTCGAAGAATCGACCATTGTCAAGAACGCTGAGCGAATCGGTGATTTGTATCACTGGAGAGGAGATTGACGATTGAGCATCGCGGGTTCAAGAATATTTTTTGACAAAGTTGGCCCAAGCTTTTCACCGCTCTGGACGCGCCAAGATAGAGGCGGGCCCGGCGTTCTCCAAATTCTTTGAACCGCAACCTGCCAATCTACAGAAACACAAGAGCTTGCTTCACAACTTAATCTTTGAACTTGCGCAAATCGCTCTAACGAAACCTACCCTACAAGAAAAAGCGAACATTTCCACGCTACAAAAATCAAAATGATTATCCCGGTTCGCTGCTTTTCCTGCGGAAAGGTACGGCCAAATTGTTAACGACGTGAAGATACCCTCAATGCTAATCAACAATAGGTCATTGGCGACCTTTGGGAACGCTACCTCAAGCTCGTTGATGAGGGTTTCGTGGATGGGTAAATGACCCTGTCATTCTTCTCCGCGCTCCAACTGGCATCTCGTTGCGACACGGATACAAGATATACTAACCTCTCCAACCACAACAGAGAAGTCCTTGACCAGCTCGGTCTCCGCCGATACTGCTGCCGCCGTATGGTCCTCACCCACGTCGACCTCATCGAGAAACTCCTCAAGTATGTCCCCACAGCAGACCGCGCTGAAGAGCGTGAGCTACTGCGCCGCCAAAGGCTCCGCGAATTCCGCCTTGCGTCCCGTGCCGCGGCTAATGCCAGCAAATAGATACAACGCGAGCGAACGAGAGGCTTCTAGAGCCATGAGAGGCGGGAGGTGAAAGGTCACTGTGAGAGCAGGAAATACCCCTAGGTCGTGTGGAGTCTGGAATGCATTTTATGGCGTTTTTGATATGGTGCAGACGGAAAAATCGAATATATTTGGTTCTATTTTGAGAGTGTTGACATGTCGCTTCTGGCGAATGATCCTACTTTTCAACGAACTGAGTCTATGCATGCGTGATGTCACCTCGAAAAGAAAAGTCGATTGCTTTTGGATACTTACCCAGCAAGAACAGCCGGATCCAGCTTGTTTCTTGTTCCTGGCTTTGTGGGAGGGTCAATATGAGCATATGCCTTCAGTTGATACAGTAATTACGTTCCTCTTAGGCCAGCTGTAGCTGTATTCCGACCGCAGGATGTCTGTTCAATACATGCAAACACTAACCTTGAGCGGAAGTAATGTCTATTGTCACTATGGTCACCAGCGAGAGAAGTCAAATTCGAGGTTCAATCAGTTGGAGGGAGTATATTCAGTTATACATCCAGTTTATAACATAGAAATGGTCTAGACGAACTGAGCAAAACCAAACTACTATTACAATCTCATTCCGAGGAAATGGAGGAAATGCCCTCTGATGCCCTTTGAAGCAACCTGTATCCATCGTCGCCAGTAGAAGGCCTTGAGGGATGAAATGAGCAAATTATCAGCTGCGGCTCAACGCTAGCGCTGCGAATGCAATCGGACTTGCAAGGGCTGAATATGCGCAAAGAGCCGTTATGCTCGAAGAAAAGAAGGAGACCACGCTATGCACAACCTAAAGAAAACCCATGACCAAGAACATAACGCCTGCCCGACATTTTCGTTTGCGGGTATATAAACAAAACATATATTCCGGTACCATGCCACCATGCATCATTCCGTGAAACTGTAACCTAGAGCACAACGATCCATCTGGTGATATAAGGGGGCGAAAGACGCTAGGCTTATTTTCGACTGGCAACAACGGAGTACTGACCTCCGGCTCCAGCCCAGACGAGCTTCGTCTCACGAACAGCAGTGTTGTCAATGAGAGTAGGGAGCTGGACGTCATCGTCGGTGCCCTGCCCGGTCTGGTAATTGGCAGAGAAACCCCAAGAATACGCCCTTCCTTCGCTGTTGATGGCAATGGTGTGCTCCGGACCGCAGGCAACCTCGACAATGCTATCCAAGCCAGCAATAGCTGTAGGCTGGATGAGGATCTTAGGCTTGTTGCCGCCACTCTTGAGAAGGATGGACTCATCATCGATGGCGTTCAGTTGATCCATGGGAACACCAGTCTGGAACCCATCACAACGTCCCCATGCAAGGAGCTGACCAGTGGCAGTTCGTGCAATATTGTGATGCGAACCGCAAACGACGGATTCGACTTGCTTACCCTCAAGGCTGTGAACAACTTGAGGGGCGGACACGTTCGCATTGTCATCTCCAGCATTGTCAGGGTATCCGGTTTCCGCGTAGTTGTTGGCACCCCAGGCCCAAACGTGTCCGTCAGTAGCGATGGCAACGCCGTGGTAATCGCCACAAGCAATTTTGCTGATCCGCTGACTGGGACGGGAGACTGAGCTATCATGGAAACCCACACGGTTGGGAAGTAATGCTTCGATGAGAGAGCGCTCAGTCACACGGCGCCCGAGCTGGTTTTGCTGACCATTGCCCCAAGCCCACACATGTTGGTCTTTATCGAGGGCCAGCACATGGTTTGTTCCACAAGCAATGTCAGTGATCTTCTTTAGGCTTTCGATATAGATCGGGGTACGGGCAGTTTCGATAGACCTGGTGAATCCCAGAACACCCTCGTTCTTGCGGAACGTTCCCCAGCCATAGACGGCACCTTCGGTGGTGAGCGCGAAAGAGCAGCTATCGCCAGCAGCGACGTCGACAAAGACTGTATCTTCAGGGAAATGTTCTGCAGATACGGGCAAGGGGTTGGCCTCCTGTTCGTTGAGACCGCCAGTTGGGTCGTCTTCCGAATCTGAGTCTGAGCCGGCTCCATCGCCCATGTCCTTCATCGTCACGGAAGCTGCTGATGTGTCTCGACCAAGCGCGCCGTTGTCGTTAACACCCCAAGTGAGGATCTTGTTGTCCTTGGTCAATGCGATGACGTGCATGCCACCAGTAGCAATGCGCACAACATCCAAGTTGGTTAGCTGCTCATTGTATCGAGGTCGCTTGACGTCTTTGGCCTTCTTGAACGCGCCTAAGCCAAGCTCGCCATTGCCTCCTTCGCCAAAGACGAAAACCTTCAAAGGTTCGGTGTATCGAAGCGCGTTGATCTCGGTCTTCTTGCCGCTGCGACGGACAGGGCCTTTAGGCTTGGGCTTCGTGTCCTTCACAACTTTGGTTGCCTGGGTTTTAACCTTCTTGGGCTTTGATTCTGGCTCAGTTGTGGCGTCCCTCTTGCGCTTCGGGGCAGGCTCCTCCTCGATATCATCTTCCTTTTTGCGCTTCAAATCGGGCTTCTCAGCTGGAGCTGGCGTTGCCGACTTCTTCGCGTTCTTCGTTGCGGTTCCGTTGAGCTTCGGTTCGGTGCTCTTGGGACGGCCACGGCCTAGAGTATGTGTCAGTGAGAGCTCGGCAGTCATGACGCGAAAGAAATATTCCATAGTCCGTTAAAGAACGAGGTTGTAAGTCATTGGAAACGGTTCCTGGAAAGGAACTGAGTCTGTTTTGATGGAAATTCTCCTTCAACCGGTTGAAAGGATTGTGGTGATATCCAGTCGCACAAGCTACTTACCAGCTGCTGGCTTTAATGCAGTCCCATTGACAGTAGGCTTTTCACTCGCGGCGCGAGAGGGTGCGCGAGAGGATCCAGCACGTTTAGGAGGCATTTTTCAGACGTGCAAATGAATTTGCAGATATCACAGTAAGAAAGGTGATGGTGCGAATATCTTGTTGTTGTGGTCTGCTCAAGAAAAGTTGACCAGGAACGCGGGCTTAAAAGAGACTCGGTCCGTCAACAATACTGGGCTAAGTTTGAATCAGGGTTAGCGCTGTCAGCGCGTTCATACCTCCGCTGAGTCAGCCTATTCTAACGTCACTGACCATCGAGGTCCTCTATTGTTGCAATCAACAATACAACAAGAGTGCTATTGTCTTATCGTTTCGGTCTGAATCTTCTCTTTCGAGGTATTCATCCAATAGAGTAACCGAACAGCTAACACCTTACTTTCACCACGGTCTTCGTGATCAACGCGCTTCGTCATCGCCTTGCCTCTGTTACCTAAACCATAGCGTTGCCTAGGGTCACCTAAATTCCACCTAGATTTCACCCTTATGCTGCCCTTTCACCTATCTTTGATATAATTATGGCTATGGCCATCTCCATCTCAGTCCTTCTTTCATTCGCAGGTACTGCTTTCTGTGCTCAGCCTTCGGCACCCTCACCGATTCCTGCACCATTGCGTGAGCTTCCATGGGCGCAGCTCAACTTTCTACACACAACAGATATACACGGCTGGTGGGGGGGCCACCTTCAAGAGTAATTACCTTGCTTCCCGTGCGCGTATTCATTTTTGACGTTTTCATTCAGACCTTCTTACTCTGCCGATTGGGGAGATTATATCTCGTTTGCCAAACATTTGCGTGATAGAGCAGACGAAGATGGTTCCGACTTAATCCTCGTGGACACTGGAGATCGGATAGAGGGCAACGCCATCTACGACAGCTCCAAGCCGCGGGGGAAATTCACGTATGAGATTGCCAAAGAGCAAAACATCGACCTGATATGCTCTGGCAATCATGAGTTATATAAAAAGAGCTCGTCCGAAGGAGAGTACTGGCATACTGTTCCGAATTTTAAAGGCAACTATCTCGCATCGAATCTTGACATTTACAGCCCAGAGACTGGAAATCTAGAGCCTCTTGCTCCCCGATTCAAGAAATTCACTACCAAAAACCAAGGCATCCGGATTCTTGCTTTTGGATTCATCTTTGACTTCACCGGCAACGCCAACAACACTGTGGTGCAGAAGGTAGAGGACACTATCAAAGAAGACTGGTTCAAAGAAGCTCTGAAAGACGAAGAGGTTGATCTGATCGTTGTGTTTGGTCATGTCGACATCCGCTCTCCAGAATACACGGATTTGTATTCCGCCATTCGATCCGCGCAATGGGACACCCCCATACAGTTTTTTGGCGGTCATTCCCACATTCGAGACTATGCGCGCTATGATCGAAACTCCGTGGCCCTAGAAAGTGGACGCTACATGGAGACGATTGGCTTCATGTCCATTGACGGTCTCAGGACAGGTGGAACCAAGGATCGCCCAGCTGCAGAACAGAAGAGCGTCAAATTCTCCCGGCTCTATCTCGACAACAACCTATATTCCTTGCGACATCACAGTAAGAAGGACAAGGATTCATTCGACACGAAACATGGCCTCAAGGTTTCTGCACAGATCAACGAGGCCAGGAAGTCTCTGAATCTTGATCACCGCTATGGATGCGCGCCTCAGGATTACTGGGTCAATCGAAGACCCTATCCTCACAATGAGAGCATCTTCACCTGGCTGGAAGAGCATGTCTTACCCGACACCATCAAAGAGTCCCGCCGTGTCAAAGACGGAGCCAAAGCCATCATCATCACCAACACCGGTGCCGTGCGATTCGATCTTTTCAAAGGCCCATTCACCAGGGACACTAAATTCTTAATATCGCCTTTCACCAGTGACATCAAAATCATCAAAGACGTGCCCTACGAGGCCGCGAGTAAAGTCATCAACCTCCTGAACAACGAAGGCCCGATCGCAAACATGATCATCGGAGAACGAACATTCATCCGACCCCCCGAGGTCGAAGCCTCCTGGATGCGAACCTACATGCTCACCGACGACCCCTACACCATCGCCCTGCGCGCACTCAACGAGGAACAAACCGTCATCACCGACGAAGACGACTCCGAGCCCCTCATCCCAGGCTACACGACGCAAGATGACGACGGCACCGACGGCGACGACACCAAACACTCGAAGATCCCCTTCTACAACGTCGACAACTGCATCCAAGCCGCGGTGGGCTTCGACCCCAAGGCTGCTGTTGAAACGCTGCCAGAGAAGGTGGACCTAATGTACAACGAGTTCATCCACAAGTGGATCCTCCTCGCCCTGGAGTACCTAGGCGAGAAGCGCGAGGACGCAGACGCACATGACTTCGACGGCGGGAAGAGCGTCACGGACATCATCACCGATTGGGTCGAGAAGCATTGGGCCACGGAAGGCGATTGTCCCTGAACACAAAAATAAATATGGCTCCGAACTGTGTGGTTTGGTGTGGGTAAGATGATAGATGCATCAGGGATAGACAGACAGACACACGGTTCTTAGCCCCGACCGACTACGCTTAACGACCCAAACCCACCCATCCACCCATCCACCACCCCACTAGCAAAAAAGAAAAAAAATCTGCACGTTTAATGTATCCACAACCACAATTGTACGTACACCGGGGAGGCATTATACTTCAATTCTCAAGCATCCCGACCACCATACATATTTTCTGGGTATATAAACTATTCAATTGTATAGTTCAACATCAAAGAACAACAACACAACAACAGTTGATCGGCCGTGTGGCCCAATGGCAAGGCGCTTGACTACGATTAAAGTGGTATCAAGAGATTCCAGGTTCGACCCCTGGCACGGTCAATTTTCTTTTTGCTCTTTTTTGTCTTCGAGTTTTTTGCTTGCTGCTCTGGTAGACTAGAACGTTTAGCTGGGAGTGTTTCGAGGGTCAGGGTAGAGATGGGTGGCTGCTATGCTGCTATGCTGCCATGTCTCCCTACCTACATTTTTTTTATTTAGAAGATTGTCTTCTGTCTCCTCACGTACACGTATCAATGATCTCTTATAACAAAGTCCTAAGGAAGGAATAAAAGATAGCCTAACTGTTTTTTTATTCCAACGAGCATACGTACATACATACCTACCAAAGATAGAAAGGAAACCAAATGATATACAAATACATCTAGTCTATAAACTCTTTCAATCCTACTGTTCTTCTATTTCTTTCTAACATCTGATCATTTAATTATGATCTTTATCTTTATTTCCATGTATGTGTTGATCTGTTTACATGTTCTTCCACTACTTCCTCTCACCTAGTTCATTTTTGTTAATATCATATAAAACAAATCATCTTATAATTGTTCAAAAATCTCCCTATTACCTTACTGTCTTATACTTCCCTTGAATCGTTTATAAGATCCAGCAAGTAGCTATTAAATATTTACTAAATTTAATAATTTACTTTTATGTAGCATGAAAGCATCAGTGAGGGAGTAGGCAATCATGTAGAAAGACGGGCACAGACCGATGGCCAGTGAACAGGGGCTAAGAAACAAATGATGGCTTAGAGTAACTGATACATTGATCGTTCGTTATAGGATATTATGCCTTCATACTGTCAGATAGATGTATGGATCTTATAAAATCAGGGTGGTTGCATGTGTGCATCTACCTAACACCATTGACGCGACGACAGAAAGGGGACATAGATCTGATCACTAGAGCTAGTTTCGATAGATGAGAACTTTGCTCGACAATAGTAATGCAGTTGGTTGATAGATTGATTCACCATGCCAGATGTATATGTATTTGTAGGAGAGAAAAGACAAGAGAATTCCATTTTAAGGTATCGAACCATGAGAGCACGCCACGCTATGCAAAAACGAATGAAACCGCAAGGAAAGGTTACAAGAACTTTGAAGATGAAGATGGGGTGCTGCCTGTCTGTTCGTTCGCTCCTCACAGCCTCAAGTTCATTCATCCATCTGCCACGCATACTCCAGATTCTCCCTATTCGCCTTCTTATTTCTCGCCTTGAACCACTCGCCCTCGAACCCATTGCCCCTATCCACGCCATCCCACCGATGACCAGGTCGAATCCCATACCGATTCGGCTGGAACGCGCCCTGATACAACGGCTTCCCGGTAACACTCTTCCCCTTCTTCTTCGCCTTCAAGAACCCCATCGCGGGATCATTCCACCGATCCTTCGCCCTCATCTCCTCATTCATCTCCACATCGTCCTTCCCGCGCGCAAAACTCATCGTCTTCGCGTCCCTCAACCTCTCCCGCCTCCTCTCCGCCTCCGCATTCTGCACATCGCCCCTCGCCGCCCTCTCCCCCTCAACCTTCTTCCTCTCCTCCTCCTCCGCCTTCTTCCTCGCCTCCGCCCTCTTCATCCCAACGTTAATAATCCGCCCACTCGCATCCCTATATATCGTCTCCTGCGCCGCGGCGCCCCTCTCCCTCATCGCGGCCTCCGCATCCCTCCGTTCCGCATCCTCCTTCTTCCTTACCGCCGCCTCCACCTGCTCCGCCGTCTGCAGCCCCGCCCGCGCCCCAGACTCCATCACCAATCCCCCATCCCCACCGTTGCCGTCTACAACCTCAGGCGCAGCATCCTCCTCCTCCCCCGCGCGCCGCCTCTCCGCAACCGCATCACTGATAATCCTGTCCGCCGCCGCGGCAGCCTCCTCGTCCGCAGCAACCTGCGCCGCGTGACTCGGCGCGCTGACCCCGAACGTCGTGTACCCCTTCCCTGCACCCTCATCCCCATCCCTCCTCCCCTTCTTCTTCTTCGCCTTCTTCACGCCAGAGAGAGATAATCCGGCCGTGGACCCCACGATCGTGGGCGCATCTTCGTCGTCTGAGGAGCCGCCGCCCCGGCGCTTCCAGCCGTCGTCGTCGTCGGCGATGAGGAGTCCGGCGTCCTTTTGCTTGCGCTTGCGTTTCTTGCTGGAGGAGGAGGATTTCTTCGAGGCGTCGGTGTCGGCGGTGAGGTAGTTTTTCGCGAGGTAGTCTGCTAAGGACATTGTGGAGAGGTGGTTGTTGGGGTATTTGGTTTTTCTTATGAGGTTTCGCGAGTGCGGGTGTGTGGTGGGTGGGGACGTGGATGTGGATGTGGATGTGGTGTGTTGTTATGTGGTAGGAAGTTTTGTGGAAAGTTTTCTGGTAGAGAGAGAGAATCGCCGCGCGCGCTGCGTTTGCGGAGGTCAATTGAAGAAAGTGTAAGTAGAGAGAAGGAAGATGGAGCTCCGCGCGGGCTTGGCAGGACGGGGGAGCTTTGGTGACCTCACTGGCGCGACACGTGATCAATTTTATAATCATTCACATATCAAAAGTAGCAGACACAGTTCACTTTACAAATTGTTTGAAAAGAACATGTAAGATTAGATTCATTGGAACTAGAAGACGGGTTTCCCATTCTTGAAAAAAATCCCAAGCTCTCTCTCAATACTTTCGCCTACGAGGACACAGCAATTCTCGATCTAGAAACAGAGAATCCTGTGCCCCCCTTCATCGTCTCCTCGCAAATCTCATGCCGGCTAGTGTGTCGCTAGGTCGCGGATATCCCAAATGCACTTTGCTTTCCTTCTCTCTGCAAAGGCAGTAGTTGTGTGTGTTGTGGTGGTGGCCGGCTAGCTCCGGCGATAAAAATAATCTTTTCATCTTCCTTTTTCTTCCTGTGCTCCTACTCCCGCATGCTGCATGCCGAGAGTGGCATTCCGTCCATAGGAAGATGAAAAAAAAGTAAGAACATGGAAGAAGAAGGATAGGTACATGAACACCTGGCAGTGTTCGGGGAATCGACGCGAACATATTTGGGGTAAGCTCCCCAATGGCAACAAGGTATCTAACAGAGTGAGAAAACAACCCACATCTCAAGCAAATATATAAAACGAAGATGAAAATTTAGAACGCCTTTTGGAAATGCAGACCTCGTGCAGGAAAGATTGCAGGAAGTGGTGCTCTACAACTTGGAGCCGCTGGTGTGGAAAAATAGTGGAGGCTGGAGGACTGGGCCCAAGATGACCCTGAAATGTGAAGACTAGACAGATACTGAAGGCTGTCGACTACTGACGGTCGAGATGTATATGGCCAAAATGGCTACTACGAGTCACAGGATGCTGCAAGAGTTCCCAGAAGGCCTGATGAGGTGTAATGTTAGCTGCAATTCCGAATGTGATCTTCCGAGGTAGCGGTGGTCTCCTGATAACCCGATGGTCACAGTGACTTCTCTTGATAGTGGATAGTTTATCTTGTCTGGAGCTTAGCATGACCCGTCCACGAATTGACGTGCAACAAAGCAACGCTGATCTTGCAAGAAGAAGTGGTCACACAGACAAGAAACATAAAAAAGGCTCGCTGGGAGAACAATGGGCGGAGGACTCTACTCACCATCTCTGGCCTTCTATCCTCTTGATCCACGAATAGACGATTAGCAGCCGTTCTCTGACTCTGGTCGTAGCCAAAAGTCGATACTTCTCTTCTTCCGCGATTGGTAACACGGACGCAAACCAAAAAGGGAATGTCTTGTGGTTGTCCGGAGGTGGTCCGTATACGTTAACGATGCGGGAGCTTAACCATGGGGCGCTCCTTTGACTCATTTGTTCGACGAAACCGATGCATCGGCGAAACAGTTCGTCAGTTGAAAGCAAGCCCGGAAAGTTCTCAGGTGTCCGAGGATCCTGTGGGTTCTCCAGAACATAGGCATCTGCCCAAGCCTGAGCTTCGAGAACCTCTTGTCGTTCTAGCTGCTCTTCCTCAATGATAGGAACATCGTCGACCCGCTCGACATTGCCCACATAGTATCCATCAAGCTGGCCGTACGCTTTGATGCGGAAACGGCTAACACCGCGTGTCTCGACAAAGCTTCGACCATCGGGAAGAAGCTCGAGATTAATGATCTCGAGCATCGTTCCGTATTGGAGGAAGGACGTTGGGCCAAGGTCACCTTGTGGGGCGGAGGAACGGTTGTACATGACCATCCCAAATCGCCGATTGCCTTCCATGCAGCGGCGCATCATCAAGCGGTACCGCGGCTCAAAGATGTGCAGAAAGGTGGGCGTGTTCGGGAGAGATAAGGTGCAGACAAACAACGGAGTGCTGAGGGCACCTTCGCTGTTGTCTTCTTCGGATTCCAAAGCTTCCACGCGTGCCTGTACATGTTCTGGAGACAAGCTCTTAAGGAGAGCAACGAGCCGACCATTGCTTGGATAGTTCTGGATAGCAATAGGAGGGATATGAATGCCTGCTCGACAGATAGGACATATACTACTATGATCCATGACCCGAACTAGACAGTGTCGGCAGAACGTGTGTCCACATGGGAGCGTGGTGGGGTCGAGCATCATGTTGTAACAGACAAGACAGTCCAGCTCACTATGCGCCGCTTCACGAAGTCCGTTGAACAGCTCCGCATCTAGATGTGCATGAATCTGAGCATCTGATGGCGATGCACGATATTGTACATCTGAATTGTAGCGTAGTTCCCCATCTGAAGCCATCTGGAAGGTCGCATGCAATCGGCCGCCACGAAATTCCTTGCGGTGACCTTGATAAGAAGTCAACTCCTTCTCGTCATTCGAATCGTGTACGTCATCCTCGGATACGGGGATCTCCTCTAGAACACACACGGGTGCTTCTGGCGTATCTTGGACACGCGCTATCGTCTGCTTGACCACCTCCATGACTTTGGTCAGGGTAACGTCCGCGCTACATTCCACCGTGGGGTATTCCTCGTCGCAGATCTTGCAGGTGATGCCATATTGTCGATCCGGCGTGTTCGGGTAAGAGATGTTGTCGCGGGGGCGAGTGGGAGCAAGACAGGCTCGACATGTCGTGTGACCGCATGGCAGAGTTACCGGGGCACTGAGAGGTTTTGAGCAAGAGCGGCACTGCACCAGACGGACCAGCTGTCTGGCATCGCCATGAGGATCCAGAGCAGGCTGGTCCTTGAACTCTTGGGAGAAGTCATGGCCGACCATCAATTTCGATGGTGGTATGGATTTGCGATGAGCCAGCTCTCCAGATTGTGCAAGGGAATATTTCTGCCTGTATTGATTCATCCAGGTAATCTTATATCAATCTTGTGGACTTAATATCCATGTAGAGTGTGTGGTCCGCGTTGCGCGAGAGTGTTGGTCGGTCGCAAGATGGTGATTGGGTGCGATGCGGGGAGAGTAGATGCAGCAAACGCGAACTGCAGCGGAGGGGTGCGCAAGGTGCTCTAAAGTTCCGCGAGTAACCTGTTAGGCTTCGAGAAAGCCAGAGAGGACCGGAAGATTGAAGACAGAGAGCATGTAGTTGTTGTGGTGCGTAGTGGAAACTGCGGAGATGATGCGACAGCAAATGTAGGACAGGCTCTGTCGTCAGAGGCGGGACAGGGTCTTTGTAACGGGGAGCAGGTGTTCGGGGACGATAAATGTTGGCGAGCGGACAATATAAGTATAAAATTGGTGGTGTATAACAATTATTGCAAGCAGGAAGAATAGAAAAGACTGTAATATTGGTTGAGAGGCCGTAGATTAGATATTGTTAGACAGTCAAGCGGGATGAGGGGAGGGAGAGGAAGAGGAGGAGGAGGAGGAAGCCGTGAAGTTGGCAGTAATTGTAGTAGCAACAGTGGCAGGCGGGAGTAGTGGAGTAAAAGAAGGAACAGGAGCAGGAGTGGAAATCGTCGACGACATGAAAGTTGCTACGGACCGAGCCATATTGGCAACCAGCACGAGACAAGAAATATAGGTCAATGGGGTGGAAGAGTCTATGACCGGTATGAGGGATCGGCGATGAGATGTATTTTGGTGAGTTGGGGCTGGCGGGATGTCAAGGGTCAGGATTACTCGTAGTCTCATAGTCTCGTACTGTGTCAGACAAGACAAGAGTCCAGAATCCTATGAATCCCGCTCTGGTAAAGAAACCAAGAGTTCCAGGATGTTACGAATAGAATTGGGTCAATTAACGGCAAGAGAATGTAAGAGGAGACAGCCGGGGAGAGGGTAACTATTGTGGTGGTAGTAACTAGTAGTAAGTTAGTAGACCTCGTAATCAAATGGTGAAATGTTTCGCTTGTTCCGCTTATTCCACCTGTCTATGCCCTGTTATGCCTGTTTCGCCTACCGAATGCTCGATCTTCGTCTCTCTCGATGTTACTCTACCTATCGAGCGAATCGCTGTCCATCGTCCACCATTCATCTCCATACTAATCACGGTCTACACAGTGCACGCAATACATTACTCGTACAAATTACTTCTGATTACTTGCATTTGCATCTTTATCTTCTTCCACGAGGTACATGTGCGTCTCCTTATGTCGTACAAAGAATTGCATCTTCTTACATCCAACTCCGTACATCGAATTCGTACCATATTTACCCCATACCATTCCCTCATAACAACCACGCAAACCCACTTCTATCACCCCCAATCAAAGAAAATCAATAAAACCAAAACCCCCATAGTTGTTTAATCATGTCTCAAATCTAGTCATCCATCCCAAATCGGCCCAACTTCCCTCCACTCTTCCCCGTCGTCACGCCAAGCCCAGCCCATATCAAGTAATCACGGAACCTCCCATCCTCCGCAAAATCATCATGTAATTGATTCACCATGAACAACTAGCGCTACAACGATACAATTTGAATAGACAATAATACCAATAATGATTACTCTTCACCGTGATCTTTTTATTACAAAATATATAGTCAAGTGGTTATATTATGTTATCAAGCAGAAAACAAGTTTAACTCGTTCCCGTTCGTTCACAAAAAGACGCGCCGCCGCAGCAAACTTCAAAGCGTCATCGATCATGCACCGCGCGACCAATCAGCGCGCGCCTCTCGTCGCCGCAACGGCATCACACAATACACTCATCCTTAGAGTACGCATCCTCTACACAGTCTCTGCATCCAATTACACACGATTTCCTCATTAACTACCCACAAAACGAAACCTTCGGAGGCAAGCAGGTCTCCCATCCCTAAAGAAAAATACACACGTTTTGCAACCCCAACCAATCAACCAAGATACCTAACAAAGCCATGTTCCCTTTCCCACCATTCCTTCCTTCGCCTCAAACCGTTGTACAAGCCGGTGCTTAGCTCGCCATAGGTGGGAAAGCCACTGAATTCGGACCCTGATGGTATCACCACTGTTCCAATCCAGTTATTCGAACCGCTGTACGTTGTCCCCTTGTTTGTCCGGCTGCCGTTCGTTGTTGCGGTCACGGGGAGTAGCTTGTCTATAATGGTAAGGTTATTAGTGATTAGTACCTATGATAGATACCTAGGTAGGTGGTTAGGTACATATTCTCTGTGAGGCTGCAGCCAGGATGGGATGCTCGAAGTCCCAGGCTTTTCCTAGAAGAGTGTACAATAAGCGAGGAGTGATGGTATGTTCCGCGTGAGGCTAGCACGGTCTAGTGTATGTATGTACATGTTCGTAGTGTAGCCGAATGGTCGGTGTGGTTGATATATTTGAAGAACTTGTGGACAGATGGATAGATACTTGATGATGATATTTTTTTTCCTCTATGTTACGCTCTGCTTGCCCGTATTTTCGTTCCCTCTTCATCGTCGAAGTATCTTCATGGTGAGCAAGTGCTTTTGCATGCGTAGTGTGATTTCCTCGTTACGGTCCCCCGTCCCAGACGGCTCATTGCGAAATATATGTAGACCTCTGCCGCAGACGAGAAGAGCAAAAAAGAGAAAGAGGGAGAGAGAGAGGGATGGACGTGAACCAGGGAAGATGAACGCTCAAAAGCCGCCCCACCAGCTCCCGGTATCGTACAAAAAACTAGGAAAGAGAAAAAGTGTTACAAATCTTACCATGACGCCGGGACTTTGACCAAAATTAACTCCTCCAGGTCTATCCGTTCCTTAGGCACCCCCGTCCAGCTTTTACCCATGCGAGATTTTCGTGAGTGAGTAGGATATCAATTCAGTATGCTTGGCCGGCAGGGCCGTTCTCGTCTTCGGAATCGCTCTCGCTGCTATCCGAACCCTCGCCATCGTCGCCGTCATCCTCATCATCCTCTTCATCGAGAACGATCTGTCGCAGTACACGCTTGTCGAACAGGTCGAGAACGAAGCGACACACGGGGAGGCGGAAGTGATGCGCTTCGAGCACTTGCATGACTTTGTGGAACATAGCTGACTTCGTGAATCCGGGCGCTTTCTTGAGCTTGATACTATTGGGATTGAAATCAATATCATGTCATAATCGTCGTGCTAAACTAAAAGAAAATTCGCTTACGCTTGCAAGTCGTTGGCCGCCTTTTTGGCAAGGACAGTATTGCCCAAATCGGTGGCCAGCTTGAGGATTCGTGCATTGACCGGATCATTGTCTGTGACGGCAATTGTGACAGCAGCCTTGCGCCTCAGACTCATGTTTTCTGGCTTTGCTGTCCAAGGTGTAATCTGTAAATCGTGAGTAAGATGAATGGCGAAAACGATGCACGAAGATACGTACCTGGAAGAGCTTCCTGAAGTCCAATGGAAGACAGAAGCCCAGAGCCTCGCCGGACTCATTCACGACCCCGTCCCATCCATACTCCAGCAAAATCTCTTGACCATGCAAACTCCTAGAAATGAGACCTAAGACATAGAATGCCGTGCCTCGTAGTGACATGACTTCTGAGGTTTCCGCGATCTTGATCACCCATTTCACTACATCCGTCTTTTCAAGGAAAGGAGCACCCAATTCCATCGATCCAACGTTGCCAATCGCCCATAGGCAGCCTTTTACTTTCAAAATCGTCTCGGCATCGTCATTCTCCATGGCAAAGTCGACAAGGGTCGTCACGAATTCGTCGAAATGGCCCTTCTGTTCGAGAAGCTTACACCCTTCCTTCGTTCGAGTGAGCTCTCGATAGAAGTGTGGAGGCACAATGCCGTATTCAAGATGCTCCGGTGCATCATCGATGGAAGTCAAACCGTGTGGCTTCTCAGGAATGTTGGCCAGTGCTCGAGCCATGGAAGCCTCGATGAGCGCGACATACGAGTCATTTCGACCTAAGAACCAATCGTCCATTTCTCTTGTAATATAATCCAATCCATCCAAGTAATGGTAACCGACTGAGGTTGACAAGAATCGAAGCAGGAGCGGAGCACCAATCTCGCCCAAATGATCTAGCGCTGGACGGCATTTGACAACAAACTCGAGTGATTCCGTCTGATTGCATGCTTCTTCCAAAATCCTGATGGCAACCTCACAGACTTCAACCTCTGGGTCGTACAATTGCGTGACTAGCAATCGTATTGCCCACTCTGCGATGGAGGCTGAGTCGGGATCTTGCATTGGCTTCGTAGCGTACTTGCGTAGTAGTCTCGTGGAGAATATGCGTATGTCTTTCGAACACGATGTCATTGCTTTGGAAATGATAATGCGAAGGTGTCCGTCCAGTGAATAATCCATGTTGTTGAGAAGCGTCCGAATCAGGTCGTCACGGTCATTCAGCTCAATGATGTGGTAGAACATATTGAGCACTCTCCAACGCTCGAGGATTTGAATACCCTTTGGATCTTTGGTGAGAGCGCCCAGAAGTGCGAAGTAGCCCCATGTCAAGGTCTCATTCATGCGTTCTCGCTGGAACATCGGGGATTCGGAGGTCAATCCACTCATTCTGTCAAAGTGAGATAGACACTCCGCAACTTGTCGAATGAATTTGCTTTCACTGAGATAGCGAACACCTTCCGGATTTTGGAGCAAGGTATTGAGCAATGAACACCCTATGCGAACATAACGCTGATTTGGCTTTGTGTTCTTGACTTCAGAGAAGCGCCATTTGAAGGGTCTGTAGAATCCAAGGAGGCGATGCACGAACTTCGTAGCTTTCATAGCCTCATCGAGTCGTTTCGCATTTAGAAGAGGCCCATCAAGGATGTTCGGAATCAGATCCCATCGCCATTTAGTGAAATTGACTGTATTGAGGACCTGGGTGTCCACCATCAGAGCCCTGAACGAGGCCTCGTCCATTTGCATTGCCGCCTGGGACTTGTTCGGATCTGTCTCCCTTCTGGCAGAAACGCCATCAGTCGCTAGAGTCGTTTTGGTAGTGTATGTAGTGGCCGGGCCTGATCTATAGAGGGTCCTGTTGACGCTGTCCACCTGGTAGATAGTTCCGATGGCATTGAATCTGTCCTCACTCCCCCACTTAGCAGCGGAGTGTAGTAATTGCGGTAAGACTTGAAGTCCAGCACTCCACGATGGAGGTAGCAATTCGTTCGCCATCTTCAGTACCTCTCCGAGCAGAAGCGTGGTCTGTCGTTGCAGTGTAAGCGTTAATGGATCCTCCTCAGCACGCAACAAAGCTGGTACAAGACCCGCATGTAGGAAAACTGCTAGAACGACGGCAACGTAGTGCTCCATAAGATTCCACTTGTTGGTTCCATCGTCTGTACTTGTCTCCGTTGATCCCTTTGCAGGTTGGTTCTTGAGATTGGTAACACGGCCGTACGTGGTCAGTCGTCGACCTGCGAGGAAAGATGATGACCATGATGGGGGTTTGATGCGTAAAATGTCGTATAATAGCTCCAAAAGAGTTTTTCGAACATGTGGTGTGGGAATCTGGAGTGATAGAAGAAGCGATTTGATCGCCTGGAAGTCATTCGCACATAAAGCCAGCAATCCAGGCCAACTGCGAAGCAGGCTTGCAATGAGGTCGGCATTCCTTTTCAACTTGTCTTCGTGTGTTGAGCCATATATTGCTCCCGCATCGGTGAATATCGCAAAAGGCATTTGTAATTCATGGCCAGATCTCAAAAACTTCCGGCGTCGTGGCGTGTCAAGCAAGTATAAGAAAGTGCTCCCTACACTTTCCGCCGCAAGATAGTTAGCCTCACCCAGGGCATCGGTAAGAGTGCCCATGCCGCCAGCAGAAGCGAGCAATTGGGGCTTTTTGACCAGGATTTCCGCCAGGGTAAGGATCGCGATATTCTTCAGTCGATCGTCTGTATGCTCGGCTACTGCCACAACGATACGAACGACCGCGCGCGAGATCTCCTCCACACCATTCTTGACATCCAAGAATGCTCTGACGAATTTCATAGCTTGTTCGCGTTCCACGCTCACTTTGCTTTCCTTAACCAATGATAGAATGACAAGGTAATCGGTATGAAGTCCTCTGATGATTTGTAACGACTTCCGATCTGTGATTGCATATCGCATTACTCGATATGCAGCCGCCACCACCTCTCGACTCTCACTGAGAAGCATCGTCTGCATCCTCAATCCAAATATAGACCATGCCAGATCGTACTTCAGCGTCGGATGCCGCTTGAACAAGTCCACTAGAGCATTCGCCCTTTCAACGTAATACTCCGGCTGCATTCCATCCCGCTCTAGGGCCTGCAGTATTTCAACCAGCACGAAGCTTGGTGACTCCGTCTCTTCGTCCTCGTCCTCGTCGTTCTTGATAACATGTCGGGAGGGGGAACGTGACAGATTGCGGCGGAAAAGGTACGATAACCTACTTTGTGCATCCGCCGGTGGCGATTTGATATCCTTCGCCCTCTGCTTCTCGGCCTCCAGTGCCGACTTGAGATGTGCAAGCTTGCTGTTGGATATATTGAGCTGGCGCTCCACCTCGAGTCGCTGTTCTTTTGCTTGCTTTGCGCTCTTCATATTCAGCGCCTCCAGAAGGTTCTCGGATCCAATCTTTATCTTCGTCTCTTTCTCGATCTGGTCTTGCAATTCTGCTTGCCTCTCCTCTGTGGTCGTCGAGCGGTCATCGCCAACGATGATGGCATGCGTATCGAAGTCTGGCCGAAGTCTGCCATCGTGGGTTGGGAAAGGCCTGAGCTGCGAGCTGAAGCTCCCAGGAGCAGCACCTGTCGTGGCATACGAGGCCCCGCTCCTCGAGCCAGCCATGATGCTGGAGGCAGCTGCGGGGAGAGAGCGGCCATCTCTACTTCGCACGGGGGCAAGTAACGTGGGTTGGTCGGCGGATGGCGCGTCGCCTTGGTTTGTAGAGCGCGCTGGGGGCGTCATGAGATTGACTGGGCGGCGTATGTGCTAACCGCATTGCATGCCGGAATCTCTCCAGGAGAAGCCTCCCCCTTCCTCATGAGCTGTCGTAATGAACGTTGACGTATCGTGGGATGTACTCGTGGGATGGTGGTAGGCGGGGCTGTGTGGCGGTCGCGAATATGGACAGGGCGGTCAAACGGGCGCACAGCGGGGCCGTAGAGAGCGTGTAAGGTGAAGCAATACGGCAGGGAATGAATGTAAGCCAAGGCAGAGAGCAATTGCGGAGTATCAAAGGGTCCAAGTGAGGTCGCAGACGCTTGAAGCTGGCTGTAGCAAGCCTAGGCCAACATCTGGGACGGGACGTCGTCTGGTCGCTACACAACGGTGACTCGGCCCGTGCTGCAGCATCACTACCAACCTAGGTAGTAAGTGGGAGACGGCGGCCGCAACTACAAAAGTGTACACAGTGCCGTTGCAACTACGACTACGGCTCTCTCCTCTCCGATACCGTTTCTTCAAAATAAAAATCTCTCCTGATATTTAAGATATGGAGTCTAGCATATCCGCACCATTTCCGTTCTTCCCTGTGCTTCAGTGAATCCCTCGGACTCGAGGTACTCATTGATATCACGTGAGAGCGTCTATGGGCCAATCACACGAGGGGATCTGGGACCTTACCCTTAAGCTCAGCATCGGAAACCGCCGATAGCCAGGCATAGCAGATCCACCAATGCGTGTGAAAGCTTCATCGAGCCATTGATCGCTCATCAAATGGCCGTGTACACAGCTCCTGGGAGAAGAAAACATGCCGCTACATCTCGGCCGCCTCCGCCAGTGTCCATGCTGATAACGTCCCACAGCTACCATAGCTAAATTGTATAACTATCGCCCGCGTATCCCTCCTCACTGACCTTATCTCTCCTCCCTCCAGTCCCAGACACTCCCTCTACTCCTCGTGCTTCTTACGAAAGCTTCCTAAGCTTCCTTCGTGCTGTCTCAGTCGCTCTCTGACCTCCTACTCACCAAAAGACAGCAACTTTCGTGTGCTTTCATCTACGTTATCCTCGCATTGATACCAGCAGCATCATGTCCCAGCTTGGTTACGCACGCTACGGCAAGGACAATGTCCGCCTCTACAAGGTCGAGAAGGACGCAAAGACGGGCGTCCACACCGTCATAGAGCAGACCGTCCGCATTCTCCTCGAGGGAGACATCGAGACCTCGTACGTACACCTGTTCCCCCGCACAGAATCGCCAACAACCTAACTAACATTTCCTCCACACAGCTACACCAAAGCCGACAACTCGGTCGTCGTCGCGACGGACACGCAAAAGCAAACCACCTACATCCTCGCAAAGCAGCACCCGATCAGCCCTCCGGAGCAATTCGCCGCCGTCCTCGGCGACCACTTCATCAACACGTACCCGCACATCCACGCCGCGCACGTCAAGATCATCCAGCACCGCTGGACGCGCCTCTCCGTCGACGGCAAGCCGCACCCGCACTCCTTCTACCGCGACGGCGAGGAGATCCGCGTCGTCGAGTCCGTGACCAGGGAGGGCGAGGGCGTCTCCATCCGCTCGAAGATCGAGAAGCTGCTCGTGCTGAAGAGCACGGGGTCTGCGTTCCACGGGTTTCACCGCGACGAGTACACGCGCCTCCCCGAGACCTGGGACCGCATCCTCAGCACGGAGATCGAGGCGGGATGGCAGTGGAAATTGTTCAAGAGCCTCGAGGAGGTGAAGAAGGTGGATTTCAATGCCGCGTGGCAGGCTGCTAGGGATATTACCCTGGACATCTTCGCGAAGGACGATAGTGCCAGCGTCCAGGCGACTATGTACAAGATGTGCGACGAGATCCTCGCTGCGGTGCCGTTGGTCGAGGCGGTCGATTACGCGCTGCCTAACAAGCATTACTTCGAGATTGGTAAGTTTCTCCTCCTCCCTCGTATAATATCCCCAACCCGGAAACAAGAAACTAACATATCTACTTTCCTCTAGACCTGAGCTGGCACAAAGGCCTCAAAAACACAGGCAAAGACGCCACGGTCTTCGCCCCGCAATCGGACCCCAACGGCCTCATCCAATGCACAGTCGTCCGCAAGGGCCCTAAATCTAAGCTATAAACACCTTCTCGTACCACTAGAAAAGAGAAACAACGACCAGACCGCGTTACGACGAATTATTCTTCCTTCTATTATGTCATAAGACGACGATGACGACGATTTCTTCTTATCTTGTTGTTTTTAACATATAAACGAAGCGATTATATATCCCATGCTGTGAAGACGTAGTTTGCTGATATAAATATAACCCTTTTTTTTGAACCTTGGATCTCGGGAATGTGAATATTCGTTTATGCGGTACTGTGTCATCCGTAGCGCATGTTGGGATATCTGTGATTGATTTGCCGTGCGTGTTCAATTGTTTGGCTTTAAGCGACGGTAGTATAGTATATATCGTATGAGAAACGGGTGTGAAGTCCCTACATTGGGGAGAGCGTCGTCTCCCCTTGCTTTGTTGTTGCCGTTGAATCTTATGCAATCGACATTCAACAGAACCCTCATGTCAGACGAAGCTTACTCTTGTTCTTTCTACGGGAGACAACTGTGCTCTCAAGGACCAATGGCTGTACTTTCAATTGTGATTCGTGAATTTATCCTTTCTTTTTGTTGGAAATTGTACATGGTAGTGTAGTGATGATCTACCTAGTTTACAGTGATACATGTATAAAAACGAAAATGCGAGAGGGTGCAAAAAAGGACAATGGGCGGCGTGGTGTGGTATAAACTCCGTCATGCCATAACATATATGCAAAGCACTCTCCCCTCCCCAACAACATAACCCATCATGAACCATCCATCCATCATGACTCCGGCGCCGCCTTCTTCTCCGCGCCCTCCTTCAACTCCCCCAACGTCCTCCTAACCCCCTCATGCTCCACAATCCCCAACCCACCTCCCAACCTCACCTCCACCAAATTCTCGCCATACGGATGCCCCCGCCCCTCAAACGTCTTCAACCTCCCCAACCGTTCCTTCCTCAGCCTATTCTTCGGCAACATCCCGCTCACCGCCTTCCGCAGCACCTCTCCGCCCCCCCACTTCGCAATCATGCGGTCCATGTTGATTTCCTTGAGGGAGCCCGGCCGCGTCGTGTGCGTGCGGTAGAGCTTCTGGTAGCGTTTCTTGCCGGTGGTGTGGAGATTGGCGCAGTCGACGGCTACGACGTAGTCGCCGCAGTCGGTGGACGGGTCGAAGATGGGCTTGTGTTTGCCCATTAGGACTTGTGCGATGGAGGAGGCGATGCGCCCGAGGGCCCGGGGGTCGGAGCCGATGTCGATGAGGTGCCAGGAGCGGGCGTAGGCGAGGCGGGTCTGGGGGTGAGGGTTAGTTGGTTGGAGGGTTGAGGGGGGGGATTGGGGAGATGGGGATTGTGGGATTGTGGGATTGTGCAATTGAGGTGGTGGAGGGGGAAGGGGAGGAAAGTCCGGAAGATCTGGGGTGTGAATAGGTGGGTGAACGCACTTTGCCAACGACTTGAGACATGGTGTTTCGAGGGGCCCAATGGCCCTGGTTTTAAGGTTCCGGTGTCGTTTTCACTTTTTCGTTCTTCGAGGGGAAGATCCGCTGCGAGATTGTGTTTGAAAGGGAGGGTTTCGGAGGATGCGGTGGTGGAGAGGGGGGCGGGAAGGAATGGTGATCTTCGTCAATTGACAGGACAAAGCTGTGTCGTCGAAAGATTGAAGTTTGAGACGCTTGGCAGGATAATTTCCGCGGCGAGCGTGTCACGTGGATACTGCTCCTGCTGGTGCTGGCCTCTCGGTGGTCGCCGCAAATCAACGCGCGCACGCGCGAGACCGACCACCGAGCCGGGTGTCTCCCCCCGCCCTAAGAGCCAGCCTAGAGGGTATGATTTCAAAGCCGGTAAGGGTCCAGAGAGCGATGACATGATATTCGAGCTTTTGACGATGTAAGAGCTCCGTATCCTGTACAACAACGACGACTTCGACTTCCTCTGAAAGCTGCACATTGCAATCATGACAATACCTCCTTTCGAGACCACCTTTGCGGTGCCAATGACCTGCGAGTCATGCATTAAAGACATCTCTGGCTCGCTGTACAAGCTCAATGGTGGGGCAGCACTTTTGTTCCTGATCGCGTGCATCACGTAGCTTGCACTTGTAAAAGGGTCGTTTCTGACGTAAAAGGCACAGGTATCAACAAAGTCACAGCAAGTCTTCAAGATCAGCTCGTGTCAATTGAGGGCACTGCATCGCCGTCGGCCATTGTTGCTGCCATTCAGGACACCGGCCGTGACGCCATTCTCCGTGGAAGCGGCAGGTCAAATAGTGAGTCTACCTACCGAGCATCAAACCAAGCGCAATCCACTATTGAGAATTGCACAAATATTATTCGTGTGCCAGTTTCATTTTGTTGGTAGACTATTAACAGGATGATCTACAGGTGCTGCGGTATGCATCTTGGAAACGCACTCTCTTCAGGTGCAGAATAAGGTGCGGGGTTTAGTCCGCATGGTGCAGGTCGCACAGGACGTCACCATCGTGGATCTGAGCATCAAAGGGCTGTCTCCTGGTACGTACCACGCGACGGTTCGCGAGCGGGGAGACATCTCCCAGGGCCCAGAGTCTACGGGGCCGATCTGGGAGGGCCTCAAGACGCAAGAAGGCAAGCTGGGTCGGGGCGTGTTCGGGACGGTCGAGGTGGGAAAGGGAGGCGTCGGATCCGTGTTCCTGGACAGGCCGATTCAGATCTGGGAGATGATCGGCCGCAGCATTGTGGTAGCGAGGCAGCAGGATGGGAAATTCGACAAAAACGATGCTGACACGCTCGTGGGGGTGATTGCGCGGAGTGCAGGCGTGTGGGATAACAACAAAACGGTGTGCTCATGTTCCGGGAAAACGGTATGGCAGGAGCGGGAAGAGCAAGTCGGGCGTGGCATGCTATGAGGGAGATGCAGACACAAGTTTAATGTCCATACCGTTCAGTACCCTACCGTGGCGTACCGTACCGTACCTGGTACCGCAGTACATACTCGTAGATACAAACCTGGGTTTCTGCACGGTAGGTGGTGAACTGCCGGCAGCCAGCTGCAGGAGGTTTGGATGATTCCAAATGTGAAGCGGTAGATGGATACCAAGCTTTCGAGGTCAAGGAGCTCAAGAGAGAGTAGTTAGAGATTTCAATGATAAGAGACTCGAGGATGGAGAATGAGCGTGATGATTGAAGGGGTTGTCTTAATTTTCGTGAGAACGGCCATTATTCGAGACGTGCCATGGCTTTTGGGAGACGAGGCTTGAATTCAGGCCGAAACAGGCAGTGCATGAGGGGAGAGAATTGGCATGCAACAGAAGGGAATGGCAGTGGCTTCGCGAAAGCCCCAGGCTTATGCATTCATGCCTCACCGGGGTGGTGAGGGTGGATTGAGGATGGTGAGTGGGTGCAGGATGTTTCTATCACGTGGATGTGGTGTCGTGGACAAAGTCATGTAACAGACCTCAAACACCGCCGGAGCTGGCTCGGGTGGAAGAGGAGAAGAGCGCAGCGCCGATCGAGGGGTTGACGTAGTGAAGCGAAACGGGAGAAAGTCCGACGTGAAGAGAGTTCATCGATTGATTCATAGAGAGAGAGAGAGAAGTGAAGAGTATCAGTCGTTGGTGGTGCCATCCATTGGATATTGGATATTGGATAGATGTGGCGTGGTACCTAGATACCTACCTAATGTACGGTGCAGCACATGTACCTAAGTATGGCATGCAGGGCGTAGACAATACGACGGAGGAGTGATCCCAATGAGCTGCTAGCATGACGAATGTGGTAGCTATTTTCTATTAAATGATAGTGACTATTGACGAAAGGGAAAGTAGAGTTCGGCTGGGCGGCAGAGAAGGAGGGATGAAGCGCCGTGGATGTGGTGTAGTTGATGGTCGTGGTTGTAGTGTATGTGTATGTAGTGTGTAGTGTGTATACAAGGGGAAAGCCACTCATTACCACCCATTGACACCCATGACCACCCATAGCCATCCATGTCTATCAACCCCATACAGCCAATCAGAGGGGGTAGATGGGGTTATATGGAGACTTGGCAACTCCCTCATCCTGGAACACAACGAGACTCAGATTTCTGATCAACCCACCCGAATCGACATGTCGACTTACCCGACTTAACCTGTCTTGCCCTGACTTGCCCTGACTTTCCCTATCCAAGTAACAAAACACTAAAAAGATCCTGTGCCATCCTGTGCCATCGCAGTCCAAGCTTGTGCCAGCCTGTCCCAGTCTGTCCCAGATGTAACCAGCCCAGTCCTTCACAGGTCCAGCCATCCCATACCCTCCCATACCCAGTAGTCATACCTTCTTCCCATTTACCCTTACCCTTCCAACCGCCCACACGATTCACAAGGTTTCCCAATTCCTATTCCTGTTCCCTAATCCCTCCCTCCCTCTACTTTCCCTCCTTCTTTCCTCTTTCTCTTTTCCTTCTCTCTCTCTCTCTCTCTCCACTTTGAATCTACTCAACCTCACCCTCATCCACGATCATTAAGAGTTGCGCCCTCTATTGTCCCTCTTTTACGTCCTCACGCGCCATCTAAATCCCCCCCCCCCCGCAGGCTGGCCTCCCCCATAATAATCCTACCATACTCGACGCCACATCGATTAATCACTTTCACCGCGCATCCTCTGACGCTAAAGAAGCCCCGGCGGCTACCCAACTAATCCTGTCAGGAGATCCAGTAGACAACATATCTTAGCATCTGGGCGCACTCCAAAAGAAAACCAGCCCCATCCCTCAGTAATACAAGTACGGCGGAACCGAAAGCCGTACTCACCTTCCCTCAACACCATTCCCTCGAGACTTGACGACACCATACTGCCGGGTAACTTGCAAATTCCTTCGTCATGTCTCTCAAGCAGGTATGCGAGCCATTCTTTTACTCTTTTACTCAAGCTACATTCCAAAATCCACTGCACTCCCCTCATTGACTCCATCCGACTACGCGGGACCATCACACTAACGTGCGGGGCAGGAAATCGAAACCTGGGTGGCAGCCCTCGCCCACTACGACGGCAACGACTTCGAAGAGGCATTGAAGGAGTTTGACGGCATCTCCGATACCTCCAAAATTCTATTCAACTGCGGTGTCATCCATGCGACGTTGGGAGAGCATGAGAAGGCGGTAAGCTTCGCTACCACCGGGTGCGACCGCTAGAGCCCGTTCGCTGACTTCTTTGTTCCCAGGTCGACTGCTACCAGCGCGCTGTGCGGCTGGACCAGTACCTCGCCGTAGCCTACTTCCAGCAGGGTGTCTCGAATTTCCTCATGGGCGACTTCGAGGAGGCCCTGGCCAACTTCAACGACACCCTTCTCTACCTCCGTGGAAACAACAACATCGACTATGAGCAATTGGGCTTGAAATTCAAATTGTACTCGTGCGAGGTCTTGTTCAACCGTGGCCTGTGCTACATCTACCTCCAGCAGAAGGATGCTGGTATGCAGGACTTGTCGTTTGCTGCGAAGGAGAAGGTCGTTCCGGACCACGAAGTCATCGACGAAGCCATTCGCGAGGAAGCCGAGGTAGGTTGTCTCACGCCTTTCAGACACGAATTGCATGCTAAATACCATTTTTAGGGTTACACTGTCTTCTCTATCCCCGTCGGCATTGTCTACCGCCCCAACGAAGCAAAGGTCAAGAACTTGAAGACTAAGGATTATCTCGGCAAGGCACGCTTGGTCGCTGCCTCGGATCGTGCGAACGCATTCACTGGATTCGCCGGGTCTGAGATCAAGAAGATGGGCGAAACCCCGGCCAAGGACGACCGACCCGAAGACAAGGTCTCGTACGCCGCCACGAACCTCGTCAAACCCAATCTCCAGAGCAGGGCTAGACAACAATCTGAGCCGCCTATGAACCGTAACATGTTCCCCCCTACGCCACCACCGGAGTCGGACAAGAGGAATTCGGGCGGTGCCCAGGAAGGTGGCCAGATGTCGCGCGCACAGTCTGTTCGCGGCGGTGGTCCCAAGCCGCGACCTCTTGATCTCGGCAGAGCTGCGTTCGATCAAGGCAACCAGGATGCCCCTCGCCGTATGGGCACACAGCGATCCATGTCAGAGCGACCAGCACCGTCCCGTTCGAACACCCGCAGCCGACGTGACGAGCGCGAGAGGCCTCGGCGTCGTGGTTCTGACGATGATATCGAGGAGGACTACGCCGACGATGTGTACGACATGTATCAGCCCCGATCAAACAGGCCTGCCTACTCGAGATCTCGCCAGGGCAAGAACTCTAGGCCGATGTACATCGATGAAGAGGAGGAGGAGGATGACTATGACGGAAGCGACGTTGACGATGCTGACTTTGAGATGGTGTCTCGTTCAAAGACCCGAAGACGGTCGCCTGCTCGTTCTGCTACCTCCCGTCGCAGCGACAGGGAGCGAGAGCCAGCGATGAAAATTCGTGTCAAGGTCCATGCAGGAGACACCCGCTACGTCTTCATCGACCAGAACAAGACGATGCGCGAGTTTGTGCAACAAATACGTGAGAAGTTCGGCCTCCGCCAGAACTTCAAGGTCGAGATACGCGATGATGGTGACATGATCACCATGGCCGACCAGGACGATCTGGATATGGCTATCCAGACAGCCAAGAGCATGGCTAGGAAGGAGAATTCGGATATGGCAAAGATGGAGGTATGGCTTAACCTTGATGTCCCTAACGAGAACTTCTCCAATCCTCCTCCTCCTCTCACTCCCAGCATCGAAATTTCTGAATATGTATGAGGAAGAGAGGCTAATGTTTATTTGCTACTTTTAGGTCTGGATAAAAGAAGTATAGATTAGAGATACCCGGCACGAAACTCTCACGAGCGCACGCCCTTTTGCTTTTCCTTCTCCTCGTCATGATCATTTCAACAAACCATTTACAAGATTTCCATCTCTGGTTCTACTACGCACGACATGGTTGCCGTTCGTTGGCGTTTCTCTATCGGCTCGGGGAGATTCTAGCTTTGCCGCTACAGACCTTTTCTTCTGTCCACCTTTCTGGTCATAATGTCCGATATGTTTATCAGCGAGCATCATCATTTTCACCCTCTGCTTTTCCCTTTCCTTTCTACTTTGCTCCGACCCAGCAGCATATATTAACGTTATATTCGGCGTCTTTCTTTCCTTTCCTGTACTTTACAGCCGGGCTGTCGAGTTGAGCGTCCGCAGCAGTTATAGACCCCATCCGGTCCCCATCGTTTGTACTTGGTGGTTTGCATGTGTGCCCATTGGTTTTCGGATCGAATATTTCTTATCCGGACCTGTATTACTTGGGAAATTGGGAGGGGGAAAGAAAGCATAATCTACAAACGATTTGGAAAGCAAATACCTTTTTTCCCATGAACATAACATACATACGTGCATGCACACAAAATAATCATAGCCTCTTCGCTCGTATCTAATCGTATTTACAACCCACATTCACTAAACTAAACACAACGTAAATCTACACATCCAAAAACTAAACACACCGATCTCGCTCGC